CTCGTCTTTCATCTCACAACATGAAGGGATGTCTGAATCCCCTGTGGAGACCTTAGAGAAAGCCCTAGGTCCCTGCCTCATTTTGACGGAATGCCTCACATCCCGCTGACACCTCGAGAGGCACGCGGAGTTCATTGCTTCAAAAGGTGACGATGCCTGACTCCTCTTGAATACTGATGGGAATCCCAAAATCCCTGTGGCTACTGGAAAGGGTCCTTGGGTGCCCTGCCTCACCTCGAGAAGCGTCCCTTTGGCCCTGCCAAGCCTCGAAGAGATTCCTGAGGTGTCCCTCATTACTAGACAGGAGTCCTGACGTCACTGAAGAAACTCGTGTTTTGAAGGGCCATCCCCGCCCTAAGTCGAGAACATACCCCAGGTCCCCGCCGCAACTCGAGAAAAACCATGAGACTTCCCCCTAGAGGCGAGATGAGGCCCCATTCCCCTGCAGTGCATGCAGAGCTATTCCGTGACCCCATTCAAACAAGTCAGGAGCTTCGACTTGCTTAATGGATCTCGAGACAGTCCCCAAGAACACTGTCACCAGTCTAGACGGACCCTGAGGTCACCCCAGCAACGCAAAGCAGCTCCATGTGCCCCAAATCAACTCGAGATGAGGCCCGATTCCCCTGCATTGACTCCAGAGCCATTCCCCGTTCCCCATTCAACACGACCGGTGGCTCGACTTCCTTCAGGCAACTCCAGAGATGCCCCGAGAACACTGTCCCAAGTCTAGAGGAACACCAACTTCAGCACAGCAACTCGAGGAATGCTCCGTGTACCCCAAATCGTCTCGAGATGCGAGCTGATTCCCTGGCTTAGGCTCAAGACGTATGCCAACTTCCCAGAAGCACCTCAGGAGGAGGCTTCTCTCAGCAATAGGTATGTGGGAGGGACCCCGAGTTTGCTGCCTCAAGGGGAATATACAGCGAGAAGCCCTAACTTGAAAGGAGGCCGGATTTCCTTGCAGTGGCTTGAATACAGGCTCGTCTTTCATCTCACAACATGAAGGGATGTCTGAATCCCCTGTGGAGACCTTAGAGAAAGCCCTAGGTCCCTGCCTCATTTTGACGGAATGCCTCACATCCCGCTGACACCTCGAGAGGCACGCGGAGTTCATTGCTTCAAAAGGTGACGATGCCTGACTCCTCTTGAATACTGATAGGAATCCCAAAATCCCTGTGGCTACTGGAAAGGGTCCTTGGGTGCCCTGCCTCACCTCGAGAAGCGTCCCTTTGGCCCTGCCAAGCCTCGGAGAGATTCCTGAGGTGTCCCTCGTTACTAGACAGGAGTCCTGACGTCACTGAAGAAACTCGTGTTTTGAACGGCCATCCCCGCCGTAAGTCGAGAACATACCCCAGGTCCCCGCCGCAACTCGAGAAAAACCATGAGACTTCCCCCTAGAGGCGAGATGAGGCCCCATTCCCCTGCAGTGCATGCAGAGCTATTCCGTGACCCCATTCAAACAAGTCAGGAGCTTAGACTTGCTTAATGGATCTCGAGACAGTCCCCAAGAACACTGTCACCAGTCTAGACGGACCCTGAGGTCACCCCAGCAACGCAAAGCAGCTCCATGTGCCCCAAATCAACTCGAGATGAGGCCCGATTCCCCTGCATTGACTCCAGAGCCATTCCCCGTTCCCCATTCAACACGACCGGTGGCTCGACTTCCTTCAGGCAACTCCAGAGATGCCCAGAGAACACTGTCCCAAGTCTAGAGGAACACCAACTTCAGCACAGCAACTCGAGGAATGCTCCGTGTACCCCAAATCGTCTCGAGATGCGAGCTGATTCCCTGGCTTAGGCTCAAGACGTATGCCAACTTCCCAGAAGCACCTCAGGAGGAGGCTTCTCTCAGCAATAGGTATGTGGGAGGGACCCCGAGTTTGCTGCCTCAAGGGGAATATACAGCGAGAAGACCTAACTTGAAAGGAGGCCGGATTTCCTTGCAGTGGCTTGAATACAGGCTCGTCTTTCATCTCACAACATGAAGGGATGTCTGAATCCCCTGTGGAGACCTTAGAGAAAGCCCTAGGTCCCTGCCTCATTTTGACGGAATGCCTCACATCCCGCTGACACCTCGAGAGGCACGCGGAGTTCATTGCTTCAAAAGGTGACGATGCCTGACTCCTCTTGAATACTGATAGGAATCCCAAAATCCCTGTGGCTACTGGAAAGGGTCCTTGGGTGCCCTGCCTCACCTCGAGAAGCGTCCCTTTGGCCCTGCCAAGCCTCGAAGAGATTCCTGAGGTGTCCCTCGTTACTAGACAGGAGTCCTGACGTCACTGAAGAAACTCGTGTTTTGAAGGGCCATCCCCGCCGTAAGTCGAGAACATACCCCAGGTCCCCGCCGCAACTCGAGAAAAACAATGAGACTTCCCCCTAGAGGCGAGGTGAGGCCCCATTCCCCTGCAGTGCATGCAGAGCTATTCCGTGACCCCATTCAAACAAGTCAGGAGCTTCGACTTGCTTAATGGATCTCGAGACAGTCCCCAAGAACACTGTCACCAGTCTAGACGGACGCTGAGGTCACCCCAGCAACGCAAAGCAGCTCCATGTGCCCCAAATCAACTCGAGATGAGGCCCGATTCCCCTGCATTGACTCCAGAGCCATTCCCCGTTCCCCATTCAACACGACCGGTGGCTCGACTTCCTTCAGGCAACTCCAGAGATGCCCCGAGAACACTGTCCCAAGTCTAGAGGAACACCAACTTCAGCACAGCAACTCGAGGAATGCTCCGTGTACCCCAAATCGTCTCGAGATGCGAGCTGATTCCCTGGCTTAGGCTCAAGACGTATGCCAACTTCCCAGAAGCACCTCAGGAGGAGGCTTCTCTCAGCAATAGGTATGTGGGAGGGACCCCGAGTTTGCTGCCTCAAGGGGAATATACAACGAGAAGCCCTAACTTGAAAGGAGGCCGGATTTCCTTGCAGTGGCTTGAATACAGGCTCGTCTTTCATCTCACAACATGAAGGGATGTCTGAATGCCCTGTGGAGACCTTAGAGAAAGCCCTAGGTCCCTGCCTCATTTTGACGGAATGCCTCACATCCCGCTGACACCTCGAGAGGCACGCGGAGTTCATTGCTTCAAAAGGTGACGATGCCTGACTCCTCTTGAATACTGATAGGAATCCCAAAATCCCTGTGGCTACTGGAAAGGGTACTTGGGTGCCCTGCCTCAGCTCGAGAAGCGTCCCTTTGGCCCTGCCAAGCCTCGAAGAGATTCCTGAGGTGTCCCTCGTTACTAGACAGGAGTCCTGACGTCACTGAAGAAACTCGTGTTTTGAAGGGCCATCCCCGCCGTAAGTCGAGAACATACCCCAGGTCCCAGCCGCAACTCGAGAAAAACCATGAGACTTCCCCCTAGAGGCGAGGTGAGGCCCCATTCCCCTGCAGTGCATGCAGAGCTATTCCGTGACCCCATTCAAACAAGTCAGGAGCTTCGACTTGCTTAATGGATCTCGAGACAGTCCCCAAGAACACTGTCACCAGTCTAGACGGACCCTGAGGTCACCCCAGCAACGCAAAGCAGCTCCATGTGCCCCAAATCAACTCGAGATGAGGCCCGATTCCCCTGCATTGACTCCAGAGCCATTCCCCGTTCCCCATTCAACACGACCGGTGGCTCGACTTCCTTCAGGCAACTCCAGAGATGCCCCGAGAACACTGTCCCAAGTCTAGAGGAACACCAACTTCAGCACAGCAACTCGAGGAATGCTCCGTGTACCCCAAATCGTCTCGAGATGCGAGCTGATTCCCTGGCTTAGGCTCAAGACGTATGCCAACTTCCCAGAAGCACCTCAGGAGGAGGCTTCTCTCAGCAATAGGTATGTGGGAGGGACCCCGAGTTTGCTGCCTCAAGGGGAATATACAGCGAGAAGCCCTAACTTGAAAGGAGGCCGGATTTCCTTGCAGTGGCTTGAATACAGGCTCGTCTTTCATCTCACAACATGAAGGGATGTCTGAATCCCCTGTGGAGACCTTAGAGAAAGCCCTAGGTCCCTGCCTCATTTTGACGGAATGCCTCACATCCCGCTGACACCTCGAGAGGCACGCGGAGTTCATTGCTTCAAAAGGTGACGATGCCTGACTCCTCTTGAATACTGATAGGAATCCCAAAATCCCTGTGGCTACTGGAAAGGGTCCTTGGGTGCCCTGCCTCACCTCGAGAAGCGTCCCTTTGGCCCTGCCAAGCCTCGAAGAGATTCCTGAAGTGTCCCTCGTTACTAGACAGGAGTCCTGACGTCACTGAAGAAACTCGTGTTTTGAAGGGCCATCCCCGCCGTAAGTCGAGAACATACCCCAGGTCCCCGCCGCAACTCGAGAAAAACCATGAGACTTCCCCCTAGAGGCGAGATGAGGCCCCATTCCCCTGCAGTGCATGCAGAGCTATTCCGTGACCCCATTCAAACAAGTCAGGAGCTTCGACTTGCTTAATGGATCTCGAGACAGTCCCCAAGAACACTGTCACCCGTCTAGACGGACCCTGAGGTCACCCCAGCAATGCAAAGCAGCTCCATGTGCCCCAAATCAACTCGAGATGAGGCCCGATTCCCCTGCATTTACTCCAGAGCCATTCCCCGTTCCCCATTCAACACGACCGGTGGCTCGACTTCCTTCAGGCAACTCCAGAGATGCCCCGAGAACACTGTCCCAAGTCTAGAGGAACACCAACTTCAGCACAGCAACTCGAGGAATGCTCCGTGTACCCCAAATCGTCTCGAGATGCGAGCTGATTCCCTGGCTTAGGCTCAAGACGTATGCCAACTTCCCAGAAGCACCTCAGGAGGAGGCTTCTCTCAGCAATAGGTATGTGGGAGGTACCCCGAGTTTGCTGCCTCAAGGGGAATATACAGCGAGAAGACCTAACTTGAAAGGAGGCCGGATTTCCTTGCAGTGGCTTGAATACAGGCTCGTCTTTCATCTCACAACATGAAGGGATGTCTGAATCCCCTGTGGAGACCTTAGAGAAAGCCCTAGGTCCCTGCCTCATTTTGACGGAATGCCTCACATCCCGCTGACACCTCGAGAGGCACGCGGAGTTCATTGCTTCAAAAGGTGACGATGCCTGACTCCTCTTGAATACTGATAGGAATCCCAAAATCCCTGTGGCTACTGGAAAGGGTCCTTGGGTGCCCTGCCTCACCTCGAGAAGCGTCCCTTTGGCCCTGCCAAGCCTCGAAGAGATTCCTGAGGTGTCCCTCGTTACTAGACAGGAGTCCTGACGTCACTGAAGAAACTCGTGTTTTGAAGGGCCATCCCCGCCGTAAGTCGAGAACATACCCCAGGTCCCCGCCGCAACTCGAGAAAAACCATGAGACTTCCCCCTAGAGGCGAGATGAGGCCCCATTCCCCTGCAGTGCATGCAGAGCTATTCCGTGACCCCATTCAAACAAGTCAGGAGCTTCGACTTGCTTAATGGATCTCGAGACAGTCCCCAAGAACACTGTCACCAGTCTAGACGGACCCTGAGGTCACCCCAGCAACGCAAAGCAGCTCCATGTGCCCCAAATCAACTCGAGATGAGGCCTGATTCCCCTGCATTGACTCCAGAGCCATTCCCCGTTCCCCATTCAACACGACCGGTGGCTCGACTTCCTTCAGGCAACTCCAGAGATGCCCCGAGAACACTGTCCCAAGTCTAGAGGAACACCAACTTCAGCACAGCAACTCGAGGAATGCTCCGTGTACCCCAAATCGTCTCGAGATGCGAGCTGATTCCCTGGCTTAGGCTCTAGACGTATGCCAACTTCCCAGAAGCACCTCAGGAGGAGGCTTCTCTCAGCAATAGGTATGTGGGAGGGACCCCGAGTTTGCTGCCTCAAGGGGAATATACAGCGAGAAGCCCTAACTTGAAAGGAGGCCGGATTTCCTTGCAGTGGCTTGAATACAGGCTCGTCTTTCATCTCACAACATGAAGGGATGTCTGAATCCCCTGTGGAGACCTTAGAGAAAGCCCTAGGTCCCTGCCTCATTTTGACGGAATGCCTCACATCCCGCTGACACCTCGAGAGGCACGCGGAGTTCATTGCTTCAAAACGTGACGATGCCTGACTCCTCTTGAATACTGATAGGAATCCCAAAATCCCTGTGGCTACTGGAAAGGGTCCTTGGGTGCCCTGCCTCACCTCGAGAAGCGTCCCTTTGGCCCTGCCAAGCCTCGGAGAGATTCCTGAGGTGTCCCTCGTTACTAGACAGGAGTCCTGACGTCACTGAAGAAACTCGTGTTTTGAACGGCCATCCCCGCCGTAAGTCGAGAACATACCCCAGGTCCCCGCCGCAACTCGAGAAAAACCATGAGACTTCCCCCTAGAGGCGAGATGAGGCCCCATTCCCCTGCAGTGCATGCAGAGCTATTCCGTGACCCCATTCAAACAAGTCAGGAGCTTCGACTTGCTTAATGGATCTCGAGACAGTCCCCAAGAACACTGTCACCAGTCTAGACGGACCCTGCGGTCACCCCAGCAACGCAAAGCAGCTCCATGTGCCCCAAATCAACTCGAGATGAGGCCCGATTCCCCTGCATTGACTCCAGAGCCATTCCCCGTTCCCCATTCAACACGACCGGTGGCTCGACTTCCTTCAGGCAACTCCAGAGATGCCCAGAGAACACTGTCCCAAGTCTAGAGGAACACCAACTTCAGCACAGCAACTCGAGGAATGCTCCGTGTACCCCAAATCGTCTCGAGATGCGAGCTGATTCCCTGGCTTAGGCTCAAGACGTATGCCAACTTCCCAGAAGCACCTCAGGAGGAGGCTTCTCTCAGCAATAGGTATGTGGGAGGGACCCCGAGTTTGCTGCCTCAAGGGGAATATACAGCGAGAAGACCTAACTTGAAAGGAGGCCGGATTTCCTTGCAGTGGCTTGAATACAGGCTCGTCTTTCATCTCACAACATGAAGGGATGTCTGAATCCCCTGTGGAGACCTTAGAGAAAGCCCTAGGTCCCTGCCTCATTTTGACGGAATGCCTCACATCCCGCTGACACCTCGAGAGGCACGCGGAGTTCATTGCTTCAAAAGGTGACGATGCCTGACTCCTCTTGAATACTGATAGGAATCCCAAAATCCCTGTGGCTACTGGAAAGGGTCCTTGGGTGCCCTGCCTCACCTCGAGAAGCGTCCCTTTGGCCCTGCCAAGCCTCGAAGAGATTCCTGAGGTGTCCCTCGTTACTAGACAGGAGTCCTGACGTCACTGAAGAAACTCGTGTTTTGAAGGGCCATCCCCGCCGTAAGTCGAGAACATACCCCAGGTCCCCGCCGCAACTCGAGAAAAACAATGAGACTTCCCCCTAGAGGCGAGGTGAGGCCCCATTCCCCTGCAGTGCATGCAGAGCTATTCCGTGACCCCATTCAAACAAGTCAGGAGCTTCGACTTGCTTAATGGATCTCGAGACAGTCCCCAAGAACACTGTCACCAGTCTAGACGGACGCTGAGGTCACCCCAGCAACGCAAAGCAGCTCCATGTGCCCCAAATCAACTCGAGATGAGGCCCGATTCCCCTGCATTGACTCCAGAGCCATTCCCCGTTCCCCATTCAACACGACCGGTGGCTCGACTTCCTTCAGGCAACTCCAGAGATGCCCCGAGAACACTGTCCCAAGTCTAGAGGAACACCAACTTCAGCACAGCAACTCGAGGAATGCTCCGTGTACCCCAAATCGTCTCGAGATGCGAGCTGATTCCCTGGCTTAGGCTCAAGACGTATGCCAACTTCCCAGAAGCACCTCAGGAGGAGGCTTCTCTCCGCAATAGGTATGTGGGAGGGACCCCGAGTTTGCTGCCTCAAGGGGAATATACAGCGAGAAGCCCTAACTTGAAAGGAGGCCGGATTTCCTTGCAGTGGCTTGAATACAGGCTCGTCTTTCATCTCACAACATGAAGGGATGTCTGAATCCCCTGTGGAGACCTTAGAGAAAGCCCTAGGTCCCTGCCTCATTTTGACGGAATGCCTCACATCCCGCTGACACCTCGAGAGGCACGCGGAGTCCATTGCTTCAAAAGGTGACGATGCCTGACTCCTCTTGAATACTGATAGGAATCCCAAAATCCCTGTGGCTACTGGAAAGGGTCCTTGGGTGCCCTGCCTCACCTCGAGAAGCGTCCCTTTGGCCCTGCCTAGCCTCGAAGAGATTCCTGAGGTGTCCCTCGTTACTAGACAGGAGTCCTGACGTCACTGAAGAAACTCGTGTTTTGAAGGGCCATCCCCGCCGTAAGTCGAGAACATACCCCAGGTCCCCGCCGCAACTCGAGAAAAACCATGAGACTTCCCCCTAGAGGCGAGATGAGGCCCAATTCCCCTGCAGTGCATGCAGAGCTATTCCGTGACCCCATTCAAACAAGTCAGGAGCTTCGACTTGCTTAATGGATCTCGAGACAGTCCCCAAGAACACTGTCACCAGTCTAGACGGACCCTGAGGTCACCCCAGCAAGGCAAAGCAGCTCCATGTGCCCCAAATCAACTCGAGATGAGGCCCGATTCCCCTGCATTGACTCCAGAGCCATTCCCCGTTCCCCATTCAACACGACCGGTGGCTCGACTTCCTTCAGGCAACTCCAGAGATGCCCCGAGAACACTGTCCCAAGTCTAGAGGAACACCAACTTCAGCACAGCAACTCGAGGAATGCTCCGTGTACCCCAAATCGTCTCGAGATGCGAGCTGATTCCCTGGCTTAGGCTCAAGACGTATGCCAACTTCCCAGAAGCACCTCAGGAGGAGGCTTCTCTCAGCAATAGGTATGTGGGAGGGACCCCGAGTTTGCTGCCTCAAGGGGAATATACAGCGAGAAGCCCTAACTTGAAAGGAGGCCGGATTTCCTTGCAGTGGCTTGAATACAGGCTCGTCTTTCATCTCACAACATGAAGGGATGTCTGAATCCCCTGTGGAGACCTTAGAGAAAGCCCTAGGTCCCTGCCTCATTTTGACGGAATGCCTCACATCCCGCTGACACCTCGAGAGGCACGCGGAGTTCATTGCTTCAAAAGGTGACGATGCCTGACTCCTCTTGAATACTGATAGGAATCCCAAAATCCCTGTGGCTACTGGAAAGGGTCCTTGGGTGCCCTGCCTCACCTCGAGAAGCGTCCCTTTGGCCCTGCCAAGCCTCGAAGAGATTCCTGAGGTGTCCCTCGTTACTAGACAGGAGTCCTGACGTCACTGATGAAACTCGTGTTTTGAAGGGCCATCCCCGCCGTAAGTCGAGAACATACCCCAGGTCCCCGCCGCAACTCGAGAAAAACCATGAGACTTCCCCCTAGAGGCGAGATGAGGCCCCATTCCCCTGCAGTGCATGCAGAGCTATTCCGTGACCCCATTCAAACAAGTCAGGAGCTTCGACTTGCTTAATGGATCTCGAGACAGTCCTCAAGAACACTGTCACCAGTCTAGACGGACCCTGAGGTCACCCCAGCCACGCAAAGCAGCTCCATGTGCCCCAAATCAACTCGAGATGAGGCCCGATTCCCCTGCATTGACTCCAGAGCCATTCCCCGTTCCCCACTCAACACGACCGGTGGCTCGACTTCCTTCAGGCAACTCCAGAGATGCCCCGAGAACACTGTCCCAAGTCTAGAGGAACACCAACTTCAGCACAGCAACTCGAGGAATGCTCCGTGTACCCCAAATCGTCTCGAGATGCGAGCTGATTCCCTGGCTTAGGCTCTAGACGTATGCCAACTTCCCAGAAGCACCTCAGGAGGAGGCTTCTCTCAGCAATAGGTATGTGGGAGGGACCCCGAGTTTGCTGCCTCAAGGGGAATATACAGCGAGAAGCCCTAACTTGAAAGGAGGCCGGATTTCCTTGCAGTGGCTTGAATACAGGCTCGTCTTTCATCTCACAACATGAAGGGATGTCTGAATCCCCTGTGGAGACCTTAGAGAAAGCCCTAGGTCCCTGCCTCATTTTGACGGAATGCCTCACATCCCGCTGACACCTCGAGAGGCACGCGGAGTTCATTGCTTCAAAAGGTGACGATGCCTGACTCCTCTTGAATACTGATAGGAATCCCAAAATCCCTGTGGCTACTGGAAAGGGTCCTTGGGTGCCCTGCCTCACCTCGAGAAGCGTCCCTTTTGCCCTGCCAAGCCTCGAAGAGATTCCTGAGGTGTCCCTCGTTACTAGACAGGAGTCCTGACGTCACTGAAGAAACTCGTGTTTTGAAGGGCCATCCCCGCCGTAAGTCGAGAACATACCCCAGGTCCCCGCCGCAACTCGAGAAAAACCATGAGACTTCCCCCTATAGGCGAGGTGAGGCCCCATTCCCCTGCAGTGCATGCAGAGCTATTCCGTGACCCCATTCAAACAAGTCAGGAGCTTCGACTTGCTTAATGGATCTCGAGACAGTCCCCAAGAACACTGTCACCAGTCTAGACGGACCCTGAGGTCACCCCAGCAACGCAAAGCAGCTCCATGTGCCCCAAATCAACTCGAGATGAGGCCCGATTCCCCTGCATTGACTCCAGAGCCATTCCCCGTTCCCCATTCAACACGACCGGTGGCTCGACTTCCTTCAGGCAACTCCAGAGATGCCCTGAGAACACTGTCCCAAGTCTAGAGGAACACCAACTTCAGCACAGCAACTCGAGGAATGCTCCGTGTACCCCAAATCGTCTCGAGATGCGAGCTGATTCCCTGGCTTAGGCTCAAGACGTATGCCAACTTCCCAGAAGCACCTCAGGAGGAGGCTTCTCTCAGCAATAGGTATGTGGGAGGGACCCCGAGTTTGCTGCCTCAAGGGGAATATACAGCGAGAAGCCCTAACTTGAAAGGAGGCCGGATTTCCTTGCAGTGGCTTGAATACAGGCTCGTCTTTCATCTCACAACATGAAGGGATGTCTGAATCCCCTGTGGAGACCTTAGAGAAAGCCCTAGGTCCCTGCCTCATTTTGACGGAATGCCTCACATCCCGCTGACACCTCGAGAGGCACGCGGAGTTCATTGCTTCAAAAGGTGACGATGCCTGACTCCTCTTGAATACTGATAGGAATCCCAAAATCCCTGTGGCTACTGGAAAGGGTACTTGGGTGCCCTGCCTCACCTCGAGAAGCGTCCCTTTGGCCCTGCCAAGCCTCGAAGAGATTCCTGAAGTGTCCCTCGTTACTAGACAGGAGTCCTGACGTCACTGAAGAAACTCGTGTTTTGAAGGGCCATCCCCGCCGTAAGTCGAGAACATACCCCAGGTCCCCGCCGCAACTCGAGAAAAACCATGAGACTTCCCCCTAGAGGCGAGATGAGGCCCCATTCCCCTGCAGTGCATGCAGAGCTATTCCGTGACCCCATTCAAACAAGTCAGGAGCTTCGACTTGCTTAATGGATCTCGAGACAGTCCCCAAGAACACTGTCACCAGTCTAGACGGACCCTGAGGTCACCCCAGCAACGCAAAGCAGCTCCATGTGCCCCAAATCAACTCGAGATGAGGCCCGATTCCCCTGCATTGACTCCAGAGCCATTCCCCATTCCCCATTCAACACGACCGGTGGCTCGACTTCCTTCAGGCAACTCCAGAGATGCCCCGAGAACACTGTCCCAAGTCTAGAGGAACACCAACTTCAGCACAGCAACTCGAGGAATGCTCCGTCTACCCCAAATCGTCTCGAGATGCGAGCTGATTCCCTGGCTTAGGCTCAAGACGTATGCCAACTTCCCAGAAGCACCTCAGGAGGAGGCTTCTCTCAGCAATAGGTATGTGGGAGGGACCCCGAGTTTGCTGCCTCAAGGGGAATATACAGCGAGAAGCCCTAACTTGAAAGGAGGCCGGATTTCCTTGCAGTGGGTTGAATACAGGCTCGTCTTTCATCTCACAACATGAAGGGATGACTGAATCCCCTGTGGAGACCTTAGAGAAAGCCCTAGGTCCCTGCCTCATTTTGACGGAATGCCTCACATCCCGCTGACACCTCGAGAGACACGCGGAGTTCATTGCTTCAAAAGGTGACGATGCCTGACTCCTCTTGAATACTGATAGGAATCCCAAAATCCCTGTGGCTACTGGAAAGGGTCCTTGGGTGCCCTGCCTCACCTCGAGAAGCGTCCCTTTGGCCCTGCCAAGCCTCGAAGAGATTCCTGAGGTGTCCCTCGTTACTAGACAGGAGTCCTGACGTCACTGAAGAAACTCGTGTTTTGAAGGGCCATCCCCGCCGTAAGTCGAGAACATACCCCAGGTCCCCGCCGCAACTCGAGAAAAACCATGAGACTTCCCCCTAGAGGCGAGATGAGGCCCCATTCCCCTGCAGTGCATGCAGAGCTATTCCGTGACCCCATTCAAACAAGTCAGGAGCTTCGACTTGCTTAATGGATCTCGAGACAGTCCCCAAGAACACTGTCACCCGTCTAGACGGACCCTGAGGTCACCCCAGCAACGCAAAGCAGCTCCATGTGCCCCAAATCAACTCGAGATGAGGCCCGATTCCCCTGCATTGACTCCAGAGCCATTCCCCGTTCCCCATTCAACACGACCGGTGGCTCGACTTCCTTCAGGCAACTCCAGAGATGCCCCGAGAACACTGTCCCAAGTCTAGAGGAACACCAACTTCAGCACAGCAACTCGAGGAATGCTCCGTGTACCCCAAATCGTCTCGAGATGCGAGCTGATTCCCTGGCTTAGGCTCAAGACGTATGCCAACTTCCCAGAAGCACCTCAGGAGGAGGCTTCTCTCAGCAATAAGTATGTGGGAGGGACCCCGAGTTTGCTGCCTCAAGGGGAATATACAGCGAGAAGCCCTAACTTGAAAGGAGGCCGGATTTCCTTGCAGTGGCTTGAATACAGGCTCGTCTTTCATCTCACAACATGAAGGGATGTCTGAATCCCCTGTGGAGACCTTAGAGAAAGCCCTAGGTCCCTGCCTCATTTTGACGGAATGCCTCACATCCCGCTGACACCTCGAGAGGCACGTGGAGTTCATTGCTTCAAAAGGTGACGATGCCTGACTCCTCTTGAATACTGATAGGAATCCCAAAATCCCTGTGGCTACTGGAAAGGGTCCTTGGGTGCCCTGCCTCACCTCGAGAAGCGTCCCTTTGGCCCTGCCAAGCCTCGAAGAGATTCCTGAGGTGTCCCTCGTTACTAGACAGGAGTCCTGACGTCACTGAAGAAACTCGTGTTTTGAAGGGCCATCCCCGCCGTAAGTCGAGAACATACCCCAGGTCCCCGCCGCAACTCGAGAAAAACCATGAGACTTCCCCCTAGAGGCGAGATGAGGCCCCATTCCCCTGCAGTGCATGCAGAGCTATTCCGTGACCCCATTCAAACAAGTCAGGAGCTTCGACTTGCTTAATGGATCTCGAGACAGTCCCCAAGAACACTGTCACCAGTCTAGACGGACCCTGAGGTCACCCCAGCAACGCAAAGCAGCTCCATGTGCCCCAAATCAACTCGAGATGAGGCCTGATTCCCCTGCATTGACTCCAGAGCCATTCCCCGTTCCCCATTCAACACGACCGGTGGCTCGACTTCCTTCAGGCAACTCCAGAGATGCCCCGAGAACACTGTCCCAAGTCTAGAGGAACACCAACTTCAGCACAGCAACTCGAGGAATGCTCCGTGTACCCCAAATCGTCTCGAGATGCGAGCTGATTCCCTGGCTTAGGCTCTAGACGTATGCCAACTTCCCAGAAGCACCTCAGGAGGAGGCTTCTCTCAGCAATAGGTATGTGGGAGGGACCCCGAGTTTGCTGCCTCAAGGGGAATATACAGCGAGAAGCCCTAACTTGAAAGGAGGCCGGATTTCCTTGCAGTGGCTTGAATACAGGCTCGTCTTTCATCTCACAACATGAAGGGATGTCTGAATCCCCTGTGGAGACCTTAGAGAAAGCCCTAGGTCCCTGCCTCATTTTGACGGAATGCCTCACATCCCGCTGACACCTCGAGAGGCACGCGGAGTTCATTGCTTCAAAAGGTGACGATGCCTGACTCCTCTTGAATACTGATAGGAATCCCAAAATCCCTGTGGCTACTGGAAAGGGTCCTTGGGTGCCCTGCCTCACCTCGAGAAGCGTCCCTTTGGCCCTGCCAAGCCTCGAAGAGATTCCTGATGTGTCCCTCGTTACTAGACAGGAGTCCTGACGTCACTGAAGAAACTCGTGTTTTGAAGGGCCATCCCCGCCGTAAGTCGAGAACATACCCCAGGTCCCCGCCGCAACTCGAGAAAAACCATGAGACTTCCCCCTAGAGGCGAGATGAGGCCCCATTCCCCTGCAGTGCATGCAGAGCTATTCCGTGATCCCATTCAAACAAGTCAGGAGCTTCGACTTGCTTAATGGATCTCGAGACAGTCCCCAAGAACACTGTCACCAGTCTAGACGGACCCTGAGGTCACCCCAGCAACGCAAAGCAGCTCCATGTGCCCCAAATCAACTCGAGATGAGGCCCGATTCCCCTGCATTGACTCCAGAGCCATTCCCCGTTCCCCATTCAACACGACCGGTGGCTCGACTTCCTTCAGGCAACTCCAGAGATGCCCCGAGAACACTGTCCCAAGTCTAGAGGAACACCAACTTCAGCACAGCAACTCGAGGAATGCTCCGTGTACCCCAAATCGTCTCGAGATGCGAGCTGATTCCCTGGCTTAGGCTCAAGACGTATGCCAACTTCCCAGAAGCACCTCAGGAGGAGGCTTCTCTCAGCAATAGGTAAGTGGGAGGGACCCCGAGTTTGCTGCCTCAAGGGGCATATACAGCGAGAAGCCCTAACTTGAAAGGAGGCCGGATTTCCTTGCAGTGGCTTGAATACAGGCTCGTCTTTCATCTCACAACATGAAGGGATGTCTGAATCCCCTGTGGAGACCTTAGAGAAAGCCCTAGGTCCCTGCCTCATTTTGACGGAATGCCTCACATCCCGCTGACACCTCGAGAGGCACGCGGAGTTCATTGCTTCAAAAGGTGACGATGCCTGACTCCTCTTGAATACTGATAGGAATCCCAAAATCCCTGTGGCTACTGGAAAGGGTCCTTGGGTGCCCTGCCTCACCTCGAGAAGCGTCCCTTTGGCCCTGCCAAGCCTCGAAGAGATTCCTGAGGTGTCCCTCGTTACTAGACAGGAGTCCTGACGTCACTGAAGAAACTCGTGTTTTGAAGGGCCATCCCCGCCGTAAGTCGAGAACATACCCCAGGTCCCCGCCGCAACTCGAGAAAAACCATGAGACTTCCCCCTAGAGGCGAGATGAGGCCCCATTCCCCTGCAGTGCATGCAGAGCTATTCCGTGACCCCATTCAAACAAGTCAGGAGCTTCGACTTGCTTAATGGATCTCGAGACAGTCCCCAAGAACACTGTCACCAGTCTAGACGGACCCTGAGGTCACCCCAGCCACGCAAAGCAGCTCCATGTGCCCCAAATCAACTCGAGATGAGGCCCGATTCCCCTGCATTGACTCCAGAGCCATTCCCCGTTCCCCACTCAACACGACCGGTGGCTCGACTTCCTTCAGGCAACTCCAGAGATGCCCCGAGAACACTGTCCCAAGTCTAGAGGAACACCAACTTCAGCACAGCAACTCGAGGAATGCTCCGTGTACCCCAAATCGTCTCGAGATGCGAGCTGATTCCCTGGCTTAGGCTCAAGACGTATGCCAACTTTCCAGAAGCACCTCAGGAGGAGGCTTCTCTCAGCAATAGGTATGTGGGAGGGACCCCGAGTTTGCTGCCTCAAGGGGAATATACAGCGAGAAGCCCTAACTTGAAAGGAGGCCGGATTTCCTTGCAGTGGCTTGAATACAGGCTCGTCTTTCATCTCACAACATGAAGGGATGTCTGAATCCCCTGTGGAGACCTTAGAGAAAGCCCTAGGTCCCTGCCTCATTTTGACGGAATGCCTCACATCCCGCTGACACCTCGAGAGGCACGCGGAGTTCATTGCTTCAAAAGGTGACGATGCCTGACTCCTCTTGAATACTGATAGGAATCCCAAAATCCCTGTGGCTACTGGAAAGGGTCCTTGGGTGCCCTGCCTCACCTCGAGAAGCGTCCCTTTGGCCCTGCCAAGCCTCGAAGAGATTCCTGAGGTGTCCCTCGTTACTAGACAGGACTCCTGACGTCACTGAAGAAACTCGTGTTTTGAAGGGCCATCCCCGCCGTAAGTCGAGAACATACCCCAGGTCCCCGCCGCAACTCGAGAAAAACCATGAGACTTCCCCCTAGAGGCGAGATGAGGCCCCATTCCCCTGCAGTGCATGCAGAGCTATTCCGTGATCCCATTCAAACAAGGCAGGAGCTTCGACTTGCTTAATGGATCTCGAGACAGTCCCCAAGAACACTGTCACCAGTCCAGACGGACCCTGAGGTCACCCTAGCACCACAAAGCAGCTCCATGTGCCCCAAATCAACTCGAGATGAGGCCCGATTCCCCTGCATTGACTCCAGAGCCATTCCCCGTTCCCCATTCAACACGACCGGTGGCTCGACTTCCTTCAGGCAACTCCAGAAATGCCCCGAGAACACTGTCCCAAGTCTAGAGGAACACCAACTTCAGCACAGCAACTCGAGGAATGCTCCGTGTACCCCAAATCGTCTCGAGATGAGAGCTGATTCCCTGGCTTAGGCTCAAGACGTATGCCAACTTCCCAGAAGCACCTCAGGAGGAGGCTTCTCTCAGCAATAGGTATGTGGGAGGGACCCCGAGTTTGCTGCCTCAAGGGGAATATACAGCGAGAAGCCCTAACTTGAAAGGAGTCCGAATTTCCTTGCAGTGGCTTGAATACAGGCTCGTCTTTCATCTCACAACATGAAGGGATGTCTGAATCCCCTGTGGAGACCTTAGAGAAAGCCCTAGGTCCCTGCCTCATTTTGACGGAATGCCTCACATCCCGCTGACACCTCGAGAGGCACGCGGAGTTAATTGCTTCAAAAATGACGATGCCTGACTCCTCTTGAATACTGATAGGAATCCCAAAATCCCTGTGGCTACTGGAAAGGGTCCTTGGGTGCCCTGCCTCACCTCGAGAAGCATCCCTTTTGCCCTGGCAAGCCTCGAAGAGATTCCTGAGGTGTCCCTCGTTACTAGACAGGAGTCCTGACGTCACTGAAGAAACTCGTGTTTTGAAGGGCCATCCCCGCCGTAAGTCGAGAACATACCCCAGGTCCCCGCCGCAACTCGAGAAAAACCATGAGACTTCCCCCTAGAGGCGAGATGAGGCCCCATTCCCCTGCAGTGCATGCAGAGCTATTCCGTGATCCCATTCAAACAAGTCAGGAGCTTCGACTTGCTTAATGGATCTCGAGACAGTCCCCAAGAACACTGTCACCAGTCTAGACGGAACCTGAGGTCACCCCAGCAACGCAAAGCAGCTCCATGTGCCCCAAATCAACTCGAGATGGGGCCCGATTACCCTGCATTGACTCCAGAGCCATTCCTCGTTCCCCATTCAACACGACCGGTGGCTCGACTTCCTTCAGGCAACTCCAGAGATGCCCCGAGAACACTGTCCCAAGTCTAGAGGAACACCAACTTCAGCACAGCAACTCGAGGAATGCTCCGTGTACCCCAAATCGTCTCGAGATGAGAGCTGATTCCCTGGCTTAGGCTCAAGACGTATGCCAACTTTCCAGAAGCACCTCAGGAGGAGGCTTCTCTCAGCAATAGGTATGTGGGAGGGACCCCGAGTTTGCTGCCTCAAGGGGAATGTACCGCGAGAAGCCCTAACTTGAAAGGAGGCCGGATTTCCTTGCAGTGGCTTGAATACAGGCTCGTCTTTCATCTCACAATATGGAGGGATGTCTGAATCCCCTGTGGAGACCTTAGAGAAAGCCCTAGGTCCCTGCCTCATTTTGACGGAATGCCTCACATCCCGCTGACACCTCGAGAGGCACGCGGAGTTCATTGCTTCAAAAGGTGACGATGCCTGACTCCTCTTGAATACTGATAGGAATCCCAAAATCCCTGTGGCTACTGGAAAGGGTCCTTGGGTGCCCTGCCTCACCTCGAGAAGCATCCCTTTTGCCCTGCCAAGCCTCGAAGAGATTCCTGAGGTGTCCCTCGTTACTAGACAGGAGTCCTGATGTCACTGAAGAAACTCGTGGTTTGAAGGGCCATCCCCGCCGTAAGTCGAGGACATAGCCCAGGTCCCCATCGAAGGTCGAGAAAAACCATGAGACTTCCCCCTAGAGGGGAGATGAGGCCCCATTCCCCTGCAATGCATGCAGAGCTATTCCGTGATCACATTCAAACAAGTCAGGAGCTTCGACTTGCTTAATGGATCTCGAGACAGTCCCCAAGAACACTGTCACCAGTCTAGACGGACCCTGAGGTCACCCCAGCAACGCAAAGCAGCTCCATGTGCCCCAAATCAACTCGAGATGAGGCCCGATTCCGCTGCATTGACTCCAGAGCCATTCCCCGTTCCCCATTCAACACGACCGGTGGCTCGATTTCCTTCAGGCAACTCCAGAGATGCCCTGAGAACACTGTCCCAAGTCTAGAGGAACACCAACTTCAGCACAGCAACTCGAGGAATGATCCGTGTACCCCAAATCGTCTCGAGATGAGAGCTGATTCCCTGGCTTAGGTTCAAGACGTATGCCAACTTTCCAGAAGCACCTCAGGAGGAGGCTTCTCTCAGCAATAGGTATGTGGGAGGGACACCGAGTTTGCTGCCTCAAGGGGAATATACAGGGAGAAGCCCTAACTTGAAACGAGGCCAGATTTCCTTGCAGTGGCTTGAATACAGGCTCGTCTTTCATCTCACAACATGAAGGGATGTCTGAATCCCCTGTGGAGACCTTAGAGAAAGACCTAGGTCCCTGCCTCATTTTTACGGAATGCGTCACATCCCACTGACACCTCGAGAGGCACACGGAGTTCATTGCTTTAAAAGGTGACGATGTCTGACTCCTCTTGAATGCTGATAGGAATCCCAAAATCCCTGTGGCTACTGGAAAGGGTCCTTGGGTGCCCTGCCTCACCTCGAGAAGCGTCCCAATTGCCCTGCAAAGCCTCGAAGAGATTCCTGAGGTGTCCCTCGTTACTAGACAGGAGTCCTGACGTCACTGAAGAAACTCGTGTTCTGAAGGGCCAGCCCCGCCGTAAGTCGAGAACATACCCCAGGTCCCCGCCGCAACTCGAGAAAAACCATGAGACTTCCCCCTAGAGGCGAGATGAGGCCCCATTCCCCTGCAGTGCATGCAGAGCTATTCCGTGATCCCATTCAAACAAGTCAGGAGCTTCGACTTGCTTAATGGATCTCGAGAGAGTCCCCAAGAACACTGTTACCAGTGTAGACGGACCCTGAGGTCACCCCAGCAATGCAAAGCAGCTCCATGTGTCCCAAATCAACTCGAGATGAGGCCCGATTCCGCTGCATTGACTCCAGAGCCATTCCGCGTTCCCCATTCAACACGACCGGTGGCTCGACTTCCTTCAGGCAACTCCAGAGATGCCCCGAGAACACTGTCCCAAGTCTAGAGGAACACCAACTTCAGCACAGCAACTCGAAGTATGCTCCGTGTACCCCAAATCGTCTCGAGATGAAAGCTGATTCCCTGGCTTAGGCTCAAGACGTATGCCAACTTTCCAGAAGCACCTCAGGAGGAGGCTTCTCTCAGCAATAAGTATGTGGGAGGGACCCCGAGTTTGCTGCCTCAAGGGGAATATACCGCGAGAAGCCCTAACTTGAAAGGAGGCCGGATTTCCTTGCAGTGGCTTGAATACAGGCTCGTCTTTCATCTCACAATATGGAGGGATGTCTGAATCCCCTGTGTAGACCTTAGAGAAAGCCCTAGGTCCCTGCCTCATTTTGACGGAATGCCTCACATCCCGCTGACACCTCGAGAGGCACGCGGAGTTCATTGCTTCAAAAGGTGACGATGCCTGACTCCTCTTGAATACTGATAGGAATCCCAAAATCCCTGTGGCTACTGGAAAGGGTCCTTGGGTGCCCTGCCTCACCTCGAGAAGCGTCCCTTTTGCCCTGCCAAGCCTCGAAGAGATTCCTGAGGTGTCCCTCGTTACTAGACAGGAGTCCTGATGTCACTGAAGAAACTCGTGGTTTGAAGGGCCATCCCCGCCGTAAGTCGAGGACATAGCCCAGGTCCCCATCGCAAGTCGAGAAAAACCATGAGACTTCCCCCTAGAGGGGAGATGAGGCCCCATTCCCCTGCAATGCATGCAGAGCTATTCCGTGATCACATTCAAACAAGTCAGGAGCTTCGACTTGCTTAATGGATCTCGAGACAGTCCCCAAGAAGACTGTCACCAGTCTAGACGGACCCTGAGGTCACCCCAGCAACGCAAAGCAGCTCCATGTGCCCCAAATCAACTCGAGATGAGGCCCGATTCCGCTGCATTGACTCCAGAGTCTTTCCCCGTTCCCCATTCAACACGACCGGTGGCTCGACTTCCTTCAGACAACTCCAGAGATGCCCTGAGAACACTGTCCCAAGTCTAGAGGAACACCAACTTCAGCACAGCAACTCGAGGAATGATCCGTGTACCCCAAATCGTCTCGAGATGAGAGCTGATTCCCTGGCTTAGGTTCAAGACGTATGCCAACTTTCCAGAAGCACCTCAGGAGGAGGCTTCTCTCAGCAATAGGTATGTGGGAGGGACACCGAGTTTGCTGCCTCAAGGGGAATATACAGGGAGAAGCCCTAACTTGAAACGAGGCCAGATTTCCTTGCAGTGGCTTGAATACAGGCTCGTCTTTCATCTCACAACATGAAGGGATGTCTGAATCCCCTGTGGAGACCTTAGAGAAAGCCCTAGGTCCCTGCCTCATTTTTACGGAATGCGTCACATCCCGCTGACACCTCGAGAGGCACGCGGAGTTCACTGCTTTAAAAGGTGACGATGTCTGACTCCTCTTGAATGCTGATAGGAATCCCAAAATCCCTGTGGCTACTGGAAAGGGTCCTTGGGTGCCCTGCCTCACCTCGAGAAGCGTCCCATTTGCCCTGCCAAGCCTCGAAGAGATTCCTGAGGTGTCCCTCGTTACTAGACAGGAGTCCTGACGTCACTGAAGAAACTCGTGTTCTGAAGGGCCAGCCCCGCCGTAAGTCGAGAACATACCCCAGGTCCCCGCCGCAACTCGAGAAAAACCATGAGACTTCCCCCTAGAGGCGAGATGAGGCCCCATTCCCCTGCAGTGCATGCAGAGCTATTCCGTGATCCCATTCAAACAAGTCAGGAGCTTCGACTTGCTTAGTGGATCTCCAGACAGTCCCCAAGAACACTGTCACCAGTCCAGACGGACCCTGAGGTCACCCCAGCACCGCAAAGCAGCTCCATGTGCCCCAAATCAACTCGAGATGAGACCCGATTCCCCTGCATTGACTCCAGAGCCATTCCCCGTTCGCCATTCAACACGACCGGTGGCTCGACTTCCTTCAGGCAACTCCAGAAATGCCCCGAGAACACTGTCCCAAGTCTAGAGGAACACCAACTTCAGCACAGCAACTCGAGGAATGCTCCGTGTACCCCAAATCGTCTCGAGATGAGAGCTGATTCCCTGGCTTAGGCTCAAGACGTATGCCAACTTCCCAGAAGCACCTCAGGAGGAGGCTTCTCTCAGAAATAGGTATGTGGGAGGGACCCCGAGTTTGCTGCCTCAAGGGGAATATACAGCGAGAAGCCCTAACTTGAAAGGAGTCCGAATTTCCTTGCAGTGGCTTGAATACAGGCTCGTCTTTCATCTCACAACATGAAGGGATGTCTGAATCCCCTGTGGAGACCTTAGAGAAAGCCCTAGGTCCCTGCCTCATTTTGATGGAATGCCTCACATCCCGCTGACACCTCGAGAGGCACGCGGAGTTAATTGCTTCAAAAATGACGATGCCTGACTCCTCTTGAATACTGATAGGAATCCCAAAATCCCTGTGGCTACTGGAAAGGGTCCTTGGGTGCCCTGCCTCACCTCGAGAAGCATCCCTTTTGCCCTGGCAAGCCTCGAAGAGATTCCTGAGGTGTCCCTCGTTACTAGACAGGAGTCCTGACGTCACTGAAGAAACTCGTGTTTTGAAGGGCCATCCCCGCCGTAAGTCGAGAACATACCCCAGGTCCCCGCCGCAACTCGAGAAAAACCATGAGACTTCCCCCTAGAGGCGAGATGAGGCCCCATTCCCCTGCAGTGCATGCAGAGCTATTCCGTGATCCCATTCAAACAAGTCAGGAGCTTCGACTTGCTTAATGGATCTCGAGACAGTCCCCAAGAACACTGTCACCAGTCTAGACGGAACCTGAGGTCACCCCAGCAACGCAAAGCAGCTCCATGTGCCCCAAATCAACTCGAGATGGGGCCCGATTACCCTGCATTGACTCCAGAGCCATTCCTCGTTCCCCATTCAACACGACCGGTGGCTCGACTTCCTTCAGGCAACTCCAGAGATGCCCCGAGAACACTGTCCCAAGTCTAGAGGAACACCAACTTCAGCACAGCAACTCGAGGAATGCTCCGTGTACCCCAAATCGTCTCGAGATGAGAGCTGATTCCCTGGCTTAGGCTCAAGACGTATGCCAACTTTCCAGAAGCACCTCAGGAGGAGGCTTCTCTCAGCAATAGGTATGTGGGAGGGACCCCGAGTTTGCTGCCTCAAGGGGAATGTACCGCGAGAAGCCCTAACTTGAAAGGAGGCCGGATTTCCTTGCAGTGGCTTGAATACAGGCTCGTCTTTCATCTCACAATATGGAGGGATGTCTGAATCCCCTGTGGAGACCTTAGAGAAAGCCCTAGGTCCCTGCCTCATTTTGACGGAATGCCTCACATCCCGCTGACACCTCGAGAGGCACGCGGAGTTCATTGCTTCAAAAGGTGACGATGCCTGACTCCTCTTGAATACTGATAGGAATCCCAAAATCCCTGTGGCTACTGGAAAGGGTCCTTGGGTGCCCTGCCTCACCTCGAGAAGCATCCCTTTTGCCCTGCCAAGCCTCGAAGAGATTCCTGAGGTGTCCCTCGTTACTAGACAGGAGTCCTGATGTCACTGAAGAAACTCGTGGTTTGAAGGGCCATCCCCGCCGTAAGTCGAGGACATAGCCCAGGTCCCCATCGAAGGTCGAGAAAAACCATGAGACTTCCCCCTAGAGGGGAGATGAGGCCCCATTCCCCTGCAATGCATGCAGAGCTATTCCGTGATCACATTCAAACAAGTCAGGAGCTTCGACTTGCTTAATGGATCTCGAGACAGTCCCCAAGAACACTGTCACCAGTCTAGACGGACCCTGAGGTCACCCCAGCAACGCAAAGCAGCTCCATGTGCCCCAAATCAACTCGAGATGAGGCCCGATTCCGCTGCATTGACTCCAGAGCCATTCCCCGTTCCCCATTCAACACGACCGGTGGCTCGATTTCCTTCAGGCAACTCCAGAGATGCCCTGAGAACACTGTCCCAAGTCTAGAGGAACACCAACTTCAGCACAGCAACTCGAGGAATGATCCGTGTACCCCAAATCGTCTCGAGATGAGAGCTGATTCCCTGGCTTAGGTTCAAGACGTATGCCAACTTTCCAGAAGCACCTCAGGAGGAGGCTTCTCTCAGCAATAGGTATGTGGGAGGGACACCGAGTTTGCTGCCTCAAGGGGAATATACAGGGAGAAGCCCTAACTTGAAACGAGGCCAGATTTCCTTGCAGTGGCTTGAATACAGGCTCGTCTTTCATCTCACAACATGAAGGGATGTCTGAATCCCCTGTGGAGACCTTAGAGAAAGACCTAGGTCCCTGCCTCATTTTTACGGAATGCGTCACATCCCACTGACACCTCGAGAGGCACACGTAGTTCATTGCTTTAAAAGGTGACGATGTCTGACTCCTCTTGAATGCTGATAGGAATCCCAAAATCCCTGTGGCTACTGGAAAGGGTCCTTGGGTGCCCTGCCTCACCTCGAGAAGCGTCCCAATTGCCCTGCAAAGCCTCGAAGAGATTCCTGAGGTGTCCCTCGTTACTAGACAGGAGTCCTGACGTCACTGAAGAAACTCGTGTTCTGAAGGGCCAGCCCCGCCGTAAGTCGAGAACATACCCCAGGTCCCCGCCGCAACTCGAGAAAAACCATGAGACTTCCCCCTAGAGGCGAGATGAGGCCCCATTCCCCTGCAGTGCATGCAGAGCTATTCCGTGATCCCATTCAAACAAGTCAGGAGCTTCGACTTGCTTAATGGATCTCGAGAGAGTCCCCAAGAACACTGTTACCAGTGTAGACGGACCCTGAGGTCACCCCAGCAATGCAAAGCAGCTCCATGTGTCCCAAATCAACTCGAGATGAGGCCCGATTCCGCTGCATTGACTCCAGAGCCATTCCGCGTTCCCCATTCAACACGACCGGTGGCTCGACTTCCTTCAGGCAACTCCAGAGATGCCCCGAGAACACTGTCCCAAGTCTAGAGGAACACCAACTTCAGCACAGCAACTCGAAGTATGCTCCGTGTACCCCAAATCGTCTCGAGATGAAAGCTGATTCCCTGGCTTAGGCTCAAGACGTATGCCAACTTTCCAGAAGCACCTCAGGAGGAGGCTTCTCTCAGCAATAAGTATGTGGGAGGGACCCCGAGTTTGCTGCCTCAAGGGGAATATACCGCGAGAAGCCCTAACTTGAAAGGAGGCCGGATTTCCTTGCAGTGGCTTGAATACAGGCTCGTCTTTCATCTCACAATATGGAGGGATGTCTGAATCCCCTGTGTAGACCTTAGAGAAAGCCCTAGGTCCCTGCCTCATTTTGACGGAATGCCTCACATCCCGCTGACACCTCGAGAGGCACGCGGAGTTCATTGCTTCAAAAGGTGACGATGCCTGACTCCTCTTGAATACTGATAGGAATCCCAAAATCCCTGTGGCTACTGGAAAGGGTCCTTGGGTGCCCTGCCTCACCTCGAGAAGCGTCCCTTTTGCCCTGCCAAGCCTCGAAGAGATTCCTGAGGTGTCCCTCGTTACTAGACAGGAGTCCTGATGTCACTGAAGAAACTCGTGGTTTGAAGGGCCATCCCCGCCGTAAGTCGAGGACATAGCCCAGGTCCCCATCGCAAGTCGAGAAAAACCATGAGACTTCCCCCTAGAGGGGAGATGAGGCCCCATTCCCCTGCAATGCATGCAGAGCTATTCCGTGATCACATTCAAACAAGTCAGGAGCTTCGACTTGCTTAATGGATCTCGAGACAGTCCCCAAGAAGACTGTCACCAGTCTAGACGGACCCTGAGGTCACCCCAGCAACGCAAAGCAGCTCCATGTGCCCCAAATCAACTCGAGATGAGGCCCGATTCCGCTGCATTGACTCCAGAGTCTTGCCCCGTTCCCCATTCAACACGACCGGTGGCTCGACTTCCTTCAGACAACTCCAGAGATGCCCTGAGAACACTGTCCCAAGTCTAGAGGAACACCAACTTCAGCACAGCAACTCGAAGAATGATCCGTGTACCCCAAATCGTCTCGAGATGAGAGCTGATTCCCTGGCTTAGGTTCAAGACGTATGCCAACTTTCCAGAAGCACCTCAGGAGGAGGCTTCTCTCAGCAATAGGTATGTGGGAGGGACACCGAGTTTGCTGCCTCAAGGGGAATATACAGGGAGAAGCCCTAACTTGAAACGAGGCCAGATTTCCTTGCAGTGGCTTGAATACAGGCTCGTCTTTCATCTCACAACATGAAGGGATGTCTGAATCCCCTGTGGAGACCTTAGAGAAAGCCCTAGGTCCCTGCCTCATTTTTACGGAATGCGTCACATCCCGCTGACACCTCGAGAGGCACGCGGAGTTCACTGCTTTAAAAGGTGACGATGTCTGACTCCTCTTGAATGCTGATAGGAATCCCAAAATCCCTGTGGCTACTGGAAAGGGTCCTTGGGTGCCCTGCCTCACCTCGAGAAGCGTCCCATTTGCCCTGCCAAGCCTCGAAGAGATTCCTGAGGTGTCCCTCGTTACTAGACAGGAGTCCTGACGTCACTGAAGAAACTCGTGTTCTGAAGGGCCAGCCCCGCCGTAAGTCGAGAACATACCCCAGGTCCCCGCCGCAACTCGAGAAAAACCATGAGACTTCCCCCTAGAGGCGAGATGAGGCCCCATTCCCCTGCAGTGCATGCAGAGCTATTCCGTGATCCCATTCAAACAAGTCAGGAGCTTCGACTTGCTTAGTGGATCTCCAGACAGTCCCCAAGAACACTGTCACCAGTCCAGACGGACCCTGAGGTCACCCCAGCACCGCAAAGCAGCTCCATGTGCCCCAAATCAACTCGAGATGAGACCCGATTCCCCTGCATTGACTCCAGAGCCATTCCCCGTTCGCCATTCAACACGACCGGTGGCTCGACTTCCTTCAGGCAACTCCAGAAATGCCCCGAGAACACTGTCCCAAGTCTAGAGGAACACCAACTTCAGCACAGCAACTCGAGGAATGCTCCGTGTACCCCAAATCGTCTCGAGATGAGAGCTGATTCCCTGGCTTAGGCTCAAGACGTATGCCAACTTCCCAGAAGCACCTCAGGAGGAGGCTTCTCTCAGAAATAGGTATGTGGGAGGGACCCCGAGTTTGCTGCCTCAAGGGGAATATACAGCGAGAAGCCCTAACTTGAAAGGAGTCCGAATTTCCTTGCAGTGGCTTGAATACAGGCTCGTCTTTCATCTCACAACATGAAGGGATGTCTGAATCCCCTGTGGAGACCTTAGAGAAAGCCCTAGGTCCCTGCCTCATTTTGATGGAATGCCTCACATCCCGCTGACACCTCGAGAGGCACGCGGAGTTAATTGCTTCAAAAATGACGATGCCTGACTCCTCTTGAATACTGATAAGAATCCCAAAATCCCTGTGGCTACTGGAAAGGGTCATTGGGTGCCCTGCCTCACCTCGAGAAGCATCCCTTTTGCCCTGGCAAGCCTCGAAGAGATTCCTGAGGTGTCCCTCGTTACTAGACAGGAGTCCTGACATCACTGAAGAAACTCGTGGTTTGAAGGGCCATCCCCGCCGTAAGTCGAGAACATACCCCAGGTCCCCGCCGCAACTCGAGAAAAACCATGAGACTTCCCCCTATAGGCGAGATGAGGCCGCATTCCCCTGCAGTGCATGCAAAGCTATTCCGTGATCCCATTCAAACAAGTCAGGAGCTTCGTCTTGCTTAATGGGTCTAGAGAGAGTCCCCAAGAACACTGTCACCAGTCTAGACGGACCCTGTGGTCACCCCAGCAACGCAAAGCAACTCCATGTGCCCCAAAGCAACTCGAGATGAGGCCCGTTTCCCCTGCATTGACTCCAGAGCCATTCCCCGTTCCCCATTCAACACGACTGGTGGCTCGACTTCCTTCAGTCAACTCCAGAGATGCCCTGAGAACACTGTCCCAAGTCTAGAGGAACACCAACTTCAGCACAGCATCTCGAGGAATGCTCCGTGTACCCCAAATCGTCTCGAGATGAGAGCTGATTCCCTGGCTTAGGCTCAAGACGTATACCAACTCCCCAGAAGCACCTCAGGAGGAGGCTTCTCTCAGCAATAGGTATGTGGGAGGGACCCCGAGTTTGCTGCCTCAAGGGGAATATACAGCGAGAAGCCCTAACTTGAAAGGAGGCCGGATTTCCTTGCAGTGGCTTGAATACAGGCTCGTCTTTCATCTCACAACATGAAGGGATGTCTGAATGCCCTTTGGAGACCTTAGAGAAAGCCCTAGGTCCCTGCCTCATTTTGACGGAATGCCTCACATCCCGCTGACACCTCGAGAGGCACGCGGAGTTCATTGCTTCAAAAGGTGACGATGCCTGACTCCTCTTGAATACTGATAGGAATCCCAAAAATCCTGTGGCTACTGGAAAGGGTCCTTGGGTGCCCTGCCTCACCTCGAGAAGCGTCCCTTTTGCGTGCCAGGCCTCGAAGAGATTCCTGAGGTGTCCCTCTTTACTAGACAGGAGTCCTGACGTCACTGAAGAAACTCGTGTTTTGAAGGGCCATCCCCGCCGTAAGTCGAGAACATACCCCAGGTCGCTGCCGCAACTCGAGAAAAACCATGAGACTTCCCCCTAGAGGCGAGATGAGGCCCCATTCCCCTGCAGTGCATGCAGAGCTATTCCGTGATCCCATTCAAACAAGTCAGGAGCTTCGACTTGCTTAATGGATCTCGAGACAGTCCCCAAGAACACTGTCACCAGTGTAGACGGACCCTGAGGTCACCCCAGCAACGCAAAGCAGCTCCATGTGCCCCAAATCAACTCGAGATGAGGCCCGATTCCCCTGCATTGACTCCAGAGCCATTCCCCGTTCCCCATTCAACACGACCGGTGGCTCGACTTCTTTCAGGCAACTCCAGAGATGCCCCGAGAACACTGTCACAAGTCTAGAGGAACACCAACTTCAGCACAGCAACTCGAAGAATGCTCCGTGTACCCCAAATCGTCTCGAGATGAAAGCTGATTCCCTGGCTTAGGCTCAAGACGTATGCCAACTTTCCAGAAGCACCTCAGGAGGAGGCTTCTCTCAGCAATAGGTATGTGGGAGGGACCCCGAGTTTGCTGCCTCAAGGGGAATGTACCGCGAGAAGCCCTAACTTGAAAGGAGGCCGGATTTCCTTGCAGTGGCTTGAATACAGGCTCGTCTTTCATCTCACAATATGGAGGGATGTCTGAATCCCCTGTGGAGACCTTAGAGAAAGCCCTAGGTCCCTGCCTCATTTTGACGGAATGCCTCACATCCCGCTGACACCTCGAGAGGCACGCGGAGTTCATTGCTTCAAAAGGTGACGATGCCTGACTCCTCTTGAATACTGATAGGAATCCCAAAATCCCTGTGGCTACTGGAAAGGGTCCTTGGGTGCCCTGCCTCACCTCGAGAAGCATCCCTTTTGCCCTGCCAAGCCTCGAAGAGATTCCTGAGGTGTCCCTCGTTACTAGACAGGAGTCCTGATGTCACTGAAGAAACTCGTGGTTTGAAGGGCCATCCCCGCCGTAAGTCGAGGACATAGCCCAGGTCCCCATCGAAGGTCGAGAAAAACCATGAGACTTCCCCCTAGAGGGGAGATGAGGCCCCATTCCCCTGCAATGCATGCAGAGCTATTCCGTGATCACATTCAAACAAGTCAGGAGCTTCGACTTGCTTAATGGATCTCGAGACAGTCCCCAAGAACACTGTCACCAGTCTAGACGGACCCTGAGGTCACCCCAGCAACGCAAAGCAGCTCCATGTGCCCCAAATCAACTCGAGATGAGGCCCGATTCCGCTGCATTGACTCCAGAGCCATTCCCCGTTCCCAATTCAACACGACCGGTGGCTCGATTTCCTTCAGGCAACTCCAGAGATGCCCTGAGAACACTGTCCCAAGTCTAGAGGAACACCAACTTCAGCACAGCAACTCGAGGAATGATCCGTGTACCCCAAATCGTCTCGAGATGAGAGCTGATTCCCTGGCTTAGGTTCAAGACGTATGCCAACTTTCCAGAAGCACCTCAGGAGGAGGCTTCTCTCAGCAATAGGTATGTGGGAGGGACACCGAGTTTGCTGCCTCAAGGGGAATATACAGGGAGAAGCCCTAACTTGAAACGAGGCCAGATTTCCTTGCAGTGGCTTGAATACAGGCTCGTCTTTCATCTCACAACATGAAGGGATGTCTGAATCCCCTGTGGAGACCTTAGAGAAAGCCCTAGGTCCCTGCCTCATTTTTACGGAATGCGTCACATCCCACTGACACCTCGAGAGGCACACGGAGTTCATTGCTTTAAAAGGTGACGATGTCTGACTCCTCTTGAATGCTGATAGGAATCCCAAAATCCCTGTGGCTACTGGAAAGGGTCCTTGGGTGCCCTGCCTCACCTCGAGAAGCGTCCCAATTGCCCTGCAAAGCCTCGAAGAGATTCCTGAGGTGTCCCTCGTTACTAGACAGGAGTCCTGACGTCACTGAAGAAACTCGTGTTCTGAAGGGCCAGCCCCGCCGTAAGTCGAGAACATACCCCAGGTCCCCGCCGCAACTCGAGAAAAACCATGAGACTTCCCCCTAGAGGCGAGATGAGGCCCCATTCCCCTGCAGTGCATGCAGAGCTATTCCGTGATCCCATTCAAACAAGTCAGGAGCTTCGAATTGCTTAATGGATCTCGAGAGAGTCCCCAAGAACACTGTCACCAGTGTAGACGGACCCTGAGGTCACCCCAGCAATGCAAAGCAGCTCCATGTGTCCCAAATCAACTCGAGATGAGGCCCGATTCCGCTGCATTGACTCCAGAGCCATTCCGCGTTCCCCATTCAACACGACCGGTGGCTCGACTTCCTTCAGGCAACTCCAGAGATGCCCCGAGAACACTGTCCCAAGTCTAGAGGAACACCAACTTCAGCACAGCAACTCGAAGTATGCTCCGTGTACCCCAAATCGTCTCGAGATGAAAGCTGATTCCCTGGCTTAGGCTCAAGACGTATGCCAACTTTCCAGAAGCACCTCAGGAGGAGGCTTCTCTCAGCAACAAGTATGTGGGAGGGACCCCGAGTTTGCTGCCTCAAGGGGAATATACCGCGAGAAGCCCTAACTTGAAAGGAGGCCGGATTTCCTTGCAGTGGCTTGAATACAGGCTCGTCTTTCATCTCACAATATGGAGGGATGTCTGAATCCCCTGTGTAGACCTTAGAGAAAGCCCTAGGTCCCTGCCTCATTTTGACGGAATGCCTCACATCCCGCTGACACCTCGAGAGGCACGCGGAGTTCATTGCTTCAAAAGGTGACGATGCCTGACTCCTCTTGAATACTGATAGGAATCCCAAAATCCCTGTGGCTACTGGAAAGGGTCCTTGGGTGCCCTGCCTCACCTCGAGAAGCGTCCCTTTTGCCCTGCCAAGCCTCGAAGAGATTCCTGAGGTGTCCCTCGTTACTAGACAGGAGTCCTGATGTCACTGAAGAAACTCGTGGTTTGAAGGGCCATCCCCGCCGTAAGTCGAGGACATAGCCCAGGTCCCCATCGCAAGTCGAGAAAAACCATGAGACTTCCCCCTAGAGGGGAGATGAGGCCCCATTCCCCTGCAATGCATGCAGAGCTATTCCGTGATCACATTCAAACAAGTCAGGAGCTTCGACTTGCTTAATGGATCTCGAGACAGTCCCCAAGAAGACTGTCACCAGTCTAGACGGACCCTGAGGTCACCCCAGCAACGCAAAGCAGCTCCATGTGCCCCAAATCAACTCGAGATGAGGCCCGATTCCGCTGCATTGACTCCAGAGTCTTTCCCCGTTCCCCATTCAACACGACCGGTGGCTCGACTTCCTTCAGACAACTCCAGAGATGCCCTGAGAACACTGTCCCAAGTCTAGAGGAACACCAACTTCAGCACAGCAACTCGAGGAATGATCCGTGTACCCCAAATCGTCTCGAGATGAGAGCTGATTCCCTGGCTTAGGTTCAAGACGTATGCCAACTTTCCAGAAGCACCTCAGGAGGAGGCTTCTCTCAGCAATAGGTATGTGGGAGGGACACCGAGTTTGCTGCCTCAAGGGGAATATACAGGGAGAAGCCCTAACTTGAAACGAGGCCAGATTTCCTTGCAGTGGCTTGAATACAGGCTCGTCTTTCATCTCACAACATGAAGGGATGTCTGAATCCCCTGTGGAGACCTTAGAGAAAGCCCTAGGTCCCTGCCTCATTTTTACGGAATGCGTCACATCCCGCTGACACCTCGAGAGGCACGCGGAGTTCACTGCTTTAAAAGGTGACGATGTCTGACTCCTCTTGAATGCTGATAGGAATCCCAAAATCCCTGTGGCTACTGGAAAGGGTCCTTGGGTGCCCTGCCTCACCTCGAGAAGCGTCCCATTTGCCCTGCAAAGCCTCGAAGAGATTCCTGAGGTGTCCCTCGTTACTAGACAGGAGTCCTGACGTCACTGAAGAAACTCGTGTTCTGAAGGGCCAGCCCCGCCGTAAGTCGAGAACATACCCCAGGTCCCCGCCGCAACTCGAGAAAAACCATGAGACTTCCCCCTAGAGGCGAGATGAGGCCCCATTCCCCTGCAGTGCATGCAGAGCTATTCCGTGATCCCATTCAAACAAGTCAGGAGCTTCGACTTGCTTAGTGGATCTCCAGACAGTCCCCAAGAACACTGTCACCAGTCCAGACGGACCCTGAGGTCACCCCAGCACCGCAAAGCAGCTCCATGTGCCGCAAATCAACTCGAGATGAGACCCGATTCCCCTGCATTGACTCCAGAGCCATTCCCCGTTCGCCATTCAACACGACCGGTGGCTCGACTTCCTTCAGGCAACTCCAGAAATGCCCCGAGAACACTGTCCCAAGTCTAGAGGAACACCAACTTCAGCACAGCAACTCGAGGAATGCTCCGTGTACCCCAAATCGTCTCGAGATGAGAGCTGATTCCCTGGCTTAGGCTCAAGACGTATGCCAACTTCCCAGAAGCACCTCAGGAGGAGGCTTCTCTCAGCAATAGGTATGTGGGAGGGACCCCGAGTTTGCTGCCTCAAGGGGAATATACAGCGAGAAGCCCTAACTTGAAAGGAGTCCGAATTTCCTTGCAGTGGCTTGAATACAGGCTCGTCTTTCATCTCACAACATGAAGGGATGTCTGAATCCCCTGTGGAGACCTTAGAGAAAGCCCTAGGTCCCTGCCTCATTTTGATGGAATGCCTCACATCCCGCTGACACCGCGAGAGGCACGCGGAGTTAATTGCTTCAAAAATGACGATGCCTGACTCCTCTTGAATACTGATAAGAATCCCAAAATCCCTGTGGCTACTGGAAAGGGTCCTTGGGTGCCCTGCCTCACCTCGAGAAGCATCCCTTTTGCCCTGGCAAGCCTCGAAGAGATTCCTGAGGTGTCCCTCGTTACTAGACAGGAGTCCTGACATCACTGAAGAAACTCGTGGTTTGAAGGGCCATCCCCGCCGTAAGTCGAGAACATACCCCAGGTCCCCGCCGCAACTCGAGAAAAACCATGAGACTTCCCCCTATAGGCGAGATGAGGCCGCATTCCCCTGCAGTGCATGCAAAGCTATTCCGTGATCCCATTCAAACAAGTCAGGAGCTTCGTCTTGCTTAATGGGTCTAGAGACAGTCCCCAAGAACACTGTCACCAGTCTAGACGGACCCTGTGGTCACCCCAGCAACGCAAAGCAGCTCCATGTGCCCCAAAGCAACTCGAGATGAGGCCCGTTTCCCCTGCATTGACTCCAGAGCCATTCCCCGTTCCCCATTCAACACGACTGGTGGCTCGACTTCCTTCAGTCAACTCCAGAGATGCCCTGAGAACACTGTCCCAAGTCTAGAGGAACACCAACTTCAGCACAGCAACTCGAGGAATGCTCCGTGTACCCCAAATCGTCTCGAGATGAGAGCTGATTCCCTGGCTTAGGCTCAAGACGTATACCAACTCCCCAGAAGCACCTCAGGAGGAGGCTTCTCTCAGCAATAGGTATGTGGGAGGGACCCCGAGTTTGCTGCCTCAAGGGGAATATACAGCGAGAAGCCCTAACTTGAAAGGAGGCCGGATTTCCTTGCAGTGGCTTGAATACAGGCTCGTCTTTCATCTCACAACATGAAGGGATGTCTGAATGCCCTTTGGAGACCTTAGAGAAAGCCCTAGGTCCCTGCCTCATTTTGACGGAATGCCTCACATCCCGCTGACACCTCGAGAGGCACGCGGAGTTCATTGCTTCAAAAGGTGACGATGCCTGACTCCTCTTGAATACTGATAGGAATCCCAAAAATCCTGTGGCTACTGGAAAGGGTCCTTGGGTGCCCTGCCTCACCTCGAGAAGCGTCCCTTTTGCGTGCCAAGCCTCGAAGAGATTCCTGAGGTGTCCCTCTTTACTAGACAGGAGTCCTGACGTCACTGAAGAAACTCGTGTTTTGAAGGGCCATCCCCGCCGTAAGTCGAGAACATACCCCAGGTCGCTGCCGCAACTCGAGAAAAACCATGAGACTTCCCCCTAGAGGCGAGATGAGGCCCCATTCCCCTGCAGTGCATGCAGAGCTATTCCGTGATCCCATTCAAACAAGTCAGGAGCTTCGACTTGCTTAATGGATCTCGAGACAGTCCCCAAGAACACTGTCACCAGTGTAGACGGACCCTGAGGTCACCCCAGCAACGCAAAGCAGCTCCATGTGCCCCAAATCAACTCGAGATGAGGCCCGATTCCCCTGCATTGACTCCAGAGCCATTCCCCGTTCCCCATTCAACACGACCGGTGGCTCGACTTCCTTCAGGCAACTCCAGAGATGCCCCGAGAACACTGTCACAAGTCTAGAGGAACACCAACTTCAGCACAGCAACTCGAAGAATGCTCCGTGTACCCCAAATCGTCTCGAGATGAAAGCTGATTCCCTGGCTTAGGCTCAAGACGTATGCCAACTTTCCAGAAGCACCTCAGGAGGAGGCTTCTCTCAGCAATAGGTATGTGGGAGGGACCCCGAGTTTGCTGCCTCAAGGGGAATGTACCGCGAGAAGCCCTAACTTGAAAGGAGGCCGGATTTCCTTGCAGTGGCTTGAATACAGGCTCGTCTTTCATCTCACAATATGGAGGGATGTCTGAATCCCCTGTGGAGACCTTAGAGAAAGCCCTAGGTCCCTGCCTCATTTTGACGGAATGCCTCACATCCCGCTGACACCTCGAGAGGCACGCGGAGTTCATTGCTTCAAAAGGTGACGATGCCTGACTCCTCTTGAATACTGATAGGAATCCCAAAATCCCTGTGGCTACTGGAAAGGGTCCTTGGGTGCCCTGCCTCACCTCGAGAAGCATCCCTTTTGCCCTGCCAAGCCTCGAAGAGATTCCTGAGGTGTCCCTCGTTACTAGACAGGAGTCCTGATGTCACTGAAGAAACTCGTGGTTTGAAGGGCCATCCCCGCCGTAAGTCGAGGACATAGCCCAGGTCCCCATCGAAGGTCGAGAAAAACCATGAGACTTCCCCCTAGAGGGGAGATGAGGCCCCATTCCCCTGCAATGCATGCAGAGCTATTCCGTGATCACATTCAAACAAGTCAGGAGCTTCGACTTGCTTAATGGATCTCGAGACAGTCCCCAAGAACACTGTCACCAGTCTAGACGGACCCTGAGGTCACCCCAGCAACGCAAAGCAGCTCCATGTGCCCCAAATCAACTCGAGATGAGGCCCGATTCCGCTGCATTGACTCCAGAGCCATTCCCCGTTCCCCATTCAACACGACCGGTGGCTCGATTTCCTTCAGGCAACTCCAGAGATGCCCTGAGAACACTGTCCCAAGTCTAGAGGAACACCAACTTCAGCACAGCAACTCGAGGAATGATCCGTGTACCCCAAATCGTCTCGAGATGAGAGCTGATTCCCTGGCTTAGGTTCAAGACGTATGCCAACTTTCCAGAAGCACCTCAGGAGGAGGCTTCTCTCAGCAATAGGTATGTGGGAGGGACACCGAGTTTGCTGCCTCAAGGGGAATATACAGGGAGAAGCCCTAACTTGAAACGAGGCCAGATTTCCTTGCAGTGGCTTGAATACAGGCTCTTCTTTCATCTCACAACATGAAGGGATGTCTGAATCCCCTGTGGAGACCTTAGAGAAAGCCCTAGGTCCCTGCCTCATTTTGACGGAATGCCTCACATCCCGCTGACACCTCGAGAGGCACGCGGAGTTCATTGCTTCAAAAGGTGACGATGCCTGACTCCTCTTGAATACTGATAGGAATCCCAAAAATCCTGTGGCTACTGGAAAATGTCCTTGGGTGCCCTGCCTCACCTCGAGAAGCGTCCCTTTTGCGTGCCAAGCCTCGAAGAGATTCCTGAGGTGTCCCTCTTTACTAGACAGGAGTCCTGACGTCACTGAAGAAACTCGTGTTTTGAAGGGCCATCCCCGCCGTAAGTCGAGAACATACCCCAGGTCGCTGCCGCAACTCGAGAAAAACCATGAGACTTCCCCCTAGAGGCGAGATGAGGCCCCATTCCCCTGCAGTGCATGCAGAGCTATTCCGTGATCCCATTCAAACAAGTCAGGAGCTTCGACTTGCTTAATGGATCTCGAGACAGTCCCCAAGAACACTGTCACCAGTGTAGACGGACCCTGAGGTCACCCCAGCAACGCAAAGCAGCTCCATGTGCCCCAAATCAACTCGAGATGAGGCCCGATTCCCCTGCATTGACTCCAGAGCCATTCCCCGTTCCCCATTCAACACGACCGGTGGCTCGACTTCCTTCAGGCAACTCCAGAGATGCCCCGAGAACACTGTCACAAGTCTAGAGGAACACCAACTTCAGCACAGCAACTCGAAGAATGCTCCGTGTACCCCAAATCGTCTCGAGATGAAAGCTGATTCCCTGGCTTAGGCTCAAGACGTATGCCAACTTTCCAGAAGCACCTCAGGAGGAGGCTTCTCTCAGCAATAGGTATGTGGGAGGGACCCCGAGTTTGCTGCCTCAAGGGGAATGTACCGCGAGAAGCCCTAACTTGAAAGGAGGCCGGATTTCCTTGCAGTGGCTTGAATACAGGCTCGTCTTTCATCTCACAATATGGAGGGATGTCTGAATCCCCTGTGGAGACCTTAGAGAAAGCCCTAGGTCCCTGCCTCATTTTGACGGAATGCCTCACATCCCGCTGACACCTCGAGAGGCACGCGGAGTTCATTGCTTCAAAAGGTGACGATGCCTGACTCCTCTTGAATACTGATAGGAATCCCAAAATCCCTGTGGCTACTGGAAAGGGTCCTTGGGTGCCCTGCCTCACCTCGAGAAGCATCCCTTTTGCCCTGCCAAGCCTCGAAGAGATTCCTGAGGTGTCCCTCGTTACTAGACAGGAGTCCTGATGTCACTGAAGAAACTCGTGGTTTGAAGGGCCATCCCCGCCGTAAGTCGAGGACATAGCCCAGGTCCCCATCGAAGGTCGAGAAAAACCATGAGACTTCCCCCTAGAGGGGAGATGAGGCCCCATTCCCCTGCAATGCATGCAGAGCTATTCCGTGATCACATTCAAACAAGTCAGGAGCTTCGACTTGCTTAATGGATCTCGAGACAGTCCCCAAGAACACTGTCACCAGTCTAGACGGACCCTGAGGTCACCCCAGCAACGCAAAGCAGCTCCATGTGCCCCAAATCAACTCGAGATGAGGCCCGATTCCGCTGCATTGACTCCAGAGCCATTCCCCGTTCCCCATTCAACACGACCGGTGGCTCGATTTCCTTCAGGCAACTCCAGAGATGCCCTGAGAACACTGTCCCAAGTCTAGAGGAACACCAACTTCAGCACAGCAACTCGAGGAATGATCCGTGTACCCCAAATCGTCTCGAGATGAGAGCTGATTCCCTGGCTTAGGTTCAAGACGTATGCCAACTTTCCAGAAGCACCTCAGGAGGAGGCTTCTCTCAGCAATAGGTATGTGGGAGGGACACCGAGTTTGCTGCCTCAAGGGGAATATACAGGGAGAAGCCCTAACTTGAAACGAGGCCAGATTTCCTTGCAGTGGCTTGAATACAGGCTCTTCTTTCATCTCACAACATGAAGGGATGTCTGAATCCCCTGTGGAGACCTTAGAGAAAGCCCTAGGTCCCTGCCTCATTTTTACGGAATGCGTCACATCCCACTGACACCTCGAGAGGCACACGGAGTTCATTGCTTTAAAAGGTGACGATGTCTGACTCCTCTTGAATGCTGATAGGAATCCCAAAATCCCTGTGGCTACTGGAAAGGGTCCTTGGGTGCCCTGCCTCACCTCGAGAAGCGTCCCATTTGCACTGCAAAGCCTCGAAGAGATTCCTGAGGTGTCCCTCGTTACTAGACAGGAGTCCTGACGTCACTGAAGAAACTCGTGTTCTGAAGGGCCAGCCCCGCCGTAAGTCGAGAACATACCCCAGGTCCCCGCCGCAACTCGAGAAAAACCATGAGACTTCCCCCTAGAGGCGAGATGAGGCCCCATTCCCCTGCAGTGCATGCAGAGCTATTCCGTGATCCCATTCAAACAAGTCAGGAGCTTCGACTTGCTTAATGGATCTCCAGACAGTCCCCAAGAACACTGTCACCAGTCCAGACGGACCCTGAGGTCACCCCAGCACCGCAAAGCAGCTCCATGTGCCCCAAATCAACTCGAGATGAGACCCGATTCCCCTGCATTGACTCCAGAGCCATTCCCCGTTCCCCATTCAACACGACCGGTGGCTCGACTTCCTTCAGGCAACTCCAGAGATGCCCCGAGAACACTGTCCCAAGTCTAGAGGAACACCAACTTCAGCACAGCAACTCGAGGAATGCTCCGTGTACCCCAAATCGTCTCGAGATGAGAGCTGATTCCCTGGCTTAGGCTCAAGACGTATGCCAACTTCCCAGAAGCACCTCAGGAGGAGGCTTCTCTCAGAAATAGGTATGTGGGAGGGACCCCGAGTTTGCTGCCTCAAGGGGAATATACAGCGAGAAGCCCTAACTTGAAAGGAGTCCGAATTTCCTTGCAGTGGCTTGAATACAGGCTCGTCTTTCATCTCACAACATGAAGGGATGTCTGAATCCCCTGTGGAGACCTTAGAGAAAGCCCTAGGTCCCTGCCTCATTTTGATGGAATGCCTCACATCACGCTGACACCTCGAGAGGCACGCGGAGTTAATTGCTTCAAAAATGACGATGCCTGACTCCTCTTGAATACTGATAAGAATCCCAAAATCCCTGTGGCTAATGGAAAGGGTCCTTGGGTGCCCTGCCTCACCTCGAGAAGCATCCCTTTTGCCCTGGCAAGCCTCGAAGAGATTCCTGAGGTGTCCCTCGTTACTAGACAGGAGTCCTGACGTCACTGAAGAAACTCGTGGTTTGAAGGGCCATCCCCGCCGTAAGTCGAGAACATACCCCAGGTCCCCGCCGCAACTCGAGAAAAACCATGAGACTTCCCCCTATAGGCGAGATGAGGCCGCATTCCCCTGCAGTGCATGCAGAGCTATTCCGTGATCCCATTCAAACAAGTCAGGAGCTTCGTCTTGCTTAATGGGTCTAGAGACAGTCCCCAAGAACACTGTCTCCAGTCTAGACGGACCCTGTGGTCACCCCAGCAACGCAAAGCAGCTCCATGTGCCCCAAAGCAACTCGAGATGAGGCCCGTTTCCCCTGCATTGACTCCAGAGCCATTCCCCGTTCCCCATTCAACACGACTGGTGGCTCGACTTCCTTCAGGCAACTCCAGAGATGCCCTGAGAACACTGTCCCAAGTCTAGAGGAACACCAACTTCAGCACAGCAACTCGAGGAATGCTCCGTGTACCCCAAATCGTCTCGAGATGAGAGCTGATTCCCTGGCTTAGGCTCAAGACGTATACCAACTCCCCAGAAGCACCTCAGGAGGAGGCTTCTCTCAGCAATAGGTATGTGGGAGGGACCCCGAGTTTGCTGCCTCAAGGGGAATATACAGGGAGAAGCCTTAACTTGAAAGGAGGCCGGATTTCCTTGCAGTGGCTTGAATACAGGCTCGTCTTTCATCTCACAACATGAAGGGATGTCTGAATGCCCTTTGGAGACCTTAGAGAAAGCCCTAGGTCCCTGCCTCATTTTGACGGAATGCCTCACATCCCGCTGACACCTCGAGAGGCACGCGGAGTTCATTGCTTCAAAAGGTGACGATGCCTGACTCCTCTTGAATACTGATAGGAATCCCAAAAATCCTGTGGCTACTGGAAAGGGTCCTTGGGTGCCCTGCCTCACCTCGAGAAGCGTCCCTTTTGCGTGCCAAGCCTCGAAGAGATTCCTGAGGTGTCCCTCTTTACTAGACAGGAGTCCTGACGTCACTGAAGAAACTCGTGTTTTGAAGGGCCATCCCCGCCGTAAGTCGAGAACATACCCCAGGTCGCTGCCGCAACTCGAGAAAAACCATGAGACTTCCCCCTAGAGGCGAGATGAGGCCCCATTCCCCTGCAGTGCATGCAGAGCTATTCCGTGATCCCATTCAAACAAGTCAGGAGCTTCGACTTGCTTAATGGATCTCGAGACAGTCCCCAAGAACACTGTCACCAGTGTAGACGGACCCTGAGGTCACCCCAGCAACGCAAAGCAGCTCCATGTGCCCCAAATCAACTCGAGATGAGGCCCGATTCCCCTGCATTGACTCCAGAGCCATTCCCCGTTCCCCATTCAACACGACCGGTGGCTCGACTTCCTTCAGGCAACTCCAGAGATGCCCCGAGAACACTGTCACAAGTCTAGAGGAACACCAACTTCAGCAGAGCAACTCGAAGAATGCTCCGTGTACCCCAAATCGTCTCGAGATGAAAGCTGATTCCCTGGCTTAGGCTCAAGACGTATGCCAACTTTCCAGAAGCACCTCAGGAGGAGGCTTCTCTCAGCAATAGGTATGTGGGAGGGACCCCAAGTTTGCTGCCTCAAGGGGAATGTACCGCGAGAAGCCCTAACTTGAAAGGAGGCCGGATTTCCTTGCAGTGGCTTGAATACAGGCTCGTCTTTCATCTCACAATATGGAGGGATGTCTGAATCCCCTGTGGAGACCTTAGAGAAAGCCCTAGGTCCCTGCCTCATTTTGACGGAATGCCTCACATCCCGCTGACACCTCGAGAGGCACGCGGAGTTCATTGCTTCAAAAGGTGACGATGCCTGACTCCTCTTGAATACTGATAGGAATCCCAAAATCCCTGTGGCTACTGGAAAGGGTCCTTGGGTGCCCTGCCTCACCTCGAGAAGCGTCCCTTTTGCCCTGCCAAGCCTCGAAGAGATTCCTGAGGTGTCCCTCGTTACTAGACAGGAGTCCTGATGTCACTGAAGAAACTCGTGGTTTGAAGGGCCATCCCCGCCGTAAGTCGAGGACATAGCCCAGGTCCCCATCGCAAGTCGAGAAAAACCATGAGACTTCCCCCTAGAGGGGAGATGAGGCCCCATTAACCTGCAATGCATGCAGAGCTATTCCGTGATCACATTCAAACAAGTCAGGAGCTTCGACTTGCTTAATGGATCTCGAGACAGTCCCCAAGAACACTGTCACCAGTCTAGACGGACCCTGAGGTCACCCCAGCAACGCAAAGCAGCTCCATGTGCCCCAAATCAACTCGAGATGAGGCCCGATACCGCAGCATTGACTCCAGAGCCATTCCCCGTTCCCCATTCAACACGACCGGTGGCTCGATTTCCTTCAGGCAACTCCAGAGATGCCCCGAGAACACTGTCCCAAGTCTAGAGGAACACCAACTTCAGCACAGCAACTCGAGGAATGATCCGTGTACCCCAAATCGTCTCGAGATGAGAGCTGATTCCCTGGCTTAGGTTCAAGACGTATGCCAACTTTCCTGAATCACCTCAGGAGGAGGCTTCTCTCAGCAATAGGTATGTGGGAGGGACCCCGAGTTTGCTGCCTGAAGGGGAATATACAGCGAGAAGCCCTAACTTGAAACGAGGCCAGATTTCCTTGCAGTGGCTTGAATACAGGCTCGTCTTTCATCTCACAACATGAAGGGATGTCTGAATCCCCTGTGGAGACCTTAGAGAAAGCCCTAGGTCCCTGCCTCATTTTTACGGAATGCCTCACATCCCGCTGACACCTCGAGAGGCACGCGGAGTTCATTGCTTTAAAAGGTGACGATGCCTGACTCCTCTTGAATGCTGATAGCAATCCCAAAATCCCTGTGGCTACTGGAAAGGGTCCTTGGGTGCCCTGCCTCACCTCGAGAAGCGTCCCATTTGCCCTGCAAAGCCTCGAAGAGATTCCTGAGGTGTCCCTCGTTACTAGACAGGAGTCCTGACGTCACTGAAGAAACTCGTGTTCTGAAGGGCAAGCCCCGCCGTAAGTCGAGAACATACCCCAGGTCCCCGCCGCAACTCGAGAAAAACCATGAGACTTCCCCCTAGAGGCGAGATGAGGCCCCATTCCCCTGCAGTGCATGCAGAGCTATTCCGTGATCCCATTCAAACAAGTCAGGAGCTTCGACTTGCTTAATGGATCTCCAGACAGCCCCAAGAACACTGTCACCAGTCCAGACGGACCCTGAGGTCACCCCAGCACCGCAAAGCAGCTCCATGTGCCGCAAATCAACTCGAGATGAGACCCGATTCCCCTGCATTGACTCCAGAGCCATTCCCCGTTCCCCATTCAACACGACCGGTGGCTCGACTTCCTTCAGGCAACTCCAGAAATGCCCCGAGAACACTGTCCCAAGTCTAGAGGAACACCAACTTCAGCACAGCAACTCGAGGAATGCTCCGTGTACCCCAAATCGTCTCGAGATGAGAGCTGATTACCTAGCTTAGGCTCAAGACGTATGCCAACTTCCCAGAAGCACCTCAGGAGGAGGCTTCTCTCAGAAATAGGTATGTGGGAGGGACCCCGAGTTTGCTGCCTCAAGGGGAATATACAGCGAGAAGCCCTAACTTGAAAGGAGTCCGAATTTCCTTGCAGTGGCTTGAATACAGGCTCGTCTTTCATCTCACAACATGAAGGGATGTCTGAATCCCCTGTGGAGACCTTAGAGAAAGCCCTAGGTCCCTGCCTCATTTTTACGGTATGCCTCACATCCCGCTGACACCTCGAGAGGCACGCGGAGTTCATTGCTTCAAAAGGTGACGATGCCTGACTCCTCTTGAATGCTGATAGCAATCCCAAAATCCCTGTGGCTACTGGAAAGGGTCCTTGGGTGCCCTGCCTCACCTCGAGAAGCGCCCCATTTGCCCTGCAAAGCCTCGAAGAGATTCCTGAGGTGTCCCTCGTTACTAGACAGGAGTCCTGACGTCACTGAAGAAACTCGTGTTCTGAAGGGCCAGCCCCGCCGTAAGTCGGGAACATACCCCAGGTCCCCGCCGCAACTCGAGAAAAACCATGAGACTTCCCCCTAGAGGCGAGATGAGGCCCCATTCCCCTGCAGTGCATGCAGAGCTATTCCGTGATCCCATTCAAACAAGTCAGGAGCTTCGACTTGCTTAATGGATCTCCAGACAGCCCCAAGAACACTGTCACCAGTCCAGACGGACCCTGAGGTCACCCCAGCACCGCAAAGCAGCTCCATGTGCCGCAAATCAACTCGAGATGAGACCCGATTCCCCTGCATTGACTCCAGAGCCATTCCCCGTTCCCCATTCAACACGACCGGTGGCTCGACTTCCTTCAGGCAACTCCAGAAATGCCCCGAGAACACTGTCCCAAGTCTAGAGGAACACCAACTTCAGCACAGCAACTCGAGGAATGCTCCGTGTACCCCAAATCGTCTCGAGATGAGAGCTGATTCCCTCGCTTAGGCTCAAGACGTATGCCAACTTCCCAGAAGCACCTCAGGAGGAGGCTTCTCTCAGAAATAGGTATGTGGGAGGGACCCCGAGTTTGCTGCCTCAAGGGAAATATACAGCGAGAAGCCCTAACTTGAAAGGAGTCCGAATTTCCTTGCAGTGGCTTGAATACAGGCTCGTCTTTCATCTCACAACATGAAGGGATGTCTGAATCCCCTGTGGAGACCTTAGAGAAAGCCCTAGGTCCCTGCCTCATTTTGATGGAATGCCTCACATCCCGCTGACACCTCGAGAGGCACGCGGAGTTAGTTGCTTCAAAAATGACGATGCCTGACTCCTCTTGAATACTGATAAGAATCCCAAAATCCCTGTGGCTACTGGAAAGGGTCCTTGGGTGCCCTGCCTCATCTCGAGAAGCATCCCTTTTGCCCTGGCAAGCCTCGAAATATTCCTGAGGTGTCCCTCGTTACTAGACAGGAGTCCTGACGTCACTGAAGAAACTCGTGGTTTGAAGGGCCATCCCCGCCGTAAGTCGAGAACATACCCCAGGTCCCCGCCGCAACTCGAGAAAAACCATGAGACTTCCCCCTAGAGGCGAGATGAGGCCGCATTCCCCTGCAGTGCATGCAGAGCTATTCCGTGATCCCATTCAAACAAGTCAGGAGCTTCGACTTGCTTAGTGGATCTCGAGACAGTCCCCAAGAACACTGTCACCAGTCTAGACGGACCCTGAGGTCACCCCAGCAATGCAAAGCAGCTCCATGTGCCCCAAATCAACTCGAGATGGGGCCCGATTCCCCTGCATTGACTCCAGAGCCATTCCTCGTTCCCCATTCAACACGACCCGTGGCTCGACTTCCTTCAGGAAACTCCAGAGATGCCCCAAGAACACTGTCCCAAGTCTAGAGGAACACCAACTTCAGCACAGCAACTCGAGGAATGTTCCGTGTACCCCAAATCGTCTCGAGATGAGAGCTGATTCCCTGGCTTAGGCTCAAGACGTATGCCAACTTTCCAGAAGCACCTCAGGAGGAGGCTTCTCTCAGCAATAGGTATGTGGGAGGGACCCCGAGTTTGCTGCCTCAAGGGGAATATACCGCGAGAAGCCCTAACTGAAAGGAGGCCGGATTTCCTTGCAGGGGCTTGAATACAGGCTCGTCTTTCATCTCACAACATGAAGGGATGTCTGAATCCCCTGTGGAGACCTTAGAGAAAGCCCTAGGTCCCTGCCTCATTTTGACGGAATGCCTCACATCCCGCTGACACCTCGAGAGGCACGCGGAGTTCATTGCTTCAAAAGGTGACGATGCCTGACTCCTCTTGAATACTGATAGAAATCCCAAAATCCATGTGGCTACTGGAAAGGGTCCTTGGGTGCCCTGCCTCACCTCGAGAAGCGTCCCTTTTGCCCTGCCAAGCCTCGACGAGATTCCTGAGGTGTCCCTCGTTACTAGACAGGAGTCTTGACGTCACTGAAGAAACTCGTGTTTTGAAGGGCCATCCCCGCCGTAAGTCGAGAACATACCCCAGGTCCCTGCCGCAACTCGAGAAAAACCATGAGACTTCCCACTGGAGGAGAGATGAGGCCCCATTCCCCTGCAGTGCATGCAGAGCTATTCCGTGATCCCATTCAAACAAGTCAGGAGCTTCGACTTGCTTAATGGATCTCGAGACAGTCCCCAAGAACACTGTCACCAGTCTAGACGGACCCTGAGGTCACCCCAGCAACGCAAAGCAGCTCCATGTGCCCCAAATCAACTCGAGATGAGGCCCGATTCCCCTGCATTGACTCCAGAGCCATTCCCCGTTCCCCATTCAACACGACCAGTGGCTCGACTTCTTTCAAGCAACTCCAGAGATGCCCTGAGAACACTGTCCCAAGTCTAGAGGAACACCAACTTCAGCACAGCAACTCGAAGAATGCTCCGTGTACCCCAAATCGTCTCGAGATGAGAGCTGATTCCCTGGCTTAGGCTCAAGACGTATGCCAACTTTCCAGAAGCACCTCAGGAGGAGGCTTCTCTCAGCAATAGGTATGTGGGAGGGACCCCGAGTTTGCTGCCACAAGGGGAATATACCGCGAGAAGCCCTAACTTGAAAGGAGGCCGGATTTCCTTGCAGGGGCTTGAATACAGGCTAGTCTTTCATCTCACAACATGAAGGGATGTCTGAATCTCCTGTGGAGACCTTAGAGAAAGCCCTAGGTCCCTGCCTCATTTTGACCTAATGCCTCACATCCCGCTGACACCTCGAGAGGCACTTGGAGTTCATTGCTTCAAAATGTGACGATGCCTGACTCTTCTTGAATACTGATAGCAATCCCAAAATCCCTGTGGCTACTGGAAAGGGTCCTTGGATGCCCTGCCTCACCTCGAGAAGCGTCCCTTTTGCCCTGCCAAGCCTCAAAGAGATTCCTGAGGTGTCCCTCGTTACTAGACAGGAGTCTTGACGTCACTGAAGAAACTCGTGTTTTGAAGGGCCATCCCCGCCGTAAGTCGAGAACATAGCCCAGGTCTCTGCCGCAACTCGAGAAAAACCATGAGACTTCCCCCTGGAGGGGAGATGAGGCCCCATTCCCCTGCAGTGCATGCAGAGCTATTCCGTGATCCCATTCAAACAAGTCAGGAGCTTCGACTTGCTTAATGGTTCTCGAGACAGTCCCCAAGAACACTGTCACCAGTCTAGACGGACCCTGAGGTCAACCCAGCAACGCAAAGCAGCTCCATATGCCCAAAATCAACTCGAGATGAGACCCGATTCCCCTGCATTGACTCCAGAGCCATTCCCCGTTCCCCATTCAACACGACCGGTGGCTCCACTTCTTTCAAGCAACTCCAGAGATGCCCCGAGAACACTGTCCCAAGTCTAGAGGAACACCAACTTCAGCACAGCAACTAGAAGAATGCTCCGTGTACCCCAAATCGTCTCGAGATGAGAGCTGATTCCCTGGCTTAGGCTCAAGACGTATGCCAACTTTCCAGAAGCACCTCAGGAGGAGGCTTCTCTCAGCAATAGGTATGTGGGAGGGACCCCGAGTTTGCTGCCACAAGGGGAATATACCGCGAGAAGCCCTAACTTGAAAGGAGGCCGGATTTCCTTGCAGTGGCTTGAATACAGGCTCGTCTTTCATCTCACAATATGGAGGGATGTCTGAATCCCCTGTGTAGACCTTAGAGAAAGCCCTAGGTCCCTGCCTCATTTTGACGGAATGCCACACATCCCGCTGACACCTCGAGAGGCACGCGGAGTTCATTGCTTCAAAAGGTGACGATGCCTGACTCCTCTTGAATACTGATAGGAATCCCAAAATCCCTGTGGCTACTGGAAAGGGTCCTTGGGTGCCCTGCCTCACATCGAGAAGCATCCCTTTTGCCCTGCCAAGCCTCGAAGAGATTCCTGAGGTGTCCCTCGTTACTAGACAGGACTCCTGACGTCACTGAAGAAACTCGTGTTTTGAAGGGCCATCCCCGCCGTAAGTCGAGAACATACCCCAGGTCCCCGCCGCAACTCGAGAAAAACCATGAGACTTCCCCCTAGAGGCGAGATGAGGCCCCATTCCCCTGCAGTGCATGCAGAGCTATTCCGTGATCCCATTCAAACAAGGCAGGAGCTTCGACTTGCTTAATGGATCTCGAGACAGTCCCCAAGAACACTGTCACCAGTCTAGACGGACCATGAGGTCACACCAGCAACGCAAAGCAGCTCCATGTGCCCCAAATCAACTCGAGATGAGGCCCGATTCCGCTGCATTGACTCCAGAGCCATTCCCCGTTCCTCATTCAACACGACCGGTGGCTCGACTTCCTTCACCCAACTCCAGAGATGCCCCGAGAACACTGTCCCAAGTCTAGAGGAACAACAACTTCAGCACAGCAACTCGAGGAATGATACATGTACCCCAAATCGTCTCGAGATGAGAGCTGATTCCCTGGCTTAGGCTCAAGACGTATGCCAACTTTCCAGAAGCACCTCAGGAGGAGGCTTCTCTCAGCAATAGGTATGTGGGAGGGACACCGAGTTTGCTGCCTCAAGGGGAATATACAGCGAGAAGCCCTAACTTGAAACGAGGCCAGATTTCCTTGCAGTGGCTTGAATACAGGCTCGTCTTTCATCTCACAACATGAAGGGATGTCTGAATCCCCTGTGGAGACCTTACAGAAAGCCCTAGTTCCCTGCCTCATTTTCACGGAATGCCTCACATCCCGCTGACACCTCGAGAGGCACGCAGAGTTCATTGATTTAAAAGGTGACGATGCCTGACTCCTCTTGAATGCTGATAGGAATCCCAAAATCACTGTGGCTACTGGAAAGGGTCCTTGGGTGCCCTGCCTCACCTCGAGAAGTGTCCCTTTTGCCCTGCCAAGCCTCGAAGAGATTCCTGAGGTGTCCCTCGTTACTAGACAGGAGTCCTGACGTCACTGAAGAAACTCGTGTTCTGAAGGGCCAGCTCCTCCGTAAGTCGAGAACATACTCCAGGTCCCCGGCGCAACTCGAGAAAAACCATGAGACTTCCCCCTAGAGGCGAGATGAGGCCCCATTCCCCTGCAGTGCATGCAGAGCTATTCCGTGATCCCATTCAAACAAGTCAGGAGCTTCGACTTGCTTAATGGATCTCGAGACAGTCCCCAAGAACAGTCTCACCCGTCTAGACGGACCCTGAGGTCACCCCAGCACCGCAAAGCAGCTCCATGTGCCCCAAATCAACTCGAGATGAGGCCCGATTCCCCTGCATTGACTCCAGAGCCATTCCTCGTTCCCCATTCAACACGACCTGTGGCTCGACTTCCTTCAGGCAACTCCAGAGATGCCCCGAGAACACTGTCCCAAGTCCAGAGGAACACCAACTTCAGCACAGCAACTCGAGGAATGCTCCGTGTACCCCAAATCGTCTCGAGATGAGAGCTGATTCCCTGGCTTAGGCTCAAGACGTATGCCAACTTCCCAGAAGCACCTCAGGAGGAGGCTTCTCTCAGCAATAGGTATGTGGGAGGGACCCCGAGTTTGCTGCCTCAAGGGGAATATACAGCGAGAAGCCCTAACTTGAAAGGAGTCCGAATTTCCTTGCAGTGGCTTGAATACAGGCTCGTCTTTCATCTCACAACATGAAGGTATGTCTGAATCCCCTGTGGAGACCTTAGAGAAAGCCCTAGGTCCCTGCCTCATTTTGACGGAATGCCTCACATCCCGCTGACAACTCGAGAGGCACGCGGAGTTAATTGCTTCAAAAATGACGATGCCTGACTCCTCTTGAATACTGATAGGAATCCCAAAATCCCTGTGGCTACTGGAAAGGGTCCTTGGGTGCCCTGCCTCACCTCGAGAAGCATCCCTTTTGCCCTGGCAAGCCTCGAAGTGATTCCTGAGGTGTCCCTCGTTACTAGACAGGAGTCCTGACGTCACTGAAGAAACTCGAGTTTTGAAGGGCCATCCCCGCCGTAAGTCGAGAACATACCCCAGGTCCCCGCCGCAACTCGAGAAAAACCATGAGACTTTCCCCTAGAGGCGAGATGAGGCCCCATTCCCCTGCAGTGCATGCAGAGCTATTCCGTGATCCCTTTCAAACAAGTCAGGAGCTTCGACTTCCTTAATGGATCTCGAGACAGTCCCCAAGAACACTGTCACCAGTCCAGACGGAACCTGAGGTCACCCCAGCACCGCAAAGCAGCTCCATGTGCCCCAAATCAACTCGAGATGAGGCCCGATTCCCCTGCATTGACTGCAGAGCCATTCCCCGTTCGCCATTCAACACGACCGCTGGCTCGACTTCCTTCAGGCAACTCCAGAGATGCCCCGAGAACACTGTCCCAAGTCTAGAGGAACACCAACTTCAGCACAGCAACTCGAGGAATGCTCCGTGTACCCCAAATCGTCTCGAGATGAGAGCTGATTCCCTGGCTTAGGCTCAAGACGTATGCCAACTTCCCAGAAGCACCTCAGGAGGAGGCTTCTCTAAGCAATAGGTATGTGGGAGGGACCCCGAGTTTGCTGCCTCAAGGGGAATATACAGCGAGAAGCCCTAACTTGAAAGGAGTCCGAATTTCCTTGCAGTGGCTTGAGTACAGGCTCGTCTTTCATCTCACAACATGAAGGGATATCTGAATCCCCTGTGGAGACCTTAGAGAAAGCCCTAGGTCCCTGCCTCATTTTGACGGAATGCCTCACATCCCGTTGACACCTCGAGAGGCACGCGGAGTTCACTGCTTCAAAAATGACGATGCCTGACTCCTCTTGAATACTGATAGGAATCCCAAAATCCCTGTGGCTACTGGAAAGGGTCCTTGGGTGCCCTGCCTCACCTCGAGAAGCGTCCCATTTGCCCTGCAAAGCCTCGAAGAGATTCCTGAGGTGTCCCTCGTTACTAGACAGGAGTCCTGACGTCACTGAAGAAACTCGTGTTCTGAAGGGCAAGCCCCGCCGTAAGTCGAGAACATACCCCAGGTCCCCGCCGCAACTCGAGAAAAACCATGAGACTTCCCCCTAGAGGCGAGATGAGGCCCCATTCCCCTGCAGTGCATGCAGAGCTATTCCGTGATCCCATTCAAACAAGTCAGGAGCTTCGACTTGCTTAATGGATCTCCAGACAGCCCCAAGAACACTGTCACCAGTCCAGACGGACCCTGAGGTCACCCCAGCACCGCAAAGCAGCTCCATGTGCCGCAAATCAACTCGAGATGAGACCAGATTCCCCTGCATTGACTCCAGAGCCATTCCCCGTTCCCCATTCAACACGACCGGTGGCTCGACTTCCTTCAGGCAACTCCAGAAATGCCCCGAGAACACTGTCCCAAGTCTAGAGGAACACCAACTTCAGCACAGCAACTCGAGGAATGCTCCGTGTACCCCAAATCGTCTCGAGATGAGAGCTGATTACCTAGCTTAGGCTCAAGACGTATGCCAACTTCCCAGAAGCACCTCAGGAGGAGGCTTCTCTCAGAAATAGGTATGTGGGAGGGACCCCGAGTTTGCTGCCTCAAGGGGAATATACAGCGAGAAGCCCTAACTTGAAAGGAGTCCGAATTTCCTTGCAGTGGCTTGAATACAGGCTCGTCTTTCATCTCACAACATGAAGGGATGTCTGAATCCCCTGTGGAGACCTTAGAGAAAGCCCTAGGTCCCTGCCTCATTTTTACGGTATGCCTCACATCCCGCTGACACCTCGAGAGGCTCGCGGAGTTCATTGCTTTAAAAGGTGACGATGCCTGACTCCTCTTGAATGCTGATAGCAATCCCAAAATCCCTGTGGCTACTGGAAAGGGTCCTTGGGTGCCCTGCCTCACCTCGAGAAGCGCCCCATTTGCCCTGCAAAGCCTCGAAGAGATTCCTGAGGTGTCCCTCGTTACTAGACAGGAGTCCTGACGTCACTGAAGAAACTCGTGTTCTGAAGGGCCAGCCCCGCCGTAAGTCGAGAACATACCCCAGGTCCCCGCCGCAACTCGAGAAAAACCATGAGACTTCCCCCTAGAGGCGAGATGAGGCCCCATTCCCCTGCAGTTCATGCAGAGCTATTCCGTGATCCCATTCAAACAAGTCAGGAGCTTCGACTTGCTTAATGGATCTCCAGACAGCCCCAAGAACACTGTCACCAGTCCAGACGGACCCTGAGGTCACCCCAGCACCGCAAAGCAGCTCCATGTGCCGCAAATCAACTCGAGATGAGACCCGATTCCCCTGCATTGACTCCAGAGCCATTCCCCGTTCCCCATTCAACACGACCGGTGGCTCGACTTCCTTCAGGCAACTCCAGAAATGCCCCGAGAACACTGTCCCAAGTCTAGAGGAACACCAACTTCAGCACAGCAACTCGAGGAATGCTCCGTGTACCCCAAATCGTCTCGAGATGAGAGCTGATTCCCTGGCTTAGGCTCAAGACGTATGCCAACTTCCCAGAAGCACCTCAGGAGGAGGCTTCTCTCAGAAATAGGTATGTGGGAGGGACCCCGAGTTTGCTGCCTCAAGGGAAATATACAGCGAGAAGCCCTAACTTGAAAGGAGTCCGAATTTCCTTGCAGTGGCTTGAATACAGGCTCGTCTTTCATCTCACAACATGAAGGGATGTCTGAATCCCCTGTGGAGACCTTAGAGAAAGCCCTAGGTCCCTGCCTCATTTTGATGGAATGCCTCACATCCCGCTGACACCTCGAGAGGCACGCGGAGTTAGTTGCTTCAAAAATGACGATGCCTGACTCCTCTTGAATACTGATAAGAATCCCAAAATCCCTGTGGCTACTGGAAAGGGTCCTTGGGTGCCCTGCCTCACCTCGAGAAGCGCCCCATTTGCCCTGCAAAGCCTCGAAGAGATTCCTGAGGTGTCCCTCGTTACTAGACAGGAGTCCTGACGTCACTGAAGAAACTCGTGTTCTGAAGGGCCAGCCCCGCCGTAAGTCGAGAACATACCCCAGGTCCCCGCCGCAACTCGAGAAAAACCATGAGACTTCCCACTGGAGGAGAGATGAGGCCCCATTCCCCTGCAGTGCATGCAGAGCTATTCCGTGATCCCATTCAAACAAGTCAGGAGCTTCGACTTGCTTAATGGATCTCGAGACAGTCCCCAAGAACACTGTCACCAGTCTAGACGGACCCTGAGGTCACCCCAGCAACGCAAAGCAGCTCCATGTGCCCCAAATCAACTCGAGATGAGGCCCGATTCCCCTGCATTGACTCCAGAGCCATTCCCCGTTCCCCATTCAACACGACCAGTGGCTCGACTTCTTTCAAGCAACTCCAGAGATGCCCTGAGAACACTGTCCCAAGTCTAGAGGAACACCAACTTCAGCACAGCAACTCGAAGAATGCTCCGTGTACCCCAAATCGTCTCGAGATGAGAGCTGATTCCCTGGCTTAGGCTCAAGACGTATGCCAACTTTCCAGAAGCACCTCAGGAGGAGGCTTCTCTCAGCAATAGGTATGTGGGAGGGACCCCGAGTTTGCTGCCACAAGGGGAATATACCGCGAGAAGCCCTAACTTGAAAGGAGGCCGGATTTCCTTGCAGGGGCTTGAATACAGGCTCGTCTTTCATCTCACAACATGAAGGGATGTCTGAATCTCCTGTGGAGACCTTAGAGAAAGCCCTAGGTTCCTGCCTCATTTTGACCTAATGCCTCACATCCCGCTGACACCTCGAGAGGCACGCGGAGTTCATTGCTTCAAAATGTGACGATGCCTGACTCTTCTTGAATACTGATAGCAATCCCAAAATCCCTGTGGCTACTGGAAAGGGTCCTTGGATGCCCTGCCTCACCTCGAGAAGCGTCCCTTTTGCCCTGCCAAGCCTCAAAGAGATTCCTGAGGTGTCCCTCGTTACTAGACAGGAGTCTTGACGTCACTGAAGAAACTCGTGTTTTGAAGGGCCATCCCCGCCGTAAGTCGAGAACATAGCCCAGGTCTCTGCCGCAACTCGAGAAAAACCATGAGACTTCCCCCTGGAGGGGAGATGAGGCCCCATTCCCCTGCAGTGCATGCAGAGCTATTCCGTGATCCCATTCAAACAAGTCAGGAGCTTCGACTTGCTTAATGGTTCTCGAGACAGTCCCCAAGAACACTGTCACCAGTCTAGACGGACCCTGAGGTCAACCCAGCAACGCAAAGCAGCTCCATATGCCCAAAATCAACTCGAGATGAGACCCGATTCCCCTGCATTGACTCCAGAGCCATTCCCCGTTCCCCATTCAACACGACCGGTGGCTCCACTTCCTTCAAGCAACTCCAGAGATGCCCCGAGAACACTGTCCCAAGTCTAGAGGAACACCAACTTCAGCACAGCAACTAGAAGAATGCTCCGTGTACCCCAAATCGTCTCGAGATGAGAGCTGATTCCCTGGCTTAGGCTCAAGACGTATGCCAACTTTCCAGAAGCACCTCAGGAGGAGGCTTCTCTCAGCAATAGGTATGTGGGAGGGACCCCGAGTTTGCTGCCACAAGGGGAATATACCGCGAGAAGCCCTAACTTGAAAGGAGGCCGGATTTCCTTGCAGTGGCTTGAATACAGGCTCGTCTTTCATCTCACAATATGGAGGGATGTCTGAATCCCCTGTGTAGACCTTAGAGAAAGCCCTAGGTCCCTGCCTCATTTTGACGGAATGCCACACATCCCGCTGACACCTCGAGAGGCACGCGGAGTTCATTGCTTCAAAAGGTGACGATGCCTGACTCCTCTTGAATACTGATAGGAATCCCAAAATCCCTGTGGCTACTGGAAAGGGTCCTTGGGTGCCCTGCCTCACATCGAGAAGCATCCCTTTTGCCCTGCCAAGCCTCGAAGAGATTCCTGAGGTGTCCCTCGTTACTAGACAGGACTCCTGACGTCACTGAAGAAACTCGTGTTTTGAAGGGCCATCCCCGCCGTAAGTCGAGAACATACCCCAGGTCCCCGCCGCAACTCGAGAAAAACCATGAGACTTCCCCCTAGAGGCGAGATGAGGCCCCATTCCCCTGCAGTGCATGCAGAGCTATTCCGTGATCCCATTCAAACAAGGCAGGAGCTTCGACTTGCTTAATGGATCTCGAGACAGTCCCCAAGAACACTGTCACCAGTCTAGACGGACCATGAGGTCACACCAGCAACGCAAAGCAGCTCCATGTGCCCCAAATCAACTCGAGATGAGGCCCGATTCCGCTGCATTGACTCCAGAGCCATTCCCCGTTCCTCATTCAACACGACCGGTGGCTCGACTTCCTTCACCCAACTCCAGAGATGCCCCGAGAACACTGTCCCAAGTCTAGAGGAACAACAACTTCAGCACAGCAACTCGAGGAATGATACGTGTACCCCAAATCGTCTCGAGATGAGAGCTGATTCCCTGGCTTAGGCTCAAGACGTATGCCAACTTTCCAGAAGCACCTCAGGAGGAGGCTTCTCTCAGCAATAGGTATGTGGGAGGGACACCGAGTTTGCTGCCTCAAGGGGAATATACAGCGAGAAGCCCTAACTTGAAACGAGGCCAGATTTCCTTGCAGTGGCTTGAATACAGGCTCGTCTTTCATCTCACAACATGAAGGGATGTCTGAATCCCCTGTGGAGACCTTACAGAAAGCCCTAGTTCCCTGCCTCATTTTCACGGAATGCCTCACATCCCGCTGACACCTCGAGAGGCACGCAGAGTTCATTGATTTAAAAGGTGACGATGCCTGACTCCTCTTGAATGCTGATAGGAATCCCAAAATCACTGTGGCTACTGGAAAGGGTCCTTGGGTGCCCTGCCTCACCTCGAGAAGTGTCCCTTTTGCCCTGCCAAGCCTCGAAGAGATTCCTGAGGTGTCCCTCGTTACTAGACAGGAGTCCTGACGTCACTGAAGAAACTCGTGTTCTGAAGGGCCAGCTCCTCCGTAAGTCGAGAACATACTCCAGGTCCCCGGCGCAACTCGAGAAAAACCATGAGACTTCCCCCTAGAGGCGAGATGAGGCCCCATTCCCCTGCAGTGCATGCAGAGCTATTCCGTGATCCCATTCAAACAAGTCAGGAGCTTCGACTTGCTTAATGGATCTCGAGACAGTCCCCAAGAACAGTCTCACCCGTCTAGACGGACCCTGAGGTCACCCCAGCACCGCAAAGCAGCTCCATGTGCCCCAAATCAACTCGAGATGAGGCCCGATTCCCCTGCATTGACTCCAGAGCCATTCCTCGTTCCCCATTCAACACGACCTGTGGCTCGACTTCCTTCAGGCAACTCCAGAGATGCCCCGAGAACACTGTCCCAAGTCCAGAGGAACACCAACTTCAGCACAGCAACTCGAGGAATGCTCCGTGTACCCCAAATCGTCTCGAGATGAGAGCTGATTCCCTGGCTTAGGCTCAAGACGTATGCCAACTTCCCAGAAGCACCTCAGGAGGAGGCTTCTCTCAGCAATAGGTATGTGGGAGGGACCCCGAGTTTGCTGCCTCAAGGGGAATATACAGCGAGAAGCCCTAACTTGAAAGGAGTCCGAATTTCCTTGCAGTGGCTTGAATACAGGCTCGTCTTTCATCTCACAACATGAAGGTATGTCTGAATCCCCTGTGGAGACCTTAGAGAAAGCCCTAGGTCCCTGCCTCATTTTGACGGAATGCCTCACATCCCGCTGACAACTCGAGAGGCACGCGGAGTTAATTGCTTCAAAAATGACAATGCCTGACTCCTCTTGAATACTGATAGGAATCCCAAAATCCCTGTGGCTACTGGAAAGGGTCCTTGGGTGCCCTGCCTCACCTCGAGAAGCATCCCTTTTGCCCTGGCAAGCCTCGAAGTGATTCCTGAGGTGTCCCTCGTTACTAGACAGGAGTCCTGACGTCACTGAAGAAACTCGTGTTTTGAAGGGCCATCCCCGCCGTAAGTCGAGAACATACCCCAGGTCCCCGCCGCAACTCGAGAAAAACCATGAGACTTTCCCCTAGAGGCGAGATGAGGCCCCATTCCCCTGCAGTGCATGCAGAGCTATTCCGTGATCCCTTTCAAACAAGTCAGGAGCTTCGACTTGCTTAATGGATCTCGAGACAGTCCCCAAGAACACTGTCACCAGTCCAGACGGAACCTGAGGTCACCCCAGCACCGCAAAGCAGCTCCATGTGCCCCAAATCAACTCGAGATGAGGCCCGATTCCCCTGCATTGACTCCAGAGCCATTCCCCGTTCGCCATTCAACACGACCGCTGGCTCGACTTCCTTCAGGCAACTCCAGAGATGCCCCGAGAACACTGTCCCAAGTCTAGAGGAACACCAACTTCAGCACAGCAACTCGAGGAATGCTCCGTGTACCCCAAATCGTCTCGAGATGAGAGCTGATTCCCTGGCTTAGGCTCAAGACGTATGCCAACTTCCCAGAAGCACCTCAGGAGGAGGCTTCTCTAAGCAATAGGTATGTGGGAGGGACCCCGAGTTTGCTGCCTCAAGGGGAATATACAGCGAGAAGCCCTAACTTGAAAAGAGTCCGAATTTCCTTGCAGTGGCTTGAGTACAGGCTCGTCTTTCATCTCACAACATGAAGGGATATCTGAATCCCCTGTGGAGACCTTAGAGAAAGCCCTAGGTCCCTGCCTCATTTTGACGGAATGCCTCACATCCCGTTGACACCTCGAGAGGCACGCGGAGTTCACTGCTTCAAAAATGACGATGCCTGACTCCTCTTGAATACTGATAGGAATCCCAAAATCCCTGTGGCTACTGGAAAGGGTCCTTGGGTGCCCTGCCTCACCTCGAGAAGCATCCCTTTTGCCCTGGCAAGCCTTGAAGAGATTCCTGAGGTGTCCCTCGTTACTAGACAGGAGTCCTGACGTCACTGAAGAAACTCGTGTTTTGAAGGGCCATCCCCGCCGTAAGTCGAGAACATACCCCAGGTCCCCGCCGCAACTCGAGGAAAACCATGAGACTTCCCCTAGAGGCGAGATGAGGCCCCAATCCCCTGCAGTGCATGCAGAGCTATTCCGTGATCCCATTCATACAAGTCAGGATCTTCGACTTGCTTAATGGATCTCGAGACAGTCCCCAAGAACACTGTCACCAGTCTAGACGGACCCTGAGGTCACCCCAGCAACGCAAAGCAGCTCCATGTGCCCCAAATCAACTCGAGATGGGGCCCGATTCCCCTGCATTGACTCCAGAGCCATTCCTCGTTCTCCATTCAACACGACCGGTGGCTCGACTTCCTTCAGGAAACTCCAGAGATGCCCCAAGAACACTGTCCCAAGTCTAGAGGAACACCAACTTCAGCACAGCAACTGGAGGAATGCTCCGTGTACCCCAAATCGTCTCGAGATGAGAGCTGATTCCCTGGCTTAGGCTCAAGACGTATGCCAACTTTCCAGAAGCACCTCAGGAGGAGGCTTCTCTCAGCAATAGGTATGTGGGAGGGACCCCGAGTTTGCTGCCTCAAGGGGAATATACCGCGAGAAGCCCTAACTTGAAAGGAGGCCGGATTTCCTTGCAGTGGCTTGAATACAGGCTCGTCTTTCATCTCACAATATGGAGGGATGTCTGAATCCCCTGTGTAGACCTTAGAGAAAGCCCTAGGTCCCTGCCTCATTTTGACGGAATGCCTCACATCCCGCTGACAACTCGAGAGGCACGCGGAGTTAATTGCTTCAAAAATGACGATGCCTGACTCCTCTTGAATACTGATAGGAATCCCAAAATCCCTGTGGCTACTGGAAAGGGTCCTTGGGTGCCCTGCCTCACCTCGAGAAGCATCCCTTTTGCCCTGGCAAGCCTCGAAGAGATTCCTGAGGTGTCCCTCGTTACTACACAGGAGTCCTGACGTCACTGAAGAAACTCGTGTTTTGAAGGGCCATCCCCGCCGTAAGTCGAGAACATACCCCAGGTCCCCGCCGCAACTCCAGAAAAACCATGAGACTTCCCCCTAGAGGCGAGATGAGGCCCCATTCCCCTGCAGTGCATGCAGAGCTATTCCGTGATCCCTTTCAAACAAGTCAGGAGCTTCGACTTGCTTAATGGATCTCGAGACAGTCCCCAAGAACACTGTCACCAGTCCAGACGGAACCTGAGGTCACCCCAGCACCGCAAAGCAGCTCCATGTGCCCCAAATCAACTCGAGATGAGGCCCGATTCCCCTGCATTGACTCCAGAGCCATTCCCCGTTCGCCATTCAACACGACCGCTGGCTCGACTTCCTTCAGGCAACTCCAGAGATGCCCCGAGAACACTGTCCCAAGTCTAGAGGAACACCAACTTCAGCACAGCAACTCGAGGAATGCTCCGTGTACCCCAAATCGTCTCGAGATGAGAGCTGATTCCCTGGCTTAGGCTCAAGACGTATGCCAACTTCCCAGAAGCACCTCAGGAGGAGGCTTCTCTCAGCAATAGGTATGTGGGAGGGACCCCGAGTTTGCTGCCTCAAGGGGAATATACAGCGAGAAGCCCTAACTTGAAAGGAGTCCGAATTTCCTTGCAGTGGCTTGAATACAGGCTCGTCTTTCATCTCACAACATGAAGGTATGTCTGAATCCCCTGTGGAGACCTTAGAGAAAGCCCTAGGTCCCTGCCTCATTTTGACGGAATGCCTCACATCCCGCTGACAACTCGAGAGGCACGCGGAGTTAATTGCTTCAAAAATGACGATGCCTGACTCCTCTTGAATACTGATAGGAATCCCAAAATCCCTGTGGCTACTGGAAAGGGTCCTTGGGTGCCCTGCCTCACCTCGAGAAGCATCCCTTTTGCCCTGGCAAGCCTCGAAGAGATTCCTGAGGTGTCCCTCGTTACTAGACAGGAGTCCTGACGTCACTGAAGAAACTCGTGTTTTGAAGGGCCATCCCCGCCGTAAGTCGAGAACATACCCCAGGTCCCCGCCGCAACTCGAGAAAAACCATGAGACTTCCCCCTAGAGGCGAGATGAGGCCCCATTCCCCTGCAGTGCATGCAGAGCTATTCCGTGATCCCTTTCAAACAAGTCAGGAGCTTCGACTTGCTTAATGGATCTCGAGACAGTCCCCAAGAACACTGTCACCAGTCTAGACGGACCCTGAGGTCACCCCAGCAACGCAAAGCAGCTCCATGTGCCCCAAATCAACTCGAGATGGGGCCCGATTCCCCTGCATTGACTCCAGAGCCATTCCTCGTTCCCCATTCAACACGACCGGTGGCTCGACTTCCTTCAGGAAACTCCAGAGATGCCCCAAGAACACTGTCCCAAGTCTAGAGGAACACCAACTTCAGCACAGCAACTGGAGGAATGCTCCGTGTACCCCAAATCGTCTCGAGATGAGAGCTGATTCCCTGGCTTAGGCTCAAGACGTATGCCAACTTTCCAGAAGCACCTCAGGAGGAGGCTTCTCTCAGCAATAGGTATGTGGGAGGGACCCCGAGTTTGCTGCCTCAAGGGGAATATACCGCGAGAAGCCCTAACTTGAAAGGAGGCCGGATTTCCTTGCAGTGGCTTGAATACAGGCTCGTCTTTCATCTCACAATATGGAGGGATGTCTGAATCCCCTGTGTAGACCTTAGAGAAAGCCCTAGGTCCCTGCCTCATTTTGACGGAATGCCTCACATCCCGCTGACACCTCGAGAGGCACGCGGAGTTCATTGCTTCAAAAGGTGACGATGCCTGACTCCTCTTGAATACTGATAGGAATCCCAAAATCCCTGTGGCTACTGGAAAGGGTCCTTGGGTGCCCTGCCTCACCTCGAGAAGCGTCCCTTTTGCCCTGCCAAGCCTCGAAGAGATTCCTGAGGTGTCCCTCGTTACTAGACAGGAGTCCTGACGTCACTGAAGAAACTCGTGTTTTGAAGGGCCATCCCCGCCATAAGTCGAGAACATACCCCAGGTCCCCACCGCAACTCGAGAAAAACAATGAGACTTCCCCCTAGAGGCGAGATGAGGCCCCATTCCCCTGCAGTGCATGCAGAGCTATTCCGTGATCCCATTCAAACAAGTCAGGAGCTTCGACTTGCTTAATGGATCTCCAGACAGTCCGCAAGAACACTGTCACCAGTCCAGACGGACCCTGAGGTCACCCCAGCACCGCAAAGCAGCTCCATGAGCCCCAAATCAACTCGAGATGAGGCCCGATTCCCCTACATTGACTCCAGAGCCATTCCCCGTTCCCCATTCAACACGACCGGTGGCTCGACTTCCTTCAGGCAACTCCAGAAATGCCCTCGAGAACAATGTCCCAAGTCTAGAGGAACACCAACTCCACCACAGCAACTCGAGGAATGCTCCGTTACCCCAAATCGTCTCGAGATGAGAGCTGTTTCCCTGGCTTAGGCTCAAGACGTATGCCAACTTCCCAGAAGCACCTCAGGAGGAGGCTTCTCTCAGCAATAAGTATGTGGGAGGGACCCCGAGTTTGCTGCCTCAAGGGGAATATACAGCGAGAAGCCCTAACTTGAAAGGAGTCCGAATTTCCTTGCAGTGGCTTGAATACAGGCTCGTCTTTCATCTCACAACATGAAGGGATGTCTGAATCCCCTGTGGAGAACTTAGAGAAAGCCTTAGGTCCCTGCCTCATTTTGACGGAATGCCTCACATCCCGCTGACACCTCGAGAGGCACGCGGAGTTAATTGCTTCAAAAATGACGATGCCTGACTCCTCTTGAATACTGATAGGAATCCCAAAATCCCTGTGGCTACTGGAAAGGGTCCTTGGGTGCCCTGCCTCACCTCGAAAAGCATACCTTTTGCCCTGGCAAGCCTCGAAGAGATTCCTGAGGTGTCCCTCGTTACTAGACAGGAGTCCTGACGTCACTGAAGAAACTCGTGTTTTGAAGGGCCATCCCCGCCGTAAGTCGAGAACATACCCCAGGTCCCCGCCGCAACTCGAGAAAAACCATGAGACTTCCCCCTAGAGGCGAGATGAGGCCCCATTCCCCTGCAGTGCATGCAGAGCTATTCCGTGATCCCATTCAAACAAGGCAGGAGCTTCGACTTGCTTAATGGATCTCGAGACAGTCCCCAAGAACACTGTCACCAGTCTAGACGGACCCTGAGGTCACCCCAGCAACGCAAAGCAGCTCCATGTGCCCCAAATCAACTCGAGATGGGGCCCGATTCCCCTGCATTGACTCCAGAGCCATTCCTCGTTCCCCATTCAACACGATCGGTGGCTCGACTTCCTTCAGGAAACTCCAGAGATGCCCCAAGAACACTGTCCCAAGTCTAGAGGAACACCAACTTCAGCACAGCAACTCGAGGAATGCTCCGTGTACCCCAAATCGTCTCGAGATGCGAGCTGATTCCCTGGCTTAGGCTCAAGACGTATGCCAACTTTCCAGAAGCACCTCAGGAGGAGGCTTCTCTCAGCAATAGGTATGTGGGAGGGACCCCGAGTTTGCTGCCTCAAGGGGAATATACCGCGAGAAGCCCTAACTTGAAAGGAGGCCGGATTTCCTTGCAGTGGCTTGAATACAGGCTCGTCTTTCATCTCACAATATGGAGGGATGTCTGAATCCCCTGTGTAGACCTTAGAGAAAGCCCTAGATCCCTGCCTCATTTTGACGGAATGCCTCACATCCCGCTGACACCTCGAGAGGCACGCGGAGTTCATTGCTTCAAAAGGTGACGATGCCTGACTCCTCTTGAATACTGATAGGAATCCCAAAATCCCTGTGGCTACTGGAAAGGGTCCTTGGGTGCCCTGCCTCACATCGAGAAGCATCCCTTTTGCCCTGCCAAGCCTCGAAGAGATTCCTGAGGTGTCCCTCGTTACTAGACAGGACTCCTGACGTCACTGAAGAAACTCGTGTTTTGAAGGGCCATCCCCGCCGTAAGTCGAGAACATACCCCAGGTCCCCGCCGCAACTCGAGAAAAACCATGAGACTTCCCCCTAGAGGCGAGATGAGGCCCCATTCCCCTGCAGTGCATGCAGAGCTATTCCGTGATCCCATTCAAACAAGGCAGGAACTTCGACTTGCTTTATGGATCTCGAGACAGTCCCCAAGAACACTGTCACCAGTCCAGACGGACCCTGAGGTCACCCCAGCACCGCAAAGCAGCTCCATGTGCCCCAAATCAACTCGAGATGAGGCCCGATTCCCCTGCATTGACTCCAGAGCCATTCCCCGTTCCCCATTCAACACGACCGGTGGCTCGACTTCCTTCAGGCAACTCCAGAGATGCCCCGAGAACACTGTCCCAAGTCTAGAGGAACACCAACTTCAGCACAGCAACTCGAGGAATGCTCCGTGTACCCCAAATCGTCTCGAGATGAGAGCTGATTCCCTGGCTTAGGCTCAAGACGTATGCCAACTTCCCAGAAGCACCTCAGGAGGAGGCTTCTCTCAGCAATAGGTATGTGGGAGGGACCCCGAGTTTGCTGCCTCAAGGGGAATATACAGCGAGAAGCCCTAACTTGAAAGGAGGCCGGATTTCCTTGCAGTGGCTTGAATACAGGCTCGTCTTTCATCTCACAATATGGAGGGATGTCTGAATCCCCTGTGGAGACCTTAGAGAAAGCCCTAGGTCCCTGCCTCATTTTGACGGAATGCCTCACATCCCGCTGACACCTCGAGAGGCACGCGGAGTTCATTGCTTCAAAAGGTGACGATGCCTGACTCCTCTTGAATACTGATAGGAATCCCAAAATCCCTGTGGCTACTGGAAAGGGTCCTTGGGTGCCCTGCCTCACCTCGAGAAGCGTCCCTTTTGCCCTGCCAAGCCTCGAAGAGATTCCTGAGGTGTCCCTCGTTACTAGACAGGAGTCCTGACGTCACTGAAGAAACTCGTGTTTTGAAGGGCCATCCCCGCCGTAAGTCGAGAACATACCCCAGGTCCCCACCGCAACTCGAGAAAAACAATGAGACTTCCCCCTAGAGGCGAGATGAGGCCCCATTCCCCTGCAGTGCATGCAGAGCTATTCCGTGATCCCATTCAAACAAGTCAGGAGCTTCGACTTGCTTAATGGATCTCCAGACAGTCCGCAAGAACACTGTCACCAGTCCAGACGGACCCTGAGGTCACCCCAGCACCGCAAAGCAGCTCCATGAGCCCCAAATCAACTCGAGATGAGGCCCGATTCCCCTACATTGACTCCAGAGCCATTCCCCGTTCCCCATTCAACACGACCGGTGGCTCGACTTCCTTCAGGCAACTCCAGAAATGCCCCGAGAACAATGTCCCAAGTCTAGAGGAACACCAACTCCACCACAGCAACTCGAGGAATGCTCCGTTACCCCAAATCGTCTCGAGATGAGAGCTGTTTCCCTGGCTTAGGCTCAAGACGTATGCCAACTTCCCAGAAGCACCTCAGGAGGAGGCTTCTCTCAGCAATAAGTATGTGGGAGGGACCCCGAGTTTGCTGCCTCAAGGGGAATATACAGCGAGAAGCCCTAACTTGAAAGGAGTCCGAATTTCCTTGCAGTGGCTTGAATACAGGCTCGTCTTTCATCTCACAACATGAAGGGATGTCTGAATCCCCTGTGGAGAACTTAGAGAAAGCCTTAGGTCCCTGCCTCATTTTGACGGAATGCCTCACATCCCGCTGACACCTCGAGAGGCACGCGGAGTTAATTGCTTCAAAAATGACGATGCCTGACTCCTCTTGAATACTGATAGGAATCCCAAAATCCCTGTGGCTACTGGAAAGGGTCCTTGGGTGCCCTGCCTCACCTCGAGAAGCATACCTTTTGCCCTGGCAAGCCTCGAAGAGATTCCTGAGGTGTCCCTCGTTACTAGACAGGAGTCCTGACGTCACTGAAGAAACTCGTGTTTTGAAGGGCCATCCCCGCCGTAAGTCGAGAACATACCCCAGGTCCCCGCCGCAACTCGAGAAAAACCATGAGACTTCCCCCTAGAGGCGAGATGAGGCCCCATTCCCCTGCAGTGCATGCAGAGCTATTCCGTGATCCCATTCAAACAAGGCAGGAGCTTCGACTTGCTTAATGGATCTCGAGACAGTCCCCAAGAACACTGTCACCAGTCTAGACGGACCCTGAGGTCACCCCAGCAACGCAAAGCAGCTCCATGTGCCCCAAATCAACTCGAGATGGGGCCCGATTCCCCTGCATTGACTCCAGAGCCATTCCTCGTTCCCCATTCAACACGATCGGTGGCTCGACTTCCTTCAGGAAACTCCAGAGATGCCCCAAGAACACTGTCCCAAGTCTAGAGGAACACCAACTTCAGCACAGCAACTCGAGGAATGCTCCGTGTACCCCAAATCGTCTCGAGATGCGAGCTGATTCCCTGGCTTAGGCTCAAGACGTATGCCAACTTTCCAGAAGCAACTCAGGAGGAGGCTTCTCTCAGCAATAGGTATGTGGGAGGGACCCCGAGTTTGCTGCCTCAAGGGGAATATACCGCGAGAAGCCCTAACTTGAAAGGAGGCCGGATTTCCTTGCAGTGGCTTGAATACAGGCTCGTCTTTCATCTCACAATATGGAGGGATGTCTGAATCCCCTGTGTAGACCTTAGAGAAAGCCCTAGGTCCCTGCCTCATTTTGACGGAATGCCTCACATCCCGCTGACACCTCGAGAGGCACGCGGAGTTCATTGCTTCAAAAGGTGACGATGCCTGACTCCTCTTGAATACTGATAGGAATCCCAAAATCCCTGTGGCTACTGGAAAGGGTCCTTGGGTGCCCTGCCTCACATCGAGAAGCATCCCTTTTGCCCTGCCAAGCCTCGAAGAGATTCCTGAGGTGTCCCTCGTTACTAGACAGGACTCCTGACGTCACTGAAGAAACTCGTGTTTTGAAGGGCCATCCCCGCCGTAAGTCGAGAACATACCCCAGGTCCCCGCCGCAACTCGAGAAAAACCATGAGACTTCCCCCTAGAGGCGAGATGAGGCCCCATTCCCCTGCAGTGCATGCAGAGCTATTCCGTGATCCCATTCAAACAAGGCAGGAACTTCGACTTGCTTTATGGATCTCGAGACAGTCCCCAAGAACACTGTCACCAGTCCAGACGGACCCTGAGGTCACCCCAGCACCGCAAAGCAGCTCCATGTGCCCCAAATCAACTCGAGATGAGGCCCGATTCCCCTGCATTGACTCCAGAGCCATTCCCCGTTCCCCATTCAACACGACCGGTGGCTCGACTTCCTTCAGGCAACTCCAGAGATGCCCCGAGAACACTGTCCCAAGTCTAGAGGAACACCAACTTCAGCACAGCAACTCGAGGAATGCTCCGTGTACCCCAAATCGTCTCGAGATGAGAGCTGATTCCCTGGCTTAGGCTCAAGACGTATGCCAACTTCCCAGAAGCACCTCAGGAGGAGGCTTCTCTCAGCAATAGGTATGTGGGAGGGACCCCGAGTTTGCTGCCTCAAGGGGAATATACAGCGAGAAGCCCTAACTTGAAAGGAGGCCGAATTTCCTTGCAGTGGCTTGAATACAGGCTCGTCTTTCATCTCACAACATGAAGGGATGTCCGAATCCCCTGTGGAGACCTTAGAGATAGCCCTAGGTCCCTGCCTCATTTTGACGGAATGCCTCACATCCCGCTGACACCTCGAGAGGCACGCGGAGTTCATTGCTTCAAAAATGACGATGCCTGACTCCTCTTGAATACTGATAGGAATCCCAAAATCCCTTTGGCTATTGGAAAGGGTCCTTGGGTGCCTTGCCTCACCTCGAGAAGCATCCCTTTTGCCCTGGCAAGCCTCGAAGAGATTCCTGAGGTGTCCCTCGTTACTAGACAGGAGTCCTGACGTCACTGAAGAAACTCGTGTTTTGAAGGGCCATCCCCGCCGTAAGTCGAGAACATACCCCAGGTCCCCGCCGCACCTCGAGAAAAACCATGAGACTTCCCCCTAGAGGCGAGATGAGGCCCCATTCCCCTGCAGTGCATGCAGAGCTATTCCGTGATCCCATTCAAACAAGTCAGGAGCTTCGACTTGCTTAATGGATCTCGAGACAGTCACCAAGAACACTGTCACCAGTCTAGACGGACCCTGAGGTCACCCCAACAACGCAAAGCAGCTCCATGTGGCCCAAATCAACTGGAGATGGGGCCCGATTCCCCTGCATTGACTCCAGAGCCATTCCTCGTTCCCCATTCAACACGACCGGTGGCTCGACTTCCTTCAGGAAACTCCAGAGATGCCCCAAGAACACTGTCCCAAGTCTAGAGGAACACCAACTTCAGCACAGCAACTGGAGGAATGCTCCGTGTACCCCAAATCGTCTCGAGATGAGAGCTGATACCCTCGCTTAGGCTCAAGACGTATGCCAACTTTCCAGAAGCACCTCAGGAGGAGGCTTCTCTCAGCAATAGTTATGTGGGAGGGACCCCGAGTTTGCTGCCTCAAGGGGAATATACCGCGAGAAGCCCTAACTTGAAAGGAGGCCGGATTTCCTTGCAGGGGCTTGAATACAGGCTCGTCTTTCATCTCACAACATGAAGGGATGTCTGAATCCCCTGTGGAGACCTTAGAGAAAGCCCTAGGTCCCTGCCTCATTTTGACGGAATGCCTCACATCCCGCTGACACCTCGAGAGGCACGCGGAATTCATTGCTTCAAAAGGTGACGATGCCTGACTCCTCTTGAATACTGATAGGAATCCCAAACTCGCTGTGGCTACTGGAAAGGGTCCTTGGGTGCCCTGCCTCACCTCGAGAAGCGTCCCTTTTGCCCTGCCAAGCCTCGAAGAGATTCCTGAGGTGTCCCTCGTTACTAGACAGGAGTCCTGATGTCACTGAAGAAACTCGTGGTTTGAAGGGCCATCCCCGCCGTAAGTCGAGGACATAGCCCAGGTCCCCATCGCAAGTCCATAAAAACCATGAGACTTCCCCCTAGAGGGGAGATGAGGCCCCATTCCGCTGCAATGCATGCAGAGCTATTCCGTGATCCCATTCAAACAAGTCAGGAGCTTCGACTTGCTTAATGGATCTCGAGACAGTCCCCAAGAACACTGTCACCAGTCTAGACGGACCATGAGGTCACCCCAGAAACGCAAAGCAGCTCCATGTGCCCCAAATCAACTCGAGATGAGGCCCGATTCCGCTGCATTGACTCCAGAGCCATTCCCCGTTCCCCATTCAACACGACCGGTGGCTCGACTTCCTTCACACAACTCCAGAGATGCCCGGAGAACACTGTCCCAAGTCTAGAGGAAAAACAACTTCAGCACAGCAACTCGAGGAATGATCCGTGTACCCCAAATCGTCTCGAGATGAGAGCTGATTCCCTGGCTTAGGCTCAAGACGTATGCCAACTTTCCAGAAGCACCTCAGGAGGAGGCTTCTCTCAGCAATAGGTATGTGGGAGGGACACCGAGTTTGCTGCCTCAAGGGGAATATACAGGGAGAAGCCCTAACTTGAAACGAGGCCAGATTTCCTTGCAGTGGCTTGAATACAGGCTCGTCTTTCATCTCACAACATGAAGGGATGTCTGAATCCCCTGTGGAGACCTTAGAGAAAGCCCTAGGTCCCTGCCTCATTTTGACGGAATGCCTCACATCCCGCTGACAACTCGAGAGGCACGCGGAGTTAATTGCTTCAAAAATGACGATGCCTGACTCCTCTTGAATACTGATAGGAATCCCAAAATCCCTGTGGCTACTGGAAAGGGTCCTTGGGTGCCCTGCCTCACCTCGAGAAGCATCCCTTTTGCCCTGGCAAGCCTCGAAGTGATTCCTGAGGTGTCCCTCGTTACTAGACAGGAGTCCTGACGTCACTGAAGAAACTCGTGTTTTGAAGGGCCATCCCCGCCGTAAGTCGAGAACATACCCCAGGTCCCCGCCGCAACTCGAGAAAAACCATGAGACTTTCCCCTAGAGGCGAGATGAGGCCCCATTCCCCTGCAGTGCATGCAGAGCTATTCCGTGATCCCTTTCAAACAAGTCAGGAGCTTCGACTTGCTTAATGGATCTCGAGACAGTCCCCAAGAACACTGTCACCAGTCCAGACGGAACCTGAGGTCACCCCAGCACCGCAAAGCAGCTCCATGTGCCCCAAATCAACTCGAGATGAGGCCCGATTCCCCTGCATTGACTCCAGAGCCATTCCCCGTTCGCCATTCAACACGACCGCTGGCTCGACTTCCTTCAGGCAACTCCAGAGATGCCCCGAGAACACTGTCCCAAGTCTAGAGGAACACCAACTTCAGCACAGCAACTCGAGGAATGCTCCGTGTACCCCAAATCGTCTCGAGATGAGAGCTGATTCCCTGGCTTAGGCTCAAGACGTATGCCAACTTCCCAGAAGCACCTCAGGAGGAGGCTTCTCTAAGCAATAGGTATGTGGGAGGGACCCCGAGTTTGCTGCCTCAAGGGGAATATACAGCGAGAAGCCCTAACTTGAAAAGAGTCCGAATTTCCTTGCAGTGGCTTGAGTACAGGCTCGTCTTTCATCTCACAACATGAAGGGATATCTGAATCCCCTGTGGAGACCTTAGAGAAAGCCCTAGGTCCCTGCCTCATTTTGACGGAATGCCTCACATCCCGTTGACACCTCGAGAGGCACGCGGAGTTCACTGCTTCAAAAATGACGATGCCTGACTCCTCTTGAATACTGATAGGAATCCCAAAATCCCTGTGGCTACTGGAAAGGGTCCTTGGGTGCCCTGCCTCACCTCGAGAAGCATCCCTTTTGCCCTGGCAAGCCTTGAAGAGATTCCTGAGGTGTCCCTCGTTACTAGACAGGAGTCCTGACGTCACTGAAGAAACTCGTGTTTTGAAGGGCCATCCCCGCCGTAAGTCGAGAACATACCCCAGGTCCCCGCCGCAACTCGAGGAAAACCATGAGACTTCCCCTAGAGGCGAGATGAGGCCCCAATCCCCTGCAGTGCATGCAGAGCTATTCCGTGATCCCATTCATACAAGTCAGGATCTTCGACTTGCTTAATGGATCTCGAGACAGTCCCCAAGAACACTGTCACCAGTCTAGACGGACCCTGAGGTCACCCCAGCAACGCAAAGCAGCTCCATGTGCCCCAAATCAACTCGAGATGGGGCCCGATTCCCCTGCATTGACTCCAGAGCCATTCCTCGTTCTCCATTCAACACGACCGGTGGCTCGACTTCCTTCAGGAAACTCCAGAGATGCCCCAAGAACACTGTCCCAAGTCTAGAGGAACACCAACTTCAGCACAGCAACTGGAGGAATGCTCCGTGTACCCCAAATCGTCTCGAGATGAGAGCTGATTCCCTGGCTTAGGCTCAAGACGTATGCCAACTTTCCAGAAGCACCTCAGGAGGAGGCTTCTCTCAGCAATAGGTATGTGGGAGGGACCCCGAGTTTGCTGCCTCAAGGGGAATATACCGCGAGAAGCCCTAACTTGAAAGGAGGCCGGATTTCCTTGCAGTGGCTTGAATACAGGCTCGTCTTTCATCTCACAATATGGAGGGATGTCTGAATCCCCTGTGTAGACCTTAGAGAAAGCCCTAGGTCCCTGCCTCATTTTGACGGAATGCCTCACATCCCGCTGACAACTCGAGAGGCACGCGGAGTTAATTGCTTCAAAAATGACGATGCCTGACTCCTCTTGAATACTGATAGGAATCCCAAAATCCCTGTGGCTACTGGAAAGGGTCCTTGGGTGCCCTGCCTCACCTCGAGAAGCATCCCTTTTGCCCTGGCAAGCCTCGAAGAGATTCCTGAGGTGTCCCTCGTTACTACACAGGAGTCCTGACGTCACTGAAGAAACTCGTGTTTTGAAGGGCCATCCCCGCCGTAAGTCGAGAACATACCCCAGGTCCCCGCCGCAACTCCAGAAAAACCATGAGACTTCCCCCTAGAGGCGAGATGAGGCCCCATTCCCCTGCAGTGCATGCAGAGCTATTCCGTGATCCCTTTCAAACAAGTCAGGAGCTTCGACTTGCTTAATGGATCTCGAGACAGTCCCCAAGAACACTGTCACCAGTCCAGACGGAACCTGAGGTCACCCCAGCACCGCAAAGCAGCTCCATGTGCCCCAAATCAACTCGAGATGAGGCCCGATTCCCCTGCATTGACTCCAGAGCCATTCCCCGTTCGCCATTCAACACGACCGCTGGCTCGACTTCCTTCAGGCAACTCCAGAGATGCCCCGAGAACACTGTCCCAAGTCTAGAGGAACACCAACTTCAGCACAGCAACTCGAGGAATGCTCCGTGTACCCCAAATCGTCTCGAGATGAGAGCTGATTCCCTGGCTTAGGCTCAAGACGTATGCCAACTTCCCAGAAGCACCTCAGGAGGAGGCTTCTCTCAGCAATAGGTATGTGGGAGGGACCCCGAGTTTGCTGCCTCAAGGGGAATATACAGCGAGAAGCCCTAACTTGAAAGGAGTCCGAATTTCCTTGCAGTGGCTTGAATACAGGCTCGTCTTTCATCTCACAACATGAAGGTATGTCTGAATCCCCTGTGGAGACCTTAGAGAAAGCCCTAGGTCCCTGCCTCATTTTGACGGAATGCCTCACATCCCGCTGACAACTCGAGAGGCACGCGGAGTTAATTGCTTCAAAAATGACGATGCCTGACTCCTCTTGAATACTGATAGGAATCCCAAAATCCCTGTGGCTACTGGAAAGGGTCCTTGGGTGCCCTGCCTCACCTCGAGAAGCATCCCTTTTGCCCTGGCAAGCCTCGAAGAGATTCCTGAGGTGTCCCTCGTTACTAGACAGGAGTCCTGACGTCACTGAAGAAACTCGTGTTTTGAAGGGCCATCCCCGCCGTAAGTCGAGAACATACCCCAGGTCCCCGCCGCAACTCGAGAAAAACCATGAGACTTCCCCCTAGAGGCGAGATGAGGCCCCATTCCCCTGCAGTGCATGCAGAGCTATTCCGTGATCCCTTTCAAACAAGTCAGGAGCTTCGACTTGCTTAATGGATCTCGAGACAGTCCCCAAGAACACTGTCACCAGTCTAGACGGACCCTGAGGTCACCCCAGCAACGCAAAGCAGCTCCATGTGCCCCAAATCAACTCGAGATGGGGCCCGATTCCCCTGCATTGACTCCAGAGCCATTCCTCGTTCCCCATTCAACACGACCGGTGGCTCGACTTCCTTCAGGAAACTCCAGAGATGCCCCAAGAACACTGTCCCAAGTCTAGAGGAACACCAACTTCAGCACAGCAACTGGAGGAATGCTCCGTGTACCCCAAATCGTCTCGAGATGAGAGCTGATTCCCTGGCTTAGGCTCAAGACGTATGCCAACTTTCCAGAAGCACCTCAGGAGGAGGCTTCTCTCAGCAATAGGTATGTGGGAGGGACCCCGAGTTTGCTGCCTCAAGGGGAATATACCGCGAGAAGCCCTAACTTGAAAGGAGGCCGGATTTCCTTGCAGTGGCTTGAATACAGGCTCGTCTTTCATCTCACAATATGGAGGGATGTCTGAATCCCCTGTGTAGACCTTAGAGAAAGCCCTAGGTCCCTGCCTCATTTTGACGGAATGCCTCACATCCCGCTGACACCTCGAGAGGCACGCGGAGTTCATTGCTTCAAAAGGTGACGATGCCTGACTCCTCTTGAATACTGATAGGAATCCCAAAATCCCTGTGGCTACTGGAAAGGGTCCTTGGGTGCCCTGCCTCACCTCGAGAAGCGTCCCTTTTGCCCTGCCAAGCCTCGAAGAGATTCCTGAGGTGTCCCTCGTTACTAGACAGGAGTCCTGACGTCACTGAAGAAACTCGTGTTTTGAAGGGCCATCCCCGCCATAAGTCGAGAACATACCCCAGGTCCCCACCGCAACTCGAGAAAAACAATGAGACTTCCCCCTAGAGGCGAGATGAGGCCCCATTCCCCTGCAGTGCATGCAGAGCTATTCCGTGATCCCATTCAAACAAGTCAGGAGCTTCGACTTGCTTAATGGATCTCCAGACAGTCCGCAAGAACACTGTCACCAGTCCAGACGGACCCTGAGGTCACCCCAGCACCGCAAAGCAGCTCCATGAGCCCCAAATCAACTCGAGATGAGGCCCGATTCCCCTACATTGACTCCAGAGCCATTCCCCGTTCCCCATTCAACACGACCGGTGGCTCGACTTCCTTCAGGCAACTCCAGAAATGCCCTCGAGAACAATGTCCCAAGTCTAGAGGAACACCAACTCCACCACAGCAACTCGAGGAATGCTCCGTTACCCCAAATCGTCTCGAGATGAGAGCTGTTTCCCTGGCTTAGGCTCAAGACGTATGCCAACTTCCCAGAAGCACCTCAGGAGGAGGCTTCTCTCAGCAATAAGTATGTGGGAGGGACCCCGAGTTTGCTGCCTCAAGGGGAATATACAGCGAGAAGCCCTAACTTGAAAGGAGTCCGAATTTCCTTGCAGTGGCTTGAATACAGGCTCGTCTTTCATCTCACAACATGAAGGGATGTCTGAATCCCCTGTGGAGAACTTAGAGAAAGCCTTAGGTCCCTGCCTCATTTTGACGGAATGCCTCACATCCCGCTGACACCTCGAGAGGCACGCGGAGTTAATTGCTTCAAAAATGACGATGCCTGACTCCTCTTGAATACTGATAGGAATCCCAAAATCCCTGTGGCTACTGGAAAGGGTCCTTGGGTGCCCTGCCTCACCTCGAAAAGCATACCTTTTGCCCTGGCAAGCCTCGAAGAGATTCCTGAGGTGTCCCTCGTTACTAGACAGGAGTCCTGACGTCACTGAAGAAACTCGTGTTTTGAAGGGCCATCCCCGCCGTAAGTCGAGAACATACCCCAGGTCCCCGCCGCAACTCGAGAAAAACCATGAGACTTCCCCCTAGAGGCGAGATGAGGCCCCATTCCCCTGCAGTGCATGCAGAGCTATTCCGTGATCCCATTCAAACAAGGCAGGAGCTTCGACTTGCTTAATGGATCTCGAGACAGTCCCCAAGAACACTGTCACCAGTCTAGACGGACCCTGAGGTCACCCCAGCAACGCAAAGCAGCTCCATGTGCCCCAAATCAACTCGAGATGGGGCCCGATTCCCCTGCATTGACTCCAGAGCCATTCCTCGTTCCCCATTCAACACGATCGGTGGCTCGACTTCCTTCAGGAAACTCCAGAGATGCCCCAAGAACACTGTCCCAAGTCTAGAGGAACACCAACTTCAGCACAGCAACTCGAGGAATGCTCCGTGTACCCCAAATCGTCTCGAGATGCGAGCTGATTCCCTGGCTTAGGCTCAAGACGTATGCCAACTTTCCAGAAGCACCTCAGGAGGAGGCTTCTCTCAGCAATAGGTATGTGGGAGGGACCCCGAGTTTGCTGCCTCAAGGGGAATATACCGCGAGAAGCCCTAACTTGAAAGGAGGCCGGATTTCCTTGCAGTGGCTTGAATACAGGCTCGTCTTTCATCTCACAATATGGAGGGATGTCTGAATCCCCTGTGTAGACCTTAGAGAAAGCCCTAGATCCCTGCCTCATTTTGACGGAATGCCTCACATCCCGCTGACACCTCGAGAGGCACGCGGAGTTCATTGCTTCAAAAGGTGACGATGCCTGACTCCTCTTGAATACTGATAGGAATCCCAAAATCCCTGTGGCTACTGGAAAGGGTCCTTGGGTGCCCTGCCTCACATCGAGAAGCATCCCTTTTGCCCTGCCAAGCCTCGAAGAGATTCCTGAGGTGTCCCTCGTTACTAGACAGGACTCCTGACGTCACTGAAGAAACTCGTGTTTTGAAGGGCCATCCCCGCCGTAAGTCGAGAACATACCCCAGGTCCCCGCCGCAACTCGAGAAAAACCATGAGACTTCCCCCTAGAGGCGAGATGAGGCCCCATTCCCCTGCAGTGCATGCAGAGCTATTCCGTGATCCCATTCAAACAAGGCAGGAACTTCGACTTGCTTTATGGATCTCGAGACAGTCCCCAAGAACACTGTCACCAGTCCAGACGGACCCTGAGGTCACCCCAGCACCGCAAAGCAGCTCCATGTGCCCCAAATCAACTCGAGATGAGGCCCGATTCCCCTGCATTGACTCCAGAGCCATTCCCCGTTCCCCATTCAACACGACCGGTGGCTCGACTTCCTTCAGGCAACTCCAGAGATGCCCCGAGAACACTGTCCCAAGTCTAGAGGAACACCAACTTCAGCACAGCAACTCGAGGAATGCTCCGTGTACCCCAAATCGTCTCGAGATGAGAGCTGATTCCCTGGCTTAGGCTCAAGACGTATGCCAACTTCCCAGAAGCACCTCAGGAGGAGGCTTCTCTCAGCAATAGGTATGTGGGAGGGACCCCGAGTTTGCTGCCTCAAGGGGAATATACAGCGAGAAGCCCTAACTTGAAAGGAGGCCGGATTTCCTTGCAGTGGCTTGAATACAGGCTCGTCTTTCATCTCACAATATGGAGGGATGTCTGAATCCCCTGTGGAGACCTTAGAGAAAGCCCTAGGTCCCTGCCTCATTTTGACGGAATGCCTCACATCCCGCTGACAACTCGAGAGGCACGCGGAGTTCATTGCTTCAAAAGGTGACGATGCCTGACTCCTCTTGAATACTGATAGGAATCCCAAAATCCCTGTGGCTACTGGAAAGGGTCCTTGGGTGCCCTGCCTCACCTCGAGAAGCGTCCCTTTTGCCCTGCCAAGCCTCGAAGAGATTCCTGAGGTGTCCCTCGTTACTAGACAGGAGTCCTGACGTCACTGAAGAAACTCGTGTTTTGAAGGGCCATCCCCGCCGTAAGTCGAGAACATACCCCAGGTCCCCACCGCAACTCGAGAAAAACAATGAGACTTCCCCCTAGAGGCGAGATGAGGCCCCATTCCCCTGCAGTGCATGCAGAGCTATTCCGTGATCCCATTCAAACAAGTCAGGAGCTTCGACTTGCTTAATGGATCTCCAGACAGTCCGCAAGAACACTGTCACCAGTCCAGACGGACCCTGAGGTCACCCCAGCACCGCAAAGCAGCTCCATGAGCCCCAAATCAACTCGAGATGAGGCCCGATTCCCCTACATTGACTCCAGAGCCATTCCCCGTTCCCCATTCAACACGACCGGTGGCTCGACTTCCTTCAGGCAACTCCAGAAATGCCCCGAGAACAATGTCCCAAGTCTAGAGGAACACCAACTCCACCACAGCAACTCGAGGAATGCTCCGTTACCCCAAATCGTCTCGAGATGAGAGCTGTTTCCCTGGCTTAGGCTCAAGACGTATGCCAACTTCCCAGAAGCACCTCAGGAGGAGGCTTCTCTCAGCAATAAGTATGTGGGAGGGACCCCGAGTTTGCTGCCTCAAGGGGAATATACAGCGAGAAGCCCTAACTTGAAAGGAGTCCGAATTTCCTTGCAGTGGCTTGAATACAGGCTCGTCTTTCATCTCACAACATGAAGGGATGTCTGAATCCCCTGTGGAGAACTTAGAGAAAGCCTTAGGTCCCTGCCTCATTTTGACGGAATGCCTCACATCCCGCTGACACCTCGAGAGGCACGCGGAGTTAATTGCTTCAAAAATGACGATGCCTGACTCCTCTTGAATACTGATAGGAATCCCAAAATCCCTGTGGCTACTGGAAAGGGTCCTTGGGTGCCCTGCCTCACCTCGAGAAGCATACCTTTTGCCCTGGCAAGCCTCGAAGAGATTCCTGAGGTGTCCCTCGTTACTAGACAGGAGTCCTGACGTCACTGAAGAAACTCGTGTTTTGAAGGGCCATCCCCGCCGTAAGTCGAGAACATACCCCAGGTCCCCGCCGCAACTCGAGAAAAACCATGAGACTTCCCCCTAGAGGCGAGATGAGGCCCCATTCCCCTGCAGTGCATGCAGAGCTATTCCGTGATCCCATTCAAACAAGGCAGGAGCTTCGACTTGCTTAATGGATCTCGAGACAGTCCCCAAGAACACTGTCACCAGTCTAGACGGACCCTGAGGTCACCCCAGCAACGCAAAGCAGCTCCATGTGCCCCAAATCAACTCGAGATGGGGCCCGATTCCCCTGCATTGACTCCAGAGCCATTCCTCGTTCCCCATTCAACACGATCGGTGGCTCGACTTCCTTCAGGAAACTCCAGAGATGCCCCAAGAACACTGTCCCAAGTCTAGAGGAACACCAACTTCAGCACAGCAACTCGAGGAATGCTCCGTGTACCCCAAATCGTCTCGAGATGCGAGCTGATTCCCTGGCTTAGGCTCAAGACGTATGCCAACTTTCCAGAAGCAACTCAGGAGGAGGCTTCTCTCAGCAATAGGTATGTGGGAGGGACCCCGAGTTTGCTGCCTCAAGGGGAATATACCGCGAGAAGCCCTAACTTGAAAGGAGGCCGGATTTCCTTGCAGTGGCTTGAATACAGGCTCGTCTTTCATCTCACAATATGGAGGGATGTCTGAATCCCCTGTGTAGACCTTAGAGAAAGCCCTAGGTCCCTGCCTCATTTTGACGGAATGCCTCACATCCCGCTGACACCTCGAGAGGCACGCGGAGTTCATTGCTTCAAAAGGTGACGATGCCTGACTCCTCTTGAATACTGATAGGAATCCCAAAATCCCTGTGGCTACTGGAAAGGGTCCTTGGGTGCCCTGCCTCACATCGAGAAGCATCCCTTTTGCCCTGCCAAGCCTCGAAGAGATTCCTGAGGTGTCCCTCGTTACTAGACAGGACTCCTGACGTCACTGAAGAAACTCGTGTTTTGAAGGGCCATCCCCGCCGTAAGTCGAGAACATACCCCAGGTCCCCGCCGCAACTCGAGAAAAACCATGAGACTTCCCCCTAGAGGCGAGATGAGGCCCCATTCCCCTGCAGTGCATGCAGAGCTATTCCGTGATCCCATTCAAACAAGGCAGGAACTTCGACTTGCTTTATGGATCTCGAGACAGTCCCCAAGAACACTGTCACCAGTCCAGACGGACCCTGAGGTCACCCCAGCACCGCAAAGCAGCTCCATGTGCCCCAAATCAACTCGAGATGAGGCCCGATTCCCCTGCATTGACTCCAGAGCCATTCCCCGTTCCCCATTCAACACGACCGGTGGCTCGACTTCCTTCAGGCAACTCCAGAGATGCCCCGAGAACACTGTCCCAAGTCTAGAGGAACACCAACTTCAGCACAGCAACTCGAGGAATGCTCCGTGTACCCCAAATCGTCTCGAGATGAGAGCTGATTCCCTGGCTTAGGCTCAAGACGTATGCCAACTTCCCAGAAGCACCTCAGGAGGAGGCTTCTCTCAGCAATAGGTATGTGGGAGGGACCCCGAGTTTGCTGCCTCAAGGGGAATATACAGCGAGAAGCCCTAACTTGAAAGGAGGCCGAATTTCCTTGCAGTGGCTTGAATACAGGCTCGTCTTTCATCTCACAACATGAAGGGATGTCCGAATCCCCTGTGGAGACCTTAGAGATAGCCCTAGGTCCCTGCCTCATTTTGACGGAATGCCTCACATCCCGCTGACACCTCGAGAGGCACGCGGAGTTCATTGCTTCAAAAATGACGATGCCTGACTCCTCTTGAATACTGATAGGAATCCCAAAATCCCTTTGGCTATTGGAAAGGGTCCTTGGGTGCCTTGCCTCACCTCGAGAAGCATCCCTTTTGCCCTGGCAAGCCTCGAAGAGATTCCTGAGGTGTCCCTCGTTACTAGACAGGAGTCCTGACGTCACTGAAGAAACTCGTGTTTTGAAGGGCCATCCCCGCCGTAAGTCGAGAACATACCCCAGGTCCCCGCCGCACCTCGAGAAAAACCATGAGACTTCCCCCTAGAGGCGAGATGAGGCCCCATTCCCCTGCAGTGCATGCAGAGCTATTCCGTGATCCCATTCAAACAAGTCAGGAGCTTCGACTTGCTTAATGGATCTCGAGACAGTCACCAAGAACACTGTCACCAGTCTAGACGGACCCTGAGGTCACCCCAACAACGCAAAGCAGCTCCATGTGGCCCAAATCAACTGGAGATGGGGCCCGATTCCCCTGCATTGACTCCAGAGCCATTCCTCGTTCCCCATTCAACACGACCGGTGGCTCGACTTCCTTCAGGAAACTCCAGAGATGCCCCAAGAACACTGTCCCAAGTCTAGAGGAACACCAACTTCAGCACAGCAACTGGAGGAATGCTCCGTGTACCCCAAATCGTCTCGAGATGAGAGCTGATACCCTCGCTTAGGCTCAAGACGTATGCCAACTTTCCAGAAGCACCTCAGGAGGAGGCTTCTCTCAGCAATAGTTATGTGGGAGGGACCCCGAGTTTGCTGCCTCAAGGGGAATATACCGCGAGAAGCCCTAACTTGAAAGGAGGCCGGATTTCCTTGCAGGGGCTTGAATACAGGCTCGTCTTTCATCTCACAACATGAAGGGATGTCTGAATCCCCTGTGGAGACCTTAGAGAAAGCCCTAGGTCCCTGCCTCATTTTGACGGAATGCCTCACATCCCGCTGACACCTCGAGAGGCACGCGGAATTCATTGCTTCAAAAGGTGACGATGCCTGACTCCTCTTGAATACTGATAGGAATCCCAAACTCGCTGTGGCTACTGGAAAGGGTCCTTGGGTGCCCTGCCTCACCTCGAGAAGCGTCCCTTTTGCCCTGCCAAGCCTCGAAGAGATTCCTGAGGTGTCCCTCGTTACTAGACAGGAGTCCTGATGTCACTGAAGAAACTCGTGGTTTGAAGGGCCATCCCCGCCGTAAGTCGAGGACATAGCCCAGGTCCCCATCGCAAGTCCATAAAAACCATGAGACTTCCCCCTAGAGGGGAGATGAGGCCCCATTCCGCTGCAATGCATGCAGAGCTATTCCGTGATCCCATTCAAACAAGTCAGGAGCTTCGACTTGCTTAATGGATCTCGAGACAGTCCCCAAGAACACTGTCACCAGTCTAGACGGACCATGAGGTCACCCCAGAAACGCAAAGCAGCTCCATGTGCCCCAAATCAACTCGAGATGAGGCCCGATTCCGCTGCATTGACTCCAGAGCCATTCCCCGTTCCCCATTCAACACGACCGGTGGCTCGACTTCCTTCACACAACTCCAGAGATGCCCGGAGAACACTGTCCCAAGTCTAGAGGAAAAACAACTTCAGCACAGCAACTCGAGGAATGATCCGTGTACCCCAAATCGTCTCGAGATGAGAGCTGATTCCCTGGCTTAGGCTCAAGACGTATGCCAACTTTCCAGAAGCACCTCAGGAGGAGGCTTCTCTCAGCAATAGGTATGTGGGAGGGACACCGAGTTTGCTGCCTCAAGGGGAATATACAGGGAGAAGCCCTAACTTGAAACGAGGCCAGATTTCCTTGCAGTGGCTTGAATACAGGCTCGTCTTTCATCTCACAACATGAAGGGATGTCTGAATCCCCTGTGGAGACCTTAGAGAAAGCCCTAGGTCCCTGCCTCATTTTTACGGAATGCGTCACATCCCACTGACACCTCGAGAGGCACACGGAGTTCATTGCTTTAAAAGGTGACGATGTCTGACTCCTCTTGAATGCTGATAGGAATCCCAAAATCCCTGTGGCTACTGGAAAGGGTCCTTGGGTGCCCTGCCTCACCTCGAGAAGCGTCCCAATTGCCCTGCAAAGCCTCGAAGAGATTCCTGAGGTGTCCCTCGTTACTAGACAGGAGTCCTGACGTCACTGAAGAAACTCGTGTTCTGAAGGGCCAGCCCCGCCGTAAGTCGAGAACATACCCCAGGTCCCCGCCGCAACTCGAGAAAAACCATGAGACTTCCCCCTAGAGGCGAGATGAGGCCCCATTCCCCTGCAGTGCATGCAGAGCTATTCCGTGATCCCATTCAAACAAGTCAGGAGCTTCGAATTGCTTAATGGATCTCGAGAGAGTCCCCAAGAACACTGTCACCAGTGTAGACGGACCCTGAGGTCACCCCAGCAATGCAAAGCAGCTCCATGTGTCCCAAATCAACTCGAGATGAGGCCCGATTCCGCTGCATTGACTCCAGAGCCATTCCTGGTTCCCCATTCAACACGACCGGTGGCTCGACTTCCTTCAGGCAACTCCAGAGATGCCCCGAGAACACTGTCCCAAGTCTAGAGGAACACCAACTTCAGCACAGCAACTCGAAGTATGCTCCGTGTACCCCAAATCGTCTCGAGATGAAAGCTGATTCCCTGGCTTAGGCTCAAGACGTATGCCAACTTTCCAGAAGCACCTCAGGAGGAGGCTTCTCTCAGCAACAAGTATGTGGGAGGGACCCCGAGTTTGCTGCCTCAAGGGGAATATACCGCGAGAAGCCCTAACTTGAAAGGAGGCCGGATTTCCTTGCAGTGGCTTGAATACAGGCTCGTCTTTCATCTCACAATATGGAGGGATGTCTGAATCCCCTGTGTAGACCTTAGAGAAAGCCCTAGGTCCCTGCCTCATTTTGACGGAATGCCTCACATCCCGCTGACACCTCGAGAGGCACGCGGAGTTCATTGCTTCAAAAGGTGACGATGCCTGACTCCTCTTGAATACTGATAGGAATCCCAAAATCCCTGTGGCTACTGGAAAGGGTCCTTGGGTGCCCTGCCTCACCTCGAGAAGCGTCCCTTTTGCCCTGCCAAGCCTCGAAGAGATTCCTGAGGTGTCCCTCGTTACTAGACAGGAGTCCTGATGTCACTGAAGAAACTCGTGGTTTGAAGGGCCATCCCCGCCGTAAGTCGAGGACATAGCCCAGGTCCCCATCGCAAGTCGAGAAAAACCATGAGACTTCCCCCTAGAGGGGAGATGAGGCCCCATTCCCCTGCAATGCATGCAGAGCTATTCCGTGATCACATTCAAACAAGTCAGGAGCTTCGACTTGCTTAATGGATCTCGAGACAGTCCCCAAGAAGACTGTCACCAGTCTAGACGGACCCTGAGGTCACCCCAGCAACGCAAAGCAGCTCCATGTGCCCCAAATCAACTCGAGATGAGGCCCGATTCCGCTGCATTGACTCCAGAGTCTTTCCCCGTTCCCCATTCAACACGACCGGTGGCTCGACTTCCTTCAGACAACTCCAGAGATGCCCTGAGAACACTGTCCCAAGTCTAGAGGAACACCAACTTCAGCACAGCAACTCGAGGAATGATCCGTGTACCCCAAATCGTCTCGAGATGAGAGCTGATTCCCTGGCTTAGGTTCAAGACGTATGCCAACTTTCCAGAAGCACCTCAGGAGGAGGCTTCTCTCAGCAATAGGTATGTGGGAGGGACACCGAGTTTGCTGCCTCAAGGGGAATATACAGGGAGAAGCCCTAACTTGAAACGAGGCCAGATTTCCTTGCAGTGGCTTGAATACAGGCTCGTCTTTCATCTCACAACATGAAGGGATGTCTGAATCCCCTGTGGAGACCTTAGAGAAAGCCCTAGGTCCCTGCCTCATTTTTACGGAATGCGTCACATCCCGCTGACACCTCGAGAGGCACGCGGAGTTCACTGCTTTAAAAGGTGACGATGTCTGACTCCTCTTGAATGCTGATAGGAATCCCAAAATCCCTGTGGCTACTGGAAAGGGTCCTTGGGTGCCCTGCCTCACCTCGAGAAGCGTCCCATTTGCCCTGCAAAGCCTCGAAGAGATTCCTGAGGTGTCCCTCGTTACTAGACAGGAGTCCTGACGTCACTGAAGAAACTCGTGTTCTGAAGGGCCAGCCCCGCCGTAAGTCGAGAACATACCCCAGGTCCCCGCCGCAACTCGAGAAAAACCATGAGACTTCCCCCTAGAGGCGAGATGAGGCCCCATTCCCCTGCAGTGCATGCAGAGCTATTCCGTGATCCTATTCAAACAAGTCAGGAGCTTCGACTTGCTTAGTGGATCTCCAGACAGTCCCCAAGAACACTGTCACCAGTCCAGACGGACCCTGAGGTCACCCCAGCACCGCAAAGCAGCTCCATGTGCCGCAAATCAACTCGAGATGAGACCCGATTCCCCTGCATTGACTCCAGAGCCATTCCCCGTTCGCCATTCAACACGACCGGTGGCTCGACTTCCTTCAGGCAACTCCAGAAATGCCCCGAGAACACTGTCCCAAGTCTAGAGGAACACCAACTTCAGCACAGCAACTCGAGGAATGCTCCGTGTACCCCAAATCGTCTCGAGATGAGAGCTGATTCCCTGGCTTAGGCTCAAGACGTATGCCAACTTCCCAGAAGCACCTCAGGAGGAGGCTTCTCTCAGCAATAGGTATGTGGGAGGGACCCCGAGTTTGCTGCCTCAAGGGGAATATACAGCGAGAAGCCCTAACTTGAAAGGAGTCCGAATTTCCTTGCAGTGGCTTGAATACAGGCTCGTCTTTCATCTCACAACATGAAGGGATGTCTGAATCCCCTGTGGAGACCTTAGAGAAAGCCCTAGGTCCCTGCCTCATTTTGATGGAATGCCTCACATCCCGCTGACACCTCGAGAGGCACGCGGAGTTAATTGCTTCAAAAATGACGATGCCTGACTCCTCTTGAATACTGATAAGAATCCCAAAATCCCTGTGGCTACTGGAAAGGGTCCTTGGGTGCCCTGCCTCACCTCGAGAAGCATCCCTTTTGCCCTGGCAAGCCTCGAAGAGATTCCTGAGGTGTCCCTCGTTACTAGACAGGAGTCCTGACATCACTGAAGAAACTCGTGGTTTGAAGGGCCATCCCCGCCGTAAGTCGAGAACATACCCCAGGTCCCCGCCGCAACTCGAGAAAAACCATGAGACTTCCCCCTATAGGCGAGATGAGGCCGCATTCCCCTGCAGTGCATGCAAAGCTATTCCGTGATCCCATTCAAACAAGTCAGGAGCTTCGTCTTGCTTAATGGGTCTAGAGACAGTCCCCAAGAACACTGTCACCAGTCTAGACGGACCCTGTGGTCACCCCAGCAACGCAAAGCAGCTCCATGTGCCCCAAAGCAACTCGAGATGAGGCCCGTTTCCCCTGCATTGACTCCAGAGCCATTCCCCGTTCCCCATTCAACACGACTGGTGGCTCGACTTCCTTCAGTCAACTCCAGAGATGCCCTGAGAACACTGTCCCAAGTCTAGAGGAACACCAACTTCAGCACAGCAACTCGAGGAATGCTCCGTGTACCCCAAATCGTCTCGAGATGAGAGCTGATTCCCTGGCTTAGGCTCAAGACGTATACCAACTCCCCAGAAGCACCTCAGGAGGAGGCTTCTCTCAGCAATAGGTATGTGGGAGGGACCCCGAGTTTGCTGCCTCAAGGGGAATATACAGCGAGAAGCCCTAACTTGAAAGGAGGCCGGATTTCCTTGCAGTGGCTTGAATACAGGCTCGTCTTTCATCTCACAACATGAAGGGATGTCTGAATGCCCTTTGGAGACCTTAGAGAAAGCCCTAGGTCCCTGCCTCATTTTGACGGAATGCCTCACATCCCGCTGACACCTCGAGAGGCACGCGGAGTTCATTGCTTCAAAAGGTGACGATGCCTGACTCCTCTTGAATACTGATAGGAATCCCAAAAATCCTGTGGCTACTGGAAAGGGTCCTTGGGTGCCCTGCCTCACCTCGAGAAGCGTCCCTTTTGCGTGCCAAGCCTCGAAGAGATTCCTGAGGTGTCCCTCTTTACTAGACAGGAGTCCTGACGTCACTGAAGAAACTCGTGTTTTGAAGGGCCATCCCCGCCGTAAGTCGAGAACATACCCCAGGTCGCTGCCGCAACTCGAGAAAAACCATGAGACTTCCCCCTAGAGGCGAGATGAGGCCCCATTCCCCTGCAGTGCATGCAGAGCTATTCCGTGATCCCATTCAAACAAGTCAGGAGCTTCGACTTGCTTAATGGATCTCGAGACAGTCCCCAAGAACACTGTCACCAGTGTAGACGGACCCTGAGGTCACCCCAGCAACGCAAAGCAGCTCCATGTGCCCCAAATCAACTCGAGATGAGGCCCGATTCCCCTGCATTGACTCCAGAGCCATTCCCCGTTCCCCATTCAACACGACCGGTGGCTCGACTTCCTTCAGGCAACTCCAGAGATGCCCCGAGAACACTGTCACAAGTCTAGAGGAACACCAACTTCAGCACAGCAACTCGAAGAATGCTCCGTGTACCCCAAATCGTCTCGAGATGAAAGCTGATTCCCTGGCTTAGGCTCAAGACGTATGCCAACTTTCCAGAAGCACCTCAGGAGGAGGCTTCTCTCAGCAATAGGTATGTGGGAGGGACCCCGAGTTTGCTGCCTCAAGGGGAATGTACCGCGAGAAGCCCTAACTTGAAAGGAGGCCGGATTTCCTTGCAGTGGCTTGAATACAGGCTCGTCTTTCATCTCACAATATGGAGGGATGTCTGAATCCCCTGTGGAGACCTTAGAGAAAGCCCTAGGTCCCTGCCTCATTTTGACGGAATGCCTCACATCCCGCTGACACCTCGAGAGGCACGCGGAGTTCATTGCTTCAAAAGGTGACGATGCCTGACTCCTCTTGAATACTGATAGGAATCCCAAAATCCCTGTGGCTACTGGAAAGGGTCCTTGGGTGCCCTGCCTCACCTCGAGAAGCATCCCTTTTGCCCTGCCAAGCCTCGAAGAGATTCCTGAGGTGTCCCTCGTTACTAGACAGGAGTCCTGATGTCACTGAAGAAACTCGTGGTTTGAAGGGCCATCCCCGCCGTAAGTCGAGGACATAGCCCAGGTCCCCATCGAAGGTCGAGAAAAACCATGAGACTTCCCCCTAGAGGGGAGATGAGGCCCCATTCCCCTGCAATGCATGCAGAGCTATTCCGTGATCACATTAAAACAAGTCAGGAGCTTCGACTTGCTTAATGGATCTCGAGACAGTCCCCAAGAACACTGTCACCAGTCTAGACGGACCCTGAGGTCACCCCAGCAACGCAAAGCAGCTCCATGTGCCCCAAATCAACTCGAGATGAGGCCCGATTCCGCTGCATTGACTCCAGAGCCATTCCCCGTTCCCCATTCAACACGACCGGTGGCTCGATTTCCTTCAGGCAACTCCAGAGATGCCCTGAGAACACTGTCCCAAGTCTAGAGGAACACCAACTTCAGCACAGCAACTCGAGGAATGATCCGTGTACCCCAAATCGTCTCGAGATGAGAGCTGATTCCCTGGCTTAGGTTCAAGACGTATGCCAACTTTCCAGAAGCACCTCAGGAGGAGGCTTCTCTCAGCAATAGGTATGTGGGAGGGACACCGAGTTTGCTGCCTCAAGGGGAATATACAGGGAGAAGCCCTAACTTGAAACGAGGCCAGATTTCCTTGCAGTGGCTTGAATACAGGCTCTTCTTTCATCTCACAACATGAAGGGATGTCTGAATCCCCTGTGGAGACCTTAGAGAAAGCCCTAGGTCCCTGCCTCATTTTTACGGAATGCGTCACATCCCACTGACACCTCGAGAGGCACACGGAGTTCATTGCTTTAAAAGGTGACGATGTCTGACTCCTCTTGAATGCTGATAGGAATCCCAAAATCCCTGTGGCTACTGGAAAGGGTCCTTGGGTGCCCTGCCTCACCTCGAGAAGCGTCCCATTTGCACTGCAAAGCCTCGAAGAGATTCCTGAGGTGTCCCTCGTTACTAGACAGGAGTCCTGACGTCACTGAAGAAACTCGTGTTCTGAAGGGCCAGCCCCGCCGTAAGTCGAGAACATACCCCAGGTCCCCGCCGCAACTCGAGAAAAACCATGAGACTTCCCCCTAGAGGCGAGATGAGGCCCCATTCCCCTGCAGTGCATGCAGAGCTATTCCGTGATCCCATTCAAACAAGTCAGGAGCTTCGACTTGCTTAATGGATCTCCAGACAGTCCCCAAGAACACTGTCACCAGTCCAGACGGACCCTGAGGTCACCCCAGCACCGCAAAGCAGCTCCATGTGCCCCAAATCAACTCGAGATGAGACCCGATTCCCCTGCATTGACTCCAGAGCCATTCCCCGTTCCCCATTCAACACGACCGGTGGCTCGACTTCCTTCAGGCAACTCCAGAGATGCCCCGAGAACACTGTCCCAAGTCTAGAGGAACACCAACTTCAGCACAGCAACTCGAGGAATGCTCCGTGTACCCCAAATCGTCTCGAGATGAGAGCTGATTCCCTGGCTTAGGCTCAAGACGTATGCCAACTTCCCAGAAGCACCTCAGGAGGAGGCTTCTCTCAGAAATAGGTATGTGGGAGGGACCCCGAGTTTGCTGCCTCAAGGGGAATATACAGCGAGAAGCCCTAACTTGAAAGGAGTCCGAATTTCCTTGCAGTGGCTTGAATACAGGCTCGTCTTTCATCTCACAACATGAAGGGATGTCTGAATCCCCTGTGGAGACCTTAGAGAAAGCCCTAGGTCCCTGCCTCATTTTGATGGAATGCCTCACATCACGCTGACACCTCGAGAGGCACGCGGAGTTAATTGCTTCAAAAATGACGATGCCTGACTCCTCTTGAATACTGATAAGAATCCCAAAATCCCTGTGGCTACTGGAAAGGGTCCTTGGGTGCCCTGCCTCACCTCGAGAAGCATCCCTTTTGCCCTGGCAAGCCTCGAAGAGATTCCTGAGGTGTCCCTCGTTACTAGACAGGAGTCCTGACGTCACTGAAGAAACTCGTGGTTTGAAGGGCCATCCCCGCCGTAAGTCGAGAACATACCCCAGGTCCCCGCCGCAACTCGAGAAAAACCATGAGACTTCCCCCTATAGGCGAGATGAGGCCGCATTCCCCTGCAGTGCATGCAGAGCTATTCCGTGATCCCATTCAAACAAGTCAGGAGCTTCGTCTTGCTTAATGGGTCTAGAGACAGTCCCCAAGAACACTGTCTCCAGTCTAGACGGACCCTGTGGTCACCCCAGCAACGCAAAGCAGCTCCATGTGCCCCAAAGCAACTCGAGATGAGGCCCGTTTCCCCTGCATTGACTCCAGAGCCATTCCCCGTTCCCCATTCAACACGACTGGTGGCTCGACTTCCTTCAGGCAACTCCAGAGATGCCCTGAGAACACTGTCCCAAGTCTAGAGGAACACCAACTTCAGCACAGCAACTCGAGGAATGCTCCGTGTACCCCAAATCGTCTCGAGATGAGAGCTGATTCCCTGGCTTAGGCTCAAGACGTATACCAACTCCCCAGAAGCACCTCAGGAGGAGGCTTCTCTCAGCAATAGGTATGTGGGAGGGACCCCGAGTTTGCTGCCTCAAGGGGAATATACAGGGAGAAGCCTTAACTTGAAAGGAGGCCGGATTTCCTTGCAGTGGCTTGAATACAGGCTCGTCTTTCATCTCACAACATGAAGGGATGTCTGAATGCCCTTTGGAGACCTTAGAGAAAGCCCTAGGTCCCTGCCTCATTTTGACGGAATGCCTCACATCCCGCTGACACCTCGAGAGGCACGCGGAGTTCATTGCTTCAAAAGGTGACGATGCCTGACTCCTCTTGAATACTGATAGGAATCCCAAAAATCCTGTGGCTACTGGAAAGGGTCCTTGGGTGCCCTGCCTCACCTCGAGAAGCGTCCCTTTTGCGTGCCAAGCCTCGAAGAGATTCCTGAGGTGTCCCTCTTTACTAGACAGGAGTCCTGACGTCACTGAAGAAACTCGTGTTTTGAAGGGCCATCCCCGCCGTAAGTCGAGAACATACCCCAGGTCGCTGCCGCAACTCGAGAAAAACCATGAGACTTCCCCCTAGAGGCGAGATGAGGCCCCATTCCCCTGCAGTGCATGCAGAGCTATTCCGTGATCCCATTCAAACAAGTCAGGAGCTTCGACTTGCTTAATGGATCTCGAGACAGTCCCCAAGAACACTGTCACCAGTGTAGACGGACCCTGAGGTCACCCCAGCAACGCAAAGCAGCTCCATGTGCCCCAAATCAACTCGAGATGAGGCCCGATTCCCCTGCATTGACTCCAGAGCCATTCCCCGTTCCCCATTCAACACGACCGGTGGCTCGACTTCCTTCAGGCAACTCCAGAGATGCCCCGAGAACACTGTCACAAGTCTAGAGGAACACCAACTTCAGCAGAGCAACTCGAAGAATGCTCCGTGTACCCCAAATCGTCTCGAGATGAAAGCTGATTCCCTGGCTTAGGCTCAAGACGTATGCCAACTTTCCAGAAGCACCTCAGGAGGAGGCTTCTCTCAGCAATAGGTATGTGGGAGGGACCCCGAGTTTGCTGCCTCAAGGGGAATGTACCGCGAGAAGCCCTAACTTGAAAGGAGGCCGGATTTCCTTGCAGTGGCTTGAATACAGGCTCGTCTTTCATCTCACAATATGGAGGGATGTCTGAATCCCCTGTGGAGACCTTAGAGAAAGCCCTAGGTCCCTGCCTCATTTTGACGGAATGCCTCACATCCCGCTGACACCTCGAGAGGCACGCGGAGTTCATTGCTTCAAAAGGTGACGATGCCTGACTCCTCTTGAATACTGATAGGAATCCCAAAATCCCTGTGGCTACTGGAAAGGGTCCTTGGGTGCCCTGCCTCACCTCGAGAAGCGTCCCTTTTGCCCTGCCAAGCCTCGAAGAGATTCCTGAGGTGTCCCTCGTTACTAGACAGGAGTCCTGATGTCACTGAAGAAACTCGTGGTTTGAAGGGCCATCCCCGCCGTAAGTCGAGGACATAGCCCAGGTCCCCATCGCAAGTCGAGAAAAACCATGAGACTTCCCCCTAGAGGGGAGATGAGGCCCCATTAACCTGCAATGCATGCAGAGCTATTCCGTGATCACATTCAAACAAGTCAGGAGCTTCGACTTGCTTAATGGATCTCGAGACAGTCCCCAAGAACACTGTCACCAGTCTAGACGGACCCTGAGGTCACCCCAGCAACGCAAAGCAGCTCCATGTGCCCCAAATCAACTCGAGATGAGGCCCGATACCGCAGCATTGACTCCAGAGCCATTCCCCGTTCCCCATTCAACACGACCGGTGGCTCGATTTCCTTCAGGCAACTCCAGAGATGCCCCGAGAACACTGTCCCAAGTCTAGAGGAACACCAACTTCAGCACAGCAACTCGAGGAATGATCCGTGTACCCCAAATCGTCTCGAGATGAGAGCTGATTCCCTGGCTTAGGTTCAAGACGTATGCCAACTTTCCTGAATCACCTCAGGAGGAGGCTTCTCTCAGCAATAGGTATGTGGGAGGGACCCCGAGTTTGCTGCCTGAAGGGGAATATACAGCGAGAAGCCCTAACTTGAAACGAGGCCAGATTTCCTTGCAGTGGCTTGAATACAGGCTCGTCTTTCATCTCACAACATGAAGGGATGTCTGAATCCCCTGTGGAGACCTTAGAGAAAGCCCTAGGTCCCTGCCTCATTTTTACGGAATGCCTCACATCCCGCTGACACCTCGAGAGGCACGCGGAGTTCATTGCTTTAAAAGGTGACGATGCCTGACTCCTCTTGAATGCTGATAGCAATCCCAAAATCCCTGTGGCTACTGGAAAGGGTCCTTGGGTGCCCTGCCTCACCTCGAGAAGCGTCCCATTTGCCCTGCAAAGCCTCGAAGAGATTCCTGAGGTGTCCCTCGTTACTAGACAGGAGTCCTGACGTCACTGAAGAAACTCGTGTTCTGAAGGGCAAGCCCCGCCGTAAGTCGAGAACATACCCCAGGTCCCCGCCGCAACTCGAGAAAAACCATGAGACTTCCCCCTAGAGGCGAGATGAGGCCCCATTCCCCTGCAGTGCATGCAGAGCTATTCCGTGATCCCATTCAAACAAGTCAGGAGCTTCGACTTGCTTAATGGATCTCCAGACAGCCCCAAGAACACTGTCACCAGTCCAGACGGACCCTGAGGTCACCCCAGCACCGCAAAGCAGCTCCATGTGCCGCAAATCAACTCGAGATGAGACCCGATTCCCCTGCATTGACTCCAGAGCCATTCCCCGTTCCCCATTCAACACGACCGGTGGCTCGACTTCCTTCAGGCAACTCCAGAAATGCCCCGAGAACACTGTCCCAAGTCTAGAGGAACACCAACTTCAGCACAGCAACTCGAGGAATGCTCCGTGTACCCCAAATCGTCTCGAGATGAGAGCTGATTACCTAGCTTAGGCTCAAGACGTATGCCAACTTCCCAGAAGCACCTCAGGAGGAGGCTTCTCTCAGAAATAGGTATGTGGGAGGGACCCCGAGTTTGCTGCCTCAAGGGGAATATACAGCGAGAAGCCCTAACTTGAAAGGAGTCCGAATTTCCTTGCAGTGGCTTGAATACAGGCTCGTCTTTCATCTCACAACATGAAGGGATGTCTGAATCCCCTGTGGAGACCTTAGAGAAAGCCCTAGGTCCCTGCCTCATTTTTACGGTATGCCTCACATCCCGCTGACACCTCGAGAGGCACGCGGAGTTCATTGCTTCAAAAGGTGACGATGCCTGACTCCTCTTGAATGCTGATAGCAATCCCAAAATCCCTGTGGCTACTGGAAAGGGTCCTTGGGTGCCCTGCCTCACCTCGAGAAGCGCCCCATTTGCCCTGCAAAGCCTCGAAGAGATTCCTGAGGTGTCCCTCGTTACTAGACAGGAGTCCTGACGTCACTGAAGAAACTCGTGTTCTGAAGGGCCAGCCCCGCCGTAAGTCGGGAACATACCCCAGGTCCCCGCCGCAACTCGAGAAAAACCATGAGACTTCCCCCTAGAGGCGAGATGAGGCCCCATTCCCCTGCAGTGCATGCAGAGCTATTCCGTGATCCCATTCAAACAAGTCAGGAGCTTCGACTTGCTTAATGGATCTCCAGACAGCCCCAAGAACACTGTCACCAGTCCAGACGGACCCTGAGGTCACCCCAGCACCGCAAAGCAGCTCCATGTGCCGCAAATCAACTCGAGATGAGACCCGATTCCCCTGCATTGACTCCAGAGCCATTCCCCGTTCCCCATTCAACACGACCGGTGGCTCGACTTCCTTCAGGCAACTCCAGAAATGCCCCGAGAACACTGTCCCAAGTCTAGAGGAACACCAACTTCAGCACAGCAACTCGAGGAATGCTCCGTGTACCCCAAATCGTCTCGAGATGAGAGCTGATTCCCTCGCTTAGGCTCAAGACGTATGCCAACTTCCCAGAAGCACCTCAGGAGGAGGCTTCTCTCAGAAATAGGTATGTGGGAGGGACCCCGAGTTTGCTGCCTCAAGGGAAATATACAGCGAGAAGCCCTAACTTGAAAGGAGTCCGAATTTCCTTGCAGTGGCTTGAATACAGGCTCGTCTTTCATCTCACAACATGAAGGGATGTCTGAATCCCCTGTGGAGACCTTAGAGAAAGCCCTAGGTCCCTGCCTCATTTTGATGGAATGCCTCACATCCCGCTGACACCTCGAGAGGCACGCGGAGTTAGTTGCTTCAAAAATGACGATGCCTGACTCCTCTTGAATACTGATAAGAATCCCAAAATCCCTGTGGCTACTGGAAAGGGTCCTTGGGTGCCCTGCCTCATCTCGAGAAGCATCCCTTTTGCCCTGGCAAGCCTCGAAATATTCCTGAGGTGTCCCTCGTTACTAGACAGGAGTCCTGACGTCACTGAAGAAACTCGTGGTTTGAAGGGCCATCCCCGCCGTAAGTCGAGAACATACCCCAGGTCCCCGCCGCAACTCGAGAAAAACCATGAGACTTCCCCCTAGAGGCGAGATGAGGCCGCATTCCCCTGCAGTGCATGCAGAGCTATTCCGTGATCCCATTCAAACAAGTCAGGAGCTTCGACTTGCTTAGTGGATCTCGAGACAGTCCCCAAGAACACTGTCACCAGTCTAGACGGACCCTGAGGTCACCCCAGCAATGCAAAGCAGCTCCATGTGCCCCAAATCAACTCGAGATGGGGCCCGATTCCCCTGCATTGACTCCAGAGCCATTCCTCGTTCCCCATTCAACACGACCCGTGGCTCGACTTCCTTCAGGAAACTCCAGAGATGCCCCAAGAACACTGTCCCAAGTCTAGAGGAACACCAACTTCAGCACAGCAACTCGAGGAATGTTCCGTGTACCCCAAATCGTCTCGAGATGAGAGCTGATTCCCTGGCTTAGGCTCAAGACGTATGCCAACTTTCCAGAAGCACCTCAGGAGGAGGCTTCTCTCAGCAATAGGTATGTGGGAGGGACCCCGAGTTTGCTGCCTCAAGGGGAATATACCGCGAGAAGCCCTAACTGAAAGGAGGCCGGATTTCCTTGCAGGGGCTTGAATACAGGCTCGTCTTTCATCTCACAACATGAAGGGATGTCTGAATCCCCTGTGGAGACCTTAGAGAAAGCCCTAGGTCCCTGCCTCATTTTGACGGAATGCCTCACATCCCGCTGACACCTCGAGAGGCACGCGGAGTTCATTGCTTCAAAAGGTGACGATGCCTGACTCCTCTTGAATACTGATAGAAATCCCAAAATCCATGTGGCTACTGGAAAGGGTCCTTGGGTGCCCTGCCTCACCTCGAGAAGCGTCCCTTTTGCCCTGCCAAGCCTCGACGAGATTCCTGAGGTGTCCCTCGTTACTAGACAGGAGTCTTGACGTCACTGAAGAAACTCGTGTTTTGAAGGGCCATCCCCGCCGTAAGTCGAGAACATACCCCAGGTCCCTGCCGCAACTCGAGAAAAACCATGAGACTTCCCACTGGAGGAGAGATGAGGCCCCATTCCCCTGCAGTGCATGCAGAGCTATTCCGTGATCCCATTCAAACAAGTCAGGAGCTTCGACTTGCTTAATGGATCTCGAGACAGTCCCCAAGAACACTGTCACCAGTCTAGACGGACCCTGAGGTCACCCCAGCAACGCAAAGCAGCTCCATGTGCCCCAAATCAACTCGAGATGAGGCCCGATTCCCCTGCATTGACTCCAGAGCCATTCCCCGTTCCCCATTCAACACGACCAGTGGCTCGACTTCTTTCAAGCAACTCCAGAGATGCCCTGAGAACACTGTCCCAAGTCTAGAGGAACACCAACTTCAGCACAGCAACTCGAAGAATGCTCCGTGTACCCCAAATCGTCTCGAGATGAGAGCTGATTCCCTGGCTTAGGCTCAAGACGTATGCCAACTTTCCAGAAGCATCTCAGGAGGAGGCTTCTCTCAGCAATAGGTATGTGGGAGGGACCCCGAGTTTGCTGCCACAAGGGGAATATACCGCGAGAAGCCCTAACTTGAAAGGAGGCCGGATTTCCTTGCAGGGGCTTGAATACAGGCTAGTCTTTCATCTCACAACATGAAGGGATGTCTGAATCTCCTGTGGAGACCTTAGAGAAAGCCCTAGGTCCCTGCCTCATTTTGACCTAATGCCTCACATCCCGCTGACACCTCGAGAGGCACTTGGAGTTCATTGCTTCAAAATGTGACGATGCCTGACTCTTCTTGAATACTGATAGCAATCCCAAAATCCCTGTGGCTACTGGAAAGGGTCCTTGGATGCCCTGCCTCACCTCGAGAAGCGTCCCTTTTGCCCTGCCAAGCCTCAAAGAGATTCCTGAGGTGTCCCTCGTTACTAGACAGGAGTCTTGACGTCACTGAAGAAACTCGTGTTTTGAAGGGCCATCCCCGCCGTAAGTCGAGAACATAGCCCAGGTCTCTGCCGCAACTCGAGAAAAACCATGAGACTTCCCCCTGGAGGGGAGATGAGGCCCCATTCCCCTGCAGTGCATGCAGAGCTATTCCGTGATCCCATTCAAACAAGTCAGGAGCTTCGACTTGCTTAATGGTTCTCGAGACAGTCCCCAAGAACACTGTCACCAGTCTAGACGGACCCTGAGGTCAACCCAGCAACGCAAAGCAGCTCCATATGCCCAAAATCAACTCGAGATGAGACCCGATTCCCCTGCATTGACTCCAGAGCCATTCCCCGTTCCCCATTCAACACGACCGGTGGCTCCACTTCCTTCAAGCAACTCCAGAGATGCCCCGAGAACACTGTCCCAAGTCTAGAGGAACACCAACTTCAGCACAGCAACTAGAAGAATGCTCCGTGTACCCCAAATCGTCTCGAGATGAGAGCTGATTCCCTGGCTTAGGCTCAAGACGTATGCCAACTTTCCAGAAGCACCTCAGGAGGAGGCTTCTCTCAGCAATAGGTATGTGGGAGGGACCCCGAGTTTGCTGCCACAAGGGGAATATACCGCGAGAAGCCCTAACTTGAAAGGAGGCCGGATTTCCTTGCAGTGGCTTGAATACAGGCTCGTCTTTCATCTCACAATATGGAGGGATGTCTGAATCCCCTGTGTAGACCTTAGAGAAAGCCCTAGGTCCCTGCCTCATTTTGACGGAATGCCACACATCCCGCTGACACCTCGAGAGGCACGCGGAGTTCATTGCTTCAAAAGGTGACGATGCCTGACTCCTCTTGAATACTGATAGGAATCCCAAAATCCCTGTGGCTACTGGAAAGGGTCCTTGGGTGCCCTGCCTCACATCGAGAAGCATCCCTTTTGCCCTGCCAAGCCTCGAAGAGATTCCTGAGGTGTCCCTCGTTACTAGACAGGACTCCTGACGTCACTGAAGAAACTCGTGTTTTGAAGGGCCATCCCCGCCGTAAGTCGAGAACATACCCCAGGTCCCCGCCGCAACTCGAGAAAAACCATGAGACTTCCCCCTAGAGGCGAGATGAGGCCCCATTCCCCTGCAGTGCATGCAGAGCTATTCCGTGATCCCATTCAAACAAGGCAGGAGCTTCGACTTGCTTAATGGATCTCGAGACAGTCCCCAAGAACACTGTCACCAGTCTAGACGGACCATGAGGTCACACCAGCAACGCAAAGCAGCTCCATGTGCCCCAAATCAACTCGAGATGAGGCCCGATTCCGCTGCATTGACTCCAGAGCCATTCCCCGTTCCTCATTCAACACGACCGGTGGCTCGACTTCCTTCACCCAACTCCAGAGATGCCCCGAGAACACTGTCCCAAGTCTAGAGGAACAACAACTTCAGCACAGCAACTCGAGGAATGATACATGTACCCCAAATCGTCTCGAGATGAGAGCTGATTCCCTGGCTTAGGCTCAAGACGTATGCCAACTTTCCAGAAGCACCTCAGGAGGAGGCTTCTCTCAGCAATAGGTATGTGGGAGGGACACCGAGTTTGCTGCCTCAAGGGGAATATACAGCGAGAAGCCCTAACTTGAAACGAGGCCAGATTTCCTTGCAGTGGCTTGAATACAGGCTCGTCTTTCATCTCACAACATGAAGGGATGTCTGAATCCCCTGTGGAGACCTTACAGAAAGCCCTAGTTCCCTGCCTCATTTTCACGGAATGCCTCACATCCCGCTGACACCTCGAGAGGCACGCAGAGTTCATTGATTTAAAAGGTGACGATGCCTGACTCCTCTTGAATGCTGATAGGAATCCCAAAATCACTGTGGCTACTGGAAAGGGTCCTTGGGTGCCCTGCCTCACCTCGAGAAGTGTCCCTTTTGCCCTGCCAAGCCTCGAAGAGATTCCTGAGGTGTCCCTCGTTACTAGACAGGAGTCCTGACGTCACTGAAGAAACTCGTGTTCTGAAGGGCCAGCTCCTCCGTAAGTCGAGAACATACTCCAGGTCCCCGGCGCAACTCGAGAAAAACCATGAGACTTCCCCCTAGAGGCGAGATGAGGCCCCATTCCCCTGCAGTGCATGCAGAGCTATTCCGTGATCCCATTCAAACAAGTCAGGAGCTTCGACTTGCTTAATGGATCTCGAGACAGTCCCCAAGAACAGTCTCACCCGTCTAGACGGACCCTGAGGTCACCCCAGCACCGCAAAGCAGCTCCATGTGCCCCAAATCAACTCGAGATGAGGCCCGATTCCCCTGCATTGACTCCAGAGCCATTCCTCGTTCCCCATTCAACACGACCTGTGGCTCGACTTCCTTCAGGCAACTCCAGAGATGCCCCGAGAACACTGTCCCAAGTCCAGAGGAACACCAACTTCAGCACAGCAACTCGAGGAATGCTCCGTGTACCCCAAATCGTCTCGAGATGAGAGCTGATTCCCTGGCTTAGGCTCAAGACGTATGCCAACTTCCCAGAAGCACCTCAGGAGGAGGCTTCTCTCAGCAATAGGTATGTGGGAGGGACCCCGAGTTTGCTGCCTCAAGGGGAATATACAGCGAGAAGCCCTAACTTGAAAGGAGTCCGAATTTCCTTGCAGTGGCTTGAATACAGGCTCGTCTTTCATCTCACAACATGAAGGTATGTCTGAATCCCCTGTGGAGACCTTAGAGAAAGCCCTAGGTCCCTGCCTCATTTTGACGGAATGCCTCACATCCCGCTGACAACTCGAGAGGCACGCGGAGTTAATTGCTTCAAAAATGACGATGCCTGACTCCTCTTGAATACTGATAGGAATCCCAAAATCCCTGTGGCTACTGGAAAGGGTCCTTGGGTGCCCTGCCTCACCTCGAGAAGCATCCCTTTTGCCCTGGCAAGCCTCGAAGTGATTCCTGAGGTGTCCCTCGTTACTAGACAGGAGTCCTGACGTCACTGAAGAAACTCGAGTTTTGAAGGGCCATCCCCGCCGTAAGTCGAGAACATACCCCAGGTCCCCGCCGCAACTCGAGAAAAACCATGAGACTTTCCCCTAGAGGCGAGATGAGGCCCCATTCCCCTGCAGTGCATGCAGAGCTATTCCGTGATCCCTTTCAAACAAGTCAGGAGCTTCGACTTGCTTAATGGATCTCGAGACAGTCCCCAAGAACACTGTCACCAGTCCAGACGGAACCTGAGGTCACCCCAGCACCGCAAAGCAGCTCCATGTGCCCCAAATCAACTCGAGATGAGGCCCGATTCCCCTGCATTGACTGCAGAGCCATTCCCCGTTCGCCATTCAACACGACCGCTGGCTCGACTTCCTTCAGGCAACTCCAGAGATGGCCCGAGAACACTGTCCCAAGTCTAGAGGAACACCAACTTCAGCACAGCAACTCGAGGAATGCTCCGTGTACCCCAAATCTTCTCGAGATGAGAGCTGATTCCCTGGCTTAGGCTCAAGACGTATGCCAACTTCCCAGAAGCACCTCAGGAGGAGGCTTCTCTAAGCAATAGGTATGTGGGAGGGACCCCGAGTTTGCTGCCTCAAGGGGAATATACAGCGAGAAGCCCTAACTTGAAAGGAGTCCGAATTTCCTTGCAGTGGCTTGAGTACAGGCTCGTCTTTCATCTCACAACATGAAGGGATATCTGAATCCCCTGTGGAGACCTTAGAGAAAGCCCTAGGTCCCTGCCTCATTTTGACGGAATGCCTCACATCCCGCTGACACCTCGAGAGGCACGCGGAGTTCACTGCTTCAAAAATGACGATGCCTGACTCCTCTTGAATACTGATAGGAATCCCAAAATCCCTGTGGCTACTGGAAAGGGTCCTTGGGTGCCCTGCCTCACCTCGAGAAGCGTCCCATTTGCCCTGCAAAGCCTCGAAGAGATTCCTGAGGTGTCCCTCGTTACTAGACAGGAGTCCTGACGTCACTGAAGAAACTCGTGTTCTGAAAGGCAAGCCCCGCCGTAAGTCGAGAACATACCCCAGGTCCCCGCCGCAACTCGAGAAAAACCATGAGACTTCCCCCTAGAGGCGAGATGAGGCCCCATTCCCCTGCAGTGCATGCAGAGCTATTCCGTGATCCCATTCAAACAAGTCAGGAGCTTCGACTTGCTTAATGGATCTCCAGACAGCCCCAAGAACACTGTCACCAGTCCAGACGGACCCTGAGGTCACCCCAGCACCGCAAAGCAGCTCCATGTGCCGCAAATCAACTCGAGATGAGACCAGATTCCCCTGCATTGACTCCAGAGCCATTCCCCGTTCCCCATTCAACACGACCGGTGGCTCGACTTCCTTCAGGCAACTCCAGAAATGCCCCGAGAACACTGTCCCAAGTCTAGAGGAACACCAACTTCAGCACAGCAACTCGAGGAATGCTCCGTGTACCCCAAATCGTCTCGAGATGAGAGCTGATTACCTAGCTTAGGCTCAAGACGTATGCCAACTTCCCAGAAGCACCTCAGGAGGAGGCTTCTCTCAGAAATAGGTATGTGGGAGGGACCCCGAGTTTGCTGCCTCAAGGGGAATATACAGCGAGAAGCCCTAACTTGAAAGGAGTCCGAATTTCCTTGCAGTGGCTTGAATACAGGCTCGTCTTTCATCTCACAACATGAAGGGATGTCTGAATCCCCTGTGGAGACCTTAGAGAAAGCCCTAGGTCCCTGCCTCATTTTTACGGTATGCCTCACATCCCGCTGACACCTCGAGAGGCTCGCGGAGTTCATTGCTTTAAAAGGTGACGATGCCTGACTCCTCTTGAATGCTGATAGCAATCCCAAAATCCCTGTGGCTACTGGAAAGGGTCCTTGGGTGCCCTGCCTCACCTCGAGAAGCGCCCCATTTGCCCTGCAAAGCCTCGAAGAGATTCCTGAGGTGTCCCTCGTTACTAGACAGGAGTCCTGACGTCACTGAAGAAACTCGTGTTCTGAAGGGCCAGCCCCGCCGTAAGTCGAGAACATACCCCAGGTCCCCGCCGCAACTCGAGAAAAACCATGAGACTTCCCCCTAGAGGCGAGATGAGGCCCCATTCCCCTGCAGTGCATGCAGAGCTATTCCGTGATCCCATTCAAACAAGTCAGGAGCTTCGACTTGCTTAATGGATCTCCAGACAGCCCCAAGAACACTGTCACCAGTCCAGACGGACCCTGAGGTCACCCCAGCACCGCAAAGCAGCTCCATGTGCCGCAAATCAACTCGAGATGAGACCCGATTCCCCTGCATTGACTCCAGAGCCATTCCCCGTTCCCCATTCAACACGACCGGTGGCTCGACTTCCTTCAGGCAACTCCAGAAATGCCCCGAGAACACTGTCCCAAGTCTAGAGGAACACCAACTTCAGCACAGCAACTCGAGGAATGCTCCGTGTACCCCAAATCGTCTCGAGATGAGAGCTGATTCCCTGGCTTAGGCTCAAGACGTATGCCAACTTCCCAGAAGCACCTCAGGAGGAGGCTTCTCTCAGAAATAGGTATGTGGGAGGGACCCCGAGTTTGCTGCCTCAAGGGAAATATACAGCGAGAAGCCCTAACTTGAAAGGAGTCCGAATTTCCTTGCAGTGGCTTGAATACAGGCTCGTCTTTCATCTCACAACATGAAGGGATGTCTGAATCCCCTGTGGAGACCTTAGAGAAAGCCCTAGGTCCCTGCCTCATTTTGATGGAATGCCTCACATCCCGCTGACACCTCGAGAGGCACGCGGAGTTAGTTGCTTCAAAAATGACGATGCCTGACTCCTCTTGAATACTGATAAGAATCCCAAAATCCCTGTGGCTACTGGAAAGGGTCCTTGGGTGCCCTGCCTCACCTCGAGAAGCGCCCCATTTGCCCTGCAAAGCCTCGAAGAGATTCCTGAGGTGTCCCTCGTTACTAGACAGGAGTCCTGACGTCACTGAAGAAACTCGTGTTCTGAAGGGCCAGCCCCGCCGTAAGTCGAGAACATACCCCAGGTCCCCGCCGCAACTCGAGAAAAACCATGAGACTTCCCCCTAGAGGCGAGATGAGGCCCCATTCCCCTGCAGTGCATGCAGAGCTATTCCGTGATCCCATTCAAACAAGTCAGGAGCTTCGACTTGCTTAATGGATCTCCAGACAGCCCCAAGAACACTGTCACCAGTCTAGACGGACCCTGAGGTCACCCCAACAACGCAAAGCAGCTCCATGTGGCCCAAATCAACTGGAGATGGGGCCCGATTCCCCTGCATTGACTCCAGAGCCATTCCTCGTTCCCCATTCAACACGACCCGTGGCTCGACTTCCTTCAGGAAACTCCAGAGATGCCCCAAGAACACTGTCCCAAGTCTAGAGGAACACCAACTTCAGCACAGCAACTCGAGGAATGTTCCGTGTACCCCAAATCGTCTCGAGATGAGAGCTGATTCCCTGGCTTAGGCTCAAGACGTATGCCAACTTTCCAGAAGCACCTCAGGAGGAGGCTTCTCTCAGCAATAGGTATGTGGGAGGGACCCCGAGTTTGCTGCCTCAAGGGGAATATACCGCGAGAAGCCCTAACTGAAAGGAGGCCGGATTTCCTTGCAGGGGCTTGAATACAGGCTCGTCTTTCATCTCACAACATGAAGGGATGTCTGAATCCCCTGTGGAGACCTTAGAGAAAGCCCTAGGTCCCTGCCTCATTTTGACGGAATGCCTCACATCCCGCTGACACCTCGAGAGGCATGCGGAGTTCATTGCTTCAAAAGGTGACGATGCCTGACTCCTCTTGAATACTGATAGAAATCCCAAAATCCATGTGGCTACTGGAAAGGGTCCTTGGGTGCCCTGCCTCACCTCGAGAAGCGTCCCTTTTGCCCTGCCAAGCCTCGACGAGATTCCTGAGGTGTCCCTCGTTACTAGACAGGAGTCTTGACGTCACTGAAGAAACTCGTGTTTTGAAGGGCCATCCCCGCCGTAAGTCGAGAACATACCCCAGGTCCCTGCCGCAACTCGAGAAAAACCATGAGACTTCCCACTGGAGGAGAGATGAGGCCCCATTCCCCTGCAGTGCATGCAGAGCTATTCCGTGATCCCATTCAAACAAGTCAGGAGCTTCGACTTGCTTAATGGATCTCGAGACAGTCCCCAAGAACACTGTCACCAGTCTAGACGGACCCTGAGGTCACCCCAGCAACGCAAAGCAGCTCCATGTGCCCCAAATCAACTCGAGATGAGGCCCGATTCCCCTGCATTGACTCCAGAGCCATTCCCCGTTCCCCATTCAACACGACCAGTGGCTCGACTTCTTTCAAGCAACTCCAGAGATGCCCTGAGAACACTGTCCCAAGTCTAGAGGAACACCAACTTCAGCACAGCAACTCGAAGAATGCTCCGTGTACCCCAAATCGTCTCGAGATGAGAGCTGATTCCCTGGCTTAGGCTCAAGACGTATGCCAACTTTCCAGAAGCACCTCAGGAGGAGGCTTCTCTCAGCAATAGGTATGTGGGAGGGACCCCGAGTTTGCTGCCACAAGGGGAATATACCGCGAGAAGCCCTAACTTGAAAGGAGGCCGGATTTCCTTGCAGGGGCTTGAATACAGGCTCGTCTTTCATCTCACAACATGAAGGGATGTCTGAATCTCCTGTGGAGACCTTAGAGAAAGCCCTAGGTTCCTGCCTCATTTTGACCTAATGCCTCACATCCCGCTGACACCTCGAGAGGCACGCGGAGTTCATTGCTTCAAAATGTGACGATGCCTGACTCTTCTTGAATACTGATAGCAATCCCAAAATCCCTGTGGCTACTGGAAAGGGTCCTTGGATGCCCTGCCTCACCTCGAGAAGCGTCCCTTTTGCCCTGCCAAGCCTCAAAGAGATTCCTGAGGTGTCCCTCGTTACTAGACAGGAGTCTTGACGTCACTGAAGAAACTCGTGTTTTGAAGGGCCATCCCCGCCGTAAGTCGAGAACATAGCCCAGGTCTCTGCCGCAACTCGAGAAAAACCATGAGACTTCCCCCTGGAGGGGAGATGAGGCCCCATTCCCCTGCAGTGCATGCAGAGCTATTCCGTGATCCCATTCAAACAAGTCAGGAGCTTCGACTTGCTTAATGGTTCTCGAGACAGTCCCCAAGAACACTGTCACCAGTCTAGACGGACCCTGAGGTCAACCCAGCAACGCAAAGCAGCTCCATATGCCCAAAATCAACTCGAGATGAGACCCGATTCCCCTGCATTGACTCCAGAGCCATTCCCCGTTCCCCATTCAACACGACCGGTGGCTCCACTTCCTTCAAGCAACTCCAGAGATGCCCCGAGAACACTGTCCCAAGTCTAGAGGAACACCAACTTCAGCACAGCAACTAGAAGAATGCTCCGTGTACCCCAAATCGTCTCGAGATGAGAGCTGATTCCCTGGCTTAGGCTCAAGACGTATGCCAACTTTCCAGAAGCACCTCAGGAGGAGGCTTCTCTCAGCAATAGGTATGTGGGAGGGACCCCGAGTTTGCTGCCACAAGGGGAATATACCGCGAGAAGCCCTAACTTGAAAGGAGGCCGGATTTCCTTGCAGTGGCTTGAATACAGGCTCGTCTTTCATCTCACAATATGGAGGGATGTCTGAATCCCCTGTGTAGACCTTAGAGAAAGCCCTAGGTCCCTGCCTCATTTTGACGGAATGCCACACATCCCGCTGACACCTCGAGAGGCACGCGGAGTTCATTGCTTCAAAAGGTGACGATGCCTGACTCCTCTTGAATACTGATAGGAATCCCAAAATCCCTGTGGCTACTGGAAAGGGTCCTTGGGTGCCCTGCCTCACATCGAGAAGCATCCCTTTTGCCCTGCCAAGCCTCGAAGAGATTCCTGAGGTGTCCCTCGTTACTAGACAGGACTCCTGACGTCACTGAAGAAACTCGTGTTTTGAAGGGCCATCCCCGCCGTAAGTCGAGAACATACCCCAGGTCCCCGCCGCAACTCGAGAAAAACCATGAGACTTCCCCCTAGAGGCGAGATGAGGCCCCATTCCCCTGCAGTGCATGCAGAGCTATTCCGTGATCCCATTCAAACAAGGCAGGAGCTTCGACTTGCTTAATGGATCTCGAGACAGTCCCCAAGAACACTGTCACCAGTCTAGACGGACCATGAGGTCACACCAGCAACGCAAAGCAGCTCCATGTGCCCCAAATCAACTCGAGATGAGGCCCGATTCCGCTGCATTGACTCCAGAGCCATTCCCCGTTCCTCATTCAACACGACCGGTGGCTCGACTTCCTTCACCCAACTCCAGAGATGCCCCGAGAACACTGTCCCAAGTCTAGAGGAACAACAACTTCAGCACAGCAACTCGAGGAATGATACGTGTACCCCAAATCGTCTCGAGATGAGAGCTGATTCCCTGGCTTAGGCTCAAGACGTATGCCAACTTTCCAGAAGCACCTCAGGAGGAGGCTTCTCTCAGCAATAGGTATGTGGGAGGGACACCGAGTTTGCTGCCTCAAGGGGAATATACAGCGAGAAGCCCTAACTTGAAACGAGGCCAGATTTCCTTGCAGTGGCTTGAATACAGGCTCGTCTTTCATCTCACAACATGAAGGGATGTCTGAATCCCCTGTGGAGACCTTACAGAAAGCCCTAGTTCCCTGCCTCATTTTCACGGAATGCCTCACATCCCGCTGACACCTCGAGAGGCACGCAGAGTTCATTGATTTAAAAGGTGACGATGCCTGACTCCTCTTGAATGCTGATAGGAATCCCAAAATCACTGTGGCTACTGGAAAGGGTCCTTGGGTGCCCTGCCTCACCTCGAGAAGTGTCCCTTTTGCCCTGCCAAGCCTCGAAGAGATTCCTGAGGTGTCCCTCGTTACTAGACAGGAGTCCTGACGTCACTGAAGAAACTCGTGTTCTGAAGGGCCAGCTCCTCCGTAAGTCGAGAACATACTCCAGGTCCCCGGCGCAACTCGAGAAAAACCATGAGACTTCCCCCTAGAGGCGAGATGAGGCCCCATTCCCCTGCAGTGCATGCAGAGCTATTCCGTGATCCCATTCAAACAAGTCAGGAGCTTCGACTTGCTTAATGGATCTCGAGACAGTCCCCAAGAACACTCTCACCCGTCTAGACGGACCCTGAGGTCACCCCAGCACCGCAAAGCAGCTCCATGTGCCCCAAATCAACTCGAGATGAGGCCCGATTCCCCTGCATTGACTCCAGAGCCATTCCTCGTTCCCCATTCAACACGACCTGTGGCTCGACTTCCTTCAGGCAACTCCAGAGATGCCCCGAGAACACTGTCCCAAGTCCAGAGGAACACCAACTTCAGCACAGCAACTCGAGGAATGCTCCGTGTACCCCAAATCGTCTCGAGATGAGAGCTGATTCCCTGGCTTAGGCTCAAGACGTATGCCAACTTCCCAGAAGCACCTCAGGAGGAGGCTTCTCTCAGCAATAGGTATGTGGGAGGGACCCCGAGTTTGCTGCCTCAAGGGGAATATACAGCGAGAAGCCCTAACTTGAAAGGAGTCCGAATTTCCTTGCAGTGGCTTGAATACAGGCTCGTCTTTCATCTCACAACATGAAGGTATGTCTGAATCCCCTGTGGAGACCTTAGAGAAAGCCCTAGGTCCCTGCCTCATTTTGACGGAATGCCTCACATCCCGCTGACAACTCGAGAGGCACGCGGAGTTAATTGCTTCAAAAATGACGATGCCTGACTCCTCTTGAATACTGATAGGAATCCCAAAATCCCTGTGGCTACTGGAAAGGGTCCTTGGGTGCCCTGCCTCACCTCGAGAAGCATCCCTTTTGCCCTGGCAAGCCTCGAAGTGATTCCTGAGGTGTCCCTCGTTACTAGACAGGAGTCCTGACGTCACTGAAGAAACTCGTGTTTTGAAGGGCCATCCCCGCCGTAAGTCGAGAACATACCCCAGGTCCCCGCCGCAACTCGAGAAAAACCATGAGACTTTCCCCTAGAGGCGAGATGAGGCCCCATTCCCCTGCAGTGCATGCAGAGCTATTCCGTGATCCCTTTCAAACAAGTCAGGAGCTTCGACTTGCTTAATGGATCTCGAGACAGTCCCCAAGAACACTGTCACCAGTCCAGACGGAACCTGAGGTCACCCCAGCACCGCAAAGCAGCTCCATGTGCCCCAAATCAACTCGAGATGAGGCCCGATTCCCCTGCATTGACTCCAGAGCCATTCCCCGTTCGCCATTCAACACGACCGCTGGCTCGACTTCCTTCAGGCAACTCCAGAGATGCCCCGAGAACACTGTCCCAAGTCTAGAGGAACACCAACTTCAGCACAGCAACTCGAGGAATGCTCCGTGTACCCCAAATCGTCTCGAGATGAGAGCTGATTCCCTGGCTTAGGCTCAAGACGTATGCCAACTTCCCAGAAGCACCTCAGGAGGAGGCTTCTCTAAGCAATAGGTATGTGGGAGGGACCCCGAGTTTGCTGCCTCAAGGGGAATATACAGCGAGAAGCCCTAACTTGAAAAGAGTCCGAATTTCCTTGCAGTGGCTTGAGTACAGGCTCGTCTTTCATCTCACAACATGAAGGGATATCTGAATCCCCTGTGGAGACCTTAGAGAAAGCCCTAGGTCCCTGCCTCATTTTGACGGAATGCCTCACATCCCGTTGACACCTCGAGAGGCACGCGGAGTTCACTGCTTCAAAAATGACGATGCCTGACTCCTCTTGAATACTGATAGGAATCCCAAAATCCCTGTGGCTACTGGAAAGGGTCCTTGGGTGCCCTGCCTCACCTCGAGAAGCATCCCTTTTGCCCTGGCAAGCCTTGAAGAGATTCCTGAGGTGTCCCTCGTTACTAGACAGGAGTCCTGACGTCACTGAAGAAACTCGTGTTTTGAAGGGCCATCCCCGCCGTAAGTCGAGAACATACCCCAGGTCCCCGCCGCAACTCGAGAAAAACCATGAGACTTCCCCTAGAGGCGAGATGAGGCCCCAATCCCCTGCAGTGCATGCAGAGCTATTCCGTGATCCCATTCATACAAGTCAGGATCTTCGACTTGCTTAATGGATCTCGAGACAGTCCCCAAGAACACTGTCACCAGTCTAGACGGACCCTGAGGTCACCCCAGCAACGCAAAGCAGCTCCATGTGCCCCAAATCAACTCGAGATGGGGCCCGATTCCCCTGCATTGACTCCAGAGCCATTCCTCGTTCTCCATTCAACACGACCGGTGGCTCGACTTCCTTCAGGAAACTCCAGAGATGCCCCAAGAACACTGTCCCAAGTCTAGAGGAACACCAACTTCAGCACAGCAACTGGAGGAATGCTCCGTGTACCCCAAATCGTCTCGAGATGAGAGCTGATTCCCTGGCTTAGGCTCAAGACGTATGCCAACTTTCCAGAAGCACCTCAGGAGGAGGCTTCTCTCAGCAATAGGTATGTGGGAGGGACCCCGAGTTTGCTGCCTCAAGGGGAATATACCGCGAGAAGCCCTAACTTGAAAGGAGGCCGGATTTCCTTGCAGTGGCTTGAATACAGGCTCGTCTTTCATCTCACAATATGGAGGGATGTCTGAATCCCCTGTGTAGACCTTAGAGAAAGCCCTAGGTCCCTGCCTCATTTTGACGGAATGCCTCACATCCCGCTGACAACTCGAGAGGCACGCGGAGTTAATTGCTTCAAAAATGACGATGCCTGACTCCTCTTGAATACTGATAGGAATCCCAAAATCCCTGTGGCTACTGGAAAGGGTCCTTGGGTGCCCTGCCTCACCTCGAGAAGCATCCCTTTTGCCCTGGCAAGCCTCGAAGAGATTCCTGAGGTGTCCCTCGTTACTACACAGGAGTCCTGACGTCACTGAAGAAACTCGTGTTTTGAAGGGCCATCCCCGCCGTAAGTCGAGAACATACCCCAGGTCCCCGCCGCAACTCCAGAAAAACCATGAGACTTCCCCCTAGAGGCGAGATGAGGCCCCATTCCCCTGCAGTGCATGCAGAGCTATTCCGTGATCCCTTTCAAACAAGTCAGGAGCTTCGACTTGCTTAATGGATCTCGAGACAGTCCCCAAGAACACTGTCACCAGTCCAGACGGAACCTGAGGTCACCCCAGCACCGCAAAGCAGCTCCATGTGCCCCAAATCAACTCGAGATGAGGCCCGATTCCCCTGCATTGACTCCAGAGCCATTCCCCGTTCGCCATTCAACACGACCGCTGGCTCGACTTCCTTCAGGCAACTCCAGAGATGCCCCGAGAACACTGTCCCAAGTCTAGAGGAACACCAACTTCAGCACAGCAACTCGAGGAATGCTCCGTGTACCCCAAATCGTCTCGAGATGAGAGCTGATTCCCTGGCTTAGGCTCAAGACGTATGCCAACTTCCCAGAAGCACCTCAGGAGGAGGCTTCTCTCAGCAATAGGTATGTGGGAGGGACCCCGAGTTTGCTGCCTCAAGGGGAATATACAGCGAGAAGCCCTAACTTGAAAGGAGTCCGAATTTCCTTGCAGTGGCTTGAATACAGGCTCGTCTTTCATCTCACAACATGAAGGTATGTCTGAATCCCCTGTGGAGACCTTAGAGAAAGCCCTAGGTCCCTGCCTCATTTTGACGGAATGCCTCACATCCCGCTGACAACTCGAGAGGCACGCGGAGTTAATTGCTTCAAAAATGACGATGCCTGACTCCTCTTGAATACTGATAGGAATCCCAAAATCCCTGTGGCTACTGGAAAGGGTCCTTGGGTGCCCTGCCTCACCTCGAGAAGCATCCCTTTTGCCCTGGCAAGCCTCGAAGAGATTCCTGAGGTGTCCCTCGTTACTAGACAGGAGTCCTGACGTCACTGAAGAAACTCGTGTTTTGAAGGGCCATCCCCGCCGTAAGTCGAGAACATACCCCAGGTCCCCGCCGCAACTCGAGAAAAACCATGAGACTTCCCCCTAGAGGCGAGATGAGGCCCCATTCCCCTGCAGTGCATGCAGAGCTATTCCGTGATCCCTTTCAAACAAGTCAGGAGCTTCGACTTGCTTAATGGATCTCGAGACAGTCCCCAAGAACACTGTCACCAGTCTAGACGGACCCTGAGGTCACCCCAGCAACGCAAAGCAGCTCCATGTGCCCCAAATCAACTCGAGATGGGGCCCGATTCCCCTGCATTGACTCCAGAGCCATTCCTCGTTCCCCATTCAACACGACCGGTGGCTCGACTTCCTTCAGGAAACTCCAGAGATGCCCCAAGAACACTGTCCCAAGTCTAGAGGAACACCAACTTCAGCACAGCAACTGGAGGAATGCTCCGTGTACCCCAAATCGTCTCGAGATGAGAGCTGATTCCCTGGCTTAGGCTCAAGACGTATGCCAACTTTCCAGAAGCACCTCAGGAGGAGGCTTCTCTCAGCAATAGGTATGTGGGAGGGACCCCGAGTTTGCTGCCTCAAGGGGAATATACCGCGAGAAGCCCTAACTTGAAAGGAGGCCGGATTTCCTTGCAGTGGCTTGAATACAGGCTCGTCTTTCATCTCACAATATGGAGGGATGTCTGAATCCCCTGTGTAGACCTTAGAGAAAGCCCTAGGTCCCTGCCTCATTTTGACGGAATGCCTCACATCCCGCTGACACCTCGAGAGGCACGCGGAGTTCATTGCTTCAAAAGGTGACGATGCCTGACTCCTCTTGAATACTGATAGGAATCCCAAAATCCCTGTGGCTACTGGAAAGGGTCCTTGGGTGCCCTGCCTCACCTCGAGAAGCGTCCCTTTTGCCCTGCCAAGCCTCGAAGAGATTCCTGAGGTGTCCCTCGTTACTAGACAGGAGTCCTGACGTCACTGAAGAAACTCGTGTTTTGAAGGGCCATCCCCGCCATAAGTCGAGAACATACCCCAGGTCCCCACCGCAACTCGAGAAAAACAATGAGACTTCCCCCTAGAGGCGAGATGAGGCCCCATTCCCCTGCAGTGCATGCAGAGCTATTCCGTGATCCCATTCAAACAAGTCAGGAGCTTCGACTTGCTTAATGGATCTCCAGACAGTCCGCAAGAACACTGTCACCAGTCCAGACGGACCCTGAGGTCACCCCAGCACCGCAAAGCAGCTCCATGAGCCCCAAATCAACTCGAGATGAGGCCCGATTCCCCTACATTGACTCCAGAGCCATTCCCCGTTCCCCATTCAACACGACCGGTGGCTCGACTTCCTTCAGGCAACTCCAGAAATGCCCTCGAGAACAATGTCCCAAGTCTAGAGGAACACCAACTCCACCACAGCAACTCGAGGAATGCTCCGTTACCCCAAATCGTCTCGAGATGAGAGCTGTTTCCCTGGCTTAGGCTCAAGACGTATGCCAACTTCCCAGAAGCACCTCAGGAGGAGGCCTCTCTCAGCAATAGGTATGTGGGAGGGACCCCGAGTTTGCTGCCTCAAGGGGAATATACAGCGAGAAGCCCTAACTTGAAAGGAGTCCGAATTTCCTTGCAGTGGCTTGAATACAGGCTCGTCTTTCATCTCACAACATGAAGGGATGTCTGAATCCCCTGTGGAGAACTTAGAGAAAGCCTTAGGTCCCTGCCTCATTTTGACGGAATGCCTCACATCCCGCTGACACCTCGAGAGGCACGCGGAGTTAATTGCTTCAAAAATGACGATGCCTGACTCCTCTTGAATACTGATAGGAATCCCAAAATCCCTGTGGCTACTGGAAAGGGTCCTTGGGTGCCCTGCCTCACCTCGAAAAGCATACCTTTTGCCCTGGCAAGCCTCGAAGAGATTCCTGAGGTGTCCCTCGTTACTAGACAGGAGTCCTGACGTCACTGAAGAAACTCGTGTTTTGAAGGGCCATCCCCGCCGTAAGTCGAGAACATACCCCAGGTCCCCGCCGCAACTCGAGAAAAACCATGAGACTTCCCCCTAGAGGCGAGATGAGGCCCCATTCCCCTGCAGTGCATGCAGAGCTATTCCGTGATCCCATTCAAACAAGGCAGGAGCTTCGACTTGCTTAATGGATCTCGAGACAGTCCCCAAGAACACTGTCACCAGTCTAGACGGACCCTGAGGTCACCCCAGCAACGCAAAGCAGCTCCATGTGCCCCAAATCAACTCGAGATGGGGCCCGATTCCCCTGCATTGACTCCAGAGCCATTCCTCGTTCCCCATTCAACACGATCGGTGGCTCGACTTCCTTCAGGAAACTCCAGAGATGCCCCAAGAACACTGTCCCAAGTCTAGAGGAACACCAACTTCAGCACAGCAACTCGAGGAATGCTCCGTGTACCCCAAATCGTCTCGAGATGCGAGCTGATTCCCTGGCTTAGGCTCAAGACGTATGCCAACTTTCCAGAAGCACCTCAGGAGGAGGCTTCTCTCAGCAATAGGTATGTGGGAGGGACCCCGAGTTTGCTGCCTCAAGGGGAATATACCGCGAGAAGCCCTAACCTGAAAGGAGGCCGGATTTCCTTGCAGTGGCTTGAATACAGGCTCGTCTTTCATCTCACAATATGGAGGGATGTCTGAATCCCCTGTGTAGACCTTAGAGAAAGCCCTAGATCCCTGCCTCATTTTGACGGAATGCCTCACATCCCGCTGACACCTCGAGAGGCACGCGGAGTTCATTGCTTCAAAAGGTGACGATGCCTGACTCCTCTTGAATACTGATAGGAATCCCAAAATCCCTGTGGCTACTGGAAAGGGTCCTTGGGTGCCCTGCCTCACATCGAGAAGCATCCCTTTTGCCCTGCCAAGCCTCGAAGAGATTCCTGAGGTGTCCCTCGTTACTAGACAGGACTCCTGACGTCACTGAAGAAACTCGTGTTTTGAAGGGCCATCCCCGCCGTAAGTCGAGAACATACCCCAGGTCCCCGCCGCAACTCGAGAAAAACCATGAGACTTCCCCCTAGAGGCGAGATGAGGCCCCATTCCCCTGCAGTGCATGCAGAGCTATTCCGTGATCCCATTCAAACAAGGCAGGAACTTCGACTTGCTTTATGGATCTCGAGACAGTCCCCAAGAACACTGTCACCAGTCCAGACGGACCCTGAGGTCACCCCAGCACCGCAAAGCAGCTCCATGTGCCCCAAATCAACTCGAGATGAGGCCCGATTCCCCTGCATTGACTCCAGAGCCATTCCCCGTTCCCCATTCAACACGACCGGTGGCTCGACTTCCTTCAGGCAACTCCAGAGATGCCCCGAGAACACTGTCCCAAGTCTAGAGGAACACCAACTTCAGCACAGCAACTCGAGGAATGCTCCGTGTACCCCAAATCGTCTCGAGATGAGAGCTGATTCCCTGGCTTAGGCTCAAGACGTATGCCAACTTCCCAGAAGCACCTCAGGAGGAGGCTTCTCTCAGCAATAGGTATGTGGGAGGGACCCCGAGTTTGCTGCCTCAAGGGGAATATACAGCGAGAAGCCCTAACTTGAAAGGAGGCCGGATTTCCTTGCAGTGGCTTGAATACAGGCTCGTCTTTCATCTCACAATATGGAGGGATGTCTGAATCCCCTGTGGAGACCTTAGAGAAAGCCCTAGGTCCCTGCCTCATTTTGACGGAATGCCTCACATCCCGCTGACACCTCGAGAGGCACGCGGAGTTCATTGCTTCAAAAGGTGACGATGCCTGACTCCTCTTGAATACTGATAGGAATCCCAAAATCCCTGTGGCTACTGGAAAGGGTCCTTGGGTGCCCTGCCTCACCTCGAGAAGCGTCCCTTTTGCCCTGCCAAGCCTCGAAGAGATTCCTGAGGTGTCCCTCGTTACTAGACAGGAGTCCTGACGTCACTGAAGAAACTCGTGTTTTGAAGGGCCATCCCCGCCGTAAGTCGAGAACATACCCCAGGTCCCCACCGCAACTCGAGAAAAACAATGAGACTTCCCCCTAGAGGCGAGATGAGGCCCCATTCCCCTGCAGTGCATGCAGAGCTATTCCGTGATCCCATTCAAACAAGTCAGGAGCTTCGACTTGCTTAATGGATCTCCAGACAGTCCGCAAGAACACTGTCACCAGTCCAGACGGACCCTGAGGTCACCCCAGCACCGCAAAGCAGCTCCATGAGCCCCAAATCAACTCGAGATGAGGCCCGATTCCCCTACATTGACTCCAGAGCCATTCCCCGTTCCCCATTCAACACGACCGGTGGCTCGACTTCCTTCAGGCAACTCCAGAAATGCCCCGAGAACAATGTCCCAAGTCTAGAGGAACACCAACTCCACCACAGCAACTCGAGGAATGCTCCGTTACCCCAAATCGTCTCGAGATGAGAGCTGTTTCCCTGGCTTAGGCTCAAGACGTATGCCAACTTCCCAGAAGCACCTCAGGAGGAGGCTTCTCTCAGCAATAAGTATGTGGGAGGGACCCCGAGTTTGCTGCCTCAAGGGGAATATACAGCGAGAAGCCCTAACTTGAAAGGAGTCCGAATTTCCTTGCAGTGGCTTGAATACAGGCTCGTCTTTCATCTCACAACATGAAGGGATGTCTGAATCCCCTGTGGAGAACTTAGAGAAAGCCTTAGGTCCCTGCCTCATTTTGACGGAATGCCTCACATCCCGCTGACACCTCGAGAGGCACGCGGAGTTAATTGCTTCAAAAATGACGATGCCTGACTCCTCTTGAATACTGATAGGAATCCCAAAATCCCTGTGGCTACTGGAAAGGGTCCTTGGGTGCCCTGCCTCACCTCGAGAAGCATACCTTTTGCCCTGGCAAGCCTCGAAGAGATTCCTGAGGTGTCCCTCGTTACTAGACAGGAGTCCTGACGTCACTGAAGAAACTCGTGTTTTGAAGGGCCATCCCCGCCGTAAGTCGAGAACATACCCCAGGTCCCCGCCGCAACTCGAGAAAAACCATGAGACTTCCCCCTAGAGGCGAGATGAGGCCCCATTCCCCTGCAGTGCATGCAGAGCTATTCCGTGATCCCATTCAAACAAGGCAGGAGCTTCGACTTGCTTAATGGATCTCGAGACAGTCCCCAAGAACACTGTCACCAGTCTAGACGGACCCTGAGGTCACCCCAGCAACGCAAAGCAGCTCCATGTGCCCCAAATCAACTCGAGATGGGGCCCGATTCCCCTGCATTGACTCCAGAGCCATTCCTCGTTCCCCATTCAACACGATCGGTGGCTCGACTTCCTTCAGGAAACTCCAGAGATGCCCCAAGAACACTGTCCCAAGTCTAGAGGAACACCAACTTCAGCACAGCAACTCGAGGAATGCTCCGTGTACCCCAAATCGTCTCGAGATGCGAGCTGATTCCCTGGCTTAGGCTCAAGACGTATGCCAACTTTCCAGAAGCAACTCAGGAGGAGGCTTCTCTCAGCAATAGGTATGTGGGAGGGACCCCGAGTTTGCTGCCTCAAGGGGAATATACCGCGAGAAGCCCTAACTTGAAAGGAGGCCGGATTTCCTTGCAGTGGCTTGAATACAGGCTCGTCTTTCATCTCACAATATGGAGGGATGTCTGAATCCCCTGTGTAGACCTTAGAGAAAGCCCTAGGTCCCTGCCTCATTTTGACGGAATGCCTCACATCCCGCTGACACCTCGAGAGGCACGCGGAGTTCATTGCTTCAAAAGGTGACGATGCCTGACTCCTCTTGAATACTGATAGGAATCCCAAAATCCCTGTGGCTACTGGAAAGGGTCCTTGGGTGCCCTGCCTCACATCGAGAAGCATCCCTTTTGCCCTGCCAAGCCTCGAAGAGATTCCTGAGGTGTCCCTCGTTACTAGACAGGACTCCTGACGTCACTGAAGAAACTCGTGTTTTGAAGGGCCATCCCCGCCGTAAGTCGAGAACATACCCCAGGTCCCCGCCGCAACTCGAGAAAAACCATGAGACTTCCCCCTAGAGGCGAGATGAGGCCCCATTCCCCTGCAGTGCATGCAGAGCTATTCCGTGATCCCATTCAAACAAGGCAGGAACTTCGACTTGCTTTATGGATCTCGAGACAGTCCCCAAGAACACTGTCACCAGTCCAGACGGACCCTGAGGTCACCCCAGCACCGCAAAGCAGCTCCATGTGCCCCAAATCAACTCGAGATGAGGCCCGATTCCCCTGCATTGACTCCAGAGCCATTCCCCGTTCCCCATTCAACACGACCGGTGGCTCGACTTCCTTCAGGCAACTCCAGAGATGCCCCGAGAACACTGTCCCAAGTCTAGAGGAACACCAACTTCAGCACAGCAACTCGAGGAATGCTCCGTGTACCCCAAATCGTCTCGAGATGAGAGCTGATTCCCTGGCTTAGGCTCAAGACGTATGCCAACTTCCCAGAAGCACCTCAGGAGGAGGCTTCTCTCAGCAATAGGTATGTGGGAGGGACCCCGAGTTTGCTGCCTCAAGGGGAATATACAGCGAGAAGCCCTAACTTGAAAGGAGGCCGAATTTCCTTGCAGTGGCTTGAATACAGGCTCGTCTTTCATCTCACAACATGAAGGGATGTCCGAATCCCCTGTGGAGACCTTAGAGATAGCCCTAGGTCCCTGCCTCATTTTGACGGAATGCCTCACATCCCGCTGACACCTCGAGAGGCACGCGGAGTTCATTGCTTCAAAAATGACGATGCCTGACTCCTCTTGAATACTGATAGGAATCCCAAAATCCCTTTGGCTATTGGAAAGGGTCCTTGGGTGCCTTGCCTCACCTCGAGAAGCATCCCTTTTGCCCTGGCAAGCCTCGAAGAGATTCCTGAGGTGTCCCTCGTTACTAGACAGGAGTCCTGACGTCACTGAAGAAACTCGTGTTTTGAAGGGCCATCCCCGCCGTAAGTCGAGAACATACCCCAGGTCCCCGCCGCACCTCGAGAAAAACCATGAGACTTCCCCCTAGAGGCGAGATGAGGCCCCATTCCCCTGCAGTGCATGCAGAGCTATTCCGTGATCCCATTCAAACAAGTCAGGAGCTTCGACTTGCTTAATGGATCTCGAGACAGTCACCAAGAACACTGTCACCAGTCTAGACGGACCCTGAGGTCACCCCAACAACGCAAAGCAGCTCCATGTGGCCCAAATCAACTGGAGATGGGGCCCGATTCCCCTGCATTGACTCCAGAGCCATTCCTCGTTCCCCATTCAACACGACCGGTGGCTCGACTTCCTTCAGGAAACTCCAGAGATGCCCCAAGAACACTGTCCCAAGTCTAGAGGAACACCAACTTCAGCACAGCAACTGGAGGAATGCTCCGTGTACCCCAAATCGTCTCGAGATGAGAGCTGATACCCTCGCTTAGGCTCAAGACGTATGCCAACTTTCCAGAAGCACCTCAGGAGGAGGCTTCTTTCAGCAATAGTTATGTGGGAGGGACCCCGAGTTTGCTGCCTCAAGGGGAATATACCGCGAGAAGCCCTAACTTGAAAGGAGGCCGGATTTCCTTGCAGGGGCTTGAATACAGGCTCGTCTTTCATCTCACAACATGAAGGGATGTCTGAATCCCCTGTGGAGACCTTAGAGAAAGCCCTAGGTCCCTGCCTCATTTTGACGGAATGCCTCACATCCCGCTGACACCTCGAGAGGCACGCGGAATTCATTGCTTCAAAAGGTGACGATGCCTGACTCCTCTTGAATACTGATAGGAATCCCAAACTCGCTGTGGCTACTGGAAAGGGTCCTTGGGTGCCCTGCCTCACCTCGAGAAGCGTCCCTTTTGCCCTGCCAAGCCTCGAAGAGATTCCTGAGGTGTCCCTCGTTACTAGACAGGAGTCCTGATGTCACTGAAGAAACTCGTGGTTTGAAGGGCCATCCCCGCCGTAAGTCGAGGACATAGCCCAGGTCCCCATCGCAAGTCCATAAAAACCATGAGACTTCCCCCTAGAGGGGAGATGAGGCCCCATTCCGCTGCAATGCATGCAGAGCTATTCCGTGATCCCATTCCAACAAGTCAGGAGCTTCGACTTGCTTAATGGATCTCGAGACAGTCCCCAAGAACACTGTCACCAGTCTAGACGGACCATGAGGTCACCCCAGAAACGCAAAGCAGCTCCATGTGCCCCAAATCAACTCGAGATGAGGCCCGATTCCGCTGCATTGACTCCAGAGCCATTCCCCGTTCCCCATTCAACACGACCGGTGGCTCGACTTCCTTCACACAACTCCAGAGATGCCCGGAGAACACTGTCCCAAGTCTAGAGGAAAAACAACTTCAGCACAGCAACTCGAGGAATGATCCGTGTACCCCAAATCGTCTCGAGATGAGAGCTGATTCCCTGGCTTAGGCTCAAGACGTATGCCAACTTTCCAGAAGCACCTCAGGAGGAGGCTTCTCTCAGCAATAGGTATGTGGGAGGGACACCGAGTTTGCTGCCTCAAGGGGAATATACAGCGAGAAGCCCTAACTTGAAACGAGGCCAAATTTCCTTGCAGTGGCTTGAATACAGGCTCGTCTTTCATCTCACAACATGAAGGGATGTCTGAATCCCCTGTGGAGACCTTAGAGAAAGCCCTAGGACCCTGCCTCATTTTTACGGAATGCCTCACATCCCGCTGACACCTCGAGAGGCACGCGGAGTTCATTGATTTAAAAGGTGACGATGCCTGACTACTCTTGAATGCTGATAGGAATCCCAAAATCCCTGTGGCTACTGGAAAGGGTCCTTGGGTGCCCTGCCTCACCTCGAGAAGCGTCCCTTTGGCCCTGCCGAGCCTCGAAGAGATTCCTGAGGTGTCCCTCGTTACTAGACAGGAGTCCTGACGTCACTGAGGAAACTCGTGTTCTGAAGGGTCAGCCCCGCCGTAAGTCGAGAACATACCCCAGGTCCCCGCCGCAACTCGAGAAAAACCATGAGACTTCCCCCTAGAGGCGAGATCAGGCCCCATTCCGCTGCAGTGCATGCAGAGCTATTCCGTGATCCCATTCAAACAAGTCAGTTGCTTCGACTTGCTTAATGGATCTCGAGACAGTCCCCAAGAACACTGTCACCAGTCTAGACGGACCCTGAGGTCGCCCCAGCAACGCAAAGCAGCTCCATGTGCCCCAAATCAACTCGAGATGAGGCCCGATTCCCCTGCATTGACTCCAGAGCCATTCCCCGTTCCCCATTCAACACGACCGGTGGCTCGACTTCCTTCAGGCAACTCCAGAGATGCCCCGAGAACACTGTCCCAAGTCTAGAGGAACACCAACTTCAGCACAGCAACTCGAGGAATGCTCCGTGTACCCCAAATCGTCTCGAGATGAGAGCTGATTCCCTGGCTTAGGCTCAAGACGTATGCCAACTTCCCAGAAGCACCTCAGGAGGAGGCTTCTCTCAGCAATAGCTATGTGGGAGGGACCCTGAGTTTGCTGCCTCAAGGGGAATATACAGCGAGAAGACCTAACTTGAAAGGAGTCCGAATTTCCTTGCAGTGGCTTGAATACAGGCTCGTCTTTCATCTCACAATATGAAGGGATGTCTGAATCCGCTGTGGAGACCTTAGAGAAAGCCCTAGGTCCCTGCCTCATTTTGACGGAATGCCTCACATCCCGCTGACACCTCGACAGGCACGCGGAGTTAATTGCTTCAAAAATGACGATGCCTGACTCCTCTTGAATACTGATAGGAATCCCAAAATCCCTGTGGCTACTGGAAAGGGTCCTTGAGTGTCCTGCCCCACCTTGAGAAGCGTCCCTTTTGCTCTGCCAAGCCTCGAAGAGATTCCTGAGGTGTCCCTCGTTACTAGACAGGACTCCTGAGGTCACTGAAGAAACTCGTGTTTTGAAGGGCCATCCCCGCCGTAAGTCGAGAACATACCCCAGGTCCCCGCCGCAACTCGAGAAAAACCATAAGACTTCCCCCTAGAGGTGAGATGAAGCCCCATTCCCCTGCAGTGCATGCAGAGCTATTCCGTGATCCCATTCAAACAAGTCAGGAGCTTCGACTTGCTTAATGGATCTCGAGAGAGTCCCCAAGAACACTGTCACCAGTCCAGACGGACCCTGAGGTCACCCCAGCACCGCACAGCAGCTCCATGTGCCCCAAATCAACTCGAGATGAGGCCCGATACCCCTGAATTGACTCCAGAGCCATTCCCCGTTCCCCATTCAACACGACCGGTGGCTCGACTTCCTTCACGAAACTCCAGAGATGCCCTGAGAACACTGTCCCAAGTCTAGAGGAAAAACAGCTTCAGCACAGCAACTCAAGGAATGATCCGTGTACCCCAAATCGTCTCGAGATGAGAGCTGATTCCCTGGCTTAGGCTCAAGACGTATGCCAACTCCCCAGAAGCACCTCAGGAGGAGGCTTCTCTCAGCAATAGGTATGTGGGAGGGACCCCGAGTTTGCTGCCTCAAGGGGAATATACAGCGAGAAGCCCTAACTTGAAAGGAGGCCGGATTTCCATGCAGATGCTTGAATACAGGCTCGTCTTTCATCTCACAACATGAAGGGATGTCTGAATCCCCTGTGGAGACCTTAGAGAAAGCCCTAGGTCCCTTCCTCATTTTGACAGAATGCCTCACATCCCGCTGACACCTCAAGAGGCACGCGGAGTTCATTGCTTCAAAAGGTGACGATGCCTGACTCCTCTTGAATACTGATAGGAATCCCAAAATCCCTGTGGCTACTGGAAAGTGTCCTTGTTTGCCCTGCCTCTCCTCGAGAAGCGTCCCTTTTGCCCTGCCAGGCCTCGAAGAGATTCCTGAGGTGTCCCTCGTTACTAGACAGGAGTCCTGACGTCACTGAAGAAACTCGTGTTTTGAAGGCCCATCCCCGCCGTAAGTCGAGAACATACCCCAGGTCCCCGCCGCAACTCGAGAAAAACCATGAGACTTCCCCCTAGAGGCGAGATGAGGCCCCATTCCCCTGCAGTGCATGCAGAGCTATTCCGTGATCCCATTCAAACAAGTCAGGAGCTTCGACTTGCTTAATGGATCTCGAGACAGTCCCCAAGAACACTGTCACCAGTCCAGACGGACCCTGAGGTCACCCCAGCACCGCAAAGCAGCTCCATGTGCCCCAAATCAACTCGAGATGAGGCCCGATTCCGCTGCATTGACTCCAGAGCCATTCCCCGTTCCCCATTCAACACGACCTGTGGCTCGACTTCCTTCAGGTAACTCCAGAGATGCCCCGAGAACACTGTCCCAAGTCTAGAGGAACACCAACTTCAGCACAGCAACTCGAGGAATGCTCCGTGTACCCCAAATCGTCTCGAGATGAGAGCTGATTCCCTCGCTTAGGCTCAAGACGTATGCCAACTTTCCAGAAGCACCTCAGGAGTAGGCTTCTCTCAGCAATAGTTATGTGGGAGAGACCCCGAGTTTGCTGCCTCAAGGGGAATATACCGCGAGAAGCCCTAACTTGAAAGGAGGCCGGATTTCCTTGCAGTGGCTTGAATACAGGCTCGTCTTTCATCTCACAACATGAAGGGATGTCTGAATCCCCTGTGGAGACCTTAGAGAAAGCCCTAGGTCCCTGCCTCATTTTGACGGAATGCCTCACATCCCGCTGACACCTCGAGAGGCACGCGGAGTTCATTGCTTCAAAAGGTGACGATGCCTGACTCCTCTTGAATACTGATAGGAATCCCAAACTCGCTGTGGCTACTGGAAAGGGTCCTTGGGTGCCCTGCCTCAACTCGAGAAGCGTCCCTTTTGCCCTGCCAAGCCTCGAAGAGATTCCTGAGGTGTCCCTCGTTACTAGACAGGAGTCCTGATGTCACTGAAGAAACTCGTGGTTTGAAGGGCCATCCCCGCAGTAAGTCGAGGACATAGCCCAGGTCCCCATCGCAAGTCCATAAAAACCATGAGAATTCCCCCTAGAGGGGAGATGAGGCCCCATTCCCCTGCAATGCATGCAGAGCTATTCCGTGATCCCATTCAAACAAGTCAGGAGCTTCGACTTGCTTAATGGATCTCGTGACAGTCCCCAAGAACACTGTCACCAGTCGAGACGGACTATGAGGTCACCCCAGCAACGCAAAGCAGCTCCATGTGCCCCAAATCAACTCGAGATGAGGCCCGATTCCGCTGCATTGACTCCAGAGCCATTCCCCGTTCCCCATTCAACACGACCGGTGGCTCGACTTCCTTCACGAAACTCCAGAGATGCCCTGAGAACACTGTCCCAAGTCTAGAGGAAAAACAGCTTCAGCACAGCAACTCAAGGAATGATCCGTGTACCCCAAATCGTCTCGAGATGAGAGCTGATTCCCTGGCTTAGGCTCAAGACGTATGCCAACTTTTCAGAAGCACCTCAGGAGGAGGCTTCTCTCAGCAATAGGTATGTGGGAGGGACACCGAGTTTGCTGCCTCAAGGGGAATATACAGCGAGAAGCCCTAACTAGAAACGAGGCCAGATTTCCTTGCAGTGGCTTGAATACAGGCTCGTCTTTCATCTCACAACATGAAGGGATGTCTGAATCCCCTGTGGAGACCTTAGAGAAAGCCCTAGGTCCCTGCCTCATTTTGACGGAATGCCTCACATCCCGCTGACACCTCGAGAGGCACGCGGAGTTCATTGATTTAAAAGGTGACGATGCCTGACTCCTCTTGAATGCTGATAGGAATCCCAAAATCCCTGTGGCTACTGGAAAGGGTCCTTGGGTGCCCTGCCTCACCTCGAGAAGCGTCCCTTTTGCCCTGCCAAGCCTCGAAGATATTCCTGAGGTGTCCCTCGTTACTAGACAGCAGTCCTGACGTCACTGAAGAAACTCGTGTTCTGAAGGGCCAGCCCCGCCCTAAGTCGAGAACATACCCCAGGTCCCCGCCGCAACTCGAGAAAAACCATGAGACTTCCCCCTAGAGGCGAGATGAGGCCCCATTCCCCTGCAGTGCATGCAGAGCTATTCCGTGATCCCATTCAAACAAGTCAGGAGCTTCGACTTGCTTAATGGATCTCGAGACAGTCCCCAAGAACACTGTCACCAGTCTAGACGGACCCTGAGGTCACCCCAGCACCGCAAAGCAGGTGCATGTGCCGCAAATCAACTCGAGATGAGACCCGATTCCCCTGCATTAACTCCAGAGCCATTCCCCGTTCCCCATTCAACACGACCGGTGGCTCGACTTCCTTCAGGCAACTCCAGAAATGCCCCGAGAACACTGTCCCAAGTCTAGAGGAACACCAACTTCAGCACAGCAACTCGAGGAATGCTCCGTGTACCCCAAATCGTCTCGAGATGAGAGCTGATTCCCTGGCTTAGGCTCAAGACGTATGCCAACTTCCCAGAAGCACCTCAGGAGGAGGCTTCTCTCAGCAATAGGTATGTGGGAGGGACCCCGAGTTTGCTGCCTCAAGGGGAATATACAGCGAGAAGCCCTAACTTGAAAGGAGTCCGAATTTCCTTGCAGTGGCTTGAATACAGGCTCGTCTTTCATCTCACAACATGAAGGGATGTCTGAATCCCCTGTGGAGACCTTAGAGAAAGCCCTAGGTCCCTGCCTCATTTTGATGGAATGCCTCACATCCCGCTGACACCTCGAGAGGCACGCGGAGTTAGTTGCTTCAAAAATGACGATGCCTGACTCCTCTTGAATACTGATAAGAATCCCAAAATCCCTGTGGCTACTGGAAAGGGTCCTTGGGTGCCCTGCCTCATCTCGAGAAGCATCCCTTTTGCCCTGGCAAGCCTCGAAGAGATTCCTGAGGTGTCCCTCGTTACTAGACAGGAGTCCTGACGTCACTGAAGAAACTCGTGGTTTGAAGGGCCATCCCCGCCGTAAGTCGAGAACATACCCCAGGTCCCCGCCGCAACTCGAGAAAAACCATGAGACTTCCCCCTAGAGGCGAGATGAGGCCGCATTCCCCTGCAGTGCATGCAGAGCTATTCCGTGATCCCATTCAAACAAGTCAGGAGCTTCGACTTGCTTAATGGATCTCGAGACAGTCCCCAAGAACACTGTCACCAGTCTAGACGGACCCTGAGGTCACCCCAGCAATGCAAAGCAGCTACATGTTCCCCAAATCAAGTCGAGATGGGGCCCGATTCCCCTGCATTGACTCCAGAGCCATTCCCCGTTCCCCATTCAACACGACCGGTGGCTCGACTTCTTTCAAGCAACTCCAGAGATGCCCTGAGAACACTGTCCCAAGTCTAGAGGAACACCAACTTCAGCACAGCAACTCGAAGAATGCTCCGTGTACCCCAAATCGTCTCGAGATGAGAGCTGATTCCCTGGCTTAGGCTCAAGACGTATGCCAACTTTCCAGAAGCACCTCAGGAGGAGGCTTCTCTCAGCAATAGGTATGTGGGAGGGACCCCGAGTTTGCTGCCTCAAGGGGAATATACCGCGAGAAGCCCTAACTTGAAAGGAGGCCGGATTTCCTTGCAGGGGCTTGAATACAGGCTCGTCTTTCATCTCACAACATGAAGGGATGTCTGAATCCCCTGTGGAGACCTTAGAGAAAGCCCTAGGTCCCTGCCTCATTTTGACCTAATGCCTCACATCCCGCTGACAACTCGAGAGGCACGCGGAGTTAATTGCTTCAAAAATGAGGATGCCTGACTCCTCTTGAATACTGATATGAATCCCAAAATCCCTGTGGCTACTGGAAAGGGTCCTTGGGTGCCCTGCCTCATCTCGAGAAGCATCCCTTTTGCCCTGGCAAGCCTCGAAGAGATTCCTGAGGTGTCCCTCGTTACTAGACAGGACTCCTGACGTCACTGAAGAAACTCGAGTTTTGAAGGGCCATCCCCGCCGTAAGTCGAGAACATACCCCAGGTCCCCGCCGCAACTCGAGAAAAACCATGAGACTTCCCCCTAGAGGCGAGATGAGGCCCCATTCCCCTGCAGTGCATGCAGAGCTATTCCGTGATCCCATTCAAACAAGTCAGTAGCTTCGACTTGCTTAATGGATCTCGAGACAGTCCCCAAGAACACTGTCACCAGTCCAGACGGAACCTGAGGTCACCCCAGCACCGCAAAGCAGCTCCATGTGCCCCAAATCAACTCGAGATGAGGCCCGATTCCCCTGCATTGACTCCAGAGCCATTCCCCGTTCGCCATTCAACACGACCACTGGCTCGACTTCCTTCAGGCAACTCCAGAGATGCCCCGAGAACACTGTCCCAAGTCTAGAGGAACACCAACTTCAGCACAGCAACTCGAGGAATGCTCCGTGTACCCCAAATCGTCTCGAGATGAGAGCTGATTCCCTCGCTTAGGCTCAAGACGTATGCCAACTTTCCAGAAGCACCTCAGGTGGAGGCTTCTCTCAGCAATAGGTATGTGGGAGGGACCCCGAGTTTGCTGCCTCAAGGGGAATATACCGCGAGAAGCCCTAACTTGAAAGGAGGCCGGATTTCCTTGCAGGGGCTTGAATACAGGCTCGTCTTTCATCTCACAACATGAAGGGATGTCTGAATGCCCTGTGGAGACCTTAGAGAAAGCCCTAGGTCCCTGCCTCATTTTGACGGAATGCCTCACATCCCGCTGACACCTCGAGAGGCACGCGGAGTTCATTGCTTCAAAAGGTGACGATGCCTGACTCCTCTTGAATACTGATAGGAATCCCAAAATCCCTGTGGCTACTGGAAAGGGTCCTTGGGTGCCCTGCCTCACCTCGAGAAGCGTCCCTTTTGCCCTGCCAAGCCTCGAAGAGATTCCTGAGGTGTCCCTCGTTACTAGACAGGAGTCTTGACGTCACTGAAGAAACTCGTGTTTTGAAGGGCCATCCCCACCGTAAGTCGAGAACATAGCCCAGGTCCCTGCCGCAACTCGAGAAGAACCATGAGACTTCCCCCTGGAGGGGAGATGAGGCCCCATTCCCCTGCAGTGCATGCAGAGCTATTCCGTGATCCCATTCAAACAAGTCAGGAGCTTCGACTTGCTTAATGGATCTCGAGACAGTCCCCAAGAACACTGTCACCAGTCTAGACGGACCCTGAGGTCACCCCAGCAAGGCAAAGCAGCTCCATGTGCCCCAAATCAACTCGAGATGAGGCCCGATTCCCCTGCATTGACTCCAGAGCCATTCCCCGTTCCCCATTCAACACGACCGGTGGCTCGACTTCCTTCAAGCAACTCCAGAGATGCCCCGAGAACACTGTCCCAAGTCTAGAGGAACACCAACTTCAGCACAGCAACTCGAAGAATGCTCCGTGTACCCCAAATCGTCTCGAGATGAGAGCTGATTCCCTGGCTTAGGCTCAAGACATATGCCAACTTTCCAGAAGCACCTCAGGAGGAGGCTTCTCTCAGCAATAGGTATGTGGGAGGGACCCCGAGTTTGCTGCCACAAGGGGAATATACCGCGAGAAGCCCTAACTTGAAAGGAGGCCGGATTTCCTTGCAGTGGCTTGAATACAGGCTCGTCTTTCATCTCACAATATGGAGGGATGTCTGAATCCCCTGTGTAGACCTTAGAGAAAGCCCTAGGTCCCTGCCTCATTTTGACGGAATGCCTCACATCCCGCTGACACCTCGAGAGGCACGCGGAGTTCATTGCTTCAAAAGGTGACGATGCCTGACTCCTCTTGAATACTGATAGGAATCCCAAAATCCCTGTGGCTACTGGAAAGGGTACTTGGGTGCCCTGCCTCACATCGAGAAGCATCCCTTTTGCCCTGCCAAGCCTCGAAGAGATTCCTGAGGTGTCCCTCGTTACTAGACAGGACTCCTGACGTCACTGAAGAAACTCGTGTTTTGAAGGGCCATCCCCGCCGTAAGTCGAGAACATACCCCAGGTCCCCGCCGCAACTCGAGAAAAACCATGAGACTTCCCCCTAGAGGCGAGATGAGGCCCCATTCCCATGCAGTGCATGCAGAGCTATTCCGTGATCCCATTCAAACAAGGCAGGATCTTCGACTTGCTTAATGGATCTCGAGACAGTCCCCAAGAACACTGTCACCAGTCTAGACGGACCCTGAGGTCACCGCAGCATCGCAAAGCAGCTCCATGTGCCCCAAATCAACTCGAGAAGGGGCCCGATTCCCCTGCATTGACTCCAGAGCCATTCCTGGTTCCCCATTCAACACGACCGGTGGCTCGACTGCCTTCAGGCAACTCCAGAGATGCCCCAAGAACACTGTCCCAAGTCTAGAGGAACACCAACTTCAGCACAGCAACTCGAGGAATGCTCCTTGTACCCCAAATCGTCTCGAGATGAAAGCTGATTCCCTGGCTTAGGCTCAAGACGTATGCCAACTTTCCAGAAGCACCTCAGGAGGAGGCTTCTCTCAGCAATAGGTATGTGGGAGGGACCCCGAGTTTGCTGCCTCAAGGGGAATATACCGCGAGAAGCCCTAACTTGAAAGGAGGCCGGATTTCCTTGCAGTGGCTTGAATACAGGCTCGTCTTTCATCTCACAATATGGAATGATGTCTGAATCCCCTGTGTAGACCTTAGAGAAAGCCCTAGGTCCCTGCCTCATTTTGACGGAATGCCTCACATCCCGCTGACACCTCGAGAGGCACGCGGAGTTCATTGCTTCAAAAGGTGACGATGCCTGACTCCTCTTGAATACTGATAGGAATCCCAAAATCCCTGTGGCTACTGGAAAGGGTCCTTGGGTGCCATGCCTCACATCGAGAAGCATCCCTTTTGCCCTGACAAGCCTCGAAGAGATTCCTGAGGTGTCCCTCGTTACTAGACAGGACTCCTGACGTCACTGAAGAAACTCGTGTTTTGAAGGGCCATCCCCGCCGTAAGTCGAGAACATACCCCAGGTCCCCGCCGCAACTCGAGAAAAACCATGAGACTTCCCCCTAGAGGCGAGATGAGGCCCCATTCCCCTGCAGTGCATGCAGAGCTATTCCGTGATCCCATTCAAACCAGTCAGGAGCTTCGAATTGCTTAATGGATCTCGAGACAGTCCCCAAGAACACTGTCACCAGTCTAGACGGACCCTGAGGTCACCCCAGCAATGCAAAGCAGCTCCATGTTCCCCAAATCAAGTCGAGATGGGGCCCGATTCCCCTGCATTGACTCCAGAGCCATTCCCCGTTCCCCATTCAACACGACCGGTGGCTCGACTTCTTTCAAGCAACTCCAGAGATGCCCTGAGAACACTGTCCCAAGTCTAGAGGAACACCAACTTCAGCACAGCAACTCGAAGAATGCTCCGTGTACCCCAAATCGTCTCGAGATGAGAGCTGATTCCCTGGCTTAGGCTCAAGACGTATGCCAACTTTCCAGAAGCACCTCAGGAGGAGGCTTCTCTCAGCAATAGGTATGTGGGAGGGACCCCGAGTTTGCTGCCTCAAGGGGAATATACCGCGAGAAGCCCTAACTTGAAAGGAGGCCGGATTTCCTTGCAGGGGCTTGAATACAGGCTCGTCTTTCATCTCACAACATGAAGGGATGTCTGAATCCCCTGTGGAGACCTTAGAGAAAGCCCTAGGTCCCTGCCTCATTTTGACGGAATGCCTCACATCCCGCTGACACCTCGAGAGGCACGCGGAGTTCATTGCTTCAAAAGGTGACGATGCCTGACTCCTCTTGAATACTGATAGGAATCCCAAAATCCCTGTGGCTACTGGAAAGGGTCCTTGGGTGCCCTGCCTCACATCGAGAAGCATCCCTTTTGCCCTGCCAAGCCTCGAAGAGATTCCTGAGGTGTCCCTCGTTACTAGACAGGACTCCTGACGTCACTGAAGAAACTCGTGTTTTGAAGGGCCATCCCCGCCGTAAGTCGAGAACATACCCCAGGTCCCCGCCGCAACTCGAGAAAAACCATGAGACTTCCCCCTAGAGGCGAGATGAGGCCCCATTCCCCTGCAGTGCATGCAGAGCTATTCCGTGATCCCATTCAAACAAGGCAGGAACTTCGACTTGCTTTATGGATCTCGAGACAGTCCCCAAGAACACTGTCACCAGTCCAGACGGACCCTGAGGTCACCCCAGCACCGCAAAGCAGCTCCATGTGCCCCAAATCAACTCGAGATGAGGCCCGATTCCCCTGCATTGACTCCAGAGCCATTCCCCGTTCCCCATTCAACACGACCGGTGGCTCGACTTCCTTCAGGCAACTCCAGAGATGCCCCGAGAACACTGTCCCAAGTCTAGAGGAACACCAACTTCAGCACAGCAACTCGAGGAATGCTCCGTGTACCCCAAATCGTCTCGAGATGAGAGCTGATTCCCTGGCTTAGGCTCAAGACGTATGCCAACTTCCCAGAAGCACCTCAGGAGGAGGCTTGTCTCAGCAATAGGTATGTGGGAGGGACCCCGAGTTTGCTGCCTCAAGGGGAATATACAGCGAGAAGCCCTAACTTGAAAGGAGGCCGAATTTCCTTGCAGTGGCTTGAATACAGGCTCGTCTTTCATCTCACAACATGAAGGGATGTCCGAATCCCCTGTGGAGACCTTAGAGATAGCCCTAGGTCCCTGCCTCATTTTGACGGAATGCCTCACATCCCGCTGACACCTCGAGAGGCACGCGGAGTTCATTGCTTCAAAAATGACGATGCCTGACTCCTCTTGAATACTGATAGGAATCCCAAAATCCCTTTGGCTATTGGAAAGGGTCCTTGGGTGCCTTGCCTCACCTCGAGAAGCATCCCTTTTGCCCTGGCAAGCCTCGAAGAGATTCCTGAGGTGTCCCTCGTTACTAGACAGGAGTCCTGACGTCACTGAAGAAACTCGTGTTTTGAAGGGCCATCCCCGCCGTAAGTCGAGAACATACCCCAGGTCCCCGCCGCACCTCGAGAAAAACCATGAGACTTCCCCCTAGAGGCGAGATGAGGCCCCATTCCCCTGCAGTGCATGCAGAGCTATTCCGTGATCCCATTCAAACAAGTCAGGAGCTTCGACTTGCTTAATGGATCTCGAGACAGTCACCAAGAACACTGTCACCAGTCTAGACGGACCCTGAGGTCACCCCAACAACGCAAAGCAGCTCCATGTGGCCCAAATCAACTGGAGATGGGGCCCGATTCCCCTGCATTGACTCCAGAGCCATTCCTCGTTCCCCATTCAACACGACCGGTGGCTCGACTTCCTTCAGGAAACTCCAGAGATGCCCCAAGAACACTGTCCCAAGTCTAGAGGAACACCAACTTCAGCACAGCAACTGGAGGAATGCTCCGTGTACCCCAAATCGTCTCGAGATGAGAGCTGATACCCTCGCTTAGGCTCAAGACGTATGCCAACTTTCCAGAAGCACCTCAGGAGGAGGCTTCTCTCAGCAATAGTTATGTGGGAGGGACCCCGAGTTTGCTGCCTCAAGGGGAATATACCGCGAGAAGCCCTAACTTGAAAGGAGGCCGGATTTCCTTGCAGGGGCTTGAATACAGGCTCGTCTTTCATCTCACAACATGAAGGGATGTCTGAATCCCCTGTGGAGACCTTAGAGAAAGCCCTAGGTCCCTGCCTCATTTTGACGGAATGCCTCACATCCCGCTGACACCTCGAGAGGCACGCGGAATTCATTGCTTCAAAAGGTGACGATGCCTGACTCCTCTTGAATACTGATAGGAATCCCAAACTCGCTGTGGCTACTGGAAAGGGTCCTTGGGTGCCCTGCCTCACCTCGAGAAGCGTCCCTTTTGCCCTGCCAAGCCTCGAAGAGATTCCTGAGGTGTCCCTCGTTACTAGACAGGAGTCCTGATGTCACTGAAGAAACTCGTGGTTTGAAGGGCCATCCCCGCCGTAAGTCGAGGACATAGCCCAGGTCCCCATCGCAAGTCCATAAAAACCATGAGACTTCCCCCTAGAGGGGAGATGAGGCCCCATTCCGCTGCAATGCATGCAGAGCTATTCCGTGATCCCATTCAAACAAGTCAGGAGCTTCGACTTGCTTAATGGATCTCGAGACAGTCCCCAAGAACACTGTCACCAGTCTAGACGGACCATGAGGTCACCCCAGAAACGCAAAGCAGCTCCATGTGCCCCAAATCAACTCGAGATGAGGCCCGATTCCGCTGCATTGACTCCAGAGCCATTCCCCGTTCCCCATTCAACACGACCGGTGGCTCGACTTCCTTCACACAACTCCAGAGATGCCCGGAGAACACTGTCCCAAGTCTAGAGGAAAAACAACTTCAGCACAGCAACTCGAGGAATGATCCGTGTACCCCAAATCGTCTCGAGATGAGAGCTGATTCCCTGGCTTAGGCTCAAGACGTATGCCAACTTTCCAGAAGCACCTCAGGAGGAGGCTTCTCTCAGCAATAGGTATGTGGGAGGGACACCGAGTTTGCTGCCTCAAGGGGAATATACAGCGAGAAGCCCTAACTTGAAACGAGGCCAAATTTCCTTGCAGTGGCTTGAATACAGGCTCGTCTTTCATCTCACAACATGAAGGGATGTCTGAATCCCCTGTGGAGACCTTAGAGAAAGCCCTAGGACCCTGCCTCATTTTTACGGAATGCCTCACATCCCGCTGACACCTCGAGAGGCACGCGGAGTTCATTGATTTAAAAGGTGACGATGCCTGACTACTCTTGAATGCTGATAGGAATCCCAAAATCCCTGTGGCTACTGGAAAGGGTCCTTGGGTGCCCTGCCTCACCTCGAGAAGCGTCCCTTTGGCCCTGCCGAGCCTCGAAGAGATTCCTGAGGTGTCCCTCGTTACTAGACAGGAGTCCTGACGTCACTGAGGAAACTCGTGTTCTGAAGGGTCAGCCCCGCCGTAAGTCGAGAACATACCCCAGGTCCCCGCCGCAACTCGAGAAAAACCATGAGACTTCCCCCTAGAGGCGAGATCAGGCCCCATTCCGCTGCAGTGCATGCAGAGCTATTCCGTGATCCCATTCAAACAAGTCAGTTGCTTCGACTTGCTTAATGGATCTCGAGACAGTCCCCAAGAACACTGTCACCAGTCTAGACGGACCCTGAGGTCGCCCCAGCAACGCAAAGCAGCACCATGTGCCCCAAATCAACTCGAGATGAGGCCCGATTCCCCTGCATTGACTCCAGAGCCATTCCCCGTTCCCCATTCAACACGACCGGTGGCTCGACTTCCTTCAGGCAACTCCAGAGATGCCCCGAGAACACTGTCCCAAGTCTAGAGGAACACCAACTTCAGCACAGCAACTCGAGGAATGCTCCGTGTACCCCAAATCGTCTCGAGATGAGAGCTGATTCCCTGGCTTAGGCTCAAGACGTATGCCAACTTCCCAGAAGCACCTCAGGAGGAGGCTTCTCTCAGCAATAGCTATGTGGGAGGGACCCTGAGTTTGCTGCCTCAAGGGGAATATACAGCGAGAAGACCTAACTTGAAAGGAGTCCGAATTTCCTTGCAGTGGCTTGAATACAGGCTCGTCTTTCATCTCACAATATGAAGGGATGTCTGAATCCGCTGTGGAGACCTTAGAGAAAGCCCTAGGTCCCTGCCTCATTTTGACGGAATGCCTCACATCCCGCTGACACCTCGACAGGCACGCGGAGTTAATTGCTTCAAAAATGACGATGCCTGACTCCTCTTGAATACTGATAGGAATCCCAAAATCCCTGTGGCTACTGGAAAGGGTCCTTGAGTGTCCTGCCCCACCTTGAGAAGCGTCCCTTTTGCTCTGCCAAGCCTCGAAGAGATTCCTGAGGTGTCCCTCGTTACTAGACAGGACTCCTGAGGTCACTGAAGAAACTCGTGTTTTGAAGGGCCATCCCCGCCGTAAGTCGAGAACATACCCCAGGTCCCCGCCGCAACTCGAGAAAAACCATAAGACTTCCCCCTAGAGGTGAGATGAAGCCCCATTCCCCTGCAGTGCATGCAGAGCTATTCCGTGATCCCATTCAAACAAGTCAGGAGCTTCGACTTGCTTAATGGATCTCGAGAGAGTCCCCAAGAACACTGTCACCAGTCCAGACGGACCCTGAGGTCACCCCAGCACCGCACAGCAGCTCCATGTGCCCCAAATCAACTCGAGATGAGGCCCGATACCCCTGAATTGACTCCAGAGCCATTCCCCGTTCCCCATTCAACACGACCGGTGGCTCGACTTCCTTCACGAAACTCCAGAGATGCCCTGAGAACACTGTCCCAAGTCTAGAGGAAAAACAGCTTCAGCACAGCAACTCAAGTAATGATCCGTGTACCCCAAATCGTCTCGAGATGAGAGCTGATTCCCTGGCTTAGGCTCAAGACGTATGCCAACTCCCCAGAAGCACCTCAGGAGGAGGCTTCTCTCAGCAATAGGTATGTGGGAGGGACCCCGAGTTTGCTGCCTCAAGGGGAATATACAGCGAGAAGCCCTAACTTGAAAGGAGGCCGGATTTCCATGCAGATGCTTGAATACAGGCTCGTCTTTCATCTCACAACATGAAGGGATGTCTGAATCCCCTGTGGAGACCTTAGAGAAAGCCCTAGGTCCCTTCCTCATTTTGACAGAATGCCTCACATCCCGCTGACACCTCAAGAGGCACGCGGAGTTCATTGCTTCAAAAGGTGACGATGCCTGACTCCTCTTGAATACTGATAGGAATCCCAAAATCCCTGTGGCTACTGGAAAGTGTCCTTGTTTGCCCTGCCTCTCCTCGAGAAGCGTCCCTTTTGCCCTGCCAGGCCTCGAAGAGATTCCTGAGGTGTCCCTCGTTACTAGACAGGAGTCCTGACGTCACTGAAGAAACTCGTGTTTTGAAGGCCCATCCCCGCCGTAAGTCGAGAACATACCCCAGGTCCCCGCCGCAACTCGAGAAAAACCATGAGACTTCCCCCTAGAGGCGAGATGAGGCCCCATTCCCCTGCAGTGCATGCAGAGCTATTCCGTGATCCCATTCAAACAAGTCAGGAGCTTCGACTTGCTTAATGGATCTCGAGACAGTCCCCAAGAACACTGTCACCAGTCCAGACGGACCCTGAGGTCACCCCAGCACCGCAAAGCAGCTCCATGTGCCCCAAATCAACTCGAGATGAGGCCCGATTCCCCTGCATTGACTCCAGAGCCATTCCCCGTTCCCCATTCAACACGACCTGTGGCTCGACTTCCTTCAGGTAACTCCAGAGATGCCCCGAGAACACTGTCCCAAGTCTAGAGGAACACCAACTTCAGCACAGCAACTCGAGGAATGCTCCGTGTACCCCAAATCGTCTCGAGATGAGAGCTGATTCCCTCGCTTAGGCTCAAGACGTATGCCAACTTTCCAGAAGCACCTCAGGAGTAGGCTTCTCTCAGCAATAGTTATGTGGGAGAGACCCCGAGTTTGCTGCCTCAAGGGGAATATACCGCGAGAAGCCCTAACTTGAAAGGAGGCCGGATTTCCTTGCAGTGGCTTGAATACAGGCTCGTCTTTCATCTCACAACATGAAGGGATGTCTGAATCCCCTGTGGAGACCTTAGAGAAAGCCCTAGGTCCCTGCCTCATTTTGACGGAATGCCTCACATCCCGCTGACACCTCGAGAGGCACGCGGAGTTCATTGCTTCAAAAGGTGACGATGCCTGACTCCTCTTGAATACTGATAGGAATCCCAAACTCGCTGTGGCTACTGGAAAGGGTCCTTGGGTGCCCTGCCTCAACTCGAGAAGCGTCCCTTTTGCCCTGCCAAGCCTCGAAGAGATTCCTGAGGTGTCCCTCGTTACTAGACAGGAGTCCTGATGTCACTGAAGAAACTCGTGGTTTGAAGGGCCATCCCCGCAGTAAGTCGAGGACATAGCCCAGGTCCCCATCGCAAGTCCATAAAAACCATGAGAATTCCCCCTAGAGGGGAGATGAGGCCCCATTCCCCTGCAATGCATGCAGAGCTATTCCGTGATCCCATTCAAACAAGTCAGGAGCTTCGACTTGCTTAATGGATCTCGTGACAGTCCCCAAGAACACTGTCACCAGTCGAGACGGACTATGAGGTCACCCCAGCAACGCAAAGCAGCTCCATGTGCCCCAAATCAACTCGAGATGAGGCCCGATTCCGCTGCATTGACTCCAGAGCCATTCCCCGTTCCCCATTCAACACGACCGGTGGCTCGACTTCCTTCACGAAACTCCAGAGATGCCCTGAGAACACTGTCCCAAGTCTAGAGGAAAAACAGCTTCAGCACAGCAACTCAAGGAATGATCCGTGTACCCCAAATCGTCTCGAGATGAGAGCTGATTCCCTGGCTTAGGCTCAAGACGTATGCCAACTTTTCAGAAGCACCTCAGGAGGAGGCTTCTCTCAGCAATAGGTATGTGGGAGGGACACCGAGTTTGCTGCCTCAAGGGGAATATACAGCGAGAAGCCCTAACTAGAAACGAGGCCAGATTTCCTTGCAGTGGCTTGAATACAGGCTCGTCTTTCATCTCACAACATGAAGGGATGTCTGAATCCCCTGTGGAGACCTTAGAGAAAGCCCTAGGTCCCTGCCTCATTTTGACGGAATGCCTCACATCCCGCTGACACCTCGAGAGGCACGCGGAGTTCATTGATTTAAAAGGTGACGATGCCTGACTCCTCTTGAATGCTGATAGGAATCCCAAAATCCCTGTGGCTACTGGAAAGGGTCCTTGGGTGCCCTGCCTCACCTCGAGAAGCGTCCCTTTTGCCCTGCCAAGCCTCGAAGATATTCCTGAGGTGTCCCTCGTTACTAGACAGCAGTCCTGACGTCACTGAAGAAACTCGTGTTCTGAAGGGCCAGCCCCGCCCTAAGTCGAGAACATACCCCAGGTCCCCGCCGCAACTCGAGAAAAACCATGAGACTTCCCCCTAGAGGCGAGATGAGGCCCCATTCCCCTGCAGTGCATGCAGAGCTATTCCGTGATCCCATTCAAACAAGTCAGGAGCTTCGACTTGCTTAATGGATCTCGAGACAGTCCCCAAGAACACTGTCACCAGTCTAGACGGACCCTGAGGTCACCCCAGCACCGCAAAGCAGGTGCATGTGCCGCAAATCAACTCGAGATGAGACCCGATTCCCCTGCATTAACTCCAGAGCCATTCCCCGTTCCCCATTCAACACGACCGGTGGCTCGACTTCCTTCAGGCAACTCCAGAAATGCCCCGAGAACACTGTCCCAAGTCTAGAGGAACACCAACTTCAGCACAGCAACTCGAGGAATGCTCCGTGTACCCCAAATCGTCTCGAGATGAGAGCTGATTCCCTGGCTTAGGCTCAAGACGTATGCCAACTTCCCAGAAGCACCTCAGGAGGAGGCTTCTCTCAGCAATAGGTATGTGGGAGGGACCCCGAGTTTGCTGCCTCAAGGGGAATATACAGCGAGAAGCCCTAACTTGAAAGGAGTCCGAATTTCCTTGCAGTGGCTTGAATACAGGCTCGTCTTTCATCTCACAACATGAAGGGATGTCTGAATCCCCTGTGGAGACCTTAGAGAAAGCCCTAGGTCCCTGCCTCATTTTGATGGAATGCCTCACATCCCGCTGACACCTCGAGAGGCACGCGGAGTTAGTTGCTTCAAAAATGACGATGCCTGACTCCTCTTGAATACTGATAAGAATCCCAAAATCCCTGTGGCTACTGGAAAGGGTCCTTGGGTGCCCTGCCTCATCTCGAGAAGCATCCCTTTTGCCCTGGCAAGCCTCGAAGAGATTCCTGAGGTGTCCCTCGTTACTAGACAGGAGTCCTGACGTCACTGAAGAAACTCGTGGTTTGAAGGGCCATCCCCGCCGTAAGTCGAGAACATACCCCAGGTCCCCGCCGCAACTCGAGAAAAACCATGAGACTTCCCCCTAGAGGCGAGATGAGGCCGCATTCCCCTGCAGTGCATGCAGAGCTATTCCGTGATCCCATTCAAACAAGTCAGGAGCTTCGACTTGCTTAATGGATCTCGAGACAGTCCCCAAGAACACTGTCACCAGTCTAGACGGACCCTGAGGTCACCCCAGCAATGCAAAGCAGCTACATGTTCCCCAAATCAAGTCGAGATGGGGCCCGATTCCCCTGCATTGACTCCAGAGCCATTCCCCGTTCCCCATTCAACACGACCGGTGGCTCGACTTCTTTCAAGCAACTCCAGAGATGCCCTGAGAACACTGTCCCAAGTCTAGAGGAACACCAACTTCAGCACAGCAACTCGAAGAATGCTCCGTGTACCCCAAATCGTCTCGAGATGAGAGCTGATTCCCTGGCTTAGGCTCAAGACGTATGCCAACTTTCCAGAAGCACCTCAGGAGGAGGCTTCTCTCAGCAATAGGTATGTGGGAGGGACCCCGAGTTTGCTGCCTCAAGGGGAATATACCGCGAGAAGCCCTAACTTGAAAGGAGGCCGGATTTCCTTGCAGGGGCTTGAATACAGGCTCGTCTTTCATCTCACAACATGAAGGGATGTCTGAATCCCCTGTGGAGACCTTAGAGAAAGCCCTAGGTCCCTGCCTCATTTTGACCTAATGCCTCACATCCCGCTGACAACTCGAGAGGCACGCGGAGTTAATTGCTTCAAAAATGAGGATGCCTGACTCCTCTTGAATACTGATATGAATCCCAAAATCCCTGTGGCTACTGGAAAGGGTCCTTGGGTGCCCTGCCTCACCTCGAGAAGCATCCCTTTTGCCCTGGCAAGCCTCGAAGAGATTCCTGAGGTGTCCCTCGTTACTAGACAGGACTCCTGACGTCACTGAAGAAACTCGAGTTTTGAAGGGCCATCCCCGCCGTAAGTCGAGAACATACCCCAGGTCCCCGCCGCAACTCGAGAAAAACCATGAGACTTCCCCCTAGAGGCGAGATGAGGCCCCATTCCCCTGCAGTGCATGCAGAGCTATTCCGTGATCCCATTCAAACAAGTCAGTAGCTTCGACTTGCTTAATGGATCTCGAGACAGTCCCCAAGAACACTGTCACCAGTCCAGACGGAACCTGAGGTCACCCCAGCACCGCAAAGCAGCTCCATGTGCCCCAAATCAACTCGAGATGAGGCCCGATTCCCCTGCATTGACTCCAGAGCCATTCCCCGTTCGCCATTCAACACGACCACTGGCTCGACTTCCTTCAGGCAACTCCAGAGATGCCCCGAGAACACTGTCCCAAGTCTAGAGGAACACCAACTTCAGCACAGCAACTCGAGGAATGCTCCGTGTACCCCAAATCGTCTCGAGATGAGAGCTGATTCCCTCGCTTAGGCTCAAGACGTATGCCACCTTTCCAGAAGCACCTCAGGTGGAGGCTTCTCTCAGCAATAGGTATGTGGGAGGGACCCCGAGTTTGCTGCCTCAAGGGGAATATACCGCGAGAAGCCCTAACTTGAAAGGAGGCCGGATTTCCTTGCAGGGGCTTGAATACAGGCTCGTCTTTCATCTCACAACATGAAGGGATGTCTGAATGCCCTGTGGAGACCTTAGAGAAAGCCCTAGGTCCCTGCCTCATTTTGACGGAATGCCTCACATCCCGCTGACACCTCGAGAGGCACGCGGAGTTCATTGCTTCAAAAGGTGACGATGCCTGACTCCTCTTGAATACTGATAGGAATCCCAAAATCCCTGTGGCTACTGGAAAGGGTCCTTGGGTGCCCTGCCTCACCTCGAGAAGCGTCCCTTTTGCCCTGCCAAGCCTCGAAGAGATTCCTGAGGTGTCCCTCGTTACTAGACAGGAGTCTTGACGTCACTGAAGAAACTCGTGTTTTGAAGGGCCATCCCCACCGTAAGTCGAGAACATAGCCCAGGTCCCTGCCGCAACTCGAGAAGAACCATGAGACTTCCCCCTGGAGGGGAGATGAGGCCCCATTCCCCTGCAGTGCATGCAGAGCTATTCCGTGATCCCATTCAAACAAGTCAGGAGCTTCGACTTGCTTAATGGATCTCGAGACAGTCCCCAAGAACACTGTCACCAGTCTAGACGGACCCTGAGGTCACCCCAGCAACGCAAAGCAGCTCCATGTGCCCCAAATCAACTCGAGATGAGGCCCGATTCCCCTGCATTGACTCCAGAGCCATTCCCCGTTCCCCATTCAACACGACCGGTGGCTCGACTTCCTTCAAGCAACTCCAGAGATGCCCCGAGAACACTGTCCCAAGTCTAGAGGAACACCAACTTCAGCACAGCAACTCGAAGAATGCTCCGTGTACCCCAAATCGTCTCGAGATGAGAGCTGATTCCCTGGCTTAGGCTCAAGACATATGCCAACTTTCCAGAAGCACCTCAGGAGGAGGCTTCTCTCAGCAATAGGTATGTGGGAGGGACCCCGAGTTTGCTGCCACAAGGGGAATATACCGCGAGAAGCCCTAACTTGAAAGGAGGCCGGATTTCCTTGCAGTGGCTTGAATACAGGCTCGTCTTTCATCTCACAATATGGAGGGATGTCTGAATCCCCTGTGTAGACCTTAGAGAAAGCCCTAGGTCCCTGCCTCATTTTGACGGAATGCCTCACATCCCGCTGACACCTCGAGAGGCACGCGGAGTTCATTGCTTCAAAAGGTGACGATGCCTGACTCCTCTTGAATACTGATAGGAATCCCAAAATCCCTGTGGCTACTGGAAAGGGTACTTGGGTGCCCTGCCTCACATCGAGAAGCATCCCTTTTGCCCTGCCAAGCCTCGAAGAGATTCCTGAGGTGTCCCTCGTTACTAGACAGGACTCCTGACGTCACTGAAGAAACTCGTGTTTTGAAGGGCCATCCCCGCCGTAAGTCGAGAACATACCCCAGGTCCCCGCCGCAACTCGAGAAAAACCATGAGACTTCCCCCTAGAGGCGAGATGAGGCCCCATTCCCATGCAGTGCATGCAGAGCTATTCCGTGATCCCATTCAAACAAGGCAGGATCTTCGACTTGCTTAATGGATCTCGAGACAGTCCCCAAGAACACTGTCACCAGTCTAGACGGACCCTGAGGTCACCCCAGCATCGCAAAGCAGCTCCATGTGCCCCAAATCAACTCGAGAAGGGGCCCGATTCCCCTGCATTGACTCCAGAGCCATTCCTGGTTCCCCATTCAACACGACCGGTGGCTCGACTTCCTTCAGGCAACTCCAGAGATGCCCCAAGAACACTGTCCCAAGTCTAGAGGAACACCAACTTCAGCACAGCAACTCGAGGAATGCTCCTTGTACCCCAAATCGTCTCGAGATGAAAGCTGATTCCCTGGCTTAGGCTCAAGACGTATGCCAACTTTCCAGAAGCACCTCAGGAGGAGGCTTCTCTCAGCAATAGGTATGTGGGAGGGACCCCGAGTTTGCTGCCTCAAGGGGAATATACCGCGAGAAGCCCTAACTTGAAAGGAGGCCGGATTTCCTTGCAGTGGCTTGAATACAGGCTCGTCTTTCATCTCACAATATGGAATGATGTCTGAATCCCCTGTGTAGACCTTAGAGAAAGCCCTAGGTCCCTGCCTCATTTTGACGGAATGCCTCACATCCCGCTGACACCTCGAGAGGCACGCGGAGTTCATTGCTTCAAAAGGTGACGATGCCTGACTCCTCTTGAATACTGATAGGAATCCCAAAATCCCTGTGGCTACTGGAAAGGGTCCTTGGGTGCCATGCCTCACATCGAGAAGCATCCCTTTTGCCCTGACAAGCCTCGAAGAGATTCCTGAGGTGTCCCTCGTTACTAGACAGGACTCCTGACGTCACTGAAGAAACTCGTGTTTTGAAGGGCCATCCCCGCCGTAAGTCGAGAACATACCCCAGGTCCCCGCCGCAACTCGAGAAAAACCATGAGACTTCCCCCTAGAGGCGAGATGAGGCCCCATTCCCCTGCAGTGCATGCAGAGCTATTCCGTGATCCCATTCAAACCAGTCAGGAGCTTCGAATTGCTTAATGGATCTCGAGACAGTCCCCAAGAACACTGTCACCAGTCTAGACGGACCCTGAGGTCACCCCAGCAATGCAAAGCAGCTCCATGTTCCCCAAATCAAGTCGAGATGGGGCCCGATTCCCCTGCATTGACTCCAGAGCCATTCCCCGTTCCCCATTCAACACGACCGGTGGCTCGACTTCTTTCAAGCAACTCCAGAGATGCCCTGAGAACACTGTCCCAAGTCTAGAGGAACACCAACTTCAGCACAGCAACTCGAAGAATGCTCCGTGTACCCCAAATCGTCTCGAGATGAGAGCTGATTCCCTGGCTTAGGCTCAAGACGTATGCCAACTTTCCAGAAGCACCTCAGGAGGAGGCTTCTCTCAGCAATAGGTATGTGGGAGGGACCCCGAGTTTGCTGCCTCAAGGGGAATATACCGCGAGAAGCCCTAACTTGAAAGGAGGCCGGATTTCCTTGCAGGGGCTTGAATACAGGCTCGTCTTTCATCTCACAACATGAAGGGATGTCTGAATCCCCTGTGGAGACCTTAGAGAAAGCCCTAGGTCCCTGCCTCATTTTGACCTAATGCCTCACATCCCGCTGACAACTCGAGAGGCACGCGGAGTTAATTGCTTCAAAAATGAGGATGCCTGACTCCTCTTGAATACTGATATGAATCCCAAAATCCCTGTGGCTACTGGAAAGGGTCCTTGGGTGCCCTGCCTCACCTCGAGAAGCATCCCTTTTGCCCTGGCAAGCCTCGAAGAGATTCCTGAGGTGTCCCTCGTTACTAGACAGGACTCCTGACGTCACTGAAGAAACTCGAGTTTTGAAGGGCCATCCCCGCCGTAAGTCGAGAACATACCCCAGGTCCCCGCCGCAACTCGAGAAAAACCATGAGACTTCCCCCTAGAGGCGAGATGAGGCCCCATTCCCCTGCAGTGCATGCAGAGCTATTCCGTGATCCCATTCAAACAAGTCAGTAGCTTCGACTTGCTTAATGGATCTCGAGACAGTCCCCAAGAACACTGTCACCAGTCCAGACGGAACCTGAGGTCACCCCAGCACCGCAAAGCAGCTCCATGTGCCCCAAATCAACTCGAGATGAGGCCCGATTCCCCTGCATTGACTCCAGAGCCATTCCCCGTTCGCCATTCAACACGACCACTGGCTCGACTTCCTTCAGGCAACTCCAGAGATGCCCCGAGAACACTGTCCCAAGTCTAGAGGAACACCAACTTCAGCACAGCAACTCGAGGAATGCTCCGTGTACCCCAAATCGTCTCGAGATGAGAGCTGATTCCCTCGCTTAGGCTCAAGACGTATGCCAACTTTCCAGAAGCACCTCAGGTGGAGGCTTCTCTCAGCAATAGGTATGTGGGAGGGACCCCGAGTTTGCTGCCTCAAGGGGAATATACCGCGAGAAGCCCTAACTTGAAAGGAGGCCGGATTTCCTTGCAGGGGCTTGAATACAGGCTCGTCTTTCATCTCACAACATGAAGGGATGTCTGAATGCCCTGTGGAGACCTTAGAGAAAGCCCTAGGTCCCTGCCTCATTTTGACGGAATGCCTCACATCCCGCTGACACCTCGAGAGGCACGCGGAGTTCATTGCTTCAAAAGGTGACGATGCCTGACTCCTCTTGAATACTGATAGGAATCCCAAAATCCCTGTGGCTACTGGAAAGGGTCCTTGGGTGCCCTGCCTCACCTCGAGAAGCGTCCCTTTTGCCCTGCCAAGCCTCGAAGAGATTCCTGAGGTGTCCCTCGTTACTAGACAGGAGTCTTGACGTCACTGAAGAAACTCGTGTTTTGAAGGGCCATCCCCACCGTAAGTCGAGAACATAGCCCAGGTCCCTGCCGCAACTCGAGAAGAACCATGAGACTTCCCCCTGGAGGGGAGATGAGGCCCCATTCCCCTGCAGTGCATGCAGAGCTATTCCGTGATCCCATTCAAACAAGTCAGGAGCTTCGACTTGCTTAATGGATCTCGAGACAGTCCCCAAGAACACTGTCACCAGTCTAGACGGACCCTGAGGTCACCCCAGCAACGCAAAGCAGCTCCATGTGCCCCAAATCAACTCGAGATGAGGCCCGATTCCCCTGCATTGACTCCAGAGCCATTCCCCGTTCCCCATTCAACACGACCGGTGGCTCGACTTCCTTCAAGCAACTCCAGAGATGCCCCGAGAACACTGTCCCAAGTCTAGAGGAACACCAACTTCAGCACAGCAACTCGAAGAATGCTCCGTGTACCCCAAATCGTCTCGAGATGAGAGCTGATTCCCTGGCTTAGGCTCAAGACATATGCCAACTTTCCAGAAGCACCTCAGGAGGAGGCTTCTCTCAGCAATAGGTATGTGGGAGGGACCCCGAGTTTGCTGCCACAAGGGGAATATACCGCGAGAAGCCCTAACTTGAAAGGAGGCCGGATTTCCTTGCAGTGGCTTGAATACAGGCTCGTCTTTCATCTCACAATATGGAGGGATGTCTGAATCCCCTGTGTAGACCTTAGAGAAAGCCCTAGGTCCCTGCCTCATTTTGACGGAATGCCTCACATCCCGCTGACACCTCGAGAGGCACGCGGAGTTCATTGCTTCAAAAGGTGACGATGCCTGACTCCTCTTGAATACTGATAGGAATCCCAAAATCCCTGTGGCTACTGGAAAGGGTACTTGGGTGCCCTGCCTCACATCGAGAAGCATCCCTTTTGCCCTGCCAAGCCTCGAAGAGATTCCTGAGGTGTCCCTCGTTACTAGACAGGACTCCTGACGTCACTGAAGAAACTCGTGTTTTGAAGGGCCATCCCCGCCGTAAGTCGAGAACATACCCCAGGTCCCCGCCGCAACTCGAGAAAAACCATGAGACTTCCCCCTAGAGGCGAGATGAGGCCCCATTCCCATGCAGTGCATGCAGAGCTATTCCGTGATCCCATTCAAACAAGGCAGGATCTTCGACTTGCTTAATGGATCTCGAGACAGTCCCCAAGAACACTGTCACCAGTCTAGACGGACCCTGAGGTCACCCCAGCATCGCAAAGCAGCTCCATGTGCCCCAAATCAACTCGAGATGGGGCCCGATTCCCCTGCATTGACTCCAGAGCCATTCCTGGTTCCCCATTCAACACGACCGGTGGCTCGACTTCCTTCAGGCAACTCCAGAGATGCCCCAAGAACACTGTCCCAAGTCTAGAGGAACACCAACTTCAGCACAGCAACTCGAGGAATGCTCCTTGTACCCCAAATCGTCTCGAGATGAAAGCTGATTCCCTGGCTTAGGCTCAAGACGTATGCCAACTTTCCAGAAGCACCTCAGGAGGAGGCTTCTCTCAGCAATAGGTATGTGGGAGGGACCCCGAGTTTGCTGCCTCAAGGGGAATATACAGCGAGAAGCCCTAACTTGAAAGGAGGCCGGATTTCCTTGCAGTGGCTTGAATACAGGATCGTCTTTCATCTCACAACATGAAGGGATGTCTGAATGCCCTTTGGAGACCTTAGAGAAAGCCCTAGGTCCCTGCCTCATTTTGACGGAATGCCTCACATCCCGCTGACACCTCGAGAGGCACGCGGAGTTCATTGCTTCAAAAGGTGACGATGCCTGACTCCTCTTGAATACTGATAGGAATCCCAAAAATCCTGTGGCTACTGGAAAGGGTCCTTGGGTGCCCTGCCTCACCTCGAGAAGCGTCCATTTTGCGCTGCCAAGCCTCGAAGAGATTCCTGAGGTGTCCCTCTTTACTAGACAGGAGTCCTGACGTCACTGAAGAAACTCGTGTTTTGAAGGGCCATCCCCGCCGTAAGTCGAGAACATACCCCAGGTCGCTGCCGCAACTCGAGAAAAACCATGAGACTTCCCCCTAGAGGCGAGATGAGGCCCCATTCCCCTGCAGTGCATGCAGAGCTATTCCGTGATCCCATTCAAACAAGTCAGGAGCTTCGACTTGCTTAATGGATCTCGAGACAGTTCCCAAGAACACTGTCACCAGTGTAGACGGACCCTGAGGTCACCCCAGCAATGCAAAGCAGCTCCATGTTCCCCAAATCAACTCGAGATGGGGCCCGATTCCCCTGCATTGACTCCAGAGCCATTCCCCGTTCCCCATTCAACACGACCGGTGGCTCGACTTCTTTCAAGCAACTCCAGAGATGCCCTGAGAACACTGTCCCAAGTCTAGAGGAACACCAACTTCAGCACAGCAACTCGAAGAATGCTCCGTGTACCCCAAATCGTCTCGAGATGAGAGCTGATTCCCTGGCTTAGGCTCAAGACGTATGCCAACTTTCCAGAAGCACCTCAGGAGGAGGCTTCTCTCAGCAATAGGTATGTGGGAGGGACCCCGAGTTTGCTGCCACAAGGGGAGTATACCGCGAGAAGCCCTAACTTGAAAGGAGGCCGGATTTCCTTGCAGGGGCTTGAATACAGGCTCGTCTTTCATCTCACAACATGAAGGGATGTCTGAATCCCCTGTGGAGACCTTAGAGAAAGCCCTAGGTCCCTGCCTCATTTTGACCTAATGCCTCACATCCCGCTGACAACTCGAGAGGCACGCGGAGTTAATTGCTTCAAAAATGAGGATGCCTGACTCCTCTTGAATACTGATATGAATCCCAAAATCCCTGTGGCTACTGGAAAGGGTCCTTGGGTGCCCTGCCTCACCTCGAGAAGCATCCCTTTTGCCCTGGCAAGCCTCGAAGAGATTCCTGAGGTGTCCCTCGTTACTAGACAGGACTCCTGACGTCACTGAAGAAACTCGAGTTTTGAAGGGCCATCCCCGCCGTAAGTCGAGAACATACCCCAGGTCCCCGCCGCAACTCGAGAAAAACCATGAGACTTCCCCCTAGAGGCGAGATGAGGCCCCATTCCCCTGCAGTGCATGCAGAGCTATTCCGTGATCCCATTCAAACAAGTCAGTAGCTTCGACTTGCTTAATGGATCTCGAGACAGTCCCCAAGAACACTGTCACCAGTCCAGACGGAACCTGAGGTCACCCCAGCACCGCAAAGCAGCTCCATGTGCCCCAAATCAACTCGAGATGAGGCCCGATTCCCCTGCATTGACTCCAGAGCCATTCCCCGTTCGCCATTCAACACGACCACTGGCTCGACTTCCTTCAGGCAACTCCAGAGATGCCCCGAGAACACTGTCCCAAGTCTAGAGGAACACCAACTTCAGCACAGCAACTCGAGGAATGCTCCGTGTACCCCAAATCGTCTCGAGATGAGAGCTGATTCCCTCGCTTAGGCTCAAGACGTATGCCAACTTTCCAGAAGCACCTCAGGTGGAGGCTTCTCTCAGCAATAGGTATGTGGGAGGGACCCCGAGTTTGCTGCCTCAAGGGGAATATACCGCGAGAAGCCCTAACTTGAAAGGAGGCCGGATTTCCTTGCAGGGGCTTGAATACAGGCTCGTCTTTCATCTCACAACATGAAGGGATGTCTGAATGCCCTGTGGAGACCTTAGAGAAAGCCCTAGGTCCCTGCCTCATTTTGACGGAATGCCTCACATCCCGCTGACACCTCGAGAGGCACGCGGAGTTCATTGCTTCAAAAGGTGACGATGCCTGACTCCTCTTGAATACTGATAGGAATCCCAAAATCCCTGTGGCTACTGGAAAGGGTCCTTGGGTGCCCTGCCTAACCTCGAGAAGCGTCCCTTTTGCCCTGCCAAGCCTCGAAGAGATTCCTGAGGTGTCCCTCGTTACTAGACAGGAGTCTTGACGTCACTGAAGAAACTCGTGTTTTGAAGGGCCATCCCCACCGTAAGTCGAGAACATAGCCCAGGTCCCTGCCGCAACTCGAGAAGAACCATGAGACTTCCCCCTGGAGGGGAGATGAGGCCCCATTCCCCTGCAGTGCATGCAGAGCTATTCCGTGATCCCATTCAAACAAGTCAGGAGCTTCGACTTGCTTAATGGATCTCGAGACAGTCCCCAAGAACACTGTCACCAGTCTAGACGGACCCTGAGGTCACCCCAGCAACGCAAAGCAGCTCCATGTGCCCCAAATCAACTCGAGATGAGGCCCGATTCCCCTGCATTGACTCCAGAGCCATTCCCCGTTCCCCATTCAACACGACCGGTGGCTCGACTTCCTTCAAGCAACTTCAGAGATGCCCCGAGAACACTGTCCCAAGTCTAGAGGAACACCAACTTCAGCACAGCAACTCGAAGAATGCTCCGTGTACCCCAAATCGTCTCGAGATGAGAGCTGATTCCCTGGCTTAGGCTCAAGACATATGCCAACTTTCCAGAAGCACCTCAGGAGGAGGCTTCTCTCAGCAATAGGTATGTGGGAGGGACCCCGAGTTTGCTGCCACAAGGGGAATATACCGCGAGAAGCCCTAACTTGAAAGGAGGCCGGATTTCCTTGCAGTGGCTTGAATACAGGCTCGTCTTTCATCTCACAATATGGAGGGATGTCTGAATCCCCTGTGTAGACCTTAGAGAAAGCCCTAGGTCCCTGCCTCATTTTGACGGAATGCCTCACATCCCGCTGACACCTCGAGAGGCACGCGGAGTTCATTGCTTCAAAAGGTGACGATGCCTGACTCCTCTTGAATACTGATAGGAATCCCAAAATCCCTGTGGCTACTGGAAAGGGTCCTTGGGTGCCCTGCCTCACATCGAGAAGCATCCCTTTTGCCCTGCCAAGCCTCGAAGAGATTCCTGAGGTGTCCCTCGTTACTAGACAGGACTCCTGACGTCACTGAAGAAACTCGTGTTTTGAAGGGCCATCCCCGCCGTAAGTCGAGAACATACCCCAGGTCCCCGCCGCAACTCGAGAAAAACCATGAGACTTCCCCCTAGAGGCGAGATGAGGCCCCATTCCCATGCAGTGCATGCAGAGCTATTCCGTGATCCCATTCAAACAAGGCAGGATCTTCGACTTGCTTAATGGATCTCGAGACAGTCCCCAAGAACACTGTCACCAGTCTAGACGGACCCTGAGGTCACCCCAGCAACGCAAAGCAGCTCCATGTGCCCCAAATCAACTCGAGATGGGGCCCGATTCCCCTGCATTGACTCCAGAGCCATTCCTGGTTCCCCATTCAACACGACCGGTGGCTCGACTTCCTTCAGGCAACTCCAGAGATGCCCCAAGAACACTGTCCCAAGTCTAGAGGAACACCAACTTCAGCACAGCAATTCGAGGAATGCTCCTTGTACCCCAAATCGTCTCGAGATGAAAGCTGATTCCCTGGCTTAGGCTCAAGACGTATGCCAACTTTCCAGAAGCACCTCAGGAGGAGGCTTCTCTCAGCAATAGGTATGTGGGAGGGACCCCGAGTTTGCTGCCTCAAGGGGAATATACCGCGAGAAGCCCTAACTTGAAAGGAGGCCGAATTTCCTTGCAGTGGCTTGAATACAGGCTCGTCTTTCATCTCACAATATGGAGGGATGTCTGAATCCCCTGTGTAGACCTTAGAGAAAGCCCTAGGTCCCTGCCTCATTTTGACGGAATGCCTCACATCCCGCTGACACCTCGAGAGGCACGCGGAGTTCATTGCTTCAAAAGGTGACGATGCCTGACTCCTCTTGAATACTGATAGGAATCCCAAAATCCCTGTGGCTACTGGAAAGGGTCCTTGGGTGCCCTGCCTCACATCGAGAAGCATCCCTTTTGCCCTGACAAGCCTCGAAGAGATTCCTGAGGTGTCCCTCGTTACTAGACAGGACTCCTGACGTCACTGAAGAAACTCGTGTTTTGAAGGGCCATCCCCGCCGTAAGTCGAGAACATACCCCAGGTCCCCGCCGCAACTCGAGTAAAACCATGAGACTTCCCCCTAGAGGCGAGATGAGGCCCCATTCCCCTGCAGTGCATGCAGAGCTATTCCGTGATCCCATTCAAACCAGTCAGGAGCTTCGAATTGCTTAATGGATCTCGAGACAGTCCCCAAGAACACTGTCACCAGTCTAGACGGACCCTGAGGTCACCCCAGCAACGCAAAGCAGCTCCATGTGCCCCAAATCAACTCGAGAAGGGGCCCGATTCCCCTGCATTGACTCCAGAGCCATTCCTCGTTCCCCATTCAACACGACCGGTGGCTCGACTTCCTTCAGGAAACTCCAGAGATGCCCCAAGAACACTGTCCCAAGTCTAGAGGAACACCAACTTCAGCACAGTAACTCGAGGAATGCTCCGTGTACCCCAAATCGTCTCGAGATGAGAGCTGATTCCCTGGCTTAGGCTCAAGACGTATACCAACTCCCCAGAAGCACGTCAGGAGGAGGCTTCTCTCAGCAATAGGTATGTGGGAGGGACCCCGAGTTTGCTGCCTCAAGGGGAATATACAGCGAGAAGCCCTAACTTGAAAGGAGGCCGGATTTCCTTGCAGTGGCTTGAATACAGGATCGTCTTTCATCTCACAACATGAAGGGATGTCTGAATGCCCTTTGGAGACCTTAGAGAAAGCCCTAGGTCCCTGCCTCATTTTGACGGAATGCCTCACATCCCGCTGACACCTCGAGAGGCACGCGGAGTTCATTGCTTCAAAAGGTGACGATGCCTGACTCCTCTTGAATACTGATAGGAATCCCAAAAATCCTGTGGCTACTGGAAAGGGTCCTTGGGTGCCCTGCCTCACCTCGAGAAGCGTCCCTTTTGCGCTGCCAAGCCTCGAAGAGATTCCTGAGGTGTCCCTCTTTACTAGACAGGAGTCCTGACGTCACTGAAGAAACTCGTGTTTTGAAGGGCCATCCCCGCCGTAAGTCGAGAACATACCCCAGGTCGTTGCCGCAACTCGAGAAAAACCATGAGACTTCCCCCTAGAGGCGAGATGAGGCCCCATTCCCCTGCAGTGCATGCAGAGCTATTCCGTGATCCCATTCAAACAAGTCAGGAGCTTCGACTTGCTTAATGGATCTCGAGACAGTTCCCAAGAACACTGTCACCAGTGTAGACGGACCCTGAGGTCACCCCAGCAATGCAAAGCAGCTCCATGTTCCCCAAGTCAACTCGAGATGGGGCCCGATTCCCCTGCATTGACTCCAGAGCCATTCCCCGTTCCCCATTCAACACGACCGGTGGCTCGACTTCTTTCAAGCAACTCCAGAGATGCCCTGAGAACACTGTCCCAAGTCTAGAGGAACACCAACTTCAGCACAGCAACTCGAAGAATGCTCCGTGTACCCCAAATCGTCTCGAGATGAGAGCTGATTCCCTGGCTTAGGCTCAAGACGTATGCCAACTTTCCAGAAGCACCTCAGGAGGAGGCTTCTCTCAGCAATAGGTATGTGGGAGGGACCCCGAGTTTGCTGCCACAAGGGGAATATACCGCGAGAAGCCCTAACTTGAAAGGAGGCCGGATTTCCTTGCAGGGGCTTGAATACAGGCTCGTCTTTCATCTCACAACATGAAGGGATGTCTGAATCCCCTGTGGAGACCTTAGAGAAAGCCCTAGGTCCCTGCCTCATTTTGACCTAATGCCTCACATCCCGCTGACAACTCGAGAGGCACGCGGAGTTAATTGCTTCAAAAATGAGGATGCCTGACTCCTCTTGAATACTGATATGAATCCCAAAATCCCTGTGGCTACTGGAAAGGGTCCTTGGGTGCCCTGCCTCACCTCGAGAAGCATCCCTTTTGCCCTGGCAAGCCTCGAAGAGATTCCTGAGGTGTCCCTCGTTACTAGACAGGACTCCTGACGTCACTGAAGAAACTCGAGTTTTGAAGGGCCATCCCCGCCGTAAGTCGAGAACATACCCCAGGTCCCCGCCGCAACTCGAGAAAAACCATGAGACTTCCCCCTAGAGGCGAGATGAGGCCCCATTCCCCTGCAGTGCATGCAGAGCTATTCCGTGATCCCATTCAAACAAGTCAGTAGCTTCGACTTGCTTAATGGATCTCGAGACAGTCCCCAAGAACACTGTCACCAGTCCAGACGGAACCTGAGGTCACCCCAGCACCGCAAAGCAGCTCCATGTGCCCCAAATCAACTCGAGATGAGGCCCGATTCCCCTGCATTGACTCCAGAGCCATTCCCCGTTCGCCATTCAACACGACCACTGGCTCGACTTCCTTCAGGCAACTCCAGAGATGCCCCGAGAACACTGTCCCAAGTCTAGAGGAACACCAACTTCAGCACAGCAACTCGAGGAATGCTCCGTGTACCCCAAATCGTCTCGAGATGAGAGCTGATTCCCTCGCTTAGGCTCAAGACGTATGCCAACTTTCCAGAAGCACCTCAGGAGGAGGCTTCTCTCAGCAATAGGTATGTGGGAGGGACCCCGAGTTTGCTGCCTCAAGGGGAATATACCGCGAGAAGCCCTAACTTGAAAGGAGGCCGGATTTCCTTGCAGGGGCTTGAATACAGGCTCGTCTTTCATCTCACAACATGAAGGGATGTCTGAATGCCCTGTGGAGACCTTAGAGAAAGCCCTAGGTCCCTGCCTCATTTTGACGGAATGCCTCACATCCCGCTGACACCTCGAGAGGCACGCGGAGTTCATTGCTTCAAAAGGTGACGATGCCTGACTCCTCTTGAATACTGATAGGAATCCCAAAATCCCTGTGGCTACTGGAAAGGGTCCTTGGGTGCCCTGCCTCACCTCGAGAAGCGTCCCTTTTGCCCTGCCAAGCCTCGAAGAGATTCCTGAGGTGTCCCTCGTTACTAGACAGGAGTCTTGACGTCACTGAAGAAACTCGTGTTTTGAAGGGCCATCCCCACCGTAAGTCGAGAACATAGCCCAGGTCCCTGCCGCAACTCGAGAAGAACCATGAGACTTCCCCATGGAGGGGAGATGAGGCCCCATTCCCCTGCAGTGCATGCAGAGCTATTCCGTGATCCCATTCAAACAAGTCAGGAGCTTCGACTTGCTTAATGGATCTCGAGACAGTCCCCAAGAACACTGTCACCAGTCTAGACGGACCCTGAGGTCACCCCAGCAACGCAAAGCAGCTCCATGTGCCCCAAATCAACTCGAGATGAGGCCCGATTCCCCTGCATTGACTCCAGAGCCATTCCCCGTTCCCCATTCAACACGACCGGTGGCTCGACTTCCTTCAAGCAACTCCAGAGATGCCCCGAGAACACTGTCCCAAGTCTAGAGGAACACCAACTTCAGCACAGCAACTCGAAGAATGCTCCGTGTACCCCAAATCGTCTCGAGATGAGAGCTGATTCCCTGGCTTAGGCTCAAGACATATGCCAACTTTCCAGAAGCACCTCAGGAGGAGGCTTCTCTCAGCAATAGGTATGTGGGAGGGACCCCGAGTTTGCTGCCACAAGGGGAATATACCGCGAGAAGCCCTAACTTGAAAGGAGGCCGGATTTCCTTGCAGTGGCTTGAATACAGGCTCGTCTTTCATCTCACAATATGGAGGGATGTCTGAATCCCCTGTGTAGACCTTAGAGAAAGCCCTAGGTCCCTGCCTCATTTTGACGGAATGCCTCACATCCCGCTGACACCTCGAGAGGCACGCGGAGTTCATTGCTTCAAAAGGTGACGATGCCTGACTCCTCTTGAATACTGATAGGAATCCCAAAATCCCTGTGGCTACTGGAAAGGGTCCTTGGGTGCCCTGCCTCACATCGAGAAGCATCCCTTTTGCCCTGCCAAGCCTCGAAGAGATTCCTGAGGTGTCCCTCGTTACTAGACAGGAGTCCTGACGTCACTGAAGAAACTCGTGTTTTGAAGGGCCATCCCCGCCGTAAGTCGAGAACATACCCCAGGTCCCCGCCGCAACTCGAGAAAAACCATGAGACTTCCCCCTAGAGGCGAGATGAGGCCCCATTCCCATGCAGTGCATGCAGAGCTATTCCGTGATCCCATTCAAACAAGGCAGGATCTTCGACTTGCTTAATGGATCTCGAGACAGTCCCCAAGAACACTGTCACCAGTCTAGACGGACCCTGAGGTCACCCCAGCAACGCAAAGCAGCTCCATGTGCCCCAAATCAACTCGAGATGGGGCCCGATTCCCCTGCATTGACTCCAGAGCCATTCCTGGTTCCCCATTCAACACGACCGGTGGCTCGACTTCCTTCAGGCAACTCCAGAGATGCCCCAAGAACACTGTCCCAAGTCTAGAGGAACACCAACTTCAGCACAGCAACTCGAGGAATGCTCCTTGTACCCCAAATCGTCTCGAGATGAAAGCTGATTCCCTGGCTTAGGCTCAAGACGTATGCCAACTTTCCAGAAGCACCTCAGGAGGAGGCTTCTCTCAGCAATAGGTATGTGGGAGGGACCCCGAGTTTGCTGCCTCAAGGGGAATATACCGCGAGAAGCCCTAACTTGAAAGGAGGCCGGATTTCCTTGCAGTGGCTTGAATACAGGCTCGTCTTTCATCTCACAATATGGAGGGATGTCTGAATCCCCTGTGTAGACCTTAGAGAAAGCCCTAGGTCCCTGCCTCATTTTGACGGAATGCCTCACATCCCGCTGACACCTCGAGAGGCACGCGGAGTTCATTGCTTCAAAAGGTGACGATGCCTGACTCCTCTTGAATACTGATAGGAATCCCAAAATCCCTGTGGCTACTGGAAAGGGTCCTTGGGTGCCCTGCCTCACATCGAGAAGCATCCCTTTTGCCCTGACAAGCCTCGAAGAGATTCCTGAGGTGTCCCTCGTTACTAGACAGGACTCCTGACGTCACTGAAGAAACTCGTGTTTTGAAGTGCCATCCCCGCCGTAAGTCGAGAACATACCCCAGGTCCCCGCCGCAACTCGAGAAAAACCATGAGACTTCCCCCTAGAGGCGAGATGAGGCCCCATTCCCCTGCAGTGCATGCAGAGCTATTCCGTGATCCCATTCAAACCAGTCAGGAGCTTCGAATTGCTTAATGGATCTCGAGACAGTCCCCAAGAACACTGTCACCAGTCTAGACGGACCCTGAGGTCACCCCAGCAACGCAAAGCAGCTCCATGTGCCCCAAATCAACTCGAGAAGGGGCCCGATTCCCCTGCATTGACTCCAGAGCCATTCCTCGTTCCCCATTCAACACGACCGGTGGCTCGACTTCCTTCAGGAAACTCCAGAGATGCCCCAAGAACACTGTCCCAAGTCTAGAGGAACACCAACTTCAGCACAGTAACTCGAGGAATGCTCCGTGTACCCCAAATCGTCTCGAGATGAGAGCTGATTCCCTGGCTTAGGCTCAAGACGTATACCAACTCCCCAGAAGCACGTCAGGAGGAGGCTTCTCTCAGCAATAGGTATGTGGGAGGGACCCCGAGTTTGCTGCCTCAAGGGGAATATACAGCGAGAAGCCCTAACTTGAAAGGAGGCCGGATTTCCTTGCAGTGGCTTGAATACAGGATCGTCTTTCATCTCACAACATGAAGGGATGTCTGAATGCCCTTTGGAGACCTTAGAGAAAGCCCTAGGTCCCTGCCTCATTTTGACGGAATGCCTCACATCCCGCTGACACCTCGAGAGGCACGCGGAGTTCATTGCTTCAAAAGGTGACGATGCCTGACTCCTCTTGAATACTGATAGGAATCCCAAAAATCCTGTGGCTACTGGAAAGGGTCCTTGGGTGCCCTGCCTCACCTCGAGAAGCGTCCCTTTTGCGCTGCCAAGCCTCGAAGAGATTCCTGAGGTGTCCCTCTTTACTAGACAGGAGTCCTGACGTCACTGAAGAAACTCGTGTTTTGAAGGGCCATCCCCGCCTTAAGTCGAGAACATACCCCAGGTCGCTGCCGCAACTCGAGAAAAACCATGAGACTTCCCCCTAGAGGCGAGATGAGGCCCCATTCCCCTGCAGTGCATGCAGAGCTATTCCGTGATCCCATTCAAACAAGTCAGGAGCTTCGACTTGCTTAATGGATCTCGAGACAGTTCCCAAGAACACTGTCACCAGTGTAGACGGACCCTGAGGTCACCCCAGCAACGCAAAGCAGCTCCATGTGCCCCAAATCAACTCGAGATGAGGCCCGATTCCCCTGCATTGACTGCAGAGCCATTCCCCGTTCCCCATTCATCACGACCGGTGGCTCGACTTCTTCAAGCAACTCCAGAGATGCCCTGAGAACACTGTCCCAAGTCTAGAGGAACACCAACTTCAGCACAGCAACTCGAAGAATGCTCCGTGTACACCAAATCGTCTCGAGATGAGAGCTGATTCCCTGGCTTAGGCTCAAGACGTATGCCAACTTTCCAGAAGCACCTCAGGAGGAGGCTTCTCTCAGCAATAGGTATGTGGGAGGGACCCCGAGTTTGCTGCCACAAGGGGAATATACCGCGAGAAGCCCTAACTTGAAAGGAGGCCGGATTTCCTTGCAGGGGCTTGAATACAGGCTCGTCTTTCATCTCACAACATGAAGGGATGTCTGAATCCCCTGTGGAGACCTTAGAGAAAGCCCTAGGTCCCTGCCTCATTTTGACCTAATGCCTCACATCCCGCTGACAACTCGAGAGGCACGCGGAGTTAATTGCTTCAAAAATGAGGATGCCTGACTCCTCTTGAATACTGATATGAATCCCAAAATCCCTGTGGCTACTGGAAAGGGTCCTTGGGTGCCCTGCCTCACCTCGAGAAGCATCCCTTTTGCCCTGGCAAGCCTCGAAGAGATTCCTGAGGTGTCCCTCGTTACTAGACAGGAGTCCTGACGTCACTGAAGAAATTCGTGTTTTGAAGGGCCATCCCCGCCGTAAGTCGAGAACATAACCCAGGTCCCCGCCGCAACTCGAGAAAAACCATGAGACTTCCCCCTAGAGGCGAGATGAGGCCCCATTCCCCTGCAGTGCATGCAGAGCTATTCCGTGATCCCATTCAAACAAGTCAGGAGCTTCGACTTGCTTAATGGATCTCGAGACAGTCCCCAAGAACACTGTCACCAGTCCAGACGGAACCTGAGGTCACCCCAGCACCGCAAAGCAGCTCCATGTGCCCCAAATCAACTCGAGATGAGGCCCGATTCCCCTGCATTGACTCCAGAGCCATTCCCCGTTCGCCATTCAACACGACCGCTGGCTCGACTTCCTTCAGGCAACTCCAGAGATGCCCCGAGAACACTGTCCCAAGTCTAGAGGAACACCAACTTCAGCACAGCAACTCGAGGAATGCTCCGTGTACCCCAAATCGTCTCGAGATGAGAGCTGATTCCCTCGCTTAGGCTCAAGACGTATGCCAACTTTCCAGAAGCACCTCAGGAGGAGGCTTCTCTCAGCAATAGGTATGTGGGAGGGACCCCGAGTTTGCTGCCTCAAGGGGAATATACCGCGAGAAGCCCTAACTTGAAAGGAGGCCGGATTTCCTTGCAGGGGCTTGAATACAGGCTCGTCTTTCATCTCACAACATGAAGGGATGTCTGAATGCCCTGTGGAGACCTTAGAGAAAGCCCTAGGTCCCTGCCTCATTTTGACGGAATGCCTCACATCCCGCTGACACCTCGAGAGGCACGCGGAGTTCATTGCTTCAAAAGGTGACGATGCCTGACTCCTCTTGAATACTGATAGGAATCCCAAAATCCCTGTGGCTACTGGAAAGGGTCCTTGGGTGCCCTGCCTCACCTCGAGAAGCGTCCCTTTTGCCCTGCCAAGCCTCGAAGAGATTCCTGAGGTGTCCCTCGTTACTAGACAGGAGTCTTGACGTCACTGAAGAAACTCGGGTTTTGAAGGGCCATCCCCGCCGTAAGTCAAGAACATAGCCCAGGTCCCTGCCGCAACTCGAGAAAAACCATGAGACTTCCCCCTGGAGGGGAGATGAGGCCCCATTCCCGTGCAGTGCATGCAGAGCTATTCCGTGATCCCATTCAAACAAGTCAGGAGCTTCGACTTGCTTAATGGATCTCGAGACAGTCCCCAAGAACACTGTCACCAGTCTAGACGGACCCTGAGGTCACCCCAGCAACGCAAAGCAGCTCCATGTGCCCCAAATCAACTCGAGATGAGGCCCGATTCCCCTGCATTGACTCCAGAGCCATTCCCCGTTCCCCATTCAACACGACCGGTGGCTCGACTTCCTTCAAGCAACTCCAGAGATGCCCCGAGAACACTGTCCCAAGTCTAGAGGAACACCAACTTCAGCACAGCAACTCGAAGAATGCTCCGTGTACCCCAAATCGTCTCGAGATGAGAGCTGATTCCCTGGCTTAGGCTCAAGACGTATGCCAACTTTCCAGAAGCACCTCAGGAGGAGGCTTCTCTCAGCAATAGGTATGTGGGAGGGACCCCGAGTTTGCTGCCACAAGGGGAATATACCGCGAGAAGCCCTAACTTGAAAGGAGGCCGGATTTCCTTGCAGGGGCTTGAATACAGGCTCGTCTTTCATCTCACAACATGAAGGGATGTCTGAATCCCCTGTGGAGACCTTAGAGAAAGCCCTAGGTCCCTGCCTCATTTTGACGGAATGCCTCACATCCCGCTGACACCTCGAGAGGCACGCGGAGTTCATTGCTTCAAAAGGTGACGATGCCTGACTCCTCTTGAATACTGATAGGAATCCCAAACTCGCTGTGGCTACTGGAAAGGGTCCTTGGGTGCCCTGCCTCACCTCGAGAAGCGTCCCATTTGCCCTGCCAAGCCTCGAAGAGATTCCTGAGGTGTCCCTCGTTACTAGACAGGAGTCCTGATGTCACTGAAGAAACTCGTGGTTTGAAGGGCCATCCCCGCCGTAAGTCGAGGACATAGCCCAGGTCCCCATCGCAAGTCCATAAAAACCATGAGACTTCCCCCTAGAGGGGAGATGAGGCCCCATTCCCCTGCAATGCATGCAGAGCTATTCCGTGATCCCATTCAAACAAGTCAGGAGCTTCGACTTGCTTAATGGATCTCGAGACAGTCCCTAAGAACACTGTCACCAGTCTAGACGGACCATGAGGTCACCCCAGCAACGCAAAGCAGCTCCATGTGCCCCAAATCAACTCGAGATGAGGCCCGATTCCGCTGCATTGACTCCAGAGCCATTCCCCGTTCCCCATTAAACACGACCGGTGGCTCGACTTCCTTCACGCAACTCGAGAGATGCCCTGAGAACACTGTCCCAAGTCTAGAGGAAAAACTACTTCAGCACAGCAACTCGAGAAATGATCCGTGTACCCCAAATCGTCTCGAGATGAGAGCTGATTCCCTGGCTTAGGCTCAAGACGTATGCCAACTTTCCAGAAGCACCTCAGGAGGAGGCTTCTCTCAGCAATAGGTATGTGGGAGGGACACCGAGTTTGCTGCCTCAAGGGGAATATACAGCGAGAAGCCCTAACTTGAAACGAGGCCAGATTTCCTTGCAGTGGCTTGAATACAGGCTCGTCTTTCATCTCACAACATGAAGGGATGTCTGAATCCCCTGTGGAGACCTTAGAGAAAGCCCTAGGTCCCTGCCTCATTTTTACGGAATGCCTCACATCCCGCTGACACCTCGAGAGGCACGCGGAGTTCATTGATTTAAAAGGTGAGGATGCCTGACTCCTCTTGAATGCTTAAAGGAATCCCAAAATCCCTGTGGCTACTGGAAAGGGTCCTTGGGTGCCCTGCCTCACCTCGAGAAGCGTCCCTTTTGCCCTGCCAAGCCTCGAAGAGATTCCTGAGGTGTCCCTCGTTACTAGACAGGAGTCCTGACGTCACTGAAGAAACTCGTGTTCTGAAGGGCCAGCCCCGCCGTAAGTCGAGAACATACCCCAGGTCCCCGCCGCAACTCGAGAAAAACCATGAGACTTCCCCCTAGCGGCGAGATGAGGCCCCATTCCCCTGCAGTGCATGCAGAGATATTCCGTGATCCCATTCAAACAAGTCAGGAGCTTTGACTTGCTTAATGGGTCTCGAGACAGTCCCCAAGAACACTGTCACCAGTCTAGACGGACCCTGATGTCACCCCAGCAACGCAAAGCAGCTCCATGTGCCCCAAATCAACTCGAGATGAGGCCCGTTTCCCCTGCATTGACTCCAGAGCCATTCTCCGTTCCCCATTCAACACGACCGGTGGCTCGACTTCCTTCAGGCAACTCCAGAGATGCCCCGAGAACACTGTCCCAAGTCTAGAGGAACACCAACTTCAGCACAGCAACTCGAGGAATGCTCCGTGTACCCCAAATCGTCTCGAGATGAGAGCTGATTCCCTGGCTTAGGCTCAAGACGTATGCGAACTCCCCAGAAGCACCTCAGGAGGAGGCTTCTCTCAGCAATAGGTATGTGGGAGGGACCCCGAGTTTGCTGCCTCAAGGGGAATATACAGCGAGAAGCCCTAACTTGAAAGGAGGCCGGATTTCCTTGCAGTGGCTTGAATACAGGCTAGTCTTTCATCTCACAACATGAAGGGATGTCTGAATGCCCTGTGCAGACTTTAGAGAAAGCCCTAGGTCCCTGCCTCGTTTTGTCGGAATGCCTCACATCCCGCTGACACCTCGAGAGTCATGCGGAGTTCATTGCTTCAAAAGGTGACGATGCCTGACTCCTCTTGAATACTGATAGGAATCCCAAAAATCCTGTGGCTACTTGAAAGGGTCCTTGGGTGCCCTGCCTCACCTCGAGAAGCGTCCCTTTTGCCCTGCCAAGCCTCGAAGAGATTCCTGAGGTATCCCTCGTTACTAGACAGGAGTCCTGACGTCACTGAAGAAACTCGTGTTTTGAAGGGCCATCCCCGCCGTAAGTCGAGAACATACCCCAGGTCGCTGCCGCAACTCGAGAAAAACCATGAGACTTCCCCCTAGAGGCGAGATGAGGCCCCATTCCCCTTCAGTGCATGCAGAGCTATTCCGTGATCCCATTCAAACAAGTCAGTTGCTTCGACTTGCTTAATGGATCTCGAGACAGTCCCCAAGAACACTGTCACCAGTCTAGACGGACCCTGAGGTCACCCCAGCAACGCAAAGCAGTATGTGCCCCAAATCAACTCGAGATGAGGCCCGATTCCGCTGCATTGACTCCAGAGCCATTCCCCGTTCCCCATTCAACACGACCGGTGGCTCGACTTCCTTCAGGCAACTCCAGAGATGCCCCGAGAACACTGTCCCAAGTCTAGAGGAACACCAACTTCAGCACAGCAACTCGAGGAATGATCCGTGTACCCCAAATCGTCTCGAGATGAGAGCTGATTCCCTGGCTTAGGTTCAAGACGTATGCCAACTTTCCAGAAGCACCTCAGGAGGAGGCTTCTCTCAGCAATAGGTATGTGGGAGGGACACCGAGTTTGCTGCCTCAAGGGGAATATACAGCGAGAAGCCCTAACTTGAAACGAGGCCAGATTTCCTTGCAGTGGCTTGAATACAGGCTCGTCTTTCATCTCACAACATGAAGGGATGTCTGAATCCCCTGTGGAGACCTTAGAGAAAGCCCTAGGACCCTGCCTCATTTTTACGGAATGCCTCACATCCCGCTGACACCTCGAGAGGCACCCGGAGTTCATTGATTTAAAAGGTGACGATGCCTGACTCCTCTTGAATGCTGATAGGAATCCCAAAATCCCTGTGGCTACTGGAAAGGGTCCTTGGGTGCCCTGCCTCACCTCGAGAAGCGTCCCTTTGGCCCTGCCAAGCCTCGAAGAGATTCCTGAGGTGTCCCTCGTTACTAGACAGGAGTCCTGACGTCACTGAAGAAACTCGTGTTCTGAAGGGCCAGCCCCGCCGTAAGTCGAGAACATACCCCAGGTCCCCGCCGCAACTCGAGAAAAACCATGAGACTTCCCCCTAGAGGCGAGATGAGGCCCCATTCCCCTGCAGTGCATGCAGAGCTATTCCGTGATCCCATTCAAACAAGTCAGGAGCTTCGACTTGCTTAATGGATCTCGAGACAGTCCCCAAGAACACTGTCACCAGTCTAGACGGACCCTGAGGTCACCCCAGCAACGCAAAGCAGCTCCATGTGCCCCAAATCAACTCGAGATGAGGCCCGATTCCCCTGCATTGACTCCAGAGCCATTCCCCGTTCCCCATTCAACACGACCGGTGGCTCGACGTCCTTCAGGCAACTCCAGAGATGCCCCGAGAAGACTGTCCCAAGTCTAGAGGAACACCAACTTCAGCACAGCAACTCGAAGAATGCTCCGTGTACCCCAAATCGTCTCGAGATGAGAGCTGATTCCCTGGCTTAGCCTCAAGACGTATGCCAACTTTCCAGAAGCACCTCAGGAGGAGGCTTCTCTCAGCAATAGGTATGTGGGAGGGACCCCGAGTTTGCTGCCTCAAGGGGAATATACCGCGAGAAGCCCTAACTTGAAAGGAGGCCGGATTTCCTTGCAGTGGCTTGAATACAGGCTCGTCTTTCATCTCACAATATGGAGGGATATCTGAATCCCCTGTGTAGACCTTAGAGAAAGCCCTAGGTCCCTGCCTCATTTTGACGGAATGCCTCACATCGCGCTGACAACTCGAGAGGCACGCAGAGTTCATTGCTTCAAAAGGTGACGATGCCTGACTCCTCTTGAATACTGATAGGAATCCCAAAATCCCTGTGGCTACTGGAAAGGGTCCTTGGGTGCCCTGCCTCACCTCGAGAAGCGTCCCTTTTGGCCTGCCAAGCCTCGAAGAGATTCCTGAGGTGTCCCTCGTTACTAGACAGGACTCCTGACGTCACTGAAGAAACTCGTGTTTTGAAGGGCCATCCCCGCCGTAAGTCGAGAACATACCCCAGGTCCCCGCCGCAACTCGAGAAAAACCATGAGACTTCCCCCTAGAGGCGAGATGAGGCCCCATTCCCCTGCAATGCATGCAGAGCTATTCCGTGATCCCATTCAAACAAGTCAGGAGCTTCGACTTGCTTAATGGATCTCGAGACAGTCCCCAAGAACACTGTCACCAGTCTAGACGGACCATGAGGTCACCCCAGCAACGCAAAGCAGCTCCATGTGCCCCAAATCAACTCGAGATGAGGCCCGATTCCGCTGCAATGACTCCAGAGCCATTCCCCGTTCCCCATTCAACACGACCTGTGGCTCGACTTCCTTCAGGCAACTCCAGAGATGCCCCGAGAACACTGTCCCAAGTCTAGAGGAACACCAACTTCAGCACAGCAACTCGAGGAATGATCCGTGTACCCCAAATCGTCTCGAGATGAGAGCTGATTCCCTGGCTTAGGTTCAAGACGTATGCCAACTTTCCAGAAGCACCTCAGGAGGAGGCTTCTCTCAGCAATAGGTATGTGGGAGGGACACCGAGTTTGCTGCCTCAAGGGGAATATACAGCGAGAAGCCCTAACTTGAAACGAGGCCAGATTTCCTTGCAGTGGCTTCAATACAGGCTCGTCTTTCATCTCACAACATGAAGGGATGTCTGAATCCCCTGTGGAGACCTTAGAGAAAGCCCTAGGTCCCTGCCTCATTTTTACGGAATGCCTCACATCCCGCTGACACCTCGAGAGGCACGCGGAGTTCATTGCTTTAAAAGGTGACGATGCCTGACTCCTCTTGAATGCTGATAGGAATCCCAAAATCCCTGTGGCTACTGGAAAGGGTCCTTGGGTGCCCTGCCTCACCTCGAGAAGCGTCCCATTTGCCCTGCCAAGCCTCGAAGAGATTCCTGAGGTGTCCCTCGTTACTAGACAGGAGTCCTGACGTCACTGAAGAAACTCGTGTTCTGAAGGGCCAGCCCCGCCGTAAGTCGAGAACATACCCCAGGTCCCCGCCGCAACTCGAGAAAAACCATGAGACTTCCCCCTAGAGGCGAGATGAGTCCCCATTCCCCTGCAGTGCATGCAGAGCTATTCCGTGATCCCATTCAAACAAGTCAGGAGCTTCGACTTGCTTAATGGATCTCCAGACAGTCCCCAAGAACACTGTCACCAGTCCAGACGGACCCTGAGGTCACCCCAGCACCGCAAAGCAGCTCCATGTGCCCCAAATCAACTCGAGATGAGGCCCGATTCCCCTGCATTGACTCCAGAGCCATTCCCCGTTCCCCATTTAACACGACCGGTGGCTCGACTTCCTTCAGGCAACTCCAGAGATGCCCCGAGAACACTGTCCCAAGTCTAGAGGAACACCAACTTCAGCACAGCAACTCGAGGAATGCTCCGTGTACCCCAAATCGTCTCGAGATGAGAGCTGATTCCCTGGCTTAGGCTCAAGACGTATGCCAACTTCCCAGAAGCACCTCAGGAGGAGGCTTCTCTCAGCAATAGCTATGTGGGAGGGACCCTGAGTTTGCTGCCTCAAGGGGAATATACAGCGAGAAGACCTAACTTGAAAGGAGTCCGAATTTCCTTGCAGTGGCTTGAATACAGGCTCGTCTTTCATCTCACAATATGAAGGGATGTCTGAATCCGCTGTGGAGACCTTAGAGAAAGCCCTAGGTCTCTGCCTCATTTTGACGGAATGCCTCACATCCCGCTGACACCTCGACAGGCACGCGGAGTTAATTGCTTCAAAAATGACGATGCCTGACTCCTCTTGAATACTGATAGGAATCCCAAAATCCCTGTGGCTACTGGAAAGGGTCCTTGAGTGTCCTGCCCCACCTTGAGAAGCGTCCCTTTTGCTCTGCCAAGCCTCGAAGAGATTCCTGAGGTGTCCCTCGTTACTAGACAGGACTCCTGACGTCACTGAAGAAACTCGTGTTTTGAAGGGCCATCCCCGCCGTAAGTTGAGAACATACCCCAGGTCCCCGCCGCAACTCGAGAAAAACCGTAAGACTTCCCCCTAGAGGTGAGATGAAGCCCCATTCCCCTGCAGTGCATGCAGAGCTATTCCGTGATCCCATTCAAACAAGTCAGGAGCTTCGACTTGCTTAATGGATCTCGAGAGAGTCCCCAAGAACACTGTCACCAGTCCAGACGGACCCTGAGGTCACCCCAGCACCGCACAGCAGCTCCATGTGCCCCAAATCAACTCGAGATGAGGCCCGATTCCCCTGAATTGACTCCAGAGCCATTCCCCGTTCCCCATTCAACACGACCGGTGGCTCGACTTCCTTCAGCAACTCCAGAGATGCCCCGAGAACACTGTCCCAAGTCTAGAGGAACACCAAATTCAGCACAGCAACTCGAGGAATGCTCTGTGTACACCAAATCGTCTCGAGATGAGAGCTGATTCCCTGGCTTAGGCTCAAGACGTATGCCAACTCCCCAGAAGCACCTCAGGAGGAGGCTTCTCTCAGCAATAGTTATGTGGGAGGGACCCCGAGTTTGCTGCCTCAAGGGGAATATACAGCGAGAAGCCCTAACTTGAAAGGAGGCCGGATTTCCATGCAGATGCTTGAATACAGGCTCGTCTTTCATCTCACAACATGAAGGGATGTCTGAATCCCCTGTGGAGACCTTAGAGAAAGCCCTAGGTCCCTTCCTCATTTTGACAGAATGCCTCACATCCCGCTGACACCTCAAGAGGCACGCGGAGTTCATTGCTTCAAAAGGTGACGATGCCTGACTCCTCTTGAATACTGATAGGAATCCCAAAATCCCTGTGGCTACTGGAAAGTGTCCTTGTTTGCCCTGCCTCACCTCGAGAAGCGTCCCTTTTGCCCTGCCAGGCCTCGAAGAGATTCCTGAGGTGTCCCTCGTTACTAGACAGGAGTCCTGACGTCACTGAAGAAACTCGTGTTTTGAAGGCCCATCCCGCCGTAAGTCGAGAACATACCCCAGGTCCCCGCCGCAACTCGAGAAAAACAATGAGACTTCCCCCTAGAGGCGAGATGAGGCCCCATTCCCCTGCAGTGCATGCAGAGCTATTCCGTGATCCCATTCAAACAAGTCAGGAGCTTCGACTTGCTTAATGGATCACGAGACAGTCCCCAAGAACACTGTCACCAGTCCAGACGGACCCTGAGGTCACCCCAGCACCGCAAAGCAGCTCCATGTGCCCCAAATCAACTCGAGATGAGGCCCGATTCCCCTGCATTGACTCCAGAGCCATTCCCCGTTCCCCATTCAACACGACCTGTGGCTCGACTTCCTTCAGGTAACTCCAGAGTTGCCCCGAGAACACTGTCCCAAGTCTAGAGGAACACCAACTTCAGCACAGCAACTCGAGGAATGCTCCGTGTACCCCAAATCATCTCGAGATGAGAGCTGATTCTCTGGCTTAGGCTCAAGACGTATGCCAACTTCCCAGAAGCACCTCAGGAGGAGGCTTCTCTCAGCAATAGGTATGTGGGAGGGACCCCGAGTTTGCTGCCTCAAGGGGAATATACAGCGAGAAGCCCTAACTTGAAAGGAGTCCAAATTTCCTTGCAGTGGCTTGAATACAGGCTCGTCTTTCATCTCACAACATGAAGGTATGTCGGAATCCCCTGTGGAGACCTTAGAGAAAGCCCTAGGTCCCTGCCTCATTTTGACGGAATGCCTCACATCCCGCTGACACCTCGAGAGGCACGCGGAGTTCATTGCTTCAAAAGGTGACGATGCCTGACTCCTCTTGAATACTGATAGGAATCCCAAACTCGCTGTGGCTACTGGAAAGGGTCCTTGGGTGCCGTGCCTCACCTCGAGAAGCGTCCCTTTTGCCCTGCCAAGCCTCGAAGAGATTCCTGAGGTGTCCCTCGTTACTAGACAGGAGTCCTTATGTCACTGTAGAAACTCGTGGTTTGAAGGGCCATCCCCGCCGTAAGTCGAGGACATAGCCCAGGTCCCCGTCGCAAGTCCATAAAAACCATGAGACTTCCCCCTAGAGGGGAGATGAGGCCCCATTCCCCTGCAATGCATGCAGAGCTATTCCGTGATCCCATTCAAACAAGTCAGGAGCTTTGACTTGCTTAATGGATCTCGAGACAGTCCCCAAGAACACTGTCACCAGTCTAGACGGACCATGAGGTCACCCCAGCAACGCAAAGCAGCTCCATGTGCCCCAAATCAACTCGAGATGAGGCCCGATTCCGCTGCATTGACTCCAGAGCCATTCCCCGTTCCCCATTCAACACGACCGGTGGCTCGACTTCCTTCAGCAACTCCAGAGATGCCCCGAGAACACTGTCCCAAGTCTAGAGGAACACCAAATTCAGCACAGCAACTCGAGGAATGCTCTGTGTACACCAAATCGTCTCGAGATGAGAGCTGATTCCCTGGCTTAGGCTCAAGACGTATGCCAACTCCCCAGAAGCACCTCAGGAGGAGGCTTCTCTCAGCAATAGTTATGTGGGAGGGACCCCGAGTTTGCTGCCTCAAGGGGAATATACAGCGAGAAGCCCTAACTTGAAAGGAGGCCGGATTTCCATGCAGATGCTTGAATACAGGCTCGTCTTTCATCTCACAACATGAAGGGATGTCTGAATCCCCTGTGGAGACCTTAGAGAAAGCCCTAGGTCCCTTCCTCATTTTGACAGAATGCCTCACATCCCGCTGACACCTCAAGAGGCACGCGGAGTTCATTGCTTCAAAAGGTGACGATGCCTGACTCCTCTTGAATACTGATAGGAATCCCAAAATCCCTGTGGCTACTGGAAAGTGTCCTTGTTTGCCCTGCCTCACCTCGAGAAGCGTCCCTTTTGCCCTGCCAGGCCTCGAAGAGATTCCTGAGGTGTCCCTCGTTACTAGACAGGAGTCCTGACGTCACTGAAGAAACTCGTGTTTTGAAGGCCCATCCCCGCCGTAAGTCGAGAACATACCCCAGGTCCCCGCCGCAACTCGAGAAAAACAATGAGACTTCCCCCTAGAGGCGAGATGAGGCCCCATTCCCCTGCAGTGCATGCAGAGCTATTCCGTGATCCCATTCAAACAAGTCAGGAGCTTCGACTTGCTTAATGGATCTCGAGACAGTCCCCAAGAACACTGTCACCAGTCCAGACGGACCCTGAGGTCACCCCAGCACCGCAAAGCAGCTCCATGTGCCCCAAATCAACTCGAGATGAGGCCCGATTCCCCTGCATTGACTCCAGAGCCATTCCCCGTTCCCCATTCAACACGACCTGTGGCTCGACTTCCTTCAGGTAACTCCAGAGTTGCCCCGAGAACACTGTCCCAAGTCTAGAGGAACACCAACTTCAGCACAGCAACTCGAGGAATGCTCCGTGTACCCCAAATCATCTCGAGATGAGAGCTGATTCTCTGGCTTAGGCTCAAGACGTATGCCAACTTCCCAGAAGCACCTCAGGAGGAGGCTTCTCTCAGCAATAGGTATGTGGGAGGGACCCCGAGTTTGCTGCCTCAAGGGGAATATACAGCGAGAAGCCCTAACTTGAAAGGAGTCCGAATTTCCTTGCAGTGGCTTGAATACAGGCTCGTCTTTCATCTCACAACATGAAGGTATGTCGGAATCCCCTGTGGAGACCTTAGAGAAAGCCCTAGGTCCCTGCCTCATTTTGACGGAATGCCTCACATCCCGCTGACACCTCGAGAGGCACGCGGAGTTCATTGCTTCAAAAGGTGACGATGCCTGACTCCTCTTGAATACTGATAGGAATCCCAAACTCGCTGTGGCTACTGGAAAGGGTCCTTGGGTGCCGTGCCTCACCTCGAGAAGCGTCCCTTTTGCCCTGCCAAGCCTCGAAGAGATTCCTGAGGTGTCCCTCGTTACTAGACAGGAGTCCTTATGTCACTGAAGAAACTCGTGGTTTGAAGGGCCATCCCCGCCGTAAGTCGAGGACATAGCCCAGGTCCCCGTCGCAAGTCCATAAAAACCATGAGACTTCCCCCTAGAGGGGAGATGAGGCCCCATTCCCCTGCAATGCATGCAGAGCTATTCCGTGATCCCATTCAAACAAGTCAGGAGCTTTGACTTGCTTAATGGATCTCGAGACAGTCCCCAAGAACACTGTCACCAGTCTAGACGGACCATGAGGTCACCCCAGCAACGCAAAGCAGCACCATGTGCCCCAAATCAACTCGAGATGAGGCCCGATTCCGCTGCATTGACTCCAGAGCCATTCCCCGTTCCCCATTCAACACGACCGGTGGCTCGACTTCCTTCAGCAACTCCAGAGATGCCCCGAGAACACTGTCCCAAGTCTAGAGGAACACCAAATTCAGCACAGCAACTCGAGGAATGCTCTGTGTACACCAAATCGTCTCGAGATGAGAGCTGATTCCCTGGCTTAGGCTCAAGACGTATGCCAACTCCCCAGAAGCACCTCAGGAGGAGGCTTCTCTCAGCAATAGTTATGTGGGAGGGACCCCGAGTTTGCTGCCTCAAGGGGAATATACAGCGAGAAGCCCTAACTTGAAAGGAGGCCGGATTTCCATGCAGATGCTTGAATACAGGCTCGTCTTTCATCTCACAACATGAAGGGATGTCTGAATCCCCTGTGGAGACCTTAGAGAAAGCCCTAGGTCCCTTCCTCATTTTGACAGAATGCCTCACATCCCGCTGACACCTCAAGAGGCACGCGGAGTTCATTGCTTCAAAAGGTGACGATGCCTGACTCCTCTTGAATACTGATAGGAATCCCAAAATCCCTGTGGCTACTGGAAAGTGTCCTTGTTTGCCCTGCCTCACCTCGAGAAGCGTCCCTTTTGCCCTGCCAGGCCTCGAAGAGATTCCTGAGGTGTCCCTCGTTACTAGACAGGAGTCCTGACGTCACTGAAGAAACTCGTGTTTTGAAGGCCCATCCCCGCCGTAAGTCGAGAACATACCCCAGGTCCCCGCCGCAACTCGAGAAAAACAATGAGACTTCCCCCTAGAGGCGAGATGAGGCCCCATTCCCCTGCAGTGCATGCAGAGCTATTCCGTGATCCCATTCAAACAAGTCAGGAGCTTCGACTTGCTTAATGGATCTCGAGACAGTCCCCAAGAACACTGTCACCAGTCCAGACGGACCCTGAGGTCACCCCAGCACCGCAAAGCAGCTCCATGTGCCCCAAATCAACTCGAGATGAGGCCCGATTCCCCTGCATTGACTCCAGAGCCATTCCCCGTTCCCCATTCAACACGACCTGTGGCTCGACTTCCTTCAGGTAACTCCAGAGTTGCCCCGAGAACACTGTCCCAAGTCTAGAGGAACACCAACTTCAGCACAGCAACTCGAGGAATGCTCCGTGTACCCCAAATCATCTCGAGATGAGAGCTGATTCTCTGGCTTAGGCTCAAGACGTATGCCAACTTCCCAGAAGCACCTCAGGAGGAGGCTTCTCTCAGCAATAGGTATGTGGGAGGGACCCCGAGTTTGCTGCCTCAAGGGGAATATACAGCGAGAAGCCCTAACTTGAAAGGAGTCCGAATTTCCTTGCAGTGGCTTGAATACAGGCTCGTCTTTCATCTCACAACATGAAGGTATGTCGGAATCCCCTGTGGAGACCTTAGAGAAAGCCCTAGGTCCCTGCCTCATTTTGACGGAATGCCTCACATCCCGCTGACACCTCGAGAGGCACGCGGAGTTCATTGCTTCAAAAGGTGACGATGCCTGACTCCTCTTGAATACTGATAGGAATCCCAAACTCGCTGTGGCTACTGGAAAGGGTCCTTGGGTGCCCTGCCTCACCTCGAGAAGCGTCCCTTTTGCCTTGCCAAGCCTCGAAGAGATTCCTGAGGTGTCCTTCGTTACTAGACAGGAGTCCTTATGTCACTGAAGAAACTCGTGGTTTGAAGGGCCATCCCCGCCGTAAGTCGAGGACATAGCCCAGGTCCCCGTCGCAAGTCCATAAAAACCATGAGACTTCCCCCTAGAGGGGAGATGAGGCCCCATTCCCCTGCAATGCATGCAGAGCTATTCCGTGATCCCATTCAAACAAGTCAGGAGCTTTGACTTGCTTAATGGATCTCGAGACAGTCCCCAAGAACACTGTCACCAGTCTAGACGGACCATGAGGTCACCCCAGCAACGCAAAGCAGCTCCATGTGCCCCAAATCAACTCGAGATGAGGCCCGATTCCGCTGCATTGACTCCAGAGCCATTCCCCGTTCCCCATTCAACACGACCGGTGGCTCGACTTCCTTCAGGCAACTCCAGAGATGCCCCGAGAACACTGTCCCAAGTCTAGAGGAACAACAAATTCAGCACAGCAACTCGAGGAATGATCCGTGTACCCCAAATCGTCTCGAGATGAGAGCTGATTCCCTGGCTTAGGCTCAAGATGTATGCCAACTTTCCAGAAGCACCTCAGGAGGAGGCTTCTCTCAGCAATAGGTATGTGGGAGGGACCCCGAGTTTGCTGCCTCAAGGGGAATATACAGCGAGAAGCCCTAACTTGAAAGGAGGCCAGATTTCCTTGCAGTGGCTTGAATACAGGCTCGTCTTTCATCTCACAACATGAAGGGATGTCTGAATCCCCTGTGGAGACCTTAGAGAAAGCCCTAGGTCCCTGCCTCATTTTTACGGAATGCCTCACATCCCGCTGACACCTCGAGAGGCACGCGGAGTTCATTGATTTAAAAGGTGACGATGCCTGACTCCTCTTGAATGCTGATAGGAATCCCAAAATCCCTGTGGCTACTGGAAAGGGTGCTTGGGTGCCCTGCCTCACCTCGAGAAGCGTTCCATTTGCCCTGCCAAGCCTCGAAGAGATTCCTGAGCTGTCCCTCGTAACTAGACAAGAGTCCTGACGTCACTGAAGCAACTCGTGTTCTGAAGGGCCAGCCCCGCCGTAAGTCGAGAACATACCCCAGGTCCCCGCCGCAACTCGAGAAAAACCATGAGACTTCCCCCTAGAGGCGAGATGAGGCCCCATTCCCCTGCAGTGCATGCAGAGATATTCCGTGATCCCATTCAAACAAGTCAGGAGCTTCGACTTGCTTAATGGGTCTCGAGACAGTCCCCAAGAACACTGTCACCATTCTAGACGGACCCTGAGGTCACCCCAGCAACGCAAAGCAGCTCCATGTGCCCCAAATCAACTCGAGATGAGGCCCGATTCCCCTGCATTGACTCCAGAGCCATTCCCCGTTCCCCATTCAACACGAATGGTGGCTCGACTTCCTTCAGGCAACTCCAGAGATGCCCCGAGAACACTGTCCCAAGTCTAGAGGAACACCAATATCAGCACAGCAACTCGAGGAATGCTCCGTGTACCCCAAATCGTCTTGAGATGAGAGCTGATTCCCTGGCTTAGGCTCAAGACGTATGCCAACTTTCCAGAAGCACCTCAGGAGGAGGCTTCTCTCAGCAATAGGTATGTGGGAGGGACACTGAGTTTGCTGCCTCAAGGGGAATATACAGCGAGAAGCCCTAACTTGAAACGAGGCCAGATTTCCTTGCAGTGGCTTGAATACAGGCTCGTCTTTCATCTCAAAACATGAAGGGATGTCTGAATCCCCTGTGGAGACCTTAGAGAAAGCCCTAGGTCCCTGCCTCATTTTGACGGAATGCCTCACATCCCGCTGACACCTCGAGAGGCACGCGGAGTTCATTGCTTCAAAAGGTGACGATGCCTGACTCCTCTGGAATACTGATAGCAATCCCAAAATCCCTGTGGCTACTGGAACGGGTCCTTGGGTGCGCTGCCTCACGTCGAGAAGCGTCCCTTTTGCCCTGCCAAGCCTCGAAGAGATTCCTGAGGTGTCCCTCATAAGTAGACAGGAGTCCTGACGACACTGAAGAAACTCGTGTTTTGAAGTGCCATCCCCGCCATAAGTCGAGAACATACCCCAGGTCCCCGCCGCAACTCGAGAAAAACCATGAGACTTCCCCCTAGAGGCGAGATGAGGCCCCATTCCCCTGCAGTGCATGCAGAGCTATTCCGTGATCCCATTCAAACAAGTCAGGAGCTTCGACTTGCTTAATGGATCTCGAGACAGTCCCCAAGAACACTGTCACCAGTCTAGACGGACCCTGAGGTCACCCCAGCAACGCAAAGCAGCTCCATGTGCCCCAAATCAACTCGAGATGAGGCCCGATTCCCCTGCATTGACTCCAGAGCCATTCCCCGTTCCCCATTCAACACGACCGGTGGCTCGACTTCCTTCAGGCAACTCCAGAGATGCCCCGAGAACACTTTCGCAAGTCTAGAGGAACACCAACTTCAGCACAGCAACTCGAGGAATGCTCCGTGTACCCCAAATCATCTCGACATGAGAGCTGATGCCCTGGCTTAGGCTCAAGACGTATGCCAACTTTCCAGAAGCAACACAGGAGGAGGCTTCATTTAGCAATAGGTATGTGGGAGGGACCTCGAGTTTGCTGCCTAAAGGGGAATATACAGCGAGAAGCCCTAACTTGAAAGGAGGCCGGATTTCCTTGCAGTGGCTTGAATACAGGCTCCTCTTTGATCTCACAACATGAAGGGATATCTGAATCCCCTGCGGAGACCTTAGAGAAAGCCTTAGGTCCCTGCCTCATTTTGACGGAATGCCTCATATCCCGCTGACACCTCGAGAGGCACACGGAGTTCATTGCTTCAAAAGGTGACGATGCCTGACTCCTCTTGAATACTGATAGGAATCCCAAAATCCCTGTGGCTACTGGAAAGGGTCCTTGAGGGACTGCCCCACCTCGAGAAGCGTCCCTTTTGCTCTGCCAAGCCTCGAAGAGATTTCTGAGGTGTCCCTCGTTACTAGACAGGAGTCCTGACGTCACTGAAGAAACTCGTGGTTTGAAGGACCATCCCCGCCGTAAGTCGAGAACATACCCCAGGTCCCTGCCGCAACTCGAGAAAAACCATGAGACTTCCCCCTAGAGGCGAGATGAGGCCCCTTTCGCCTGCAGTGCATGCAGAGCTATTCCGTGATCCCATTCAAACAACTCAGGAGCTTTGACTTGCTTAATGGATCTCGAGACAGTCCCCAAGATCACTGTCACCAGTCTAGACGGACCCTGAGGTCACCCCAGCAACGCAAAGCAGCTCCATGTGCCCCAAATCAACTCAAGATGAGGCCCGATTCCCCTGCATTGACTCCAGAGCCATTCCCCGTTCCCCATTCAACACGACCGGTGGCTCGACTTCCTTCAGGCAACTCCAGAGATGCCCCGAGAACACTGTCCCAAGTCTAGAGGAACACCAACTTCAGCACAGCAACTCGAGGAATGCTCCGTGCACCCCAAATCGTCTCGACATGAGCGCTGATTCCCTGGCTTAGGCTCAAGACGTATGCCAACTTTCCAGAAGCACCTCAGGAGGAGGCTTCTCTCAGCAATAGGTATGTGGGAGGGACACCGAGTTTGCTGCCTCAAGGGGAATATACAGCGAGAAGCCCTAACTTGAAAGGAGGCCGGATTTCCTTGCAGTGGCTTGAATACAGGCTCGTCTTTCATCTCACAACATGAAGGTATGTCCGAATCCCCTGTGGAGACCTTAGAGAAAGCCCTAGGTCCCTGCCTCATTTTGACTGAGTGTCTCACATCCCGCTGACACCTCGAGAGGCACGCGTAGTTCATTGCTTCAAAAGGTGACGATGCCTGACTCCTCTGGAATACTGATAGGAATCCCAAAATCCCTGTGGCTACTGGAAAGGGTCCTTGGGTGCCCTGCCCCAACTCGAGAAGCGTCCCTTTTGCCCTGCCAAGCCTCGAAGAGATTTCTGAGGTGTCCCTCGTTACTAGACAGGAGTCCTGACGTCACTGAAGAAACTCGTGGTTTGAAGGGCCATCCCCGCCGTAAGTCGAGAATATACCCCAGGTCCCTGCCGCAACTCGAGAAAAACCATGAGACTTCCCCCTAGAGGCGAGATGAGGCCCCATTCCCCTGCAGTGCATGCAGAGCTATTCCGTGATCCCATTCAAACAAGTCAGGAGCTTCGACTTGCTTAATGGATCTCGAGACAGTCCCCAAGAACACTGTCACCAGTCTAGACGGACCATGAGGTCACCCCAGCAACGCAAAGCAGCTCCATGTGCCCCAAATCAACTCGAGATGAGGCCCGATTCCGCTGCATTGACTCCAGAGCCATTCCCGGTACCCCATTCAACACGACCGGTGGCTCGACTTCCTTCACGCAACTCCAGAGATGCCCCGAGAATACTGTCCCAAGTATAGAGGAACAACAACTTCAGCACAGCAACTCGAGGAATGATCCGTGTACCCCAAATCGTCTTGAGATGAGAGCTGATTCCCTGGCTTAGGCTCAAGACGTATGCCAACTTTCCAGAAGCACCTCAGGAGGAGGCTTCTCTCAGCAATAGGTATGTGGGAGGGACACTGAGTTTGCTGCCTCAAGGGGAATATACAGCGAGAAGCCCTAACTTGAAACGAGGCCAGATTTCCTTGCAGTGGCTTGAATACAGGCTCGTCTTTCATCTCAAAACATGAAGGGATGTCTGAATCCCCTGTGGAGACCTTAGAGAAAGCCCTAGGTCCCTGCCTCATTTTGACGGAATGCCTCACATACCGCTGACACCTCGAGAGGCACTTGGAGTTCATTGCTTCAAAAGGTGACGATGCCTGATTCCTCTGGAATACTGATAGCAATCCCAAAATCCCTGTGGCTACTGGAACGGGTCCTTGGGTGCGCTGCCTCACGTCGAGAAGCGTCCCTTTTGCCCTGCCAAGCCTCGAAGAGATTCCTGAGGTGTCCCTCATAAGTAGACAGGAGTCCTGAGGACACTGAAGAAACTCGTGTTTTGAAGTGCCATCCCCGCCATAAGTCGAGAACATACCCCAGGTCCCCGCCGCAACTCGAGAAAAACCATGAGACTTCCCCCTAGAGGCGAGATGAGGCCCCATTCCCCTGCAGTGCATGCAGAGCTATTCCGTGATCCCATTCAAACAAGTCAGGAGCTTCGACTTGCTTAATGGATCTCGAGACAGTCCCCAAGAACACTGTCACCAGTCTAGACGGACCCTGAGGTCACCCCAGCAACGCAAAGCAGCTCCATGTGCCCCAAATCAACTCGAGATGAGGCCCGATTCCCCTGCATTGACTCCAGAGCCATTCCCCGTTCCCCATTCAACACGACCGGTGGCTCGACTTCCTTCAGGCAACTCCAGAGATGCCCCGAGAACACTTTCGCAAGTCTAGAGCAACACCAACTTCAGCACAGCAACTCGAGGAATGCTCCGTGTACCCCAAATCGTCTCGACATGTGAGCTGATGCCCTGGCTTAGGCTCAAGACGTATGCCAACTTTCCAGAAGCAACACAGGAGGAGGCTTCATTTAGCACTAGGTATGTGGGAGGGACCTCGAGTTTGCTGCCTAAAGGGGAATATACAGCGAGAAGCCCTAACTTGAAAGGAGGCCGGATTTCCTTGCAGTGCCTTGAATACAGGCTCCTCTTTGATCTCACAACATGAAGGGATATCTGAATCCCCTGCGGAGACCTTAGAGAAAGCCTTAGGTCCCTGCCTCATTTTGACGGAATGCCTCATATCCCGCTGACACCTCGAGAGGCACACGGAGTTCATTGCTTCAAAAGGTGACGATGCCTGACTCCTCTTGAATACTGATAGGAATCCCAAAATCCCTGTGGCTACTGGAAAGGGTCCTTGAGGGCCTGCCCCACCTCGAGAAGCGTCCCTTTTGCTCTGCCAAGCCTCGAAGAGATTTCTGAGGTGTCCCTCGTTACTAGACAGGAGTCCTGACGTCACTGAAGAAACTCGTGGTTTGAAGGACCATCCCCGCCGTAAGTGGAGAACATACCCCAGGTCCCTGCCGCAACTCGAGAAAAACCATGAGACTTCCCCCTAGAGGCGAGATGAGGCCCCATTCGCCTGCAGTGCATGCAGAGCTATTCCGTGATCCCATTGAAACAACTCAGGAGCTTTGACTTGCTTAATGGATCTCGAGACAGTCCCCAAGAACACTGTCACCAGTCTAGACGGACCCTGAGGTCACCCCAGCAACGCAAAGCAGCTCCATGTGCCCCAAATCAACTCAAGATGAGGCCCGATTCCCCTGCATTGACTCCAGAGCCATTCCCCGTTCCCCATTCAACACGACCGGTGGCTCGACTTCCTTCAGGCAACGCCAGAGATGCCCCGAGAACACTGTCCCAAGTCTAGAGGAACACCAACTTCAGCACAGCAACTCGAGGAATGCTCCGTGTACCCCAAATCGTCTCGACATGAGCGCTGATTCCCTGGCTTAGGCTCAAGACGTATGCCAACTTTCCAGAAGCACCTCAGGAGGAGGCTTCTCTCAGCAATAGGTATGTGGGAGGGACCCCGAGTTTGCTGCCTCAAGGGGAATATACAGCGAGAAGCCCTAACTTGAAAGGAGGCCGGATTTCCTTGCAGTGGCTTGAATACAGGCTCGTCTTTCATCTCACAACATGAAGGTATGTCCGAATCCCCTGTGGAGACCTTAGAGAAAGCCCTAGGTCCCTGCCTCATTTTGAGGGAGTGCCTCACATCCCGCTGACACCTCGAGAGGCACGCGTAGTTCATTGCTTCAAAAGGTGACGATGCCTGACTCCTCTGGAATACTGATAGGAATCCCAAAATCCCTGTGGCTACTGGAAAGGGTCCTTGGGTGCCCTGCCCCAACTCGAGAAGCGTCCCTTTTGCCCTGCCAAGCCTCGAAGAGATTTCTGAGGTGTCCCTCGTTACTAGACAGGAGTCCTGACGTCACTGAAGAAACTCGTGGTTTGAAGGGCCATCCCCGCCGTAAGTCGAGAATATACCCCAGGTCCCTGCCGCAACTCGAGAAAAACCATGAGACTTCCCCCTAGAGGCGAGATGAGGCCCCATTCCCCTGCAGTGCATGCAGAGCTATTCCGTGATCCCATTCAAACAAGTCAGGAGCTTCGACTTGCTTAATGGATCTCGAGACAGTCCCCAAGAACACTGTCACCAGTCTAGACGGACCATGAGGTCACCCCAGCAACGCAAAGCAGCTCCATGTGCCCCAAATCAACTCGAGATGAGGCCCGATTCGGCTGCATTGACTCCAGAGCCATTCCCGGTACCCCATTCAACACGACCGGTGGCTCGACTTCCTTCATGCAACTCCAGAGATGCCCCGAGAATACTGTCCCAAGTATAGAGGAACAACAACTTCAGCACAGCAACTCGAGGAATGATCCGTGTACCCCAAATCGTCTTGAGATGAGAGCTGATTCCCTGGCTTAGGCTCAAGACGTATGCCAACTTTCCAGAAGCACCTCAGGAGGAGGCTTCTCTCAGCAATAGGTATGTGGGAGGGACACTGAGTTTGCTGCCTCAAGGGGAATATACAGCGAGAAGCCCTAACTTGAAACGAGGCCAGATTTCCTTGCAGTGGCTTGAATACAGGCTCGTCTTTCATCTCAAAACATGAAGGGATGTCTGAATCCCCTGTGGAGACCTTAGAGAAAGCCCTAGGTCCCTGCCTCATTTTGACGGAATGCCTCACATCCCGCTGACACCTCGAGAGGCACGCGGAGTTCATTGCTTCAAAAGGTGACGATGCCTGACTCCTCTGGAATACTGATAGCAATCCCAAAATCCCTGTGGCTACTGGAACGGGTCCTTGGGTGCGCTGCCTCACGTCGAGAAGCGTCCCTTTTGCCCTGCCAAGCCTCGAAGAGATTCCTGAGGTGTCCCTCATAAGTAGACAGGAGTCCTGACGACACTGAAGAAACTCGTGTTTTGAAGTGCCATCCCCGCCATAAGTCGAGAACATACCCCAGGTCCCCGCCGCAACTCGAGAAAAACCATGAGACTTCCCCCTAGAGGCGAGATGAGGCCCCATTCCCCTGCAGTGCATGCAGAGCTATTCCGTGATCCCATTCAAACAAGTCAGGAGCTTCGACTTGCTTAATGGATCTCGAGACAGTCCCCAAGAACACTGTCACCAGTCTAGACGGACCCTGAGGTCACCCCAGCAACGCAAAGCAGCTCCATGTGACCCAAATCAACTCGAGATGAGGCCCGATTCCCCTGCATTGACTCCAGAGCCATTCCCCGTTCCCCATTCAACACGACCGGTGGCTCGACTTCCTTCAGGCAACTCCAGAGATGCCCCGAGAACACTGTCCCAAGTCTAGAGGAACACCAACTTCAGCACAGCAACTCGAGGAATGCTCCGTGTACCCCAAATCGTCTCGACATGAGAGCTGATGCCCTGGCTTAGGCTCAAGACGTATGCCAACTTTCCAGAAGCAACACAGGAGGAGGCTTCATTTAGCAATAGGTATGTGGGAGGGACCTCGAGTTTGCTGCCTAAAGGGGAATATACAGCGAGAAGCCCTAACTTGAAAGGAGGCCGGATTTCCTTGCAGTGGCTTGAATACAGGCTCCTCTTTGATCTCACAACATGAAGGGATATCTGAATCCCCTGCGGAGACCTTAGAGAAAGCCTTAGGTCCCTGCCTCATTTTGACGGAATGCCTCATATCCCGCTGACACCTCGAGAGGCACACGGAGTTCATTGCTTCAAAAGGTGACGATGCCTGACTCCTCTTGAATACTGATAGGAATCCCAAAATCCCTGTGGCTACTGGAAAGGGTCCTTGAGGGCCTGCCCCACCTCGAGAAGCGTCCCTTTTGCTCTGCCAAGCCTCGAAGAGATTTCTGAGGTGTCCCTCGTTACTAGACAGGAGTCCTGACGTCACTGAAGAAACTCGTGGTTTGAAGGACCATCCCCGCCGTAAGTCGAGAACATACACCAGGTCCCTGCCGCAACTCGAGAAAAACCATGAGACTTCCCCCTAGAGGCGAGATGAGGCCCAATTCGCCTGCAGTGCATGCAGAGCTATTCCGTGATCCCATTCAAACAACTCAGGAGCTTTGACTTGCTTAATGGATCTCGAGACAGTCCCCAAGAACACTGTCACCAGTCTAGACGGACCCTGAGGTCACCCCAGCAACGCAAAGCAGTTCCATGTGCCCCAAATCAACTCAAGATGAGGCCCGATTTCCCTGCATTGACTCCAGAGCCATTCCCCGTTCCCCATTCAACACGACCGGTGGCTCGACTTCCTTCAGGCAACTCCAGAGATGCCCCGAGAACACTGTCCCAAGTCTAGAGGAACACCAACTTCAGCACAGCAACTCGAGGAATGCTCCGTGCACCCCAAATCGTCTCGACATGAGCGCTGATTCCCTGGCTTAGGCTCAAGACGTATGCCAACTTTCCAGAAGCACCTCAGGAGGAGGCTTCTCTCAGCAATAGGTATGTGGGAGGGACCCCGAGTTTGCTGCCTCAAGGGGAATATACAGCGAGAAGCCCTAACTTGAAAGGAGGCCGGATTTCCTTGCAGTGGCTTGAATACAGGCTCGTCTTTCATCTCACAACATGAAGGTATGTCCGAATCCCCTGTGGAGACCTTAGAGAAAGCCCTAGGTCCCTGCCTCATTTTGACGGAATGCCTCACATCCCGCTGACACCTCGAGAGGCACGCGTAGTTCATTGCTTCAAAAGGTGACGATGCCTGACTCCTCTTGAATACTGATAGGAATCCCAAAATCCCTGTGGCTACTGGAAAGGGTCCTTGGGTGCCCTGCCCCAACTCGAGAAGCGTCCCTTTTGCCCTGCCAAGCCTCGAAGAGATTTCTGAGGTGTCCCTCGTTACTAGACAGGATTCCTGACGTCACTGAAGAAACTCGTGGTTTGAAGGGCCATCCCCGCCGTAAGTCGAGAATATACCCCAGGTCCCTGCCGCAACTCGAGAAAAACCATGAGACTTCCCCCTAGAGGCGAGATGAGGCCCCATTCCCCTGCAGTGCATGCAGAGCTATTCCGTGATCCCATTCAAACAAGTCAGGAGCTTTTACTTGCTTAATGGATCTCGAGACAGTCCCCAAGAACACTGTCACCAGTCTAGACGGACCCTGAGATCACCCCAGCAACGCAATGCAGCTTCATGTGCCCCAAATCAACTCAAGATGAGGCCCGATTCCCCTGCATTGTCTCCAGAGCCATTCCCCGTTCCCCATTCAACACGACCGGTGGCTCGACTTCCTTCCGGCAACTCCAGAGATGCCCTGAGAACACTGTCCCAAGTCTAGAGGACCACCAACTTCAGCACAGCAACTCGAGGAATGCTCCGTGTACCCCAAATCGTCTCGAGATGAGAGCTGATTCCCTGGCTTAGGCTCAAGACGTATGCCAACTTTCCAGAAGCACCTCAGGAGGAGGCTTCTCTCAGTAATAGGTATGGGGGAGGGACCCCGAGTTTGCTGCCTCAAGGGGAATATACAGCGAGAAGCCCTAACTTGAAACGAGGCCAGATTTCCTTGCAGTGGCTTGAATACAGGCTCGTCTTTCATCTCAAAACATGTAGGGATGTCTGAATCCCCTGTGGAGACCTTAGAGAAAGGCCTAGGTCCCTGCATCATTTTGACGGAATGCCTCACATCCCGCTGACACCTCGAGAGGCACGCGGAGTTCATTGCTTCAAAAGGTGACGATGCCTGACTCCTCTGGAATACTGATAGGAATCCCAAAATCCCTGTGGCTACTGGAAAGGGTCCTTGGGTGCCCTGCCTCACCTCGAGAAGCATCCCTTTTGCCCTGGCAAGCCTCGAAGAGATTCCTGAGGTGTCCCTCGTTACTAGACAGGAGTCCTGACGTCACTGAAGAAACTCGTGTTTTGAAGGGCCTTCCCCGCCGTAAGTCGAGAACATACCCCAGGTCCCCGCCACAACTCGAGAAAAACCATGAGACTTCCCCCTAGAGGCGAGATGAGGCCCCATTCCCCTGCAGTGCATGCAGAGCTATTCCGTGATCCCATTCAAACAAGTCAGGAGCTTCGACTTGCTTAATGGATCTCGAGACAGTCCCCAAGAACACTGTCACCAGTCTAGACCGACCCTGAGGTCACCCCAGCAACGCAAAGCAGCTCCATGTGCCCCAAATCAACTCGAGATGGGGCCCGATTCCCCTGTATTGACTCCAGAGCCATTCCTCGTTCCCCATTCAACACGACCGGTGGCTCGACTTCCTTCAGGCAACTCCAGAGATGCCCCGAGAACACTGTCAAAAGTCTAGAGGAACACCAACTTCAGCACAGCAACTCGAGGAATGCTCCGTGTACCCCAAATTGTCTCGAGATGAGAGCTGATTCCCTGGCTTAGGCTCAAGACGTATGCCAACTTTCCAGAAGCACCTCAGGAGGAGGCTTCTCTCAGCAATAGGTATGTGGGAGGGACCCCGAGTTTGCTGCCTCAAGGGGAATATACCGCGAGAAGCCCTAACTTGAAAGGAGGCCGGATTTCCTTGCAGGGGCTTGAATACAGGCTCGTCTTTCATCTCACAACATGAAGGGATGTCTGAATCCCCTGTGGAGACCTTAGAGAAAGCCCTCGGTCCCTGCCTCATTTTGACGGAATGCCTCACATCCCGCTGACACCTCAAGAGACACGCGGAGTTCATTGCTTCAAAAGGTGACGATGCCTGACTCCTCTTGAATACTGATAGGAATCCCAAAATCCCTGTGGCTACTGGAAAGGGTCCTTGGGTGCCCTGCCTCACCTCGAGAAGCGTCCCATTTGCCCTGCCAAGCCTCGAAGAGATTCCTGAGGTGTCCATCGTTACTAGACAGGAGTCCTGACGTCACTGAAGAAACTCGTGTTTTGAAGGGCCATCCCCGCCGTAAGTCGAGAACATACCCCAGGTCCCCGCCGCAACTCGAGAAAAACCATGAGACTTCCCCCTAGAGGCGAGATGAGGCCCCATTCCCCTGCAGTGCATGCAGAGCTATTCCGTGATCCCATTCAAACAAGTCAGGAGCTTCGACTTGCTTAATGGATCTCGAGACAGTCCCCAAGAACACTGTCACCAGTCTAGACGGACCCTGAGGTCACCCCAGCAACGCAAAGCAGCTCCATGTGCCCCAAATCAACTCGAGATGAGGCCCGATTCCCCTGCAATGACTCCAGAGCCATTCCCCGTTCCCCATTCAACACGACCGGTGGCTCGACTTCCTTCAGGCAACTCCAGAGATGCCCCGAGAACACTGTCCCAAGTCTAGAGGAACACCAACTTCAGCACAGCAACTCGAGGAATGCTCCGTGTAACCCAAATCGTCTTGAGATGAGAGCTGATTCCCTGGCTTAGGCTCAAGACGTATGCCAACTCCCCAGAAGCACCTCAGGAGGAGGCTTCTCTCAGTAATAGCTATGTGGGAGGGACCCCGAGTTTGCTGCCTCAAGGGGAATATACAGCGAGAAGCCCTTACTTGAAAGGAGGCCGGATTTCCTTGCAGTGGCTTGAATACAGGCTCGTCTTTCATCTCACAACATGAAGGGATGTCTGAATGCCCTGTGGAGACCTTAGAGAAAGCCCTAGGTCCCTGCCTCATTTTTACGGAATGCCTCACATCCTGCTGACACCTCGAGAGGCACGCGGAGTTCATTGCTTCAAAATGTGACGATGCCTGACTCCTCTTGAATACTGATACGAATCCCAAAATCCCTGTGGCTACTGGAAAGGGTCCTTGGGTGCCCTGCCTCACCTCGAGAAGCGTTCCTTTTCCCTGCCAAGCCTCTAACAGATTCCTGAGGTGTTCCTCGCTACTAGACAGGAGTCCTGACGTCACTGAAGAAACTCGTGTTTTGAAGGGCCATCCCCGCCGTAAGTCGAGAACATACCCCAGGGCCCCGCCGCAACTCGAGAAAAACCATGAGACTTCCCCCTAGAGGCGAGATGAGGCCCCATTCCCCTGCAGTGCATGCAGAGCTATTCCGTGATCCCATTCAAACAACTCAGGAGCTTTGACTTGCTTAATGGATATCGAGACAGTCCCCAAGAACACTGTCACCAGTCTAGACGGACCCTGAGGTCACCCCAGCAACGCAAAGCAGCTCCATGTGCCCCAAATCAACTCAAGATGAGGCCCGATTCCCCTGCATTGACTCCAGAGCCATTCCCCGTTCCCCATTCAACACGACCGGTGGCTCGACTTCCTTCAGGCAACTCCAGAGATGCCCCGAGAACACTGTCCCAAGTCTAGAGGAACACAAACTTCAGCACAGCAACTCGAGGAATGCTCCGTGTACGCCAAATCGTCTCGACATGAGAGCTGATTCCCTGGCTTAGGCTCAAGACGTATGCCAACTTTCCAGAAGCACCTCAGGAGGAGGCTTCTCTCAGCAATAGGTATGTGGGAGGGACCCCGAGTTTGCTGCCTCAAGGGGAATATACCGCCAGAAGCCCTAACTTGAAAGGAGGCCGGATTTCCTTGCAGGGGCTTGAATACAGGCTCGTCTTTCATCTCACAACATGAAGGGATGTCTGAATCCCCTGTGGAGACCTTAGAGAAAGCCCTCGGTCCCTGCCTCATTTTTACGGAATGCCTCACATCCCGCTGACACCTCGAGAGACACGCGGAGTTCATTGCTTCAAAAGGTGACGATGCCTGACTCCTCTTGAATACTGATAGGAATCCCAAAATCCCTGTGGCTACTGGAAAGGGTCCTTGGGTGCCCTGCCTCACCTCGAGAAGCGTCCCATTTGCCCTGCCAAGCCTCGAAGAGATTCCTGAGGTGTCCCTCGTTACTAGACAGGAGTCCTGACGTCATTGAAGAAACTCGTGTTTTGAAGGGCCATCCCCGCCGTAAGTTGAGAACATACCCCAGGTCCCCGCCGCAACTCGAGAAAAACCATGAGACTTCCCCCTAGAGGCGAGATGAGGCCCCATTCCCCTGCAGTGCATGCAGAGCTATTCCGTGATCCCATTCAAACAAGTCAGGAGCTTCGACTTGCTTAATGGATCTCGAGACAGTCCCCAAGAACACTGTCACCAGTCTAGACGGACCCTGAGGTCACCCCAGCAACGCAAAGCAGCTCCATGTGCCCCAAATCAACTCGAGATGAGGCCCGATTCCCCTGCATTGACTCCAGAGCCATTCCCCGTTCCCCATTCAACACGACCGGTGGCTCGACTTCCTTCAGGCAACTCCAGAGATGCCCCGAGAACACTGTCCCAAGTCTAGAGGAACACCAACTTCAGCACAGCAACTCGAGGAATGCTCCGTGTAACCCAAATCATCTTGAGATGAGAGCTGATTCCCTGGCTTAGGCTCAAGACGTATGCCAACTCCCCAGAAGCAAATCAGGAGGAGGCTTCTCTCAGTAATAGGTATGTGGGAGGGACCCCGAGTTTGCTGCCTCAAGGGGAATATACAGCGAGAAGCCCTAACTTGAAAGGAGGCCGGATTTCCTTGCAGTGGCTTGAATACAGGCTCGTCTTTCATCTCACAACATGAAGGGATGTCTGAATGCCCTGTGGAGACCTTAGAGAAAGCCCTAGGTCCCTGCCTCATTTTGACGGAATGCCTCACATCCCGCTGACACCTCGAGAGGCACGCGGAGTTCATTGCTTCAAAAGGTGACGATGCCTGACTCCTCTTGAATACTGATAGGAATCCCAAAATCCCTGTGGCTACTGGAAATGGTCCTTGGGTGCCCTGCCCCACCTCGAGAAGCGTCCCTTTTGCCCTGCCAAGCCTCGAAGAGATTGCTGAGGTGTCCCTCGTTACTAGACAGGAGTCCTGACGTCACTGAAGAAACTCGTGGTTTGAAGGGCCATCCCCGCCGTAAGTCGAGAACATATCCCAGGTCCCTGCCGCAACTCGAGAAAAACCATGAGACTTCCCCCTAGAGGCGAGATGAGGCCCCATTCCCCTGCAGTGCATGCAGAGCTATTCCGTGATCCCATTCAAACAAGTCAGGAGCTTTGACTTGCTTAATGGATCTCGAGACAGTCCCCAAGAACACTGTCACCAGTCTAGACGGACCCTGAGGTCACCCCAGCAACGCAAAGCAGCTCCATGTGCCCCAAATCAACTCAAGATGAGGCCCGATTCCCCTGCATTGACTCCAGAGCCATTCCCCGTTCCCCATTCCACACGACCGGTGGCTCGACTTCCTTCAGGCAACTCCAGAGATGCCCTGAGAACACTGTCCCAAGTCTAGAGGACCACCAACTTCAGCACAGCAACTCGAGGAATGCTCCGTGTACCCCAAATCGTCTCGAGATGAGAGCTGATTCCCTGGCTTAGGCTCAAGACGTATGCCAACTTTCCAGAAGCACCTCAGGAGGAGGCTTCTCTCAGCAATAGGTATGTGGGAGGGACCCCGAGTTTGCTGCCTCAAGGGGAATATACAGCGAGAAGCCCTAACTTGAAAGGAGACCGGATTTCCTTGCAGTGGCTTGAATACAGGCCTGTCTTTGATCTCACAACATGAAGCGATGTCTGAATCCCCTGTGGAGACCTTAGAGAAAGCCTTAGGTCCGTGCCTCATTTTGACAGAATGCCTCACATCCCGCTGACACCTCGAGAGGCATGCAGATTTCATTGCTTCAAAAGGTGACGATGCCTGACTCCTCTTGAATACTGATAGGAATACCAAAATCGCGGTGGTACTGGAAAGGGTCCTTGGGTGCCCTGCCTCACCTCGAGAAGCGTCCCTTTGGCCCTGCCAAGCCTCGAAGAGATTCCTGAGGTGTCCCTCGTTACTAGACAGGAGTCCTGACGACACTGAAGAAACTCGTGTTTTGAAGGGCCATCCCCGCCGTAAGTCGAGAACATACCCCAGGTCCCTGCCGCAACTCGAGAAAAACCATGAGACTTCCCCCTAGAGGCGAGATGAGGCCCCATTCCCCTGCAGTGCATGCAGAGCTATTCCGTGATCCCATTCAAATAAGTCAGGAGCTTCGACTTGCTTAATGGATCTCGAGAGAGTCCCCAAGAATACTGTCACCGGTCCAGACGGACCCTGAGATCACCCCAGCACCGCAAAGCAGCTCCATGTGCCGCAAATCAACACGAGATGAGGCCCGATTCCCCTGCATTGACTCCAGAGCCATTCCCCGTTCCCCATTCAACACGACCGGTGGCTCGACTTCCTTCAGGCAACTCCAGAGATGCCCCGAGAACACTGTCCCAAGTCTAGAGGATCACCAACTTCAGCACAGCAACTCGAGGAATGCTCCGTGTACCCCAAATCGTCTCGAGATGAGAGCTGATTCCCTGGCTTAGGCTCAAGACGTATGCCAACTTCCCAGAAGCACCTCAGGAGGAGGCTTCTCTCAGCAATAGGTATGTGGGAGGGAACCTGAGTTTGCTGCCTCAAGGGGAATATACAGCGAGAAGCCCTAACTTGAAAGGAGTGCGAATTTCCTTGCAGTGGCTTGAATACAGGCTCGTCTTTCATCTCACAACATGAAGGGATGTCTGAATCCCCTGTGGAGACCTTAGAGAAAGCCCTAGGTCCATGCCTCATTTTGACGGAATGCCTCACATCCCGCTGACACCTCGAGAAGCACGCGGAGTTAATTGCTTCAAAAATGACGATGCCTGACTCCTCTTGAATACTGATAGGAATCCCAAAATCCTTGTGGCTACTGGAAAGGGTCCTTGTGTGCCCTGCCTCACCTCGAGAAGCATCCCTTTTGCCCTGGCAAGCCTCGAAGAGATTCCTGAGGTGTCCCTCGTTACTAGACAGGAGTCCTGACGTCACTGAAGAAACTCGTGTTTTGAAGGGCCATCCCCGCCGTAAGTCGAGAACATACCCCAGGTCCCCGCCGCAACTCGAGAAAAACCATGAGACTTCCCCCTAGAGGCGAGATGAGGCCCCATTCCCCTGCAGTGCATGCAGAGCTATTCCGTGATCCCATTCAAACAAGTCAGGAGCTTCGACTTGCTTAATGGATCTCGAGACAGTCCCCAAGAACACTGTCACCAGTCTAGACGGACCCTGAGGTCACCCGAGCAACGCAAAGCAGCTCCATGTGCCCCAAATCAACTCGAGATGAGGCCCGATTCCGCTGCATTGACTCCAGAGCCATTCCCCGTACCCCATTCAACACGACCGGTGGCTCGACTTCCTTCACGCAACTCCAGACATGCCCCGAGAATACTGTCCCAAGTCTAGAGGAACAACAACTTCAGCACAGCAACTCAAGGAATGCTCCGTGTACCTCAAATCGTCTCGAGATGAGAGCTGATTCCCTGGCTTAGGCTCAAGAGGTATGCCAACTTTCCAGAAGCACCTCAGGAGGAGGCTTCTCTCAGCAATAGGTATGTGGGAGGGACACTGAGTCTGCTGCCTCAAGGGGAATATACAGCGAGAAGCCCTAACTTGAAAGGAGGCCAGATTTCCTTGCAGTGGCTTGAATATAGGCTCGTCTTTCATCTCAAAACATGAAGGGATGTCTGAATCCCCTTTGGAGACCTTAGAGAAAGCCCTAGGTCCCTGCCCCATTTTTACGGAATGCCTCACATCCCGCTGACACCTCGAGAGGCACGCGGAGTTCATTGCTTCAAAAGGTGACGATGCCTGACTCCTCTTGAATACTGATAGGAATCCCAAAATCCCTGTGGCTACTAGAAATGGTCCTTGGGTGCCCTGCCTCACCTCGAGAAGCGTCCCTTTGGCCCTGCCAAGCCTTGAAGAGATTCCTGAGGTGTCCCTCGTTACTAGACAGCAGTCCTGATGTCACTGAAGAAACTCGTGTTTTGAAGGGCCATCCCCGCTGTAAGTCGAAAACATACCCCAGGTCCCTGCCGCAACTCGAGAAAAACCATGAGACTTCCCCCTAGAGGCGAGATGAGGCCCCATTCCCCTGCAGTGCATGCAGAGCTATTCCGTGATCCCATTCAAATAAGTCAGGAGCTTCGACTTGCTTAATGGATCTCGAGACAGTCCCCAAGAATACTGTCACCAGTCCAGACGGACCCTGAGATCACCCCAGCACCGCAAAGCAGCTCCATGTGCCGCAAATCAACACGAGATGAGGCCCGATTCCCCTGCATTGACTCCAGAGCCATTCCCCGTTCCCCATTCAACACGACCGGTGGCTCGACTTCCTTCAGGCAACTCCAGAGATGCCCCGAGAACACTGTCCCAAGTCTAGAGGAACACCACCTTCAGCACAGCAACTCGAGGAATGCTCCGTGTAACCCAAATCGTCTTGAGATGAGAGCTGATTCCCTGGCTTAGGCTCAAGACGTATGCCAACTCCCCAGAAGCACCTCAGGCGGAGGCTTCTCTCAGTAATAGGTATGTGGGAGGGACCCCGAGTTTGCTGCCTCAAGGGGAATATACAGCGAGAAGCCCTAACTTGAAAGGAGGCCGGATTTCCTTGCAGTGGAGTGAATACAGGCTCGTCGTTCATCTCACAACATGAAGGGATGTCTGAATGCCCTGTGCAGACCTTAGAGAAAGCCCTAGGTCCCTGCCTCATTTTGACGGAATGCCTCACATACCGCTGACACCTCGAGAGGCACGCGGAGTTAATTGCTTCAAAAATGACGATGCCTGACTCCTCTTGAATACTGATAGGAATCCCAAAATCCCTGTGGCTACTGGAAAGGGTCCTTGGGTGCCCTGCCTCACCTCGAGAAGCATCCCTTTTGCCCTGGCCAGCCTCGAAGAGATTCCTGAGGTGTCCCTCGTTACTAGACAGGAGTCCTGACGTCACTGAAGAAACTCGTGTTTTGAAGGGCCTTCCCCGCCGTAAGTCGAGAACATACCCCAGGTCCCCGCCGCAACTCGAGAAAAACCATGAGACTTCCCCCTAGAGGCGAGATGAGGCCCCATTCCCCTGCAGTGCATGCAGAGTTATTCCGTGATCCCATTCAAACAAGTCAGGAGCTTCGACTTGCTTAATGGATCTCGAGACAGTCCCCAAGAACACTGTCACCAGTCTAGACGGACCCTGAGGTCACCCCAGCAACGCAAAGCAGCTCCATGTGCCCCAAATCAACTCGAGATGGGGCCCGATTCCCCTGTATTGACTCCAGAGCCATTCCTCGTTCCCCATTCAACACGACCGGTGGCTCGACTTCCTTTAGGCAACTCCAGAGATGCCCCGAGAACACTGTCCCAAGTCTAGAGGAACACCAACTTCAGCACAGCAACTCGAGGAATGCTCCGTGTACCCCAAATCGTCTCGACATGAGCGCTGATTCCCTGGCTTAGGCTCAAGACGTATGCCAACTTTCCAGAAGCACCTCAGGAGGACGCTTCTCTCAGCAATAGGTATGTGGGAGGGACCCCGAGTTTGCTGCCTCAAGGGGAATATACAGCGAGAAGTCCTAACTTGAAAGGAGGCCGGATTTCCTTGCAGTGGCTTGAATACAGGCTCGTCTTTAATCTCACAACATGAAGGGATGTCCGAATCCCCTGTGGAGACCTTAGAGAAAGCCCTAGGTCCCTGCCTCATTTTGACGGAATGCCTCACATCCCGCTGACACCTCGAGAGGCACGCGTAGTTCATTACTTCAAAAGGTGACGATGCCTGACTCCTCTGGAATACTGATAGGAATCCCAAAATCCCTGTGGCTACTGGAAAGGGTCCTTGGGTGCCCTGCCCCACCTCGAGAAGCGTCCCTTTTGCCCTGCCAAGCCTCGAAGAGATTCCTGAGGTGTCCCTCGTTACTAGACAGGAGTCCTGACGTCACTGAAGAAACTCGTGGTTTGAAGGGCCATCCCCGCCTTAAGTCGAGAACATACCCCAGGTCCCTGCCACAACTCGAGAAAAACCATGAGACTTCCCCCTAGAGGCGAGATGAGGCCCCATTCCCCTGCAGTGCATGCAGAGCTATTCCGTGATCCCATTCAAACAAGTCAGGAGCTTTGACTTGCTTAATGGATCTCGAGACAGTCCCCAAGAACACTGTCACCAGTCTAGATGGACCCTGAGGTCACCCCAGCAACGCAAAGCAGCTCCATGTGCCCCAAATCAACTCAAGATGAGGCCCGATTCCCCTGCATTGACTCCAGAGCCATTCCCCGTTCCCCATTCAACACGACCGGTGGCTCGACTTCCTTCAGGCAACTCCAGAGATGCCCTGAGAACACTGTCCCAAGTCTAGAGGACCACCAACTTCAGCACAGCAACTCGAGGAATGCTCCGTGTACCCCAAATCGTCTCGAGATGAGAGCTGATTCCCTGGCTTAGGCTCAAGACGTATGCCAACTTTCCAGAAGCACCTCAGGAGGAGGCTTCTCTCAGTAATAGGTATGTGGGAGGGACCCCGAGTTTGCTGCCTCAAGGGGAATATACAGCGAGAAGCCCTAACTTGAAAGGAGGCCGGATTTCCTTGCAGTGGCTTGAATACAGGCTTGTCTTTGATCTCACAACATGAAGCGATGTCTGAATCCCCTGTGGAGACCTTAGAGAAAGCCTTAGGTCCGTGCCTCATTTTGACGGAATGCCTCACATCCCGCTGACACCTCGAGAGGCATGCAGATTTCATTGCTTCAAAAGGTGACGATGCCTGACTCCTCTTGAATACTGATAGGAATCCCAAAATCGCGGTGGCTACTGGAAAGGGTCCTTGGGTGCCCTGCCTCACCTCGAGAAGCGTCCCTTTTGCCCTGCCAAGCCTCGAAGAGATTCCTGAGGTGTCCCTCGTTACTAGACAGGAGTCCTGACGACACTGAAGAAACTCGTGTTTTGAAGGGCCATCCCCGCCGTAAGTCGAGAACATACCCCAGGTCCCTGCCGCAACTCGAGAAAAACCATGAGACTTCCCCCTAGAGGCGAGATGAGGCCCCATTCCCCTGCAGTGCATGCAGAGCTATTCCGTGATCCCATTCAAATAAGTCAGGAGCTTCGACTTGCTTAATGGATCTCGAGACAGTCCCCAAGAATAGTGTCACCAGTCCAGACGGACCCTGAGATCACCCCAGCACCGCAAAGCAGCTCCATGTGCCGCAAATCAACACGAGATGAGGCCCGATTCCCCTGCATTGACTCCAGAGCCATTCCCCGTTCCCCATTCAACACGACCGGTGGCTCGACTTCCTTCAGGCAACTCCAGAGATGCCCCGAGAACACTGTCCCAAGTCTAGAGGATCACCAACTTCAGCACAGCAACTCGAGGAATGCTCCGTGTACCCCAAATCGTCTCGAGATGAGAGCTGATTCCCTGGCTTAGGCTCAAGACGTATGCCAACTTCCCAGAAGCACCTCAGGAGGAGGCTTCTCTCAGCAATAGGTATGTGGGAGGGAACCTGAGTTTGCTGCCTCAAGGGGAATATACAGCGAGAAGCCCTAACTTGAAAGGAGTGCGAATTTCCTTGCAGTGGCTTGAATACAGGCTCGTCTTTCATCTCACAACATGAAGGGATGTCTGAATCCCCTGTGGAGACGTTAGAGAAAGCCCTAGGTCCCTGCCTCATTTTTACGGAATGCCTCACATCCCGCTGACACTGCGAGAGGCACGCGGAGTTCATTGCTTCAAAAGGTGACGATGCCTGACTCCTCTTGAATGCTTAAAGGAATCCCAAAATCCCTGTGGCTACTGGAAAGGGTCCTTGGGTGCCCTGCCTCACCTCGAGAAGCGTCCCTTTTGCCCTGCCAAGCCTCGAAGAGATTCCTGAGGTGTCCCTCGTTACTAGACAGGAGTCCTGACGTCACTGAAGAAACTCGTGTTCTGAAGGGCCAGCCCCGCCGTAAGTCGAGAACATACCCCAGGTCCCCGCCTCAACTCGAGAAAAACCATGAGACTTCCCCCTAGAGGCGAGATGAGGCCCCATTCCCCTGCAGTGCATGCAGAGATATTCCGTGATCCCATTCAAACAAGTCAGGAGCTTTGACTTGCTTAATGGGTCTCGAGACAGTCCCCAAGAACACTGTCACCAGTCTAGACGGACCATGAGGTCACCCCAACAACGCAAAGCAGCTCCATGTGCCCTAAATCAACTCGAGATGAGGCCCGATTCCGCTGCATTGACTCCAGAGCCATTCCCCGTACCCCATTCAACCCGACCGGTGGCTCGACTTCCTTCACGCAACTCCAGAGATGCCCCGAGAATACTGTCCCAAGTCTAGAGGAACAACAACTTCAGCACAGCAACTCGAGGAATGATCCGTGTACCCCATATCGTCTCGAGATGAGAGCTGATTCCCTGGCTTAGGCTCAAGAGGTATGCCAACTTTCCAGAAGCACCTCAGGAGGAGGCTTCTCTCAGCAATAGGTATGTGGGAGGGACACTGAGTCTGCTGCCTCAAGGGGAATATACAGCGAGAAGCCCTAACTTGAAACGAGGCCAGATTTCCTTGCAGTGGCTTGAATACAGGCTCGTCTTTCATCTCAAAACATGAAGGGATGTCTGAATCCCCTGTGGAGACCTTAGAGAAAGGCCTAGGTCCCTGCCTCATTTTGACGGAATGCCTCACATCCCGCTGACACCTCGAGAGGCACGCGGAGTTCATTGCTTCAAAAGGTGACGATGCCTGACTCCTCTGGAATACTGATAGGAATCCCAAAATCCCTGTGGCTACTGGAAAGGGTCCTTGGGTGCCCTGCCTCACCTCGAGAAGCATCCCTTTTGCCCTGGCAAGCCTCGAAGAGATTCCTGAGGTGTCCCTCGTTACTAGACAGGAGTCCTGACGTCACTGAAGAAACTCGTGTTTTGAAGGGCCTTCCCCGCCGTAAGTCGAGAACATACCCCAGGTCCCCACCGCAACTCGAGAAAAACCATGAGACTTCCCCCTAGAGGCGAGATGAGGCCCCATTCCCCTGCAGTGCATGCAGAGCTATTCCGTGATCCCATTCAAACAAGTCAGGAGCTTCGACTTGCTTAATGGATCTCGAGACAGTCCCCAAGAACACTGTCACCAGTCTAGACGGACCCTGAGGTCACCCCAGCAACGCAAAGCAGCTCCATGTGCCCGAAATCAACTCGAGATGGGGCCCGATTCCCCTGTATTGACTCCAGAGCCATTCCTCGTTCCCCATTCAACACGACCGGTGGCTCGACTTCCTTCAGGAAACTCCAGAGATGCCCCGAGAACACTGTCCCAAGTCTAGAGGAACACCAACTTCAGCACAGCAACTCGAGGAATGCTCCGTGTACCCCAAATCGTCTCGAGATGAGAGCTGATTCCCTGGCTTAGGCTCAAGACGTATGCCAACTTTCCAGAAGCACCTCAGGAGGAGGCTTCTCTCAGCAATAGGTATGTGGGAGGGACCCCGAGTTTGCTGCCTCAAGGGGAATATACCGCGAGAAGCCCTAACTTGAAAGGAGGCCGGATTTCCTTGCAGGGGCTTGAATACAGGCTCGTCTTTCATCTCACAACATGAAGGGATGTCTGAATCCCCTGTGGAGACCTTAGAGAAAGCCCTCGGTCCCTGCCTCATTTTGACGGAATGCCTCACATCCCGCTGACACCTCGAGAGACACGCGGAGTTCATTGCTTCAAAAGGTGACGATGCCTGACTCCTCTTGAATACTGATAGGAATCCCAAAATCCCTGTGGCTACTGGAAAGGGTCCTTGGGTTCCCTGCCTCACCTCGAGAAGCGTCCCATTTGCCCTGCCAAGCCTCGAAGAGATTCCTGAGGTGTCCCTCGTTACTAGACAGGAGTCCTGACGTCACTGAAGAAACTCGTGTTTTGAAGGGCCATCCCCGCCGTAAGTTGAGAACATACCCCAGGACCCCGCCGCAACTCGAGAAAAACCATGAGACTTCCCCCTAGAGGCGAGATGAGGCCCCATTCCCCTGCAGTGCATGCAGAGCTATTCCGTGATCCCATTCAAACAAGTCAGGAGCTTCGACTTGCTTAATGGATCTCGAGACAGTCCCCAAGAACACTGTCACCAGTCTAGACGGACCCTGAGGTCACCCCAGCAACGCAAAGCAGCTCCATGTGCCCCAAATCAACTCGAGATGAGGCCCGATTCCCCTGCATTGACTCCAGAGCCATTCCCCGTTCCCCATTCAACACGACCGGTGGCTCGAATTCCTTCAGGCAACTCCAGAGATGCCCCGAGAACACTGTCCCAAGTCTAGAGGAACACCAACTTCAGCACAGCAACTCGAGGAATGCTCCGTGTAACCCAAATCGTCTTGAGATGAGAGCTGATTCCCTGGCTTAGGCTCAAGACGTATGCCAACTCCCCAGAAGCACCTCAGGCGGAGGCTTCTCTCAGTAATAGGTATGTGGGAGGGACCCCGAGTTTGCTGCCTCAAGGGGAATATACAGCGAGAAGCCCTAACTTGAAAGGAGGCCGGATTTCCTTGCAGTGGCTTGAATACAGGCTCGTCTTTCATCTCACAACATGAAGGGATGTCTGAATGCCCTGTGGAGACCTTAGAGAAAGCCCTAGGTCCCTGCCTCATTTTTACGGAATGCCTCACATCCTGCTGACACCTCGAGAGGCACGCGGAGTTCATTGCTTCAAAATGTGACGATGCCTGACTCCTCTTGAATACTGATAGGAATCCCAAAATCCCTGTGGCTACTGGAAAGGGTCCTTTGGTGCCCTGCCTCACCTCGAGAAGCGTACCTTTTGCCCTGCCATGCCTCAAAGAGATTCCTGACGTGTCCCTCGTTACTAGACAGGAGTCCTGACGTCACAGAAGAAACTCGTGTTTTGAAGGGCCATCCCCGCCGTAAGTCGAAAAGATACCCCAGGTCCCCGCCGCAACTCGAGAAAAACCATGAGACTTCCCCCTAGAGGCGAGATGAGGCCCCATTCCCCTGCAGTGCATGCAGAGCTATTCCGTGATCCCATTCAAACAAGTCAGGAGCTTCGACTTGCTTAATGGATTTCGAGACAGTCCCCAAGAACACTGTCACCAGTCCAGACGGACCCTGAGGTCACCCCAGCACCGCAAAGCAGCTCCATGTGCCCCAAATCAACTCGAGATGAGGCCCGATTCCCCTGCATTGACTCCAGAGCCATTCCCCGTTCCCCATTCAACACGACCGGTGGCTCGACTTCCTTCAGGCAACTCCAGAGATGCCCCGAGAACACTGTCCCAAGTCTAGAGGAACACCAACTTCAGCACAGCAACTCGAGGAATGCTCCGTGTACCCCAAATCGTCTCGAGATGAGAGCTGATTCCCTGTCTTAGGCTCAAGACGTATGCCAACTTCCCAGAAGCACCTCAGGAGGAGGCTTCTCTCAGCAATAGGTATGTGGGAGGGACCCTGAGTTTGCTGCCTCAAGGGGAATATACAGCGAGAAGCCCTAACTTGAAAGGAGGCCGGATTTCCTTGCAGTGGCTTGAATACAGGCTCGTCTTTAATCTCACAACATGAAGGGATGTCCGAATCCCCTGTGGAGACCTTAGAGAAAGCCCTAGGTCCCTGCCTCATTTTGACGGAATGCCTCACATCCCGCTGACACCTCGAGAGGCACGCGTAGTTCATTGCTTCAAAAGGTGACGATGCCTGACTCCTCTGGAATACTGATAGGAATCCCAAAATCCCTGTGGCTACTGGAAAGGGTCCTTGGGTGCCCTGCCCCACCTCGAGAAGCGTCCCTTTTGCCCTGCCAAGCCTCGAAGAGATTCCTGAGGTGTCCCTCGTTACTAGACAGGAGTCCTGACGTCACTGAAGAAACTCGTGGTTTGAAGGGCCATCCCCGCCTTAAGTCGAGAACATACCCCAGGTCCCTGCCACAACTCGAGAAAAACCATGAGACTTCCCCCTAGAGGCGAGATGAGGCCCCATTCCCCTGCAGTGCATGCAGAGCTATTCCGTGATCCCATTCAAACAAGTCAGGAGCTTTGACTTGCTTAATGCATCTCGAGACAGTCCCCAAGAACACTGTCACCAGTCTAGACGGACCCTGAGGTCACCCCAGCAACGCAAAGCAGCTCCATGTGCCCCAAATCAACTCAAGATGAGGCCCGATTCCCCTGCATTGACTCCAGAGCCATTCCCCGTTCCCCATTCAACACGACCGGTGGCTCGACTTCCTTCAGGCAACTCCAGAGATGCCCTGAGAACACTGTCCCAAGTCTAGAGGACCACCAACTTCAGCACAGCAACTCGAGGAATGCTCCGTGTACCCCAAATCGTCTCGAGATGAGAGCTGATTCCCTGGCTTAGGCTCAAGACGTATGCCAACTTTCCAGAAGCACCTCAGGAGGAGGCTTCTCTCAGTAATAGGTATGTGGGAGGGACCCCGAGTTTGCTGCCTCAAGGGGAATATACAGCGAGAAGCCCTAACTTGAAAGGAGGCCGGATTTCCTTGCAGTGGCTTGAATACAGGCTTGTCTTTGATCTCACAACATGAAGCGATGTCTGAATCCCCTGTGGAGACCTTAGAGAAAGCCTTAGGTCCGTGCCTCATTTTGACGGAATGCCTCACATCCCGCTGACACCTCGAGAGGCATGCAGATTTCATTGCTTCAAAAGGTGACGATGCCTGACTCCTCTTGAATACTGATAGGAATCCCAAAATCGCGGTGGCTACTGGAAAGGGTCCTTGGGTGCCCTGCCTCACCTCGAGAAGCGTCCCTTTTGCCCTGCCAAGCCTCGAAGAGATTCCTGATGTGTCCTTCGTTACTAGACAGGAGTCCTGACGACACTGAAGAAACTCGTGTTTTGAAGGGCCATCCCCGCCGTAAGTCGAGAACATACCCCAGGTCCCTGCCGCAACTCGAGAAAAACCATGAGACTTCCCCCTAGAGGCGAGATGAGGCCCCATTCCCCTGCAGTGCATGCAGAGCTATTCCGTGATCCCATTCAAATAAGTCAGGAGCTTCGACTTGCTTAATGGATCTCGAGACAGTCCCCAAGAATACTGTCACCAGTCCAGACGGACCCTGAGATCACCCCAGCACCGCAAAGCAGCTCCATGTGCCGCAAATCAACACGAGATGAGGCCCGATTCCCCTGCATTGACTCCAGAGCCATTCCCCGTTCCCCATTCAACACGACCGGTGGCTCGACTTCCTTCAGGCAACTCCAGAGATGCCCCGAGAACACTGTCCCAAGTCTAGAGGATCACCAACTTCAGCACAGCAACTCGAGGAATGCTCCGTGTACCCCAAATCGTCTCGAGATGAGAGCTGATTCCCTGGCTTAGGCTCAAGACGTATGCCAACTTCCCAGAAGCACCTCAGGAGGAGGCTTCTCTCAGCAATAGGTATGTGGGAGGGAACCTGAGTTTGCTGCCTCAAGGGGAATATACAGCGAGAAGCCCTAACTTGAAAGGAGTGCGAATTTCCTTGCAGTGGCTTGAATACAGGCTCGTCTTTCATCTCACAACATGAAGGGATGTCTGAATCCCCTGTGGAGACGTTAGAGAAAGCCCTAGGTCCCTGCCTCATTTTTACGGAATGCCTCACATCCCGCTGACACTGCGAGAGGCACGCGGAGTTCATTGCTTCAAAAGGTGACGATGCCTGACTCCTCTTGAATGCTTAAAGGAATCCCAAAATCCCTGTGGCTACTGGAAAGGGTCCTTGGGTGCCCTGCCTCACCTCGAGAAGCGTCCCTTTTGCCCTGCCAAGCCTCGAAGAGATTCCTGAGGTGTCCCTCGTTACTAGACAGGAGTCCTGACGTCACTGAAGAAACTCGTGTTCTGAAGGGCCAGCCCCGCCGTAAGTCGAGAACATACCCCAGGTCCCCGCCGCAACTCGAGAAAAACCATGAGACTTCCCCCTAGAGGCGAGATGAGGCCCCATTCCCCTGCAGTGCATGCAGAGATATTCCGTGATCCCATTCAAACAAGTCAGGAGCTTTGACTTGCTTAATGGGTCTCGAGACAGTCCCCAAGAACACTGTCACCAGTCTAGACGGACCATGAGGTCACCCCAACAACGCAAAGCAGCTCCATGTGCCCTAAATCAACTCGAGATGAGGCCCGATTCCGCTGCATTGACTCCAGAGCCATTCCCCGTACCCCATTCAACACGACCGGTGGCTCGACTTCCTTCACGCAACTCCAGAGATGCCCCGAGAATACTGTCCCAAGTCTAGAGGAACAACAACTTCAGCACAGCAACTCGAGGAATGATCCGTGTACCCCATATCGTCTCGAGATGAGAGCTGATTCCCTGGCTTAGGCTCAAGAGGTATGCCAACTTTCCAGAAGCACCTCAGGAGGAGGCTTCTCTCAGCAATAGGTATGTGGGAGGGACACTGAGTCTGCTGCCTCAAGGGGAATATACAGCGAGAAGCCCTAACTTGAAACGAGGCCAGATTTCCTTGCAGTGGCTTGAATACAGGCTCGTCTTTCATCTCAAAACATGAAGGGATGTCTGAATCCCCTGTGGAGACCTTAGAGAAAGGCCTAGGTCCCTGCCTCATTTTGACGGAATGCCTCACATCCCGCTGACACCTCGAGAGGCACGCGGAGTTCATTGCTTCAAAAGGTGACGATGCCTGACTCCTCTGGAATACTGATAGGAATCCCAAAATCCCTGTGGCTACTGGAAAGGGTCCTTGGGTGCCCTGCCTCACCTCGAGAAGCATCCCTTTTGCCCTGGCAAGCCTCGAAGAGATTCCTGAGGTGTCCATCGTTACTAGACAGGAGTCCTGACGTCACTGAAGAAACTCGTGTTTTGAAGGGCCATCCCCGCCGTAAGTCGAGAACATACCCCAGGTCCCCGCCGCAACTCGAGAAAAACCATGAGACTTCCCCCTAGAGGCGAGATGAGGCCCCATTCCCCTGCAGTGCATGCAGAGCTATTCCGTGATCCCATTCAAACAAGTCAGGAGCTTCGACTTGCTTAATGGATCTCGAGACAGTCCCCAAGAACACTGTCACCAGTCTAGACGGACCCTGAGGTCACCCCAGCAACGCAAAGCAGCTCCATGTGCCCGAAATCAACTCGAGATGGGGCCCGATTCCCCTGTATTGACTCCAGAGCCATTCCTCGTTCCCCATTCAACACGACCGGTGGCTCGACTTCCTTCAGGAAACTCCAGAGATGCCCCGAGAACACTGTCCCAAGTCTAGAGGAACACCAACTTCAGCACAGCAACTCGAGGAATGCTCCGTGTACCCCAAATCGTCTCGAGATGAGAGCTGATTCCCTGGCTTAGGCTCAAGACGTATGCCAACTTTCCAGAAGCACCTCAGGAGGAGGCTTCTCTCAGCAATAGGTATGTGGGAGGGACCCCGAGTTTGCTGCCTCAAGGGGAATATACCGCGAGAAGCCCTAACTTGAAAGGAGGCCGGATTTCCTTGCAGGGGCTTGAATACAGGCTCGTCTTTCATCTCACAACATGAAGGGCTGTCTGAATCCCCTGTGGAGACCTTAGAGAAAGCCCTCGGTCCCTGCCTCATTTTGACGGAATGCCTCACATCCCGCTGACACCTCGAGAGACACGCGGAGTTCATTGCTTCAAAAGGTGACGATGCCTGACTCCTCTTGAATACTGATAGGAATCCCAAAATCCCTGTGGCTACTGGAAAGGGTCCTTGGGTGCCCTGCCTCACCTCGAGAAGCGTCCCATTTGCCCTGCCAAGCCTCGAAGAGATTCCTGAGGTGTCCCTCGTTACTAGACAGGAGTCCTGACGTCACTGAAGAAACTCGTGTATTGAAGGGCCATCCCCGCCGTAAGTTGAGAACATACCCCAGGACCCCGCCGCAACTCGAGAAAAACCATGAGACTTCCCCCTAGAGGCGAGATGAGGCCCCATTCCCCTGCAGTGCATGCAGAGCTATTCCGTGATCCCATTCAAACAAGTCAGGAGCTTCGACTTGCTTAATGGATCTCGAGACAGTCCCCAAGAACACTGTCACCAGTCTAGACGGACCCTGAGGTCACCCCAGCAAGGCAAAGCAGCTCCATGTGCCCCAAATCAACTCGAGATGAGGCCCGATTCCCCTGCATTGACTCCAGAGCCATTCCCCGTTCCCCATTCAACACGACCGGTGGCTCGAATTCCTTCAGGCAACTCCAGAGATGCCCCGAGAACACTGTCCCAAGTCTAGAGGAACACCAACTTCAGCACAGCAACTCGAGGAATGCTCCGTGTAACCCAAATCGTCTTGAGATGAGAGCTGATTCCCTGGCTTAGGCTCAAGACGTATGCCAACTCACCAGAAGCACCTCAGGCGGAGGCTTCTCTCAGTAATAGGTATGTGGGAGGGACCCCGAGTTTGCTGCCTCAAGGGGAATATACAGCGAGAAGCCCTAACTTGAAAGGAGGCCGGATTTCCTTGCAGTGGCTTGAATACAGGCTCGTCTTTCATCTCACAACATGAAGGGATGTCTGAATGCCCTGTGGAGACCTTAGAGAAAGCCCTAGGTCCCTGCCTCATTTTTACGGAATGCCTCACATCCTGCTGACACCTCGAGAGGCACGCGGAGTTCATTGCTTCAAAATGTGACGATGCCTGACTCCTCTTGAATACTGATAGGAATCCCAAAATCCCTGTGGCTACTGGAAAGGGTCCTTTGGTGCCCTGCCTCACCTCGAGAAGCGTACCTTTTGCCCTGCCATGCCTCAAAGAGATTCCTGACGTGTCCCTCGTTACTAGACAGGAGTCCTGACGTCACAGAAGAAACTCGTGTTTTGAAGGGCCATCCCCGCCGTAAGTCGAGAAGATACCCCAGGTCCCCGCCGCAACTCGAGAAAAACCATGAGACTTCCCCCTAGAGGCGAGATGAGGCCCCATTCCCCTGCAGTGCATGCAGAGCTATTCCGTGATCCCATTCAAACAAGTCAGGAGCTTCGACTTGCTTAATGGATTTCGAGACAGTCCCCAAGAACACTGTCACCAGTCCAGACGGACCCTGAGGTCACCCCAGCACCGCAAAGCAGCTCCATGTGCCCCAAATCAACTCGAGATGAGGCCCGATTCCCCTGCATTGACTCCAGAGCCATTCCCCGTTCCCCATTCAACACGACCGGTGGCTCGACTTCCTTCAGGCAACTCCAGAGATGCCCCGAGAACACTGTCCCAAGTCTAGAGGAACACCAACTTCAGCACAGCAACTCGAGGAATGCTCCGTGTACCCCAAATCGTCTCGAGATGAGAGCTGATTCCCTGTCTTAGGCTCAAGACGTATGCCAACTTCCCAGAAGCACCTCAGGAGGAGGCTTCTCTCAGCAATAGGTATGTGGGAGGGACCCTGAGTTTGCTGCCTCAAGGGGAATATACAGCGAGAAGCCCTAACTTGAAAGGAGTCCGAATTTCCTTGCAGTGGCTTGAATACAGGCTCGTCTTTCATCTCACAACATGAAGGGATGTCTGAATCCCCTGTGGAGAACTTAGAGAAAGCCCTAGGTCCCTGCCTCATTTTGACGGAATGCCTCACATACCGCTGACACCTCGAGAGGCACGCGGAGTTAATTGCTTCAAAAATGACGATGCCTGACTACTCTTGAATACAGATAGGAATCCCAAAATCCCTGTGGCTACTGGAAAGGGTCCTTGGGTGCCCTGCCTCACCTCGAGAAGCATCCCTTTTGCCCTGGCAAGCCTCGAAGAGATTCCTGAGGTGTCCCTCGTTACTAGACAGGAGTCCTGACGTCACTGAAGAAACTCGTGTTTTGAAGGGCCTTCCCCGCCGTAAGTCGAGAACATACCCCAGGTCCCCGCCACAAGTCGAGAAAAACCATGAGACTTCCCCCTAGAGGCGAGATGAGGCCCCATTCCCCTGCAGTGCATGCAGAGCTATTCCGTGATCCCATTCAAACAAGTCAGGAGCTTCGACTTGCTTAATGGATCTCGAGACAGTCCCCAAGAACACTGTCACCAGTCTAGACAGACCCTGAGGTCACCCCAGCAACGCAAAGCAGCTCCATGTGCCCCAAATCAACTCGAGATGGGGCCCGATTCCCCTGTATTGACTCCAGAGCCATTCCTCGTTCCCCATTCAACACGACCGGTGGCTCGACTTCCTTCAGGAAACTCCAGAGATGCCCCGAGAACACTGTCCCAAGTCTAGAGGAACACCAACTTCAGCACAGCAACTCGAGGAATGCTCCGTGTACCCCAAAACGTCTCGAGATGAGAGCTGATTCCCTCGCTTAGGCTCAAGACGTATGCCAACTCCCTAGAAGCACCTCAGGAGGAGGCTTCTCTCAGTAATAGGTATGTGGGAGGGACCCCGAGTTTGCTGCCTCAAGGGGAATATACAGCGAGAAGCCCTAACTTGAAAGGAGGCCGGATTTCCTTGCAGTGGCTTGAATACAGGCTCGTCTTTCATCTCACAACATGAAGGGATGTCTGAATGCCCTGTGGAGACCTTAGAGAAAGCCCTAGGTACCTGCCTCATTTTTACGGAATGCCTCACATCCCGCTGACACCTCGAGAGACACGCGGAGTTCATTGCTTCAAAATGTGACGATGCCTGACTCCTCTTGAATACTGATAGGAATCCCAAAATCCCTGTGGCTACTGGAAAGGGTCCTTTGGTGCCCTGCCTCACCTCGAGAAGCGTACCTTTTGCCCTGCCAAGCCTCAAAGAGATTCCTGACGTATCCCTCGTTACTAGACAGGAGTTTTGACGTCACAGAAGAAACTCGGGTTTTGAAGGGCCATCCCCGCCGTAAGTCGAGAAGATACCCCAGGTCCCCGCCGCAACTCGAGAAAAACCATGAGACTTCCCCCTAGAGGCGAGATGAGGCCCCATTCCCCTGCAGTGATTGCAGAGCAATTCTGTGATCCCAATCAAACAAGTCAGGAGCTTCGACTTGCTTAATGGATCTCGAGACAGTCCCCAAGAACACTGTCACCAGTCCAGACGGACCTTGAGGTCACCCCAGCACAGCAAAGCAGCTCCATGTGCCCCAAATCAACTCGAGATGAGGCCCGATTCCCCTGCATTGACTCCAGAGCCATTCCCCGTTCCCCATTCAACACGACCGGTGGCTCTACTTCCTTCAGGCAACTCCAGAGATGCCCCGAGAACACTGTCCCAAGTCTAGAGGAATACCAACTTCAGCACAGCAACTCGAGGAATGCTCCGTGTACCCCAAATCGTCTCGAGATGAGAGCTGATTCCCTGGCTTAGGCTCAAGACGTATGCCAACTTCCCAGAAGCACCTCAGGAGGAGGCTTCTCTCAGCAATAGGTATGTGGGAGGGACCCTGAGTTTGCTGCCTCAAGGGGAATATACAGCGAGAAGCCCTAACTTGAAAGGAGTCCAAATTTCCTTGCAGTGGCTTGAATACAGGCTCGTCTTTCATCTCACAACATGAAGGGATGTCTGAATCCCCTGTGGAGACCTTAGAGAAAGCTCTAGGTCCCTGCCTCATTTTGACGGAATGCCTCACATACCGCTGACACCTCGAGAGGCACGCGGAGTTAATTGCTTCAAAAATGACGATGCCTGACTACTCTTGAATACTGATAGGAATCCCAAAATCCCTGTGGCTACTGGAAAGGGTCCTTGGGTGCCCTGCCTCACCACGAGAAGCATCCTTTTTGCCCTGGCAAGCCTCGAAGAGATTCCTGAGGTGTCCCTCGTTACTAGACAGGAGTCCTGACGTCACTGAAGAAACTCGTGTTTTGAAGGGCCTTCCCCGCCGTAAGTCGAGAACATACCCCAGGTCCCCGCCGCAACTCGAGAAAAACCATGAGACTTCCCCCTAGAGGCGAGATGAGGCCCCATTCCCCTGCAGTGCATGCACAGCTATTCCGTGGTCCCATTCAAACAAGTCAGGAGCTTCGACTTGCTTAATGGATCTCGAGACAGTCCCCAAGAACACTGTCACCAGTCTAGACGGACCCTGAGGTCACCCCAGCAACGCAAAGCAGCTCCATGTGCCCCAAATCAACTCGAGATGGGGCCCGATTCCCCTGTATTGACTCTAGAGCCATTCCTCGTTCCCCATTCAACACGACCGGTAGCTCGACTTCCTTCAGGCAACTCCAGAGATGCCCCGAGAACACTGTCCCAAGTCTAGAGGAACACCAACTTCAGCACAGCAACTCGAGGAATGCTCCATGTACCCCAAATCGTCTCAAGATGAGAGCTGATTCCCTGGCTTAGGCTCAAGACGTATGCCAACTTTCCAGAAGCACCTCAGGAGGAGGCTTCTCTCAGCAATAGGTATGTGGGAGGGACCCCGAGTTTGCTGCCTCAAGGGGAATATACCGCGAGAAGCCCTAACTTGAAAGGAGGCCGGATTTCCTTGCAGGGGCTTGAATACAGGCTCGTCTTTCATCTCACAACATGAAGGGATATCTGAATCCCCTGTGGAGACCTTAGAGAAAGCCCTCGGTCACTGCCTCATTTTGACGGAATGCCTCACATCCCGCTGACACCTCGAGAGGCACGCAGAGTTCATTGCTTCAAAAGGTGACGATGCCTGACTCCTCTTGAATACTGATAGGAATCCCAAAATCCCTGTGCCTACAGGAAAGGGTCCTTGGGTGCCCTGCCTCACTTCGAGAAGCATCCCTTTTGCCCTGCCAAGCCTCTAAGAGATTCCTGAGGTGTTCCTCGTTACTAGACAGGAGTCCTGACGTCAATGAAGAAACTCGTGTTTTGAAGGGCCATCCCCGCCGTAAGTCGAGAACATACCCCAGGTCCACGCCGCAACTCGAGAAAAACCATGAGACTTCCCCCTAGAGGCGAGATGAGGCCCCATTCCCCTGCAGTGCATGCAGAGCTATTCCGTGATCCCATTCAAACAAGTCAGGAGCTTCGACTTGCTTAATGGATCTCGAGACAGTCCCCAAGAACACTGTCACCAGTCTAGACGGACCCTGAGGTCACCCCAGCAACGCAAAGGAGCTCCATGTGCCGCAAATCAACTCGAGATGAGGCCCGATTCCCCTGCATTGACTCCAGAGCCATTCCCCGTTCCCCATTCAAACGACCGGTGGCTCGACTTCCTTCAGGCCACTCCAGAGATGCCCCGAGAACACTGTCCCAAGTCTAGAGGAACACCAACTTCAGCACAGCAACTCGAGGAATGCTCCGTGTACCGCAAATCGTCTCGACATGAGAACTGATTCCCTGGCTTAGGCTCAAGACGTATGCCAACTTTCCAGAAGCACCTCAGGAAGAGGTTTCTCTCAGCAATAGGTATGTGGGAGGGACCCTGAGTTTGCTGCCTCAAGGGGAATATACAGCGAGAAGCCCTAACTTGAAAGGAGGCCGGATTTCCTTGCAGTGCCTTGAATACAGGCTCGTCTTTGATCTCACAACATGAAGGGATATCTGAATCCCCTGTGGAGACCTTAGAGAAAGCCCTAGTTCCCTGCCTCATTTTGACGGAATGCCTCACATCCCGCTGACACCTCGAGAGGCACGCGGAGTTCATTGCTTCAAAAGGTGACGATGCCTGACTCCTCTTGAATACTGATAGGAATCACAAAATCCCTGTGGCTACTGGAAAGGGTCCTTGGGTGCCCTACCCCACCTCGAGAGCGTCCGTTTTGCCCTGTCAAGCCTCGAAGAGATTTCTGAGGTGTCCCTCGTTACTAGACAGGAGTCCTGACGTCACTGAAGAAACTCGTGGTTTGAAGGGCTATCCCCGCTGTAAGTCGAGAACATACCCCAGGTCCCCGCCGCAACTCGAGAAAAACCATGAGACTTCCCCCTAGAGGCGAGATGAGGCCCCATTCCCCTGCAGTGCATGCAGAGCTATTCCGTGATCCCATTCAAACAAGTCAGGAGCTTCGACTTGCTTAATGGATCTCGAGACAGTCCCCAAGAACACTGTCACCAGTCTAGACGGACCCTGAGGTCACCCCAGCAACGCAAAGCAGCTCCATGTGACAAAAGTCAACTCGAGATGAGGCCCGATTCCCCTGCATTGTCTCCAGAGCCATTCCCCGTTCCCCATTCAACACGACCGGTGGCTCGACTTCCTTCAGGCAACTCCAGAGATGCCCCGAGAACACTGTCCCAAGTCTAGAGGAAAACCAACTTCAGCACAGCAACTCGAGTAATGCTCCGTGTACCGCAAATCGTCTCGACATGAGAGCTGATTCCCTGGCTTAGGCTCAAGACGTATGCCAACTTCCCAGAAGCACCTCAGGAGGAGGCTTCTCTCAGCAATAGGTATGTGGGAGGGACCCCGAGTTTGCTGCCTCAAGGCGAACATACAGCGAGAAGCCCTAACTTGAAAGGTGGCCGGATTTCCTTGCAGTGGCTTGAATACAGGCTCGTCTTTCATATCACAACATGAAGGGATGTCTGAATCCCCTGTGGAGACCTTAGAGAAAGCCCTCGGTCCCTGCCTCATTTTGACGGAATGCCTCACATACCGCTGACACCTCGAGAGGCACGCGGAGTTAATTGCTTCAAAAATGACGATGCCTGACTACTCTTGAATACTGATAGGAATCCCAAAATCCCTGTGGCTACTGGAAAGTGTCCTTGGGTGCCCTGCCTCACCTCGAGAAGCATCCCTTTTGCCCTGGCAAGCCTCGAAGAGATTCCTGAGGTGTCCCTCGTTACTAGACAGGAGTCCTGACGTCACTGAAGAAACTCGTGTTTTGAAGGGCCTTCCCCGCCGTAAGTCGAGAACATACCCCAGGTCTCCGCCGCAACTCGAGAAAAACCATGAGACTTCCCTCTAGAGGCGAGATGAGGCCCCATTCCCCTGCAGTGCATGCACAGCTATTCCGTGATCCCATTCAAACAAGTCAGGAGCTTCGACTTGCTTTATGGATCTCGAGACAGTCCCCAAGAACACTGTCACCAGTCTAGACGGACCCTGAGGTCACCCCAGCAACGCAAAGCAGCTCCATGTGCCCCAAATCAACTCGAGATGAGGCCCGATTCCCCTGCATTGACTCCAGAGCCATTCCCCGTTCCCCATTCAACACGACCGGTGGCTCGAATTCCTTCAGGCAACTCCAGAGATGCCCCGAGAACACTGACCCAAGACTAGAGGAACACCAACTTCAGCACAGCAACTCGAGGAATGCTCCGTGTAACCCAAATCGTCTTGAGATGAGAGCTGATTCCCTGGCTTAGGCTCAAGACGTATGCCAACTCCCCAGAAGCACCTCAGGAGGAGGCTTCTCTCAGTAATAGGTATGTGGGAGGGACCGCGAGTTTGCTGCCTCAAGGGGAATATACAGCGAGAAGCCCTAACTTGAAAGGAGGCCGGATTTCCTTGCAGTGGCTTGAATACAGGCTCGTCTTTCATCTCACAACATGAAGGGATGTCTGAATCCCCTGTGGAGACCTTAGAGAAAGCCCTCGGTCCCTGCCTCATTTTGACGGAATGCCTCACATCCCGCTGACACCTCGAGAGGCACGCGGAGTTCATTGCTTCAAAAGGTGACGATGCCTGACTCCTCTTGAATACTGATAGGAATCCCAAAATCCCTGTGGCTACTGGAAAGGGTCCTTGGGTGCCCTGCCCCACCTCGAGAAGCGTCCCTTTTGCCCTGCAAAGCGTCGAAGAGATTTCTGATGTGTCCCTCGTTACTAGACAGGAGTCCTGACGTCACTGAAGAAACTCGTGGTTTGAAGGGCCATCCCCGCCGTAAGTCGAGAACATACCCCAGGTCGCTGCCGCAACTCGAGAAAAACCATGAGACTTCCCCCTAGAGGCGAGATGAGGCCCCATTCCCCTGCAGTGCATGCAGAGCTATTCCGTGATCCCATTCAAACAAATCAGGAGCTTCGACTTGCTTAATGGATCTCGAGACAGTCCCCAAGAACACTGTCACCAGTCTAGACGGACCCTGAGGTCACCCCAGCAACGCAAAGCAGCTCCATGTGCCCCAAATCAACTCGAGATGAGGCCCGATTCCCCTTCATTGACTCCAGAGCCATTCCCCGTTCCCCATTCAACACGACCGGTGGCTCGAATTCCTTCAGGCAACTCCAGAGATGCCCCGAGAACACTGTCCCAAGTCTAGAGGAACACCAACTTCAGCACAGCAACTCGAGGAATGCTCCCTGTAACCCAAATCGTCTTGAGATGAGAGCTGATTCCCTGGCTTAGGCTCAAGACGTATGCCAACTCCCCAGAAGCACCTCAGGAGGAGGCTTCTCTCAGTAATAGGTATGTGGGAGGGACCCCGAGTTTGCTGCCTCAAGGGGAATATACAGCGAGAAGCCCTAACTTGAAAGGAGGCCGGATTTCCTTGCAGTGGCTTGAATACAGGCTCGTCTTTCATCTCACAACATGAAGGGATGTCTGAATCCCCTGTGGAGACCTTAGAGAAAGCCCTAGGTCCCTGCCTCATTTTTACGGAGTGCCTCACATCCCGCTGACACCTCGAGAGGCACGCAGAGTTCATTGCTTCAAAAGGTGACGATGCCTGACTCCTCTTGAATACTGATAGGAATCCCAAAATCCCTGTGGCTACTGGAAAGGGTCCTTTGGTGCCCTGCCTCACCTCGAGAAGCGTACCTTTTGCCCTGCCAAGCCTCAAAGAGATTCCTGACGTGTCCCTCGTTACTAGACAGGAGTCCTGACGTCACTGAAGAAACTCGTGTTTTGAAGGGCCATCCCCGCCGTAAGTCAAGAAGATACCCCAGGTCCCCGCCGCAACTCGAGAAAAACCATGAGACTTCCCCCTAGAGGCGAGATGAGGCCCCATTCCCCTGCAGTGCATGCAGAGCTATTCCGTGATCCCATTCAAACAAGTCAGGAGCTTCGACTTGCTTAATGGATCTCGAGACAGTCCCCAAGAACACTGTCACCAGTCTAGACGGACCCTGAGGTCACCCCAGCAACGCAAAGCAGCTCCATGTGCCCCAAATCAACTCGTGATGAGGCCCGATTCCCCTGCATTGACTCCAGAGCCATTCCCCGTTCCCCATTCAACACGATCGGTGGCTCGAATTCCTTCAGGCAACTCCAGAGATGCCCCGAGAACACTGTCACAAGTCTAGAGGAACACCAAATTCAGCACAGCAACTCGAGGAATGCTCCTTGTATCCCAAATCGTCTCGGATTGAGAGCTGATTCCCTGGCTTAGGCTCAAGACGTATGCCAACTTCCCAGAAGCACCTCAGGAGGAGGCTTCTCTCAGCAATAGGTATGTTGGAGGGACCCCGAGTTTGCTGCCTCAAGTGGAATATACAGCGAGAAGCCCTAACTTGAAAGGAGGCCGGATTTCCTTGCAGTGGCTTGAATACAGGCCCGACTTTCATCTCACAACAGGAAGGGATGTCTGAATCCCCTGTTGAGACCTTAGAGAAAGCCCGAGGCTCCTGCCTCATTTTGACGGAATGCCTCACATCCCGTTGACAACTCGAGAGGCACGCGGAGTTCACTGCTTCAAAAGGTGACGATGCCTGACTCCTCTTGAATACTGACAGGAATCCCAAAATCACTGTGGCTACTGGAAAGGGTCCTTGGGTGCCCTGCGTCACCTCGAGAAGTGTCCCTTTTGCCCTGCCAAGCCTCGAAGAGATTCCTGAGGTGTCCCTCGTTACCAGACAGGAGTCCTGACCTCACTGAAGAAACTCGTGTTTTGAAGGGCCATCCCTGCCGTAAGTCGAGAACATACCCCAGGGCCCCACCGCAACTCGAGAAAAACCATGTGACTTACCCCTAGAGGCGAGATGAGGCCCCATTCCCCTGCAGTGCATGCAGAGCTATTCCGTGATCCCTTTCAAACAAGTCAGGAGCTTCGACTTGCTTAATGGATCTCGAGACAGTCCCCAAGAACACTGTCACCAGTCTAGACGGACGCTGAGGTCACCCCAGCAACGCAAAGCAGCTCCATGTGACAAAAGTCAACTCGAGATGAGGCCCGATTCCCCTGCATTGTCTCCAGAGCCATTCCCCGTACCCCATTCAACACGACCGGTGGCTCAACTTCCTTCAGGCAACTCCAGAGATGCCCCGAGAACACTGTCCCAAGTCTAGAGGAACACCAACTTCAGCACAGCAACTCGAGGAGTGTTCCGTGTACCCCAAATCGTCACGAGATGAGAGCTGATTCCCTGACTTAGGCTCAAGACCTATGCCAACTTTCCAGAACCACCACAAGAGGAGGCTTCTCTCAGCAATAGGTATGTGGGAGGGACCCCGAGTATGCCGCCTCAAGTAGATTATAAAGCGAGAAGCCCTAACTTGAAAGGAGGGTTGATTTCCTTGCAGTGGCTTGAATACAGTCTCGTCTTTCATCTCACAGCAAGAAGGGATTTCTGAATCCCCTGTGGAGACCTTAAACAAAGCCCTAGTTCCCTGCCTCATTTTAACGGAATTCCTCGCATCCCATTGACACATCGAGAAGCATGCGGTGTTCACTGCTTCAAAAGGTGACGATGCCTGACTCCTCTAGAATATTGATAGGAATCACAAAATCCATCTGGCTACTGGAAAGGGTCCTTCGTGCCCTGCCTGATATCAAGAAGCGTCCCTTTTGCAGTGCCAAGCCTCGGAGAGATTCCTGAGGTTTCCCTCGATACTAGACAAGAGTCCTGACGTCACTGAATAAACACGTGTTTTGAAGGGCCATCCCCGCCGTAACTCGAGAACATACCTGAGGACCCTTTCAGGTTAGGCACCTCCTCTTGAGGTGCTTCTGGAAAGTTGGCATACTTCTTGAGCCTAAGCCAGGGAATCAGCTCTCATCTCGAGACGTTTTGGGGTAAAGGAGCATTCCTCGAGTTGCTGTGCTGAAGTCAGTGTTCCTCTAGACTTGGGATAGTGTTCTAAGGGCATCTCTGGAGTTGCCTGAAGGACGTCAAGCCACAGGTGGTGTTTAATCGGGAACAGGGGATGGTTCTGGAGTCAATGCAGGGGAATTGGACCTCATCTCGAGTTGATTTGGGGCACATGGAGCTGCTTTGCGTTGCTGGGGTGACCTCAGGGTCCGTCTAGACTTGTGACAGTATTCTTGGGGACTCTCTCGAGATCCATTAAGCAAGTCGAAACTCCTGACTTGTTTGAAGGGGATCACGCAATTGCTCTGCATGCACTGGAGGGCAATCGGGCCTCATCTCGCATCTAGGGGGAGGTCTCATTGTTTTCCTCGAGTTGCGGCCGGGACCTGGGGTATGTCCTCGAGTTACGGTGGGGATGGCCCTTCAAAACACGTGTTTATTCAGTGACGTCAGGACTCTTGTCCAGTAACGAGGGACAAATCAGGAATCTCTTCGAGGCTTCCCAGGGCAAAAGGGATGCTTCTCGAGGTGAGCCAGGGCAACCACGGACCCTTTCCAGTAGCCACAGGGATTTTGGGATTCCTATCAGTATTCAAGAGGAGTCAGGCATCGTCACCTTTTGAAGCAATGAACTCCACGTGCCTCTCGAGGTGTCAGCGGGATGTGAGGCATTCGGTCAAAAGGAGGCAGGGACCTAGGCCTTTCTCTAAGGTCTCCACAGGGGATTCAGACATCCCTTCATGTTGTGAGGTGAAAGACGAGCCTGTATTCAAGCCACTGCAAGGAAATCCGGCCTCCTTTCAAGTTAGGGCTTCTCGCTGTATATTCCCCTTGAGGCAGCAAACTCGGGGTCCCTCCCACATACCTATTGCTGAGAGAAGCCTCCTCCTGAGGTGCTTATGGAAAGTTGGCATACGTCTTGAGCCTAAGCCAGGGAATCAGCTCTCATCTCGGGACGATTTGGGGTACACGGAGCATTCCTCGAGTTGCTGTGCTGAAGTTGGTGTTCCTCTAGACTTGGGACAGTGTTCTCGGGGCATCTGTGGAGTTGCCTGAAAGAAGTCGAGACGCCGGTCGTGTTGAATGGGGAACGGAGAATGGCTCCGGAGTCAATGCAGGGGAATCGGTCCTCATCTCGAGTTGATTTGGGGCACATGGAGCTGCTTTGCGTTGCTGGGGTGACCTCAGGGTCCGTCTAGACTGGTGACAGTGTTCTTGGGGACTGTCTCGAGATCCATTAAGCAAGTCGAAGCTCCTGACTTGTTTGAATGGGATCACGGAATAGCTCTGCAAGCACTGCAGGGGAATGGGGCCTCATCTCGCCTCTAGGGGGAAGTCTCATGGTTTTTCTCGAGTTGTAGCGGGGACATGGGGTACGTTCTCGACTTACGGCGGGGATGGCCCTTCAAAACACGAGTTTCTTCAGCGATGTCAGGACTCCTGTCTAGTAACGAGGGACACCTCAGGAATCTCTTCGAGGCTTGGCAGGGCAAAAGGGATGCTTCTCGAGGTGAGGCAGGGCACCCAAGGACCCTTTCCAGGAGCCACAGGAATTTGGGATTCCTATTAGTATTCCAGAGGAGTCAGGCATCGTCATCATTTGAAGCAATGAACTCCGCGTGCCTCTCGAGGTGTCAGGGGGATGTGACGCATTCCGTCAAAAGGAGGCAGGGACCTAGGGCTTTCTCTAAGGTCTCCACAGGGGACTCAGACATCCCTTCATGTTGTGAGATGAAAGACGAGCCAGTATTCAAGCCACTGCAAGGAAATCCGGCCTCCTTTCAAGTTATGGCTTCTCGCTGTATATTCGCCTTGAGGCAGCAAACTCGGGGTCTCTCCCACATACCTATTGCTGAGAGAAGCCTCCTCCTGAGGTGCTTTTGGAAAGTTGGCATACGTCTTGAGACTAAGCCAGGGAATCAGCTCTCATCTCGAGACAATTTGGGGTACACGGAGCATTCCTCGAGTTGCTGTGCTGAAGTTGGTGTTCCTCTAGACTTGGGACAGTATTCTCGGGGCATCTCTGGAGTTGCCTGAAGGAAGTCGAGCCACCGGTCGTGTTGAATGGGGAACAGTGAATGGCACTGGAGTCAATGCAGGGGAATCAGGCCTCATCTCGGGTTGATTATGGACACATGGAACTGCTTTGCGTTGCTGGGGTGACCTCAGGGTCCGTCTAGACTGGTGACAGTGTTCTTGGGGACTGTCTCGAAACCCATTAAGCAAGTCGAAGCTCCTGACTTGTTTGAATGGGATCACGGAATAGCTCTGCATGCAATGCAGGGGAATGGGGCCTCATCTCTCCTCTAGGGGGAAGTCTCATGTTTTTTCTCGAGTTGACGCGGGGACCTGGGGTATGTTCTCGACTTACGGCGGGGATGGCCCTTCAAAACACGAGTTTCTTCAGTGACGTCAGGACTCCTGTCTAGTAACGAGGGACACCTCAGGAATCTCTTCGAGGCTTGGCAGGGCAAAAGGGACGCTTCTCGAGGTGAGGCAGGGCACCCAAGGACCCTTTCCAGTAGCCACAGGGATTTTCGGATTCCTATCAGTATTCAAGAGGAGTCAGGCATCGTCACCTTTTGAAGCAATGAACTCCGCGTGCCTCTCGATGTGTCAGCGGTATGTGATGCATTCCGTCAAAAAGAGGCAGGGACCTAGGGCTTTCTCTAAGGTCTCCACAGGGGATTCAGATATCCCTTCATGTTGTGAGATGAAAGACGAGCCTGTATTCAAGCCACTGCAAGGAATCCAGCCTCCTTTCAAGTTAGGGCTTCTCGCTGTATATTCCCCTTGAGGCAGCAAACTCGGGTTCCCTCCCACATACCTATTGCTGAGAGAAGCCTCCTCCTGAGGTGCTTCTGGAAAGTTGGCATACGTCTTGAGCCTAAGCCAGGGAATCAGCTCTCATCTCGAGACGATTTGGGGTACACGGAGCATTCCTTGAGTTGCTGTGCTGAAGTTGGTGTTCCTCTGGACTTGGGACAGTGTTCTCGGGGCATCTCTGGAGTTGCCTGAAGGAAGTCGAGCCGCCTGTCGTGTTGAATGGGGAATGGGGAATGGCTCTGGAGTCAATGCAGGGGAATCGGGCCTAATCTCGAGTTGATTTAGGGCACATGGAGCTGCTTTTCGTTGCTGGGGTGACCTCAGGGTCCGTCTAGACTGGTGACAGTGTTCTTGGGGACTGTCTCGAGATCCATTAAGCAAGTCGAAGCTCCTGACTTGTTTGAATGGGATCACGGAATAGCTCTGCATGCACTGCAGGGGAATGGGGCCTCATCTCGCCTCTAGGGGGAAGTCTCATGGTTTTTCTCGAGTTGCGGCGGGGACCTGGAGTATGTTCTCGACTTACGGCGGGGATGGCCCTTCAAAACACGAGTTTCTTCAGTGACGTCAGGACTCCTGTCTAGTAACAAGGAACACCTCAGAAATCTCTTCGAGGCCTGGCAGGGCAAAAGAGACGCTTCTCGAGGTGAGGCAGGGCACCCAAGGACCCTTTCCAGTAGCCACAGGGATTTGGGATTCCTATTAGTATTCCAGAGGAGTCAGGCATCGTCACCATTTGAAGCAATGAACTCCGCGTGCCTCTCGAGGTGTCAGCGGGATATGAGGCATTCCGTCAAAAGGAGGCAGGGACCTAGGGCTTTCTCTAAGGTCTCCACAGGGGATTCAGACATCCCTTCATGTTGTGAGATGAAACACGAGCCTGTATTCAAGCCACTGCAAGGAAATCCGGCCTCCTTTCAAGTTAGGGCTTCCCGCTGTATATTCCCCTTGAGGCAGCAAACTCGGGGTCCCTCCCACATACCTATTGCTGAGAGAAGCCTCCTCCTGAGGTGCTTCTGGAAAGTTGGCATACGTCTTGAGCCTAAGCCAGGGAATCAGCTCTCATCTCGAGACGATTTGTGGTACACGGAGCATTCCTCGAGTTGCTGTGCTGAAGTTGGTGTTCCTCTAGACTTGGGACAGTGTTCTCGGGGCATCTCTGGAGTTGCCTGAAGGAAATCGAGCCATCGGTCGTGTTGAATGGGGAACGGGGAATGGCTCTGGAGTCAATGCAGGGGAATCGGGCCTCATCTCGAGTTGATTTGGGGCACATGGAGCTGCTTTGCGTTGCTGGGGTGACCTCAGGGTCCGTCTAGACTGGTGACAGTGTTCTTGGGGACTGTCTCGAGATCCATTAAGCAAGTCGAAGCTCCTGACTTGTTTGAATGGGATCACGGAATAGCTCTGCATGCACTGCAGGGGAATGGGGCCTCATCTCGCCTCTAGGGGGAAGTCTCATGGTTTTTCTCGAGTTGCGGCGGGGACTTGGGGTATGTTCTCGACTTACGGCGGGGATGGCCCTTCAAAACACGAGTTTCTTCAGTGACGTCAGGACTCCTGTCTAGTAACGAGGGACACCGCAGGAATCACTTCGAGGCTTGGCAGGGCGAAAGGGACGCTTCTCGAGGTGAGGCAGGGCACCCAAGGACCCTTTCCAGTAGCCACAGGGATTTTGGGATTCCTATCAGTATTCAAGAGGAGTCAGGCATCGTGACATTTTGAAGCAATGAACTCTGGTGACTCTCGAGGTGTCAACGGGATGTGAGGCATTCCGTCAAAATGAGGCAGGGACCTAGGGCTTTTTCTAAGGTTTCCACAGGGGATTCAGACATCCCTTCATGTTGTGAGATGAAACACGAGCCTGTATTCAAGCCACTGCAAGGAAATCCGGCCTCCTTTCAAGTTAGGGCTTCTCGCTGTATATTCCCCTTGAGGCAGCAAATTCGGGGTCCCTCCCACATACCTATTGCTGAGAGAAGCCTCCTCCTGAGGTGTTTCTGGAAAGTTGGCATACGTCTTGAGCCTAAGCCAGGGAATCAGCTCTCATCTCGAGATGATTTGTGGTACAAGGAGCATTCCCCAAGTTGCTGTTCTGAAGTTGGTGTTCCTCTAGACTACGAACAGTGTTCTCGGGGCATCTCTGGAGTTGCCTGAAGGAAGTCGAGCCACCGGTCGTGTTGAATGGGGAACGGGGAATGGCTCTGGAGTCAATGCAGGGGAATCGGGCCTCATCTCGATTTGATTTGGGGCATATGGAGCTGCTTTGCGTTGCTGGGTTGACCTCAGGGTCCGTCTAGACTGGTGACAGTGTTCTTGGGGACTGTCTCGAGATCCATTAAGCAAGTCGAAGCTCCTGACTTGTTTGAATGGGATCACGGAAGAGCTCTGCATGCACTGCAGGGGAATGGGGCCTCATCTCGCCTCTAGGGGGAAGTCTCATGGTTTTTATCGAGTTGCGGCGGGGACTTGGGGTATGTTCTCCACTTACGGCGGGGATGGCCTTTCAAAACACGAGTTTCTTCAGTGACGTCAGGACTCCTGTGTAATAACGAAGTACACCTCAGGAATCTCTTCGAGGCTTGGCAGGGCAAAGGGAGGCTTCTCGAGGTGAGGCAGGGCACCCAAGGACCCTTTCCAGAAGCCACAGGGATTTTCGGATTCCTATCAGTATTCAGGAGGAGTCAGGCATCGTCACCTTTTGAAGCAATGAACTCCGTGTGCCTCTCGAGGTGTCAGCGGGATGTGAGGCATTCCGTCAAATGAGGCAGGTACCTAGGGCTTTCTCTAAAGTCTCCACAGGGGATTCAGACATCCCTTCATGTTGTGAGATGAAACGCGAGCCTGTATTCAAGCCACTGCAAGGAAATCCGGCCTCCTTTCAAGTTAGGGCTTCTCGCTGTGTATTCCCCTTGAGGCAGCAAACTCAGGGTCCCTTCCACATACCTATTGCTGAGAGAAGCCTCCTCCTGAGGTGCTTCTGGAAAGTTGGCATACGTCTTGAGCCTAAGCCAGGGAATCAGCTCTCATCTCGAGACGATTTGTGGTACAAGGAGCATTCCCCAAGGTGCTGTTCTGAAGTTGGTGTTCCTCTGGACTACGGACAGTGTTCTCGAGGCATCTCTGGAGTTGCCTGAAGGAAGTCGAGCCACCGGTCGTGTTGAATGGGGAATGGGGAATGGCTCTGGAGTCAATGCAGGGGAATCGGGCCTCATCTCGAGTTGATTTGGGGCATATGGAGCTGCTTTGCGTTTCTGGGGTGACCTCAGGGTCCGTCTAGACTGGTGACAGTGTTCTTGGGGACTGTCTCGAGATCCATTAAGCAAGTCGAAGCTCCTGACTTGTTTGAATGGGATCACGGAATAGCTCTGCATGCACTGCAGGGGAATGGGGCCTCATCTCGCCTCTAGGGGGAATTCTCATGGTTTTTCTCGAGTTGCGGCGGGGACCTGGGGTATGTTCTCGACTTATGGTGAGGATCGCCCTTCAAAACACGAGTTCCTTCAGTGACGTCAGGACTCCTGTCTAGTAACGAGGGACACCTCAGGAATCTCTTCGAGGCTTGGCAGGGCAAAAGGGACGCTTCTCGAGGTGAGGCAGGGCACCCAAGGACCCTTTCCAGTAGCCACAGGGATTTTGGGATTCCTATCAGTATGCAAGAGGAGTCAGGCATCGTCACCTTTTGAAGCAATGAACTCTGCGTGCCTCTCGAGGTGTCAGCGGGATGTGAGGCATTCCGTCAAAATGAGGCAGGGACCTAGGGCTTTCTCTAAGGTCTCCACATGGGATTCAGACATCCCTTCATGTTGTGAGATGAAAGACGAGCCTGTATTCAAGCCACTGCAAGGAAATCCGGCCTCCTTTCAAGTTAGGGCTTCTCGCTGTATATTCCCCTTGAGGCAGCAAACTCGGGGTCCCTCCCAAATACCTATTGCTGAGAGAAGCCTCCTCCTGAGGTGCTTCTGGGAAGTTGACATACGTCTTGAGCCTAAGCCAAGGAATCAGCTCTCATCTCGAGATGATTTGATGTACACGGAGCATTCCTCGAGTTGCTGTGATGAAGTTGGTTTTCCTCTAGACTTGGGACAGTGTTCTCGGGGCATCTCTGGAGTTGCCTGAAGGAAGTCGAGCCACCGGTCGTGTTGAATGGGGAACGGGGAATCTCTCTGGAGTCAATGCAGGGGAATCCGGCCTCATCTCGAGTTGATTTGGGGCACATGGAGCTGCTTTGCGTTGCTGGGGTGACCTCAGGGTCCGTCTAGACTGGTGACAGTGTTCTTGGGGACTGTCTCGAGATCCATTAAGCAAGTCGAAGCTCCTGACTTGTTTGAATGGGATCACGGAATAGCTCTGCATGCACTGCAGAGGAATGGGGCCTCATCTCGCCTCTAGGGGGAAGTCTCATGGTTTTTATCGAGTTGCGGCGGGGACTTGGGGTATGTTCTCGACTTACGGCGGGGATGGCCTTTCAAAACACGAGTTTCTTCAGTGACGTCAGGACTCCTGTGTAATAACGAGGTACACCTCAGGAATCTCTTCGAGGCTTGGCAGGGCAAAAGGGACGCTTCTCGAGGTGAGGCAGGGCACCCAAGGACCCTTTCCAGTAGCCACAGGGATTTTGGGATTCCTATCAGTATTCAAGAAGAGTCAGGCATCGTCACCTTTTGAAGCAATGAACTCTGGTGACTCTCGAGGTGTCAGCGGGATGTGAGGCATTCCGTCAAAATGAGGCAGGGACCTAGGGCTTTCTCTAAGGTCTCCACAGGGGATTCAGACATCCCTTCATGTTGTGAGATGAAAGACGAGCCTGTATTCAAGCCACTGCAAGGAAATCCGGCCTCCTTTCAAGTTATGGCTTCTCGCTGTATATTCCCCTTGAGGCAGCAAACTCGGGGTCCCTCCCACATACCTATTGCTGAGAGAAGCCTCCTCCTGAGGTGCTTCTGGAAAGTTGGCATACGTCTTGAGCCTAAGCCAGGGAATCAGCTCTCATCTCGAGACGATTTTGGGTACACGGAGAATTCCTCGAGTTGCTGTGCTGAAGTTGGTGTTCCTCTAGACTTGGGACAGTGTTCTCGGGGCATCTCTGGAGTTGCCTGAAGGAAGTCGAGCCACCGGTCGTGTTGAATGGGGAACGGGGAATCTCTCTGGAGTCAATTCAGGGGAATCCGGCCTCATCTCGAGTTGATTTGGGGCACATGGAGCTGCTTTGCGTTGCTGGGGTGACCTCAGGGTCCGTCTAGGCTGGTGACAGTGTTCTTGGGGACTGTCTCGAGATCCATTAAGCAAGTCGAAGCTCCTGACTTGTTTGAATGGGATCACGGAATAGCTCTGCATGCACTGCAGGGGAATGGGGCCTCATCTCGAATCTAGGGGGAAGTCTCATGGTTTTTCTCGAGTTGCGGCGGGGACCTGGGGTATGTTCCCGACTTACGGCGGGGATGGCCCTTAAAAACACGAGTTTCTTCAGTGACGTCAGGACTCCTGTGTAATAACGAGGTACACCTCAGGAATCTCTTCGAGGCTTGGCAGGGCAAAAGGGACGCTTCTCGAGGTGAGGCAGGACACCCAAGGACCCTTTCCAGTAGCCACAGGGATTTTCGGATTCCTATCAGTATTCAAGAGGAGTCAGGCATCGTCACCTTTTGAAGCAATGAACTCCGTGTGCCTCTCGAGGTGTCAGCGGGATGTGAGGCATTCCGTCAAAATGAGGCAGGGACCTAGGGCTTTCTCTAAGGTCTCCACAGGGGATTCAGACATCCCTTCATGTTGTGAGATGAAACACGAGCCTGTATTCAATCCATTGCAAGGAAATCCGGCCTCCTTTCAAGTTAGGGCTTCTTGCTGTATATTCCCCTTGAGGCAGCAAACTCGGGGTCCCTCCCACATACCTATTGCTGAGAGAAGCCTCCTCCTGAGGTGCTTCTGGAAAGTTGGCATATGTCTTGAGCCTAAGCCAGGGAATCAGCTCTCATCTCGAGACGATTTGTGGTACAAGGAGCATTCCCCAAGTTGCTATTCTGAAGTTGGTGTTCCTCTAGACTACGGACAGTGTTCTCGGGGCATCTCTGGAGTTGCCTGAAGGAAGTCGAGCCACAGGTCTTGTTGAATGGGGAACGGGGAATGGCTCTGGAGTCAATTCAGGGGAATTGGGCCTCATCTCGAGTTGATTTGGGGCATATGGAGCTGCTTTGCGTTGCTGGGGTGACCTCAGGGTCCGTCTAGACTGGTGACAGTGTTCTTGGGGACTGTCTCGAGATCCATTAAGCAAGTCGAAGCTCCTGACTTGTTTGAATGGGATCACGGAATAGCTCTGCATGCACTGCAGGGGAATGGGGCCTCATCTCGCCTCTAGGGGGAAGTCTCATGGTTTTTCTCGAGTTGCGGCGGGGACCTGGGGTATGTTATCGACTTACGGCGGGGATCGCCCTTCAAAACAGGAGTTCCTTCAGTGACGTCAGGACTCCTGTCTAGTAACGAGGGACACCTCAGGAATCTCTTCGAGGCTTGGCAGGGCAAAAGGGACGCTTCTCGAGGTGAGGCAGGGCACCCAAGGACCCTTTCCAGTAGCCACAGGGATTTGGGGATTCCTATCAGTATTCAAGAGGAGTCAGGCATCGTCACCTTTTGAAGCAATGAACTCTGCGTGCCTCTCGAGGTGTCAGCGGGATGTGAGGCATTCCGTCAAAATGACGCAGGGACCTAGGGCTTTCTCTAAGGTCTCCACAGGGCATTCAGACATCCCTTCATGTTGTGAGATGAAACACGAGCCTGTATTCAAGCCACTGCAAGGAAATCCGGCCTCCTTTCAAATTAGGGCTTCTCGCTGTATATTCCCCTAGAGGCAGCAAACTCGGGTCCCTCCCACATACCTATTGCTGAGAGAAGCCTCCTCCTGAGGTGCTTCTGGAAAGTTGGCATACGTCTTGAGCCTAAGCCAGGGAATCAGCTCTCATCTCGAGACGATTTGGGGTACACGGAGCATTCCTCGAGTTGCTGTGCTTAAGGTGGTGTTCCTCTAGACTACGGACAGTGTTCTTGGGGCATCTCTGGAGTTGCCTGAAGGAAGTCGAGCCACCGGTCCTGTTGAATGGGGAATGGGGAATGGCTCTGGAGTCAATGCAGGGGAATCGGGCCTCATCTCGAGTTGATTTGGGGCACATGGAGCTGCTTTGCGTTGCTGGGGTGACCTCAGGGTCCGTCTAGACTGGTGACAGTGTTCTTGGGGACTGTCTCGAGATCCATTAAGCAAGTCGAAGCTCCTGACTTGTTTGAATGGGATCACGGAATAGCTCTGCATGCACTGCAGGGGAATGGGGCCTCATCTCGAATCTAGGGGGAAGTCTCATGGTTTTTCTCGAGTTGCGGCGGGGACCTGGGGTATGTTCTCGACTTACGGCGGGGATGGCCCTTAAAAACACGAGTTTCTTCAGTGACGTCAGGACTCCTGTGTAATAACGAGGTACACCTCAGGAATCTCTTCGAGGCTTGGCAGGGCAAAAGGGACGCTTCTCGAGGTGAGGCAGGGCACCCAAGGACCCTTTCCAGTAGCCACAGGGATTTTCGGATTCCTATCAGTATTCAAGAGGAGTCAGGCATCGTCACCTTTTGAAGCAATGAACTCCGTGTGCCTCTCGAGGTGTCAGCGGGATGTGAGGCATTCCGTCAAAATGAGGCAGGGACCTACGGCTTTCTCTAAGGTCTCCACAGGGGATTCAGACATCCCTTCATGTTGTGAGATGAAACACGAGCCTGTATTCAATCCACTGCAAGGAAATCCGGCCTCCTTTCAAGTTAGGGCTTCTCGCTGTATATTCCCCTTGAGGCAGCAAACTCGGGGTCCCTCCCACATACCTATTACTGAGAGAAGCCTCCTCCTGAGGTGCTTCTGGAAAGTTGGCATATGTCTTGAGCCTAAGCCAGGGAATCAGCTCTCATCTCGAGACGATTTGTGGTACAAGGAGCATTCCCCAAGTTGCTATTCTGAAGTTGGTGTTCCTCTAGACTACGGACAGTGTTCTCGGGGCATCTCTGGAGTTGCCTGAAGGAAGTCGAGCCACCGGTCTTGTTGAATGGGGAACGGGGAATGGCTCTGGAGTCAATGCAGGGGAATCGGGCCTCATCTCGAGTTGATTTGGGGCATATGGAGCTGCTTTGCGTTGCTGGGGTGACCTCAGGGTCCGTCTAGACTGGTGACAGTGTTCTTGGGGACTGTCTCGAGATCCATTAAGCAAGTCGAAGCTCCTGACTTGTTTGAATGGGATCACGGAATAGCTCTGCATGCACTGCAGGGGAATGGGGCCTCATCTCGCCTCTAGGGGGAAGTCTCATGGTTTTTCTCGAGTTGCGGCGGGGACCTGGGGTATGTTAACGACTTACGGCGGGGATCGCCCTTCAAAACAGGAGTTCCTTCAGTGACGTCAGGACTCCTGTCTAGTAACGAGGGACACCTCAGGAATCTCTTCGAGGCTTGGCAGGGCAAAAGGGACGCTTCTCGAGGTGAGGCAGGGCACCCAAGGACCCTTTCCAGTAGCCACAGGGATTTGGGGATTCCTATCAGTATTCAAGAGGAGTCAGGCATCGTCACCTTTTGAAGCAATGAACTCTGCGTGCCTCTCGAGGTGTCAGCGGGATGTGAGGCATTCCGTCAAAATGAGGCAGGGACCTAGGGCTTTCTCTAAGGTCTCCACAGGGGATTCAGACATCCCTTCATGTTGTGAGATGAAAGACGAGCCTGTGTTCAAGGAACTGCAAGGATATCCGGCCTCCTTTCAAGTTAGCGCTTCTCGCTGTATATTCCCCTTGAGACAGCATACTCGGGGTCAACCCCACATACCTATTGCTGAGAGAAGCCTCCTCCTGAGGTGCTTCTGGAAAGTTGGCATACGTCTTGAGCCTAAGCCAGGGAATCAGCTCTCATCTCGAGACGATTTGGGGTACACGGAGAATTCCTCGAGTTGCTCTGTTGAAGTTGGTGTTCCTCTAGACTTGGGACAGTGTTCTCGGGGCATCTCTGGAGTTGCCTGAAGGAAGTCGAGCCACCGGTCCTGTTGAATGGGGAATGGGGAATGGCTCTGGAGTCAATGCAGGGGAATCGGGCCTCATCTCGAGTTGATTTGGGGCACATGGAGCTGCTTTGCGTTGCTGGGGTGACCTCAGGGTCCGTCTAGACTGGTGACAGTGTTCTTGGGGACTGTCTCGAGATCCATTAAGCAAGTCGAAGCTCCTGACTTGTTTGAATGGGATCACGGAATAGCTCTGCATGCACTGCAGGGGAATGGGGACTCATCTCACCTCTAGGGGGAAGTCTCATGGTTTTTCTCGAGTTGCGGCGGGGACCTGGGGTATGTTCTCGACTTACGGCGGGGATGGCCCTTCAAAACACGAGTTTCTTCAGTGACGTCAGGACTCCTGTGTAATAACGAGGTACACCTCAGGAATCTCTTTGAGGCTTGGCAGGGCAAAAGGGACGCTTCTCGAGGTGAGGCAGGGCACCCAAGGACCCTTTCCAGTAGCCACAGGGATTTTCGGATTCCTATCAGTATTCAAGAGAAGTCAGGCATCGTCACCTTTTGAAGCAATGAACTCCGTGTGCCTCTCGAGGTGTCAGCGGGATGTGAGGCATTCCGTCAAAATGAGGCAGGGACCTAGGGCTTTCTCTAAGGTCTCCACAGGGGATTCAGACATCCCTTCATGTTGTGAGATGAAACACGAGCCTGTATTCAAGCCACTGCAAGGAAATCCGGCCTCCTTTCAAGTTAGGGCTTCTCGCTGTATATTCCCCTTGAGGCAGCAAACTCGGGGTCCCTCCCACATATCTATTGCTGAGAGAAGCCTCCTCCTGAGGTGCTTCTGGAAAGTTGGCATACGTCTTGGGCCTAAGCCAGGGAATCAGCTCTCATCTCGAGACGATTTTGGGTACACGGAGCATTCCTCGAGTTGCTGTGCTGAAGTTGGTGTTCCTCTAGACTTGGGACAGTGTTCTCGGGGCATCTCTGGAGTTGCCTGAAGGAAGTAGAGCCACCGGTCGTGTTGAATGGGGAACGGGGAATGGCTCTGGAGTCAATGCAGGGGAATCGGGCCTCATCTCGAGTTGATTTGGGGCACATGGAGCTGCTTTGCGTTGCTGGGCTGACCTCAGGGTCCGTCTAGACTGGTGAAAGTGTTCTTGGGGACTGTCTCGAGATCCATTAAGCAAGTCGAAGCTCCTGACTTGTTTGAATGGGATCACGGAATAGCTCTGCATGCACTGCAGGGGAATGGGGCCTCATCTCGCCTCTAGGGGGAAGTCTCATGGTTTTTCTCGAGTTGCGGCGGGGACCTGGGGTATGTTATCGACTTACGGCGGGGATCGCCCTTCAAAACAGGAGTTCCTTCAGTGACGTCAGGACTCCTGTCTAGTAACGAGGGACACCTCAGGAATCTCTTCGAGGCTTGGCAGGGCAAAAGGGACGCTTCTCGAGGTGAGGCAGGGCACCCAAGGACCCTTTCCAGTAGCCACAGGGATTTGGGGATTCCTATCAGTATTCAAGAGGAGTCAGGCATCGTCACCTTTTGAAGCAATGAACTCTGCGTGCCTCTCGAGGTGTCAGCGGGATGTGAGGCATTCCGTCAAAATGAGGCAGGGACCTAGGGCTTTCTTTAAGGTCTCCACAGGGGATTCAGACATCCCTTCATGTTGTGAGATGAAAGACGAGCCTGTGTTCAAGCCACTGCAAGGATATCCGGCCTCCTTTCAAGTTAGCGCTTCTCGCTGTATATTCCCCTTGAGGCAGCATACTCGGGGTCAACCCCACATACCTATTGCTGAGAGAAGCCTCCTCCTGAGGTGCTTCTGGAAAGTTGGCATACGTCTTGAGCCTAAGCCAGGGAATCAGCTCTCATCTCGAGACGATTTGGGGTACATGGAGAATTCCTCGAGTTGCTGTGTTGAAGTTGGTGTTCCTCTAGACTTGGGACAGTGTTCTCGGGGCATCTCTGGAGTTGCCTGAAGGAAGTCGAGCCACCGGTCCTGTTGAATGGGGAATGGGGAATGGCTCTGGAGTCAATGCAGGGGAATCGGGCCTCATCTCGAGTTGATTTGGGGCACATGGAGCTGCTTTGCGTTGCTGGGGTGACCTCAGGGTCCGTCTAGACTGGTGACAGTGTTCTTGGGGACTGTCTCGAGATCCATTAAGCAAGTCGAAGCTCCTGACTTGTTTGAATGGGATCACGGAATAGCTCTGCATGCACTGCAGGGGAATGGGGACTCATCTCAACTCTAGGGGGAAGTCTCATGGTTTTTCTCGAGTTGCGGCGGGGACCTGGGGTATGTTCTCGACTTACGGCGGGGATGGCCCTTCAAAACACGAGTTTCTTCAGTGACGTCAGGACTCCTGTGTAATAACGAGGTACACCTCAGGAATCTCTTCGAGGCTTGGCAGGGCAAAAGGGACGCTTCTCGAGGTGAGGCAGGGCACCCAAGGACCCTTTCAAGTAGCCACAGGGATTTTCGGATTCCTATCAGTATTCAAGAGAAGTCAGGCATCGTCACCTTTTGAAGCAATGAACTCAGTGTGCCTATCGAGGTGTCAGCGGGATGTGAGGCATTCCGTCAAAATGAGGCAGGGACCTAGGGCTTTCTCTAAGGTCTCCACAGGGGATTCAGACATCCCTTCATGTTGTGAGATGAAACACGAGCCTGTATTCAAGCCACTGCAAGGAAATCCGGCCTCCTTTCAAGTTAGGGCTTCTCGCTGTATATTCCCCTTGAGGCAGCAAACTCGGGGTCCCTCCCACATATCTATTGCTGAGAGAAGCCTCCTCCTGAGGTGCTTCTGGAAAGTTGGCATACGTCTTGGGCCTAAGCCAGGGAATCAGCTCTCATCTCGAGACGATTTTGGGTACACGGAGCATTCCTCGAGTTGCTGTGCTGAAGTTGGTGTTCCTCTAGACTTGGGACAGTGTTCTCGGGGCATCTCTGGAGTTGCCTGAAGGAAGTAGAGCCACCAGTCGTGTTGAATGGGGAACGGGGAATGGCTCTGGAGTCAATGCAGGGGAATCGGGCCTCATCTCGAGTTGATTTGGGGCACATGGAGCTGCTTTGCGTTGCTGGGCTGACCTCAGGGTCCGTCTAGACTGGTGAAAGTGTTCTTGGGGACTGTCTCGAGATCCATTAAGCAAGTCGAAGCTCCTGACTTGTTTGAATGGGATCACGGAATAGCTCTGCATGCACTGCAGGGGAATGGGGCCTCATCTCGCCTCTAGGGGGAAGTCTCATGGTTTTTCTCGAGTTGCGGTGGGGACCTGGGTTATGTTCTCGACTTACGGCGGGGATCGCCCTTCAAAACACGAGTTCCTTCAGTGACGTCAGGACTCCTGTCTAGTAACGAGGGACACCTCAGGAATCTCTTCGAGGCTTGGCAGGGCAAAAGGGACGCTTCTCGAGGTGAGGCAGGGCACCCAAGGACCCTTTCCAGTAGCCACAGGGATTTTGGGATTCCTATCAGTATTCAAGAGGAGTCAGGCATCGTCACCTTTTGAAGCAATGAACTCTGCGTGCCTCTCGAGGTGTCAGCGGGATGTGAGGCATTCCGTCAAAATGACGCAGGGACCTAGGGCTTTCTCTAAGGTCTCCACAGGGCATTCAGACATCCCTTCATGTTGTGAGATGAAACACGAGCCTGTATTCAAGCCACTGCAAGGAAATCCGGCCTCCTTTTAAGTTAGGGCTTCTCGCTGTATATTCCCCTAGAGGCAGCAAACTCGGGTCCCTCCCACATACCTATTGCTGAGAGCAGCCTCCTCCTGAGGTGCTTCTGGAAAGTTGGCATACGTCTTGAGCCTAAGCCAGGGAATCAGCTCTCATCTCGAGACGATTTGTGGTACAAGGAGCATTCCCCAAGTTGCTGTTCTGAAGTTGGTGTTCCTCTAGACTACGGACAGTGTTCTCGGGGCATCTCTGGAGTTGCCTGAAGGAAGTCGAGCCACCGGTCGTGGTGAATGGGGAACGGGGAATGGCTCTGGAGTCAATGCAGGGGAATCGGGCCTCATCTCGAGTTGATTTGGGGCATATGGAGCTGCTTTGCGTTGCTGGGGTGACCTCAGGGTCCGTCTAGACTGGTGACAGTGTTCTTGGGGACTGTCTCGAGATCCATTAAGCAAGTCGAAGCTCCTGACTTGTTTGAATGGGATCACGGAATAGCTCTGCATGCACTGCAGGGGAATGGGGCCTCATCTCGCCTCTATGGGGAAGTCTCATGGTTTTTCTCGAGTTGCGGTGGGGACCTGGGGTATGTTCTCGACTTACGGCGGGGATCGCCCTTCAAAACACGAGTTCCTTCAGTGACGTCAGGACTCCTGTCTAGTAACGAGGGACACCTCAGGAATCTCTTCGAGGCTTGGCAGGGCAAAAGGGACGCTTCTCGAGGTGAGGCAGGGCACCCAAGGACCCTTTCCAGTAGCCACAGGGATTTTGGGATTCCTATCAGTATGCAAGAGGAGTCAGGCATCGTCACCTTTTGAAGCAATGAACTCTGCGTGCCTCTCGAGGTGTCAGTGGGATGTGAGGCATTCCGTCAAAATGAGGCAGGGACCTAGGGCTTTCTCTAAGGTCTCCACAGGGGATTCAGACATCCCTTCATGTTGTGAGATGAAAGACGAGCCTGTATTCAAGCCACTGCAAGGAAATCCGGCCTCCTTTCAAGTTAGGGCTTCTCGCTGTATATTCCCCTTGAGGCAGCAAACTCGGGGTCCCTCCCAAATACCTATTGCTGAGAGAAGCCTCCTCCTGAGGTGCTTCTGGAAAGTTGGCATACGTCTTGAGCCTAAGCCAAGGAATCAGCTCTCATCTCGAGATGATTTGGTGTACACGGAGCATTCCTCGAGTTGCTGTGATGAAGTTGGTTTTCCTCTAGACTTGGGACAGTGTTCTCGGGGCATCTCTGGAGTTGCCTGAAGGAAGTCGAGCCACCGGTCGTGTTGAATGGGGAACGGGGAATTTCTCTGGAGTCAATGCAGGGGAATCCGGCCTCATCTCGAGTTGATTTGGGGCACATGGAGCTGCTTTGCGTTGCTGGGTTGACCTCAGGGTCCGTCTAGACTGGTGACAGAGTTCTTGGGGACTGTCTCGAGATCCATTAAGCAAGTCGAAGCTCCTGACTTGTTTGAATGGGATCACGGAAGAGCTCTGCATGCACTGCAGGGGAATGGGGCCTCATCTCGCCTCTAGGGGGAAGTCTCATGGTTTTTATCGAGTTGCGGCGGGGACTTGGGGTATGTTCTCCACTTACGGCGGGGATGGCCTTTCAAAACACGAGTTTCTTCAGTGACGTCAGGACTCCTGTGTAATAACGAGGTACACCTCAGGAATCTCTTCGAGGCTTGGCAGGGCAAAAGGGACGCTTCTCGAGGTGAGGCAGGGCACCCAAGGACCCTTTCCAGAAGCCACAGGGATTTTCGGATTCCTATCAGTATTCAAGAGGAGTCAGGCATCGTCACCTTTTGAAGCAATGAACTCCGTGTGCCTCTCGATGTGTCAGCGGGATGTGAGGCATTCCGTCAAATGAGGCAGGTACCTAGGGCTTTCTCTAAAGTCTCCACAGTGGATTCAGACATCCCTTCATGTTGTGAGATGAAAGACGAGCCTGTATTCAAGCCACTGCAAGGATACCCGGCCTCCTTTCAAGTTAGCGCTTCTCGCTGTATATTCCCGTTGAGGCAGCATACTCGGGGTCCCTCCCACATACCTATTGCTGAGAGAAGCCTCCTCCTGAGGTGCTTCTGGAAAGTTGGCATACGTCTTGAGCCTAAGCCAGGGAATCAGCTCTCATCTCGAGACGATTTGGGGTACACGGAGCATTCCTCGAGTTGCTGTGCTGAAGTTGGTGTTCCTCTAGACTTGGGACAGTGTTCTCGGGGCATCTCTGGAGTTGCCTGAAGGAAGTAGAGCCACCGGTCGTGTTGAATGGGGAACGGGGAATCTCTCTGGAGTCAATTCAACGGAATCCGGCCTCATCTCGAGTTGATTTGGGGCACATGGAGGTGCTTTGCGTTGCTGGGGTGACCTCAGGGTCCGTCTAGACTGGTGACAGTGTTCTTGGGGACTGTCTCGAGATCCATTAAGCAAGTCGAAGCTCCTGACTTGTTTGAATGGGATCACGGAATAGCTCTGCATGCACTGCAGGGGAATGGGGCCTCATCTCGCCTATAGGGGGAAGTCTCATGGTTTTTCTCGAGTTGCGGCGGGGACCTGGGGTATGTTCTCGACTTACTTCGGGGATGGCCCTTCAAAACACGAGTTTCTTCAGTGACGTCAGGACTCCTGTCTAGTAACGAGGGACACCTCAGGAATCTCTTCGAGGCTTGGCAGGGCAAAAGGGACGCTTCTCGAGGTGAGGCAGGGCACCCAAGGACCCTTTCCAGTAGCCACAGGGATTTTCGGATTCCTATCAGTATTCAAGAGGAGTCAGGCATCGTCACCTTTTGAAGCAATGAACTCTGCGTGCCTCTCGAGGTGTCAGCGGGATGTGAGGCATTCCGTCAAAATGAGGCAGGGACCTAGGGCTTTCTCTAAGGTCTCCACAGGGGATTCAGACATCCCTTCATGTTGTGAGATGAAACGTGAGCCTGTATTCATGCCACTGCAAGGAAATCCGGCCTCCTTTCAAGTTAGGGCTTCTCGCTGTATATTCCCCTTGAGGCAGCAAACTCGGGGTCCCTCCCACATACCTATTGCTGAGAGCAGCCTCCTCCTGAGGTGCTTCTGGAAAGTTGGCATACGTCTTGAGCCTAAGCCAGGGAATCAGCTCTCATCTCGAGACGATTTGTGGTACAAGGAGCATTCCCCAAGTTGCTGTTCTGAAGTTGGTGTTCCTCTAGACTACGGACAGTGTTCTCGGGGCATCTCTGGAGTTGCCTGAAGGAAGTCGAGCCACCGGTCGTGTTGAATGGGGAACGGGGAATGGCTCTGGAGTCAATGCAGGGGAATCGGGCCTCATCTCGAGTTGATTTGGGGCATATGGAGCTGCTTTGCGTTGCTGGGGTGACCTCAGGGTCCGTCTAGACTGGTGACAGTGTTCTTGGGGACTGTCTCGAGATCCATTAAGCAAGTCGAAGCTCCTGACTTGTTTGAATGGGATCACGGAATAGCTCTGCATGCACTGCAGGGGAATGGGGCCTCATCTCGCCTCTAGGGGGAAGTCTCATGGTTTTTCTCGAGTTGCGGCGGGGACCTGGGGTATGTTCTCGACTTACGGCGGGGATCGCCCTTCAAAACACGAGTTCCTTCAGTGACGTCAGGACTCCTGTCTAGTAACGAGGGACACCTCAGGAATCTCTTCGAGGCTTGGCAGGGCAAAAGGGACGCTTCTCGAGGTGAGGCAGGGCACCCAAGGACCCTTTCCAGTAGCCACAGGGATTTTGGGATTCCTATCAGTATGCAAGAGGAGTCAGGCATCGTCACCTTTTGAAGCAATGAACTCTGCTTGCCTCTCGAGGTGTCAGTGGGATGTGAGGCATTCCGTCAAAATGAGGCAGGGACCTAGGGCTTTCTCTAAGGTCTCCACAGGGGATTCAGACATCCCTTCATGTTGTGAGATGAAAGACGAGCCTGTATTCAAGCCACTGCAAGGAAATCCGGCCTCCTTTCAAGTTAGGGCTTCTCGCTGTATATTCCCCTTGAGGCAGCAAACTCGGGGTCCCTCCCAAATACCTATTGCTGAGAGAAGCCTCCTCCTGAGGTGCTTCTGGAAAGTTGGCATACGTCTTGAGCCTAAGCCAAGGAATCAGCTCTCATCTCGAGATGATTTGGTGTACACGGAGCATTCCTCGAGTTGCTGTGATGAAGTTGGTTTTCCTCTAGACTTGGGACAGTGTTCTCGGGGCATCTCTGGAGTTGCCTGAAGGAAGTCGAGCCACCGGTCGTGTTGAATGGGGAACGGGGAATCTCTCTGGAGTCAATGCAGGGGAATCCGGCCTCATCTCGAGTTGATTTGGGGCACATGGAGCTGCTTTGCATTGCTGGGGTGACCTCAGGGTCCGTCTAGACTGGTGACAGTGTTCTTGGGGACTGTCTCGAGATCCATTAAGCAAGTCGAAGCTCCTGACTTGTTTGAATGGGATCACGGAATAGCTCTGCATGCACTGCAGGGGAATGGGGCCTCATCTCGCCTCTAGGGGGAAGTCTCATGGTTTTTATCGAGTTGCGGCGGGGACTTGGGGTATGTTCTCGACTTACGGCGGGGATGGCCTTTCAAAACACGAGTTTCTTCAGTGACGTCAGGACTCCTGTGTAATAACGAGGTACACCTCAGGAATCTCTTCGAGGCTTGGCAGGGCAAAAGGGACGCTTCTCGAGGTGAGGCAGGGCAACCAAGGACCCTTTCCAGTAGCAACAGGGATTTTGGGATTCCTATCAGTATTCAAGAAGAGTCAGGCATCGTCACCTTTTGAAGCAATGAACTCTGGTGACTCTCGAGGTGTCAGCGGGATGTGAGGCATTCCGTCAAAATGAGGCAGGGACCTAGGGCTTTCTCTAAGGTCTCCACAGGGGATTCAGACATCCCTTCATGTTGTGAGATGAAAGACGAGCCTGTATTCAAGCCACTGCAAGGAAATCCGGCCTCCTTTCAAGTTAGGGCTTCTCGCTGTATATTCCCCTTGAGGCAGCAAACTCGGGGTCCCTCCCACATACCTATTGCTGAGAGAAGCCTCCTCCTGAGGTGCTTCTGGAAAGTTGGCATACGTCTTGAGCCTAAGCCAGGGAATCAGCTCTCATCTCGAGACGATTTGGGGTACACGGAGCATTCCTCGAGTTGCTGTGCTGAAGTTGGTGTTTCTCTAGACTTGGGACAGTGTTCTCGGGGCATCTCTGGAGTTGCCTGAAGGAAGTCGAGCCACCGGTCGTGTTGAATGGGAAACGGGGAATCTCTCTGGAGTCAATTCAGGGGAATCCGGCCTCATCTCGAGTTGATTTGGGGCACATGGAGCTGCTTTGCGTTGCTGGGGTGACCTCAGGGTCCGTCTAGACTGGTGACAGTGTTCTTGGGGACTGTCTCGAGATCCATTAAGCAAGTCGAAGCTCCTGACTTGTTTGAATGGGATCACGGAATAGCTCTGCATGCACTGCAGGGGAATGGGGCCTCATCTCGCCTCTAGGGGGAAGTCTCATGGTTTTTCTCGAGTTGCGGCGGGGACCTGGGGTATGTTCTCGACTTACGGCGGGGATGGCCCTTAAAAACACGAGTTTCTTCAGTGACGTCAGGACTCCTGTGTAATAACGAGGTACACCTCAGGAATCTCTTCGAGGCTTGGCAGGGCAAAAGGGACGCTTCTCGAGGTGAGGCAGGGCACCCAAGGACCCTTTCCAGTAGCCACAGGGATTTTCGGATTCCTATCAGTATTCAAGAGGAGTCAGGCATCGTCACCTTTTGAAGCAATGAACTCCGTGTGCCTCTCGAGGTGTCAGCGGGATGTGAGGCATTCCGTCAAAATGAGGCAGGGACCTACGGCTTTCTCTAAGGTCTCCACAGGGGATTCAGACATCCCTTCATGTTGTGAGATGAAACACGAGCCTGTATTCAATCCACTGCAAGGAAATCCGGCCTCCTTTCAAGTTAGGGCTTCTCGCTGTATATTCCCCTTGAGGCAGCAAACTCGGGGTCCCTCCCACATACCTATTGCTGAGAGAAGCCTCCTCCTGAGGTGCTTCTGGAAAGTTGGCATATGTCTTGAGCCTAAGCCAGGGAATCAGCTCTCATCTCGAGACGATTTGTGGTACAAGGAGCATTCCCCAAGTTGCTATTCTGAAGTTGGTGTTCCTCTAGACTACGGACAGTGTTCTCGGGGCATCTCTGGAGTTGCCTGAAGGAAGTCGAGCCACCGGTCTTGTTGAATGGGGAACGGGGAATGGCTCTGGAGTCAATGCAGGGGAATTGGGCCTCATCTCGAGTTGATTTGGGGCATATGGAGCTGCTTTGCGTTGCTGGGGTGACCTCAGGGTCCGTCTAGACTGGTGACAGTGTTCTTGGGGACTGTCTCGAGATCCATTAAGCAAGTCGAAGCTCCTGACTTGTTTGAATGGGATCACGGAATAGCTCTGCATGCACTGCAGGGGAATGGGGCCTCATCTCGCCTCTAGGGGGAACTCTCATGGTTTTTCTCGAGTTGCGGCGGGGACCTGGGGTATGTTATCGACTTACGGCGGGGATCGCCCTTCAAAACAGGAGTTCCTTCAGTGACGTCAGGACTCCTGTCTAGTAACGAGGGACACCTCAGGAATCTCTTCGAGGCTTGGCAGGGCAAAAGGGACGCTTCTCGAGGTGAGGCAGGGCACCCAAGGACCCTTTCCAGTAGCCACAGGGATTTGGGGATTCCTATCAGTATTCAAGAGGAGTCAGGCATCGTCACCTTTTGAAGCAATGAACTCTGCGTGCCTCTCGAGGTGTCAGTGGGATGCGAGGCATTCCGTCAAAATGAGGCAGGGACCTAGGGCTTTCTCTAAGGTCTCCACAGGGGATTCAGACATCCCTTCATGTTGTGAGATGAAAGACGAGCCTGTGTTCAAGCCACTGCAAGGATATCCGGCCTCCTTTCAAGTTAGCGCTTCTCGCTGTATATTCCCCTTGAGGCAGCATACTCGGGGTCAACCCCACATACTTATTGCTGAGAGAAGGCTCCTCCTGAGGTGCTTCTGGAAAGTTGGCATACGTCTTGAGCCTAAGCCAGGGAATCAGCTCTCATCTCGAGACGATTTGGGGTACACGGAGAATTCCTCGAGTTGCTGTGTTGAAGTTGGTGTTCCTCTAGACTTGGGACAGTGTTCTCGGGGCATCTCTGGAGTTGCCTGAAGGAAGTCGAGCCACCGGTCGTGTTGAATGGGGAACAGGGAATGGCTCTGGAGTCAATGCAGGGGAATCGGGCCTCATCTCGAGTTGATTTGGGGCACATGGAGCTGCTTTGCGTTGCTGGGGTGACCTCAGGGTCCGTCTAGACTGGTGACAGTGTTCTTGGGGACTGTCTCGAGATCCATTAAGCAAGTCGAAGCTCCTGACTTGTTTGAATGGGATCACGGAATAGCTCTGCATGCACTGCAGGGGAATGGGGACTCATCTCACCTCTAGGGGGAAGTCTCATGGTTTTTCTCGAGTTGCGGCGGGGACCTGGGATATGTTCTCGACTTACGGCGGGGATGGCCCTTCAAAACACGAGTTTCTTCAGTGACGTCAGGACTCCTGTGTAATAACGAGGTACACCTCAGGAATCTCTTTGAGGCTTGGCAGGGCAAAAGGGACGCTTCTCGAGGTGAGGCAGGGCACCCAAGGACCCTTTCCAGTAGCCACAGTGATTTTCGGATTCCTATCAGTATTCAAGAGAAGTCAGGCATCGTCACCTTTTGAAGCAATGAACTCCGTGTGCCTCTCGAGGTGTCAGCGGGATGTGAGGCATTCCGTCAAAATGAGGCAGGGACCTAGGGCTTTCTCTAAGGTCTCCACAGGGGATTCAGACATCCCTTCATGTTGTGAGATGAAACACGAGCCTGTATTCAAGCCACTGCAAGGAAATCCGGCCTCCTTTCAAGTTAGGGCTTCTCGCTGTATATTCCCCTTGAGGCAGCAAACTCGGGGTCCCTCCCACATATCTATTGCTGAGAGAAGCCTCCTCCTGAGGTGCTTCTGGAAAGTTGGCATACGTCTTGGGCCTAAGCCAGGGAATCAGCTCTCATCTCGAGACGATTTTGGGTACACGGAGCATTCCTCGAGTTGCTGTGCTGAAGTTGGTGTTCCTCTAGACTTGGGACAGTGTTCTCGGGGCATCTCTGGAGTTGCCTGAAGGAAGTAGAGCCACCGGTCGTGTTGAATGGGGAACGGGGAATGGCTCTGGAGTCAATGCAGGGGAATCGGGCCTCATCTCGAGTTGATTTGGGGCACATGGAGCTGCTTTGCGTTGCTGGGCTGACCTCAGGGTCCGTCTAGACTGGTGAAAGTGTTCTTGGGGACTGTCTCGAGATCCATTAAGCAAGTCGAAGCTCCTGACTTGTGTGAATGGGGTCACGGAATAGCTCTGCATGCACTGCAGGGGAATGGGGCCTCATCTCGCCTCTAGGGGGAAGTCTCATGGTTTTTCTCGAGTTGCGGTGGGGACCTGGGTTATGTTCTCGACTTACGGCGGGGATCGCCCTTCAAAACACGAGTTCCTTCAGTGACGTCAGGACTCCTGTCTAGTAACGAGGGACACCTCAGGAATCTCTTCGAGGCTTGGCAGGGCAAAAGGGACGCTTCTCGAGGTGAGGCAGGGCACCCAAGGACCCTTTCCAGTAGCCACAGGGATTTTGGGATTCCTATCAGTATTCAAGAGGAGTCAGGCATCGTCACCTTTTGAAGCAATGAACTCTGCGTGCCTCTCGAGGTGTCAGCGGGATGTGAGGCATTCCGTCAAAATGACGCAGGGACCTAGGGCTTTCTCTAAGGTCTCCACAGGGCATTCAGACATCCCTTCATGTTGTGAGATGAAACACGAGCCTGTATTCAAGCCACTGCAAGGAAATCCGGCCTCCTTTCAAATTAGGGCTTCTCGCTGTATATTCCCCTAGAGGCAGCAAACTCGGGTCCCTCCCACATACCTATTGCTGAGAGAAGCCTCCTCCTGAGGTGCTTCTGGAAAGTTGGCATACGTCTTGAGCCTAAGCCAGGGAATCAGCTCTCATCTCGAGACGATTTGGGGTACACGGAGCATTCCTCGAGTTGCTGTGCTTAAGGTGGTGTTCCTCTAGACTACGGACAGTGTTCTTGGGGCATCTCTGGAGTTGCCTGAAGGAAGTCGAGCCACCGGTCGTGTTGAATGGGGAACGGGGAATCTCTCTGGAGTCAATGCAGGGGAATCCGGCCTCATCTCGAGTTGATTTGGGGCACATGGAGCTGCTTTGCGTTGCTGGGGTGACCTCAGGGTCCGTCTAGACTGGTGACAGTGTTCTTGGGGACTGTCTCGAGATCCATTAAGCAAGTCGAAGCTCCTGACTTGTTTGAATGGGATCACGGAATAGCTCTGCATGCACTGGAGGGGAATGGTGCCTCATCTCGCCTCTAGGGGGTAGTCTCATGGTTTTTCTCGAGTTGCGGCGGGGACCTGGTGTATGTTCTCGACTTACGGCGGGGATGGCCCTTCAAAACACGAGTTTCTTCAGTGACGTCAGGACTCCTGTGTAATAACGAGGTACACCTGAGGAATCTCTTCGAGGCTTGGCAGGGCAAAAGGGACGCTTCTCGAGGTGAGGCAGGGCACCCAAGGACCCTTTCCAGTAGCCACAGGGATTTTGGGATTCCTATCAGTATTCAAGAGGAGTCAGGCATCGTCACCTTTTGAAGCAATGAACTCTGGTGACTCTCGAGGTGTCAGCGGGATGTGAGGCATTCCGTCAAAATGAGGCAGGGACCTAGGGCTTTCTCTAAGGTCTCCACAGGGGATTCAGACATCCCTTCATGTTGTGAGATGAAAGACGAGCCTGTATTCAAGCCACTGCAAGGAAATCCGGCCTCCTTTCAAGTTATGGCTTCTCGCTGTATATTCCCCTTGAGGCAGCAAACTCGGGGTCCCTCCCACATACCTATTGCTGAGTGAAGCCTCCTCCTGAGGTGCTTCTGGAAAGTTGGCATACGTCTTGAGCCTAAGCCAGGGAATCAGCTCTCATCTCGAGACGATTTTGGGTACACGGAGAATTCCTCGAGTTGCTGTGCTGAAGTTGGTGTTCCTCTAGACTTGGGACAGTGTTCTCGGGGCATCTCTGGAGTTGCCTGAAGGAAGTCGAGCCACCGGTCGTGTTGAATGGGAAACGGGGAATCTCTCTGGAGTCAATGCAGGGGAATCCGGCCTCATCTCGAGTTGATTTGGGGCACATGGAGCTGCTTTGCGTTGCTGGGGTGACCTCAGGGTCCGTCTAGACTGGTGACAGTGTTCTTGGGGACTGTCTCGAGATCCATTAAGCAAGTCGAAGCTCCTGACTTGTTTGAATGGGATCACGGAATAGCTCTGCATGCACTGCAGGGGAATGAGGCCTCATCTCGAATCTAGGGGGAAGTCTCATGGTTTTTCTCGAGTTGCGGCGGGGACCTGGGGTATGTTCTCGACTTACGGCGGGGATGGCCCTTAAAAACACGAGTTTCTTCAGTGACGTCAGGACTCCTGTGTAATAACGAGGTACACCTCAGGAATCTCTTCGAGGCTTGGCAGGGCAAAAGGGACGCTTCTCGAGGTGAGGCAGGGCACCCAAGGACTCTTTCCAGTAGCCACAGGGATTTTCGGATTCCTATCAGTATTCAAGAGGAGTCAGGCATCGTCACCTTTTGAAGCAATGAACTCCGTGTGCCTCTCGAGGTGTCAGCGGGATGTGAGGCATTCCGTCAAAATGAGGCAGGGACCTACGGCTTTCTCTAAGGTCTCCACAGGGGAATCAGACACCCCTTCATGTTGTGAGATGAAACACGAGCCTGGATTCAATCCACTGCAAGGAAATCCGGCCTCCTTTCAAGTTAGGGCTTCTCGCTGTATATTCCCCTTGAGGCAGCAAACTCGGGGTCCCTCCCACATACCTATTGCTGAGAGAAGCCTCCTCCTGAGGTGCTTCTGGAAAGTTGGCATATGTCTTGAGACTAAGCCAGGGAATCAGCTCTCATCTCGAGACGATTTGTGGTACAAGGAGCATTCCCCAAGTTGCTATTCTGAAGTTGGTGTTCCTCTAGACTACGGACAGTGTTCTCGGGGCATCTCTGGAGTTGCCTGAAGGAAGTCGAGCCACCGGTCTTGTTGAATGGGGAACGGGGAATGGCTCTGGAGTCAATGCAGGGGAATTGGGCCTCATCTCGAGTTGATTTGGGGCATATGGAGCTGCTTTGCGTTGCTGGGGTGACCTCAGGGTCCGTCTAGACTAGTGACAGTGTTCTTGGGGACTGTCTCGAGATCCATTAAGCAAGTCGAAGCTCCTGACTTGTTTGAATGGGATCACGGAATAGCTCTGCATGCACTGCAGGGGAATGGGGCCTCATCTCGCCTCTAGGGGGAAGTCTCATGGTTTTTCTCGAGTTGCGGCGGGGACCTGGGGTATGTTATCGACTTACGGCGGGGATCGCCCTTCAAAACAGGAGTTCCTTCAGTGACGTCAGGACTCCTGTCTAGTAACGAGGGACACCTCAGGAATCTCTTCGAGGCTTGGCAGGGCAAAAGGGACGCTTCTCGAGGTGAGGCAGGGCACCCAAGGACCCTTTCCAGTAGCCACAGGGATTTGGGGATTCCTATCAGTATTCAAGAGGAGTCAGGCATCGTCACCTTTTGAAGCAATGAACTCTGCGTGCCTCTCGAGGTGTCAGCGGGATGCGAGGCATTCCGTCAAAATGAGGCAGGGACCTAGGGCTTTCTCTAAGGTCTCCACAGGGGATTCAGACATCCCTTCATGTTGTGAGATGAAAGACGAGCCTGTGTTCAAGCCACTGCAAGGATATCCGGCCTCCTTTCAAGTTAGCGCTTCTCGCTGTATATTCCCCTTGAGGCAGCATACTCGGGGTCAACCCCACATACCTATTGCTGAGAGAAGCCTCCTCCTGAGGTGCTTCTGGAAAGTTGGCATACGTCTTGAGCCTAAGCCAGGGAATCAGCTCTCATCTCGAGACGATTTGGGGTACACGGAGAATTCCTCGAGTTGCTGTGTTGAAGTTGGTGTTCCTCTAGACTTGGGACAGTGTTCTCGGGGCATCTCTGGAGTTGCCTGAAGGAAGTCGAGCCACCGGTCGTGTTGAATGGGGAACGGGGAATGGCTCTGGAGTCAATGCAGGGGAATCGGGCCTCATCTCGAGTTGATTTGGGGCACATGGAGCTGCTTTGCGTTGCTGGGGTGACCTCAGGGTCCGTCTAGACTGGTGACAGTGTTCTTGGGGACTGTCTCGAGATCCATTAAGCAAGTCGAAGCTCCTGACTTGTTTGAATGGGATCACGGAATAGCTCTGCATGCACTGCAGGGGAATGGGGACTCATCTCACCTCTAGGGGGAAGTCTCATGGTTTTTCTCGAGTTGCGGCGGGGACCTGGGATATGTTCTCGACTTACGGCGGGGATGGCCCTTCAAAACACGAGTTTCTTCAGTGACGTCAGGACTCCTGTGTAATAACGAGGTACACCTCAGGAATCTCTTTGAGGCTTGGCAGGGCAAAAGGGACGCTTCTCGAGGTGAGGCAGGGCACCCAAGGACCCTTTCCAGTAGCCACAGGGATTTTCGGATTCCTATCAGTATTCAAGAGAAGTCAGGCATCGTCACCTTTTGAAGCAATGAACTCCGTGTGCCTCTCGAGGTGTCAGCGGGATGTGAGGCATTCCGTCAAAATGAGGCAGGGACCTAGGGCTTTCTCTAAGGTCTCCACAGGGGATTCAGACATCCCTTCATGTTGTGAGATGAAAGACGAGCCTGTATTCAAGCCACTGCAAGGAAATCCGGCCTCCTTTCAAGTTAGGGCTTCTCGCTGTATATTCCCCTTGAGGCAGCAAACTCGGGGTCCCTCCCACATATCTATTGCTGAGAGAAGCCTCCTCCTGAGGTGCTTCTGGAAAGTTGGCATACGTCTTGGGCCTAAGCCAGGGAATCAGCTCTCATCTCGAGACGATTTTGGGTACACGGAGCATTCCTCGAGTTGCTGTGCTGAAGTTGGTGTTCCTCTAGACTTGGGACAGTGTTCTCGGGGCATCTCTGGAGTTGCCTGAAGGAAGTCGAGCCACCGGTCGTGTTGAATGGGAAACGGGGAATCTCTCTGGAGTCAATTCAGGGGAATCCGGCCTCATCTCGAGTTGATTTGGGGCACATGGAGCTGCTTTGCGTTGCTGGGGTGACCTCAGGGTCCGTCTAGACTGGTGACAGTGTTCTTGGGGACTGTCTCGAGATCCATTAAGCAAGTCGAAGCTCCTGACTTGTTTGAATGGGATCACGGAATAGCTCTGCATGCACTGCAGGGGAATGGGGCCTCATCTCGAATCTAGGGGGAAGTCTCATGGTTTTTCTCGAGTTGCGGCGGGGACCTGGGGTATGTTCTCGACTTACGGCGGGGATGGCCCTTAAAAACACGAGTTTCTTCAGTGACGTCAGGACTCCTGTGTAATAACGAGGGACACCTCAGGAATCTCTTCGAGGCTTGGCAGGGCCAAAGGGACGCTTCTCGAGGTGAGGCAGGGCACCCAAGGACCCTTTCCAGTAGCCACAGGGATTTTCGGATTCCTATCAGTATTCAAGAGGAGTCAGGCATCGTCACCTTTTGAAGCAATGAACTCCGTGTGCCTCTCAAGGTGTCAGCGGGATGTGAGGCATTCCGTCAAAATGAGGCAGGGACCTACGGCTTTCTCTAAGGTCTCCACAGGGGATTCAGACATCCCTTCATGTTGTGAGATGAAACACGAGCCTGTATTCAATCCACTGCAAGGAAATCCGGCCTCCTTTCAAGTTAGGGCTTCTCGCTGTATATTCCCCTTGAGGCAGCAAACTCGGGGTCCCTCCCACATACCTATTGCTGAGAGAAGCCTCCTCCTGAGGTGCTTCTGGAAAGTTGGCATATGTCTTGAGCCTAAGCCAGGGAATCAGCTCTCATCTCGAGACGATTTGTGGTACAAGGAGCATTCCCCAAGTTGCTATTCTGAAGTTGGTGTTCCTCTAGACTACGGACAGTGTTCTCGGGGCATCTCTGGAGTTGCCTGAAGGAAGTCGAGCCACCGGTCTTGTTGAATGGGGAACGGGGAATGGCTCTGGAGTCAATGCAGGGGAATCGGGCCTCATCTCGAGTTGATTTGGGGCACATGGAGCTGCTTTGCGTTGCTGGGGTGACCTCAGGGTCCGTCTAGACTGGTGAAAGTGTTCTTGGGGACTGTCTCGAGATCCATTAAGCAAGTCGAAGCTCCTGACTTGTTTGAATGGGATCACGGAATAGCTCTGCATGCACTGCAGGGGAATGGGGCCTCATCTCGCCTCTAGGGGGAAGTCTCATGGTTTTTCTCGAGTTGCGGTGGGGAGCTGGGTTATGTTCTCGACTTACGGCGGGGATCGCCCTTCAAAACACGAGTTCCTTCAGTGACGTCAGGACTCCTGTCTAGTAATGAGGGACACCTCAGGAATCTCTTCGAGGCTTGGCAGGGCAAAAGGGACGCTTCTCGAGGTGAGGCAGGGCACCCAAGGACCCTTTCCAGTAGCCACAGGGATTTTGGGATTCCTATCAGTATTCAAGAGGAGTCAGGCATCGTCACCTTTTGAAGCAATGAACTCTGCGTGCCTCTCGAGGTGTCAGCGGGATGTGAGGCATTCCGTCAAAATGACGCAGGGACCTAGGGCTTTCTCTAAGGTCTCCACAGGGCATTCAGACATCCCTTCATGTTGTGAGATGAAAGACGAGCCTGTATTCAAGCCACTGCAAGGAAATCCGGCCTCCTTTTAAGTTAGGGCTTCTCGCTGTATATTCCCCTAGAGGCAGCAAACTCGGGTCCCTCCCACATACCTATTTCTGAGAGAAGCCTCCTCCTGAGGTGCTTCTGGAAAGTTGGCATATGTCTTGAGCCTAAGCCAGGGAATCAGCTCTCATCTCGAGACGATTTGGGGTACACGGAGCATTCCTCGAGTTGCTGTGCTTAAGGTGGTGTTCCTCTAGACTACGGACAGTGTTCTTGGGGCATCTCTGGAGTTGCCTGAAGGAAGTCGAGCCACCGGTCGTGTTGAATGGGGAACGGGGAATCTCTCTGGAGTCAATGCAGGGGAATCCGGCCTCATCTCGAGTTGATTTGGGGCACATGGAGCTGCTTTGCGTTGCTGGGGTGACCTCAGGGTCCGTCTAGACTGGTGACAGTGTTCTTGGGGACTGTCTCGAGATCCATTAAGCAAGTCGAAGCTCCTGACTTGTTTGAATGCGATCACGGAATAGCTCTGCATGCACTGCAGGGGAATGGGGCCTCATCTCGCCTCTAGGGGGAAGTCTCATGGTTTTTATCGAGTTGCGGCGGGGACTTGGGGTATGTTCTCGACTTACGGCGGGGATGGCCTTTCAAAACACGAGTTTCTTCAGTGACGTCAGGACTCCTGTGTAATAACGAGGTACACCTCAGGAATCTCTTCGAGGCTTGGCAGGGCAAAAGGGACGCTTCTCGAGGTGAGGCAGGGCACCCAAGGACCCTTTCCAGTAGCCACAGGGATTTTGGGATTCCTATCAGTATTCAAGAAGAGTCAGGCATCGTCACCTTTTGAAGCAATGAACTCTGGTGACTCTCGAGGTGTCAGCGGGATGTGAGGCATTCCGTCAAAATGAGGCAGGGACCTAGGGCTTTCTCTAAGGTCTCCACAGGGGATTCAGACATCCCTTCATGTTGTGAGATGAAAGACGAGCATGTATTCAAGCCACTGCAAGGAAATCCGGCCTCCTTTCAAGTTATGGCTTCTCGCTGTATATTCCCCTTGAGGCAGCAAACTCGGGGTCCCTCCCACATACCTATTGCTGAGAGAAGCCTCCTCCTGAGGTGCTTCTGGAAAGTTGGCATACGTCTTGAGCCTAAGCCAGGGAATCAGCTCTCATCTCGAGACGATTTTGGGTTCACGGAGAATTCCTCGAGTTGCTGTGCTGAAGTTGGTGTTCCTCTAGACTTGGGACAGTGTTCTCGGGGCATCTCTGGAGTTGCCTGAAGGAAGTCGAGCCACCGGTCGTGTTGAATGGGAAACGGGGAATCTCTCTGGAGTCAATTCAGGGGAATCCGGCCTCATCTCGAGTTGATTTGGGGCACATGGAGCTGCTTTGCGTTGCTGGGGTGACCTCAGGGTCCGTCTAGACTGGTGACAGTGTTCTTGGGGACTGTCTCGAGATCCATTAAGCAAGTCGAAGATCCTGACTTGTTTGAATGGGATCACGGAATAGCTCTGCATGCACTGCAGGGGAATGGGGCCTCATCTCGAATCTAGGGGGAAGTCTCATGGTTTTTCTCGAGTTGCGGCGGGGACCTGGGGTATGTTCTCGACTTACGGCGGGGATGGCCCTTAAAAACACGAGTTTCTTCAGTGACGTCAGGACTCCTGTGTAATAACGAGGTACACCTCAGGAATCTCTTCGAGGCTTGGCAGGGCAAAAGGGACGCTTCTCGAGGTGAGGCAGGGCACCCAAGGACCCTTTCCAGTAGCCACAGGGATTTTCGGATTCCTATCAGTATTCAAGAGGAGTCAGGCATCGTCACCTTTTGAAGCAATGAACTCTGCGTGCCTCTCGAGGTGTCAGCGGGATGTGAGGCATTCCGTCAAAATGAGGCAGGGACCTAGGGCTTTCTCTAAGGTCTCCACAGGGGATTCAGACATCCCTTCATGTTGTGAGATGAAAGACGAGCCTGTGTTCAAGCCACTGCAAGGATATCCGGCCTCCTTTCAAGTTAGCGCTTCTCGCTGTATATTCCCCTTGAGGCAGCATACTCGGGGTCAACCCCACATACCTATTGCTGAGAGAAGCCTCCTCCTGAGGTGCTTCTGGAAAGTTGGCATACGTCTTGAGCCTAAGCCAGGGAATCAGCTCTCATCTCGAGACGATTTGGGGTACACGGAGAATTCCTCGAGTTGCTGTGTTGAAGTTGGTGTTCCTCTAGACTTGGGACAGTGTTCTCGGGGCATCTCTGGAGTTGCCTGAAGGAAGTCGAGCCACCGGTCCTGTTGAATGGGGAATGGGGAATGGCTCTGGAGTCAATGCAGGGGAATCGGGCCTCATCTCGAGTTGATTTGGGGCACATGGAGCTGCTTTGCGTTGCTGGGGTGACCTCAGGGTCCGTCTAGACTGGTGACAGTGTTCTTGGGGACTGTCTCGAGATCCATTAAGCAAGTCGAAGCTCCTGACTTGTTTGAATGGGATCACGGAATAGCTCTGCATGCACTGCAGGGGAATGGGGACTCATCTCACCTCTAGGGGGAAGTCTCATGGTTTTTCTCGAGTTGCGGCGGGGACCTGGGGTATGTTCTCGACTTACGGCGGGGATGGCCCTTCAAAACACGAGTTTCTTCAGTGACGTCAGGACTCCTGTGTAATAACGAGGTACACCTCAGGAATCTCTTTGAGGCTTGGCAGGGCAAAAGGGACGCTTCTCGAGGTGAGGCAGGGCACCCAAGGACCCTTTCCAGTAGCCACAGGGATTTTCGGATTCCTATCAGTATTCAAGAGAAGTCAGGCATCGTCACCTTTTGAAGCAATGAACTCCGTGTGCCTCTCGAGGTGTCAGCGGGATGTGAGGCATTCCGTCAAAATGAGGCAGGGACCTAGGGCTTTCTCTAAGGTCTCCACAGGGGATTCAGACATCCCTTCATGTTGTGAGATGAAACACGAGCCTGTATTCAAGCCACTGCAAGGAAATCCGGCCTCCTTTCAAGTTAGGGCTTCTCGCTGTATATTCCCCTTGAGGCAGCAAACTCGGGGTCCCTCCCACATATCTATTGCTGAGAGAAGCCTCCTCCTGAGGTGCTTCTGGAAAGTTGGCATACGTCTTGAGCCTAAGCCAGGGAATCAGCTCTCATCTCGAGACGATTTTGGGTACACGGAGAATTCCTCGAGTTGCTGTGCTGAAGTTGGTGTTCCTCTAGACTTGGGACAGTGTTCTCGGGGCATCTCTGGAGTTGCCTGAAGGAAGTCGAGCCACCGGTCGTGTTGAATGGGAAACGGGGAATCTCTCTGGAGTAAATTCAGGGGAATCCGGCCTCATCTCGAGTTGATTTGGGGCACATGGAGCTGCTTTGCGTTGCTGGGGTGACCTCAGGGTCCGTCTAGACTGGTGACAGTGTTCTTGGGGACTGTCTCGAGATCCATTAAGCAAGTCGAAGCTCCTGACTTGTTTGAATGGGATCACGGAATAGCTCTGCATGCACTGCAGGGGAATGGGGCCTCATCTCGAATCTAGGGGGAAGTCTCATGGTTTTTCTCGAGTTGCGGCGGGGACCTTGGGTATGTTCTCGACTTACGGCGGGGATGGCCCTTAAAAACACGAGTTTCTTCAGTGACGTCAGGACTCCTGTGTAATAACGAGGTACACCTCAGGAATCTCTTCGAGGCTTGGCAGGGCAAAAGGGACGCTTCTCGAGGTGAGGCAGGGCACCCAAGGACCCTTTCCAGTAGCCACAGGGATTTTCGGATTCCTATCAGTATTCAAGAGGAGTCAGGCATCGTCACCTTTTGAAGCAATGAACTCTGTGTGCCTCTCGAGGTGTCAGCGGGATGTGAGGCATTCCGTCAAAATGAGGCAGGGACCTAGGGCTTTCTCTAAGGTCTCCACAGGGGATTCAGACATCCCTTCATGTTGTGAGATGAAAGACGAGCCTGTGTTCAAGCCGCTGCAAGGATATCCGGCCTCCTTTCAAGTTAGCGCTTCTCGCTGTATATTCCCCATGAGGCAGCATACTCGGGGTCAACCCCACATACCTATTGCTGAGAGAAGCCTCCTCCTGAGGTGCTTCTGGAAAGTTGGCATACGTCTTGAGCCTAAGCCAGGGAATCAGCTCTCATCTCGAGACGATTTGGGGTACACGGAGCATTCCTCGAGTTGCTGTGCTGAAGTTGGTGTTCCTCTAGACTTGGGACAGTGTTCTCGGGGCATCTCTGGAGTTGCCTGAAGGAAGTAGAGCCACCGGTCGTGTTGAATGGGGAATGGGGAATGGCTCTGGAGTCAATGCAGGGGAATCGGGCCTCATCTCGAGTTGATTTGGGGCACATGGAGCTGCTTTGCGTTGCTGGGCTGACCTCAGGGTCCGTCTAGACTGGTGAAAGTGTTCTTGGGGACTGTCTCGAGATCCATTAAGCAAGTCGAAGCTCCTGACTTGTTTGAATGGGATCACGGAATAGCTCTGCATGCACTGCAGGGGAATGGGGCCTCATCTCGCCTCTAGGGGGAAGTCTCATGGTTTTTCTCGAGTTGCGGTGGGGACCTGGGTTATGTTCTCGACTTACGGCGGGGATCGCCCTTCAAAACACGAGTTCCTTCAGTGACGTCAGGACTCCTGTCTAGTAACGAGGGACACCTCAGGAATCTCTTCGAGGCTTGGCAGGGCAAAAGGGACGCTTCTCGAGGTGAGGCAGGGCACCCAAGGACCCTTTCCAGTAGCCACAGGGATTTTGGTATTCCTATCAGTATTCAAGAGGAGTCAGGCATCGTCACATTTTGAAGCAGTGAACTCCGCGTGCCTCTCGAGGTGTCAGCGGGATGTGAGGCATTCCGTCAAAATGACGCAGGGACCTAGGGCTTTCTCTAAGGTCTCCACAGGGCATTCAGACATCCCTTCATGTTGTGAGATGAAACACGAGCCTGTATTCAAGCCACTGCAAGGAAATCCGGCCTCCTTTCAAGTTAGGGCTTCTCGCTGTATATTCCCCTAGAGGCAGCAAACTCGGGTCCCTCCCACATACCTATTGCTGAGAGAAGCCTCCTCCTGAGGTGCTTCTGGAAAGTTGGCATACGTCTTGAGCCTAAGCCAGGGAATCAGCTCTCATCTCGAGACGATTTGGGGTACACGGAGCATTCCTCGAGTTGCTGTGCTTAAGGTGGTGTTCCTCTAGACTACGGACAGTGTTCTTGGGGCATCTCTGGAGTTGCCTGAAGGAAGTCGAGCCACCGGTCGTGTTGAATGGGGAACGGGGAATCTCTCTGGAGTCAATGCAGGGGAATCCGGCCTCATCTCGAGTTGATTTGGGGCACATGGAGCTGCTTTGCGTTGCTGGGTTGACCTCAGGGTCCGTCTAGACTGGTGACAGTGTTCTTGGGGACTGTCTCGAGATCCATTAAGCAAGTCGAAGCTCCTGACTTGTTTGAATGGGATCACGGAATAGCTCTGCATGCACTGCAGGGGAATGGGGACTCATCTCGCCTCTATGGGGAAGTCTCATGGTTTTTCTCGAATTGCGGCGGGGACCTGGGGTATGTTCTCGACTTACGGCGGGGATGGCCCTTCAAAACACGAGTTTCTTCAGTGACGTCAGGACTCCTGTGTAATAACGAGGTACACCTCAGGAATCTCTTCGAGGCTTGGCAGGGCAAAAGGGACGCTTCTCGAGGTGAGGCAGGGCACCCAAGGACCCTTTCCAGTAGCCACAGGGATTTTGGGATTCCTATCAGTATTCAAGAGGAGTCAGGCATCGTCACCTTTTGAAGCAATGAACTCCGTGTGCCTCTCGAGGTGTCAGCGGGATGTGAGGCATTCCGTCAAAATGAGGCAGGGACCTAGGGCTTTCTCTATGGTCTCCACAGGGGATTCAGACATCCCTTCATGTTGTGAGATGAAACACGAGCCTGTATTCAAGCCACTGCAAGGAAATCCGGCCTCCTTTCAAGTTAGGGCTTCTCGCTGTATATTCCCCTTGAGGCAGCAAACTCGGGGTCCCTCCCACATATCTATTGCTGAGAGAAGCCTCCTCCTGAGGTGCTTCTGGAAAGTTGGCATACGTCTTGAGCCTAAGCCAGGGAATCAGCTCTCATCTCGAGACGATTTTGGGTACACGGAGAATTCCTCGAGTTGCTGTGCTGAAGTTGGTGTTCCTCTAGACTTGGGACAGTGTTCTCGGGGCATCTCTGGAGTTGCCTGAAGGAAGTCGAGCCACCGGTCGTGTTGAATGGGGAACGGGGAATGGCTCTGGAGTCAATGCAGGGGAATCGGGCCTCATCTCGAGTTGATTTGGGGCACATGGAGCTGCTTTGCGTTGCTGGGCTGACCTCAGGGTCCGTCTAGACTGGTGACAGTGTTCTTGGGGACTCTCTCGAGATCCATTAAGCAAGTCGAAGCTCCTGACTTGTTTGAATGGGATCACGGAATAGCTTTGCTTGCACTGCAGGGGAATGGGGCCTCATCTCGCCTCTAGGGGGAAGTCTCATGGTTTTTCTCGAGTTGCGGCTGGGACCTGGGGTATGTTCTCGACTTACGGCGGGGATGGCCCTTCAAAACACGAGTTTCTTCAGTGACGTCAGGACTCCTGTCTAGTAACGAGGGACAATTCAGGAATCTCTTCGAGGCTTGACAGGGCAAAAGGGACGCTTCTCGAGGTGAGGCAGGGCACCCAAGGACCCTTTCCAGTAGCCACAGGGATTTTCGGATTCCTATCAGTATTCAAGAGGAGTCAGGCATCGTCACCTTTTGAAGCATTGAACTCCGTGTGCCTCTCAAGGTGTCAGAGGGATGTGAGGCATTCTGTCAAAATGAGGCAGGGACCTAGGGCTTTCTCTAAGGTCTCCACAGGGGATTCAGACATCCCTTCATGTTGTGAGATGAAAGACGAGCCTGTATTCAAGCCACTGCAAGGATATCTGGCCTCCGTTCAAGTTACGGCTTCTCGCTGTATATTCCCCTTGAGGCAGCAAACTCGGGGTCCCTCCCACATACTTATTGCTGAGAGAAGCCTCCTCCTGAGGTGCTTCTGGAAAGTTGGCATACGTCTTGAGCCTAAGCCAGGGAATCAGCTCTCATCTCGAGACGATTTGGGGTACACGGAGCATTCCTCGAGTTGCTGTGCTGAAGATGGTGTTCCTCTAGACTTGGGACAGTGTTCTCGGGGCATCTCTGCAGTTGCCTGAAGGAAGTCGAGCCACCGGTCGTGTTGAATGGGGAACGGGGAATGGCTCTGGAGTCAATGCAGGGGAATCGGGCCTCATCTCGAGTTGATTTGGGGCACATGGTGCTGCTTTGCGTTGCTGGGCTGACCTCAGGGTCCGTCTAGACTGGTGACAGTGTTCTTGGGGACTGTCTCGAGATCCATTAAGCAAGTCGAAGCTCCTGACTTGTTTGAATGGGATCACGGAATAGCTCTGCATGCACTGCAGGGGAATGGGGACTCATCTCGCCTCTAGGGGGAAGTCTCATGGTTTTTCTAGAGTTGCGGCGGGGACCTGGGGTATGTTCTCGACTTACGGCGGGGATGGCCCTTAAAAACACGAGTTTCTTCAGTGACGTCAGGACTCCAGTGTAATAACGAGGTACACCTCAGGAATCTCTTCGAGGCTTGGCAGGGCAAAAGGGACGCTTCTCGAGGTGAGGCAGGGCACCCAAGGACCCTTTCCAGTAGCCACAGGGATTTTGGGATTCCTATCAGTATTCAAGAGGAGTCAGGCATCGTCACCTTTTGAAGAAATGAACTCTGCGTGATTCTCGAGGTGTCAGCGGGATGTGAGGCATTCCGTCAAAATGAGGCAGGGAACTAGGGCTTTCTCTAAGGTCTCCACAGGGGATTCAGGCATCCCTTCATGTTGTGAGATGAAACACGAGCCTGTATTCAAGCCACTGCAAGGAAATCCGGCCTCCTTTCAAGTTAGGGCTTCTCGCTGTATATTCCCCTTGAGGCAGCATACTCGGGGTCCCTCCCACATACCTATTGCTGAGAGAAGCCTCCTCCTGAGGTGCTTCTGGAAAGTTGGCATACGTCTTGAGCCTAAGCCAGGGAATCAGCTCTCATCTCGAGACGATTTTTGGTACACGGAGCATTCCCCGAGTTGCTGTGCTGAAGTTGGTGTTCCTCTAGACTTGGGACAGTGTTCTCGGGGCATCTCTGCAGTTGCCTGAAGGAAGTCGAGCCACCGGTCGTGTTGAATGGGGAACGGGAAATGGCTCTGGAGTCAATGCAGGGGAATCGGGCCTCATCTCGAGTTGATTTGGGGCACATGGTGCTGCTTTGCGTTGCTGGGCTGACCTCAGGGTCCGTCTAGACTGGTGACAGTGTTCTTGGGGACTCTCTCGAGATCCATTAAGCAAGTCGAAGCTCCTGACTTGTTTGAATGGGATCACGGAATAGCTCTGCATGCACTGCAGGGGAATGGGGCCTCATCTCGCCTCTAGGGGGAAGTCTCATGGTTTTTCTCGAGTTGCGGCGGGGACCTGGGGTATGTTCTCGACTTACGGCGGGGATGGCCCTTCAAAACACGAGTTTCTTCAGTGACGTCAGGACTCCAGTGTAATAACGAGGTACACCTCAGGAATCTCTTCGAGGCTTGGCAGGGCAAAAGGGACGCTTCTCGAGGTGATGCAGGGCAACCAAGGACCCTTTCCAGTAGCCACAGGGATTTTGGGATTCCTATCAGTATTCAAGAGGAGTCAGGCATCGTCACCTTTTGAAGCAATGAACTCTGCGTGATTCTCGAGGTGTCAGCGGGATGTGAGGCATTCCGTCAAAATGAGGCAGGGAACTAGGGCTTTCTCTAAGGTCTCCACAGGGGATTCAGACATCCCTTCATGTTGTGAGATGAAACACGAGCCTGTATTCAAGCCACTGCAAGGAAATCCGGCCTCCTTTCAAGTTAGGGCTTCTCGCTGTATATTCCCCTTGAGGCAGCATACTCGGGGTCCCTCCCACATACCTATTGCTGAGAGAAGCCTCCTCCTGAGGTGCTTCTGGAAAGTTGGCATACGTCTTGAGCCTAAGCCAGGGAATCAGCTCTCATCTCGAGACGATTTGTGGTACACGGAGCATTCCCCGAGTTGCTGTGCTGAAGTTGGTGTTCCTCTAGACTACGGACAGTGTTCTGGGGGCATCTCTGGAGTTGCCTGAAGGAAGTCGAGCCAAGGGTCGTGTTGAATGGGGAACGGGGAATGGCTCTAGAGTCAATGCAGGGGAATCGGGCCTCATCTCGAGTTGATTTGGGGAACATGGAGCTGCTTTGCGTTGCTGGGGTGACCTCAGGGTCCGTCTAGACTGGTGACAGTGTTCTTGGGGACTGTCTCGAGATCCATTAAGCAAGTCGAAGCTCCTGACTTGTTTGAATGGGATCACGGAATAGCTCTGCATGCACTGCAGGGGAATGGGGCCTCATCTCGCCTCTAGGGGGAAGTCTCATGGTTTTTCTCGAGTTGCGGCGGGGACCTGGGGTATGTTCTCGACTTACGGCGGGGATGGCCCTTCAAAACACGAGTTTCTTCAGTGACGTCAGGACTCCTGTGTAATAACGAGGTACACCTCAGGAATCTCTTCGAGGCTTGGCAGGGCAAAAGGGACGCTTCTCGAGGTGAGGCAGGGCACCCAAGGACCCTTTCCAGTAGCCACAGGGATTTTCGGATTCCTATCAGTATTCAAGAGGAGTCAGGCATCGTCACCTTTTGAAGCAATGAACTCCGTGTGCCTCTCGAGGTGTCAGCGGGATGTGAGGCATTCCGTCAAAATGAGGCAGGGACCTACCGCTTTCTCTAAGGTCTCCACAGGGGATTCAGACATCCCTTCATGTTGTGAGATGAAACACGAGCCTGTATTCAATCCACTGCAAGGAAATCCGGCCTCCTTTCAAGTTAGGGTTTCTCGCTGTATATTCCCCTTGAGGCAGCAAACTCGGGGTCCCTCCCACATACCTATTGCTGAGAGAAGCCTCCTCCTGAGGTGCTTCTGGAAAGTTGGCATATGTCTTGAGCCTAAGCCAGGGAATCAGCTCTCATCTCGAGACGATTTGTGGTACAAGGAGCATTCCCCAAGTTGCTATTCTGAAGTTGGTGTTCCTCTAGACTACGGACAGTGTTCTCGGGGCATCTCTGGAGTTGCCTGAAGGAAGTCGACCCACCGGTCTTGTTGAATGGGGAACGGGGAATGGCTCTGGAGTCAATGCAGGGGAATTGGGCCTCATCTCGAGTTGATTTGGGGCATATGGAGCTGCTTTGCGTTGCAGGGGTGACCTCAGGGTCCGTCTAGACTGGTGACAGTGTTCTTGGGGACTGTCTCGAGATCCATTAAGCAAGTCGAAGCTCCTGACTTGTTTGAATGGGATCACGGAATAGCTCTGCATGCACTGCAGGGGAATGGGGCCTCATCTCGCCTCTAGGGGGAAGTCTCATGGTTTTTCTCGAATTGCGGCGGGGACCTGGGGTATGTTCTCGACTTACGGCGGGGATCGCCCTTCAAAACAGGAGTTCCTTCAGTGACGTCAGGACTCCTGTCTAGTAACGAGGGACACCTCAGGAATCTCTTCGAGGCTTGGCAGGGCAAAAGGGACGCTTCGCGAGGTGAGGCAGGGCACCCAAGGACCCTTTCCAGTAGCCACAGGGATTTGGGGATTCCTATCAGTATTCAAGAGGAGTCAGGCATCGTCACCTTTTGAAGCAATGAACTCTGCGTGCCTCTCGAGGTGTCAGCGGGATGTGAGGCATTCCGTCAAAATGAGGCAGGGACCTAGGGCTTTCTCTAAGGTCTCCATAGGGGATTCAGACATCCCTTCATGTTGTGAGATGAAAGACGAGCCTGTGTTCAAGCCACTGCAAGGATATCCGGCCTCCTTTCAAGTTAGCGCTTCTCGCTGTATATTCCCCTTGAGGCAGCATACTCGGGGTCAACCCCACATACCTATTGCTGAGAGAAGCCTCCTCCTGAGGTGCTTCTGGAAAGTTGGCATACGTCTTGAGCCTAAGCCAGGGAATCAGCTCTCATCTCGAGACGATTTGGGGTACACGGAGAATTCCTCGAGTTGCTGTGCTGAAGTTGGTGTTCCTCTAGACTTGGGACAGTGTTCTCGGGGCATCTCTGGAGTTGCCTGAAGGAAGTCGAGGCACCGGTCGTGTTGAATGGGGAACGGGGAATGGCTCTGGAGTCAATGCAGGGGAATCGGGCCTCATCTCGAGTTGATTTGGGGCACATGGAGCTGCTTTGCGTTGCTGGGTTGACCTCAGGGTCCGTCTAGACTGGTGACAGTGTTCTTGGGGACTCTCTCGAGATCCATTAAGCAAGTCGAAGCTCCTGACTTGTTTGAATGGGATCACGGAATAGCTCTGCATGCACTGCAGGGGAATGGGGCCTCATCTCGCCTCTAGGGGGATGTCTCATGGTTTTTCTCGAGTTGCGGCGGGGACCTGGGGTATGTTCTCGACTTACGGCGGGGATGGCCCTTCAAAACACGAGTTTCTTCAGTGACGTCAGGACTCCTGTCTAGTAACGAGGGACAACTCAGGAATCTCTTCGAGGCTTGACAGGGCAAAAGGGACGCTTCTCGAGGTGAGGCAGGGCACCCAAGGACCCTTTCCAGTAGCCACAGGGATTTTCGGATTCCTATCAGTTTTCAAGAGGAGTCAGGCATCGTCACCTTTTGAAGCATTGAACTCCGTGTGCCTCTCAAGGTGTCAGAGGGATGTGAGGCATTCTGTCAAAATGAGGCAGGGACCTAGGGCTTTCTCTAAGGTCTCCACAGGGGATTCAGACATCCCTTCATGTTGTGAGATGAAAGACGAGCCTGTATTCAAGCCACTGCAAGGATATCTGGCCTCCTTTCAAGTTACGGCTTCTCGCTGTATATTCCCCTTGAGGCAGCAAACTCGGGGTCCCTCCCACATACTTATTGCTGAGAGAAGCCTCCTCCTGAGGTGCTTCTGGAAAGTTGGCATACGTCTTGAGCCTAAGCCAGGGAATCAGCTCTCATCTCGAGACGATTTGGGGTACACGGAGCATTCCTCGAGTTGCTGTGCTGAAGTTGGTGTTCCTCTAGACTTGGGACAGTGTTCTCGGGGCATCTCTGCAGTTGCCTGAAGGAAGTCGAGCCACCGGTCGTGTTGAATGGGGAACGGGGAATGGCTCTGGAGTCAATGCAGGGGAATCGGGCCTCATCTCGAGTTGATTTGGGGCACATGGTGCTGCTTTGCGTTGCTGGGTTGACCTCAGGGTCCGTCTAGACTGGTGACAGTGTTCTTGGGGACTGTCTCGAGATCCATTAAGCAAGTCGAAGCTCCTGACTTGTTTGAATGGGATCACGGAATAGCTCTGCATGCACTGCAGGGGAATGGGGCCTCATCTCGCCTCTAGGGGGAAGTCTCATGGTTTTTCTAGAGTTGCGGCGGGGACCTGGGGTATGTTCTCGACTTACGGCGGGGATGTCCCTTCAAAACACGAGTTTCTTCAGTGACGTCAGGACTCCAGTGTAATAACGAGGTACACCTCAGGAATCTCTTCGAGGCTTGGCAGGGCAAAAGGGACGCTTCTCGAGGTGATGCAGGGCACCCAAGGACCCTTTCCAGTAGCCACAGGGATTTTGGGATTCCTATCAGTATTCAAGAGGAGTCAGGCATCGTCACCTTTTGAAGCAATGAACTCTGCGTGATTCTCGAGGTGTCAGCGGGATGTGAGGCATTCCGTCAAAATGAGGCAGGGAACTAGGGCTTTCTCTAAAGTCTCCACAGGGGATTCAGACATCCCTTCATGTTGTGAGATGAAACACGAGCCTGTATTCAAGCCACTGCAAGGAAATCCGGCCTCCTTTCAAGTTAGGGCTTCTCGATGTATATTCCCCTTGAGGCAGCATACTCGGGGTCCCTCCCACATACCTATTGCTGAGAGAAGCCTCCTCCTGAGGTGCTTCTGGAAAGTTGGCATACGTCTTGAGCCTAAGCCAGGGAATCAGCTCTCATCTCGAGACGATTTTTGGTACACGGAGCATTCCCCGAGTTGCTGTGCTGAAGTTGGTGTTCCTCTAGACTACGGACAGTGTTCTGGGGGCATCTCTGGAGTTGCCTGAAGGAAGTCGAGCCACCGGTCGTGTTGAATGGGGAACGGGGAATGGCTCTAGAGTCAATGCAGGGGAATCGGGCCTCATCTCGAGTTGATTTGGGGCACATGGAGCTGCTTTGCGTTGCTGGGGTGACCTCAGGGTCCGTCTAGACTGGTGACAGTGTTCTTGGGGACTGTCTCGAGATCCATTAAGCAAGTCGAAGCTCCTGACTTGTTTGAATGGGATCACGGAATAGCTCTGCATGCACTGCAGGGGAATGGGGCCTCATCTCGCCTCTAGGGGGAAGTCTCATGGTTTTTCTCGAGTTGTGGCAGGGACCTGGGGTATGTTCTCGACTTACGGCGGGGATCGCCCTTCAAAACACGAGTTCCTTCAGTGACGTCAGGACTCCTGTCTAGTAACGAGGGACACCTCAGGAATCTCTTCGAGGCTTGGCAGGGCAAAAGGGACGCTTCTCGAGGTGAGGCAGGGCACCCAAGGACCCTTTCCAGTAGCCACAGGGATTTTGGGATTCCTATCAGTATTCAAGAGGAGTCAGGCATCGTCACCTTTTGAAGCAATGTACTCTGCGTGCCTCTCGAGGTGTCAACGGGATGTGAGCCATTCCGTCAAAATGAGGCAGGGACCTAGGGCTTTCTCTAAGGTCTCCACAGGGGATTCAGACATCCCTTCATGTTGTGAGATGAAAGACGAGCCTGTGTACAAGCCACTGCAAGGATATCCGGCCTCCTTTCAAGTTAGCGCTTCTCGCTGTATATTCCCCTTGAGGCAGCATACTCGGGGTCCCTCCCACATACCTATTGCTGAGAGAAGCCTCCTCCTGAGGTGCTTCTGGAAAGTTGGCATACGTCTTGAGCCTAAGCCAGGGAATCAGCTCTCATCTCGAGACGATTTGGGGTACACGGAGAATTCCTCGAGTTGCTGTGCTGAAGTTGGTGTTCCTCTAGACTTGGGACAGTGTTCTCGGGGCATCTCTGGAGTTGCCTGAAGGAAGTCGAGCCACCGGTCGTGTTGAATGGGGAACGGGGAATGGCTTTGGAGTCAATACAGGGGAATCGGGCCTCATCTCGAGTTGATTTGGGGCACATGGAGCTGCTTTGCGTTGCTGGGTTGACCTCAGGGTCCGTCTAGACTGGTGACAGTGTTCTTGGGGACTGTCTCGAGATCCATTAAGCAAGTCGAAGCTCCTGACTTGTTTGAATGGGATCACGGAATAGCTCTGCATGCACTGCAGGGGAATGGGTCCTCATCTCGCCTCTAGGGGGAAGTCTCATGGTTTTTCTCGAGTTGCGGCGGGGACCTGGGGTATGTTCTCGACTTACGGCGGGATGGCCCTTCAAAACATGAGTTCCTTCAGTGACGTCAGGACTCCTGTCTAGTAATGAGGAACACCTCAGGAATCTCTTCGAGGCTTGGCAGGGCAAAAGGGACGCTTCTCGAGGTGAGGCAGGGCACCCAAGGACCCTTTCCAGTAGCCACAGGGATTTTGGGATTCCTATCAGTATTCAAGAGGAGTCAGGCATCGTCACATTCTGAAGCAATGAACTCCGTGTGCCTCTCGAGGTGTCAGCGGGATGTGAGACATTCCGTCAAAATGAGGCAGGGACTTAGGGCTTTCTCTAAGGTCTCCACAGGGGATTCAGACATCCCTTCATGTTGTGAGATGAAACACGAGCCTGTATTCAAGCCACTGCAAGGAAATCCGGCCTCCTTTCCAGTTAGGGCTTCTCGCTGTATATTCCCCTTGAGGCAGCAAACTCGGGGTCCCTCCCACATATCTATTGCTGAGAGAAGCCTCCTCCTGAGGTGCTTCTGGAAAGTTGGAATACGTCTTGAGCCTAAGCCAGGGAATCAGCTCTCATCTCGAGACGATTTTGGGTACACGGAGCATTCCTCGAGTTGCTGTGCTGAAGTTGGTGTTCCTCTAGACTTGGGACAGTGTTCTCGGGGCATCTCTGGAGTTGCCTGAAGGAAGTCGAGCCACCGGTCGTGTTGAATGGGGAACGGTGAATGGCTCTGGAGTCAATGCAGGGGAATCGGGCCTCATCTCGAGTTGATTTGGGGCACATGGAGCTGCTTTGCATTGCTGGGCTGACCTCAGGGTCCGTCTAGACTGGTGACAGTGTTCTTGGGGACTCTCTCGAGATCCATTAAGCAAGTCGAAGCTCCTGACTTGTTTGAATGGGATCACGGAATAGCTCTGCATGCACTGCAGGGGAATGGGTCCTCATCTCGCCTCTAGGGGGAAGTCTCATGGTTTTTCTCGAGTTGCGGCGGGGACCTGGGGTATGTTCTCGACTTACGGCGGGGATGGCCCTTCAAAACACGAGTTTCTTCAGTGACGTCAGGACTCCTGTCTAGTAACGAGGGACAACTCAGGAATCTCTTCGAGGCTTGACAGGGCAAAAGGGACGCTTCTCGAGGTGAGGCAGGGCACCCAAGGACCCTTTCCAGTAGCCACAGGGATTTTCGGATTCCTATCAGTATTCAAGAGGAGTCAGGCATCGTCACCTTTTGAAGCATTGAACTCCGTGTGCCTCTCAAGGTGTCAGAGGGATGTGAGGCATTCCGTCAAAATGAGGCAGGGACCTAGGGCTTTCTCTAAGGTCTCCACAGGGGATTCAGACATCCCTTCATGTTGTGAGATGAAAGACGAGCCTGTATTCAAGCCACTGCAAGGATATCTGGCCTCCTTTCAAGTTACGGCTTCTCGCTGTATATTCCCCTTGAGGCAGCAAACTCCGGGTCCCTCCCACATACTTATTGCTGAGAGAAGCCTCCTCCTGAGGTGCTTCTGGAAAGTTGGCATACGTCTTGAGCCTAAGCCAGGGAATCAGCTCTCATCTCGAGACGATTTGGGGTACACGGAGCATTCCTCGAGTTGCTGTGCTGAAGTTGGTGTTCCTCTAGACTTGGGACAGTGTTCTCGGGGCATCTCTGCAGTTGCCTGAAGGAAGTCGAGCCACCGGTCGTGTTGAATGGGGAACGGGAAATGGCTCTGGAGTCAATGCAGGGGAATCGGGCCTCATCTCGAGTTGATTTGGGGCACATGGTGCTGCTTTGCGTTGCTGGGCTGACCTCAGGGTCCGTCTAGACTGGTGACAGTGTTCTTGGGGACTCTCTCGAGATCCATTAAGCAAGTCGAAGCTCCTGACTTGTTTGAATGGGATCACGGAATAGCTCTGCATGCACTGCAGGGGAATGGGGCCTCATCTCGCCTCTAGGGGGAAGTCTCATGGTTTTTCTAGAGTTGCGGCGGGGACCTGGGGTATGTTCTCGACTTACGGCGGGGATGGCCCTTCAAAACACGAGTTTCTTCAGTGACGTCAGGACTCCAGTGTAATAACGAGGTACACCTCAGGAATCTCTTCGAGGCTTGGCAGGGCAAAAGGGACGCTTCTCGAGGTGATGCAGGGCACCCAAGGACCCTTTCCAGTAGCCACAGGGATTTTGGGATTCCTATCAGTATTCAAGAGGAGTCAGGCATCGTCACCTTTTGAAGCAATGAACTCTGCGTGATTCTCGAGGTGTCAGCGGGATGTGAGGCATTCCGTCAAAATGAGGCAGGGACCTAGGGCTTTCTCTAAGGTCTCCACATGGGATTCAGACATCCCTTCATGTTGTGAGATGAAAGACGAGCCTGTATTCAAGCCACTGCAAGGAAATCCGGCCTCCTTTCAAGTTAGGGCTTCTCGCTGTATATTCCCCTTGAGGCAGCATACTCGGGGTCCCTCCCACATACCTATTGCTGAGAGAAGCCTCCTCCTGAGGTGCTTCTGGAAAGTTGGCATACGTCTTGAGCCTAAGCCAGGGAATCAGCTCTCATCTCGAGACGATTTGTGGTACACGGAGCATTCCCCGAGTTGCTGTGCTGAAGTTGGTGTTCCTCTAGACTACGGACAGTGTTCTGGGGGCATCTCTGGAGTTGCCTGAAGGAAGTCGAGCCACCGGTCGTGTTGAATGGGGAACGGGGAATGGCTCTAGAGTCAATGCAGGGGAATCGGGCCTCATCTCGAGTTGATTTGGGGAACATGGAGCTGCTTTGCGTTGCTGGGGTGACCTCAGGGTCCGTCTAGACTGGTGACAGTGTTCTTGGGGACTGTCTCGAGATCCATTAAGCAAGTCGAAGCTCCTGACTTGTTTGAATGGGATCACGGAATAGCTCTGCATGCACTGCAGGGGAATTTGGCCTCATCTCGCCTCTAGGGGGAAGTCTCATGGTTTTTCTCGAGTTGCGGCGGGGACCTGGGGTATGTTCTCGACTTAAGGCGGGGATGGCCCTTCAAAACACGAGTTTCTTCAGTGACGTCAGGACTCCTGTGTAATAACGAGGTACACCTCAGGAATCTCTTCGAGGCTTGGCAGGGCAAAAGGGACGCTTCTCGAGGTGAGGCAGGGCACCCAAGGACCCTTTCCAGTAGCCACAGGGATTTTCGGATTCCTATCAGTATTCAAGAGGAGTCAGGCATCGTCACCTTTTGAAGCAATGAACTACGTGTGCCTCTCGAGGTGTCAGCGGGATGTGAGGCATTCCGTCAAAATGAGGCAGGGACCTACGGCTTTCTCTAAGGTCTCCACAGGGGATTCAGACATCCCTTCATGTTGTGAGATGAAACACGAGCCTGTATTCAATCCACTGCAAGGAAATCCGGCCTCCGTTCAAGTTAGGGCTTCTCGCTGTATATTCCCCTTGAGGCAGCAAACTCGGGGTCCCTCCCACATACCTATTGCTGAGAGAAGCCTCCTCCTGAGGTGCTTCTGGAAAGTTGGCATATGTCTTGAGCCTAAGCCAGGGAATCAGCTCTCATCTCGAGACGATTTGTGGTACAAGGAGCATTCCCCAAGTTGCTATTCTGAAGTTGGTGTTCCTCTAGACTACGGACAGTGTTCTCGGGGCATCTCTGGAGTTGCCTGAAGGAAGTCGAGCCACCGGTCTTGTTGAATGGGGAACGGGGAATGGCTCTGGAGTCAATGCAGGGGAATTGGGCCTCATCTCGAGTTGATTTGGGGCATATGGAGCTGCTTTGCGTTGCTGGGGTGACCTCAGGGTCCGTCTAGACTGGTGACAGTGTTCTTGGGGACTGTCTCGAGATCCATTAAGCAAGTCGAAGCTCCTGACTTGTTTGAATGGGATCACGGAATAGCTCTGCATGCACTGCAGGGGAATGGGGCCTCATCTCGCCTCTAGGGGGAAGTCTCATGGTTTTTCTCGAGTTGCGGCGGGGACCTGGGGTATGTTATCGATTTACGGCGGGGATCGCCCTTCAAAACAGGAGTTCCTTCAGTGACGTCAGGACTCCTGTCTAGTAACGAGGGACACCTCAGGAATCTCTTCGAGGCTTGGCAGGGCAAAAGGGACGCTTCTCGAGGTGAGGCAGGGCACCCAAGGACCCTTTCCAGTAGCCACAGGGATTTTGGGATTCCTATCAGTATTCAAGAGGAGTCAGGCATCGTCACCTTTTGAAGCAATGAACTCTGCGTGCCTCTCGAGGTGTCAGCGGGATGTGAGGCATTCCGTCAAAATGAGGCAGGGACCTAGGGCTTTCTCTAAGGTCTCCACAGGGGATTCAGACATCCCTTCATGTTGTGAGATGAAAGACGAGCCTGTGTTCAAGCCACTGCAAGGATATCCGGCCTCCTTTCAAGTTAGCGCTTCTCGCTGTATATTCCCCTTGAGGCAGCATACTCGGGGTCAACCCCACATACCTATTGCTGAGAGAAGCCTCCTCCTGAGGTGCTTCTGGAAAGTTGGCATACGTCTTGAGCCTAAGCCAGGGAATCAGCTCTCATCTCGAGACGATTTGGGGTACACGGAGAATTTCTCGAGTTGCTGTGTTGAAGTTGGTGTTCCTCTAGACTTGGGACAGTGTTCTCGGGGCATCTCTGGAGTTGCCTGAAGGAAGTCGAGCCACCGGTCCTGTTGAATGGGGAATGGGGAATGGCTCTGGAGTCAATGCAGGGGAATCGGGCCTCATCTCGAGTTGATTTGGGGCACATGGAGCAGCTTTGCGTTGCTGGGGTGACCTCAGGGTCCGTCTAGACTGGTGACAGTGTTCTTGGGGACTGTCTCGAGATCCATTAAGCAAGTCGAAGCTCCTGACTTGTTTGAATGGGATCACGGAATAGCTCTGCATGCACTGCAGGGGAATGGTGCCTCATCTCGCCTCTAGGGGGAAGTCTCATGGTTTTTCTCGAGTTGCGGCGGGGACCTGGGGTATGTTCTCGACTTACGGCGGGATGGCCCTTCAAAACATGAGTTCCTTCAGTGACGTCAGGACTCCTGTCTAGTAATGAGGAACACCTCAGGAATCTCTTCGAGGCTTGGCAGGGCAAAAGGGACGCTTCTCGAGGTGAGGCAGGGCACCCAAGGACCCATTCCAGTAGCCACAGGGATTTTCGGATTCCTATCAGTATTCAAGAGGAGTCAGGCATCGTCACCTTCTGAAGCAATGAACTCTGCGTGCCTCTCGAGTTGTCAGCGGGATGTGAGGCATTCCGTCAAAATGAGGCAGGGACCTAGGGCTTTCTCTAAGGTCTCCACAGGGGATTCAGACATCCCTTCATGTTGTGAGATGAAAGACGAGCCTGTATTCAAGCCACTGCAAGGAAATCCGGCCTCCTTTCAAGTTAGGGCTTCTCGCTGTATATTCCCCTTGAGGCAGCAAACTCGGGGTCCCTCCCACATATCTATTGCTGAGAGAAGCCTCCTCCTGAGGTGCTTCTGGAAAGTTGGCATACGTCTTGGGCCTAAGCCAGGGAATCAGCTCTCATCTCGAGACGATTTTGGGTACACGGAGCATTCCTCGAGTTGCTGTGCTGAAGTTGGTGTTCCTCTAGACTTGGGACAGTGTTCTCGGGGCATCTCTGGAGTTGCCTGAAGGAAGTCGAGCCACCGGTCGTGTTGAATGGGGATCGGGGAATGGCTCTGGAGTCAATGCAGGGGAATCGGGCCTCATCTCGAGTTGATTTGGGGCACATGGAGCTGCTTTGCGTTGCTGGGCTGACCTCAGGGTCCGTCTAGACTGGTGAAAGTGTTCTTGGGGACTGTCTCGAGATCCATTAAGCAAGTCGAAGCTCCTGACTTGTTTGAATGGGATCACGGAATAGCTCTGCATGCACTGCAGGGGAATGGGGCCTCATCTCGCCTCTAGGGGGAAGTCTCATGGTTTTTCTCGAGTTGCGGTGGGGAGCTGGGTTATGTTCTCGACTTACGGCGGGGATCGCCCTTCAAAACACGAGTTCCTTCAGTGACGTCAGGACTCCTGTCTAGTAATGAGGGACACCTCAGGAATCTCTTCGAGGCTTGGCAGGGCAAAAGGGACGCTTCTCGAGGTGAGGCAGGGCACCCAAGGACCCTTTCCAGTAGCCACAGGGATTTTGGGATTCCTATCAGTATTCAAGAGGAGTCAGGCATCGTCACCTTTTGAAGCAATGAACTCTGCGTGCCTCTCGAGGTGTCAGCGGGATGTGAGGCATTCCGTCAAAATGACGCAGGGACCTAGGGCTTTCTCTAAGGTCTCCACAGGGCATTCAGACATCCCTTCATGTTGTGAGATGAAAGACGAGCCTGTATTCAAGCCACTGCAAGGAAATCCGGCCTCCTTTTAAGTTAGGGCTTCTCGCTGTATATTCCCCTAGAGGCAGCAAACTCGGGTCCCTCCCACATACCTATTTCTGAGAGAAGCCTCCTCCTGAGGTGCTTCTGGAAAGTTGGCATATGTCTTGAGCCTAAGCCAGGGAATCAGCTCTCATCTCGAGACGATTTGGGGTACACGGAGCATTCCTCGAGTTGCTGTGCTTAAGGTGGTGTTCCTCTAGACTACGGACAGTGTTCTTGGGGCATCTCTGGAGTTGCCTGAAGGAAGTCGAGCCACCGGTCGTGTTGAATGGGGAACGGGGAATCTCTCTGGAGTCAATGCAGGGGAATCCGGCCTCATCTCGAGTTGATTTGGGGCACATGGAGCTGCTTTGCGTTGCTGGGGTGACCTCAGGGTCCGTCTAGACTGGTGACAGTGTTCTTGGGGACTGTCTCGAGATCCATTAAGCAAGTCGAAGCTCCTGACTTGTTTGAATGCGATCACGGAATAGCTCTGCATGCACTGCAGGGGAATGGGGCCTCATCTCGCCTCTAGGGGGAAGTCTCATGGTTTTTATCGAGTTGCGGCGGGGACTTGGGGTATGTTCTCGACTTACGGCGGGGATGGCCTTTCAAAACACGAGTTTCTTCAGTGACGTCAGGACTCCTGTGTAATAACGAGGTACACCTCAGGAATCTCTTCGAGGCTTGGCAGGGCAAAAGGGACGCTTCTCGAGGTGAGGCAGGGCACCCAAGGACCCTTTCCAGTAGCCACAGGGATTTTGGGATTCCTATCAGTATTCAAGAAGAGTCAGGCATCGTCACCTTTTGAAGCAATGAACTCTGGTGACTCTCGAGGTGTCAGCGGGATGTGAGGCATTCCGTCAAAATGAGGCAGGGACCTAGGGCTTTCTCTAAGGTCTCCACAGGGGATTCAGACATCCCTTCATGTTGTGAGATGAAAGACGAGCCTGTATTCAAGCCACTGCAAGGAAATCCGGCCTCCTTTCAAGTTATGGCTTCTCGCTGTATATTCCCCTTGAGGCAGCAAACTCGGGGTCCCTCCCACATACCTATTGCTGAGAGAAGCCTCCTCCTGAGGTGCTTCTGGAAAGTTGGCATACGTCTTGAGCCTAAGCCAGGGAATCAGCTCTCATCTCGAGACGATTTTGGGTTCACGGAGAATTCCTCGAGTTGCTGTGCTGAAGTTGGTGTTCCTCTAGACTTGGGACAGTGTTCTCGGGGCATCTCTGGAGTTGCCTGAAGGAAGTCGAGCCACCGGTCGTGTTGAATGGGAAACGGGGAATCTCTCTGGAGTCAATTCAGGGGAATCCGGCCTCATCTCGAGTTGATTTGGGGCACATGGAGCTGCTTTGCGTTGCTGGGGTGACCTCAGGGTCCGTCTAGACTGGTGACAGTGTTCTTGGGGACTGTCTCGAGATCCATTAAGCAAGTCGAAGATCCTGACTTGTTTGAATGGGATCACGGAATAGCTCTGCATGCACTGCAGGGGAATGGGGCCTCATCTCGAATCTAGGGGGAAGTCTCATGGTTTTTCTCGAGTTGCGGCGGGGACCTGGGGTATGTTCTCGACTTACGGCGGGGATGGCCCTTAAAAACACGAGTTTCTTCAGTGACGTCAGGACTCCTGTGTAATAACGAGGTACACCTCAGGAATCTCTTCGAGGCTTGGCAGGGCAAAAGGGACGCTTCTCGAGGTGAGGCAGGGCACCCAAGGACCCTTTCCAGTAGCCACAGGGATTTTCGGATTCCTATCAGTATTCAAGAGGAGTCAGGCATCGTCACCTTTTGAAGCAATGAACTCTGCGTGCCTCTCGAGGTGTCAGCGGGATGTGAGGCATTCCGTCAAAATGAGGCAGGGACCTAGGGCTTTCTCTAAGGTCTCCACAGGGGATTCAGACATCCCTTCATGTTGTGAGATGAAAGACGAGCCTGTGTTCAAGCCACTGCAAGGATATCCGGCCTCCTTTCAAGTTAGCGCTTCTCGCTGTATATTCCCCTTGAGGCAGCATACTCGGGGTCAACCCCACATACCTATTGCTGAGAGAAGCCTCCTCCTGAGGTGCTTCTGGAAAGTTGGCATACGTCTTGAGCCTAAGCCAGGGAATCAGCTCTCATCTCGAGACGATTTGGGGTACACGGAGAATTCCTCGAGTTGCTGTGTTGAAGTTGGTGTTCCTCTAGACTTGGGACAGTGTTCTCGGGGCATCTCTGGAGTTGCCTGAAGGAAGTCGAGCCACCGGTCCTGTTGAATGGGGAATGGGGAATGGCTCTGGAGTCAATGCAGGGGAATCGGGCCTCATCTCGAGTTGATTTGGGGCACATGGAGCTGCTTTGCGTTGCTGGGGTGACCTCAGGGTCCGTCTAGACTGGTGACAGTGTTCTTGGGGACTGTCTCGAGATCCATTAAGCAAGTCGAAGCTCCTGACTTGTTTGAATGGGATCACGGAATAGCTCTGCATGCACTGCAGGGGAATGGGGACTCATCTCACCTCTAGGGGGAAGTCTCATGGTTTTTCTCGAGTTGCGGCGGGGACCTGGGGTATGTTCTCGACTTACGGCGGGGATGGCCCTTCAAAACACGAGTTTCTTCAGTGACGTCAGGACTCCTGTGTAATAACGAGGTACACCTCAGGAATCTCTTTGAGGCTTGGCAGGGCAAAAGGGACGCTTCTCGAGGTGAGGCAGGGCACCCAAGGACCCTTTCCAGTAGCCACAGGGATTTTCGGATTCCTATCAGTATTCAAGAGAAGTCAGGCATCGTCACCTTTTGAAGCAATGAACTCCGTGTGCCTCTCGAGGTGTCAGCGGGATGTGAGGCATTCCGTCAAAATGAGGCAGGGACCTAGGGCTTTCTCTAAGGTCTCCACAGGGGATTCAGACATCCCTTCATGTTGTGAGATGAAACACGAGCCTGTATTCAAGCCACTGCAAGGAAATCCGGCCTCCTTTCAAGTTAGGGCTTCTCGCTGTATATTCCCCTTGAGGCAGCAAACTCGGGGTCCCTCCCACATATCTATTGCTGAGAGAAGCCTCCTCCTGAGGTGCTTCTGGAAAGTTGGCATACGTCTTGAGCCTAAGCCAGGGAATCAGCTCTCATCTCGAGACGATTTTGGGTACACGGAGAATTCCTCGAGTTGCTGTGCTGAAGTTGGTGTTCCTCTAGACTTGGGACAGTGTTCTCGGGGCATCTCTGGAGTTGCCTGAAGGAAGTCGAGCCACCGGTCGTGTTGAATGGGAAACGGGGAATCTCTCTGGAGTAAATTCAGGGGAATCCGGCCTCATCTCGAGTTGATTTGGGGCACATGGAGCTGCTTTGCGTTGCTGGGGTGACCTCAGGGTCCGTCTAGACTGGTGACAGTGTTCTTGGGGACTGTCTCGAGATCCATTAAGCAAGTCGAAGCTCCTGACTTGTTTGAATGGGATCACGGAATAGCTCTGCATGCACTGCAGGGGAATGGGGCCTCATCTCGAATCTAGGGGGAAGTCTCATGGTTTTTCTCGAGTTGCGGCGGGGACCTGGGGTATGTTCTCGACTTACGGCGGGGATGGCCCTTAAAAACACGAGTTTCTTCAGTGACGTCAGGACTCCTGTGTAATAACGAGGTACACCTCAGGAATCTCTTCGAGGCTTGGCAGGGCAAAAGGGACGCTTCTCGAGGTGAGGCAGGGCACCCAAGTACACTTTCCAGTAGCCACAGGGATTTTCGGATTCCTATCAGTATTCAAGAGGAGTCAGGCATCGTCACCTTTTGAAGCAATGAACTCTGTGTGCCTCTCGAGGTGTCAGCGGGATGTGAGGCATTCCGTCAAAATGAGGCAGGGACCTAGGGCTTTCTCTAAGGTCTCCACAGGGGATTCAGACATCCCTTCATGTTGTGAGATGAAAGACGAGCCTGTGTTCAAGCCACTGCAAGGATATCCGGCCTCCTTTCAAGTTAGCGCTTCTCGCTGTATATTCCCCTTGAGGCAGCATACTCGGGGTCAACCCCACATACCTATTGCTGAGAGAAGCCTCCTCCTGAGGTGCTTCTGGAAAGTTGGCATACGTCTTGAGCCTAAGCCAGGGAATCAGCTCTCATCTCGAGACGATTTGGGGTACACGGAGCATTCCTCGAGTTGCTGTGCTGAAGTTGGTGTTCCTCTAGACTTGGGACAGTGTTCTCGGGGCATCTCTGGAGTTGCCTGAAGGAAGTAGAGCCACCGGTCGTGTTGAATGGGGAATGGGGAATGGCTCTGGAGTCAATGCAGGGGAATCGGGCCTCATCTCGAGTTGATTTGGGGCACATGGAGCTGCTTTGCGTTGCTGGGCTGACCTCAGGGTCCGTCTAGACTGGTGAAAGTGTTCTTGGGGACTGTCTCGAGATCCATTAAGCAAGTCGAAGCTCCTGACTTGTTTGAATGGGATCACGGAATAGCTCTGCATGCACTGCAGGGGAATGGGGCCTCATCTCGCCTCTAGGGGGAAGTCTCATGGTTTTTCTCGAGTTGCGGTGGGGACCTGGGTTATGTTCTCGACTTACGGCGGGGATCGCCCTTCAAAACACGAGTTCCTTCAGTGACGTCAGGACTCCTGTCTAGTAACGAGGGACACCTCATGAATCTCTTCGAGGCTTGGCAGGGCAAAAGGGACGCTTCTCGAGGTGAGGCAGGGCACCCAAGGACCCTTTCCAGTAGCCACAGGGATTTTGGTATTCCTATCAGTATTCAAGAGGAGTCAGGCATCGTCACATTTTGAAGCAGTGAACTCCGCGTGCCTCTCGAGGTGTCAGCGGGATGTGAGGCATTCCGTCAAAATGACGCAGGGACCTAGGGCTTTCTCTAAGGTCTCCACAGGGCATTCAGACATCCCTTCATGTTGTGAGATGAAACACGAGCCTGTATTCAAGCCACTGCAAGGAAATCCGGCCTCCTTTCAAGTTAGGGCTTCTCGCTGTATATTCCCCTAGAGGCAGCAAACTCGGGTCCCTCCCACATACCTATTGCTGAGAGAAGCCTCCTCCTGAGGTGCTTCTGGAAAGTTGGCATACGTCTTGAGCCTAAGCCAGGGAATCAGCTCTCATCTCGAGACGATTTGGGGTACACGGAGCATTCCTCGAGTTGCTGTGCTTAAGGTGGTGTTCCTCTAGACTACGGACAGTGTTCTTGGGGCATCTCTGGAGTTGCCTGAAGGAAGTCGAGCCACCGGTCGTGTTGAATGGGGAACGGGGAATCTCTCTGGAGTCAATGCAGGGGAATCCGGCCTCATCTCGAGTTGATTTGGGGCACATGGAGCTGCTTTGCGTTGCTGGGGTGACCTCAGGGTCCGTCTAGACTGGTGACAGTGTTCTTGGGGACTGTCTCGAGATCCATTAAGCAAGTCGAAGCTCCTGACTTGTTTGAATGGGATCACGGAATAGCTCTGCATGCACTGCAGGGGAATGGGGACTCATCTCGCCTCTATGGGGAAGTCTCATGGTTTTTCTCGAATTGCGGCGGGGACCTGGGGTATGTTCTCGACTTACGGCGGGGATGGCCCTTCAAAACACGAGTTTCTTCAGTGACGTCAGGACTCCTGTGTAATAACGAGGTACACCTCAGGAATCTCTTCGAGGCTTGGCAGGGCAAAAGGGACGCTTCTCGAGGTGAGGCAGGGCACCCAAGGACCCTTTCCAGTAGCCACAGGGATTTTGGGATTCCTATCAGTATTCAAGAGGAGTCAGGCATCGTCACCTTTTGAAGCAATGAACTCCGTGTGCCTCTCGAGGTGTCAGCGGGATGTGAGGCATTCCGTCAAAATGAGGCAGGGACCTAGGGCTTTCTCTATGGTCTCCACAGGGGATTCAGACATCCCTTCATGTTGTGAGATGAAACACGAGCCTGTATTCAAGCCACTGCAAGGAAATCCGGCCTCCTTTCAAGTTAGGGCTTCTCGCTGTATATTCCCCTTGAGGCAGCAAACTCGGGGTCCCTCCCACATATCTATTGCTGAGAGAAGCCTCCTCCTGAGGTGCTTCTGGAAAGTTGGCATACGTCTTGAGCCTAAGCCAGGGAATCAGCTCTCATCTCGAGAAGATTTTGGGTACACGGAGCATTCCTCGAGTTGCTGTGCTGAAGTTGGTGTTCCTCTAGACTTGGGACAGTGTTCTCGGGGCATCTCTGGAGTTGCCTGAAGGATGTCGAGCCACCGGTCGTGTTGAATGGGGAACGGGGAATGGCTCTGGAGTCAATGCAGGGGAATCGGGCCTCATCTCGAGTTGATTTGGGGCACATGGAGCTGCTTTGCGTTGCTGGGCTGACCTCAGGGTCCGTCTAGACTGGTGACAGTGTTCTTGGGGACTCTCTCGAGATCCATTAAGCAAGTCGAAGCTCCTGACTTGTTTGAATGGGATCACGGAATAGCTTTGCTTGCACTGCAGGGGAATGGGGCCTCATCTCGCCTCTAGGGGGAAGTCTCATGGTTTTTCTCGAGTTGCGGCGGGGACCTGGGGTATGTTCTCGACTTACGGCGGGGATGGCCCTTCAAAACACGAGTTTCTTCAGTGACGTCAGGACTCCTGTCTAGTAACGAGGGACAATTCAGGAATCTCTTCGAGGCTTGACAGGGCAAAAGGGACGCTTCTCGAGGTGAGGCAGGGCACCCAAGGACCCTTTCCAGTAGCCACAGGGATTTTCGGATTCCTATCAGTATTCAAGAGGAGTCAGGCATCGTCACCTTTTGAAGCATTGAACTCCGTGTGCCTCTCAAGGTGTCAGAGGTATGTGAGGCATTCTGTCAAAATGAGGCAGGGACCTAGGGCTTTCTCTAAGGTCTCCACAGGGGATTCAGACATCCCTTCATGTTGTGAGATGAAAGACGAGCCTGTATTCAAGCCACTGCAAGGATATCTGGCCTCCGTTCAAGTTACGGCTTCTCGCTGTATATTCCCCTTGAGGCAGCAAACTCGGGGTCCCTCCCACATACTTATTGCTGAGAGAAGCCTCCTCCTGAGGTGCTTCTGGAAAGTTGGCATACGTCTTGAGCCTAAGCCAGGGAATCAGCTCTCATCTCGAGACGATTTGGGGTACACGGAGCATTCCTCGAGTTGCTGTGCTGAAGTTGGTGTTCCTCTAGACTTGGGACAGTGTTCTCGGGGCATCTCTGCAGTTGCCTGAAGGAAGTCGAGCCACCGGTCGTGTTGAATGGGGAACGGGGAATGGCTCTGGAGTCAATGCAGGGGAATCGGGCCTCATCTCGAGTTGATTTGGGGCACATGGTGCTGCTTTGCGTTGCTGGGCTGACCTCAGGGTCCGTCTAGACTGGTGACGGTGTTCTTGGGGACTGTCTCGAGATCCATTAAGCAAGTCGAAGCTCCTGACTTGTTTGAATGGGATCACGGAATAGCTCTGCATGCACTGCAGGGGAATGGGGCCTCATCTCGCCTCTAGGGGGAAGTCTCATGGTTTTTCTAGAGTTGCGGCGGGGACCTGGGGTATGTTCTCGACTTACGGCGGGGATGGCCCTTCAAAACACGAGTTTCTTCAGTGACGTCAGGACTCCAGTGTAATAACGAGGTACACCTCAGGAATCTCTTCGAGGCTTGGCAGGGCAAAAGGGACGCTTCTCGAGGTGAGGCAGGGCACCCAAGGACCCTTTCCAGTAGCCACAGGGATTTTGGGATTCCTATCAGTATTCAAGAGGAGTCAGGCATCGTCACCTTTTGAAGAAATGAACTCTGCGTGATTCTCGAGGTGTCAGCGGGATGTGAGGCATTCCGTCAAAATGAGGCAGGGAACTAGGGCTTTCTCTAAGGTCTCCACAGGGGATTCAGACATCCCTTCATGTTGTGAGATGAAACACGAGCCTGTATTCAAGCCACTGCAAGGAAATCCGGCCTCCTTTCAAGTTAGGGCTTCTCGCTGTATATTCCCCTTGAGGCAGCATACTCGGGGTCCCTCCCACATACCTATTGCTGAGAGAAGCCTCCTCCTGAGGTGCTTCTGGAAAGTTGGCATACGTCTTGAGCCTAAGCCAGGGAATCAGCTCTCATCTCGAGACGATTTTTGGTACACGGAGCATTCCCCGAGTTGCTGTGCTGAAGTTGGTGTTCCTCTAGACTACGGACAGTGTTCTGGGGGCATCTCTGGAGTTGCCTGAAGGAAGTCGAGCCACCGGTCGTGTTGAATGGGGAACGGGGAATGGCTCTAGAGTCAATGCAGGGGAATCGGGCCTCATCTCGAGTTGATTTGGGGCACATGGAGCTGCTTTGCGTTGCTGGGGTGACCTCAGGGTCCGTCTAGACTGGTGACAGTGTTCTTGGGGACTGTCTCGAGATCCATTAAGCAAGTCGAAGCTCCTGACTTGTTTGAATGGGATCACGGAATAGCTCTGCATGCACTGCAGGGCAATGGGGCCTCATCTCGCCTCTAGGGGGAAGTCTCATGGTTTTTCTCGAGTTGTGGCAGGGACCTGGGGTATGTTCTCGACTTACGGCGGGGATCGCCCTTCAAAACACGAGTTCCTTCAGTGACGTCAGGACTCCTGTCTAGTAACGAGGGACACCTCAGGAATCTCTTCGAGGCTTGGCAGGGCAAAAGGGACGCTTCTCGAGGTGAGGCAGGGCACCCAAGGACCCTTTCCAGTAGCCACAGGGATTTTGGGATTCCTATCAGTATTCAAGAGGAGTCAGGCATCGTCACCTTTTGAAGCAATGTACTCTGCGTGCCTCTCGAGGTGTCAACGGGATGTGAGCCATTCCGTCAAAATGAGGCAGGGACCTAGGGCTTTCTCTAAGGTCTCCACAGGGGATTCAGACATCCCTTCATGTTGTGAGATGAAAGACGAGCCTGTGTACAAGCCACTGCAAGGATATCCGGCCTCCTTTCAAGTTAGCGCTTCTCGCTGTATATTCCCCTTGAGGCAGCATACTCGGGGTCAACCCCACATACCTATTGCTGAGAGAAGCCTCCTCCTGAGGTGCTTCTGGAAAGTTGGCATACGTCTTGAGCCTAAGCCAGGGAATCAGCTCTCATCTCGAGACGATTTGGGGTACACGGAGAATTCCTCGAGTTGCTGTGCTGAAGTTGGTGTTCCTCTAGACTTGGGACAGTGTTCTCGGGGCATCTCTGGAGTTGCCTGAAGGAAGTCGAGCCACCGGTCGTGTTGAATGGGGAACGGGGAATGGCTTTGGAGTCAATACAGGGGAATCGGGCCTCATCTCGAGTTGATTTGGGGCACATGGTGCTGCTTTGCGTTGCTGGGTTGACCTCAGGGTCCGCTAGACTGGTGACAGTGTTCTTGGGGACTGTCTCGAGATCCATTAAGCAAGTCGAAGCTCCTGACTTGTTTGAATGGGATCACGGAATAGCTCTGCATGCACTGCAGGGGAATGGTGCCTCATCTCGCCTCTAGGGGGAAGTCTCATGGTTTTTCTCGAGTTGCGGCGGGGACCTGGGGTATGTTCTCGACTTACGGCGGGATGGCCCTTCAAGACATGAGTTCCTTCAGTGACGTCAGGACTCCTGTCTAGTAATGAGGAACACCTCAGGAATCTCTTCGAGGCTTGGCAGGGCAAAAGGGACGCTTCTCGAGGTGAGGCAGGGCACCCAAGGACCCTTTCCAGTAGCCACAGGGATTTTGGGATTCCTATCAGTATTCAAGAGGAGTCAGGCATCGTCACATTCTGAAGCAATGAACTCCGTGTGCCTCTCGAGGTGTCAGCGGGATGTGAGGCATTCCGTCAAAATGAGGCAGGGACCTAGGGCTTTCTCTAAGGTCTCCACAGGGGATTCAGACATCCCTTCATGTTGTGAGATGAAACACGAGCCTGTATTCAAGCCACTGCAAGGAAATCCGGCCTCCTTTCCAGTTAGGGCTTCTCGCTGTATATTCCCCTTGAGGCAGCAAACTCGGGGTCCCTCCCACATATCTATTGCTGAGAGAAGCCTCCTCCTGAGGTGCTTCTGGAAAGTTGGAATACGTCTTGAGCCTAAGCCATTGAATCAGCTCTCATCTCGAGACGATTTTGGGTACACGGAGCATTCCTCGAGTTGCTGTGCTGAAGTTGGTGTTCCTCTAGACTTGGGACAGTGTTCTCGGGGCATCTCTGGAGTTGCCTGAAGGAAGTCGAGCCACCGGTCGTGTTGAATGGGGAACGGTGAATGGCTCTGGAGTCAATGCAGGGGAATCGGGCCTCATCTCGAGTTGATTTGGGGCACATGGAGCTGCTTTGCGTTGCTGGGCTGACCTCAGGGTCCGTCTAGACTGGTGACAGTGTTCTTGGGGACTCTCTCGAGATCCATTAAGCAAGTCGAAGCTCCTGACTTGTTTGAATGGGATCACGGAATAGCTCTGCATGCACTGCAGGGGAATGGGTCCTCATCTCGCCTCTAGGGGGAAGTCTCATGGTTTTTCTCGAGTTGCGGCGGGGACCTGGGGTATGTTCTCGACTTACGGCGGGGATGGCCCTTCAAAACACGAGTTTCTTCAGTGACGTCAGGACTCCTGTCTAGTAACGAGGGACAACTCAGGAATCTCTTCGAGGCTTGACAGGGCAAAAGGGACGCTTCTCGAGGTGAGGCAGGGCACCCAAGGACCCTTTCCAGTAGCCACAGGGATTTTCGGATTCCTATCAGTATTCAAGAGGAGTCAGGCATCGTCACCTTTTGAAGCATTGAACTCCGTGTGCCTCTCAAGGTGTCAGAGGGATGTGAGGCATTCCGTCAAAATGAGGCAGGGACCTAGGGCTTTCTCTAAGGTCTCCACAGGGGATTCAGACATCCCTTCATGTTGTGAGATGAAAGACGAGCCTGTATTCAAGCCACTGCAAGGATATCTGGCCTCCTTTCAAGTTACGGCTTCTCGCTGTATATTCCCCTTGAGGCAGCAAACTCCGGGCCCCTCCCACATACTTATTGCTGAGAGAAGCCTCCTCCTGAGGTGCTTCTGGAAAGTTGGCATACGTCTTGAGCCTAAGCCAGGGAATCAGCTCTCATCTCGAGACGATTTGGGGTACACGGAGCATTCCTCGAGTTGCTGTGCTGAAGTTGGTGTTCCTCTAGACTTGGGACAGTGTTCTCGGGGCATCTCTGCAGTTGCCTGAAGGAAGTCGAGCCACCGGTCGTGTTGAATGGGGAACGGGAAATGGCTCTGGAGTCAATGCAGGGGAATCGGGCCTCATCTCGAGTTGATTTGGGGCACATGGTGCTGCTTTGCGTTGCTGGGCTGACCTCAGGGTCCGTCTAGACTGGTGACAGTGTTCTTGGGGACTCTCTCGAGATCCATTAAGCAAGTCGAAGCTCCTGACTTGTTTGAATGGGATCACGGAATAGCTCTGCATGCACTGCAGGGGAATGGGGCCTCATCTCGCCTCTAGGGGGAAGTCTCATGGTTTTTCTCGAGTTGCGGCGGGGACCTGGGGTATGTTCTCGACTTACGGCGGGGATGGCCCTTCAAAACACGAGTTTCTTCAGTGACGTCAGGACTCCAGTGTAATAACGAGGTACACCTCAGGAATCTCTTCGAGGCTTGGCAGGGCAAAAGGGACGCTTCTCGAGGTGATGCAGGGCAACCAAGGACCCTTTCCAGTAGCCACAGGGATTTTGGGATTCCTATCAGTATTCAAGAGGAGTCAGGCATCGTCACCTTTTGAAGCAATGAACTCTGCGTGATTCTCGAGGTGTCAGCGGGATGTGAGGCATTCCGTCAAAATGAGGCAGGGAACTAGGGCTTTCTCTAAGGTCTCCACAGGGGATTCAGACATCCCTTCATGTTGTGAGATGAAACACGAGCCTGTATTCAAGCCACTGCAAGGAAATCCGGCCTCCTTTCAAGTTAGGGCTTCTCGCTGTATATTCCCCTTGAGGCAGCATACTCGGGGTCCCTCCCACATACCTATTGCTGAGAGAAGCCTCCTCCTGAGGTGCTTCTGGAAAGTTGGCATACGTCTTGAGCCTAAGCCAGGGAATCAGCTCTCATCTCGAGACGATTTGTGGTACACGGAGCATTCCCCGAGTTGCTGTGCTGAAGTTGGTGTTCCTCTAGACTACGGACAGTGTTCTGGGGGCATCTCTGGAGTTGCCTGAAGGAAGTCGAGCCACCGGTCGTGTTGAAAGGGGAACGGGGAATGGCTCTAGAGTCAATGCAGGGGAATCGGGCCTCATCTCGAGTTGATTTGGGGAACATGGAGCTGCTTTGCGTTGCTGGGGTGACCTCAGGGTCCGTCTAGACTGGTGACAGTGTTCTTGGGGACTGTCTCGAGATCCATTAAGCAAGTCGAAGCTCCTGACTTGTTTGAATGGGATCACGGAATAGCTCTGCATGCACTGCAGGGGAATGGGGCCTCATCTCGCCTCTAGGGGGAAGTCTCATGGTTTTTCTCGAGTTGCGGCGGGGACCTGGGGTATGTTCTCGACTTACGGCGGGGATGGCCCTTCAAAACACGAGTTTCTTCAGTGACGTCAGGACTCCTGTGTAATAACGAGGTACACCTCAGGAATCTCTTCGAGGCTTGGCAGGGCAAAAGGGACGCTTCTCGAGGTGAGGCAGGGCACCCAAGGACCCTTTCCAGTAGCCACAGGGATTTTCGGATTCCTATCAGTATTCAAGAGGAGTCAGGCATCGTCACCTTTTGAAGCAATGAACTCCGTGTGCCTCTCGAGGTGTCAGCGGGATGTGAGGCATTCCGTCAAAATGAGGCAGGGACCTACCGCTTTCTCTAAGGTCTCCACAGGGGATTCAGACATCCCTTCATGTTGTGAGATGAAACACGAGCCTGTATTCAATCCACTGCAAGGAAATCCGGCCTCCTTTCAAGTTAGGGTTTCTCGCTGTATATTCCCCTTGAGGCAGCAAACTCGGGGTCCCTCCCACATACCTATTGCTGAGAGAAGCCTCCTCCTGAGGTGCTTCTGGAAAGTTGGCATATGTCTTGAGCCTAAGCCAGGGAATCAGCTCTCATCTCGAGACGATTTGTGGTACAAGGAGCATTCCCCAAGTTGCTATTCTGAAGTTGGTGTTCCTCTAGACTACGGACAGTGTTCTCGGGGCATCTCTGGAGTTGCCTGAAGGAAGTCGAGCCACCGGTCTTGTTGAATGGGGAACGGGGAATGGCTCTGGAGTCAATGCAGGGGAATTGGGCCTCATCTCGAGTTGATTTGGGGCATATGGAGCGGCTTTGCGTTGCAGGGGTGACCTCAGGGTCCGTCTAGACTGGTGACAGTGTTCTTGGGGACTGTCTCGAGATCCATTAAGCAAGTCGAAGCTCCTGACTTGTTTGAATGGGATCACGGAATAGCTCTGCATGCACTGCAGGGGAATGGGGCCTCATCTCGCCTCTAGGGGGAAGTCTCATGGTTTTTCTCGAATTGCGGCGGGGACCTGGGGTATGTTCTCGACTTACGGCGGGGATCGCCCTTCAAAACAGGAGTTCCTTCAGTGACGTCAGGACTCCTGTCTAGTAACGAGGGACACCTCAGGAATCTCTTCGAGGCTTGGCAGGGCAAAAGGGACGCTTCGCGAGGTGAGGCAGGGCACCCAAGGACCCTTTCCAGTAGCCACAGGGATTTGGGGATTCCTATCAGTATTCAAGAGGAGTCAGGCATCGTCACCTTTTGAAGCAATGAACTCTGCGTGCCTCTCGAGGTGTCAGCGGGATGTGAGGCATTCCGTCAAAATGAGGCAGGGACCTAGGGCTTTCTCTAAGGTCTCCATAGGGGATTCAGACATCCCTTCATGTTGTGAGATGAAAGACGAGCCTGTGTTCAAGCCACTGCAAGGATATCCGGCCTCCTTTCAAGTTAGCGCTTCTCGCTGTATATTCCCCTTGAGGCAGCATACTCGGGGTCAACCCCACATACCTATTGCTGAGAGAAGCCTCCTCCTGAGGTGCTTCTGGAAAGTTGGCATACGTCTTGAGCCTAAGCCAGGGAATCAGCTCTCATCTCGAGACGATTTGGGGTACACGGAGAATTCCTCGAGTTGCTGTGTTGAAGTTGGTGTTCCTCTAGACTTGGGACAGTGTTCTCGGGGCATCTCTGGAGTTGCCTGAAGGAAGTCGAGGCACCGGTCGTGTTGAATGGGGAACGGGGAATGGCTCTGGAGTCAATGCAGGGGAATCGGGCCTCATCTCGAGTTGATTTGGGGCACATGGAGCTGCTTTGCATTGCTGGGTTGACCTCAGGGTCCGTCTAGACTGGTGACAGTGTTCTTGGGGACTCTCTCGAGATCCATTAAGCAAGTCGAAGCTCCTGACTTGTTTGAATGGGATCACGGAATAGCTCTGCATGCACTGCAGGGGAATGGGGCCTCATCTCGCCTCTAGGGGGAAGTCTCATGGTTTTTCTCGAGTTGCGGCGGGGACCTGGGGTATGTTCTCGACTTACGGCGGGGATGGCCCTTCAAAACACGAGTTTCTTCAGTGACGTCAGGACTCCTGTCTAGTAACGAGGGACAACTCAGGAATCTATTCGAGGCTTGACAGGGCAAAAGGGACGCTTCTCGAGGTGAGGCAGGGCACCCAAGGACCCTTTCCAGTAGCCACAGGGATTTTCGGATTCCTATCAGTATTCAAGAGGAGTCAGGCATCGTCACCTTTTGAAGCATTGAACTCCGTGTGCCTCTCAAGGTGTCAGAGGGATGTGAGGCATTCTGTCAAAATGAGGCAGGGACCTAGGGCTTTCTCTAAGGTCTCCACAGGGGATTCAGACATCCCTTCATGTTGTGAGATGAAAGACGAGCCTGTATTCAAGCCACTGCAAGGATATCTGGCCTCCTTTCAAGTTACGGCTTCTCGCTGTATATTCCCCTTGAGGCAGCAAACTCGGGGTCCCTCCCACATACTTATTGCTGAGAGAAGCCTCCTCCTGAGGTGCTTCTGGAAAGTTGGCATACGTCTTGAGCCTAAGCCAGGGAATCAGCTCTCATCTCGAGACGATTTGGGGTACACGGAGCATTCCTCGAGTTGCTGTGCTGAAGTTGGTGTTCCTCTAGACTTGGGACAGTGTTCTCGGGGCATCTCTGCAGTTGCCTGAAGGAAGTCGAGCCACCGGTCGTGTTGAATGGGGAACGGGGAATGGCTCTGGAGTCAATGCAGGGGAATCGGGCCTCATCTCGAGTTGATTTGGGGCACATGGTGCTGCTTTGCGTTGCTGGGCTGACCTCAGGGTCCGTCTAGACTGGTGACAGTGTTCTTGGGGACTGTCTCGAGATCCATTAAGCAAGTCGAAGCTCCTGACTTGTTTGAATGGGATCACGGAATAGCTCTGCATGCACTGCAGGGGAATGGGGCCTCATCTCGCCTCTAGGGGGAAGTCTCATGGTTTTTCTAGAGTTGCGGCGGGGACCTGGGGTATGTTCTCGACTTACGGCGGGGATGTCCCTTCAAAACACGAGTTTCTTCAGTGACGTCAGGACTCCAGTGTAATAACGAGGTACACCTCAGGAATCTCTTCGAGGCTTGGCAGGGCAAAAGGGACGCTTCTCGAGGTGATGCAGGGCACCCAAGGACCCTTTCCAGTAGCCACAGGGATTTTGGGATTCCTATCAGTATTCAAGAGGAGTCAGGCATCGTCACCTTTTGAAGCAATGAACTCTGCGTGATTCTCGAGGTGTCAGCGGGATGTGAGGCATTCCGTCAAAATGAGGCAGGGAACTAGGGCTTTCTCTAAAGTCTCCACAGGGGATTCAGACATCCCTTCATGTTGTGAGATGAAACACGAGCCTGTATTCAAGCCACTGCAAGGAAATCCGGCCTCCTTTCAAGTTAGGGCTTCTCGATGTATATTCCCCTTGAGGCAGCATACTCGGGGTCCCTCCCACATACCTATTGCTGAGAGAAGCCTCCTCCTGAGGTGCTTCTGGAAAGTTGGCATACGTCTTGAGCCTAAGCCAGGGAATCAGCTCTCATCTCGAGACGATTTTTGGTACACGGAGCATTCCCCGAGTTGCTGTGCTGAAGTTGGTGTTCCTCTAGACTACGGACAGTGTTCTGGGGGCATCTCTGGAGTTGCCTGAAGGAAGTCGAGCCACCGGTCGTGTTGAATGGGGAACGGGGAATGGCTCTAGAGTCAATGCAGGGGAATCGGGCCTCATCTCGAGTTGATTTGGGGCACATGGAGCTGCTTTGCGTTGCTGGGGTGACCTCAGGGTCCGTCTAGACTGGTGACAGTGTTCTTGGGGACTGTCTCGAGATCCATTAAGCAAGTCGAAGCTCCTGACTTGTTTGAATGGGATCACGGAATAGCTCTGCATGCACTGCAGGGGAATGGGGCCTCATCTCGCCTCTAGGGGGAAGTCTCATGGTTTTTCTCGAGTTGTGGCAGGGACCTGGGGTATGTTCTCGACTTACGGCGGGGATCGCCCTTCAAAACACGAGTTCCTTCAGTGACGTCAGGACTCCTGTCTAGTAACGAGGGACACCTCAGGAATCTCTTCGAGGCTTGGCAGGGCAAAAGGGACGCTTCTCGAGGTGAGGCAGGGCACCCAAGGACCCTTTCCAGTAGCCACAGGGATTTTGGGATTCCTATCAGTATTCAAGAGGAGTCAGGCATCGTCACCTTTTGAAGCAATGTACTCTGCGTGCCTCTCGAGGTGTCAACGGGATGTGAGCCATTCCGTCAAAATGAGGCAGGGACCTAGGGCTTTCTCTAAGGTCTCCACAGGGGATTCAGACATCCCTTCATGTTGTGAGATGAAAGACGAGCCTGTGTACAAGCCACTGCAAGGATATCCGGCCTCCTTTCAAGTTAGCGCTTCTCGCTGTATATTCCCCTTGAGGCAGCATACTCGGGGTCCCTCCCACATACCTATTGCTGAGAGAAGCCTCCTCCTGAGGTGCTTCTGGAAAGTTGGCATACGTCTTGAGCCTAAGCCAGGGAATCAGCTCTCATCTCGAGACGATTTGGGGTACACGGAGAATTCCTCGAGTTGCTGTGCTGAAGTTGGTGTTCCTCTAGACTTGGGACAGTGTTCTCGGGGCATCTCTGGAGTTGCCTGAAGGAAGTCGAGCCACCGGTCGTGTTGAATGGGGAACGGGGAATGGCTTTGGAGTCAATACAGGGGAATCGGGCCTCATCTCGAGTTGATTTGGGGCACATGGAGCTGCTTTGCGTTGCTGGGTTGACCTCAGGGTCCGTCTAGACTGGTGACAGTGTTCTTGGGGACTGTCTCGAGATCCATTAAGCAAGTCGAAGCTCCTGACTTGTTTGAATGGGATCACGGAATAGCTCTGCATGCACTGCAGGGGAATGGGTCCTCATCTCGCCTCTAGGGGGAAGTCTCATGGTTTTTCTCGAGTTGCGGCGGGGACCTGGGGTATGTTCTCGACTTACGGCGGGATGGCCCTTCAAAACATGAGTTCCTTCAGTGACGTCAGGACTCCTGTCTAGTAATGAGGAACACCTCAGGAATCTCTTCGAGGCTTGGCAGGGCAAAAGGGACGCTTCTCGAGGTGAGGCAGGGCACCCAAGGACCCTTTCCAGTAGCCACAGGGATTTTGGGATTCCTATCAGTATTCAAGAGGAGTCAGGCATCGTCACATTCTGAAGCAATGAACTCCGTGTGCCTCTCGAGGTGTCAGCGGGATGTGAGGCATTCCGTCAAAATGAGGCAGGGACTTAGGGCTTTCTCTAAGGTCTCCACAGGGGATTCAGACATCCCTTCATGTTGTGAGATGAAACACGAGCCTGTATTCAAGCCACTGCAAGGAAATCCGGCCTCCTTTCCAGTTAGGGCTTCTCGCTGTATATTCCCTTTGAGGCAGCAAACTCGGGGTCCCTCCCACATATCTATTGCTGAGAGAAGCCTCCTCCTGAGGTGCTTCTGGAAAGTTGGAATACGTCTTGAGCCTAAGCCAGGGAATCAGCTCTCATCTCGAGACGATTTTGGGTACACGGAGCATTCCTCGAGTTGCTGTGCTGAAGTTGGTGTTCCTCTAGACTTGGGACAGTGTTCTCGGGGCATCTCTGGAGTTGCCTGAAGGAAGTCGAGCCACCGGTCGTGTTGAATGGGGAATGGTGAATGGCTCTGGAGTCAATGCAGGGGAATCGGGCCTCATCTCGAGTTGATTTGGGGCACATGGAGCTGCTTTGCATTGCTGGGCTGACCTCAGGGTCCGTCTAGACTGGTGACAGTGTTCTTGGGGACTCTCTCGAGATCCATTAAGCAAGTCGAAGCTCCTGACTTGTTTGAATGGGATCACGGAATAGCTCTGCATGCACTGCAGGGGAATGGGTCCTCATCTCGCCTCTAGGGGGAAGTCTCATGGTTTTTCTCGAGTTGCGGCGGGGACCTGGGGTATGTTCTCGACTTACGGCGGGGATGGCCCTTCAAAACACGAGTTTCTTCAGTGACGTCAGGACTCCTGTCTAGTAACGAGGGACAACTCAGGAATCTCTTCGAGGCTTGACAGGGCAAAAGGGACGCTTCTCGTGGTGAGGCAGGGCACCCAAGGACCCTTTCCAGTAGCCACAGGGATTTTCGGATTCCTATCAGTATTCAAGAGGAGTCAGGCATCGTCACCTTTTGAAGCATTGAACTCCGTGTGCCTCTCAAGGTGTCAGAGGGATGTGAGGCATTCCGTCAAAATGAGGCAGGGACCTAGGGCTTTCTCTAAGGTCTCCACAGGGGATTCAGACATCCCTTCATGTTGTGAGATGAAAGACGAGCCTGTATTCAAGCCACTGCAAGGATATCTGGCCTCCTTTCAAGTTACGGCTTCTCGCTGTATATTCCCCTTGAGGCAGCAAACTCCGGGTCCCTCCCACATACTTATTGCTGAGAGAAGCCTCCTCCTGAGGTGCTTCTGGAAAGTTGGCATACGTCTTGAGCCTAAGCCAGGGAATCAGCTCTCATCTCGAGACGATTTGGGGTACACGGAGCATTCCTCGAGTTGCTGTGCTGAAGTTGGTGTTCCTCTAGACTTGGGACAGTGTTCTCGGGGCATCTCTGCAGTTGCCTGAAGGAAGTCGAGCCACCGGTCGTGTTGAATGGGGAACGGGAAATGGCTCTGGAGTCAATGCAGGGGAATCGGGCCTCATCTCGAGTTGATTTGGGGCACATGGTGCTGCTTTGCGTTGCTGGGCTGACCTCAGGGTCCGTCTAGACTGGTGACAGTGTTCTTGGGGACTGTCTCGAGATCCATTAAGCAAGTCGAAGCTCCTGACTTGTTTGAATGGGATCACGGAATAGCTCTGCATGCACTGCAGGGGAATGGGGCCTCATCTCGCCTCTAGGGGGAAGTCTCATGGTTTTTCTAGAGTTGCGGCGGGGACCTGGGGTATGTTCTCGACTTACGGCGGGGATGGCCCTTCAAAACACGAGTTTCTTCAGTGACGTCAGGACTCCTGTCTAGTAACGAGGGACACCTCAGGAATCTCTTCGAGGCTTGGCAGGGCCAAAGGGACGCTTCTCGAGGTGATGCAGGGCACCCAAGGACCCTTTCCAGTAGCCACAGGGATTTTGGGATTCCTATCAGTATTCAAGAGGAGTCAGGCATCGTCACCTTTTGAAGCAATGAACTCTGCGTGATTCTCGAGGTGTCAGCGGGATGTGAGGCATTCCGTCAAAATGAGGCAGGGAACTAGGGCTTTCTCTAAGGTCTCCACATGGGATTCAGACATCCCTTCATGTTGTGAGATGATAGACGAGCCTGTATTCAAGCCACTGCAAGGAAATCCGGCCTCCTTTCAAGTTAGGGCTTCTCGCTGTATATTCCCCTTGAGGCAGCATACTCGGGGTCCCTCCCACATACCTATTGCTGAGAGAAGCCTCCTCCTGAGGTGCTTCTGGAAAGTTGGCATACGTCTTGAGCCTAAGCCAGGGAATCAGCTCTCATCTCGAGACGATTTGTGGTACACGGAGCATTCCCCGAGTTGCTGTGCTGAAGTTGGTGTTCCTCTAGACTACGGACAGTGTTCTGGGGGCATCTCTGGAGTTGCCTGAAGGAAGTCGAGCCACCGGTCGTGTTGAATGGGGAACGGGGAATGGCTCTAGAGTCAATGCAGGGGAATCGGGCCTCATCTCGAGTTGATTTGGGGAACATGGAGCTGCTTTGCGTTGCTGGGGTGACCTCAGGGTCCGTCTAGACTGGTGACAGTGTTCTTGGGGACTGTCTCGAGATCCATTAAGCAAGTCGAAGCTCCTGACTTGTTTGAATGGGATCACGGAATAGCTCTGCATGCACTGCAGGGGAATTTGGCCTCATCTCGCCTCTAGGGGGAAGTCTCATGGTTTTTCTCGAGTTGCGGCGGGGACCTGGGGTATGTTCTCGACTTAAGGCGGGGATGGCCCTTCAAAACACGAGTTTCTTCAGTGACGTCAGGACTCCTGTGTAATAACGAGGTACACCTCAGGAATCTCTTCGAGGCTTGGCAGGGCAAAAGGGACGCTTCTCGAGGTGAGGCAGGGCACCCAAGGACCCTTTCCAGTAGCCACAGGGATTTTCGGATTCCTATCAGTATTCAAGAGGAGTCAGGCATCGTCACCTTTTGAAGCAATGAACTACGTGTGCCTCTCGAGGTGTCAGCGGGATGTGAGGCATTCCGTCAAAATGAGGCAGGGACCTACGGCTTTCTCTAAGGTCTCCACAGGGGATTCAGACATCCCTTCATGTTGTGAGATGAAACACGAGCCTGTATTCAATCCACTGCAAGGAAATCCGGCCTCCGTTCAAGTTAGGGCTTCTCGCTGTATATTCCCCTTGAGGCAGCAAACTCGGGGTCCCTCCCACATACCTATTGCTGAGAGAAGCCTCCTCCTGAGGTGCTTCTGGAAAGTTGGCATATGTCTTGAGCCTAAGCCAGGGAATCAGCTCTCATCTCGAGACGATTTGTGGTACAAGGAGCATTCCCCAAGTTGCTATTCTGAAGTTGGTGTTCCTCTAGACTACGGACAGTGTTCTCGGGGCATCTCTGGAGTTGCCTGAAGGAAGTCGAGCCACCGGTCTTGTTGAATGGGGAACGGGGAATGGCTCTGGAGTCAATGCAGGGGAATTGGGCCTCATCTCGAGTTGATTTGGGGCATATGGAGCTGCTTTGCGTTGCTGGGGTGACCTCAGGGTCCGTCTAGACTGGTGACAGTGTTCTTGGGGACTGTCTCGAGATCCATTAAGCAAGTCGAAGCTCCTGACTTGTTTGAATGGGATCACGGAATAGCTCTGCATGCACTGCAGGGGAATGGGGCCTCATCTCGCCTCTAGGGGGAAGTCTCATGGTTTTTCTCGAGTTGCGGCGGGGACCTGGGGTATGTTATCGATTTACGGCGGGGATCGCCCTTCAAAACAGGAGTTCCTTCAGTGACGTCAGGACTCCTGTCTAGTAACGAGGGACACCTCAGGAATCTCTTCGAGGCTTGGCAGGGCAAAAGGGACGCTTCGCGAGGTGAGGCAGGGCACCCAAGGACCCTTTCCAGTAGCCACAGGGATTTGGGGATTCCTATCAGTATTCAAGAGGAGTCAGGCATCGTCACCTTTTGAAGCAATGAACTCTGCGTGCCTCTCGAGGTGTCAGCGGGATGTGAGGCATTCCGTCAAAATGAGGCAGGGACCTAGGGCTTTCTCTAAGGTCTCCATAGGGGATTCAGACATCCCTTCATGTTGTGAGATGAAAGACGAGCCTGTGTTCAAGCCACTGCAAGGATATCCGGCCTCCTTTCAAGTTAGCGCTTCTCGCTGTATATTCCCCTTGAGGCAGCATACTCGGGGTCAACCCCACATACCTATTGCTGAGAGAAGCCTCCTCCTGAGGTGCTTCTGGAAAGTTGGCATACGTCTTGAGCCTAAGCCAGGGAATCAGCTCTCATCTCGAGACGATTTGGGGTACACGGAGAATTCCTCGAGTTGCTGTGTTGAAGTTGGTGTTCCTCTAGACTTGGGACAGTGTTCTCGGGGCATCTCTGGAGTTGCCTGAAGGAAGTCGAGGCACCGGTCGTGTTGAATGGGGAACGGGGAATGGCTCTGGAGTCAATGCAGGGGAATCGGGCCTCATCTCGAGTTGATTTGGGGCACATGGAGCTGCTTTGCATTGCTGGGTTGACCTCAGGGTCCGTCTAGACTGGTGACAGTGTTCTTGGGGACTGTCTCGAGATCCATTAAGCAAGTCGAAGCTCCTGACTTGTTTGAATGGGATCACGGAATAGCTCTGCATGCACTGCAGGGGAATGGGGCCTCATCTCGCCTCTAGGGGGAAGTCTCATGGTTTTTCTCGAGTTGCGGCGGGGACCTGGGGTATGTTCTCGACTTACGGCGGGGATGGCCCTTCAAAACACGAGTTTCTTCAGTGACGTCAGGACTCCTGTCTAGTAACGAGGGACAACTCAGGAATCTATTCGAGGCTTGACAGGGCAAAAGGGACGCTTCTCGAGGTGAGGCAGGGCACCCAAGGACCCTTTCCAGTAGCCACAGGGATTTTCGGATTCCTATCAGTATTCAAGAGGAGTCAGGCATCGTCACCTTTTGAAGCATTGAACTCCGTGTGCCTCTCAAGGTGTCAGAGGGATGTGAGGCATTCTGTCAAAATGAGGCAGGGACCTAGGGCTTTCTCTAAGGTCTCCACAGGGGATTCAGACATCCCTTCATGTTGTGAGATGAAAGACGAGCCTGTATTCAAGCCACTGCAAGGATATCTGGCCTCCTTTCAAGTTACGGCTTCTCGCTGTATATTCCCCTTGAGGCAGCAAACTCGGGGTCCCTCCCACATACTTATTGCTGAGAGAAGCCTCCTCCTGAGGTGCTTCTGGAAAGTTGGCATACGTCTTGAGCCTAAGCCAGGGAATCAGCTCTCATCTCGAGACGATTTGGGGTACACGGAGCATTCCTCGAGTTGCTGTGCTGAAGTTGGTGTTCCTCTAGACTTGGGACAGTGTTCTCGGGGCATCTCTGCAGTTGCCTGAAGGAAGTCGAGCCACCGGTCGTGTTGAATGGGGAACGGGGAATGGCTCTGGAGTCAATGCAGGGGAATCGGGCCTCATCTCGAGTTGATTTGGGGCACATGGTGCTGCTTTGCGTTGCTGGGCTGACCTCAGGGTCCGTCTAGACTGGTGACAGTGTTCTTGGGGACTGTCTCGAGATCCATTAAGCAAGTCGAAGCTCCTGACTTGTTTGAATGGGATCACGGAATAGCTCTGCATGCACTGCAGGGGAATGGGGCCTCATCTCGCCTCTAGGGGGAAGTCTCATGGTTTTTCTAGAGTTGCGGCGGGGACCTGGGGTATGTTCTCGACTTACGGCGGGGATGTCCCTTCAAAACACGAGTTTCTTCAGTGACGTCAGGACTCCAGTGTAATAACGAGGTACACCTCAGGAATCTCTTCGAGGCTTGGCAGGGCAAAAGGGACGCTTCTCGAGGTGATGCAGGGCACCCAAGGACCCTTTCCAGTAGCCACAGGGATTTTGGGATTCCTATCAGTATTCAAGAGGAGTCAGGCATCGTCACCTTTTGAAGCAATGAACTCTGCGTGATTCTCGAGGTGTCAGCGGGATGTGAGGCATTCCGTCAAAATGAGGCAGGGAACTAGGGCTTTCTCTAAAGTCTCCACAGGGGATTCAGACATCCCTTCATGTTGTGAGATGAAACACGAGCCTGTATTCAAGCCACTGCAAGGAAATCCGGCCTCCTTTCAAGTTAGGGCTTCTCGATGTATATTCCCCTTGAGGCAGCATACTCGGGGTCCCTCCCACATACCTATTGCTGAGAGAAGCCTCCTCCTGAGGTGCTTCTGGAAAGTTGGCATACGTCTTGAGCCTAAGCCAGGGAATCAGCTCTCATCTCGAGACGATTTTTGGTACACGGAGCATTCCCCGAGTTGCTGTGCTGAAGTTGGTGTTCCTCTAGACTACGGACAGTGTTCTGGGGGCATCTCTGGAGTTGCCTGAAGGAAGTCGAGCCACCGGTCGTGTTGAATGGGGAACGGGGAATGGCTCTAGAGTCAATGCAGGGGAATCGGGCCTCATCTCGAGTTGATTTGGGGCACATGGAGCTGCTTTGCGTTGCTGGGGTGACCTCAGGGTCCGTCTAGACTGGTGACAGTGTTCTTGGGGACTGTCTCGAGATCCATTAAGCAAGTCGAAGCTCCTGACTTGTTTGAATGGGATCACGGAATAGCTCTGCATGCACTGCAGGGGAATGGGGCCTCATCTCGCCTCTAGGGGGAAGTCTCATGGTTTTTCTCGAGTTGTGGCAGGGACCTGGGGTATGTTCTCGACTTACGGCGGGGATCGCCCTTCAAAACACGAGTTCCTTCAGTGACGTCAGGACTCCTGTCTAGTAACGAGGGACACCTCAGGAATCTCTTCGAGGCTTGGCAGGGCAAAAGGGACGCTTCTCGAGGTGAGGCAGGGCACCCAAGGACCCTTTCCAGTAGCCACAGGGATTTTGGGATTCCTATCAGTATTCAAGAGGAGTCAGGCATCGTCACCTTTTGAAGCAATGTACTCTGCGTGCCTCTCGAGGTGTCAACGGGATGTGAGCCATTCCGTCAAAATGAGGCAGGGACCTAGGGCTTTCTCTAAGGTCTCCACAGGGGATTCAGACATCCCTTCATGTTGTGAGATGAAAGCCGAGCCTGTGTACAAGCCACTGCAAGGATATCCGGCCTCCTTTCAAGTTAGCGCTTCTCGCTGTATATTCCCCTTGAGGCAGCATACTCGGGGTCCCTCCCACATACCTATTGCTGAGAGAAGCCTCCTCCTGAGGTGCTTCTGGAAAGTTGGCATACGTCTTGAGCCTAAGCCAGGGAATCAGCTCTCATCTCGAGACGATTTGGGGTACACGGAGAATTCCTCGAGTTGCTGTGCTGAAGTTGGTGTTCCTCTAGACTTGGGACAGTGTTCTCGGGGCATCTCTGGAGTTGCCTGAAGGAAGTCGAGCCACCGGTCGTGTTGAATGGGGAACGGGGAATGGCTTTGGAGTCAATACAGGGGAATCGGGCCTCATCTCGAGTTGATTTGGGGCACATGGAGCTGCTTTGCGTTGCTGGGTTGACCTCAGGGTCCGTCTAGACTGGTGACAGTGTTCTTGGGGACTGTCTCGAGATCCATTAAGCAAGTCGAAGCTCCTGACTTGTTTGAATGGGATCACGGAATAGCTCTGCATGCACTGCAGGGGAATGGGTCCTCATCTCGCCTCTAGGGGGAAGTCTCATGGTTTTTCTCGAGTTGCGGCGGGGACCTGGGGTATGTTCTCGACTTACGGCGGGATGGCCCTTCAAAACATGAGTTCCTTCAGTGACGTCAGGACTCCTGTCTAGTAATGAGGAACACCTCAGGAATCTCTTCGAGGCTTGGCAGGGCAAAAGGGACGCTTCTCGAGGTGAGGCAGGGCACCCAAGGACCCTTTCCAGTAGCCACAGGGATTTTGGGATTCCTATCAGTATTCAAGAGGAGTCAGGCATCGTCACATTCTGAAGCAATGAACTCCGTGTGCCTCTCGAGGTGTCAGCGGGATGTGAGGCATTCCGTCAAAATGAGGCAGGGACTTAGGGCTTTCTCTAAGGTCTCCACAGGGGATTCAGACATCCCTTCATGTTGTGAGATGAAACACGAGCCTGTATTCAAGCCACTGCAAGGAAATCCGGCCTCCTTTCCAGTTAGGGCTTCTCGCTGTATATTCCCCTTGAGGCAGCAAACTCGGGGTCCCTCCCACATATCTATTGCTGAGAGATGCCTCCTCCTGAGGTGCTTCTGGAAAGTTGGAATACGTCTTGAGCCTAAGCCAGGGAATCAGCTCTCATCTCGAGACGATTTTGGGTACACGGAGCATTCCTCGAGTTGCTGTGCTGAAGTTGGTGTTCCTCTAGACTTGGGACAGTGTTCTCGGGGCATCTCTGGAGTTGCCTGAAGGAAGTCGAGCCACCGGTCGTGTTGAATGGGGAATGGTGAATGGCTCTGGAGTCAATGCAGGGGAATCGGGCCTCATCTCGAGTTGATTTGGGGCACATGGAGCTGCTTTGCATTGCTGGGCTGACCTCAGGGTCCGTCTAGACTGGTGACAGTGTTCTTGGGGACTCTCTCGAGATCCATTAAGCAAGTCGAAGCTCCTGACTTGTTTGAATGGGATCACGGAATAGCTCTGCATGCACTGCAGGGGAATGGGTCCTCATCTCGCCTCTAGGGGGAAGTCTCATGGTTTTTCTCGAGTTGCGGCGGGGACCTGGGGTATGTTCTCGACTTACGGCGGGGATGGCCCTTCAAAACACGAGTTTCTTCAGTGACGTCAGGACTCCTGTCTAGTAACGAGGGACAACTCAGGAATCTCTTCGAGGCTTGACAGGGCAAAAGGGACGCTTCTCGAGGTGAGGCAGGGCACCCAAGGACCCTTTCCAGTAGCCACAGGGATTTTCGGATTCCTATCAGTATTCAAGAGGAGTCAGGCATCGTCACCTTTTGAAGCATTGAACTCCGTGTGCCTCTCAAGGTGTCAGAGGGATGTGAGGCATTCCGTCAAAATGAGGCAGGGACCTAGGGCTTTCTCTAAGGTCTCCACAGGGGATTCAGACATCCCTTCATGTTGTGAGATGAAAGACGAGCCTGTATTCAAGCCACTGCAAGGATATCTGGCCTCCTTTCAAGTTACGGCTTCTCGCTGTATATTCCCCTTGAGGCAGCAAACTCCGGGTCCCTCCCACATACTTATTGCTGAGAGAAGCCTCCTCCTGAGGTGCTTCTGGAAAGTTGGCATACGTCTTGAGCCTAAGCCAGGGAATCAGCTCTCATCTCGAGACGATTTGGGGTACACGGAGCATTCCTCGAGTTGCTGTGCTGAAGTTGGTGTTCCTCTAGACTTGGGACAGTGTTCTCGGGGCATCTCTGCAGTTGCCTGAAGGAAGTCGAGCCACCGGTCGTGTTGAATGGGGAACGGGAAATGGCTCTGGAGTCAATGCAGGGGAATCGGGCCTCATCTCGAGTTGATTTGGGGCACATGGTGCTGCTTTGCGTTGCTGGGCTGACCTCAGGGTCCGTCTAGACTGGTGACAGTGTTCTTGGGGACTGTCTCGAGATCCATTAAGCAAGTCGAAGCTCCTGACTTGTTTGAATGGGATCACGGAATAGCTCTGCATGCACTGCAGGGGAATGGGGCCTCATCTCGCCTCTAGGGGGAAGTCTCATGGTTTTTCTAGAGTTGCGGCGGGGACCTGGGGTATGTTCTCGACTTACGGCGGGGATGGCCCTTCAAAACACGAGTTTCTTCAGTGACGTCAGGACTCCTGTCTAGTAACGAGGGACACCTCAGGAATCTCTTCGAGGCTTGGCAGGGCCAAAGGGACGCTTCTCGAGGTTATGCAGGGCACCCAAGGACCCTTTCCAGTAGCCACAGGGATTTTGGGATTCCTATCAGTATTCAAGAGGAGTCAGGCATCGTCACCTTTTGAAGCAATGAACTCTGCGTGATTCTCGAGGTGTCAGCGGGATGTGAGGCATTCCGTCAAAATGAGGCAGGGAACTAGGGCTTTCTCTAAGGTCTCCACATGGGATTCAGACATCCCTTCATGTTGTGAGATGATAGACGAGCCTGTATTCAAGCCACTGCAAGGAAATCCGGCCTCCTTTCAAGTTAGGGCTTCTCGCTGTATATTCCCCTTGAGGCAGCATACTCGGGGTCCCTCCCACATACCTATTGCTGAGAGAAGCCTCCTCCTGAGGTGCTTCTGGAAAGTTGGCATACGTCTTGAGCCTAAGCCAGGGAATCAGCTCTCATCTCGAGACGATTTGTGGTACACGGAGCATTCCCCGAGTTGCTGTGCTGAAGTTGGTGTTCCTCTAGACTACGGACAGTGTTCTGGGGGCATCTCTGGAGTTGCCTGAAGGAAGTCGAGCCACCGGTCGTGTTGAATGGGGAACGGGGAATGGCTCTAGAGTCAATGCAGGGGAATCGGGCCTCATCTCGAGTTGATTTGGGGAACATGGAGCTGCTTTGCGTTGCTGGGGTGACCTCAGGGTCCGTCTAGACTGGTGACAGTGTTCTTGGGGACTGTCTCGAGATCCATTAAGCAAGTCGAAGCTCCTGACTTGTTTGAATGGGATCACGGAATAGCTCTGCATGCACTGCAGGGGAATTTGGCCTCATCTCGCCTCTAGGGGGAAGTCTCATGGTTTTTCTCGAGTTGCGGCGGGGACCTGGGGTATGTTCTCGACTTAAGGCGGGGATGGCCCTTCAAAACACGAGTTTCTTCAGTGACGTCAGGACTCCTGTGTAATAACGAGGTACACCTCAGGAATCTCTTCGAGGCTTGGCAGGGCAAAAGGGACGCTTCTCGAGGTGAGGCAGGGCACCCAAGGACCCTTTCCAGTAGCCACAGGGATTTTCGGATTCCTATCAGTATTCAAGAGGAGTCAGGCATCGTCACCTTTTGAAGCAATGAACTACGTGTGCCTCTCGAGGTGTCAGCGGGATGTGAGGCATTCCGTCAAAATGAGGCAGGGACCTACGGCTTTCTCTAAGGTCTCCACAGGGGATTCAGACATCCCTTCATGTTGTGAGATGAAACACGAGCCTGTATTCAATCCACTGCAAGGAAATCCGGCCTCCGTTCAAGTTAGGGCTTCTCGCTGTATATTCCCCTTGAGGCAGCAAACTCGGGGTCCCTCCCACATACCTATTGCTGAGAGAAGCCTCCTCCTGAGGTGCTTCTGGAAAGTTGGCATATGTCTTGAGCCTAAGCCAGGGAATCAGCTCTCATCTCGAGACGATTTGTGGTACAAGGAGCATTCCCCAAGTTGCTATTCTGAAGTTGGTGTTCCTCTAGACTACGGACAGTGTTCTCGGGGCATCTCTGGAGTTGCCTGAAGGAAGTCGAGCCACCGGTCTTGTTGAATGGGGAACGGGGAATGGCTCTGGAGTCAATGCAGGGGAATTGGGCCTCATCTCGAGTTGATTTGGGGCATATGGAGCTGCTTTGCGTTGCTGGGGTGACCTCAGGGTCCGTCTAGACTGGTGACAGTGTTCTTGGGGACTGTCTCGAGATCCATTAAGCAAGTCGAAGCTCCTGACTTGTTTGAATGGGATCACGGAATAGCTCTGCATGCACTGCAGGGGAATGGGGCCTCATCTCGCCTCTAGGGGGAAGTCTCATGGTTTTTCTCGAGTTGCGGCGGGGACCTGGGGTATGTTATCGATTTACGGCGGGGATCGCCCTTCAAAACAGGAGTTCCTTCAGTGACGTCAGGACTCCTGTCTAGTAACGAGGGACACCTCAGGAATCTCTTCGAGGCTTGGCAGGGCAAAAGGGACGCTTCTCGAGGTGAGGCAGGGCACCCAAGGACCCTTTCCAGTAGCCACAGGGATTTTGGGATTCCTATCAGTATTCAAGAGGAGTCAGGCATCGTCACCTTTTGAAGCAATGAACTCTGCGTGCCTCTCGAGGTGTCAGCGGGATGTGAGGCATTCCGTCAAAATGAGGCAGGGACCTAGGGCTTTCTCTAAGGTCTCCACAGGGGATTCAGACATCCCTTCATGTTGTGAGATGAAAGACGAGCCTGTGTTCAAGCCACTGCAAGGATATCCGGCCTCCTTTCAAGTTAGCGCTTCTCGCTGTATATTCCCCTTGAGGCAGCATACTCGGGGTCAACCCCACATACCTATTGCTGAGAGAAGCCTCCTCCTGAGGTGCTTCTGGAAAGTTGGCATACGTCTTGAGCCTAAGCCAGGGAATCAGCTCTCATCTCGAGACGATTTGGGGTACACGGAGAATTCCTCGAGTTGCTGTGTTGAAGTTGGTGTTCCTCTAGACTTGGGACAGTGTTCTCGGGGCATCTCTGGAGTTGCCTGAAGGAAGTCGAGCCACCGGTCCTGTTGAATGGGGAATGGGGAATGGCTCTGGAGTCAATGCAGGGGAATCGGGCCTCATCTCGAGTTGATTTGGGGCACATGGAGCTGCTTTGCGTTGCTGGGGTGACCTCAGGGTCCGTCTAGACTGGTGACAGTGTTCTTGGGGACTGTCTCGAGATCCATTAAGCAAGTCGAAGCTCCTGACTTGTTTGAATGGGATCACGGAATAGCTCTGCATGCACTGCAGGGGAATGGTGCCTCATCTCGCCTCTAGGGGGAAGTCTCATGGTTTTTCTCGAGTTGCGGCGGGGACCTGGGGTATGTTCTCGACTTACGGCGGGATGGCCCTTCAAAACATGAGTTCCTTCAGTGACGTCAGGACTCCTGTCTAGTAATGAGGAACACCTCAGGAATCTCTTCGAGGCTTGGCAGGGCAAAAGGGACGCTTCTCGAGGTGAGGCAGGGCACCCAAGGACCCATTCCAGTAGCCACAGGGATTTTCGGATTCCTATCAGTATTCAAGAGGAGTCAGGCATCGTCACCTTCTGAAGCAATGAACTCTGCGTGCCTCTCGAGTTGTCACCGGGATGTGAGGCATTCCGTCAAAATGAGGCAGGGACCTAGGGCTTTCTCTAAGGTCTCCACAGGGGATTCAGACATCCCTTCATGTTGTGAGATGAAAGACGAGCCTGTATTCAAGACACTGCTAGAAAATCCGGCCTCCTTTCAAGTGAGGGCTTCTCGCTGTATATTCCCCTTGAGGCAGCAAACTAGGGGTCCCTCCCACATACCTATTGCTGAAAGAAGTCTCCTCCTGAGGTGTTTCTGGAAAGTTGGCATACGTCTTGAGCCTAAGCCAGGGAATCAGCTCTCATCTCGAGACGATTTGGGGTACACGGAGCATTCCTCGAGTTGCTGTGCTGAAGTTGGTGTTCCTCTAGACTTGGGACAGTGTTCTCGGGGCATCTCTGGAGTTGCCTGAAGGAAGTCGAGCCACCGGTCGTGTTGAATGGGGAACGGGGAATCTCTCTGGAGTCAATTCAGGGGAATCCGGCCTCATCTCGAGTTGATTTGGGGCACATGGAGCTGCTTTGCGTTGCTGGGGTGACCTCAGGGTCCGTCTAGACTGGTGACAGTGTTCTTGGGGACTGTCTCGAGATCCATTAAGCAAGTCGAAGCTCCTGACTTGTTTGAATGGGATCACGGAATAGCTCTGCATGCACTGCAGGGGAATGGGGCCTCATCTCACCTCTAGGGGGAAGTCTCATGGTTTTTCTCGAGTTGCAGCGGGTACCTGGGGTATGTTCTCGACTTACGGCGGGGATGGCCCTTCAAAACTCGAGTTTCTTCAGTGACGTCAGGACTCCTGTGTAATAACGAGGTACACCTCAGGAATCTCTTCGAGGCTTGGCAGGGCAAAAGGGACGCTTCTCGAGGTGAGGCAGGGCACCCAAGGACCCTTTCCAGTAGCCACAGGGATTTTCGGATTCCTATCAGTATTCAAGAGGAGTCAGGCATCGTCACCTTTTGAAGCAATGAACTCCGTGTGCCTCTCGAGGTGTCAGCGGGATGTGAGGCATTCCGTCAAAATGAGGCAGGGACCTAGGGCTTTCTCTAAGGTCTCCACAGGGGATTCAGACATCCCTTCATGTTGTGAGATGAAACACGAGCCTGTATTCAAGCCACTGCAAGGAAATCCGGCCTCCTTTCAAGTTAGGGCTTCTCGCTGTATATTCCCCTTGAGGCAGCAAACTCGGGGTCCCTCCCACATATCTATTGCTGAGAGAAGCCTCCTCCTGAGGTGCTTCTGGAAAGTTGGCATACGTCTTGAGCCTAAGCCAGGGAATCAGGTCTCATCTCGAGACGATTTTGGGTACACGGAGCATTCCTCGAGTTGCTGTGCTGAAGTTGGTGTTCCTCTAGACTTGGGACAGTGTTCTCGGGGCATCTCTGGAGTTGCCTGAAGGAAGTCGAGCCACCGGTCGTGTTGAATGGGGAACGGGGAATGGCTCTGGAGTCAATGCAGGGGAATCGGGCCTCATCTCGAGTTGATTTGGGGCACATGGAGCTGCTTTGCGTTGCTGGGCTGACCTCAGGGTCCGTCTAGACTGGTTACAGTGTTCTTGGGGACTGTCTCGAGATCCATTAATCAAGTCGAAGCTCCTGACTTGTTTGAATGGGATCACGGAATAGCTCTGCATGCACTGCAGGGGAATGGGGCCTCATCTCACCTCTAGGGGGAAGTCTCATGGTTTTTCTCGAGTTGCAGCGGGTACCTGGGGTATGTTCTCGACTTACGGCGGGGATGGCCCTTCAAAACTCGAGTTTCTTCAGTGACGTCAGGACTCCTGTGTAATAACGAGGTACACCTCAGGAATCTCTTCGAGGCTTGGCAGGGCAAAAGGGACGCTTCTCGAGGTGAGGCAGGGCACCCAAGGACCCTTTCCAGTAGCCACAGGGATTTTGGGATTCCTATCAGTATTCAAGAGGAGTCAGGCATCGTCACGTTTTGAAGCAATGTACTCTGCGTGCCTCTCGAGGTGTCAGCGGGATGTGAGGCATTCCGTCAAAATGACGCAGGGACCTAGGGCTTTCTCTAAGGTCTCCACAGGGCATTCAGACATCCCTTCATGTTGTGAGATGAAACACGAGCCTGTATTCAAGCCACTGCAAGGAAATCCGGCCTCCTTTCAAGTTAGGGCTTCTCGCTGTATATTCCCCTTGAGGCAGCAAACTCGGGGTCCCTCCCACATACCTATTGCTGAGAGAAGCCTCCTCCTGAGGTGCTTCTGGAAAGTTGGCATACGTCTTGAGCCTAAGCCAGGGAATCAGCTCTCATCTCGAGACGATTTGGGGTACACGGAGCATTCCTCGAGTTGCTGTGCTTAAGGTGGTGTTCCTCTAGACTACGGACAGTGTTCTTGGGGCATCTCTGGAGTTGCCTGAAGGAAGTCGAGCCACCTGTCCTGTTGAATGGGGAACGGGGAATCTCTCTGGAGTCAATGCAGGGGAATCGGGCCTCATCTCGAGTTGATTTGGGGCACATGGAGCTGCTTTGCGTTGCTGGGGTTACCTCAGGGTCCGTCTAGACTGGTGACAGTGTTCTTGGGGACTCTCTCGAGATCCATTAAGCAAGTCGAAGCTCCTGACTTGTTTGAATGGGATCACGGAATAGCTCTGCATGCACTGCAGGGGAATGGGGCCTCATCTCGCCTCTAGGGGGAAGTCTCATGGTTTTTCTCGAGTTACGGCGGGGACCTGGGGTATGTTCTCGACTTACGGCGGGGATGGCCCTTCAAAACACGAGTTTCTTCAGTGACGTCAGGACTCCTGTCTAGTAACGAGGGACACCTCAGAAATCACTTCGAGGCTTGGCAGGGCAAAAGGGACGCTTCTCGAGGTGAGGCAGTGCACCCAAGGACCCTTTCCAGTAGCCACAGAGATTTTGGGATTCCTATCAGTATTCAAGAGGAGTCAGGCATCGTCACCTTTTGAAGCAATGTACTCTGCGTGCCTCTCGAGGTGTCAACGGGATGTGAGCCATTCCGTCAAAATGAGGCAGGGACCTAGGGCTTTCTCTAAGGTCTCCACAGGGGATTCAGACATCCCTTCATGTTGTGAGATGAAAGACGAGCCTGTGTTCAAGCCACTGCAAGGATATCCGGCCTCCTTTCAAGTTAGCGCTTCTCGCTGTATATTCCCCTTGAGGCAGCATACTCGGGGTCAACCCCACAAACCTATTGCTGAGAGAAGCCTCCTCCTGAGGTGCTTCTGGAATGTTGGCATACGTCTTGAGCCTAAGCCAGGGAATCAGCTCTCATCTCGAGACGATTTGGGGTACACGGAGAATTCTTCGAGTTGCTGTGCTGAAGTTGGTGTTCCTCTAGACTTGGGACAGTGTTCTCGGGGCATCTCTGGAGTTGCCTAAAGGAAGTCGAACCACCGGTCGTGTTGAATGGGGAACGGGGAATGGCTTTGGAGTCAATGCAGGGGAATCGGGCCTCATCTCGAGTTGATTTGCGGCACATGGAGCTGCTTTGCGTTGCTGGGTTGACCTCAGGGTCCGTCTAGACTGGTGACAGTGTTCTTGGGGACTGTCTCGAGATCCATTAAGCAAGTCGAAGCTCCTGACTTGTTTGAATGGGATCACGGAATAGCTCTGCATGCACTGCAGGGGAATGGTGCCTCATCTCGCCTCTAGGGGGAAGTCTCATGGTTTTTCTCGAGTTGCGGCGGGGACCTGGGGTATGTTCTCGACTTACGGCGGGATGGCCCTTCAAAACATGAGTTCCTTCAGTGACGTCAGGACTCCTGTCTTGTAATGAGGAACACCTCAGGAATCTCTTCGAGGCTTGGCAGGGCAAAAGGGACGCTTCTCGAGGTGAGGCAGGGCACCCAAGGACCCTTTCCAGTAGCCACAGGGATTTTGGGATTCCTATCAGTATTCAAGAGTAGTCAGGCATCGTCATTTTTGAAGCAATTAACTCCGCGTGCCTCTCGAAGTGTCAGCGGTATGTGAGGCATTCCGTCAAAATGAGGCAGGGACCTAGGGCTTTCTCTAAGGTCTCCACGGGGGATTCAGACATCCCTTCATGTTGTGAGATGAAAGACGAGCCTGTATTCAAGCCACTGCTAGAAAATCCGGCCTCCTTTCAAGTTAGGGCTTCTCGCTGTATATTCCCCTTGAGGCAGCAAACTCGGGGTCCCTCCCACATACCTATTGCTGAAAGAAGTCTCCTCCTGAGGTGCTTCTGGAAAGTTGGCATACGTCTTGAGCCTAAGCCAGGGAATCAGCTCTCATCTCGAGACGATTTGGGGTACACGGAGCATTCCTCGAGTTGCTGTGCTGAAGTTGGTGTTCCTCTAGACTTGGGACAGTGTTCTCGGGGCATCTCTGGAGTTGCCTGAAGGAAGTCGAGCCACCGGTCGTGTTGAATGGGGAACGGGGAATCTCTCTGGAGTCAATTCAGGGGAATCCGGCCTCATCTCGAGTTGATTTGGGGCACATGGAGCTGCTTTGCGTTGCTGGGGTGACCTCAGGGTCCGTCTAGACTGGTGACAGTGTTCTTGGGGACTGTCTCGAGATCCATTAAGCAAGTCGAAGCTCCTGACTTGTTTGAATGGGATCACGGAATAGCTCTGCATGCACTGCAGGGGAATGGGGACTCATCTCGCCTCTAGGGGGAAGTCTCATGGTTTTTCTCGAATTGCGGCGGGGACCTGGGGTATGTTCTCGACTTACGGCGGGGATGGCCCTTCAAAACACGAGTTTCTTCAGTGACGTCAGGACTCCTGTGTAATAACGAGGTACACCTCAGGAATCTCTTCGAGGCTTGGCAGGGCAAAAGGGACGCGTCTCGAGGTGAGGCAGGGCACCCAAGGACCCTTTCCAGTAGCCACAGGGATTTTCGGATTCCTATCAGTATTCAAGAGGAGTCAGGCATCGTCACCTTTTGAAGCAATGAACTCCGTGTGCCTCTCGAGGTGTGAGCGGGATGTGAGGCATTCCGTCAAAATGAGGCAGGGACCTAGGGCTTTCTCTAAGGTCTCCACAGGGGATTCAGACATCCCTTCATGTTGTGAGATGAAACACGAGCCTGTATTCAAGCCACTGCAAGGAAATCCGGCCTCCTTTCAAGTTAGGGCTTCTCGCTGTATATTCCCCTTGAGGCAGCAAACTCGGGGTCCCTCCCACATATCTATTGCTGAGAGAAGCCTCCTCTGAGGTGCTTCTGGAAAGTTGGCATACGTCTTGAGCCTAAGCCAGGGAATCAGCTCTCATCTCGAGACGATTTTGGGTACACGGAGCATTCCTCGAGTTGCTGTGCTGAAGTTGGTGTTCCTCTAGACTTGGGACAGTGTTCTCGGGGCATCTCTGGAGTTGCCTGAAGGAAGTCGAGCCACCGGTCGTGTTGAATGGGGAACGGGGAATGGCTCTGGAGTCAATGCAGGGGAATCGGGCCTCATCTCGAGTTGATTTGGGGCACATGGTGCTGCTTTGCTTTGCTGGGCTGACCTCAGGGTCCGTCTAGACTGGTGACAGTGTTCTTGGGGACTCTCTCGAGATCCATTAAGCAAGTCGAAGCTCCTGACTTGTTTGAATGGGATAACGGAATAGCTCTGCATGCACTGCAGGGGAATGGGGCCTCATCTCGCCTCTAGGGGAAGTCTCATGGTTTTTCTCGAGTTGCGGCGGGGACCTGGGGTATGTTCTCAACTTACGGCGGGGATGGCCCTTCAAAACACGAGTTTCTTCAGTGACGTCAGGACTCCTGTCTAGTAACGAGGGACAACTCAGGAATCTCTTCGAGGCTTGACAGGGCAAAAGGGACGCTTCTCGAGGTGAGGCAGGGCACCCAAGGACCCTTTCCAGTAGCCACAGGGATTTTCGGATTCCTATCAGTATTCAAGAGGAGTCAGGCATCGTCACCTTTTGAAGCATTGAACTCCGTGTGCCTCTCAAGGTGTCAGAGGGATGTGAGGCATTCCGTCAAAATGAGGCAGGGACCTAGGGCTTTCTCTAAGGTCTCCACAGGGGATTCAGACATCCCTTCATGTTGTGAGATGAAAGACGAGCCTGTATTCAAGCCACTGCAAGGATATCTGGCCTCCTTTCAAGTTACGGCTTCTCGCTGTATATTCCCCTTGAGGCAGCAAACTCCGGGTCCCTCCCACATACTTACTGCTGAGAGAAGCCTCCTCCTGAGGTGCTTCTGGAAAGTTGGCATACCTCTTGAGCCTAAGCCAGGGAATCAGCTCTCATCTCGAGACGATTTGGGGTACACGGAGCATTCCTCGAGTTGCTGTGCTGAAGTTGGTGTTCCTCTAGACTTGGGACAGTGTTCTCGGGGCATCTCTGCAGTTGCCTGAAGGAAGTCGAGCCACCGGTCGTGTTGAATGAGGAACGGGGAATGGCTCTGGAGTCAATGCAGGGGAATCGGGCCTCATCTCGAGTTGATTTGGGGCACATGGTGCTGCTTTGCGTTGCTGGGCTGACCTCAGGGTCCGTCTAGACTGGTGACAGTGTTCTTGGGGACTGTCTCGAGATCCATTAAGCAAGTCGAAGCTCCTGACTTGTTTGAATGGGATCACGGAATAGCTCTGCATGCACTGCAGGGGAATGGGGCCTCATCTCGCCTCTAGGGGGAAGTCTCATGGTTTTTCTCGAGTTGCGGTGGGGACCTGGGGTATGTTATCGACTTACGGCGGGGATCGCCCTTCAAAACACGAGTTCCTTCAGTGACGTCAGGACTCCTGTCTAGTAACGAGGGACACCTCAGGAATCTCTTCGAGGCTTGGCAGGGCAAAAGGGACGCTTCTCGAGGTGAGGCAGGGCACCCAAGGACCCTTTCCAGTAGCCACAGGGATTTTGGGATTCCTATCAGTATTCAAGAGGAGTCAGGCATCGTCACGTTTTGAAGCAATGTACTCTGCGTGCCTCTCGAGGTGTCAGCGGGATGTGAGGCATTCCGTCAAAATGACGCAGGGACCTAGGGCTTTCTCTAAGGTCTCCACAGGGCATTCAGACATCCCTTCATGTTGTGAGATGAAACACGAGCCTGTATTCAAGCCACTGCAAGGAAATCCGGCCTCCTTTCAAGTTAGGGCTTCTCGCTGTATATTCCCCTTGAGGCAGCAAACTCGGGGTCCCTCCCACATACCTATTGCTGAGAGAAGCCTCCTCCTGAGGTGCTTCTGGAAAGTTGGCATACGTCTTGAGCCTAAGCCAGGGAATCAGCTCTCATCTCGAGACGATTTGGGGTACACGGAGCATTCCTCGAGTTGCTGTGCTTAAGGTGGTGTTCCTCTAGACTACGGACAGTGTTCTTGGGGCATCTCTGGAGTTGCCTGAAGGAAGTCGAGCCACCTGTCCTGTTGAATGGGGAACGGGGAATCTCTCTGGAGTCAATGCAGGGGAATCGGGCCTCATCTCGAGTTGATTTGGGGCACATGGAGCTGCTTTGCTTTGCTGGGGTGACCTCAGGGTCCGTCTAGACTGGTGACAGTGTTCTTGGGGACTCTCTCGAGATCCATTAAGCAAGTCGAAGCTCCTGACTTGTTTGAATGGGATCACGGAATAGCTCTGCATGCACTGCAGGGGAATGGGGCCTCATCTCGCCTCTAGGGGGAAGTCTCATGGTTTTTCTCGAGTTACGGCGGGGACCTGGGGTATGTTCTCGACTTACGGCGGGGATGGCCCTTCAAAACACGAGTTTCTTCAGTGACGTCAGGACTCCTGTCTAGTAACGAGGGACACCTCAGAAATCACTTCGAGGCTTGGCAGGGCAAAAGGGACGCTTCTCGAGGTGAGGCAGTGCACCCAAGGACCCTTTCCAGTAGCCACAGAGATTTTGGGATTCCTATCAGTATTCAAGAGGAGTCAGGCATCGTCACCTTTTGAAGCAATGTACTCTGCGTGCCTCTCGAGGTGTCAACGGGATGTGAGCCATTCCGTCAAAATGAGGCAGGGACCTAGGGCTTTCTCTAAGGTCTCCACAGGGGATTCAGACATCCCTTCATGTTGTGAGATGAAAGACGAGCCTGTGTTCAAGCCACTGCAAGGATATCCGGCCTCCTTTCAAGTTAGCGCTTCTCGCTGTATATTCCCCTTGAGGCAGCATACTCGGGGTCAACCCCACAAACCTATTGCTGAGAGAAGCCTCCTCCTGAGGTGCTTCTGGAATGTTGGCATACGTCTTGAGCCTAAGCCAGGGAATCAGCTCTCATCTCGAGACGATTTGGGGTACACGGAGAATTCTTCGAGTTGCTGTGCTGAAGTTGGTGTTCCTCTAGACTTGGGACAGTGTTCTCGGGGCATCTCTGGAGTTGCCTAAAGGAAGTCGAACCACCGGTCGTGTTGAATGGGGAACGGGGAATGGCTTTGGAGTCAATGCAGGGGAATCGGGCCTCATCTCGAGTTGATTTGCGGCACATGGAGCTGCTTTGCGTTGCTGGGTTGACCTCAGGGTCCGTCTAGACTGGTGACAGTGTTCTTGGGGACTGTCTCGAGATCCATTAAGCAAGTCGAAGCTCCTGACTTGTTTGAATGGGATCACGGAATAGCTCTGCATGCACTGCAGGGGAATGGTGCCTCATCTCGCCTCTAGGGGGAAGTCTCATGGTTTTTCTCGAGTTGCGGCGGGGACCTGGGGTATGTTCTCGACTTACGGCGGGATGGCCCTTCAAAACATGAGTTCCTTCAGTGACGTCAGGACTCCTGTCTTGTAATGAGGAACACCTCAGGAATCTCTTCGAGGCTTGGCAGGGCAAAAGGGACGCTTCTCGAGGTGAGGCAGGGCACCCAAGGACCCTTTCCAGTAGCCACAGGGATTTTGGGATTCCTATCAGTATTCAAGAGTAGTCAGGCATCGTCATTTTTGAAGCAATTAACTCCGCGTGCCTCTCGAAGTGTCAGCGGTATGTGAGGCATTCCGTCAAAATGAGGCAGGGACCTAGGGCTTTCTCTAAGGTCTCCACGGGGGATTCAGACATCCCTTCATGTTGTGAGATGAAAGACGAGCCTGTATTCAAGCCACTGCTAGAAAATCCGGCCTCCTTTCAAGTTAGGGCTTCTCGCTGTATATTCCCCTTGAGGCAGCAAACTCGGGGTCCCTCCCACATACCTATTGCTGAAAGAAGTCTCCTCCTGAGGTGCTTCTGGAAAGTTGGCATACGTCTTGAGCCTAAGCCAGGGAATCAGCTCTCATCTCGAGACGATTTGGGGTACACGGAGCATTCCTCGAGTTGCTGTGCTGAAGTTGGTGTTCCTCTAGACTTGGGACAGTGTTCTCGGGGCATCTCTGGAGTTGCCTGAAGGAAGTCGAGCCACCGGTCGTGTTGAATGGGGAACGGGGAATCTCTCTGGAGTCAATTCAGGGGAATCCGGCCTCATCTCGAGTTGATTTGGGGCACATGGAGCTGCTTTGCGTTGCTGGGGTGACCTCAGGGTCCGTCTAGACTGGTGACAGTGTTCTTGGGGACTGTCTCGAGATCCATTAAGCAAGTCGAAGCTCCTGACTTGTTTGAATGGGATCACGGAATAGCTCTGCATGCACTGCAGGGGAATGGGGACTCATCTCGCCTCTAGGGGGAAGTCTCATGGTTTTTCTCGAATTGCGGCGGGGACCTGGGGTATGTTCTCGACTTACGGCGGGGATGGCCCTTCAAAACACGAGTTTCTTCAGTGACGTCAGGACTCCTGTGTAATAACGAGGTACACCTCAGGAATCTCTTCGAGGCTTGGCAGGGCAAAAGGGACGCGTCTCGAGGTGAGGCAGGGCACCCAAGGACCCTTTCCAGTAGCCACAGGGATTTTCGGATTCCTATCAGTATTCAAGAGGAGTCAGGCATCGTCACCTTTTGAAGCAATGAACTCCGTGTGCCTCTCGAGGTGTGAGCGGGATGTGAGGCATTCCGTCAAAATGAGGCAGGGACCTAGGGCTTTCTCTAAGGTCTCCACAGGGGATTCAGACATCCCTTCATGTTGTGAGATGAAACACGAGCCTGTATTCAAGCCACTGCAAGGAAATCCGGCCTCCTTTCAAGTTAGGGCTTCTCGCTGTATATTCCCCTTGAGGCAGCAAACTCGGGGTCCCTCCCACATATCTATTGCTGAGAGAAGCCTCCTCTGAGGTGCTTCTGGAAAGTTGGCATACGTCTTGAGCCTAAGCCAGGGAATCAGCTCTCATCTCGAGACGATTTTGGGTACACGGAGCATTCCTCGAGTTGCTGTGCTGAAGTTGGTGTTCCTCTAGACTTGGGACAGTGTTCTCGGGGCATCTCTGGAGTTGCCTGAAGGAAGTCGAGCCACCGGTCGTGTTGAATGGGGAACGGGGAATGGCTCTGGAGTCAATGCAGGGGAATCGGGCCTCATCTCGAGTTGATTTGGGGCACATGGTGCTGCTTTGCTTTGCTGGGCTGACCTCAGGGTCCGTCTAGACTGGTGACAGTGTTCTTGGGGACTCTCTCGAGATCCATTAAGCAAGTCGAAGCTCCTGACTTGTTTGAATGGGATAACGGAATAGCTCTGCATGCACTGCAGGGGAATGGGGCCTCATCTCGCCTCTAGGGGAAGTCTCATGGTTTTTCTCGAGTTGCGGCGGGGACCTGGGGTATGTTCTCAACTTACGGCGGGGATGGCCCTTCAAAACACGAGTTTCTTCAGTGACGTCAGGACTCCTGTCTAGTAACGAGGGACAACTCAGGAATCTCTTCGAGGCTTGACAGGGCAAAAGGGACGCTTCTCGAGGTGAGGCAGGGCACCCAAGGACCCTTTCCAGTAGCCACAGGGATTTTCGGATTCCTATCAGTATTCAAGAGGAGTCAGGCATCGTCACCTTTTGAAGCATTGAACTCCGTGTGCCTCTCAAGGTGTCAGAGGGATGTGAGGCATTCCGTCAAAATGAGGCAGGGACCTAGGGCTTTCTCTAAGGTCTCCACAGGGGATTCAGACATCCCTTCATGTTGTGAGATGAAAGACGAGCCTGTATTCAAGCCACTGCAAGGATATCTGGCCTCCTTTCAAGTTACGGCTTCTCGCTGTATATTCCCCTTGAGGCAGCAAACTCCGGGTCCCTCCCACATACTTACTGCTGAGAGAAGCCTCCTCCTGAGGTGCTTCTGGAAAGTTGGCATACCTCTTGAGCCTAAGCCAGGGAATCAGCTCTCATCTCGAGACGATTTGGGGTACACGGAGCATTCCTCGAGTTGCTGTGCTGAAGTTGGTGTTCCTCTAGACTTGGGACAGTGTTCTCGGGGCATCTCTGCAGTTGCCTGAAGGAAGTCGAGCCACCGGTCGTGTTGAATGAGGAACGGGGAATGGCTCTGGAGTCAATGCAGGGGAATCGGGCCTCATCTCGAGTTGATTTGGGGCACATGGTGCTGCTTTGCGTTGCTGGGCTGACCTCAGGGTCCGTCTAGACTGGTGACAGTGTTCTTGGGGACTGTCTCGAGATCCATTAAGCAAGTCGAAGCTCCTGACTTGTTTGAATGGGATCACGGAATAGCTCTGCATGCACTGCAGGGGAATGGGGCCTCATCTCGCCTCTAGGGGGAAGTCTCATGGTTTTTCTCGAGTTGCGGTGGGGACCTGGGGTATGTTATCGACTTACGGCGGGGATCGCCCTTCAAAACACGAGTTCCTTCAGTGACGTCAGGACTCCTGTCTAGTAACGAGGGACACCTCAGGAATCTCTTCGAGGCTTGGCAGGGCAAAAGGGACGCTTCTCGAGGTGAGGCAGGGCACCCAAGGACCCTTTCCAGTAGCCACAGGGATTTTGGGATTCCTATCAGTATTCAAGAGGAGTCAGGCATCGTCACGTTTTGAAGCAATGTACTCTGCGTGCCTCTCGAGGTGTCAGCGGGATGTGAGGCATTCCGTCAAAATGACGCAGGGACCTAGGGCTTTCTCTAAGGTCTCCACAGGGCATTCAGACATCCCTTCATGTTGTGAGATGAAACACGAGCCTGTATTCAAGCCACTGCAAGGAAATCCGGCCTCCTTTCAAGTTAGGGCTTCTCGCTGTATATTCCCCTTGAGGCAGCAAACTCGGGGTCCCTCCCACATACCTATTGCTGAGAGAAGCCTCCTCCTGAGGTGCTTCTGGAAAGTTGGCATACGTCTTGAGCCTAAGCCAGGGAATCAGCTCTCATCTCGAGACGATTTGGGGTACACGGAGCATTCCTCGAGTTGCTGTGCTTAAGGTGGTGTTCCTCTAGACTACGGACAGTGTTCTTGGGGCATCTCTGGAGTTGCCTGAAGGAAGTCGAGCCACCTGTCCTGTTGAATGGGGAACGGGGAATCTCTCTGGAGTCAATGCAGGGGAATCGGGCCTCATCTCGAGTTGATTTGGGGCACATGGAGCTGCTTTGCTTTGCTGGGGTGACCTCAGGGTCCGTCTAGACTGGTGACAGTGTTCTTGGGGACTCTCTCGAGATCCATTAAGCAAGTCGAAGCTCCTGACTTGTTTGAATGGGATCACGGAATAGCTCTGCATGCACTGCAGGGGAATGGGGCCTCATCTCGCCTCTAGGGGGAAGTCTCATGGTTTTTCTCGAGTTACGGCGGGGACCTGGGGTATGTTCTCGACTTACGGCGGGGATGGCCCTTCAAAACACGAGTTTCTTCAGTGACGTCAGGACTCCTGTCTAGTAACGAGGGACACCTCAGAAATCACTTCGAGGCTTGGCAGGGCAAAAGGGACGCTTCTCGAGGTGAGGCAGTGCACCCAAGGACCCTTTCCAGTAGCCACAGAGATTTTGGGATTCCTATCAGTATTCAAGAGGAGTCAGGCATCGTCACCTTTTGAAGCAATGTACTCTGCGTGCCTCTCGAGGTGTCAACGGGATGTGAGCCATTCCGTCAAAATGAGGCAGGGACCTAGGGCTTTCTCTAAGGTCTCCACAGGGGATTCAGACATCCCTTCATGTTGTGAGATGAAAGACGAGCCTGTGTTCAAGCCACTGCAAGGATATCCGGCCTCCTTTCAAGTTAGCGCTTCTCGCTGTATATTCCCCTTGAGGCAGCATACTCGGGGTCAACCCCACAAACCTATTGCTGAGAGAAGCCTCCTCCTGAGGTGCTTCTGGAATGTTGGCATACGTCTTGAGCCTAAGCCAGGGAATCAGCTCTCATCTCGAGACGATTTGGGGTACACGGAGAATTCTTCGAGTTGCTGTGCTGAAGTTGGTGTTCCTCTAGACTTGGGACAGTGTTCTCGGGGCATCTCTGGAGTTGCCTAAAGGAAGTCGAACCACCGGTCGTGTTGAATGGGGAACGGGGAATGGCTTTGGAGTCAATGCAGGGGAATCGGGCCTCATCTCGAGTTGATTTGCGGCACATGGAGCTGCTTTGCGTTGCTGGGTTGACCTCAGGGTCCGTCTAGACTGGTGACAGTGTTCTTGGGGACTGTCTCGAGATCCATTAAGCAAGTCGAAGCTCCTGACTTGTTTGAATGGGATCACGGAATAGCTCTGCATGCACTGCAGGGGAATGGTGCCTCATCTCGCCTCTAGGGGGAAGTCTCATGGTTTTTCTCGAGTTGCGGCGGGGACCTGGGGTATGTTCTCGACTTACGGCGGGATGGCCCTTCAAAACATGAGTTCCGTCAGTGACGTCAGGACTCCTGTCTAGTAATGAGGAACACCTCAGGAATCTCTTCGAGGCTTGGCAGGGCAAAAGGGACGCTTCTCGAGGTGAGGCAGGGCACCCAAGGACCCTTTCCAGTAGCCACAGGGATTTTGGGATTCCTATCAGTATTCAAGAGTAGTCAGGCATCGTCATTTTTGAAGCAATTAACTCCGCGTGCCTCTCGAAGTGTCAGCGGTATGTGAGGCATTCCGTCAAAATGAGGCAGGGACCTAGGGCTTTCTCTAAGGTCTCCACGGGGGATTCAGACATCCCTTCATGTTGTGAGATGAAAGACGAGCCTGTATTCAAGCCACTGCTAGAAAATCCGGCCTCCTTTCAAGTTAGGGCTTCTCGCTGTATATTCCCCTTGAGGCAGCAAACTCGGGGTCCCTCCCACATACCTATTGCTGAAAGAAGTCTCCTCCTGAGGTGCTTCTGGAAAGTTGGCATACGTCTTGAGCCTAAGCCAGGGAATCAGCTCTCATCTCGAGACGATTTGGGGTACACGGAGCATTCCTCGAGTTGCTGTGCTGAAGTTGGTGTTCCTCTAGACTTGGGACAGTGTTCTCGGGGCATCTCTGGAGTTGCCTGAAGGAAGTCGAGCCACCGGTCGTGTTGAATGGGGAACGGGGAATCTCTCTGGAGTCAATTCAGGGGAATCCGGCCTCATCTCGAGTTGATTTGGGGCACATGGAGCTGCTTTGCGTTGCTGGGGTGACCTCAGGGTCCGTCTAGACTGGTGACAGTGTTCTTGGGGACTGTCTCGAGATCCATTAAGCAAGTCGAAGCTCCTGACTTGTTTGAATGGGATCACGGAATAGCTCTGCATGCACTGCAGGGGAATGGGGACTCATCTCGCCTCTAGGGGGAAGTCTCATGGTTTTTCTCGAATTGCGGCGGGGACCTGGGGTATGTTCTCGACTTACGGCGGGGATGGCCCTTCAAAACACGAGTTTCTTCAGTGACGTCAGGACTCCTGTGTAATAACGAGGTACACCTCAGGAATCTCTTCGAGGCTTGGCAGGGCAAAAGGGACGCTTCTCGAGGTGAGGCAGGGCACCCAAGGACCCTTTCCAGTAGCCACAGGGATTTTCGGATTCCTATCAGTATTCAAGAGGAGTCAGGCATCGTCACCTTTTGAAGCAATGAACTCCGTGTGCCTCTCGAGGTGTCAGCGGGATGTGAGGCATTCCGTCAAAATGAGGCAGGGACCTAGGGCTTTCTCTAAGGTCTCCACAGGGGATTCAGACATCCCTTCATGTTGTGAGATGAAACACGAGCCTGTATTCAAGCCACTGCAAGGAAATCCGGCCTCCTTTCAAGTTAGGGCTTCTCGCTGTATATTCCCCTTGAGGCAGCAAACTCGGGGTCCCTCCCACATATCTATTGCTGAGAGAAGCCTCCTCCTGAGGTGCTTCTGGAAAGTTGGCATACGTCTTGAGCCTAAGCCAGGGAATCAGCTCTCATCTCGAGACGATTTTGGGTACACGGAGCATTCCTCGAGTTGCTGTGCTGAAGTTGGTGTTCCTCTAGACTTGGGACAGTGTTCTCGGGGCATCTCTGGAGTTGCCTGAAGGAAGTCGAGCCACCGGTCGTGTTGAATGGGGAACGGGGAATGGCTCTGGAGTCAATGCAGGGGAATCGGGCCTCATCTCGAGTTGATTTGGGGCACATGGTGCTGCTTTGCGTTGCTGGGCTGACCTCAGGGTCCGTCTAGACTGGTGACAGTGTTCTTGGGGACTCTCTCGAGATCCATTAAGCAAGTCGAAGCTCCTGACTTGTTTGAATGGGATCACGGAATAGCTCTGCATGCACTGCAGGGGAATGGGGCCTCATCTCGCCTCTAGGGGAAGTCTCATGGTTTTTCTCGAGTTGCGGCGGGGACCTGGGGTATGTTCTCAACTTACGGCGGGGATGGCCCTTCAAAACACGAGTTTCTTCAGTGACGTCAGGACTCCTGTCTAGTAACGAGGGACAACTCAGGAATCTCTTCGAGGCTTGACAGGGCAAAAGGGACGCTTCTCGAGGTGAGGCAGGGCACCCAAGGACCCTTTCCAGTAGCCACAGGGATTTTCGGATTCCTATCAGTATTCAAGAGGAGTCAGGCATCGTCACCTTTTGAAGCATTGAACTCCGTGTGCCTCTCAAGGTGTCAGAGGGATGTGAGGCATTCCGTCAAAATGAGGCAGGGACCTAGGGCTTTCTCTAAGGTCTCCACAGGGGATTCAGACATCCCTTCATGTTGTGAGATGAAAGACGAGCCTGTATTCAAGCCACTGCAAGGATATCTGGCCTCCTTTCAAGTTACGGCTTCTCGCTGTATATTCCCCTTGAGGCAGCAAACTCCGGGTCCCTCCCACATACTTACTGCTGAGAGAAGCCTCCTCCTGAGGTGCTTCTGGAAAGTTGGCATACGTCTTGAGCCTAAGCCAGGGAATCAGCTCTCATCTCGAGACGATTTGGGGTACACGGAGCATTCCTCGAGTTGCTGTGCTGAAGTTGGTGTTCCTCTAGACTTGGGACAGTGTTCTCGGGGCATCTCTGCAGTTGCCTGAAGGAAGTCGAGCCACCGGTCGTGTTGAATGAGGAACGGGGAATGGCTCTGGAGTCAATGCAGGGGAATCGGGCCTCATCTCGAGTTGATTTGGGGCACATGGTGCTGCTTTGCGTTGCTGGGCTGACCTCAGGGTCCGTCTAGACTGGTGACAGTGTTCTTGGGGACTGTCTCGAGATCCATTAAGCAAGTCGAAGCTCCTGACTTGTTTGAATGGGATCACGGAATAGCTCTGCATGCACTGCAGGGGAATGGGGCCTCATCTCGCCTCTAGGGGGAAGTCTCATGGTTTTTCTCGAGTTGCGGTGGGGACCTGGGGTATGTTATCGACTTACGGCGGGGATCGCCCTTCAAAACACGAGTTCCTTCAGTGACGTCAGGACTCCTGTCTAGTAACGAGGGACACCTCAGGAATCTCTTCGAGGCTTGGCAGGGCAAAAGGGACGCTTCTCGAGGTGAGGCAGGGCACCCAAGGACCCTTTCCAGTAGCCACAGGGATTTTGGGATTCCTATCAGTATTCAAGAGGAGTCAGGCATCGTCACGTTTTGAAGCAATGTACTCTGCGTGCCTCTCGAGGTGTCAGCGGGATGTGAGGCATTCCGTCAAAATGACGCAGGGACCTAGGGCTTTCTCTAAGGTCTCCACAGGGCATTCAGACATCCCTTCATGTTGTGAGATGAAACACGAGCCTGTATTCAAGCCACTGCAAGGAAATCCGGCCTCCTTTCAAGTTAGGGCTTCTCGCTGTATATTCCCCTTGAGGCAGCAAACTCGGGGTCCCTCCCACATACCTATTGCTGAGAGAAGCCTCCTCCTGAGGTGCTTCTGGAAAGTTGGCATACGTCTTGAGCCTAAGCCAGGGAATCAGCTCTCATCTCGAGACGATTTGGGGTACACGGAGCATTCCTCGAGTTGCTGTGCTTAAGGTGGTGTTCCTCTAGACTACGGACAGTGTTCTTGGGGCATCTCTGGAGTTGCCTGAAGGAAGTCGAGCCACCTGTCCTGTTGAATGGGGAACGGGGAATCTCTCTGGAGTCAATGCAGGGGAATCGGGCCTCATCTCGAGTTGATTTGGGGCACATGGGGCTGCTTTGCGTTGCTGGGGTGACCTCAGGGTCCGTCTAGACTGGTGACAGTGTTCTTGGGGACTCTCTCGAGATCCATTAAGCAAGTCGAAGCTCCTGACTTGTTTGAATGGGATCACGGAATAGCTCTGCATGCACTGCAGGGGAATGGGGCCTCATCTCGCCTCTAGGGGGAAGTCTCATGGTTTTTCTCGAGTTACGGCGGGGACCTGGGGTATGTTCTCGACTTACGGCGGGGATGGCCCTTCAAAACACGAGTTTCTTCAGTGACGTCAGGACTCCTGTCTAGTAACGAGGGACACCTCAGAAATCACTTCGAGGCTTGGCAGGGCAAAAGGGACGCTTCTCGAGGTGAGGCAGTGCACCCAAGGACCCTTTCCAGTAGCCACAGAGATTTTGGGATTCCTATCAGTATTCAAGAGGAGTCAGGCATCGTCACCTTTTGAAGCAATGTACTCTGCGTGCCTCTCGAGGTGTCAACGGGATGTGAGCCATTCCGTCAAAATGAGGCAGGGACCTAGGGCTTTCTCTAAGGTCTCCACAGGGGATTCAGACATCCCTTCATGTTGTGAGATGAAAGACGTGCCTGTGTTCAAGCCACTGCAAGGATATCCGGCCTCCTTTCAAGTTAGCGCTTCTCGCTGTATATTCCCCTTGAGGCAGCATACTCGGGGTCAACCCCACAAACCTATTGCTGAGAGAAGCCTCCTCCTGAGGTGCTTCTGGAATGTTGGCATACGTCTTGAGCCTAAGCCAGGGAATCAGCTCTCATCTCGAGACGATTTGGGGTACACGGAGAATTCTTCGAGTTGCTGTGCTGAAGTTGGTGTTCCTCTAGACTTGGGACAGTGTTCTCGGGGCATCTCTGGAGTTGCCTAAAGGAAGTCGAACCACCGGTCGTGTTGAATGGGGAACGGGGAATGGCTTTGGAGTCAATGCAGGGGAATCGGGCCTCATCTCGAGTTGATTTGCGGCACGTGGAGCTGCTTTGCGTTGCTGGGTTGACCTCAGGGTCCGTCTAGACTGGTGACAGTGTTCTTGGGGACTGTCTCGAGATCCATTAAGCAAGTCGAAGCTCCTGACTTGTTTGAATGGGATCACGGAATAGCTCTGCATGCACTGCAGGGGAATGGTGCCTCATCTCGCCTCTAGGGGGAAGTCCCATGGTTTTTCTCGAGTTGCGGCGGGGACCTGGGGTATGTTCTCGACTTACGGCGGGATGGCCCTTCAAAACATGAGTTCCTTCAGTGACGTCAGGACTCCTGTCTAGTAATGAGGAACACCTCAGGAATCTCTTCGAGGCTTGGCAGGGCAAAAGGGACGCTTCTCGAGGTGAGGCAGGGCACCCAAGGACCCTTTCCAGTAGCCACAGGGATTTTGGGATTCCTATCAGTATTCAAGAGTAGTCAGGCATCGTCATTTTTGAAGCAATTAACTCCGCGTGCCTCTCGAAGTGTCAGCGGTATGTGAGGCATTCCGTCAAAATGAGGCAGGGACCTAGGGCTTTCTCTAAGGTCTCCACGGGGGATTCAGACATCCCTTCATGTTGTGAGATGAAAGACGAGCCTGTATTCAAGCCACTGCTAGAAAATCCGGCCTCCTTTCAAGTTAGGGCTTCTCGCTGTATATTCCCCTTGAGGCAGCAAACTCGGGGTCCCTCCCACATACCTATTGCTGAAAGAAGTCTCCTCCTGAGGTGCTTCTGGAAAGTTGGCATACGTCTTGAGCCTAAGCCAGGGAATCAGCTCTCATCTCGAGACGATTTGGGGTACACGGAGCATTCCTCGAGTTGCTGTGCTGAAGTTGGTGTTCCTCTAGACTTGGGACAGTGTTCTCGGGGCATCTCTGGAGTTGCCTGAAGGAAGTCGAGCCACCGGTCGTGTTGAATGGGGAACGGGGAATCTCTCTGGAGTCAATTCAGGGGAATCCGGCCTCATCTCGAGTTGATTTGGGGCACATGGAGCTGCTTTGCGTTGCTGGGGTGACCTCAGGGTCCGTCTAGACTGGTGACAGTGTTCTTGGGGACTGTCTCGAGATCCATTAAGCAAGTCGAAGCTCCTGACTTGTTTGAATGGGATCACGGAATAGCTCTGCATGCACTGCAGGGGAATGGGGACTCATCTCGCCTCTAGGGGGAAGTCTCATGGTTTTTCTCGAATTGCGGCGGGGACCTGGGGTATGTTCTCGACTTACGGCGGGGATGGCCCTTCAAAACACGAGTTTCTTCAGTGACGTCAGGACTCCTGTGTAATAACGAGGTACACCTCAGGAATCTCTTCGAGGCTTGGCAGGGCAAAAGGGACGCTTCTCGAGGTGAGGCAGGGCACCCAAGGACCCTTTCCAGTAGCCACAGGGATTTTCGGATTCCTATCAGTATTCAAGAGGAGTCAGGCATCGTCACCTTTTGAAGCAATGAACTCCGTGTGCCTCTCGAGGTGTCAGCGGGATGTGAGGCATTCCGTCAAAATGAGGCAGGGACCTAGGGCTTTCTCTAAGGTCTCCACAGGGGATTCAGACATCCCTTCATGTTGTGAGATGAAACACGAGCCTGTATTCAAGCCACTGCAAGGAAATCCGGCCTCCTTTCAAGTTAGGGCTTCTCGCTGTATATTCCCCTTGAGGCAGCAAACTCGGGGTCCCTCCCACATATCTATTGCTGAGAGAAGCCTCCTCCTGAGGTGCTTCTGGAAAGTTGGCATACGTCTTGAGCCTAAGCCAGGGAATCAGCTCTCATCTCGAGACGATTTTGGGTACACGGAGCATTCCTCGAGTTGCTGTGCTGAAGTTGGTGTTCCTCTAGACTTGGGACAGTGTTCTCGGGGCATCTCTGGAGTTGCCTGAAGGAAGTCGAGCCACCGGTCGTGTTGAATGGGGAACGGGGAATGGCTCTGGAGTCAATGCAGGGGAATCGGGCCTCATCTCGAGTTGATTTGGGGCACATGGTGCTGCTTTGCGTTGCTGGGCTGACCTCAGGGTCCGTCTAGACTGGTGACAGTGTTCTTGGGGACTCTCTCGAGATCCATTAAGCAAGTCGAAGCTCCTGACTTGTTTGAATGGGATCACGGAATAGCTCTGCATGCACTGCAGGGGAATGGGGCCTCATCTCGCCTCTAGGGGAAGTCTCATGGTTTTTCTCGAGTTGCGGCGGGGACCTGGGGTATGTTCTCAACTTACGGCGGGGATGGCCCTTCAAAACACGAGTTTCTTCAGTGACGTCAGGACTCCTGTCTAGTAACGAGGGACAACTCAGGAATCTCTTCGAGGCTTGACAGGGCAAAAGGGACGCTTCTCGAGGTGAGGCAGGGCACCCAAGGACCCTTTCCAGTAGCCACAGGGATTTTCGGATTCCTATCAGTATTCAAGAGGAGTCAGGCATCGTCACCTTTTGAAGCATTGAACTCCGTGTGCCTCTCAAGGTGTCAGAGGGATGTGAGGCATTCCGTCAAAATGAGGCAGGGACCTAGGGCTTTCTCTAAGGTCTCCACAGGGGATTCAGACATCCCTTCATGTTGTGAGATGAAAGACGAGCCTGTATTCAAGCCACTGCAAGGATATCTGGCCTCCTTTCAAGTTACGGCTTCTCGCTGTATATTCCCCTTGAGGCAGCAAACTCCGGGTCCCTCCCACATACTTACTGCTGAGAGAAGCCTCCTCCTGAGGTGCTTCTGGAAAGTTGGCATACGTCTTGAGCCTAAGCCAGGGAATCAGCTCTCATCTCGAGACGATTTGGGGTACACGGAGCATTCCTCGAGTTGCTGTGCTGAAGTTGGTGTTCCTCTAGACTTGGGACAGTGTTCTCGGGGCATCTCTGCAGTTGCCTGAAGGAAGTCGAGCCACCGGTCGTGTTGAATGGGGAACGGGGAATGGCTCTGGAGTCAATGCAGGGGAATCGGGCCTCATCTCGAGTTGATTTGGGGCACATGGTGCTGCTTTGCGTTGCTGGGCTGACCTCAGGGTCCGTCTAGACTGGTGACAGTGTTCTTGGGGACTGTCTCGAGATCCATTAAGCAAGTCGAAGCTCCTGACTTGTTTGAATGGGATAACGGAATAGCTCTGCATGCACTGCAGGGGAATGGGGCCTCATCTCGCCTCTAGGGGGAAGTCTCATGGTTTTTCTAGAGTTGCGGCGGGGACCTGGGGTATGTTCTCGACTTACGGCGGGGATGGCCCTTCAAAACACGAGTTTTTTCAGTGACGTCAGGACTCCAGTGTAATAATGAGGTACACCTCAGGAATCTCTTCGAGGCTTGGCAGGGCAAAAGGGACGCTTCTCGAGGTGATGCAGGGCACCCAAGGACCCATTCCAGTAGCCACAGGGATTTTGGGATTCCTATCAGTATTCAAGAGGAGTCAGGCATCGTCACCTTTTGAAGCAATGAACTCTGCGTGATTCTCGAGGTGTCAGCGGGATGTGAGGCATTCCGTCAAAATGAGGCAGGGAACTAGGGCTTTCTCTAAGGTCTCCACAGGGGATTCAGACATCCCTTCATGTTGTGAGATGAAAGACGAGCCTGTATTCAAGCCACTGCAAGGAAATCCGGCCTCCTTTCAAGTTAGGGCTTCTCGCTGTATATTCCCCTTGAGGCAGCATACTCGGGGTCCCTCCCACATACCTATTGCTGAGAGAAGCCTCCTCCTGAGGTGCTTCTGGAAAGTTGGCATACGTCTTGAGCCTAAGCCAGGGAATCAGCTCTCATCTCGAGACGATTTGTGGTACACGGAGCATTCCCCGAGTTGTTGTGCTGAAGTTGGTGTTCCTCTAGACTACGGACAGTGTTCTGGGGGCATCTCTGGAGTTGCCTGAAGGAAGTCGAGCCACCGGTCGTGTTGAATGGGGAACGGGGAATGGCTCTAGAGTCAATGCAGGGGAATCGGGCCTCATCTCGAGTTGATTTGGGGAACATGGAGCTGCTTTGCGTTGCTGGGGTGACCTCAGGGTCCGTCTAGACTGGTGACAGTGTTCTTGGGGACTGTCTCGAGATCCATTAAGCAAGTTGAAGCTCCTGACTTGTTTGAATGGGATCACGGAATAGCTCTGCATGCACTGCAGGGGAATGGGGCCTCATCTCGCCTCTAGGGGGAAGTCTCATGGTTTTTCTCGAGTTGCGGCGGGGACCTGGGGTATGTTCTCGACTTACGGCGGGGATGGCCCTTCAAAACACGAGTTTCTTCAGTGACGTCAGGACTCCTGTCTAGTAACGAGGGACACCTCAGGAATCTCTTCGAGGCTTGGCAGGGCAAAAGGGACGCTTCTCGAGGTGAGGCAGGGCACCCAAGGACCCTTTCCAGTAGCCACAGGGATTTTCGGATTCCTATCAGTATTCAAGAGGAGTCAGGCATCGTCACCTTTTGAAGCAATGAACTCCGTGTGCCTCTCGAGGTGTCAGCGGGATGTGAGGCATTCCGTCAAAATGAGGCAGGGACCTACGGCTTTCTCTAAGGTCTCCACAGGGGATTCAGGCATCCCTTCATGTTGTGAGATGAAACACGAGCCTGTATTCAATCCACTGCAAGGAAATCCGGCCTCCTTTCAAGTTAGGGCTTCTCGCTGTATATTCCCCTTGAGGCAGCAAACTCGGGGTCCCTCCCACATACCTATTGCTGAGAGAAGCCTCCTCCTGAGGTGCTTCTGGAAAGTTGGCATATGTCTTGAGCCTAAGCCAGGGAATCAGCTCTCATCTCGAGACGATTTGTGGTACAAGGAGCATTCCCCAAGTTGCTATTCTGAAGTTGGTGTTCCTCTAGACTACGGACAGTGTTCTCGGGGCATCTCTGGAGTTGCCTGAAGGAAGTCGAGCCACCGGTCTTGTTGAATGGGGAACGGGGAATGGCTCTGGAGTCAATGCAGGGGAATTGGGCCTCATCTCGAGTTGATTTGGGGCATATGGAGCTGCTTTGCGTTGCTGGGGTGACCTCAGGGTCCGTCTAGACTGGTGACAGTGTTCTTGGGGACTGTCTCGAGATCCATTAAGCAAGTCGAAGCTCCTGACTTGTTGGAATGGGATCACGGAATAGCTCTACATGCACTGCAGGGGAATGGGGCCTCATCTCGCCTCTAGGGGGAAGTCTCATGGTTTTTCTCGAGTTGCGGCGGGGACCTGGGGTATGTTATCGACTTACGGCGGGGATCGCCCTTCAAAACAGGAGTTCCTTCAGTGACGTCAGGACTCCTGTCTAGTAACGAGGGACACCTCAGGAATCTCTTCGAGGCTTGGCAGGGCAAAAGGGACGCTTCTCGAGGTGAGGCAGGGCACCCAAGGACCCTTTCCAGTAGCCACAGGGATTTTGGGATTCCTATCAGTATTCAAGAGGAGTCAGGCATCGTCACCTTTTGAAGCAATGAACTCCGTGTGCCTCTCGAGGTGTCAGCGGGATGTGAGGCATTCCGTCAAAATGAGGCAGGGACCTAGGGCTTTCTCTAAGGTCTCCACAGGGGATTCAGACATCCCTTCATGTTGTGAGATGAAACACGAGCCTGTATTCAAGCCACTGCAAGGAAATCCGGCCTCCTTTCAAGTTAGGGCTTCTCGCTGTATATTCCCCTTGAGGCAGCAAACTTGGGGTCCCTCCCACATATCTATTGCTGAGAGAAGCCTCCTCCTGAGGTGCTTCTGGAAAGTTGGCATACGTCTTGAGCCTAAGCCAGGGAATCAGCTCTCATATCGAGACGATTTGGGGTACACGGAGCATTCCTCGAGTTGCTGTGCTTAAGGTGGTGTTCCTCTAGACTACGGACAGTGTTCTCGGGGCATCTCTGGAGTTGCCTGAAGGAAGTCGAGCCACCTGTCCTGTTGAATGGGGAACGGGGAATCTCTCTGGAGTCAATGCAGGGGAATCGGGCCTCATCTCGTGTTGATTTGGGGCACATGGAGCTGCTTTTCGTTGCTGGGGTGACCTCAGGGTCCGTCTAGACTGGTGAAAGTGTTCTTGGGGACTGGCTCGAGATCCATTAAGCAAGTCGAAGCTCCTGACTTGCTTGAATGGGATTCACGGAATAGCTCTGCATGCACTGCAGGGGAATGGGGCCTCATCTCGCGTCTAGGGGGAAGTCTCATGGTTTTTCTCGAGTTACGGCGGGGACCTGGGGTATGTTCTCGACTTACGGCGGGGATGGCCCTTCAAAACACGAGTTTCTTCAGTGACGTCAGGACTCCTGTCTAGTAACGAGGGACACCTCAGAAATCACTTCGAGGCTTGGCAGGGCAAAAGGGACGCTTCTCGAGGTGAGGCAGGGCACCCAAGGACCCTTTCCAGTAGCCACAGGGATTTTGGGATTCCTATCAGTATTCAAGAGGAGTCAGGCATCGTCACCTTTTGAAGCAATGTACTCTGCGTGCCTCTCGAGGTGTCAACGGGATGTGAGCCATTCCGTCAAAATGAGGCAGGGACCTAGGGCTTTCTCTAAGGTCTCCACAGGGGATTCAGACATCCCTTCATGTTGTGAGATGAAAGACGAGCCTGTGTTCAAGCCACTGCAAGGATATCCGGCCTCCTTTCAATTTAGCGCTTCTCGCTGTATATTCCCCTTGAGGCAGCATACTCGGGGTCAACCCCACATACCTATTGCTGAGAGAAGCCTCCTCCTGAGGTGCTTCTGGAATGTTGGCATACGTCTTGACCTAAGCCAGGGAATCAGCTCTCATCTCGAGACGATTTGGGGTACACGGAGAATTCCTCGAGTTGCTGTGCTGAAGTTGGTGTTCCTCTAGACTTGGGACAGTGTTCTCGGGGCATCTCTGGAGTTGCCTAAAGGAAGTCGAACCACCGGTCGTGTTGAATGGGGAACGGGGAATGGCTTTGGAGTCAATGCAGGGGAATCGGGCCTCATCTCGAGTTGATTTGGGGCACATGGAGCTGCTTTGCGTTGCTGGGTTGACCTCAGGGTCCGTCTAGACTGGTGACAGTGTTCTTGGGGACTGTCTCGAGATCCATTAAGCAAGTCGAAGCTCCTGACTTGTTTGAATGGGATCACGGAATAGCTCTGCATGCACTGCAGGGGAATGGTGCCTCATCTCGCCTCTAGGGGGAAGTCTCATGGTTTTTCTCGAGTTGCGGCGGGGACCTGGGGTATGTTCTCGACTTACGGCGGGATGGCCCTTCAAAACATGAGTTCCTTCAGTGACGTCAGGACTCCTGTCTAGTAATGAGGAACACCTCAGGAATCTCTTCGAGGCTTGGCAGGGCAAAAGGGACGCTTCTCGAGGTGAGGCAGGGCACCCAAGGACCCTTTCCAGTAGCCACAGGGATTTTGGGATTCCTATCAGTATTCAAGAGGAGTCAGGCATCGTCACATTCTTAAGCAATGAACTCTGCGTGCCTCTCGAGGTGTCAGCGGGACGTGAGGCATTCCGTCAAAATGAGGCAGGGACCTAGGGCTTTCTCTAAGGTCTCCACAGGGGATTCAGACATCCCTTCATGTTGTGAGATGAAAGACGAGCCTGTATTCAAGCCACTGCTAGAAAATCCGGCCTCCTTTCAAGTTAGGGCTTCTCGCTGTATATTCCCCTTGAGGCAGCAAACTCGGGGTCCCTCCCACATACCTATTGCTGAAAGAAGTCTCCTCCTGAGGTGCTTCTGGAAAGTTGGCATACGTCTTGAGCCTAATCCAGGGAATCAGCTCTCATCTCGAGACGATTTGGGGTACACGGAGCATTCCTCGAGTTGCTGTGCTGAAGTTGGTGTTCCTCTAGACTTGGGACAGTGTTCTCGGGGCATCTCTGGAGTTGCCTGAAGGAAGTCGAGCCACCGGTCGTGTTGAATGGGGAACGGGGAATCTCTCTGGAGTCAATTCAGGGGAATCCGGCCTCATCTCGAGTTGATTTGGGGCACATGGAGCTGCTTTGCGTTGCTGGGGTGACCTCAGGGTCCGTCTAGACTGGTGACAGTGTTCTTGGGGACTGTCTCGAGATCCATTAAGCAAGTCGAAGCTCCTGACTTGTTTGAATGGGATCACGGAATAGCTCTGCATGCACTGCAGGGGAATGGGGACTCATCTCGCCTCTAGGGGGAAGTCTCATGGTTTTTCTCGAATTGCGGCGGGGACCTGGGGTATGTTCTCGACTTACGGCGGGGATGGCCCTTCAAAACACGAGTTTCTTCAGTGACGTCAGGACTCCTGTGTAATAACGAGGTACACCTCAGGAATCTCTTCGAGGCTTGGCAGGGCAAAAGGGACGCTTCTCGAGGTGATGCAGGGCACCCAAGGACCCTTTCCAGTAGCCACAGGGATTTTCGGATTCCTATCAGTATTCAAGAGGAGTCAGGCATCGTCACCTTTTGAAGCAATGAACTCCGTGTGCCTCTCGAGATGTCAGCGGGATGTGAGGCATTCCGTCAAAATGAGGCAGGGACCTAGGGATTTCTCTAAGGTCTCCACAGGGGATTCAGACATCCCTTCATGTTGTGAGATGAAACACGAGCCTGTATTCAAGCCCCTGCAAGGAAATCCGGCCTCCTTTCAAGTTAGGGCTTCTCGCTGTATATTCCCCTTGAGGCAGCAAACTCCGGGTGCCTCCCACATATCTATTGCTGAGAGAAGCCTCCTCCTGAGGTGCTTCTGGAAAGTTGGCATACGTCTTGAGCCTAAGCCAGGGAATCAGCTCTCATCTCGAGACGATTTGGGGTACACGGAGCATTCCTCCAGTTGCTGTGCTGAAGTTGGTGTTCCTCTAGACTTGGGACAGTGTTCTCGGGGCATCTCTGGAGTTGCCTGAAGGAAGTCGAGCCACCGGTCGTGTTGAATGGGGAACGGGGAATGGCTCTGGAGTCAATGCAGGGGAATCGGGCCTCATCTCGAGTTGATTTGGGGCACATGGAGCTGCTTTGCGTTGCTGGGCTGACCTCAGGGTCCGTCTAGACTGGTGACAGTGTTCTTGGGGACTCTCTCGAGATCCATTAAGCAAGTCGAAGCTCCTGACTTGTTTGAATGGGATCACGGAATAGCTCTGCATGCACTGCAGGGGAATGGGGCCTCATCTCGCCTCTAGGGGGAAGTCTCATGGTTTTTCTCGAGTTGCGGCGGGGACCTGGGGTATGTTCTCGACTTACGGCGGGGATGGCCCTTCAAAACACGAGTTTCTTCAGTGACGTCAGGACTCCTGTCTAGTAACGAGGGACAACTCAGGAATCTCTTCGAGGCTTGACAGGGCAAAAGGGACACTTCTCGAGGTGAGGCAGGGCACCCAAGGACCCTTTCCAGTAGCCACAGGGATTTTCGGATTCCTATCAGTATTCAAGAGGAGTCAGGCATCGTCACCTTTTGAAGCATTGAACTCCGTGTGCCTCTCAAGGTGTCAGAGGGATGTGAGGCATTCCGTCAAAATGAGGACGGGACCTAGGGCTTTCTCTAAGGTCTCCACAGGGGATTCAGACATCCCTTCATGTTGTGAGATGAAACACGAGCCTGTATTCAAGCCACTGCAAGGAAATCCGGCCTCCTTTCAAGTTAGGGCTTCTCGCTGTATATTCCCCTTGAGGCAGCAAACTTGGGGTCCCTCCCACATATCTATTGCTGAGAGAAGCCTCCTCCTGAGGTGCTTCTGGAAAGTTGGCATACGTCTTGAGCCTAAGCCAGGGAATCAGCTCTCATATCGAGACGATTTGGGGTACACGGAGCATTCTTCGAGTTGCTGTGCTTAAGGTGGTGTTCCTCTAGACTACGGACAGTGTTCTCGGGGCATCTCTGGAGTTGCCTGAAGGAAGTCGAGCCACCTGTCCTGTTGAATGGGGAACGGGGAATCTCTCTGGAGTCAATGCAGGGGAATCGGGCCTCATCTCGAGTTGATTTGGGGCACATGGAGCTGCTTTGCGTTGCTGGGGTGACCTCAGGGTCCGTCTAGACTGGTGAAAGTGTTCTTGGGGACTGGCTCGAGATCCATTAAGCAAGTCGAAGCTCCTGACTTGCTTGAATGGGATTCACGGAATAGCTCTGCATGCACTGCAGGGGAATGGGGCCTCATCTCGCGTCTAGGGGGAAGTCTCATGGTTTTTCTCGAGTTACGGCGGGGACCTGGGGTATGTTCTCGACTTACGGCGGGGATGGCCCTTCAAAACACGAGTTTCTTCAGTGACGTCAGGACTCCTGTCTAGTAACGAGGGACACCTCAGAAATCACTTCGAGGCTTGGCAGGGCAAAAGGGACGCTTCTCGAGGTGAGGCAGGGCACCCAAGGACCCTTTCCAGTAGCCACAGGGATTTTGGGATTCCTATCAGTATTCAAGAGGAGTCAGGCATCGTCACCTTTTGAAGCAATGTACTCTGCGTGCCTCTCGAGGTGTCAACGGGATGTGAGCCATTCCGTCAAAATGAGGCAGGGACCTAGGGCTTTCTCTAAGGTCTCCACAGGGGATTCAGACATCCCTTCATGTTGTGAGATGAAAGACGAGCCTGTGTTCAAGCCACTGCAAGGATATCCGGCCTCCTTTCAATTTAGCGCTTCTCGCTGTATATTCCCCTTGAGGCAGCATACTCGGGGTCAACCCCACATACCTATTGCTGAGAGAAGCCTCCTCCTGAGGTGCTTCTGGAATGTTGGCATACGTCTTGACCTAAGCCAGGGAATCAGCTCTCATCTCGAGACGATTTGGGGTACACGGAGAATTCCTCGAGTTGCTGTGCTGAAGTTGGTGTTCCTCTAGACTTGGGACAGTGTTCTCGGGGCATCTCTGGAGTTGCCTAAAGGAAGTCGAACCACCGGTCGTGTTGAATGGGGAACGGGGAATGGCTTTGGAGTCAATGCAGGGGAATCGGGCCTCATCTCGAGTTGATTTGGGGCACATGGAGCTGCTTTGCGTTGCTGGGTTGACCTCAGGGTCCGTCTAGACTGGTGACAGTGTTCTTGGGGACTGTCTCGAGATCCATTAAGCAAGTCGAAGCTCCTGACTTGTTTGAATGGGATCACGGAATAGCTCTGCATGCACTGCAGGGGAATGGTGCCTCATCTCGCCTCTAGGGGGAAGTCTCATGGTTTTTCTCGAGTTGCGGCGGGGACCTGGGGTATGTTCTCGACTTACGGCGGGATGGCCCTTCAAAACATGAGTTCCTTCAGTGACGTCAGGACTCCTGTCTAGTAATGAGGAACACCTCAGGAATCTCTTCGAGGCTTGGCAGGGCAAAAGGGACGCTTCTCGAGGTGAGGCAGGGCACCCAAGGACCCTTTCCAGTAGCCACAGGGATTTTGGGATTCCTATCAGTATTCAAGAGGAGTCAGGCATCGTCACATTCTTAAGCAATGAACTCTGCGTGCCTCTCGAGGTGTCAGCGGGACGTGAGGCATTCCGTCAAAATGAGGCAGGGACCTAGGGCTTTCTCTAAGGTCTCCACAGGGGATTCAGACATCCCTTCATGTTGTGAGATGAAAGACGAGCCTGTATTCAAGCCACTGCTAGAAAATCCGGCCTCCTTTCAAGTTAGGGCTTCTCGCTGTATATTCCCCTTGAGGCAGCAAACTCGGGGTCCCTCCCACATACCTATTGCTGAAAGAAGTCTCCTCCTGAGGTGCTTCTGGAAAGTTGGCATACGTCTTGAGCCTAATCCAGGGAATCAGCTCTCATCTCGAGACGATTTGGGGTACACGGAGCATTCCTCGAGTTGCTGTGCTGAAGTTGGTGTTCCTCTAGACTTGGGACAGTGTTCTCGGGGCATCTCTGGAGTTGCCTGAAGGAAGTCGAGCCACCGGTCGTGTTGAATGGGGAACGGGGAATCTCTCTGGAGTCAATTCAGGGGAATCCGGCCTCATCTCGAGTTGATTTGGGGCACATGGAGCTGCTTTGCGTTGCTGGGGTGACCTCAGGGTCCGTCTAGACTGGTGACAGTGTTCTTGGGGACTGTCTCGAGATCCATTAAGCAAGTCGAAGCTCCTGACTTGTTTGAATGGGATCACGGAATAGCTCTGCATGCACTGCAGGGGAATGGGGACTCATCTCGCCTCTAGGGGGAAGTCTCATGGTTTTTCTCGAATTGCGGCGGGGACCTGGGGTATGTTCTCGACTTACGGCGGGGATGGCCCTTCAAAACACGAGTTTCTTCAGTGACGTCAGGACTCCTGTGTAATAACGAGGTACACCTCAGGAATCTCTTCGAGGCTTGGCAGGGCAAAAGGGACGCTTCTCGAGGTGATGCAGGGCACCCAAGGACCCTTTCCAGTAGCCACAGGGATTTTCGGATTCCTATCAGTATTCAAGAGGAGTCAGGCATCGTCACCTTTTGAAGCAATGAACTCCGTGTGCCTCTCGAGATGTCAGCGGGATGTGAGGCATTCCGTCAAAATGAGGCAGGGACCTAGGGATTTCTCTAAGGTCTCCACAGGGGATTCAGACATCCCTTCATGTTGTGAGATGAAACACGAGCCTGTATTCAAGCCCCTGCAAGGAAATCCGGCCTCCTTTCAAGTTAGGGCTTCTCGCTGTATATTCCCCTTGAGGCAGCAAACTCCGGGTGCCTCCCACATATCTATTGCTGAGAGAAGCCTCCTCCTGAGGTGCTTCTGGAAAGTTGGCATACGTCTTGAGCCTAAGCCAGGGAATCAGCTCTCATCTCGAGACGATTTGGGGTACACGGAGCATTCCTCCAGTTGCTGTGCTGAAGTTGGTGTTCCTCTAGACTTGGGACAGTGTTCTCGGGGCATCTCTGGAGTTGCCTGAAGGAAGTCGAGCCACCGGTCGTGTTGAATGGGGAACGGGGAATGGCTCTGGAGTCAATGCAGGGGAATCGGGCCTCATCTCGAGTTGATTTGGGGCACATGGAGCTGCTTTGCGTTGCTGGGCTGACCTCAGGGTCCGTCTAGACTGGTGACAGTGTTCTTGGGGACTCTCTCGAGATCCATTAAGCAAGTCGAAGCTCCTGACTTGTTTGAATGGGATCACGGAATAGCTCTGCATGCACTGCAGGGGAATGGGGCCTCATCTCGCCTCTAGGGGGAAGTCTCATGGTTTTTCTCGAGTTGCGGCGGGGACCTGGGGTATGTTCTCGACTTACGGCGGGGATGGCCCTTCAAAACACGAGTTTCTTCAGTGACGTCAGGACTCCTGTCTAGTAACGAGGGACAACTCAGGAATCTCTTCGAGGCTTGACAGGGCAAAAGGGACACTTCTCGAGGTGAGGCAGGGCACCCAAGGACCCTTTCCAGTAGCCACAGGGATTTTCGGATTCCTATCAGTATTCAAGAGGAGTCAGGCATCGTCACCTTTTGAAGCATTGAACTCCGTGTGCCTCTCAAGGTGTCAGAGGGATGTGAGGCATTCCGTCAAAATGAGGACGGGACCTAGGGCTTTCTCTAAGGTCTCCACAGGGGATTCAGACATCCCTTCATGTTGTGAGATGAAAGACGAGCCTGTATTCAAGCCACTGCAAGGATATCTGGCCTCCTTTCAAGTTACGGCTTCTCGCTGTATATTCCCCTTGAGGCAGCAAACTCCGGGTCCCTCCCACATACTTATTGCTGAGAGAAGCCTCCTCCTGAGGTGCTTCTGGAAAGTTGGCATACGTCTTGAGCCTAAGCCAGGGAATCAGCTCTCATCTCGAGACGATTTGGGGTACACGGAGCATTCCTCGAGTTGCTGTGCTGAAGTTGGTGTTCCTCTAGACTTGGGACAGTGTTCTCGGGGCATCTCTGCAGTTGCCTGAAGGAAGTCGAGCCACCGGTCGTGTTGAATGGGGAACGGGGAATGGCTCTGGAGTCAATGCAGGGGAATCGGGCCTCATCTCGAGTTGATTTGGGGCACATGGTGCTGCTTTGCGTTGCTGGGCTGACCTCAGGGTCCGTCTAGACTGGTGACAGTGTTCTTGGGGACTCTCTCGAGATCCATTAAGCAAGTCGAAGCTCCTGACTTGTTTGAATGGGATCACGGAATAGCTCTGCATGCACTGCAGGGGAATGGGGCCTCATCTCGCCTCTAGGGGGAAGTCTCATGGTTTTTCTCGAGTTGCGGCGGGGACCTGGGGTATGTTCTCGACTTACGGCGGGGATGGCCCTTCAAAACACGAGTTTCTTCAGTGACGTCAGGACTCCAGTGTAATAACGAGGTACACCTCAGGAATCTCTTCGAGGCTTGGCAGGGCAAAAGGGACGCTTCTCGAGGTGATGCAGGGCACCCAAGGACCCTTTCCAGTAGCCACAGGGATTTTGGGATTCCTATCAGTATTCAAGAGGAGTCAGGCATCGTCACCTTTTGAAGCAATGAACTCTGCGTGATTCTCGAGGTGTCAGCGGGATGTGAGGCATTCCGTCAAAATGAGGCAGGGAACTAGGGCTTTCTCTAAGGTCTCCACAGGGGATTCAGACATCCCTTCATGTTGTGAGATGAAACACGAGCCTGTATTCAAGCCACTGCAAGGAAATCCGGCCTCCTTTCAAGTTAGGGCTTCTCGCTGTATATTCCCCTTGAGGCAGCATACTCTGGGTCCCTCCCACATACCTATTGCTGAGAGAAGCCTCCTCCTGAGGTGCTTCTGGAAAGTTGGCATACGTCTTGAGCCTAAGCCAGGGAATCAGCTCTCATCTCGAGACGATTTGTGGTACACAGAGCATTGCCCGAGTTGCTGTGCTGAAGTTGGTGTTCCTCTAGACTACGGACAGTGTTCTGGGGGCATCTCTGGAGTTGCCTGAAGGAAGTCGAGCCACCGGTCGTGTTGAATGGGGAACGGGGAATGGCTCTAGAGTCAATGCAGGGGAATCGGGCCTCATCTCGAGTTGATTTGGGGAACATGGAGCTGCTTTGCGTTGCTGGGGTGACCTCAGGGTCCGTCTAGACTGGTGACAGTGTTCCTGGGGACTGTCTCGAGATCCATTAAGCAAGTCGAAGCTCCTGACTTGTTTGAATGGGATCACGGAATAGCTCTGCATGCACTGCAGGGGAATGGGGCCTCATCTCGCCTCTAGGGGGAAGTCTCATGGTTTTTCTCGAGTTGTGGCAGGGACCTGGGGTATGTTCTCGACTTACAGCGGGGATGGCCCTTCAAAACACGAGTTCCTTCAGTGACGTCAGGACTCCTGTCTAGTAACGAGGGACACCTCAGGAATCTCTTCGAGGCTTGGCAGGGCAAAAGGGACGCTTCTCGAGGTGAGGCAGGGCACCCAAGGACCCTTTCCAGTAGCCACAGGTATTTTGGGATTCCTATCAGTATTCAAGAGGAGTCAGGCATCGTCACATTCTGAAGCAATGAACTCCGTGTGCCTCTCGAGGTGTCAGCGGGATGTGAGGCATTCCGTCAAAATGAGGCAGGGACCTAGGGCTTTCTCTAAGGTCTCCACAGGGGATTCAGACATCCCTTCATGTTGTGAGATGAAACACGAGCCTGTATTCAAGCCACTGCAAGGAAATCCGGCCTCCTTTCAAGTTAGGGCTTCTCGCTGTATATTCCCCTTGAGGCAGCAAACTCGGGTGCCTCCCACATATCTATTGCTGAGAGAAGCCTCCTCCTGAGGTGCTTCTGGAAAGTTGGCATACGTCTTGAGCCTAAGCCAGGGAATCAGCTCTCATCTCGAGACGATTTTGGGTACACGGAGCATTCCTCGAGTTGCTGTGCTGAAGTTGGTGTTCCTCTAGACTTGGGACAGTGTTCTCGGGGCATCTCTGGAGTTGCCTGAAGGAAGTCGAGCCACCGGTCGTGTTGAATGGGGAACGGGAAATGGCTCTGGAGTCAATGCAGGGGAATCGGGCCTCATCTCGAGTTGATTTGGGGCACATGGAGCTGCTTTGCGTTGCTGGGCTGACCTCAGGGTCCGTCTAGACTGGTGACAGTGTTCTTGGGGACTCTCTCGAGATCCATTAAGCAAGTCGAAGCTCCTGACTTGTTTGAATGGGATCACGGAATAGCTCTGCATGCACTGCAGGGGAATGGGGCCTCATCTCGCCTCTAGGGGGAAGTCTCATGGTTTTTCTCGAGTTGCGGCGGGGACGTGGGGTATGTTCTCGACTTACGGCGGGGATGGCCCTTCAAAACACGAGTTTCTTCAGTGACGTCAGGACTCCTGTCTAGTAACGAGGGACAACTCAGGAATCTCTTCGAGGCTTGACAGGGCAAAAGGGACGCTTCTCGAGGTGAGGCAGGGCACCCAAGGACCCTTTCCAGTAGCCACAGGGATTTTCGGATTCCTATCAGTATTCAAGAGGAGTCAGGCATCGTCACCTTTTGAAGCATTGAACTCCGTGTGCCTCTCAAGGTGTCAGAGGGATGTGAGGCATTCCGTCAAAATGAGGCAGGGACCTAGGGCTTTCTCTAAGGTCTCCACAGGGGATTCAGACATCCCTTCATGTTGTGAGATGAAAGACGAGCCTGTATTCAAGCCACTGCAAGGATATCTGGCCTCCTATCAAGTTACGGCTTCTCGCTGTATATTCCCCTTGAGGCAGCAAACTCCGGGTCCCTCCCACATACTTATTGCTGAGAGAAGCCTCCTCCTGAGGTGCTTCTGGAAAGTTGGCATACGTCTTGAGCCTAAGCCAGGGAATCAGCTCTCATCTCGAGACGATTTGGGGTACACGGAGCATTCCTCGAGTTGCTGTGCTGAAGTTGGTGTTCCTCTAGACTTGGGACAGTGTTCTCGGGGCATCTCTGCAGTTGCCTGAAGGAAGTCGAGCCACCGGTCGTGTTGAATGGGGAACGGGGAATGGCTCTGGAGTCAATGCAGGGGAATCGGGCCTCATCTCGAGTTGATTTGGGGCACATGGTGCTGCTTTGCGTTGCTGGGCTGACCTCAGGGTCCGTCTAGACTGGTGACAGTGTTCTTGGGGACTCTCTCGAGATCCATTAAGCAAGTCGAAGCTCCTGACTTGTTTGAATGGGATCACGGAATAGCTCTGCATGCACTGCAGGGGAATGGGGCCTCATCTCGCCTCTAGGGGGAAGTCTCATGGTTTTTCTAGAGTTGCGGCGGGGACCTGGGGTATGTTCTCGACTTACGGCGGGGATGGCCCTTCAAAACACGAGTTTCTTCAGTGACGTCAGGACTCCAGTGTAATAACGAGGTACACCTCAGGAATCTCTTTGAGGCTTGGCAGGGCAAAAGGGACGCTTCTCGAGGTGATGCAGGGCACCCAAGGACCCTTTCCAGTAGCCACAGGGATTTTGGGATTCCTATCAGTATTCAAGAGGAGTCAGGCATCGTCACCTTTTGAAGCAATGAACTCTGCGTGATTCTCGAGGTGTCAGCGGGATGTGAGGCATTCCGTCAAAATGAGGCAGGGAACTAGGGCTTTCTCTAAGGTCTCCACAGGGGATTCAGACATCCCTTCATGTTGTGAGATGAAACACGAGCCTGTATTCAAGCCACTGCAAGGAAATCCGGCCTCCTTTCAAGTTAGGGCTTCTCGCTGTATATTCCCCTTGAGGCAGCATACTCTGGGTCCCTCCCACATACCTATTGCTGAGAGAAGCCTCCTCCTGAGGTGCTTCTGGAAAGTTGGCATACGTCTTGAGCCTAAGCCAGGGAATCAGCTCTCATCTCGAGACGATTTGTGGTACACAGAGCATTGCCCGAGTTGCTGTGCTGAAGTTGGTGTTCCTCTAGACTACGGACAGTGTTCTGGGGGCATCTCTGGAGTTGCCTGAAGGAAGTCGAGCCACCGGTCGTGTTGAATGGGGAACGGGGAATGGCTCTGGAGTCAATGCAGGGGAATCCGGCCTCATCTCGAGTTGATTTGGGGCACATGGAGCTGCTTTGCGTTGCTGGGCTGACCTCAGGGTCCGTCTAGACTGGTGACAGTGTTCTTGGGGACTGTCTCGAGATCCATTAAGCAAGTCGAAGCTCCTGACTTGTTTGAATGGGATCACGGAATAGCTCTGCATGCACTGCAGGGGAATGGGGCCTCATCTCGCCTCTAGGGGGAAGTCTCATGGTTTTTCTCGAGTTGTGGCAGGGACCTGGGGTATGTTCTCGACTTACAGCGGGGATGGCTCTTCAAAACACGAGTTCCTTCAGTGACGTCAGGACTCCTGTCTAGTAACGAGGGACACCTCAGGAATCTCTTCTAGGCTTGGCAGGGCAAAAGGGACGCTTCTCGAGGTGAGGCAGGGCACCCAAGGACCCTTTCCAGTAGCCACAGGTATTTTGGGATTCCTATCAGTATTCAAGAGGAGTCAGGCATCGTCACATTCTGAAGCAATGAACTCCGTGTGCCTCTCGAGGTGTCAGCGGGATGTGAGGCATTCCGTCAAAATGAGGCAGGGACCTAGGGCTTTCTCTAAGGTCTCCACAGGGGATTCAGACATCCCTTCATGTTGTGAGATGAAACACGAGCCTGTATTCAAGCCACTGCAAGGAAATCCGGCCTCCTTTCAAGTTAGGGCTTCTCGCTGTATATTCCCCTTGAGGCAGCAAACTCGGGTGCCTCCCACATATCTATTGCTGAGAGAAGCCTCCTCCTGAGGTGCTTCTGGAAAGTTGGCATACGTCTTGAGCCTAAGCCAGGGAATCAGCTCGCATCTCGAGACGATTTTGGGTACACGGAGCATTCCTCGAGTTGCTGTGCTGAAGTTGGTGTTCCTCTAGACTTGGGACAGTGTTCTCGGGGCATCTCTGGAGTTGCCTGAAGGAAGTCGAGCCACCGGTCGTGTTGAATGGGGAACGGGAAATGGCTCTGGAGTCAATGCAGGGGAATCGGGCCTCATCTCGAGTTGATTTGGGGCACATGGAGCTGCTTTGCGTTGCTGGGCTGACCTCAGGGTCCGTCTAGACTGGTGACAGTGTTCTTGGGGACTCTCTCGAGATCCATTAAGCAAGTCGAAGCTCCTGACTTGTTTGAATGGGATCACGGAATAGCTCTGCATGCACTGCAGGGGAATGGGGCCTCATCTCGCCTCTAGGGGGAAGTCTCATGGTTTTTCTCGAGTTGCGGCGGGGACCTGGGGTATGTTCTTGACTTACGGCGGGGATGGCCCTTCAAAACACGAGTTTCTTCAGTGACGTCAGGACTCCTGTCTAGTAACGAGGGACAACTCAGGAATCTCTTCGAGGCTTGACAGGGCAAAAGGGACGCTTCTCGAGGTGAGGCAGGGCACCCAAGGACCCTTTCCAGTAGCCACAGGGATTTTCGGATTCCTATCAGTATTCAAGAGGAGTCAGGCATCGTCACCTTTTGAAGCAATGTACTCTGCGTGCCTCTCGAGGTGTCAGCGGGATGTGAGCCATTCCTTCAAAATGAGGCAGGGACCTAGGGCTTTCTCTAAGGTCTCCACAGGGGATTCAGACATCCCTTCATGTTGTGAGATGAAAGACGAGCCTGTGTTCAAGCCACTGCAAGGATATCCGGCCTCCTTTCAAGTTAGCGCTTCTCGCTGTATATTCCCCTTGAGGCAGCATACTCGGGGTCAACCCCACATACCTATTGCTGAGAGAAGCCTCCTCCTGAGGTGCTTCTGGAAAGTTGGCATACGTCTTGAGCCTAAGCCAGGGAATTAGCTCTCATCTCGAGACGATTTGGGGTACACGGAGAATTCCTCGAGTGGCTGTGCTGAAGTTGGTGTTCCTCTAGACTTGGGACAGTGTTCTCGGGGCATCTCTGGAGTTGCCTGAAGGAAGTCGAACCACCGGTCGTGTTGAATGGGGAACGGGGAATGGCTTTGGAGTCAATGCAGGGGAATCGGGCCTCATCTCGAGTTGATTTGGGGAACATGGAGCTGCTTTGCGTTGCTGGGTTGACCTCAGGGTCCGTCTAGACTGGTGACAGTGTTCTTGGGGATTGTCTCGAGATCCATTAAGCAAGTCGAAGCTCCTGACTTGTTTGAATGGGATCACGGAATAGCTCTGCATGCACTGCAGGGGAATGGTGCCTCATCTCGCCTCTAGGGGGAAGTCTCATTGTTTTTCTCGAGTTGCGGCGGGGACCTGGGTTATGTTCTCGACTTACGGCGGGATGGCCCCTCAAAACATGAGTTCCTTCAGTGAAGTCAGGACTCCTGTCTACTAATGAGGAACACCTCAGGAATCTCTTCGAAGCTTGGCAGGGCAAAAGGGACGCTTCTCGAGGTGAGGCAGGGCACCCAAGGACCCTTTCCAGTAGCCACAGGGATTTTGGGATTCCTATCAGGATTCAAGAGGAGTCAGGCATCGTCACCTTTTGAAGCAATGAACTCTGCGTGCCTCTCGAGGTGTCAGCGGGATGTGAGGCATTCCGTCAAAATGAGGCAGGGACCTAGGGCTTTCTCTAAGGTCTCCACGGGGGACTCAGACAGCCCTTCATGTTGTGAGATGAAAGAGGAGCCTGTATTCAAGCCACTGCTAGAAAATCCGGCCTCCTTTCAAGTTAGGGCTTCTCACTGTATATTCCCCTTGAGGCAGCAGACTCGGGGTCCCTCCCACATACCTATTGCTGAAATAAGTCTCCTCCTGAGGTGCTTCTGGAAAGTTGGCATACGTCTTGAGCCTAAGCCAGGGAATCAGCTCTCATCTCGAGACGATTTGGGGTACACGGAGCATTCCTCGAGTTGCTGTGCTGAAGTTGGTGTTCCTCTAGACTTGGGACAGTGTTCTCGGGGCATCTCTGGAGTTGCCTGAAGGAAGTCGAGCCACCGGTCGTGTTGAATGGGGAACGGGGAATCTCTCTGGAGTCAATGCAGGGGAATCGGGCCTCATCTCGAGTTGATTTGGGGCACATGGAGCTGCTTTGCGTTGCTGGGGTGACCTCAGGGTCCGTCTAGACTGGTGACAGTGTTCTTGGGGACTGTCTCGAGATCCATTAAGCAATTCGAAGCTCCTGACTTGTTTGAATGGGATCACGGAATAGCTCTGCATGCACTGCAGGGGAATGGGGACTCATCTCGCCTCTAGGGGGAAGTCTCATGGTTTTTCTCGAATTGCGGCGTGGACCTGGGGTATGTTCTCGACTTACGGCGGGGATGGCCCTTCAAAACACGAGTTTCTTCAGTGACGTCAGGACTCCTGTGTAATAACGAGGTACACCTCAGGAATCTCTTCAAGGCTTGACAGGGCAAAAGGGACGCTTCTCGAGGTGAGGCAGGGCACCCAAGGACCCTTTCCAGTAGCCACAGGGATTTTCGGATTCCTATCAGTATTCAAGAGGAGTCAGGCATCGTCACCTTTTGAAGCAATGAACTCCGCGTGCCTCTCGAGGTGTCAGCGGGATGTGAGGCATTCCGTCAAAATGAGGCAGGGAACTAGGGCTTTCTCTAAGGTCTCCACAGGGGATTCAGACATCCCTTCATGTTGTGAGATGAAAGACGAGCCTGTATTCAAGCCACTGCAAGGAAATCCGGCCTCCTTTCAAGTTAGGGCTTCTCGCTGTATATTCCCCTTGAGGCAGCAAACTCGGGGTCCCTCCCACATCCCTATTGCTGAGAGAAGCCTCCTCCTGAGGTGCTTCTGGAAAGTTGGCATACGTCTTGAGCCTAAGCCAGTGAATCAGCTCTCATCTCGAGACGATTTGTGGTACACGGAGCATTCCTCGAGTTGCTGTGCTGAAGTTGGTGTTCCTCTAGACTTGGGACAGTGTTCTCGGGGCATCTCTGGTGTTGCCTGAAGGAAGTCGAGCCACCGGTCCTGTTGAATGGGGAACGGGGAATCACTCTGGAGTCAATGCAGGGGAATCGGGCCTCATCTCGAGTTGATTTGGGGCACATGGAGCTGCTTTGCGTTGCTGGGCTGACCTCAGGGTCCGTCTAGACTGGTGACAGTGTTCTTGGGGACTGTCTCGAGATCCATTAAGCAAGTCGAAGCTCCTGACTTGTTTGAATGGGATTCACGGAATAGCTCTGCATGCACTGCATGGGAATGGGGCCTCATGTCGCCTCTAGGGGGAAGTCTCATGGTTTTTCTCGAGTTGCGGCGGGGACCTGGGGTATGTTCTCGACTTACGGCGGGGATGGCCCTTCAAAACACGAGTTTCTTCAGTGACGTCAGGACTCCTCTCTAGTACCGAGGGACACCTCAGGAATCTCTTCGAGGCTTGGCAGGGCAAAAGGGACGCTTCTCGAGGTGAGGCAGGGCACCCAAGGACCCTTTCCAGTAGCCACAGGGATTTTGGGATTCCTATCAGTATTCAAGAGGAGTCAGGAATCGTCACCTTTTGAAGCAATGTACTCTGCGTGCCTCTCGAGGTGTCAACGGGATGTGAGCCATTCCGTCAAAATGAGGCAGGGACCTAGGGCTTTCTCTATGGTCTCCACAGGGGATTCAGACATCCCTTCATGTTGTGAGGTGAAAGACGAGCCTGTGTTCAAGCCACTACAAGGATATCCGGCCTCCTTTCAAGTTAGCGCTTCTCGCTGTATATTCCCCTTGAGGCAGCAAACTCGGGGTCCCTCCCACATACCTATTGCTGAGAGAAGCCTCCTCCTGAGGTGCTTCTGGAAAGTTGGCATACGTCTTGAGCCTAAGCCAGGGAATCAGCTCTCATCTCGAGACGATTTGGGGTACACGGAGCATTCCTCGAGTTGCTGTGCTGAAGTTGGTGTTCCTCTAGACTTGGGATAGTGTTGCCTGAAGGAAGTCGAGCCACCGGTCGTGTTGAATGGGGAACGGGGAATGGCTCTGGAGTCAATGCAGGGGAATCGGGCCTCATCTCGAGTTGATTTGGGGAACATGGAGCTGCTTTGCGTTGCTGGGTTGACCTCAGTGTCCGTCTAGACTGGTGACAGTGTTCTTGGGGATTGTCTCGAGATCCATTAAGCAAGTCGAAGCTCCTGACTTGTTTGAATGGGATCACGGAATAGCTCTGCATGCACTGCAGGGGAATGGGGACTCATCTCGCCTCTAGGGGGAAGTCTCATGGTTTTTCTCGAATTGCGGCGTGGACCTGGGGTATGTTCTCGACTTACGGCGGGGATGGCCCTTCAAAACACGAGTTTCTTCAGTGACGTCAGGACTCCTGTGTAATAACGAGGTACACCTCAGGAATCTCTTCAAGGCTTGACAGGGCAAAAGGGACGCTTCTCGAGGTGAGGCAGGGCACCCAAGGACCCTTTCCAGTAGCCACAGGGATTTTCGGATTCCTATCAGTATTCAAGAGGAGTCAGGCATCGTCACCTTTTGAAGCAATGAACTCTGCGTGATTCTCGAGGTGTCAGCGGGATGTGAGGCATTCCGTCAAAATGAGGCAGGGAACTAGGGCTTTCTCTAAGGTCTCCACAGGGGATTCAGACATCCCTTCATGTTGTGAGATGAAAGACGAGCCTGTATTCAAGCCACTGCAAGGAAATCCGGCCTCCTTTCAAGTTAGGGCTTCTCGCTGTATATTCCCCTTGAGGCAGCAAACTCGGGGTCCCTCCCACATCCCTATTGCTGAGAGAAGCCTCCTCCTGAGGTGCTTCTGGAAAGTTGGCATACGTCTTGAGCCTAAGCCAGGGAATCAGCTCTCATCTCGAGACGATTTGTGGTACACGGAGCATTCCTCGAGTTGCTGTGCTGAAGTTGGTGTTCCTCTAGACTTGGGACAGTGTTCTCGGGGCATCTCTGGTGTTGCCTGAAGGAAGTCGAGCCACCGGTCCTGTTGAATGGGGAACGGGGAATCACTCTGAAGTCAATGCAGGGGAATCGGGCCTCATCTCGAGTTGATTTGGGGCACATGGAGCTGCTTTGCGTTGCTGGGCTGACCTCAGGGTCCGTCTAGACTGGTGACAGTGTTCTTGGGGACTGTCTCGAGATCCATTAAGCAAGTCGAAGCTCCTGACTTGTTTGAATGGGATTCACGGAATAGCTCTGCATGCACTGCATGGGAATGGGGCCTCATGTCGCCTCTAGGGGGAAGTCTCATGGTTTTTCTCGAGTTGCGGCGGGGACCTGGGGTATGTTCTCGACTTACGGCGGGGATGGCCCTTCAAAACACGAGTTTCTTCAGTGACGTCAGGACTCCTCTCTAGTACCGAGGGACACCTCAGGAATCTCTTCGAGGCTTGGCAGGGCAAAAGGGACGCTTCTCGAGGTGAGGCAGGGCACCCAAGGACCCTTTCCAGTAGCCACAGGGATTTTGGGATTCCTATCAGTATTCAAGAGGAGTCAGGAATCGTCACCTTTTGAAGCAATGTACTCTGCGTGCCTCTCGAGGTGTCAACGGGATGTGAGCCATTCCGTCAAAATGAGGCAGGGACCTAGGGCTTTCTCTATGGTCTCCACAGGGGATTCAGACATCCCTTCATGTTGTGAGGTGAAAGACGAGCCTGTGTTCAAGCCACTACAAGGATATCTGGCCTCCTTTCAAGTTAGCGCTTCTCGCTGTATATTCCCCTTGAGGCAGCAAACTCGGGGTCCCTCCCACATACCTATTGCTGAGAGAAGCCTCCTCCTGAGGTGCTTCTGGAAAGTTGGCATACGTCTTGAGCCTAAGCCAGGGAATCAGCTCTCATCTCGAGACGATTTGGGGTACACGGAGCATTCCTCGAGTTGCTGTGCTGAAGTTGGTGTTCCTCTAGACTTGGGATAGTGTTGCCTGAAGGAAGTCGAGCCACCGGTCGTGTTGAATGGGGAACGGGGAATGGCTCTGGAGTCAATGCAGGGGAATCGGGCCTCATCTCGAGTTGATTTGGGGCACATGGAGCTGCTTTGCGTTGCTGGGTTGACCTCAGGGTCCGTCTAGACTGTTGACAGTGTTCTTGGGGACTGTCTCGAGATCCATTAAGCAAGTCGAAGCTCCTGACTTGTTTGAATGGGATCAGGGAATAGCTCTGCATGCACTGCAGGGGAATGGTGCCTCATCTCGCCTCTAGGGGGAAGTCTCATGGTTTTTCTCGAGTTGCGGCGGGGACCTGGGGTATGTTCTCGACTTAAGGCGGTGATGGCCCTTCAAAACATGAGTTCCTTCAGTGAAGTCAGGACTCCTGTCTAGTAATGAGGAACACCTCAGGAATCTCTTCGAGGCTTGGCAGGGCAAAAGGGACGCTTCTCGAGGTGAGGCAGGGCACCCAAGGACCCTTTCCAGTAGCCACAGGGATTTTGGGATTCCTTTCAGTATTCAAGAGGAGTCAGGCATCGTCACCTTTTGAAGCAATGAACTCTGCGTGCATCTCGAGGTGTCAGCGGGATGTGAGGCATTCTGTCAAAATGAGGCAGGGACCTAGGGCTTTCTCTAAGGTCTCCACAGGGCATTCAGACATCCCTTCATGTTGTGAGATGAAACACGGGCCTGTATTCAAGCCACTGCAAGGAAATCCGGCCTCCTTTCAAGTTAGGGCTTCTCGCTGTATATTCCCCTTGAGGCAGCAAACTCGGGGTCCCTCCCACATACCTATTGCTGAGAGAAGCCTCCGCCTGAGGTGCTTCTGGAAAGTTGGCATACGTCTTGAGCCTAAGCCAGGGAATCAGCTCTCATCTCGAGACGATTTGGGGTACACGGAGCATTCCTCGAGTTGCTGTGCTGAAGTTGGTGTTCCTCTAGACTTGGGACAGTGTTCTCGGGGCATCTCTGGAGTTGCCTGAAGGAAGTCGAGCCACCGGTCGTGTTGAATTGGGAAGGGGAATGGCTCTGGAGTCAATGCAGGGGAATCGGGCCTCATCTCGAGTTGATTTTCGGCACATGGAGCTGCTTTGCGTTGCTGGGCTGACCTCAGGGTCCGTCTAGACTGGTGACAGTGTTCTTGGGGACTCTCTCGAGATCCATTAAGCAAGTCGAAGCTCCTGACTTGTTTGAATGGGATCACGGAATAGCTCTGCATGCACTGCAGGGGAATGGGGCCTCATGTCGCCTCTAGGGGGAAGTCTCATGGTTTTTCTCGAGTTGCGGCGGGGACCTGGGGTATGTTCTCGACTTACGGCGGGGATGGCCCTTCAAAACACGAGTTTCTTCAGTGACGTCAGGACTCCTGTCTAGTAACGAGGGACACCTCAGGAATCTCTTCGAGGCTTGACAGGGCAAAAGGGACGCTTCTCGAGGTGAGGCAGGGCACCCAAGGACCCTTTCCAGTAGCCACAGGGATTTTCGGATTCCTATCAGTATTCAAGAGGAGTCAGGCATCGTCACCTTTTGAAGCAATGAACTCCGTGTGCCTCTCGAGGTGTCAGAGGGATGTGAGGCATTCCGTCAAAATGAGGCAGGGACCTAGGGCTTTCTCTAAGGTCTCCACAGGGGATTCAGACATCCCTTCATGTTGTGAGATGAAAGAAGAGCCTGTATTCAAGCCACTGCAAGGAAATCAGGCCTCCTTTCAAGTTAGGGCTTCTCGCTGTATATTCCCCTTGAGGCAGCAAACTCGGGGTCCCTCCCACATACCTATTGCTGAGAGAAGCCTCCTCCTGAGGTGCTTCTGGAAAGTTGGCATACGTCTTGAGCCTAAGCCAGGGAATCAGCTCTCATCTCGAGACGATTTGTGGTACACGGAGCATTCCTCGAGTTGCTGTGCTGAAGTTGGTGTTCTTCTAGACTTGGGACAGTGTTCTCGGGGCATCTCTGGTGTTGCCTGAAGGAAGTCGAGCCACCGGTCCTGTTGAATGGGGAACGGGGAATCTCTCTGGAGTCAATGCAGTGGAATCGGGCCTCATCTCGAGTTGATTTGGGGCACATGGAGCTGCTTTGCGTTGCTGGGCTGACGTCAGGGTCCGTCTAGACTGGTGACAGTGTTCTTGGGGACTGTCTCGAGATCCATTAAGCAAGTCGAAGCTCCTGACTTGTTTGAATGGGATCACGGAATAGCTCTGCATGCTCTGCAGGGGAATGGGGCCTCATCTCGCCTCTAGGGGGAAGTCTCATGGTTTTTCTCGAGTTGCGGCGGGGACCTGGGGTATGTTCTCGACTTACGGCGGGGATGGCCCTTCAAAACACGAGTTTCTTCAGTGACGTCAGGACTCCTGTGTAATAACGAGGGACACCTCAGGAATCTCTTCGAGGCTTGGCAGGGCAAAAGGGACGCTTCTCGAGGTGAGGCAGGGCACCCAAGGACCCTTTCCAGTAGCCACAGGGATTTTGGGATTCCTATCAGTATTCAAGAGGAGTCAGGCATCGTCACCTTTCGAAGCAATGAACTCTGCGTGATTCTCGAGGTGTCAGCGGGATGTGAGGCTTTCCGTCAAAATGAGGCAGGGACCTAGGGCTTTCTCTAAGGTCTCCACAGGGGATTCAGACATCCCTTCATGTTGTGAGATGAAACACGAGCCTGTCTTCAAGCCACTGCAAGGAAATCCGGCCTCCTTTCAAGTTAGGGCTTCTCGCTGTATATTCCCCTTGAGGCAGCATACTCGTGGTCCCTCCCACATACCTATTGCTGAGAGAAGCCTCCTCCTGAGGTGCTTCTGGAAAGTTGGCATACGTCTTGAGCCTAAGCCAGGGAATCAGCTCTCATCTCGAGACGATTTGTGTTACACGGAGCATTCCCCGAGTTGCTGTGCTGAAGTTGGTGTTCCTCTAGACTACGGACAGTGTTCTGGGGGCATCTCTGGAGTTGCCTGAAGGAAGTCGAGCCACCGGTCGTGTTGAATGGGGAACGGGGAATGGCTCTAGAGTCAATGCAGGGGAATCGGGCCTCATCTCGAGTTGATTTGGGGCACATGGAGCTGCTTTGCGTTGCTGGGGTGACCTCAGGGTCCGTCTAGACTGGTGACAGTGTTCTTGGGGACTGTCTCGAGATCCATTAAGCAAGTCGAAGCTCCTGACTTGTTTGAATGGGATCACGGAATAGCTCTGCATGCACTGCAGGGGAATGGGGCCTCATCTCGCCTCTAGGGGGAAGTCTCATGGTTTTTCTCGAGTTGCGGCGGGGACCTGGGGTATGTTCTCGACTTACGGCGGGATCGCCCTTCAAAACACGAGTTTCTTCAGTGACGTCAGGACTCCTCTCTAGTAACGAGGGACACCTCAGGAATCTCTTCGAGGCTTGGCAGGGCAAAAGGGACCCTTCTCGAGGTGAGGCAGGCCACCCAAGGACACTTTCCAGTAGCCACAGGGAATTTGGGATTCCTATCAGTATTCAAGAGGAGTCAGGCATCGTCACCTTTTGAAGCAATGAACTCTGTGTGCCTCTCGAGTTTTCAACGGAATGTGAGGCATTCTGTCAAAATGAGGCAGGGACCTAGGGCTTTCTCTAAGTCTCCACAGGGGATTCAGACATCCCTTCATGTTGTGAGATGAAACACGAGCCTGTATTCAAGCCACTGCAAGGAAATCCGGCCTCCTTTCAAGTTAGGGCTTCTCGCTGTATATTCCCCTTGAGGCAGCATACTCGGGGTCCCTCCCACATACCTATTGCTGAGAGAAGCCTCCTCCTGAGGTGCTTCTGGAAAGTTGGCATACGTCTTGAGCCTAAGCCAGGGAATCAGCTCTAATCTCGAGACGATTTGGGGTACACGGAGCATTCCTCGAGTTGCTGTGCTGAAGTTGGTGTTCCTCTAGACTTGGGACAGTGTTCTCGTGGCATCTCGGGAGTTGCCTGAAGGAAGTCGAGCCACCGGTCGTGTTGAATGGGGAACGGGGAATGGCTCTGGAGTGAATGCAGGGGAATCGGGCCTCATCTCGAGTTGATTTGGGGCACATGGAGCTGCTTTGCGTTGCTGGGCTGACCTCAGGGTCCGTCTAGACTGGTGACAGTGTTCTTGGGGACTGTCTCGAGATCCATTAAGCAAGTCGAAGCTCCTGACTTGTTTGAATGGGATCACGGAATAGCTCTGCATGCTCTGCAGGGGAATGGGGCCTCATCTCCCCTCTAGGGGGAAGTCTCATGGTTTTTCTAGAGTAGCGGCGGGGACCTGGGGTATGTTCTCGACTTACGGCGGGGATGGCCCTTCAAAACACGAGTTCCTTCAGTGACGTCAGGACTCCTGTCTAGTAACGAGGGACACCTCAGGAATCTCTTCGAGGCTTGGCAGGGCAAAAGGGACGCTTCTCGAGGTGAGGCAGGGCACCCAAGGACCCTTTCCAGTAGCCACAGGGATTTTGGGATTCCTATCAGTATTCAAGAGGAGTCAGGCATCGTCACCTTTTGAAGCAATGAACTCTGCGTGCCTCTCGAGGTGTCAGCGGGATGTGAGGCATTCCGTCAAAATGAGGCAGGGATCTAGGGCTTTCTCTAAGGTCTCCACAGGGGATTCAGACATCCCTTCATGTTGTGAGATGAAAGACGAGCCTGTATTCAAGCCACTGCTAGAAAATCCGGCCTCCTTTCAAGTTAGGGCTTCTCGCTGTATATTCCCCTTGAGGCAGCAAACTCGGGGTCCCTCCCACATACCTATTGCTGAGAGAAGCCTCCCCCTGAGGTGCTTCTGGAAAGTTGGCATACGTCTTGAGCGTAAGCCAGGGAATCACCTCTCATCTCGAGATGATTTGGTGTACATGGAGCATTCCTCGAGTTGCTGTGCTGAAGTTGGTGTTCCTCTAGACTTGGGACAGTGTTCTCGGGGCATCTCTGAAGTTGCCTGAAGGAAGTCGAGCCACCGGTCGTGTTGAATGGGGAACGGGGAATCTCTCTGGAGTCAATGCAGGGGAATCCGGCCTCATCTCGAGTTGATTTGGGGCACATGGAGCTGCTTTGCGTTGCTGGGGTGACCTCAGGGTCCGTCTAGACTGGTGACAGTGTTCTTGGGGACTGTCTCGAGATCAATTAAGCAAGTCGAAGCTCCTGACTTGTTTGAATGGGATCACGGAATAGCTCTGCATGCACTGCAGGGGAATGGGGCCTCATCTCGCCTCTAGGGGGAAGTCTCATGGTTTTTCTCGAGTTGTGGCAGGGACCTGGGGTATGTTCTCGACTTACAGCGGGGATGGCCCTTCAAAACACGAGTTCCTTCAGTGACGTCAGGACTCCTGTCTAGTAACGAGGGACACCTCAGGAATCTCTTCGAGGCTTGGCAGGGCAAAAGGGACGCTTCTCGAGGTGAGGCAGGGCACCCAAGGACCCTTTCCAGTAGCCACAGGTATTTTGGGATTCCTATCAGTATTCAAGAGGAGTCAGGCATCGTCACATTCTGAAGCAATGAACTCCGTGTGCCTCTCGAGGTGTCAGCGGGATGTGAGGCATTCCGTCAAAATGAGGCAGGGACCTAGGGCTTTCTCTAAGGTCTCCACAGGGGATTCAGACATCCCTTCATGTTGTGAGATGAAACACGAGCCTGTATTCAAGCCACTGCAAGGAAATCCGGCCTCCTTTCAAGTTAGGGCTTCTCGCTGTATATTCCCCTTGAGGCAGCAAACTCGGGTGCCTCCCACATATCTATTGCTGAGAGAAGCCTCCTCCTGAGGTGCTTCTGGAAAGTTGGCATACGTCTTGAGCCTAAGCCAGGGAATCAGCTCTCATCTCGAGACGATTTTGGGTACACGGAGCATTCCTCGAGTTGCTGTGCTGAAGTTGGTGTTCCTCTAGACTTGGGACAGTGTTCTCGGGGCATCTCTGGAGTTGCCTGAAGGAAGTCGAGCCACCGGTCGTGTTGAATGGGGAACGGGAAATGGCTCTGGAGTCAATGCAGGGGAATCGGGCCTCATCTCGAGTTGATTTGGGGCACATGGAGCTGCTTTGCGTTGCTGGGCTGACCTCAGGGTCCGTCTAGACTGGTGACAGTGTTCTTGGGGACTCTCTCGAGATCCATTAAGCAAGTCGAAGCTCCTGACTTGTTTGAATGGGATCACGGAATAGCTCTGCATGCACTGCAGGGGAATGGGGCCTCATCTCGCCTCTAGGGGGAAGTCTCATGGTTTTTCTCGAGTTGCGGCGGGGACGTGGGGTATGTTCTCGACTTACGGCGGGGATGGCCCTTCAAAACACGAGTTTCTTCAGTGACGTCAGGACTCCTGTCTAGTAACGAGGGACAACTCAGGAATCTCTTCGAGGCTTGACAGGGCAAAAGGGACGCTTCTCGAGGTGAGGCAGGGCACCCAAGGACCCTTTCCAGTAGCCACAGGGATTTTCGGATTCCTATCAGTATTCAAGAGGAGTCAGGCATCGTCACCTTTTGAAGCATTGAACTCCGTGTGCCTCTCAAGGTGTCAGAGGGATGTGAGGCATTCCGTCAAAATGAGGCAGGGACCTAGGGCTTTCTCTAAGGTCTCCACAGGGGATTCAGACATCCCTTCATGTTGTGAGATGAAAGACGAGCCTGTATTCAAGCCACTGCAAGGATATCTGGCCTCCTATCAAGTTACGGCTTCTCGCTGTATATTCCCCTTGAGGCAGCAAACTCCGGGTCCCTCCCACATACTTATTGCTGAGAGAAGCCTCCTCCTGAGGTGCTTCTGGAAAGTTGGCATACGTCTTGAGCCTAAGCCAGGGAATCAGCTCTCATCTCGAGACGATTTGGGGTACACGGAGCATTCCTCGAGTTGCTGTGCTGAAGTTGGTGTTCCTCTAGACTTGGGACAGTGTTCTCGGGGCATCTCTGCAGTTGCCTGAAGGAAGTCGAGCCACCGGTCGTGTTGAATGGGGAACGGGGAATGGCTCTGGAGTCAATGCAGGGGAATCGGGCCTCATCTCGAGTTGATTTGGGGCACATGGTGCTGCTTTGCGTTGCTGAGCTGACCTCAGGGTCCGTCTAGACTGGTGACAGTGTTCTTGGGGACTCTCTCGAGATCCATTAAGCAAGTCGAAGCTCCTGACTTGTTTGAATGGGATCACGGAATAGCTCTGCATGCACTGCAGGGGAATGGGGCCTCATCTCGCCTCTAGGGGGAAGTCTCATGGTTTTTCTAGAGTTGCGGCGGGGACCTGGGGTATGTTCTCGACTTACGGCGGGGATGGCCCTTCAAAACACGAGTTTCTTCAGTGACGTCAGGACTCCAGTGTAATAACGAGGTACACCTCAGGAATCTCTTTGAGGCTTGGCAGGGCAAAAGGGACGCTTCTCGAGGTGATGCAGGGCACCCAAGGACCCTTTCCAGTAGCCACAGGGATTTTGGGATTCCTATCAGTATTCAAGAGGAGTCAGGCATCGTCACCTTTTGAAGCAATGAACTCTGCGTGATTCTCGAGGTGTCAGCGGGATGTGAGGCATTCCGTCAAAATGAGGCAGGGAACTAGGGCTTTCTCTAAGGTCTCCACAGGGGATTCAGACATCCCTTCATGTTGTGAGATGAAACACGAGCCTGTATTCAAGCCACTGCAAGGAAATCCGGCCTCCTTTCAAGTTAGGGCTTCTCGCTGTATATTCCCCTTGAGGCAGCATACTCTGGGTCCCTCCCACATACCTATTGCTGAGAGAAGCCTCCTCCTGAGGTGCTTCTGGAAAGTTGGCATACGTCTTGAGCCTAAGCCAGGGAATCAGCTCTCATCTCGAGACGATTTGTGGTACACAGAGCATTGCCCGAGTTGCTGTGCTGAAGTTGGTGTTCCTCTAGACTACGGACAGTGTTCTGGGGGCATCTCTGGAGTTGCCTGAAGGAAGTCGAGCCACCGGTCGTGTTGAATGGGGAACGGGGAATGGCTCTGGAGTCAATGCAGGGGAATCCGGCCTCATCTCGAGTTGATTTGGGGCACATGGAGCTGCTTTGCGTTGCTGGGCTGACCTCAGGGTCCGTCTAGACTGGTGACAGTGTTCTTGGGGACTGTCTCGAGATCCATTAAGCAAGTCGAAGCTCCTGACTTGTTTGAATGGGATCACGGAATAGCTCTGCATGCACTGCAGGGGAATGGGGCCTCATCTCGCCTCTAGGGGGAAGTCTCATGGTTTTTCTCGAGTTGTGGCAGGGACCTGGGGTATGTTCTCGACTTACAGCGGGGATGGCCCTTCAAAACACGAGTTCCTTCAGTGACGTCAGGACTCCTGTCTAGTAACGAGGGACACCTCAGGAATCTCTTCTAGGCTTGGCAGGGCAAAAGGGACGCTTCTCGAGGTGAGGCAGGGCACCCAAGGACCCTTTCCAGTAGCCACAGGGATTTTCGGATTCCTATCAGTATTCAAGAGGAGTCAGGCATCGTCACCTTTTGAAGCAATGTACTCTGCGTGCCTCTCGAGGTGTCAGCGGGATGTGAGCCATTCCTTCAAAATGAGGCAGGGACCTAGGGCTTTCTCTAAGGTCTCCACAGGGGATTCAGACATCCCTTCATGTTGTGAGATGAAAGACGAGCCTGTGTTCAAGCCACTGCAAGGATATCCGGCCTCCTTTCAAGTTAGCGCTTCTCGCTGTATATTCCCCTTGAGGCAGCATACTCGGGGTCAACCCCACATACCTATTGCTGAGAGAAGCCTCCTCCTGAGTTGCTTCTGGAAAGTTGGCATACGTCTTGAGCCTAAGCCAGGGAATTAGCTCTCATCTCGAGACGATTTGGGGTACACGGAGAATTCCTCGAGTGGCTGTGCTGAAGTTGGTGTTCCTCTAGACTTGGGACAGTGTTCTCGGGGCATCTCTGGAGTTGCCTGAAGGAAGTCGAACCACCGGTCGTGTTGAATGGGGAACGGGGAATGGCTTTGGAGTCAATGCAGGGGAATCGGGCCTCATCTCGAGTTGATTTGGGGAACATGGAGCTGCTTTGCGTTGCTGGGTTGACCTCAGGGTCCGTCTAGACTGGTGACAGTGTTCTTGGGGATTGTCTCGAGATCCATTAAGCAAGTCGAAGCTCCTGACTTGTTTGAATGGGATCACGGAATAGCTCTGCATGCACTGCAGGGGAATGGTGCCTCATCTCGCCTCTAGGGGGAAGTCTCATTGTTTTTCTCGAGTTGCGGCGGGGACCTGGGTTATGTTCTCGACTTACGGCGGGATGGCCCCTCAAAACATGAGTTCCTTCAGTGAAGTCAGGACTCCTGTCTACTAATGAGGAACACCTCAGGAATCTCTTCGAAGCTTGGCAGGGCAAAAGGGACGCTTCTCGAGGTGAGGCAGGGCACCCAAGGACCCTTTCCAGTAGCCACAGGGATTTTGGGATTCCTATCAGTATTCAAGAGGAGTCAGGCATCGTCACCTTTTGAAGCAATGAACTCTGCGTGCCTCTCGAGGTGTCAGCGGGATGTGAGGCATTCCGTCAAAATGAGGCAGGGACCTAGGGCTTTCTCTAAGGTCTCCACGGGGGATTCAGACAGCCCTTCATGTTGTGAGATGAAAGAGGAGCCTGTATTCAAGCCACTGCTAGAAAATCCGGCCTCCTTTCAAGTTAGGGCTTCTCACTGTATATTCCCCTTGAGGCAGCAGACTTGGGGTCCCTCCCACATACCTATTGCTGAAATAAGTCTCCTCCTGAGGTGCTTCTGGAAAGTTGGCATACGTCTTGAGCCTAAGCCAGGGAATCAGCTCTCATCTCGAGACGATTTGGGGTACACGGAGCATTCCTCGAGTTGCTGTGCTGAAGTTGGTGTTCCTCTAGACTTGGGACAGTGTTCTCGGGGCATCTCTGGAGTTGCCTGAAGGAAGTCGAGCCACCGGTCGTGTTGAATGGGGAACGGGGAATCTCTCTGGAGTCAATGCAGGGGAATCGGGCCTCATCTCGAGTTGATTTGGGGCACATGGAGCTGCTTTGCGTTGCTGGGGTGACCTCAGGGTCCGTCTAGACTGGTGACAGTGTTCTTGGGGACTGTCTCGAGATCCATTAAGCAATTCGAAGCTCCTGACTTGTTTGAATGGGATCACGGAATAGCTCTGCATGCACTGCAGGGGAATGGGGACTCATCTCGCCTCTAGGGGGAAGTCTCATGGTTTTTCTCGAATTGCGGCGTGGACCTGGGGTATGTTCTCGACTTACGGCGGGGATGGCCCTTCAAAACACGAGTTTCTTCAGTGACGTCAGGACTCCTGTGTAATAACGAGGTACACCTCAGGAATCTCTTCAAGGCTTGACAGGGCAAAAGGGACGCTTCTCGAGGTGAGGCAGGGCACCCAAGGACCCTTTCCAGTAGCCACAGGGATTTTCGGATTCCTATCAGTATTCAAGAGGAGTCAGGCATCGTCACCTTTTGAAGCAATGAACTCTGCGTGATTCTCGAGGTGTCAGCGGGATGTGAGGCATTCCGTCAAAATGAGGCAGGGAACTAGGGCTTTCTCTAAGGTCTCCACAGGGGATTCAGACATCCCTTCATGTTGTGAGATGAAAGACGAGCCTGTATTCAAGCCACTGCAAGGAAATCCGGCCTCCTTTCAAGTTAGGGCTTCTCGCTGTATATTCCCCTTGAGGCAGCAAACTCGGGGTCCCTCCCACATCCCTATTGCTGAGAGAAGCCTCCTCCTGAGGTGCTTCTGGAAAGTTGGCATACGTCTTGAGCCTAAGCCAGGGAATCAGCTCTCATCTCGAGACGATTTGTGGTACACGGAGCATTCCTCGAGTTGCTGTGCTGAAGTTGGTGTTCCTCTAGACTTGGGACAGTGTTCTCGGGGCATCTCTGGTGTTGCCTGAAGGAAGTCGAGCCACCGGTCCTGTTGAATGGGGAACGGGGAATCACTCTGGAGTCAATGCAGGGGAATCGGGCCTCATCTCGAGTTGATTTGGGGCACATGGAGCTGCTTTGCGTTGCTGGGCTGACCTCAGGGTCCGTCTAGACTGGTGACAGTGTTCTTGGGGACTGTCTCGAGATCCATTAAGCAAGTCGAAGCTCCTGACTTGTTTGAATGGGATTCACGGAATAGCTCTGCATGCACTGCATGGGAATGGGGCCTCATGTCGCCTCTAGGGGGAAGTCTCATGGTTTTTCTCGAGTTGCGGCGGGGACCTGGGGTATGTTCTCGACTTACGGCGGGGATGGCCCTTCAAAACACGAGTTTCTTCAGTGACGTCAGGACTCCTCTCTAGTACCGAGGGACACCTCAGGAATCTCTTCGAGGCTTGGCAGGGCAAAAGGGACGCTTCTCGAGGTGAGGCAGGGCACCCAAGGACCCTTTCCAGTAGCCACAGGGATTTTGGGATTCCTATCAGTATTCAAGAGGAGTCAGGAATCGTCACCTTTTGAAGCAATGTACTCTGCGTGCCTCTCGAGGTGTCAACGGGATGTGAGCCATTCCGTCAAAATGAGGCAGGGACCTAGGGCTTTCTCTATGGTCTCCACAGGGGATTCAGACATCCCTTCATGTTGTGAGGTGAAAGACGAGCCTGTGTTCAAGCCACTACAAGGATATCCGGCCTCCTTTCAAGTTAGCGCTTCTCGCTGTATATTCCCCTTGAGGCAGCAAACTCGGGGTCCCTCCCACATACCTATTGCTGAGAGAAGCCTCCTCCTGAGGTGCTTCTGGAAAGTTGGCATACGTCTTGAGCCTAAGCCAGGGAATCAGCTCTCATCTCGAGACGATTTGGGGTACACGGAGCATTCCTCGAGTTGCTGTGCTGAAGTTGGTGTTCCTCTAGACTTGGGATAGTGTTGCCTGAAGGAAGTCGAGCCACCGGTCGTGTTGAATGGGGAACGGGGAATGGCTCTGGAGTCAATGCAGGGGAATCGGGCCTCATCTCGAGTTGATTTGGGGCACATGGAGCTGCTTTGCGTTGCTGGGTTGACCTCAGGGTCCGTCTAGACTGTTGACAGTGTTCTTGGGGACTGTCTCGAGATCCATTAAGCAAGTCGAAGCTCCTGACTTGTTTGAATGGGATCAGGGAATAGCTCTGCATGCACTGCAGGGGAATGGTGCCTCATCTCGCCTCTAGGGGGAAGTCTCATGGTTTTTCTCGAGTTGCGGCGGGGACCTGGGGTATGTTCTCGACTTAAGGCGGTGATGGCCCTTCAAAACATGAGTTCCTTCAGTGAAGTCAGGACTCCTGTCTAGTAATGAGGAACACCTCAGGAATCTCTTCGAGGCTTGGCAGGGCAAAAGGGACGCTTCTCGAGGTGAGGCAGGGCACCCAAGGACCCTTTCCAGTAGCCACAGGGATTTTGGGATTCCTTTCAGTATTCAAGAGGAGTCAGGCATCGTCACCTTTTGAAGCAATGAACTCTGCGTGCATCTCGAGGTGTCAGCGGGATGTGAGGCATTCTGTCAAAATGAGGCAGGGACCTAGGGCTTTCTCTAAGGTCTCCACAGGGCATTCAGACATCCCTTCATGTTGTGAGATGAAACACGGGCCTGTATTCAAGCCACTGCAAGGAAATCCGGCCTCCTTTCAAGTTAGGGCTTCTCGCTGTATATTCCCCTTGAGGCAGCAAACTCGGGGTCCCTCCCACATACCTATTGCTGAGAGAAGCCTCCGCCTGAGGTGCTTCTGGAAAGTTGGCATACGTCTTGAGCCTAAGCCAGGGAATCAGCTCTCATCTCGAGACGATTTGGGGTACACGGAGCATTCCTCGAGTTGCTGTGCTGAAGTTGGTGTTCCTCTAGACTTGGGACAGTGTTCTCGGGGCATCTCTGGAGTTGCCTGAAGGAAGTCGAGCCACCGGTCGTGTTGAATTGGGAAGGGGAATGGCTCTGGAGTCAATGCAGGGGAATCGGGCCTCATCTCGAGTTGATTTTCGGCACATGGAGCTGCTTTGCGTTGCTGGGGTGACCTCAGGGTCCGTCTAGACTGGTGACAGTGTTCTTGGGGACTCTCTCGAGATCCATTAAGCAAGTCGAAGCTCCTGACTTGTTTGAATGGGATCACGGAATAGCTCTGCATGCACTGCAGGGGAATGGGGCCTCATGTCGCCTCTAGGGGGAAGTCTCATGGTTTTTCTCGAGTTGCGGCGGGGACCTGGGGTATGTTCTCGACTTACGGCGGGGATGGCCCTTCAAAACACGAGTTTCTTCAGTGACGTCAGGACTCCTGTCTAGTAACGAGGGACACCTCAGGAATCTCTTCGAGGCTTGACAGGGCAAAAGGGACGCTTCTCGAGGTGAGGCAGGGCACCCAAGGACCCTTTCCAGTAGCCACAGGGATTTTCGGATTCCTATCAGTATTCAAGAGGAGTCAGGCATCGTCACCTTTTGAAGCAATGAACTCCGTGTGCCTCTCGAGGTGTCAGAGGGATGTGAGGCATTCCGTCAAAATGAGGCAGGGACCTAGGGCTTTCTCTAAGGTCTCCACAGGGGATTCAGACATCCCTTCATGTTGTGAGATGAAAGAAGAGCCTGTATTCAAGCCACTGCAAGGAAATCAGGCCTCCTTTCAAGTTAGGGCTTCTCGCTGTATATTCCCCTTGAGGCAGCAAACTCGGGGTCCCTCCCACATCCCTATTGCTGAGAGAAGCCTCCTCCTGAGGTGCTTCTGGAAAGTTGGCATACGTCTTGAGCCTAAGCCAGGGAATCAGCTCTCATCTCGAGACGATTTGTGGTACACGGAGCATTCCTCGAGTTGCTGTGCTGAAGTTGGTGTTCTTCTAGACTTGGGACAGTGTTCTCGGGGCATCTCTGGTGTTGCCTGAAGGAAGTCGAGCCACCGGTCCTGTTGAATGGGGAACGGGGAATCTCTCTGGAGTCAATGCAGTGGAATCGGGCCTCATCTCGAGTTGATTTGGGGCACATGGAGCTGCTTTGCGTTGCTGGGCTGACGTCAGGGTCCGTCTAGACTGGTGACAGTGTTCTTGGGGACTGTCTCGAGATCCATTAAGCAAGTCGAAGCTCCTGACTTGTTTGAATGGGATCACGGAATAGCTCTGCATGCTCTGCAGGGGAATGGGGCCTCATCTCGCCTCTAGGGGGAAGTCTCATGGTTTTTCTCGAGTTGCGGCGGGGACCTGGGGTATGTTCTCGACTTACGGCGGGGATGGCCCTTCAAAACACGAGTTTCTTCAGTGACGTCAGGACTCCTGTGTAATAACGAGGGACACCTCAGGAATCTCTTCGAGGCTTGGCAGGGCAAAAGGGACGCTTCTCGAGGTGAGGCAGGGCACCCAAGGACCCTTTCCAGTAGCCACAGGGATTTTGGGATTCCTATCAGTATTCAAGAGGAGTCAGGCATCGTCACCTTTCGAAGCAATGAACTCTGCGTGATTCTCGAGGTGTCAGCGGGATGTGAGGCTTTCCGTCAAAATGAGGCAGGGACCTAGGGCTTTCTCTAAGGTCTCCACAGGGGATTCAGACATCCCTTCATGTTGTGAGATGAAACACGAGCCTGTCTTCAAGCCACTGCAAGGAAATCCGGCCTCCTTTCAAGTTAGGGCTTCTCGCTGTATATTCCCCTTGAGGCAGCATACTCGTGGTCCCTCCCACATACCTATTGCTGAGAGAAGCCTCCTCCTGAGGTGCTTCTGGAAAGTTGGCATACGTCTTGAGCCTAAGCCAGGGAATCAGCTCTCATCTCGAGACGATTTGTGTTACACGGAGCATTCCCCGAGTTGCTGTGCTGAAGTTGGTGTTCCTCTAGACTACGGACAGTGTTCTGGGGGCATCTCTGGAGTTGCCTGAAGGAAGTCGAGCCACCGGTCGTGTTGAATGGGGAACGGGGAATGGCTCTAGAGTCAATGCAGGGGAATCGGGCCTCATCTCGAGTTGATTTGGGGCACATGGAGCTGCTTTGCGTTGCTGGGGTGACCTCAGGGTCCGTCTAGACTGGTGACAGTGTTCTTGGGGACTGTCTCGAGATCCATTAAGCAAGTCGAAGCTCCTGACTTGTTTGAATGGGATCACGGAATAGCTCTGCATGCACTGCAGGGGAATGGGGCCTCATCTCGCCTCTAGGGGGAAGTCTCATGGTTTTTCTCGAGTTGCGGCGGGGACCTGGGGTATGTTCTCGACTTACGGCGGGATCGCCCTTCAAAACACGAGTTTCTTCAGTGACGTCAGGACTCCTCTCTAGTAACGAGGGACACCTCAGGAATCTCTTCGAGGCTTGGCAGGGCAAAAGGGACCCTTCTCGAGGTGAGGCAGGCCACCCAAGGACACTTTCCAGTAGCCACAGGGAATTTGGGATTCCTATCAGTATTCAAGAGGAGTCAGGCATCGTCACCTTTTGAAGCAATGAACTCTGTGTGCCTCTCGAGTTTTCAACGGAATGTGAGGCATTCTGTCAAAATGAGGCAGGGACCTAGGGCTTTCTCTAAGTCTCCACAGGGGATTCAGACAACCCTTCATGTTGTGAGATGAAACACGAGCCTGTATTCAAGCCACTGCAAGGAAATCCGGCCTCCTTTCAAGTTAGGGCTTCTCGCTGTATATTCCCCTTGAGGCAGCATACTCGGGGTCCCTCCCACATACCTATTGCTGAGAGAAGCCTCCTCCTGAGGTGCTTCTGGAAAGTTGGCATACGTCTTGAGCCTAAGCCAGGGAATCAGCTCTAATCTCGAGACGATTTGGGGTACACGGAGCATTCCTCGAGTTGCTGTGCTGAAGTTGGTGTTCCTCTAGACTTGGGACAGTGTTCTCGTGGCATCTCGGGAGTTGCCTGAAGGAAGTCGAGCCACCGGTCGTGTTGAATGGGGAACGGGGAATGGCTCTGGAGTGAATGCAGGGGAATCGGGCCTCATCTCGAGTTGATTTGGGGCACATGGAGCTGCTTTGCGTTGCTGGGCTGACCTCAGGGTCCGTCTAGACTGGTGACAGTGTTCTTGGGGACTGTCTCGAGATCCATTAAGCAAGTCGAAGCTCCTGACTTGTTTGAATGGGATCACGGAATAGCTCTGCATGCTCTGCAGGGGAATGGGGCCTCATCTCCCCTCTAGGGGGAAGTCTCATGGTTTTTCTAGAGTAGCGGCGGGGACCTGGGGTATGTTCTCGACTTACGGCGGGGATGGCCCTTCAAAACACGAGTTCCTTCAGTGACGTCAGGACTCCTGTCTAGTAACGAGGGACACCTCAGGAATCTCTTCGAGGCTTGGCAGGGCAAAAGGGACGCTTCTCGAGGTGAGGCAGGGCACCCAAGGACCCTTTCCAGTAGCCACAGGGATTTTGGGATTCCTATCAGTATTCAAGAGGAGTCAGGCATCGTCACCTTTTGAAGCAATGAACTCTGCGTGCCTCTCGAGGTGTCAGCGGGATGTGAGGCATTCCGTCAAAATGAGGCAGGGATCTAGGGCTTTCTCTAAGGTCTCCACAGGGGATTCAGACATCCCTTCATGTTGTGAGATGAAAGACGAGCCTGTATTCAAGCCACTGCTAGAAAATCCGGCCTCCTTTCAAGTTAGGGCTTCTCGCTGTATATTCCCCTTGAGGCAGCAAACTCGGGGTCCCTCCCACATACCTATTGCTGAGAGAAGCCTCCCCCTGAGGTGCTTCTGGAAAGTTGGCATACGTCTTGAGCGTAAGCCAGGGAATCACCTCTCATCTCGAGATGATTTGGTGTACATGGAGCATTCCTCGAGTTGCTGTGCTGAAGTTGGTGTTCCTCTAGACTTGGGACAGTGTTCTCGGGGCATCTCTGAAGTTGCCTGAAGGAAGTCGAGCCACCGGTCGTGTTGAATGGGGAACGGGGAATCTCTCTGGAGTCAATGCAGGGGAATCCGGCCTCATCTCGAGTTGATTTGGGGCACATGGAGCTGCTTTGCGTTGCTGGGGTGACCTCAGGGTCCGTCTAGACTGGTGACAGTGTTCTTGGGGACTGTCTCGAGATCAATTAAGCAAGTCGAAGCTCCTGACTTGTTTGAATGGGATCACGGAATAGCTCTGCATGCACTGCAGGGGAATGGGGCCTCATCTCGCCTCTAGGGGGAAGTCTCATGGTTTTTCTCGAGTTGCGGCGGGGACCTGGGGTATGTTCTCAACTTACGGCGGGGATGGCCCTTCAAAACACGAGTTCCTTCAGTGACGTCAGGACTCCTCTCTAGTACCGAGGGACACCTCAGGAATCTCTTCGAGGCTTGGCAGGGCAAAAGGGACGCTTCTCGAAGTGAGGCAGGGCACCCAAGGACCCTTTCCAGTAGCCACAGGGATTTTGGGATTCCTATAAGTATTCAAGAGGAGTCAGGTATCGTCACCTTTTGAAGCAATGAACTCCGCGTGATTCTCGAGGTGTCAGCGGGATGTGAGGCATTCCATCAAAATGAGGCAGGGACCTAGGGCTTTCTCTAAGGTCTCCACAGGGGATTCAGACATACCTTCATGTTATGAGATGAAACAAGAGCCTGTATTCAAGCCACTGCAAGAAAATCCGGCCTCCTTTCAAGTTAGGGCTTCTCGCTGTATATTCCCCTTGAGGCAGCAAACTCGGGGTCCCTCCCACATACCTATTGCTGAGAGAAGCCTCCTCCTGAGGTGCTTCTGGAAAGTTGGCATACGTCTTGAGCCTAAGCCAGGGAATCAGCTCTCATCTCGAGACGATTTGTGGTACACGGAGCATTCCCCGAGTTGCTGTGCTGAAGTTGGTGTTCCTCTAGGCTACGGACAGTGTTCTCGGGGCATCTCTGGAGTTGCCTGAAGGAAGTCGAGCCACCGGTCGTGTTGAATGGGGAACGGGGAATGGCTCTGGAGTCAATGCAGGGGAATCGGGCCTCATCTCGAGTTGATTTGGGGCACATGGAGCTGCTTTGCGTTGCTGGGTTGACCTCAGGGTCCGTCTAGACTGGTGACAGTGTTCTTGGGGACTGTCTCGAGATCCATTAAGCAAGTCGAAGCTCCTGACTTGTTTGAATGGGATCACGGAATAGCTCTGCATGCACTGCAGGGGAATGGTGCCTCACCTCGCCTCTAGGGGGAAGTCTCATGGTTTTTCTCGAGTTGCGGCGGGGACCTGGGGTATGTTCTCGACTTACGGCGGGGATGGCCCTTCAAAACATGAGTTCCTTCAGTGACGTCAGGACTCCTGTCTAGTAATGAGGAACACCTCAGGAATCTCTTCGAGGCTTGGCAGGGCAAAAGGGACGCTTCTCGAGGTGAGGCAGGGCACCCAAGGACCCTTTCCAGTAGCCACAGGGATTTTGGGATTCCTATCAGTATTCAAGAGGAGTCAGGCATCGTCACCTTCTGAAGCAATGAACTCTGCGTACATCTCGAGGTGTCAGCCGGATGTGAGGCATTCTGTCAAAATGAGGCAGGGACCTAGGGCTTTCTCTAAGGTCTCCACAGGGGATTCAGACATCCCTTCATGTTGTGAGATGAAAGACGAGCCTGTATTCAAGCCACTGCTAGAAAATCCGTCCTCCATTCAAGTTAGGGCTTCTCGCTGTATATTCCCCTTGAGGCAGCAAACTCGGGGTCCCTCCCACATACCTATTGCTGAAAGAAGTCTCCTCCTGAGGTGCTTCTGGAAAGTTGGCATACGTCTTGAGCGTAAGCCAGGGAATCAGCTCTCATCTCGAGATGATTTGGTGTACATGGAGCATTCCTCGAGTTGCTGTGCTGAAGTTGGTGTTCCTCTAGACTTGGGACAGTGTTCTCGGGGCATCTCTGGAGTTGCCTGAAGGAAGTCGAGCCACCGGTCGTGTTGAATGGGGAACGGGGAATCTCTCTGGAGTCAATGAAGGGGAATCTGGCCTCATCTCGAGTTGATTTGGGGCACATGGAGCTGCTTTGCGTTGCTGGGGTGACCTCAGGGTCCGTCTAGACTGGTGACAGTGTTCTTGGGGAGTGTCTCGAGATCCATTAAGCAAGTCGAAGCTCCTGACTTGTTTGAATGGGATCACGGAATAGCTCTGCATGCACTGCAGGGGAATGGGGCCTCATCTCGCCTCTAGGTGGAAGTCTCATGGTTTTTCTCGAGTTGCGGCGGGGACCTGGTGTATGTTCTCGACTTACGGCGGGGATGGCCCTTCAAAACACGAGTTTCTTCAGTGACGTCAGGACTCCAGTGTAATAACGAGGTACACCTCAGGAATCTCTTCGAGGCTTGACAGGGCAAAAGGGACGCTTCTCGAGGTGAGGCAGGGCACCCAAGGACCCTTTCCAGTAGCCACAGGGATTTTGGGATTCCTATCAGTATTCAAGAACAGTCAGGCATCGTCACCTTTTGAAGCAATGAACTCTGCGTGATTCTCGAGGTGTCAGCGGGATGTGAGGCATTCCGTCAAAATGAGGCAGGGAACTAGGGCTTTCTCTAAGGTCTCCACAGGGGATTCAGACATCCCTTCATGTTGTGAGATGAAACACGAGCCTGTATTCAAGCCACTGCAAGAAAATCCGGCGTCCTTTCAAGTTAGGGCTTCTCGCTGTATATTCCCCTTGAGGCAGCAAACTCGGGGTCCCTCCCACATACCTATTGCTGAGAGAAGCCTCCTCCTGAGGTGCTTCTGGAAAGTTGGCATACGTCTTGAGCCTAAGCCAGGGAATCAGCTCTCATCTCGAGACGATTTGTGGTACACGGAGCATTCCCCGAGTTGCTGTGCTGAAGTTGGTGTTCCTCTAGGCTACGGACAGTGTTCTCCGGGCATCTCTGGAGTTGCCTGAAGGAAGTCGAGCCACCGGTCGTGTTGAATGGGGAATGGGGAATGGCTTTGGAGTCAATGCAGGGGTATCGGGCCTCATCTCGAGTGGATTTGGGGCATATGGAGTTGCTTTGCGTTGCTGGGTTGACCTCAGGGTCCGTCTAGACTGGTGACAGTGTTCTTGGGGACTGTCTCGAGATCCATTAAGCAAGTCGAAGCTCCTGCCTTGTTTGAATGGGATCACGGAATAGCTCTGCATGCACTGCAGGTGAATGGGGCCTCATTTCGCCACTAGGGGATGTCTCATGGTTTTTCTCGAGTTGCGGCGGGGACCTGGGGTATGTTCTCGACTTACGGCGGGGATGGCCCTTCAAAACACGAGTTTCTTCAGTGACGTCAGGACTCCTGTCTAGTAACGAGGGACACCTCAGGAATCTCTTCGAGGCTTGGCAGGGCAAAAGGGACGCTTCTCGAGGTGAGGCAGGGCACCCAAGGACCCTTTCCAGTAGCCACAGGGATTTTGGGATTCCTATAAGTATTCAAGAGGAGTCAGGCATCGTCACCTTTTGAAGCAATGAACTCTGCGTGCCTCTCGAGGTGTCAGCGGGATGTGAGGCATTCCGTCAAAATGAGGCAGGGACCTAGGGCTTTCTCTAAGGTCTCCACAGGGGATTCAGACATCCCTTCATGTTGTGAGATGAAACACGAGCCTGTATTCAAGCCACTGCTAGGAAATCCGGCCTCCTTTCAAGTTAGGGCTTCTCGCTGTATATTCCCTTTGAGGCAGCAAACTCGGGGTCCCTCCCACATACCTATTGCTGAGAGAAGCCTCCTCCTGAGGTGCTTCTGGAAAGTTGGCATACGTCTTGAGCCTAAGCCAGTGAATCAGCTCTCATCTCGAGACGATTTGTGGTACACGGAGCATTCCTCGAGTTGCTGTGCTGAAGTTGGTGTTCCTCTAGACTTGGGACAGTGTTCTCAGGACATCTCTGGAGTTGCCTGAAGGAAGTCGAGCCACCGGTCCTGTTGAATGGGGAACGGGGAATATCTCTGGAGTCAATGCAGGGGAATCGGGCCTCATCTCGAGTTGATCTGGGGCACATGAAGCTGCTTTGCGTTGCTGGGGTGACCTCAGGGTCCGTCTAGTCTGGTGACAGTGTTCTTGGGGACTGTCTCGAGATCCTTTAAGCAAGTCGAAGCTCCTGACTTGTTTGAATGGGATCACGGAATAGCTCTGCATGCACTGCAGGTGAATGGGGCCTCATTTCGCCACTAGGGGATGTCTCATGGTTTTCCTCGAGTTGCGGCGGGGACCTGGGTTATGTTCTCGACTTACGGCGGGGATGGACCTTCAAAACACGAGTTTCTTCAGTGACGTCAGGACTCCTGTCTAGTAAGGAGGGACACCTCAGGAATCTCTTCGAGGCTTGGCAGGGCAAAAGGGACGCTTCTCGAGGTGAGGCAGGGCACCCAAGGACCCTTTCCAGTAGCCACAGGGATTTTGGGATTCCTATCAGTATTCAAGAGGAGTCAGTAATCGTCACCTTTTGAAGCAATGTACTCTGCGTGCCTCTCGAGGTGTCAACGGGATGTGAGCCATTCCGTCAAAATGAGGCAGGGACCTAGGGCTATCTCTATGGTCTCCACAGGGGATTCAGACATCCCTTCATGTTGTGAGGTGAAAGACGAGCCTGTTTTCAAGCCACTACAAGGATATCCGGCCTCCTTTCAAGTTAGCGCTTCTCGCTGTATATTCCCCTTGAGGCAGCAAACTCGGGGTCCCTCCCACATACATATTGCTGAGAGAAGCCTCCTCCTGAGGTGCTTCTGGAAAGTTGGCATACGTCTTGAGCCTAAGCCAGGGAATCAGCTCTCATCTCGAGACGATTTGGGGTACACGGAGCATTCCTCGAGTTGCTGTGCTGAAGTTGGTGTTCCTCTAGACTTGGGACAGTGTTGCCTGAAGGAAGTCGAGCCACCGGTCGTGTTGAATGGGGAACGGGGAATGGCCCTGGAGTCAATGCAGGGGAATCGGGCCTCATCTCGAGTTGATTTGGGGCACATGGATCTGCTTTGCGTTGCTGGGTTGACCTCAGGGTCCGTCTAGACTGGTGACAGTGTTCTTGGGGACTGTCTCGAGATCCATTAAGCAAGTCGAAGCTCCTGACTTGTTTGAATGGGATCACGGAATAGCTCTGCATGCACTGCAGGTGAATGGGGCCTCATTTCGCCACTAGGGGATGTCTCATGGTTTTTCTCGAGTTGCGGCGGGGACCTGGGGTATGTTCTCGACTTACGGCGGGGATGGCCCTTCAAAACACGAGTTTCTTCAGTGACGTCAGGACTCCTGTCTAGTAACGAGGGACACCTCAGGAATCTCTTCGAGGCTTGGCAGGGCAAAAGGGACGCTTCTCGAGGTGAGGCAGGGCACCCAAGGACCCTTTCCAGTAGCCACAGGGATTTTGGGATTCCTATCAGTATTCAAGAGGAGTCAGGAATCGTCACCTTTTGAAGCAATGTACTCTGCGTGCCTCTCGAGGTTTCAACGGGATGTGAGCCATTCCGTCAAAATGAGGCAGGGACCTAGGGCTTTCTCTAAGGTCTCCACAGGGGATTCAGACATCCCTTCATGTTGTGAGATGAAAGACGAGCCTGTATTCAAGCCACTGCTAGAAAATCCGGCCTCCTTTCAAGTTAGGGCTTCTCGCTGTATATTCCCCTTTAGGCAGCAAACTCGGGGTCCCTCCCACATACCTATTGCTGAGAGAAGCCTCCTCCTGAGGTGCTTCTGGAAAGTTGGCATACGTCTTGAGCCTAAGCCAGGGAATCAGCTCTCATCTCGAGACGATTTTGGGTACACGGAGCATTCCTCGAGTTGCTGTGCTGAAGTTGGTGTACCTCTAGACTTGGGACAGTGTTCTCGGGGCATCTCTGGAGTTGCCTGAAGGAAGTCGAGCCACCGGTCGTGTTGAATGGGGAACGGGGAATCTCTCTGGAGTCAATTCAGGGGAATCCGGCCTCATCTCGAGTTGATTTGGGGCACATGGAGCTGCTTTGCGTTGCTGGGGTGACCTCAGGGTCCGTCTAGACTGGTGACAGTGTTCCTGGTGACTGTCTCGAGATCCATTAAGCAAGTCGAAGCTCCTGACTTGTTTGAATGGGATCACGGAATAGCTCTGCATGCACTGCAGGGGAATGGGGCCTCATCTCGCCTCTAGGGGGAAGTCTCATGGTTTTTCTCGAGTTGCGGCGGGGACCTGAGGTATGTTCTCGACTTACGGCAGGGATGGCCCTTCAAAACACGAGTTTCTTCAGTGACGTCAGGACTCCTGTGTAATAACGAGGTACACCTCAGGAATCTCTTCGAGGCTTGGCAGGGCAAAAGGGACGCTTCTCGCGGTGAGGCAGGGCACCCAAGGACCCTTTCCAGTAGCCACAGGGATTTTCGGATTCCTATCAGTATTCAAGAGGAGTCAGGCATCGTCACCTTTTGAAGAAATGAACTCCGTGTGCCTCTCGAGGTGTCAGCGGGATGTGAGGCATTCCGTCAAAATGAGGCAGGGACCTACGGCTTTCTCTAAGGTCTCCACAGGGGATTCAGACATCCCTTCATGTTGTGAGATGAAACACGAGCCTGTATTCAATCCACTGCAAGGAAATCCGGCCTCCTTTCAAGTTAGGGCTTCTCGCTGTATATTCCCCTTGAGGCAGCAAACTCGGGGTCCCTCCCACATACCTATTGCTGAGAGAAGACTCCTCCTGAGGTGCTTCTGGAAAGTTGGCATACGTCTTGAGCCTAAGCCAGGGAATCAGCTCTCATCTCGAGACGATTTGTGGTACAAGGAGCATTCCCCAAGTTGCTATTCTGAAGTTGGTGTTCCTCTAGACTACGGACAGTGTTCTCGGGGCATCTCTGGAGTTGCCTGAAGGAAGTCGAGCCACCGGTCTTGTTGAATGGGGAACGGGGAATGGCTCTGGAGTCAATGCAGGGGAATTGGGCCTCATCTCGAGTTGATTTGGGGCATATGGAGCTGCTTTGCGTTGATGGGGTGACCTCAGGGTCCGTCTAGACTGGTGACAGTGTTCTTGGGGACTGCCTCGAGATCCATTAAGCAAGTCGAAGCTCCTGACTTGTTTGAATGGGATCACGGAATAGCTCTGCATGCACTGCAGGGGAATGGGGCCTCATCTCGCCTCTAGGGGGAAGTCTCATGGTTTTTCTCGAGTTGCGGCGGGGACCTGGGGTATGTTATTGACTTACGGCGGGGATCGCGCTTCAAAACAGGAGTTCCTTCAGTGACGTCAGGACTCCTGTCTAGTAACGAGGGACACCTCAGGAATCTCTTCGAGGCTTGGCAGGGCAAAAGGGACGCTTCTCGACGTGAGGCAGGGCACCCAAGGACCCTTTCCAGTAGCCACAGGGATTTGGGGATTCCTATCAGTATTCAAGAGGAGTCAGGCATCGTCACCTTTTGAAGCAATGAACTCCGTGTGCCTCTCGAGGTGTCAGCGGGATGTGAGGCATTCCGTCAAAATGAGGCAGGGACCTAGGGCTTTCTCTAAGGTCTCCACAGGGGATTCAGACATCCCTTCATGTTGTGAGATGAAACACGAGCCTGTATTCAAGCCACTGCAAGGAAATCCGGCCTCCTTTCAAGTTAGGGCTTCTCGCTGTATATTCCCCTTGAGGCAGCAAACTCGGGGTCCCTCCCACATATCTATTGCTGAGAGAAGCCTCCTCCTGAGGTGCTTCTGGAGAGTTGGCATACGTCTTGAGCCTAAGCCAGGGAATCAGCTCTCATCTCGAGACGATTTTGGGTACACGGAGCATTCCTCGAGTTGCTGTGCTGAAGTTGGTGTTCCTCTAGACTTGGGACAGTGTTCTCGGGGCATCTCTGGAGTTGCCTGAAGGAAGTCGAGCCACCGATCGTGTTGAATGGGGAACGGGGAATGGCTCTGGAGTCAATGCAGGGGAATTCGGCCTCATCTCGAGTTGATTTGGGGCACATGGAGCTGCTTTGCGTTGCTGGGCTGACCTCAGGGTCCGTCTAGACTGGTGACAGTGTTCTTGGGGACTGTCTCGAGATCCATTAAGCAAGTCGAAGCTCCTGACTTGTTTGAATGGGATCACGGAATAGCTCTGCATGCACTGCAGGGGAATGGGGCCTCATCTCGCCTCTAGGGGGAAGTCTCATGGTTTTTCTCGAGTTGCGGTGGGGACCTGGGTTATGTTCTCGACTTACGGCGGGGATCGCACTTCAAAACACGAGTTCCTTCAGTGACGTCAGGACTCCTGTCTAGTAACGAGGGACACCTCAGGAATCTCTTCGAGGCTTGGCAGGGCAAAAGGGACGCTTCTCGAGGTGAGGCAGGGCACCCAAGGACCCTTTCCAGTAGCCACAGGGATTTTGGGATTCCTATCAGTATTCAAGAGGAGTCAGGCATCGTCACCTTTTGAAGCAATGAACTCTGCGTGCCTCTCGAGGTGTCAGCGGGATGTGAGGCATTCCGTCAAAATGACGCAGTGACCTAGGGCTTTCTCTAAGGTCTCCACAGGGGATTCAGACATCCCTTCATGTTGTGAGATGAAAGACGAGCCTGTGTTCAAGCCACTGCAAGGATATCCGGCCTCCTTTCAAGTTAGCGCTTCTCGCTGTATATTCCCCTTGAGGCAGCATACTCGGGGTCAACCCCACATACCTATTGCTGAGAGAAGCCTCCTCCTGAGGTGCTTCTGGAATGTTGGCATACGTCTTGAGCCTAAGCCAGGGAATCAGCTCTCATCTCGAGACGATTTGGGGTACACGGAGAATTCCTCGAGTTGCTGTGCTGAAATTGGTGTTCCTCTAGACTTGGGACAGTGTTCTCGGGGCATCTCTGGAGTTGCCTGAAGGAAGTCGAACCACCGGTCGTGTTGAATGGGGAACGGGGAATGGCTTTGGAGTCAATGCAGGGGAATCGGGCCTCATCTCGAGTTGATTTGGGGCACATGGAGCTGCTTTGCGTTGCTGGGCTGACCTCAGGGTCCGTCTAGACTGGTGACAGTGTTCTTGGGGACTGTCTCGAGATCCATTAAGCAAGTCGAAGCTCCTGACTTGTTTGAATGGGATCACGGAATAGCTCTGCATGCACTGCAGGTGAATGGGGCCTCATTTCGCCACTAGGGGATGTCTCATGGTTTTTCTCGAGTTGCGGCGGGGACCTGGGGTATGTTCTCGACTTACGGCGGGGATGGCCCTTCAAAACACGAGTTTCTTCAGTGACGTCAGGACTCCTGTCTAGTAACGAGGGACACCTCAGGAATCTCTTCGAGGCTTGGCAGGGCAAAAGGGACGCTTCTCGAGGTGAGGCAGGGCACCCAAGGACCCTTTCCAGTAGCCACAGGGATTTTGGGATTCCTATCAGTATTCAAGAGGAGTCAGGAATCGTCACCTTTTGAAGCAATGTACTCTGCGTGCCTCTCGAGGTTTCAACGGGATGTGAGCCATTCCGTCAAAATGAGGCAGGGACCTAGGGCTTTCTCTAAGGTCTCCACAGGGGATTCAGACATCCCTTCATGTTGTGAGATGAAAGACGAGCCTGTATTCAAGCCACTGCTAGAAAATCCGGCCTCCTTTCAAGTTAGGGCTTCTCGCTGTATATTCCCCTTTAGGCAGCAAAATCGGGGTCCCTCCCACATACCTATTGCTGAGAGAAGCCTCCTCCTGAGGTGCTTCTGGAAAGTTGGCATACGTCTTGAGCGTAAGCCAGGGAATCAGCTCTCATCTCGAGATGATTTGGTGTACACGGAGCATTCCTCGAGTTGCTGTGCTGAAGTTGGTGTTCCTCTAGACTTGGGACAGTGTTCTCGGGGCATCTCTGGAGTTGCCTAAAGGAAGTCGAGCCACCGGTCGTGTTGAATGGGGAACGGGTAATCTCTCTGGAGTCAATGTAGGGGAATCTGGCCTCATCTCGAGTTGATTTGGGGCACATGGAGCTGCTTTGCGTTGCTGGGCTGACCTCAGGGTCCGTCTAGACTGGTGACAGTGTTCTTGGGGACTGTCTCGAGATCCATTAAGCAAGTCGAAGCTCCTGACTTGTTTGAATGGGATCACGGAATAGCTCTGCATGCACTGCAGGTGAATGGGGCCTCATTTCGCCACTAGGGGATGTCTCATGGTTTTTCTCGAGTTGCGGCGGGGACCTGGGGTATGTTCTCGACTTACGGCGGGGATGGCCCTTCAAAACACGAGTTTCTTCAGTGACGTCAGGACTCCTGTCTAGTAACGAGGGACACCTCAGGAATCTCTTCGAGGCTTGGCAGGGCAAAAGGGACGCTTCTCGAGGTGAGGCAGGGCACCCAAGGACCCTTTCCAGTAGCCACAGGGATTTTGGGATTCCTATCAGTATTCAAGAGGAGTCAGTAATCGTCACCTTTTGAAGCAATGTACTCTGCTTGCCTCTCGAGGTGTCAACGTGATGTGAGCCATTCCGTCAAAATGAGGCAGGGACCTAGGGCTTTCTCTATGGTCTCCACAGGGGATTCAGACATCCATTCATGTTGTGAGGTGAAAGACGAGCCTGTGTTCAAGCCACTACAAAGATATCCGGCCCCCTTTCAAGTTAGCGCTTCTCGCTGTATATTTCCCTTGAGGCAGCAAACTCGGGGTCCCTCCCACATACCTATTGCTGAGAGAAGCCTCCTCCTGAGGTGCTTCTGGAAAGTTGGCATACGTCTTGAGCCTAAGCCAGGGAATCAGCTCTCATCTCGAGACGATTTGGGGTACACGGAGCATTCCTCGAGTTGCTGTGCTGAAGTTGGTGTTCCTCTAGACTTGGGTCAGTGTTCTCGGGGCATCTCGGGAGTTGCATGAAGGAAGTCTAGCCATCGGTCGAGTTGAATGGGAACGGAGAATGGCTCTGGAGTCAATGCAGGGGAATCGGGCCTCATCTCGAGTTGATTTGGGGCACATGGAGCTGCTTTGCGTTGCTGGGTTGACCTCAGGGTCCGTCTAGACTGGTGACAGTGTTCTTGGGGACTGTCTCGAGATCCACTAAGCAAGTCGAAGCTCCTGACTTGTTTGAATGGGATCACGGAATAGCTCTGCATGCACTGGAGGGGAATGGTGCCTCATCTCGCCTCTAGGGGGTAGTCTCATGGTTTTTCTCGAGTTGGGGCGGGGACCTGGCATATGTTCTCGACTTACGGCGGGGATGGCCCTTCAAAACATGAGTTCCTTCAGTGACGTCAGGACTCCTGTCTAGTAATGAGGAACACCTCGGGAATCTCTTCGAGGCTTGGCAGGGCAAAAGGGACGCTTCTCGATGTGAGGCAGGGCACCCAAGGACCCTTTCCAGTAGCCACAGGGATTTTGAGATTCCTATCAGTATTCAAGAGGAGTCAGGCATCGTCAACTTCTGAAGCAATGAACTCTGCGTGTCTCTCGAGGTGTCAGCGGGATGTGACGCATTCTGTCAAAATGAGGCAGGGACCTAGGGCTTTCTCTATGGTCCCCACAGGGGATTCAGACATCCCTTCATGTTGTGAGATGAAACACCAGCCTGTATTCAAGCCACTGCAAGGAAATCCGGACTCCTTTCAAGTTAGGGCTACTCGCTGTATATTCCCCTTGAGGCAGCAAACTCGGGGTCCCTCCCACATACCTATTGCTGAGAGAAGCCTCCTCCTGAGGTGCTTCTGGAAAGTTGGCATACGTCTTGAGCCTAAGCCAGGGAATCAGCTCTCATCTCGAGACGATTTGTGGTACACGGAGCATTCCTCGAGTTGCTGTGCTGAAGTTGGTGTTCCTCTAGACTTCGGACAGTGTTCTCGGGGCATCTCTGGAGTTGCCTTAAGGAAGTCGAGCTACCGGTCGTGTTGAATGGGGAACGGGGAATGTCTCTGGAGTCAATGCAGGGGAATCGGGCCTCATCTCGAGTTGATTTGGGGCACATAGAGCTGCTTTGCGTTGCTGCGGTGACCTCAGGGTCCGTCTAGACTGGTGACAGTGTTCTTGGGGACTGTCTCGAGATCCATTAAGCAAGTCGAAGCTCCTGACTTGTTTGAATGGGATCACGGAATAGCTCTGCATGCACTGCAGGGGAATGGGGCCTCATCTCGCCTCTAGGGGGAAGTCTCATGGTTTTTCTCGAGTTGCGGCGGGGACTTGGGGTATGTTCTCGACTTACGGCGGGGATGGCCCTTCAAAACACGAGTTCCTTCAGTGACGTCAGGACTCCTGTCTAGTAACGAGGGACACCTCAGGAATCTCTTCGAGGCTTGGCAGGGCAAAAGGGACGCTTCTCGAGGTGAGGCAGGGCACCCAAGGACCCTTTCCAGTAGCCACAGGGATTTTGGGATTCCTATCAGTATTCAAGAGGAGTCAGGCATCGTCACCTTTTGAAGCAATGAACTCTGCGTGACTCTCGTGGTGTCAGCGCGATGTGAGGCATTCCGTCAAAATGAGGCAGGGACCTAGGGCTTTCTCTAAGGTCTCCACAGGGGATTCAGACATCCCTTCATGTTGTGAGATGAAAGACTAGCCTGTATTCAAGCCACTGCTAGAAAATCCGGCCTCCTTTCAAGTTATGGCTTCTCGCTGTATATTCCCCTTGAGGCAGCAAACTCGGGGTCCCTCCCACATACCTATTGCTGAGAGAAGCCTCCTCCTGAGGTGCTTCTGGAAAGTTGGCATACGTCTTGAGCCTAAGCCAGGGAATCAGCTCTCATCTCGAGACGATTTTGGGTACACGGAGCATTCCTCCAGTTGCTGTGCTGAAATTGGTGTACCTCTAGACTTGGGACAGTGTTCTCGGGGCATCTCTGGAGTTGCCTGAAGGAAGTCGAGCCACCGGTCGTGTTGAATGGGGAACGGGGAATCTCTCTGGAGTCAATTCAGGGGAATCCGGCCTCATCTCGAGTTGATTTGGGGCACATGGAGCTGCTTTGCGTTGCTGGGGTGACCTCAGGGTCCGTCTAGACTGGTGACAGTGTTCCTGGGGACTGTCTCGAGATCCATTAAGCAAGTCGAAGCTCCTGACTTGTTTGAATGGGATCACGGAATAGCTCTGCATGCACTGCAGGGGAATGGGGCCTCATCTCGCCTCTAGGGGGAAGTCTCATGGTTTTTCTCGAGTTGCGGCGGGGACCTGGGGTATGTTCTCGACTTAAGGCGGGGATGGCCGTTCAAAACACGAGTTCCTTCAGTGACGTCAGGACTCCTGTCTAGTAACGAGGGACACCTTAGGAAACTCTTCGAGGCTTGGCAGGGCAAAAGGGACGCTTCTCGAGGTGAGGCAGGGCACCCAAGGACCCTTTCCAGTAGCCACAGGGATTTTGGGATTCCTAACAGTATTCAAGAGGAGTCAGGCATCGTCACCTTTTGAAGCAATGAACTCTGCGTGCCTCTCGAGGTGTCAGCGGGATGTGAGGCATTCCGTCAAAATGAGGCAGGGACCTAGGGCTTTCTCTAAGGTCTCCACAGGGGATTCAGACAACCCTTCATGTTGTGAGATGAAACACGAGCCTGTATTCAAGCCACTGCAAGGAAATCCGGCCTCCTTTCAAGTTATGGCTTCTCGCTGTATATTCCCCTTGAGGCAGCAAACTCGGGGTCCCTCCCACATACCTATTGCTGAGAGAAGCCTCCTCCTGAGGTGCTTCTGGAAAGTTGGCATACGTCTTGAGCCTAAGCCAGGGCATCAGCTCTCATCTCGAGACGATTTTGGGTACACGGAGCATTCCTCGAGTTGCTGTGCTGAAGTTGGTGTACCTCTAGACTTGGGACAGTGTTCTCGGGGCATCTCTGGAGTTGCCTGAAGGAAGTCGAGCCACCGTTCGTGTTGAATGGGGAACGGGGAATCTCTCTGGAGTCAATTCAGGGGAATCCGGCCTCATCTCGAGTTGATTTGGGGCACATGGAGCTGCTTTGCGTTGCTGGGGTGACCTCAGGGTCCGTCTAGACTGGTGACAGTGTTCCTGGGGACTGTCTCGAGATCCATTAAGCAAGTCGAAGCTCCTGACTTGTTTGAATGGGATCACGGAATAGCTCTGCATGCACTGCAGGGGAATGGGGCCTCATCTCGCCTCTAGGGGGAAGTCTCATGGTTTTTCTCGAGTTGCGGCGGGGACCTGAGGTATGTTCTCGACTTACGGCCGGGATGGCCCTTCAAAACACGAGTTTCTTCAGTGACGTCAGTACTCCTGTGTAATAACGAGGTACACCTCAGGAATCTCTTCGAGGCTTGGCAGGGCAAAAGGGACGCTTCTCGCGGTGAGGCAGGGCACCCAAGGACCCTTTCCAGTAGCCACAGGGATTTTCGGATTCCTATCAGTATTCAAGAGGAGTCAGGCATCGTCACCTTTTGAAGCAATGAACTCCGTGTGCCTCTCGAGGTGTCAGCGGGATGTGAGGCATTCCGTCAAAATGAGGCAGGGACCTACGGCTTTCTCTAAGGTCTCCACAGGGGATTCAGACATCCCTTCATGTTGTGAGATGAAACACGAGCCTGTATTCAATCCACTGCAAGGAAATCCGGCCTCCTTTCAAGTTAGGGCTTCTCGCTGTATATTCCCCTTGAGTCAGCAAACTCGGGGTCCCTCCCACATACCTATTGCTGAGAGAAGACTCCTCCTGAGGTGCTTCTGGAAAGTTGGCATACGTCTTGAGCCTAAGCCAGGGAATCAGCTCTCATCTCGAGACGATTTGTGGTACAAGGAGCATTCCCCAAGTTGCTATTCTGAAGTTGGTGTTCCTCTAGACTACGGACAGTGTTCTCGGGGCATCTCTGGAGTTGCCTGAAGGAAGTCGAGCCACCGGTCGTGTTGAATGGGGAACGGGGAATGGCTCTGGAGTCAATGCAGGGGAATTGGGCCTCATCTCGAGTTGATTTGGGGCATATGGAGCTGCTTTGCGTTGATGGGGTGACCTCAGGGTCCGTCTAGACTGGTGACAGTGTTCTTGGGGACTGCCTCGAGATCCATTAAGCAAGTCGAAGCTCCTGACTTGTTTGAATGGGATCACGGAATAGCTCTGCATGCACTGCAGGGGAATGGGGCCTCATCTCGCCTCTAGGGGGAAGTCTCATGGTTTTTCTCGAGTTGCGGCGGGGACCTGGGGTATGTTATTGACTTACGGCGGGGATCGCGCTTCAAAACAGGAGTTCCTTCAGTGACGTCAGGACTCCTGTCTAGTAACGAGGGACACCTCAGGAATCTCTTCGAGGCTTGGCAGGGCAAAAGGGACGCTTCTCGACGTGAGGCAGGGCACCCAAGGACCCTTTCCAGTAGCCACAGGGATTTGGGGATTCCTATCAGTATTCATGAGGTGTCAGGCATCATCACCTTTTGAAGCAATGAACTCTGCGTGCCTCTCGAGGTGTCAGCGGGATGTGAGGCATTCCGTCAAAATGAGGCAGGGACCTAGATCGTTCTCTAAGGTCTCCACAGGGGATTCAGACATCCCTTCATGTTGTGAGATGAAAGACGAGCCTGTGTTCAAGCCACTGCAAGGATATCCGGCCTCCTTTCAAGTTAGCGCTTCTCGCTGTATATTCCCCTTGAGGCAGCATACTCGGGGTCAACCCCACATACCTATTGCTGAGAGAAGCCTCCTCCTGAGGTGCTTCTGGAAAGTTGGCATACGTCTTGAGCCTAAGCCAGGGAATCAGTTCTCATCTCGAGACGATTTGGGGTACACGGAGAATTCCTCGAGTTGCTGTGTTGAAGTTGGTGTTCCTCTTGACATGGGACAGTGTTCTCGGGGCATCTCTGGAGTTGCCTGAAGGAAGTCGAGCCACCGGTCGTGTTGAATGGGGAATGGGGAATGGCTCTGGAGTCAATGCAGGGGAATCGGGCCTCATCTCGAGTTGATTTGGGGCACATGGAGCTGCTTTGCGTTGCTGGGGTGACCTCAGGGTCCGTCTAGACTGGTGACAGTGTTCTTGGGGACTGTCTCGAGATCCATTAAGCAAGTCGAAGCTCCTGACTTGTTTGAATGGGATCACGGAATAGCTCTGCATGCACTGCAGGGGAATGGGGCCTCATCTCGCCTCTAGGGGGAAGTCTCATGGTTTTTCTCGAGTTGCGGCGGGGACCTGGGGTATGTTCTCGACTTACGGCGGGATGGCCCTTCAAAACATGAGTTCCTTCAGTGACGTCAGGACTCCTGTCTAGTAATGAGGAAAACCTCAGGAATCTCTTCGAGGCTTGGCAGGGCAAAAGGGACGCTTCTCGAGGTGAGGCAGGGCACCCAAGGACCCTTTCCAGTAGCCACAGGGATTTTGGGATTCCTATCAGTATTCAAGAGGAGTCAGGCATCGTCACCTTTTGAAGCAATGAACTCCGTGTGCCTCTCGAGGTGTCAGCGGGATGTGAGGCATTCCGTCAAAATGAGGCAGGGACCTAGGGCTTTCTCTAAGGTCTCCACAGGGGATTCAGACATCCCTTCATGTTGTGAGATGAAACACGAGCCTGTATTCAAGCCACTGCAAGGAAATCCGGCCTCCTTTCAAGTTAGGGCTTCTCGCTGTATATTCCCCTTGAGGCAGCAAACTCGGGGTCCCTCCCACATATCTATTGCTGAGAGAAGCCTCCTCCTGAGGTGCTTCTGGAAAGTTGGCATACGTCTTGAGCCTAAGCCAGGGAATCAGCTCTCATCTCGAGACGATTTTGGGTACACGGAGCATTCCTCGAGTTGCTGTGCTGAAGTTGGTGTTCCTCTAGACTTGGGACAGTGTTCTCGGGGCATCTCTGGAGTTGCCTGAAGGAAGTCGAGCCACCGGTCGTGTTGAATGGGGAACGGGGAATGGCTCTGGAGTCAATGCAGGGGAATTCGGCCTCATCTCGAGTTGATTTGGGGCACATGGAGCTGCTTTGCGTTGCTGGGCTGACCTCAGGGTCCGTCTAGACTGGTGACAGTGTTCTTGGGGACTGTCTCGAGATCCATTAAGCAAGTCGAAGCTCCTGACTTGTTTGAATGGGATCACGGAATAGCTCTGCATGCACTGCAGGGGAATGGGGCCTCATCTCGCCTCTAGGGGGAAGTCTCATGGTTTTTCTCGAGTTGCGGTGGGGACCTGGGTTATGTTCTCGACTTACGGCGGGGATCGCCCTTCAAAACACGAGTTCCTTCAGTGACGTCAGGACTCCTGTCTAGTAACGAGGGACACCTCAGGAATCTCTTCGAGGCTTGGCAGGGCAAAAGGGACGCTTCTCGAGGTGAGGCAGGGCACCCAAGGACCCTTTCCAGTAGCCACAGGGATTTTGGGATTCCTATCAGTATTCAAGAGGAGTCAGGCATCGTCACCTTTTGAAGCAATGAACTCTGCGTGCCTCTCGAGGTGTCAGCGGGATGTGAGGCATTCCGTCAAAATGACGCAGTGACCTAGGGCTTTCTCTAAGGTCTCCACAGGGCATTCAGACATCCCTTCATGTTGTGAGATGAAACACGAGCCTGTATTCAAGCCACTGCAAGGAAATCCGGCCTCCTTTCAAGTTAGGGCTTCTCGCTGTATATTCCCCTTGAGGCAGCAAACTCGGGGTCCCTCCCACATACCTATTGCTGAGAGAAGCCTCCTCCTGAGGTGCTTCTGGAAAGTTGGCATATGTCTTGAGCCTAAGCCAGGGAATCAGCTCTCATCTCGAGACGATTTGGGGTACACGGAGCATTCCTCGAGTTGCTGTGCTTAAGTTGGTGTTCCTCTAGACTACGGACAGTGTTCTTGGGGCATCTCTGGAGTTGCCTGAAGGAAGTCGAGCCACCTGTCCTGTTGAATGGGGAACGGGGAATCTCTCTGGAGTCAATGCAGGGGAATCGGGCCTCATCTCGAGTTGATTTGGGGCACATGGAGCTGCTTTGCGTTGCTGGGGTGACCTCAGGGTCCGTCTAGACTGGTGAAAGTGTTCTTGGGGACTGTCTCGAGATCCATTAAGCAAGTCGAAGCTCCTGACTTGTTTGAATGGGATCACGGAATAGCTCTGCATGCACTGCAGGGGAATGGGGCCTCATCTCGCGTCTAGGGGGAAGTCTCATGGTTTTTCTCGAGTTACGGTGGGGACCTGGGGTATGTTCTCGACTTACGGCGGGGATGGCCCTTCAAAACACGAGTTTCTTCAGTGACGTCAGGACTCCTGTCTAGTAACGAGGGACACCTCAGGAATCACTTCGAGGCTTGGCAGTGCAAAAGGGACGCTTCTCGAGGTGAGGCAGTGCACCCAAGGACCCTTTCCAGTAGCCACAGGGATTTTGGGATTCCTATCAGTATTCAAGAGGAGTCAGGAATCGTCACCTTTTGAAGCAATGTACTCTGCGTGCCTCTCGAGGTGTCAACGGGATGTGAGCCATTCCGTCAAAATGAGGCAGGGACCTAGGGCTTTCTCTAAGGTCTCCACAGGGGATTCAGACATCCCTTCATGTTGTGAGATGAAAGACGAGCCTGTGTTCAAGCCACTGCAAGGATATCCGGCCTCCTTTCAAGTTAGCGCTTCTCGCTGTATATTCCCCTTGAGGCAGCACACTCGGGGTCAACCCCACATACCTATTGCTGAGAGAAGCCTCCTCCTGAGGTGCTTCTGGAATGTTGGCATACGTCTTGAGCCTAAGCCAGGGAATCAGCTCTCATCTCGAGACGATTTGGGGTACACGGAGAATTCCTCGAGTTGCTGTGCTGAAATTGGTGTTCCTCTAGACTTGGGACAGTGTTCTCGGGGCATCTCTGGAGTTGCCTGAAGGAAGTCGAGCCACCGTTCGTGTTGAATGGGGAACGGGGAATGGCTTTGGAGTCAATGCAGGGGAATCGGGCCTCATCTCGAGTTGATTTGGGGCACATGGAGCTGCTTTGCGTTGCTGGGTTGACCTCAGGGTCCGTCTAGACTGGTGACAGTGTTCTTGGGGACTGTCTCGAGATCCATTAAGCAAGTCGAAGCTCCTGACTTGTTTGAATGGGATCACGGAATAGCTCTGCATGCACTGCAGGGGAATGGTGCCTCATCTCGCCTCTAGGGGGAAGTCTCATGATTTTTCTCGAGTTGCGGCGGGGACCTGGGGTATGTTCTCGACTTACGGCGGGATGGCCCTTCAAAACATGAGTTCCTTCAGTGACGTCAGGACTCCTGTCTAGTAATGAGGAACACCTCAGGAATCTCTTCGAGGCTTGGCAGGGCAAAAGGGACGCTTCTCGAGGTGAGGCAGGGCACCCAAGGACCCTTTCCAGTAGCCACAGGGATTTTGGGATTCCTATCAGTATTCAAGAGGAGTCAGGCATCGTCACCTTTTGAAGCAATGAACTCCGCGTGCCTCTCAAGGTGTCAGCGGGATGTGAGGCATTCCGTCAAAATGAGGCAGGGACCTAGGGCTTTCTCTAAGGTCTCCACGGGGGATTCAGTCATCCCTTCATGTTGTGAGATGAAACACGAGCCTGTATTCAAGCCACTGCAAGGAAATCCGGCCTCCTTTCAAGTTAGGGCTTCTCGCTGTATATTCCCCTTGAGGCAGCAAACTCGGGGTCCCTCCCACATTCCTATTGCTGAAAGAAGTCTCCTCCTGAGGTGCTTCTGGAAAGTTGGCATACGTCTTGAGCCTAAGCCAGGGAATCAGCTCTCATCTCGAGACGATTTGGGGTACACGGAGCATTCCTCGAGTTGCTGTGCTGAAGTTGGTGTTCCTCTAGACTTGGGACAGTGTTCTCGGGGAATCTCTGGAGTTGCCTGAAGGAAGTCGAGCCACCGGTCGTGTTGAATGGGGAACGGGGAATCTCTCTGGAGTCAATTCAGGGGAATCCGGCCTCATCTCGAGTTGATTTGGGGCACATGGAGCTGCTTTGCGTTGCTGGGGTGACCTCAGGGTCCGTCTAGACTGGTGACAGTGTTCTTGGGGACTGTCTCGAGATCCATTAAGCAAGTCGAAGCTCCTGACTTGTTTGAATGGGATCACGGAATAGCTCTGCATGCACTGCAGGGGAATGGGGACTCATCTCGCCTCTAGGGGGAAGTCTCATGGTTTTTCTCGAATTGCGGCGGGGACCTGGGGTATGTTCTCGACTTACGGCGGGGATGGCCCTTCAAAACACGAGTTTCTTCAGTGACGTCAGGACTCCTGTGTAATAACGAGGTACACCTCAGGAATCTCTTCGAGGCTTGGCATGGCAAAAGGGACGCTTCTCGAGGTGAGGCAGGGCACCCAAGGACCCTTTCCAGTAGCCACAGGGATTTTCGGATTCCTATCAGTATTCAACAGGAGTCAGGCATCGTCACCTTTTGAAGCAATGAACTCCGTGTGCCTCTCGAGGTGTCAGCGGGATGTGAGACATTCCGTCAAAATGAGGCAGGGACCTAGGGCTTTCTCTAAGGTCTCCACAGGGGATTCAGACATCCCTTCATGTTGTGAGATGAAACACGAGCCTGTATTCAAGCCACTGCAAGGAAATCCGGCCTCCTTTCAAGTTAGGGCTTCTCGCTGTATATTCCCCTTGAGACAGCAAACTCGGGGTCCCTCCCACATATCTATTGCTGAGAGAAGCCTCCTCCTGAGGTGCTTCTGGAAAGTTGGCATACGTCTTGAGCCTAAGCCAGGGAATCAGCTCTCATCTCGAGACGATTTTGGGTACACGGAGCATTCCTCGAGTTGCTGTGCTGAAGTTGGTGTTCCTCTAGACTTGGGACAGTGTTCTCGGGGCATCTCTGGAGTTGCCTGAAGGAAGTCGAGCCACCGGTCGTGTTGAATTGGGAACGGGGAATGGCTCTGGAGTCAATGCAGGGGAATCGGGCCTCATCTCGAGTTGATTTGGGGCACATGGAGCTGCTTTGCGTTGCTGGGCTGACCTCAGGGTCCGTCTAGACTGGTGACAGTGTTCTTGGGGACTCTCTCGAGATCCATTAAGCAAGTCGAAGCTCCTGACTTGTTTGAATGGGATCACGGAATAGCTCTGCATGCACTGCAGGGGAATGGGGCCTCATCTCGCCTCTAGGGGGAAGTCTCATTGTTTTTCTCGAGTTGCGGCGGGGACCTGGGGTATGTTCTCGACTTACGGCGGGGATGGCCCTTCAAAACACGAGTTTCTTCAGTGACGTCAGGACTCCTGTCTAGTAACGAGGGACACCTCAGGAATCTCTTCGAGGCTTGACAGGGCAAAAGGGACGCTTCTCGAGGTGAGGCAGGGCACCCAAGGACCCTTTCCAGTAGCCACAGGGATTTTCGGATTCCTATCAGTATTCAAGAGGAGTCAGGCATCGTCACCTTTTGAAGCATTGAACTCCGTGTGCCTCTCAAGGTGTCAGAGGGATGTGAGGCATTCCGTCAAAATGAGGCAGGGACCTAGGGCTTTCTCTAAGGTCTCCACAGGGGATTCAGACATCCCTTCATGTTGTGAGATGAAAGACGAGCCTGTATTCAAGCCACTGCAAGGATATCTGGCCTCCTTTCAAGTTACGGCTTCTCGCTGTATATTCCCCTTGAGGCAGCAAACTCGGGGTCCCTCCCACATACTTATTGCTGAGAGAAGCCTCCTCCTGAGGTGCTTCTGGAAAGTTGGCATACGTCTTGAGCCTAAGCCAGGGAATCAGCTCTCATCTCGAGACGATTTGTGGTACACGGAGCATTCCTCGAGTTGCTGTGCTGAAGTTGGTGTTCCTCTAGACTTGGGACAGTGTTCTCGGGGCATCTCTGCAGTTGCCTGAAGGAAGTCGAGCCACCGGTCGTGTTGAATGGGGAACGGGGAATGGCTCTGGAGTCAATGCAGGGGAATCGGGCCTCATCTCGAGTTGATTTGGGGCACATGGTGCTGCTTTACGTTGCTGGGCTGACCTCAGGGTCCGTCTAGACTGGTGACAGTGTTCTTGGGGACTCTCTCGAGATCCATTAAGCAAGTCGAAGCTCCTGACCTGTTTGAATGGGATCACGGAATAGCTCTGCATGCACTGCAGGGGAATGGGGCCTCATCTGGCCTCTAGGGGGAAGTCTCATGGTTTTTCTAGAGTTGCACCGGGGACCTGGGGTATGTTCTCGACTTACGGCGGGGATGGCCCTTCAAAACACGAGTTTCTTCAGTGACGTCAGGACTCCTGTGTAATAACGAGGTACACCTCAGGAATCTCTTCGAGGCTTGGCAGGACAAAAGGGACGCTTCTCGAGGTGATGCAGGGCACCCAAGGACCCTTTCCAGTAGCCACAGGGATTTTGGGATTCCTATCAGTATTCAAGAGGAGTCAGGCATCGTCACCATTTGAAGCAATGAACTCTGCGTGATTCTCGAGGTATCAGCGGGATGTGAGGCATTCCGTCAAAATGAGGCCGGGACCTAGGGCTTTCTCTAAGGTCTCCACAGGGGATTCAGACATCCCTTCATGTTGTGAGATGAAACACGAGCCTGTATTCAAACCACTGCAAGGAAATCCGGCCTCCTTTCAAGTTAGGGCTTCTCGCTGTATATTCCCCTTGAGGCAGCATACTCGGGGTCCCTCCCAAATACCTATTGCTGAGAGAAACCTCCTCCTGAGGTGCTTCTGGAAAGTTGGCATACGTCTTTAGCATAAGCCAGGGAATCAGCTCTCATCTCGAGACGATTTGTGGTACACGGAGCATTCCCCGAGTTGCTGTGCTGAAGTTGGTGTTCCTCTAGACTTGGGACAGTGTTCTCGGGGCATCTCTGGAGTTGCCTGAAGGAAGTCGAGCCACCGGTCGTGTTGAATGGGGAACGGGGAATGGCTCTGGAGTCAATGCAGGGGAATCCGGCCTCATCTCGAGTTGATTTGGGGCACATGGAGCTGCTTTGCGTTGCTGGGGTGACCTCAGGGTCCGTCTAGACTGGTGACAGTGTTCTTGGGGACTGTCTCGAGATCCATTAAGCAAGTCGAAGCTCCTGACTTGTTTGAATGGGATCACGGAATAGCTCTGCATGCACTGCAGGGGAATGGGGCCTCATCTCGCCTCTAGGGGGAAGTCTCATGGTTTTTCTCGAGTTGCGGTGGGGACCTGGGTTATGTTCTCGACTTACGGCGGGGATCGCCCTTCAAAACACGAGTTCCTTCAGTGACGTCAGGACTCCTGTCTAGTAACGAGGGACACCTCAGGAATCTCTTCGAGGCTTGGCAGGGCAAAAGGGACGCTTCTCGAGGTGAGGCAGGGCACCCAAGGACCCTTTCCAGTAGCCACAGGGATTTTGGGATTCCTATCAGTATTCAAGAGGAGTCAGGCATCGTCACCTTTTGAAGCAATGTACTCTGCGTGCCTCTCGAGGTGTCAACGGGATGTGAGCCATTCCGTCAAAATGAGGCAGGGACCTAGGGCTTTCTCTAAGGTCTCCACAGGGGATTCAGACATCCCTTCATGTTGTGAGATGAAAGACGAGCCTGTGTACAAGCCACTGCAAGGATATCCGGCCTCCTTTCAAGTTAGCGCTTCTCGCTGTATATTCCCCTTGAGGCAGCATACTCGGGGTTAACCCCACATACCTATTGCTGAGAGAAGCCTCCTCCTGAGGTGCTTCTGGAAAGTTGGCATACGTCTTGAGCCTAAGCCAGGGAATCAGCTCTCATCTCGAGACGATTTGGGGTACACGGAGAATTCCTCGAGTTGCTGTGCTGAAGTTGGTGTTCCTCTAGACTTGGGACAGTGTTCTCGGGGCATCTCTGGAGTTGCCTGAAGGAAGTCGAGCCACCGGTCGTGTTGAATGGGGAACGGGGAATGGCTCTGGAGTCAATGCAGGGGAATCGGGCCTCATCTCGAGTTGATTTGGGGCACATGGAGCTGCTTTGCGTTGCTGGGTTGACCTCAGGGTCCGTCTAGACTGGTGACAGTGTTCTTGGGGACTGTCTCGAGATCCATTAAGCAAGTCGAAGCTCCTGACTTGTTTGAATGGGATCACGGAATAGCTCTGCATGCACTGCAGGGGAATGGGGCCTCATCTCGCCTCTAGGGGGAAGTCTCATGATTTTTCTAGAGTTGCGGCGGGGACCTGGGGTATGTTCTCGACTTACGGCGGGGATGGCCCTTCAAAACACGAGTTTCTTCAGTGACGTCAGGACTCCTGTGTAATAACGAGGTACACCTCAGGAATCTCTTCGAGGCTTGGCAGGGCAAAAGGGACGCTTCTCGAGGTGATGCAGGGCACCCAAGGACCCTTTCCAGTAGCCACAGGGATTTTGGGATTCCTATCAGTATTCAAGAAGAGTCAGGCATCGTCACCTTTTGAAGCAATGAACTCTGCGTGATTCTCGAGGTGTCAGCGGGATGTGAGGCATTCCGTCAAAATGAGGCCGGGACCTAGGGCTTTCTCTAAGGTCTCCACAGGGGATTAAGACATCCCTTCATGTTGTGAGATGAAACACGAGCCTGTATTCAAGCCACTGCAAGGAAATCCGGCCTCCTTTCAAGTTAGGGCTTCTCGCTGTATATTCCCCTTGAGGCAGCATACTCGGGGTCCCTCCCACATACCTATTGCTGAGAGAAGCCTCCTCCTGAGGTGCTTCTGGAAAGTTGGCATACGTCTTGAGCCTAAGCCAGGGAATCAGCTCTCATCTCGAGACGATTTGTGGTACACGGAGCATTCCCCGAGTTGCTGTGCTGAAGTTGGTGTTCCTCTAGACTTGGGACAGTGTTCTCGGGGCATCTCTGGAGTTGCCTGAAGGAAGTCGAGCCACCGGTCGTGTTGAATGGGGAACGGGGAATGGCTCTGGATTCAATGCAGGGGAATCCGGCCTCATCTCGAGTTGATTTGGGGCACATGGAGCTGCTTTGCGTTGCTGGGGTGACCTCAGGGTCCGTCTAGACTGGTGACAGTGTTCTTGGGGACTGTCTCGAGATCCATTAAGCAAGTCGAAGCTCCTAACTTGTTTGAATGGGATCACGGAATAGCTCTGCATGCACTGCAGGGGAATGGGGCCTCATCTCGCCTCTAGGGGGAAGTCTCATGGTTTTTCTCGAGTTGCGGTGGGGACCTGGGTTATGTTCTCGACTTACGGCGTGGATCGCCCTTCAAAACACGAGTTCCTTCAGTGACGTCAGGACTCCTGTCTAGTAACGAGGGACACCTCAGGAATCTCTTCGAGGCTTGGCAGGGCAAAAGGGACGCTTCTCGAGGTGAGGCAGGGCACCCAAGGACCCTTTCCAGTAGCCACAGGGATTTTGGGATTCCTATCAGTATTCAAGAGGAGTCAGGCATCGTCACCTTTTGAAGCAATGAACTCTGCGTGCCTCTCGAGGTGTCAGCGGGATGTGAGGCATTCCGTCAAAATGACGCAGGGACCTAGGGCTTTCTCTAAGGTCTCCACAGGGCATTCAGACATCCCTTCATGTTGTGAGATGAAACACGAGCCTGTATTCAAGCCACTGCAAGGAAATCCGGCCTCCTTTCAAGTTAGGGATTCTCGCTGTATATTCCCCTTGAGGCAGCAAACTCGGGGTCCCTCCCACATACCTATTGCTGAGAGAAGCCTCCTCCTGAGGTGCTTCTGGAAAGTTGGCATACGTCTTGAGCCTAAGCCAGGGAATCAGCTCTCATCTCGAGACGATTTGGGGTACACAGAGCATTCCTCGAGTTGCTGTGCTGAAGTTGGTGTTCCTCTAGACTTGGGAGAGTGTTCTTGGGGCATCTCTGGAGTTGCCTTAAGGAAGTCGAGCTACCGGTCGTGTTGAATGGGGAACGGGGAATGTCTCTGGAGTCAATGCAGGGGAATCGGGCCTCATCTCGAGTTGATTTGGGGCACATGGAGCTGCTTTGCGTTGCTGGGGTGACCTCAGGGTCCGTCTAGACTGGTGACAGTGTTCTTGGGGACTGTCTCGAGATCCATTAAGCAAGTCGAAGCTCCTGACTTGTTTGAATGGGATCACGGAATAGCTCTGCATGCACTGCAGGGGAATGGGGCCTCATCTCGCCTCTAGGGGGAAGTCTCATGGTTTTTCTCGAGTTGCGGCGGGGACTTGGGGTATGTTCTCGACTTACGGCGGGGATGGCCCTTCAAAACACGAGTTCCTTCAGTGACGTCAGGACTCCTGTCTAGTAACGAGGGACACCTCAGGAATCTCTTCGAGGCTTGGCAGGGCAAAAGGGACGCTTCTCGAGGTTAGGCAGGGCACCCAAGGACCCTTTCCAGTAGCCACAGGGATTTTGGGATTCCTATCAGTATTCAAGAGGAGTCAGGCATCGTCACCTTTTGAAGCAATGAACTCTGCGTGACTCTCGTGGTGTCAGCGGGATGTGAGGCATTCCGTCAAAATGAGGCAGGGACCTAGGGCTTTCTCTAAGGTCTCCACAGGGGATTCAGACATCCTTTCATGTTGTGAGATGAAAGACGAGCCTGTATTCAAGCCACTGCTAGAAAATCCAGCCTCCTTTCAAGTTAGGGCTTCTCGCTGTATATTCCCCTTGAGGCAGCAAACTCGTGGTCCCTCCCACATACCTATTGCTGAGAGAAGACTCCTCCTGAGGTGCTTCTGGAAAGTTGGCATACGTCTTGAGCATAAGCCAGGGAATCAGCTCTCATCTCGAGATGATTTGGTGTACACGGAGCATTCCTCGAGTTGCTGTGCTGAAGTTGGTGTTCCTCTAGACTTGGGACAGTGTTCTCGTGGCATCTCTGGAGTTGCCTGAAGGAAGTCGAGCCACCGGTCGTGTTGAATGGGCAACGGGGAATCTCTCAGGAGTCAATTCAGGGGAATCGGGCCTCATCTCGAGTTGATTTGGGGCACATGGAGCTGCTTTGCGTTGCTGGGGTGACCTCAGGGTCCGTCTAGACTGGTGACAGTGTTCTTGGGGACTGTCTCGAGATCCATTAAGCAAGTCGAAGCTCCTGACTTGTTTGAATGGGATCACGGAATAGCTCTGCATGCACTGCAGGGGAATGGGGCCTCATCTCGCCTCTAGGGGGAAGTCTCATGGTTTTTCTCGAGTTGCGGCGGGACTTGGGGTATGTTCTCGACTTACGGCGGGGATGGCCTTTCAAAACACGAGTTTCTTCAGTGACGTCAGGACTTCTGTGTAATAACGAGGTACACCTCAGGAATCTCTTCGATGCTTGGCCGGGCAAAAGGGACGCTTCTCGAGGTGAGGCAGGGCACCCAAGGACTCTTTCCAGTAGGCACAGGGATTTTGGGATTCCTATCAGTATTCAAGAGGAGTCAGGCATCGTCACCTTTTGAAGAAATGAACTCTGCGTGATTCTCGAGGTGTCAGCGGGATGTGAGGCATTCCGTCAAAATGAGGCAGGGACCTAGGGCTTTCTCTAAAGTCTCCACAGGGGATTCAGACATCCCTTCATGTTGTGAGATGAAACACGACACTGTATTCAAGCCACTGCAAGGAAATCCGGCCTCCTTTCAAGTTAGGGCTTCTCGCTGTATATTCCCCTTGAGGCAGCAAACTCGGGGTCCCTCCCACATACATAATGCTGAGAGAAGCCTCCTCCAGTGGTGCTTCTGGAAAGTTGGCATGGTCTTGAGCCTAAGCCAGGGAATCAGCTCTCATCTCGAGACGATTTGTGGTACAAGGAGCATTCCCCAAGTTGCTGTGCTGAAGTTGGTGTTCCTCTAGACTACGGACAGTGTTCTCGGGGCATCTCTGGAGTTGACTGAAGGAAGTCGAGCCACCGGTCGTGTTGAATGGGGAACGGGGAATGGCTCTGGAGTCAAGGCCGGGGAATCGGGCCTCATCTCGAGTTGATTTGGGGCACATGGAGCTGCTTTGCGTTGCTGGGGTGACCTCAGGGTCCGTCTAGACTGGTGACAGTGTTCTTGGGGATTGTCTCGAGATCCATTAAGCAAGTCGAAGCTCCTGACTTGTTTGAATGGGATCACGGAATAGCTCTGCATGCACTGCAGGGGAATGGGGCCTCATCTCGCCTCTAGGGGGAAGTCTCATGGTTTTTCTCGAGTTGCGGCGGGGACCTGGGGTATGTTCTCGACTTAAGGCGGGGATGGCCGTTCAAAACACGAGTTCCTTCAGTGACGTCAGGACTCCTGTCTAGTAATGAGGGACACCTTAGGAAACTCTTCGAGGCTTGGCAGGGCAAAAGGGACGCTTCTCGAGGTGAGGCAGGGCACCCAAGGACCCTTTCCAGCAGCCACAGGGATTTTGGGATTCCTAACAGTATTCAAGTGGAGTCAGGCATCGTCACCTTTTGAAGCAATGAACTCTGCGTGCCTCTCGAGGTGTCAGCGGGATGTGAGGCATTCCGTCAAAATGAGGCAGGGACCTAGGGCTTTCTCTAAGGTCTCCACAGGGGATTCAGACAACCCTTCATGTTGTGAGATGAAACACGAGCCTGTATTCAAGCCACTGCAAGGAAATCCGGCCTCCTTTCAAGTTATGGCTTCTCGCTGTATATTCCCCTTGAGGCAGCAAACTCGGGGTCCCTCCCACATACCTATTGCTGAGAGAAGCATCCTCCTGAGGTGCTTCTGGAAAGTTGGCATACGTCTTGAGCCTAAGCCAGGGAATCAGCTCTCATCTCGAGACGATTTTGGGTACACGGAGCATTCCTCGAGTTGCTGTGCTGAAGTTGGTGTACCTCTAGACTTGGGACAGTGTTCTCGGGGCATCTCTGGAGTTGCCTGAAGGAAGTCGAGCCACCGGTCGTGTTGAATGGGGAACGGGGAATCTCTCGGGAGTCAATTCAGGGGAATCCGGCCTCATCTCGAGTTGATTTGGGGCACATGGAGCTGCTTTGCGTTGCTGGGGTGACCTCAGGGTCCGTCTAGACTGGTGACAGTGTTCCTGGGGACTGTCTCGAGATCCATTAAGCAAGTCGAAGCTCCTGACTTGTTTGAATGGGATCACGGAATAGCTCTGCATGCACTGCAGGGGAATGGGGCCTCATCTCGCCTCTAGGGGGAAGTCTCATGGTTTTTCTCGAGTTGCGGCGGGACTTGGGGTATGTTCTCGACTTACGGCGGGGATGGCCTTTCAAAACAGGAGTTTCTTCAGTGACGTCAGGACTTCTGTGTAATAACGAGGTACACCTCAGGAATCTCTTCGAGGCTTGGCAGGGCAAAAGGGACGCTTCTCGAGGTGAGGCAGGGCACCCAAGGACCCTTTCCAGTAGGCACAGGGATTTTGGGATTCCTATCAGTATTCAAGAGGAGTCAGGCATCGTCACCTTTTGAAGAAATGAACTCTGCGTGATTCCCGAGGTGTCAGCGGGATGTGAGGCATTCCGTCAAAATGAGGCAGGGACCTAGGGCTTTCTCTAAAGTCTCCACAGGGGATTCAGACATCCCTTCATGTTGTGAGATGAAACACGAGACTGTATTCAAGCCACTGCAAGGAAATCCGGCCTCCTTTCAAGTTAGGGCTTCTCGCTGTATATTCCCCTTGAGGCACCAAACTCGGGGTCCCTCCCACATACATAATGCTGAGAGAAGCCTCCTCCAGTGGTGCTTCTGGAAAGTTGGCATGGTCTTGAGCCTAAGCCAGGGAATCAGCTCTCATCTCGAGACGATTTGTGGTACAAGGAGCATTCCCCAAGTTGCTGTGCTGAAGTTGGTGTTCCTCTAGACTACGGACAGTGTTCTCGGGGCATCTCTGGAGTTGCCTGAAGGAAGTCGAGCCACCGGTCGTGTTGAATGGGGAACGGGGAATGGCTCTGGAGTCAAGGCCGGGGAATCGGGCCTCATCTCGAGTTGATTTGGGGCACATGGAGCTGCTTTGCGTTGCTGGGGTGACCTCAGGGTCCGTCTAGACTGGTGACAGTGTTCTTGGGGATTGTCTCGAGATCCATTAAGCTAGTCGAAGCTCCTGACTTGTTTGAATGGGATCACGGAATAGCTCTGCATGCACTGCAGGGGAATGGGGCCTCATCTCGCCTCTAGGGGGAAGTCTCATGGTTTTTCTTGAGTTGCGGCGGGGACCTGGGGTATGTTCTCGACTTAAGGCGGGGATGGCCGTTCAAAACACGAGTTCCTTCAGTGACGTCAGGACTCCTGTCTAGTAACGAGGGACACCTTAGGAAACTCTTCGAGGCTTGGGAGGGCAAAAGGGACGCTTCTCGAGGTGAGGCAGGGCACCCAAGGACCCTTTCCAGTAGCCACAGGGATTTTGGGATTCCTAACAGTATTCAAGAGGAGTCAGGCATCGTCACCTTTTGAAGCAATGAACTCTGCGTGCCTCTCGAGGTGTCAGCGGGATGTGAGGCATTCCGTCAAAATGAGGCAGGGACCTAGGGCTTTCTCTAAGGTCTCCACAGGGGATTCAGACAACCCTTCATGTTGTGAGATGAAACACGAGCCTGTATTCAAGCCACTGCAAGGAAATCCGGCCTCCTTTCAAGTTATGGCTTCTCGCTGTATATTCCCCTTGAGGCAGCAAACTCGGGGTCCCTCCCACATACCTATTGCTGAGAGAAGCCTCCTCCTGAGGTGCTTCTGGAAAGTTGGCATACGTCTTGAGCCTAAGCCAGGGAATCAGCTCTCATCTCGAGACGATTTTGGGTACACGGAGCATTCCTCGAGTTGCTGTGCTGAAGTTGGTGTACCTCTAGACTTGGGACAGTGTTCTCGGGGCATCTCTGGAGTTGCCTGAAGGAAGTCGAGCCACCGGTCGTGTTGAATGGGGAACGGGGAATCTCTCGGGAGTCAATTCAGGGGAATCCGGCCTCATCTCGAGTTGATTTGGGGCACATGGAGCTGCTTTGCGTTGCTGGGGTGACCTCAGGGTCCGTCTAGACTGGTGACAGTGTTCCTGGGGACTGTCTCGAGATCCATTAAGCAAGTCGAAGCTCCTGACTTGTTTGAATGGGATCACGGAATAGCTCTGCATGCACTGCAGGGGAATGGGGCCTCATCTCGCCTCTAGGGGGAAGTCTCATGGTTTTTCTCGAGTTGCGGCGGGGACCTGGGGTATGTTCTCGACTTACGGCGGGGATGGCCCTTCAAAACACGAGTTTCTTCAGTGACGTCAGGACTCCTGTGTAATAACGAGGTACACCTCAGGAATCTCTTCGAGGCTTGGCAGGGCAAAAGGGACGCTTCTCGAGGTGAGGCAGGGCACCCAAGGACCCTTTCCAGTAGCCACAGGGATTTTCGGATTACTATCAGTATTCAAGAGGAGTCAGGCATCGTCACCTTTTGAAGCAATGAACTCCGTGTGCCTCTCGAGTTGTCAGCGGGATGTGAGGCATTCCGTCAAAATGAGGCAGGGACCTACGGCTTTCTCTAAGGTCTCCACAGGGGATTCAGACATCCCTTCATGTTGTGAGATGAAACACGAGCCTGTATTCAATCCACTGCAAGGAAATCCGGCCTCCTTTCAAGTTAGGGCTTCTCGCTGTATATTCCCCTTGAGGCAGCAAACTCGGGGTCCCTCCCACATACCTATTGCTGAGAGAAGCCTCCTCCTGAGGTGCTTCTGGAAAGTTGGCATACGTCTTGAGCCTAAGCCAGGGAATCAGCTCTCATCTCGAGACGATTTGTGGTACAAGGAGCATTCCCCAAGTTGCTATTCTGAAGTTGGTGTTCCTCTAGACTACGGACAGTGTTCTCGGGGCATCTCTGGAGTTGCCTGAAGGAAGTCGAGCCACCGGTCTTGTTGAATGGGGAACGGGGAATGGCTCTGGAGTCAATGCAGGGGAATTGGGCCTCATCTCGAGTTGATTTGGGGCATATGGAGCTGCTTTGCGTTGATGGGGTGACCTCAGGGTCCGTCTAGACTGGTGACAGTGTTCTTGGGGACTGCCTCGAGATCCATTAAGCAAGTCGAAGCTCCTGACTTGTTTGAATGGGATCACGGAATAGCTCTGCATGCACTGCAGGGGAATGGGGCCTCATCTCGCCTCTAGGGGGAAGTCTCATGGTTTTTCTGAGTTGCGGCGGGGACCTGGGGTATGTTATTGACTTACGGCGGGGATCGCGCTTCAAAACAGGAGTTCCTTCAGTGACGTCAGGACTCCTGTCTAGTAACGAGGGACACCTCAGGAATCTCTTCGAGGCTTGGCAGGGCAAAAGGGACGCTTCTCGAGGTGAGGCAGGGCACCCAAGGACCCTTTCCAGTAGCCACAGGGATTTGGGGATTCCTATCAGTATTCAAGAGGTGTCAGGCATCATCACCTTTTGAAGCAATGAACTCTGCGTGCCTCTCGAGGTGTCAGCGGGATGTGAGGCATTCCGTCAAAATGAGGCAGGGACCTAGATCTTTCTCTAAGGTCTCCACAGGGGATTCAGACATCCCTTCATGTTGTGAGATGAAAGACGGGCCTGTGTTCAAGGCACTGCAAGGATATCCGGCCTCCTTTCAAGTTAGCGCTTCTCGCTGTATATTCCCCTTGAGGCAGCATACTCGGGGTCAACCCCACATACCTATTGCTGAGAGAAGCCTCCTCCTGAGGTGCTTCTGGAAAGTTGGCATACGTCTTGAGCCTAAGCCAGGGAATCAGCTCTCATCTCGAGACGATTTGGGGTACACGGAGAATTCCTCGAGTTGCTGTGTTGAAGTTGGTGTTCCTCTTGACTTGGGACAGTGTTCTCGGGGCATCTCTGGAGTTGCCTGAAGGAAGTCGAGCCACAGGTCGTGTTGAATGGGGAATGGGGAATGGCTCTGGAGACAATGCAGCGGAATCGGGCCTCATCTCGAGTTGATTTGGGGCACATGGAGCTGCTTTGCGTTGCTGGGGTGACCTCAGGGTCCGTCTAGACTGGTGACAGTGTTCTTGGGGACTGTCTCGAGATCCATTAAGCAAGTCGAAGCTCCTGACTTGTTTGAATGGGATCACGGAATAGCTCTGCATGCACTGCAGGGGAATGGTGCCTCATCTCGCGTCTAGGGGGAAGTCTCATGGTTTTTCTCGAGTTGCGGCGGGGACCTGGGGTATGTTCTCGACTTACGGCGGGATGGCCCTTCAAAACATGAGTTCCTTCAGTGACGTCAGGACTCCTGTCTAGTAATGAGGAACACCTCAGGAAGCTCTTCTAGGCTTGGCAGGGCAAAAGGGACGCTTCTCGAGGTGAGGCAGGGCACCCAAGGACCCTTTCCAGTAGCCACAGGGATTTTGGGATTCCTATCAGTATTCAAGAGGAGTCAGGCATCGTCACCTTTTGAAGCAATGAACTCCGTGTGCCTCTCGAGGTGTCAGCGGGATGTGAGGCATTCCGTCAAAATGAGGCAGGGACCTAGGTCTTTCTCTAAGGTCTCCACAGGGGATTCAGACATCCCTTCATGTTGTGAGATGAAACACGAGCCTGTATTCAAGCCACTGCAAGGAAATCCGGCCTCCTTTCAAGTTAGGGCTTCTCGCTGTATATTCCCCTTGAGGCAGCAAACTCGGGGTCCCTCCCACATATCTATTGCTGAGAGAAGCCTCCTCCTGAGGTGCTTCTGGAAAGTTGGCATACGTCTTGAGCCTAAGCCAGGGAATCAGCTCTCATCTCGAGACGATTTTGGGTACACGGAGCATTCCTCGAGTTGCTGTGCTGAAGTTGGTGTTCCTCTAGACTTGGGACAGTGTTCTCGGGGCATCTCTGGAGTTGCCTGAAGGAAGTCGAGCCACCGGTCGTGTTGAATGGGGAACGGGGAATGGCTCTGGAGTCAATGCAGGGGAATCCGGCCTCATCTCGAGTTGATTTGGGGCACATGGAGCTGCTTTGCGTTGCTGGGCTGACCTCAGGGTCCGTCTAGACTGGTGACAGTGTTCTTGGGGACTGTCTCGAGATCCATTAAGCAAGTCGAAGCTCCTGACTTGTTTGAATGGGATCACGGAATAGCTCTGCATGCACTGCAGGGGAATGGGGCCTCATCTCGCCTCTAGGGGGAAGTCTCATGGTTTTTCTCGAGTTGCGGTGGGGACCTGGGTTATGTTCTCGACTTACGGCGGGGATCGCCCTTCAAAACACGAGTTCCTTCAGTGACGTCAGGACTCCTGTCTAGTAACGAGGGACACCTCAGGAATCTCTTCGAGGCTTGGCAGGGCAAAAGGGACGCTTCTCGAGGTGAGGCAGGGCACCCAAGGACCCTTTCCAGTAGCCACAGGGATTTTGGGATTCCTATCAGTATTCAAGAGGAGTCAGGCATCGTCACCTTTTGAAGCAATGAACTCTGCGTGCCTCTCGAGGTGTCAGCGGGATGTGAGGCATTCCGTCAAAATGACGCAGGGACCTAGGGCTTTCTCTAAGGTCTCCACAGGGCATTCAGACATCCCTTCATATTGTGAGATGAAACACGATCCTGTATTCAAGCCACTGCAAGGAAATCCGGCCTCCTTTCAAGTTAGGGCTTCTCGCTGTATATTCCCCTTGAGGCAGCAAACTCGGGGTCCCTCCCACATACCTATTGCTGAGAGAAGCCTCCTCCTGAGGTGCTTCTGGAAAGTTGGCATATGTCTTGAGCCTAAGCCAGGGAATCACCTCTCATCTCGAGACGATTTGGGGTACACGGAGCATTCCTCGAGTTGCTGTGCTTAAGTTGGTGTTCCTCTAGACTACGGACAGTGTTCTTGGGGCATCTCTGGAGTTGCCTGAAGGAAGTCAAGCCACCTGTCCTGTTGAATGGGGAACGGGGAATCTCTCTGGAGTCAATGCAGGGGAATCGGGCCTCATCTCGAGTTGATTTGGGGCACATGGAGCTGCTTTGCGTTGCTGGGGTGACCTCAGGGTCCGTCTAGACTGGTGAAAGTGTTCTTGGGGACTGGCTCGAGATCCATTAAGGAAGTCGAAGCTCCTGACTTGCTTGAATGGGATTCACGGAATAGCTCTGCATGCACTGCAGGGGAATGGGGCCTCATCTCGCGTCTAGGGGGAAGTCTCATGGTTTTTCTCGAGTTACGGCGGGGACCTGGGGTATGTTCTCGACTTACGGCGGGGATGGCCCTTCAAAACACGAGTTCCTTCAGTGACGTCAGGACTCCTGTCTAGTAACGAGGGACACCTCAGGAATCTCTTCGAGGCTTGGCAGGGCAAAAGGGACGCTTCTCGAGGTGAGGCAGGGCACCCAAGGACCCTTTCCAGTAGCCACAGGGATTTTGGGATTCCTATCAGTATTCAAGAGGAGTCAGGCATCGTCACCTTTTGAAGCAATGTACTCTGCGTGCCTCTCGAGGTGTCAACGGGATGTGAGCCATTCCGTCAAAATGAGGCAGGGACCTAGGGCTTTCTCTAAGGTCTCCACAGGGGATTCAGACATCCCTTCATGTTGTGAGATGAAAGACGAGCCTGTGTTCAAGCCACTGCAAGGATATCCGGCCTCCTTTCAAGTTAGCGCTTCTCGCTGTATATTCCCCTTGAGGCAGCATACTCGGGGTCAACCCCACATACCTATTGCTGAGAGAAGCCTCCTCCTGAGGTGCTTCTGGAATGTTGGCATACGTCTTGAGCCTAAGCCAGGGAATCAGCTCTCATCTCGAGACGATTTGGGGTACACGGAGAATTCCTCGAGTTGCTGTGCTGAAATTGGTGTTCCTCTAGACTTGGGACAGTGTTCTCGGGGCATCTCTGGAGTTGCCTGAAGGAAGTCGAACCACCGGTCGTGTTGAATGGGGAACGGGGAATGGCTTTGGAGTCAATGCAGGGGAATCGGGCCTCATCTCGAGTTGATCTGGGGCACATGGAGCTGCTTTGCGTTGCTGGGTTGACCTCAGGGTCCGTCTAGACTGGTGACAGTGTTCTTGGGGACTGTCTCGAGATCCATTAAGCAAGTCGAAGCTCCTGACTTGTTTGAATGGGATCACGGAATAGCTCTGCATGCACTGCAGGGGAATGGTGCCTCATCTCGCCTCTAGGGGGAAGTCTCATGATTTTTCTCGAGTTGCGGCGGGGACCTGGGGTATGTTCTCGACTTACGGCGGGATGGCCCTTCAAAACATGAGTTCCTTCAGTGACGTCAGGACTCCTGTCTAGTAATGAGGAACACCTCAGGAATCTCTTCGAGGCTTGGCAGGGCAAAAGGGACGCTTCTCGAGGTGAGGCAGGGCACCCAAGGACCCTTTCCAGTAGCCACAGGGATTTTGGGATTCCTATCAGTATTCAAGAGGAGTCAGGCATCGTCACATTCTGAAGCAGTGAACTCTGCGTGCCTCTCGAGGTGTCAGCGGGATGTGAGGCATTCCGTCAAAATGAGGCAGGGACCTAGGGCTTTCTCTAAGGTCTCCACGGGGGATTCAGACATCCCTTCATGTTGTGAGATGAAAGACGAGCCTGTTCAAGCCACTGCTAGAAAATCCGGCCTCCTTTCAAGTTAGGGCTTCTCGCTGTATATTCCCCTTGAGGCAGCAAACTCGGGGTCCCTCCCACATACCTATTGCTGAAAGAAGTCTCCTCCTGAGGTGCTTCTGGAAAGTTGGCATACGTCTTGAGCCTAAGCCAGGGAATCAGCTCTCATCTCGAGACGATTTGGGGTACACGGAGAATTCCTCGAGTTGCTGTGCTGAAGTTGGTGTTCCGCTAGACTTGGGACAGTGTTCTCGGGGCATCTCTGGAGTTGCCTGAAGGAAGTCGAGCCACCGGTCGTGTTGAATGGGGAACGGGGAATCTCTCTGGAGTCAATTCAGGGGAATCCGGCCTCATCTCGAGATGATTTGGGGCACATGGAGCTGCTTTGCGTTGCTGGGGTGACCTCAGGGTCCGTCTAGACTGGTGACAGTGTTCTTGGGGACTGTCTCGAGATCCATTAAGCAAGTCGAAGCTCCTGACTTGTTTGAATGGGATCACGGAATAGCTCTGCATGCACTGCAGGGGAATGGGGACTCATCTCGCCTCTAGGGGGAAGTCTCATGGTTTTTCTCGAATTGCTGCGGGGACCTGGGGTATGTTCTCGACTTACGGCGTGGATGGCCCTTCAAAACACGAGTTTCTTCAGTGACGTCAGGACTCCTGTGTAATAACGAGGTACACCTCAGGAATCTCTTCGAGGCTTGGCAGGGCAAAAGGGACGCTTCTCGAGGTGAGGCAGGGCACCCAAGGACCCTTTCCAGTAGCCACAGGGATTTTCGGATTCCTATCAGTATTCAAGAGGAGTCAGGCATCGTCACCTTTTGAAGCAATGAACTCCGTGTGCCTCTCGAGGTGTCAGCGGGATGTGAGACATTCCGTCAAAATGAGGCAGGGACCTAGGGCTTTCTCTAAGGTCTCCACAGGGGATTCAGACATCCCTTCATGTTGTGAGATGAAAGACGAGCCTGTATTCAAGCCACTGCTAGAAAATCCGGCCTCCTTTCAAGTTAGAGCTTCTCGCTGTATATTCCCCTTTAGGCAGCAAACTCGGGGTCCCTCCCACATACATAATGCTGTGAGAAGCCTCCTCCAGTGGTGCTTCTGGAAAGTTGGCATGGTCTTGAGCCTAAGCCAGGGAATCAGCTCTCATCTCGAGACGATTTGTGGTACAAGGAGCATTCCCCAAGTTGCTGTGCTGAAGTTGGTGTTCCTCTAGACTACGGACAGTGTTCTCGGGGCATCTCTGGAGTTGCCTGAAGGAAGTCGAGCCACCGGTCGTGTTGAATGGGGAACTGGGAATGGCTCTGGAGTCAATGCAGGGGAATCGGGCCTCATCTCGAGTTGATTTGGGGCACATGGAGCTGCTTTGCGTTGCTGGGGTGACCTCAGGGTCCGTCTAGACTGGTGACAGTGTTCTTGGGGATTGTCTCGAGATCCATTAAGCAAGTCGAAGCTCCTGACTTGTTTGAATGGGATCACGGAATAGCTCTGCATGCACTGCAGGGGAATGGGGCCTCATCTCGCCTCTAGGGGGAAGTCTCATGGTTTTTCTCGAGTTACGGCGGGGACCTGGGGTATGTTCTCGACTTAAGGCGGGGATGGCCGTTCAAAACACGAGTTCCTTCAGTGACGTCAGGACTCCTGTCTAGTAACGAGGGACAACTTAGGAAACTCTTCGAGGCTTGGCAGGGCAAAAGGGACGCTTCTCGAGGTGAGGCAGGGCACCCAAGGACCCTTTCCAGTAGCCACAGGGATTTTGGGATTCCTAACAGTATTCAAGAGGAGTCAGGCATCGTCACCTTTCGAAGCAATGTACTCTGCGTGCCTCTCGAGGTGTCAGCGGGATGTGAGGCATTCCGTCAAAATGAGGCAGGGACCTAGGGCTTTCTCTAAGGTCTCCACAGGGGATTCAGACAACCCTTCATGTTGTGAGATGAAACACGAGCCTGTATTCAAGCCACTGCAAGGAAATCCGGCCTCCTTTCAAGTTATGGCTTCTCGCTGTATATTCCCCTTGAGGCAGCAAACTCGGGGTCCCTCCCACATACCTATTGCTGAGAGAAGCCTCCTCCTGAGGTGCTTCTGGAAAGTTGGCATACGTCTTAAGCCTAAGACAGGGAATCAGCTCTCATCTCGAGACGATTTTGGGTACACGGAGCATTCCTCGAGTTGCTGTGCTGAAGTTGGTGTACCTCTAGACTTGGGACAGTGTTCTCGGGGCATCTCTGGAGTTGCCTGAAGGAAGTCGAGCCACCGGTCGTGTTGAATGGGGAACGGGGAATCTCTCTGGAGTCAATTCAGGGGAATCCGGCCTCATCTCGAGTTGATTTGGGGCACATGGAGCTGCTTTGCGTTGCTGGGGTGACCTCAGGGTCCGTCTAGACTGGTGACAGTGTTCCTGGGGACTGTCTCGAGATCCATTAAGCAAGTCGAAGCTCCTGACTTGTTTGAATGGGATCACGGAATAGCTCTGCATGCACTGCAGGGGAATGGGGCCTCATCTCGCCTCTAGGGGGAAGTCTCATGGTTTTTCTCGAGTTGCGGCGGGGACCTGGGGTATGTTTTCGACTTACGGCGGGGATGGCCCTTCAAAACACGAGTTTCTTCAGTGACGTCAGGACTCCTGTGTAATAACGAGGTACACCTCAGGAATCTCTTCGAGGCTTGGCAGGGCAAAAGGGACGCTTCTCGAGGTGAGGCAGGGCACCCAAGGACCCTTTCCAGTAGCCACAGGGATTTTCGGATTCCTATCAGTATTCAAGAGGAGTCAGGCATCGTCACCTTTTGAAGCAATGAACTCCGTGTGCCTCTCGAGGTGTCAGCGGGATGTGAGGCATTCCGTCAAAATGAGGCAGGGACCTACGGCTTTCTCTAAGGTCTCCACAGGGGATTCAGACATCCCTTCATGTTGTGAGATGAAACACGAGCCTGTATTCAATCCACTGCAAGGAAATCCGGCCTCCTTTCAAGTTAGGGCTTCTCGCTGTATATTCCCCTTGAGGCAGCAAACTCGGGGTCCCTCCCACATACCTATTGCTGAGAGAAGCCTCCTCCTGAGGTGCTTCTGGAAAGTTGGTATATGTCTTGAGCCTAAGCCAGGGAATCAGCTCTCATCTCGAGACGATTTGTGGTACAAGGAGCATTCCCCAAGTTGCTATTCTGAAGTTGGTGTTCCTCTAGACTACGGACAGTGTTCTCGGGGCATCTCTGGAGTTGCCTGAAGGAAGTCGAGCCACCGGTCTTGTTGAATGGGGAACGGGGAATGGCTCTGGAGTCAATGCAGGGGAATTGGGCCTCATCTCGAGTTGATTTGGGGCATATGGAGCTGCTTTGCGTTGATGGGGTGACCTCAGGGTCCGTCTAGACTGGTGACAGTGTTCTTGGGGACTGCCTCGAGATCCATTAAGCAAGTTGAAGCTCCTGACTTGTTTGAATGGGATCACGGAATAGCTCTGCATGCACTGCAGGGGAATGGGGCCTCATCTCGCCTCTAGGGGGAAGTCTCATGGTTTTTCTCGAGTTGCGGCGGGGACCTGGGGTATGTTATTGACTTACGGCGGGGATCGCGCTTCAAAACAGGAGTTCCTTCAGTGACGTCAGGACTCCTGTCTAGTAACGAGGGACACCTCAGGAATCTCTTCGAGGCTTGGCAGGGCAAAAGGGACGCTTCTCGAGGTGAGGCAGGGCACCCAAGGACCCTTTCCAGTAGCCACAGGGATTTGGGGATTCCTATCAGTATTCAAGAGGTGTCAGGCATCATCACCTTTTGAAGCAATGAACTCTGCGTGCCTCTCGAGTTGTCAGCGGGATGTGAGGCATTCCGTCAAAATGAGGCAGGGACCTAGATCTTTCTCTAAGGTCTCCACAGGGGATTCAGACATCCCTTCATGTTGTGAGATGAAAGACGAGCCTGTGTTCAAGCCACTGCAAGGATATCCGGCCTCCTTTCAAGTTAGCGCTTTTCGCTGTATATTCCCCTTGAGGCAGCATACTCGGGGTCAACCCCACATACCTATTGCTGAGAGAAGCCTCCTCCTGAGGTGCTTCTGGAAAGTTGGCATACGTCTTGAGCCTAAGCCAGGGAATCAGCTCTCATCTCGAGACGATTTGGGGTACACGGAGAATTCCTCGAGTTGCTGTGTTGAAGTTGGTGTTCCTCTTGACTTGGGACAGTGTTCTCGGGGCATCTCTGGAGTTGCCTGAAGGAAGTCGAGCCACAGGTCGTGTTGAATGGGGAATGGGGAATGGCTCTTGAGTCAATGCAGGGGAATCGGGCCTCATCTCGAGTTGATTTGGGGCACATGGAGCTGCTTTGCGTTGCTGGGGTGACCTCAGGGTCCGTCTAGACTGGTGACAGTGTTCTTGGGGACTGTCTCGAGATCCATTAAGCAAGTCGAAGCTCCTGACTTGTTTGAATGGGATCACGGAATAGCTCTGCATGCACTGCAGGGGAATGGTGCCTCATCTCGCGTCTAGGGGGAAATCTCATGGTTTTTCTCGAGTTGCGGCGGGGACCTGGGGTATGTTCTCGACTTACGGCGGGATGGCCCTTCAAAACATGAGTTCCTTCAGTGACGTCAGGACTCCTGTCTAGTAATGAGGAACACCTCAGGAAGCTCTTCTAGGCTTGGCAGGGCAAAAGGGACGCTTCTCGAGGTGAGACAGGGCACCCAAGGACCCTTTCCAGTAGCCACAGGGATTTTGGGATTCCTATCAGTATTCAAGAGGAGTCAGGCATCGTCACCTTTTGAAGCAATGAACTCCGTGTGCCTCTCGAGGTGTCAGCGGGATGTGAGGCATTCCGTCAAAATGAGGCAGGGACCTAGGGCTTTCTCTAAGGTCTCCACAGGGGATTCAGACATCCCTTCATGTTGTGAGATGAAACACGAGCTTGTATTCAAGCCACTGCAAGGAAATCCGGCCTCCTTTCAAGTTAGGGCTTCTCGCTGTATATTCCCCTTGAGGCAGCAAACTCGGGGTCCCTCCCACATATCTATTGCTGAGAGAAGCCTCCTCCTGAGGTGCTTCTGGAAAGTTGGCATACGTCTTGAGCCTAAGCCAGGGAATCAGCTCTCATCTCGAGACGATTTTGTGTACACGGAGCATTCCTCGAGTTGCTGTGCTGAAGTTGGTGTTCCTCTAGACTTGGGACAGTGTTCTCGGGGCATCTCTGGAGTTGCCTGAAGGAAGTCGAGCCACCTGTCGTGTTGAATGGGGAACGGGGAATGGCTCTGGAGTCAATGCAGGGGAATCCGGCCTCATCTCGAGTTGATTTGGGGCACATGGAGCTGCTTTGCGTTGCTGGGGTGACCTCAGGGTCCGTCTAGACTGGTGAAAGTGTTCTTGGGGACTGGCTCGAGATCCATTAAGGAAGTCGAAGCTCCTGACTTACTTGAATGGGATTCACGGAATAGCTCTGCATGCACTGCAGGGGAATGGGGCCTCATCTCGCGTCTAGGGGGAAGTCTCATGGTTTTTCTCGAGTTACGGCGGGGACCTGGGGTATGTTCTCGACTTACGGCGGGGATGGCCCTTCAAAACACGAGTTTCTTCAGTGACGTCAGGACTCCTGTCTAGTAACGAGGGACACCTCAGGAATCACTTCGAGGCTTGGCAGTGCAAAAGGGACTCTTCTCGAGGTGAGGCAGGGCACCCAAGGACCCTTTCCAGTAGCCACAGGGATTTTGGGATTCCTATCAGTATTCAAGAGGAGTCAGGCATCGTCACCTTTTGAAGCAATGTACTCTGCGTGCCTCTCGAGGTGTCAACGGGATGTGAGCCATTCCGTCAAAATGAGGCAGGGACCTAGGGCTTTCTCTAAGGTCTCCACAGGGGATTCAGACATCCCTTCATGTTGTGAGATGAAAGACGAGCCTGTGCTCAAGCCACTGCAAGGATATCCGGCCTCCTTTCAAGTTAGCGCTTCTCGCTGTATATTCCCCTTGAGGCAGCATACTCGGGGTCAACCCCACATACCTATTGCTGAGAGAAGCCTCCTCCTGAGGTGCTTCTGGAATGTTGGCATACGTCTTGAGCCTAAGCCAGGGAATCAGCTCTCATCTCGAGACGATTTGGGGTACACGGAGAATTCCTCGAGTTGGTGTGCTGAAATTGGTGTTCCTCTAGACTTGGGACAGTGTTCTCGGGGCATCTCTGGAGTTGCCTGAAGGAAGTCGAACCACCGGTCGTGTTGAATGGGGAACGGGGAATGGCTTTGGAGTCAATGCAGGGGAATCGGGCCTCATCTCGAGTTGATTTGGGGCACATGGAGCTGCTTTGCGTTGCTGGGTTGACCTCAGGGTCCGTCTAGACTGGTGACAGTGTTCTTGGGCACTGTCTCGAGATCCATTAAGCAAGTCGAAGCTCCTGACTTGTTTGAATGGGATCACGGAATAGCTCTGCATGCACTGCAGGGGAATGGTGCCTCATCTCGCCTCTAGGGGGAAGTCTCATGAATTTTCTCGAGTTGCGGCGGGGACCTGGGGTATGTTCTCGACTTATGGCGGGATGGCCCTTCAAAACATGAGTTCCTTCAGTGACGTCAGGACTCCTGTCTAGTAATGAGGAACACCTCAGGAATCTCTTCGAGGCTTGGCAGGGCAAAAGGGACGCTTCTCGAGGTGAGGCAGGGCACCCAAGGACCCTTTCCAGTAGCCACAGGGATTTTGGGATTCCTATCAGTATTCAAGAGGAGTCAGGCATCGTCACATTCTGAAGCAGTGAACTCTGCGTGCCTCTCGAGGTGTCAGCGGGATGTGAGGCATTCCGTCAAAATGAGGCAGGGACCTAGGGCTTTCTCTAAGGTCTCCACGGGGGATTCAGACATCCCTTCATGTTGTGAGATGAAAGACGAGCCTGTTCAAGCCACTGCTAGAAAATCCGGCCTCCTTTCAAGTTAGGGCTTCTCGCTGTATATTCCCCTTGAGGCAGCAAATTCGGGGTCCCTCCCACATACCTATTGCTGAAAGAAGTCTCCTCCTGAGGTGCTTCTGGAAAGTTGGCATACGTCTTGAGCCTAAGCCAGGGAATCAGCTCGCATCTCGAGACGATTTGGGGTACACGGAGCATTCCTCGAGTTGCTGTGCTGAAGTTGGTGTTCCGCTAGACTTGGGATAGTGTTCTCGGGGCATCTCTGGAGTTGCCTGAAGGAAGTCGAGCCACCGGTCGTGTTGAATGGGGAACGGGGAATCTCTCTGGAGTCAATTCAGGGGAATCCGGCCTCATCTCGAGATGATTTGGGGCACATGGAGCTGCTTTGCGTTGCTGGGGTGACCTCAGGGTCCGTCTAGACTGGTGACAGTGTTCTTGGGGACTGTCTCGAGATCCATTAAGCAAGTCGAAGCTCCTGACTTGTTTGAATGGGATCACGGAATAGCTCTGCATGCACTACAGGGGAATGGGGACTCATCTCGCCTCTAGGGGGAAGTCTCATGGTTTTTCTCGAATTGCGGCGGGGACCTGGGGTATGTTCTCGACTTACGGCGGGGATGGCCCTTCAAAACACGAGTTTCTTCAGTGACGTCAGGACTCCTGTGTAATAACGAGGTACACCTCAGGAATCTCTTCGAGGCTTGGCAGGGCAAAAGGGACGCTTCTCGAGGTGAGGCAGGGCACCCAAGGACCCTTTCCAGTAGCCACAGGGATTTTCGGATTCCTATCAGTATTCAAGAGGAGTCAGGCATCGTCACCTTTTGAAGCAATGAACTCCGTGTGCCTCTCGAGGTGTCAGCGGGATGTGAGACATTCCGTCAAAATGAGGCAGGGACCTAGGGCTTTCTCTAAGGTCTCCACAGGGGATTCAGATATCCCTTCATGTTGTGAGATGAAACACGAGCCTGTATTCAAGCCACTGCAAGGAAATCCGGCCTCCTTTCAAGTTAGGGCTTCTCGCTGTATATTCCCCTTGAGGCAGCAAACTCGGGGTCCCTCCCACATACCTATTGCTGAAAGAAGTCTCCTCCTGAGGTGCTTCTGGAAAGTTGGCATACGTCTTGAGCCTAAGCCAGGGAATCAGCTCGCATCTCGAGACGATTTGGGGTACACGGAGCATTCCTCGAGTTGCTGTGCTGAAGTTGGTGTTCCTCTAGACTTGGGACAGTGTTCTCGGGGCATCTCTGGAGTTGCCTGAAGGAAGTCGAGCCACCGGTCGTGTTGAATGGGGAACGGGGAATGGCTCTGGAGTCAATGCAGGGGAATCGGGCCTCATCTCGAGTTGATTTGGGGCACATGGAGCTGCTTTGCGTTGCTGGGGTGACCTCAGGGTCCGTCTAGACTGGTGACAGTGTTCTTGGGGACTCTCTCGAGATCCATTAAGCAAGTCGAAGCTCCTGACTTGTTTGAATGGGATCACGGAATAGCTCTGCATGCACTGCAGGGGAATGGGGCCTCATCTCGCCTCTAGGGGGAAGTCTCATGGTTTTTCTCGAGTTGCGGCGGGGACCTCGGGTATGTTCTCGACTTACGGCGGGGATGGCCCTTCAAAACACGAGTTTCTTCAGTGACGTCAGGACTCCTGTCTAGTAACGAGGGACACCTCAGGAATCTCTTCGAGGCTTGACAGGGCAAAAGGGACGCTTCTCGAGGTGAGGCAGGGCACCCAAGGACCCTTTCCAGTAGCCACAGGGATTTTCGGATTCCTATCAGTATTCAAGACGAGTCAGGCATCGTCACCTTTTGAAGCATTGAACTCCGTGTGCCTCTCAAGGTGTCAGAGGGATGTGATGCATTCCGTCAAAATGAGGCAGGGACCTAGGGCTTTCTCTAAGGTCTCCACAGGGGATTCAGACATCCCTTCATGTTGTGAGATGAAAGACGAGCCTGTATTCAAGCCACTGCAAGGATATCTGGCCTCCTTTCAAGTTACGGCTTCTCGCTGTATATTCCCCTTGAGGCAGCAAACTCCGGGTCCCTCCCACATACTTATTGCTGAGAGAAGCCTCCTCCTGAGGTGCTTCTGGAAAGTTGACATACGTCTTGAGCCTAAGCCAGGGAATCAGCTCTCATCTCGAGACGATTTGGGGTACACGGAGCATTCCTCGAGTTGCTGTGCTGAAGTTGGTGTTCCTCTAGACTTGGGACAGTGTTCTCGGGGCATCTCTGCAGTTGCCTGAAGGAAGTCGAGCCACCGGTCGTGTTGAATGGGGAACGGGGAATGGCTCTGGAGTCAATGCAGGGGAATCGGGCCTCATCTCGAGTTGATTTGGGGCACATGGTGCTGCTTTGCGTTGCTGGGCTGACCTCAGGGTCCGTCTAGACTGGTGACAGTGTTCTTGGGGACTCTCTCGAGATCCATTAAACAAGTCGAAGCTCCTGACCTGTTAGAATGGGATCACGGAATAGCTCTGCATGCACTGCAGGGGAATGGGGCCTCATCTCGCCTCTAGGGGGAAGTCTCATGGTTTTTCTAGAGTTGCGGCGGGGACCTGGGGTATGTTCTCGACTTACGGCGGGGATGGCCCTTCAAAACACGAGTTTCTTCTGTGACGTCAGGACTCCTGTGTAATAACGAGGTACACCTCAGGAATCTCTTCGAGGCTTGGCAGGGCAAAAGGGACGCTTCTCGAGGTGATGCAGGGCACCCAAGGACCCTTTCCAGTAGCCACAGGGATTTTGGGATTCCTATCAGTATTCAAGAGGAGTCAGGCATCGTCACCTTTTGAAGCAATGAACTCTGCGTGATTCTCAAGGTGTCAGCGGGATGTGAGGCATTCCGTCAAAATGAGGCCGGGACCTAGGGCTTTCTCTAAGGTCTCCACAGGGGATTCAGACATCCCTTCATGTTGTGAGATGAAAGACGGGCCTGTATTCAAGCCACTGCAAGGAAATCCGGCCTCCTTTCAAGTTAGGGTTTCTCGCTGTATATTCCCCTTGAGGCAGCATACTCGGGGTCCCTCCCACATACCTATTGCTGAGAGAAGCCTCCTCCTGAGGTGCTTCTGGAAAGTTGGCATACGTCTTGAGCCTAAGCCAGGGAATCAGCTCTCATCTCGAGACGATTTGTGGTACACGGAGCATTCCCCGAGTTGCTGTGCTGAAGTTGGTGTTCCTCTAGACTTGGGACAGTGTTCTCGGGGCATCTCTGGAGTTGCCTGAAGGAAGTCGAGCCACCGGTCGTGTTGAATGGGGAACGGGGAATGGCTCTGGAGTCAATGCAGGGGAATCCGGCCTCATCTCGAGTTGATTTGGGGCACATGGAGCTGCTTTGCGTTGCTGGGGTGACCTCAGGGTCCGTCTAGACTGGTGACAGTGTTCTTGGGGACTGTCTCGAGATCCATTAAGCAAGTCGAAGCTCCTAACTTGTTTGAATGGGATCACGGAATAGCTCTGCATTCACTGCAGGTGAATGGGGCCTCATTTCGCCACTAGGGGATGTCTCATGGTTTTTCTCGAGTTGCGGCGGGGACCTGGGGTATGTTCTCGACTTACGGCGGGGATCGCCCTTCAAAACACGATTTCCTTCAGTGACGTCAGGAGTCCTGTCTAGTAACGAGGGACACCTCAGGAATCTCTTCGAGGCTTGGCAGGGCAAAAGGGACGCTTCTCGAGGTGAGGCAGGGCACCCAAGGACCCTTTCCAGTAGCCACAGGGATTTGGGGATTCCTATCAGTATTCAAGAGGTGTCAGGCATCATCACCTTTTGAAGCAATGAACTCTGCGTGCCTCTCGAGTTGTCAGCGGGATGTGAGGCATTCCGTCAAAATGAGGCAGGGACCTAGATCTTTCTCTAAGGTCTCCACAGGGGATTCAGACATCCCTTCATGTTGTGAGATGAAAGACGAGCCTGTGTTCAAGCCACTGCAAGGATATCCGGCCTCCTTTCAAGTTAGCGCTTCTCGCTGTATATTCCCCTTGAGGCAGCATACTCGGGGTCAACCCCACATACCTATTGCTGAGAGAAGCCTCCTCCTGAGGTGCTTCTGGAAAGTTGGCATACGTCTTGAGCCTAAGCCAGGGAATCAGCTCTCATCTCGAGACGATTTGGGGTACACGGAGAATTCCTCGAGTTGCTGTGTTGAAGTTGGTGTTCCTCTTGACTTGGGACAGTGTTCTCGGGGCATCTCTGGAGTTGCCTGAAGGAAGTCGAGCCACAGGTCGTGTTGAATGGGGAATGGGGAATGGCTCTGGAGTCAATGCAGGGGAATCGGGCCTCATCTCGAGTTGATTTGGGGCACATGGAGCTGCTTTGCGTTGCTGGGGTGACCTCAGGGTCCGTCTAGACTGGTGACAGTGTTCTTGGGGACTGTCTCGAGATCCATTAAGCAAGTCGAAGCTCCTGACTTGTTTGAATGGGATCACGGAATAGCTCTGCATGCACTGCAGGGGAATGGTGCCTCATCTCGCGTCTAGGGGGAAGTCTCATGGTTTTTCTGGAGTTGCGGCGGGGACCTGGGGTATGTTCTCGACTTACGGCGGGATGGCCCTTCAAAACATGAGTTCCTTCAGTGACGTCAGGACTCCTGTCTAGTAATGAGGAACACCTCAGGAAGCTCTTCTAGGCTTGGCAGGGCAAAAGGGACGCTTCTCGAGGTGAGACAGGGCACCCAAGGACCCTTTCCAGTAGCCACAGGGATTTTGGGATTCCTATCAGTATTCAAGAGGAGTCAGGCATCGTCACCTTTTGAAGCAATGAACTCCGTGTGCCTCTCGAGGTGTCAGCGGGATGTGAGGCATTCCGTCAAAATGAGGCAGGGACCTAGGGCTTTCTCTAAGGTCTCCACAGGGGATTCAGACATCCCTTCATGTTGTGAGATGAAACACGAGCTTGTATTCAAGCCACTGCAAGGAAATCCGGCCTCCTTTCAAGTTAGGGCTTCTCGCTGTATATTCCCCTTGAGGCAGCAAACTCGGGGTCCCTCCCACATATCTATTGCTGAGAGAAGCCTCCTCCTGAGGTGCTTCTGGAAAGTTGGCATACGTCTTGAGCCTAAGCCAGGGAATCAGCTCTCATCTCGAGACGATTTTGGGTACACGGAGCATTCCTCGAGTTGCTGTGCTGAAGTTGGTGTTCCTCTAGACTTGGGACAGTGTTCTCGGGGCATCTCTGGAGTTGCCTGAAGGAAGTGGAGCCACCTGTCGTGTTGAATGGGGAACGGGGAATGGCTCTGGAGTCAATGCAGGGGAATCCGGCCTCATCTCGAGTTGATTTGGGGCACATGGAGCTGCTTTGCGTTGCTGGGGTGACCTCAGGGTCCGTCTAGACTGGTGAAAGTGTTCTTGGGGACTGGCTCGAGATCCATTAAGGAAGTCGAAGCTCCTGACTTACTTGAATGGGATTCACGGAATAGCTCTGCATGCACTGCAGGGGAATGGGGCCTCATCTCGCGTCTAGGGGGAAGTCTCATGGTTTTTCTCGAGTTACGGCGGGGACCTGGGGTATGTTCTCGACTTACGGCGGGGATGGCCCTTCAAAACACGAGTTTCTTCAGTGACGTCAGGACTCCTGTCTAGTAACGAGGGACACCTCAGGAATCACTTCGAGGCTTGGCAGTGCAAAAGGGACTCTTCTCGAGGTGAGGCAGGGCACCCAAGGACCCTTTCCAGTAGCCACAGGGATTTTGGGATTCCTATCAGTATTCAAGAGGAGTCAGGCATCGTCACCTTTTGAAGCAATGTACTCTGCGTGCCTCTCGAGGTGTCAACGGGATGTGAGCCATTCCGTCAAAATGAGGCAGGGACCTAGGGCTTTCTCTAAGGTCTCCAGAGGGGATTCAGACATCCCTTCATGTTGTGAGATGAAAGACGAGCCTGTGTTCAAGCCACTGCAAGGATATCCGGCCTCCTTTCAAGTTAGCGCTTCTCGCTGTATATTCCCCTTGAGGCAGCATACTCGGGGTCAACCCCACATACCTATTGCTGAGAGAAGCCTCCTCCTGAGGTGCTTCTGGAATGTTGGCATACGTCTTGAGCCTAAGCCAGGGAATCAGCTCTCATCTCGAGACGATTTGGGGTACACGGAGAATTCCTCGAGTTGCTGTGCTGAAATTGGTGTTCCTCTAGACTTGGGACAGTGTTCTCGGGGCATCTCTGGATTTGCCTGAAGGAAGTCGAACCACCGGTCGTGTTGAATGGGGAACGGGGAATGGCTTTGGAGTCAATGCAGGGGAATCGGGCCTCATCTCGAGTTGATTTGGGGCACATGGAGCTGCTTTGCGTTGCTGGGTTGACCTCAGGGTCCGTCTAGACTGGTGACAGTGTTCTTGGGGACTGTCTCGAGATCCATTAAGCAAGTCGAAGCTCCTGACTTGTTTGAATGGGATCACGGAATAGCTCTGCATGCACTGCAGGGGAATGGTGCCTCATCTCGCCTCTAGGGGGAAGTCTCATGATTTTTCTCGAGTTGCGGCGGGGACCTGGGGTATGTTCTCGACTTATGGCGGGATGGCCCTTCAAAACATGAGTTCCTTCAGTGACGTCAGGACTCCTGTCTAGTAATGAGGAACACCTCAGGAATCTCTTCGAGGCTTGGCAGGGCAAAAGGGACGCTTCTCGAGGTGAGGCAGGGCACCCAAGGACCCTTTCCAGTAGCCACAGGGATTTTGGGATTCCTATCAGTATTCAAGAGGAGTCAGGCATCGTCACATTCTGAAGCAGTGAACTCTGCGTGCCTCTCGAGGTGTCAGCGGGATGTGAGGCATTCCGTCAAAATGAGGCAGGGACCTAGGGCTTTCTCTAAGGTCTCCACGGGGGATTCAGACATCCCTTCATGTTGTGAGATGAAAGACGAGCCTGTTCAAGACACTGCTAGAAAATCCGGCCTCCTTTCAAGTTAGGGCTTCTCGCTGTATATTCCCCTTGAGGCAGCAAATTCGGGGTCCCTCCCACATACCTATTGCTGAAAGAAGTCTCCTCCTGAGGTGCTTCTGGAAAGCTGGCATACGTCTTGAGCCTAAGCCAGGGAATCAGCTCTCATCTCGAGACGATTTGGGGTACACGGAGCATTCCTCGAGTTGCTGTGCTGAAGTTGGTGTTCCGCTAGACTTGGGACAGTGTTCTCGGGGCATCTCTGGAGTTGCCTGAAGGAAGTCGAGCCACCGGTCGTGTTGAATGGGGAACGGGGAATCTCTCTGGAGTCAATTCAGGGGAATCCGGCCTCATCTCGAGATGATTTGGGGCACATGGAGCTGCTTTGCGTTGCTGGGGTGACCTCAGGGTCCGTCTAGACTGGTGACAGTGTTCTTGGGGACTGTCTCGAGATCCATTAAGCAAGTCGAAGCTCCTGACTTGTTTGAATGGGATCACGGAATAGCTCTGCATGCACTGCAGGGGAATGGGGACTCATCTCGCCTCTAGGGGGAAGTCTCATGGGTTTTCTCGAATTGCGGCGGGGACCTGGGGTATGTTCTCGACTTACGGCGGGGATGGCCCTTCAAAACACGAGTTTCTTCAGTGACGTCAGGACTCCTGTGTAATAACGAGGTACACCTCAGGAATCTCTTCGAGGCTTGGCAGGGCAAAAGGGACGCTTCTCGAGGTGAGGCAGGGCACCCAAGGACCCTTTCCAGTAGCCACAGGGATTTTCGGATTCCTATCAGTATTCAAGAGGAGTCAGGCATCGTCACCTTTTGAAGCAATGAACTCCGTGTGCCTCTCGAGGTGTCAGCGGGATGTGAGACATTCCGTCAAAATGAGGCAGGGACCTAGGGCTTTCTCTAAGGTCTCCACAGGGGATTCAGACATCCCTTCATGTTGTGAGATGAAACACGAGCCTGTATTCAAGCCACTGCAAGGAAATCCGGCCTCCTTTCAAGTTAGGGCTTCTCGCTGTATATTCCCCTTGAGGCAGCAAACTCGGGGTCCCTCCCACATATCTATTGCTGAGAGAAGCCTCCTCCTGAGGTGCTTCTGGAAAGTTGGCATACGTCTTGAGCCTAAGCCAGGGAATCAGCTCTCATCTCGAGACGATTTGGGGTACACGGAGCATTCCTCGAGTTGCTGTGCTGAAGTTGGTGTTCCTCTAGACTTGGGACAGTGTTCTCGGGGCATCTCTGGAGTTGCCTGAAGGAAGTCGAGCCACCGGTCGTGTTGAATGGGGAACGGGGAATGGCTCTGGAGTCAATGCAGGGGAATCGGGCCTCATCTCGAGTTGATTTGGGGCACATGGAGCTGCTTTGCGTTGCTGGGCTGACCTCAGGGTCCGTCTAGACTGGTGACAGTGTTATTGGGGACTCTCTCGAGATCCATTAAGCAAGTCGAAGCTCCTGACTTGTTTGAATGGGATCACGGAATAGCTCTGCATGCACTGCAGGGGAATGGGGCCTCATCTCGCCTCTAGGGGGAAGTCTCATGGTTTTTCTCGAGTTGCGGCGGGGACCTGGGGTATGTTCTCGACTTACGGCGGGGATGGCCCTTCAAAACACGAGTTTCTTCAGTGACGTCAGGACTCCTGTCTAGTAACGAGGGACACCTCAGGAATCTCTTCGAGGCTTGACAGGGCAAAAGGGACGCTTCTCGAGGTGAGGCAGGGCACCCAAGGACCCTTTCCAGTAGCCACAGGGATTTTCGGATTCCTATCAGTATTCAAGAGGAGTCAGGCATCGTCACCTTTTGAAGCATTGAACTCCGTGTGCCTCTCAAGGTGTCAGAGGGATGTGATGCATTCCGTCAAAATGAGGCAGGGACCTAGGGCTTTCTCTAAGGTCTCCACAGGGGATTCAGACATCCCTTCATGTTGTGAGATGAAAGACGAGCCTGTATTCAAGCCACTGCAAGGATATCTGGCCTCCTTTCAAGTTACGGCTTCTCGCTGTATATTCCCCTTGAGGCAGCAAACTCCGGGTCCCTCCCACATACTTATTGCTGAGAGAAGCCTCCTCCTGAGGTGCTTCTGGAAAGTTGACATACGTCTTGAGCCTAAGCCAGGGAATCAGCTCTCATCTCGAGACGATTTGGGGTACACGGAGCATTCCTCGAGTTGCTGTGCTGAAGTTGGTGTTCCTCTAGACTTGGGACAGTGTTCTCGGGGCATCTCTGCAGTTGCCTGAAGGAAGTCGAGCCACCGGTCGTGTTGAATGGGGAACGGGGAATGGCTCTGGAGTCAATGCAGGGGAATCGGGCCTCATCTCGAGTTGATTTGGGGCACATGGTGCTGCTTTGCGTTGCTGGGCTGACCTCAGGGTCCGTCTAGACTGGTGACAGTGTTCTTGGGGACTCTCTCGAGATCCATTAAGCAAGTCGAAGCTCCTGACCTGTTTGAATGGGATCACGGAATAGCTCTGCATGCACTGCAGGGGAATGGGGCCTCATCTCGCCTCTAGGGGGAAGTCTCATGGTTTTTCTCGAGTTGCGGCGGGGACCTGGGGTATGTTCTCGACTTACGGCGGGGATGGCCCTTCAAAACACGAGTTTCTTCAGTGACGTCAGGACTCCTGTCTAGTAACGAGGGACACCTCAGGAATCTCTTCGAGGCTTGGCAGGGCCAAAGGGACGCTTCTCGATATGAGGCAGGGCACCCAAGGACCCTTTCCAGTAGCCACAGGGATTTTGGTATTCCTATCAGGATTCAAGAGGAGTCAGGCATCGTCACCTTTTGAAGCAATGAACTCCGCGTGCCTCTCGAGGTGTCAGCGCGATGTGAGGCATTCTGTCAAAATGAGTCAGGGACCTAGGGCTTTCTCTAAGGTCTCCACAGGGGATTCAGACATCCCTTCATGTTGTGAGATGAAAGACGAGCCTGTATTCAAGCCACTGCAAGGAAATCAGGCCTCCTTTCAAGTTAGGGCTTCTCGCTGTATATTCCCCTTGAGGCAGCAAACTCGGGGTCCGCCCACATACCTATTGCTGAGAGAAGCCTCCTCCTGAGGTGCTTCTGGGAAGTTGGCATACGTCTTGAGCCTAAGCCAGGGAATCAGCTCGCATCTCGAGACGATTTGGGGTACACGGAACATTCCTCGAGTTGCTGTGCTGAAGTTGGTGTTCCTCTAGACTTGGGACAGTGTTCTCGGGGCATCTCTGGAGTTGCCTGAAGGAAGTCGAGCCACCGGTCGTGTTGAATGGGGAACGGGGAATGGCTCTGGAGTCAATGCAGGGGAATCGGGCCTCATCTCGAGTTGATTTGGGGCACATGGAGCTGCTTTGCGTTGCTTGGGTGACCTCAGGGTCCGTCTAGACTGGTGACAGTGTTCTTGGGGACTGTCTCGAGATCCATTAAGCAAGTCGAAGCTCCTGACTTGTTTGAATGGGATCACGGAATAGCTCTGCATGCACTGCAGGGGAATGGGGCCTCATCTCGCCTCTAGGGGGAAGTCTCATTGTTTTTCTCGAGTTGTGGCAGGGACCTGGGGTATGTTCTCGACTTACGGCGGGGATGGCCCTTCAAAACACGAGTTCCTTCAGTGACGTCAGGACTCCTGTCTAGTAACGAGGGACACCTCAGGAATCTCTTCGAGGCTTGGCAGGGCAAAAGGGACGCTTCTCGAGGTGAGGCAGGGCACCCAAGGACCCTTTCCAGTAGCCACAGTGATTTTGGGGTTCCTATCAGTATTCAAGAGGAGTCAGGCATCGTCACCTTTTGAAGCAATGTACTCTGCGTGCCTCTCGAGGTGTCAACGGGATGTGAGCCATTCCGTCAAAATGAGGCAGGGACCTAGGGCTTTCTCTAAGGTCTCCACAGGGGATTCAGACATCCCTTCATGTTGTGAGATGAAAGACGAGCCTGTGTACAAGCCACTGCAAGGAAATCCGGCCTCCTTTCAAGTTAGGGATTCTCGCTGTATATTCCCCTAGAGGCAGGAAACTCGGGGTCCCTCCCACATACCTATTGCTGAGAGAAGCCTCCTCCTGAGGTGCTTCTGGAAAGTTGGCATACGTCTTGAGCCTAAGCCAGGGAATCAGCTCTCATCTCGAGACGATTTGGGGTACACGGAGCATTCCTCGAGTTGCTGTGCTTAAGTTGGTGTTCCTCTAGACTACGGACAGTGTTCTTGGGGCATCTCTGGAGTTGCCTGAAGGAAGTCGAGCCACCTGTCCTGTTGAATGGGGAACGGGGAATCTCTCTGGAGTCAATGCAGGGGAATCGGGCCTCATCTCGAGTTGATTTGGGGCACATGGAGCTGCTTTGCGTTGCTGGGGTGACCTCAGGGTCCGTCTAGACTGGTGAAAGTGTTCTTGGGGACTGGCTCGAGATCCATTAGGCAAGTCGAAGCTCCTGACTTGCTTGAATGGGATTCACGGAATAGCTCTGCATGCACTGCAGGGGAATGGGGCCTCATCTCGCGTCTAGGGGGAAGTCTCATGGTTTTTCTCGAGTTACGGCGGGGACCTGGGGTATGTTCTCGACTTACGGCGGGGATGGCCCTTCAAAACACGAGTTTCTTCAGTGACGTCAGGACTCCTGTCTAGTAACGAGGGACACCTCAGGAATCACTTCGAGGCTTGGCAGGGCAAAAGGGACGCTTCTCGAGGTGAGGCAGGGCACCCAAGGACCCTTTCCAGTAGCCACAGGGATTTTGGGATTCCTATCAGTATTCAAGAGGAGTCAGGCATCGTCACCTTTTGAAGCAATGTACTCTGCGTGCCTCTCGAGGTGTCAACGGGATGTGAGCCATTCCGTCAAAGTGAGGCAGGGACCTAGGGCTTTCTCTAAGGTCTCCACAGGGGATTCAGACATCCCTTCATGTTGTGAGATGAAAGACGAGCCAGTGTTCAAGCCACTGCAAGGATATCCGGCCTCCTTTCAAGTTAGCACTTCTCGCTGTATATTCCCATTGAGGCAGCATACTCGGGGTCAACCCCACATACCTATTGCTGAGAGAAGCCTCCTCCTGAGGTGCTTCTGGAATGTTGGCATACGTCTTGAGCCTAAGCCAGGGAATCAGCTCTCATCTCGAGACGATTTGGGGTACACGGAGAATTCCTCGAGTTACTGTGCTGAAATTGGTGTTCTTCTAGACTTGGGACAGTGTTCTCGGGGCATCTCTGGAGTTGCCTGAAGGAAGTCGAACCACCGGTCGTGTTGAATGGGGAACGGGGAATGGCTTTGGAGTCAATGCAGGGGAATCGGGCCTCATCTCGAGTTGATTTGGGGCACATGGAGCTGCTTTGCGTTACTGGGTTGACCTCAGGGTCCGTCGAGACTGGTGACAGTGTTCTTGGGGACTGTCTCGAGATCCATTAAGCAAGTCCAAGCTCCTGACTTGTTTGAATGGGATCACGGAATAGCTCTGCATGCACTGCAGGGGAACGGTGCCTCATCTCGCCTCTAGGGGGAAGTCTCATGGTTTTTCTCGAGTTGTGGCGGGGACCTGGGGTATGTTCTCGACTTACGGCGGGATGGCCCTTCAAAACATGAGTTCCTTCAGTGACGTCAGGACTCCTGTCTAGTAATGAGGAACACCTCAGGAATCTCTTCGAGGCTTGGCAGGGCAAAAGGGACGCTTCTCGAGGTGAGGCAGGGCACCCAAGGACCCTTTCCAGTAGCCACAGGGATTTTGGGATTCCTATCAGTATTCAAGAGGAGTCAGGCATCGTCACATTCTGAAGCAATGAACTCTGCGTGCCTCTCGAGGTGTCAGCGGGATGTGAGGCATTCCGTCAAAATGAGGCAGGGACCTAGGGCTTTCTCTAAGGTCTCCACGGGGGATTCAGACATCCCTTCATGTTGTGAGATGAAAGACGAGCCTGTTCAAGCCACTGCTAGAAAATCCGGCCTCCTTTCAAGTTAGGGCTTCTCGCTGTATATTCCCCTTGAGGCAGCAAACTCGGGGTCCCTCCCACATACCTATTGCTGAAAGAAGTCTCCTCCTGAGGTGCTTCTGGAAAGTTGGCATACGTCTTGAGCCTAAGCCAGGGAATCAGCTCTCATCTCGAGACGATTTGGGGTACACGGCACATTCCTCGAGTTACTGTGCTGAAGTTGGTGTTCCTCTAGACTTGGGACAGTGTTCTCGGGGCATCTCTGGAGTTGCCTGAAGGAAGTCGAGCCACCGGTCGTGTTGAATGGGGAACGGGGAATCTCTCTGGAGTCAATTCAGGGGAATCCGGCCTCATCTCGAGTTGATTTGGGGCACATGGAGCTGCTTTGCGTTGCTGGGGTGACCTCATGGTCCGTCTAGACTGGTGACAGTGTTCTTGGGGACTGTCTCGAGATCCATTAAGCAAGTCGAAGCTCCTGACTTGTTTGAATGGGATTACGGAATAGCTCTGCATGCCCTGGAGGGGAATGGGGACTCATCTCGCCTCTAGGGGGAAGTCTCATGGTTTTTCTCGAATTGCGGCGGGGACCTGGGGTATGTTCTCGACTTACGGCGGGGATGGCCCTTCAAAACACGAGTTTCTTCAGTGACGTCAGGACTCCTGTCTAGTAACGAGGGACACCTCAGGAATCTCTTCGAGGCTTGACAGGGCAAAAGGGACGCTTCTCGAGGTGAGGCAGGGCACCCAAGGACCCTTTCCAGTAGCCACAGGGATTTTCGGATTCCTATCAGTATTCAAGAGGAGTCAGGCATCGTCACCTTTTGAAGCAATGAACTCTGCGTGATTCTCGAGGTGTCAGCGGGATGTGAGGCATTCCGTCAAAATGAGGCCGGGACCTAGGGCTTTCTCTAAGGTCTCCACAGGGGATTCAGACATCCCTTCATGTTGTGAGATGAAACACGAGCCTGTATTCTAGCCACTGCAAGGAAATCCGGCCTCCTTTCAAGTTAGGGCTTCTCGCTGTATATTCCCCTTGAGGCAGCATACTCGGGGTCCCTCCCACATACCTATTGCTGAGAGAAGCCTCCTCCTGAGGTGCTTCTGGAAAGTTGGCATACGTCTTGAGCCTAAACCAGGTAATCAGCTCTCATCTCGAGACGATTTGTGGTACACGGAGCATTCCCCGAGTTGCTGTGCTGAAGTTGGTGTTCCTCTAGACTACGGACAGTGTTCTGGGGGCATCTCTGGAGTTGCCTGAAGGAAGTCGAGCCACCGGTCGTGTTGAATGGGGAACGGGGAATGGCTCTAGAGTCAATGCAGGGGAATCGCGCCTCATCTCGAGTTGATTTGGGGCACATGGAGCTGCTTTGCGTTGCTGGGGTGACCTCAGGGTCCGTCTAGACTGGTGACAGTGTTCTTGGGGACTCTCTCGAAATCCATTAAGCAAGTCGAAGCTCCTGACTTGTTTGAATGGGATCACGGAATAGCTCTGCATGCACTGCAGGGGAATGGGGCCTCATCTCGCCTCTAGGGGGAAGTCTCATGGTTTTTCTCGAGTTGCGGCGGGGACCTGGGGTATGTTCTCGACTTACGGCGGGGATGGCCCTTCAAAACACGAGTTTCTTCAGTGACGTCAGGACTCCTGTCTAGTAACGAGGGACACCTCAGGAATCTCTTCGAGGCTTGACAGGGCAAAAGGGACGCTTCTCGAGGTGAGGCAGGGCACCCAAGGACCCTTTCCAGTAGCCACAGGGATTTTCGGATTCCTATCAGTATTCAAGAGGAGTCAGGCATCGTCACCTTTTGAAGCATTGAACTCCGTGTGCCTCTCAAGGTGTCAGAGGGATGTGAGGCATTCCGTCAAAATGAGGCAGGGACCTAGGGCTTTCTCTAAGGTCTCCACAGGGGATTCAGTCATCCCTTCATGTTGTGAGATGAAAGACGAGCCTGTATTCAAGCCACTGCAAGGATATCTGGCCTTCTTTCAAGTTACAGCTTCTCGCTGTATATTCCCCTTGAGGCAGCAAACTCCGGGTCCCTCCCACATACTTATTGCTGAGAGAAGCCTCCTCCTGAGGTGCTTCTGGAAAGTTGGCATACGTCTTGAGCCTAAGCCAGGGAATCAGCTCTCATCTCGAGACGATTTGGGGTACACGGAGCATTCCTCGAGTTGCTGTGCTGAAGTTGGTGTTCCTCTAGACTTGGGACAGTGTTCTCGGGGCATCTCTGCAGTTGCCTGAAGGAAGTCGAGCCACCGGTCGTGTTGAATGGGGAACGGGGAATGGCTCTGGAGTCAATGCAGGGGAATCGGGCCTCATCTCGAGTTGATTTGGGGCACATGGTGCTGCTTTGCGTTGCTGGGCTGACCTCAGGGTCCGTCTAGACTGGTGACAGTGTTCTTGGGGACTCTCTCGAGATACATTAAGCAAGTCGAAGCTCCTGACCTGTTTGAATGGGATCACGGAATAGCTCTGCATGCACTGCAGGGGAATGGGGCCTCATCTCGCCTCTAGGGGGAAGTCTCATGGTTTTTATAGAGTTGCGGCGGGGACCTGGGGTATGTTCTCGACTTACGGCGGGGATCGCCCTTCAAAACACGAGTTCCTTCAGTGACGTCAGGACTCCTGTCTAGTAACGAGGGACACCTCAGGAATCTCTTCGAGGCTTGGCAGGGCAAAAGGGACGCTTCTCGAGGTGAGGCAGGGCACCCAAGGACCCTTTCCAGTAGCCACAGGGATTTTGGGATTCCTATCAGTATTCAAGAGGAGTCAGGCATAATCACCTTTTGAAGCAATGAACTCTGCGTGCCTCTCGAGGTGTCAGCGGGATGTGAGGCATTCCGTCAAAATGAGGCCGGGACCTAGGGCTTTCTCTAAGGTCTCCACAGGGGATTCAGACAACCCTTCATGTTGTGAGATGAAACACGAGCCTGTATTCAAGCCACTGCAAGGAAATCCGGCCTCCTTTCAAGTTAGGGCTTCTCGCTGTATATTCCCCTTGAGGCTGCATACTCGGGGTCCCTCCCACATACCTATTGCTGAGAGAAGCCTCCTCCTGAGGTGCTTCTGGAAAGTTGGCATACGTCTTGAGCCTAAGCCAGGGAATCAGCTCTCATCTCGAGACGATTTGTGGTACACGGAGCATTCCCCGAGTTGCTGTGCTGAAGTTGGTGTTCCTCTAGACTACGGACAGTGTTCTGGGGGCATCTCTGGAGTTGCCTGAAGGAAGTCGAGCCACCGGTCGTGTTGAATGGGGAACGGGGAATGGCTCTAGAGTCAATGCAGGGGAATCGGGCCTCATCTCGAGTTGATTTGGGGCACATGGAGCTGCTTTGCGTTGCTGGGGTGACCTCAGGGTCCGTCTAGACTGGTGACAGTGTTCTTGGGGACTGTCTCGAGATCCATTAAGCAAGTCGAAGCTCCTGACTTGTTTGAATGGGATCACGGAATAGCTCTGCATGCACTGCAGGGGAATGGGGCCTCATCTCGCCTCTAGGGGGAAGTCTCATTGTTTTTCTCGAGTTGTGGCAGGGACCTGGGGTATGTTCTCGACTTACGGCGGGGATGGCCCTTCAAAACACGAGTTCCTTCAGTGACGTCAGGACTCCTGTCTAGTAACGAGGGACACCTCAGGAATCTCTTCGACGCTTGGCAGGGCAAAAGGGACGCTTCTCGAGGTGAGGCAGGGCACCCAAGGACCCTTTCCAGTAGCCACAGTGATTTTGGGATTCCTATCAGTATTCAAGAGGAGTCAGGCATCGTCACCTTTTGAAGCAATGTACTCTGCGTGCCTCTCGAGGTGTCAACGGGATGTGAGCCATTCCGTCAAAATGAGGCAGGGACCTAGGGCTTTCTCTAAGGTCTCCACAGGGGATTCAGACATCCCTTCATGTTGTGAGATGAAAGACGAGCCTGTGTACAAGCCACTGCAAGGATATCCGGCCTCCTTTCAAGTTAGCGCTTCTCGCTGTATATTCCCCTTGAGGCAGCATACTCGGGGTCAACCCCACATACCTATTGCTGAGAGAAGCCTCCTCCTGAGGTGCTTCTGGAAAGTTGGCATACGTCTTGAGCCTAAGCCAGGGAATCAGCTCTCATCTCGAGACGATTTGGGGTACACGGAGAATTCCTCGAGTTGCTGTGCTGAAGTTGGTGTTCCTCTAGACTTGGGACAGTGTTCTCGGGGCATCTCTGGAGTTGCCTGAAGGAAGTCGAGCCACCGGTCGTGTTGAATGGGGAACGGTGAATGGCTCTGGAGTCAATGCAGGGGAATCGGGCCTCATCTCGAGTTGATTTGGGGCACATGGAGCTGCTTTGCGTTGCTGGGCTGACCTCAGGGTCCGTCTAGACTGGTGACAGTGTTCTTGGGGACTCTCTCGAGATCCATTAAGCAAGTCGAAGCTCCTGACTTGTTTGAATGGGATCACGGAATAGCTCTGCATGCACTGCAGGGGAATGGGTAATCATCTCGCCTCTAGGGGGAAGTCTCATGGTTTTTCTCGAGTTGCGGCGGGGACCTGGGGTATGTTCTCGACTTACGGCGGGGATGGCCCTTCAAAACACGAGTTTCTTCAGTGACGTCAGGACTCCTGTCTAGTAACGAGGGACAACTCAGGAATCTCTTCGAGGCTTGGCAGGGCAAAAGGGACGCTTCTCGAGGTGAGGCAGGGCACCCACGGACCCTTTCCAGTAGCCACAGGGATTTTCGGATTCCTATCAGTATTCAAGAGGAGTCAGGCATCGTCACCTTTTGAAGCATTGAACTCCGTGTGCCTCTCAAGGTGTCAGAGGGATGTGAGGCATTCCGTCAAAATGAGGCAGGGACCTAGGGCTTTCTCTAAGGTCTCCACAGGGGATTCAGACATCTCTTCATGTTGTGAGATGAAAGACGAGCCTGTATTCAAGCCACTGCAAGGATATCTGGCCTCCTTTCAAGTTAGGGCTTCTCGCTGTATATTCCCCTTGAGGCAGCAAACTCCGGGTCCCTCCCACATACTTATTGCTGAGAGAAGCCTCCTCCTGAGGTGCTTCTGGAAAGTTGGCATACGTCTTGAGCCTAAGCCAGGGAATCAGCTCTCATCTCGAGACGATTTGGGGTACACGGAGCATTCCTCGAGTTGCTGTGCTGAAGTTGGTGTTCCTCTAGACTTGGGACAGTGTTCTCGGGGCATCTCTGCAGTTGCCTGAAGGAAGTCGAGCCACCGGTCGTGTTGAATGGGGAACGGGAAATGGCTCTGGAGTCAATGCAGGGGAATCGGGCCTCATCTCGAGTTGATTTGGGGCACATGGTGCTGCTTTGCGTTGCTGGGCTGACCTCAGGGTCCGTCTAGACTGGTGACAGTGTTCTTGGGGACTGTCTCGAGATCCATTAAGCAAGTCGAAGCTCCTGACTTGTTTGAATGGGATCACGGAATAGCTCTGCATGCACTGCAGGGGAATGGGGCCTCATCTCGCCTCTAGGGGGAAGTCTCATGGTTTTTCTAGAGTTGCGGCGGGGACCTGGGGTATGTTCTCGACTTACGGCGGGGATGGAACTTCAAAACACGAGTTTCCTCAGTGACGTCAGGACTCCTGTGTAATAACGAGGTACACCTCAGGAATCTCTTCGAGTCTTGGCAGGGCAAAAGGGACGCTTCTCGAGGTGATGCAGGGCACCCAAGGACCCTTTCCAGTAGCCACAGGGATTTTGGGATTCCTATCAGTATTCAAGAGGAGTCAGGCATCGTCACCTTTTGAAGCAATGAACTCTGCGTGATTCTCGAGGTGTCAGCGGGATGTGAGGCATTCCGTCAAAATGAGGCAGGGAACTAGGGCTTTCTCTAAGGTCTCCACAGGGGATTCAGACATCCCTTCATGTTGTGAGATGAAACACGAGCCTGTATTCAAGCCACTGCAAGGAAATCCGGCCTCCTTTCAAGTTAGGGCTTCTCGCTGTATATTCCCCTTGAGGCAGCATACTCGGGGTCCCTCCCACATACCTATTGCTGAGAGAAGCCTCCTCCTGAGGTGCTTCTGGAAAGTTGGCATACGTCTTGAGCCTAAGCCAGGGAATCAGCTCTCATCTCGAGACGATTTGTGGTACACGGAGCATTCCCCGAGTTGCTGTGCTGAAGTTGGTGTTCCTCTAGACTACGGACAGTGTTCTGGGGGCATCTCTGGAGTTGCCTGAAGGAAGTCGAGCCACCGGTCTTGTTGAATGGGGAACGGGGAATGGCTCTAGAGTCAATGCAGGGGAATCGGGCCTCATCTCGAGTTGATTTGGGGAACATGGAGCTGCTTTGCGTTGCTGGGGTGACATCAGGGTCCGTCTAGACTGGTGACAGTGTTCTTGGGGACTGTCTCGAGATCCATTAAGCAAGTCGAAGCTCCTGACTTGTTTGAATGGGATCACGGAATAGCTCTGCATGCACTGCAGGGGAATGGGGCCTCATCTCGCCTCTAGGGGGAAGTCTCATGGTTTTTCTCGAGTTGCGGCGGGGACCTGGGGTATGTTCTCGACTTACGGTGGGGATGGCCCTTCAAAACACGAGTTTCTTCAGTGACGTCAGGACTCCTGTCTAGTAACGACGGACACCTCAGGAATCTCTTCGAGGCTTGGCAGGGCAAAAGGGACGCTTCTCGAGGTGAGGCAGGGCACCCAAGGACCCTTTCCAGTAGCCACAGGGATTTTCGGATTCCTATCAGTATTCAAGAGGAGTCAGGCACCGTCACCTTTTGAAGCAATGAACTCCGTGTGCCTCTCGAGGTGTCAGCGGGATGTGAGGCATTCCGTCAAAATGAGGCAGGGACCTAGGGCTTTCTCTAAGGTCTCCACAGGGGATTCAGACATCCCTTCATGTTGTGAGATGAAAGACGAGCCTGTGTTCAAGCCACTGCAAGGATATCCGGCCTCCTTTCAAGTTAGCGCTTCTCGCTGTATATTCCCCTTGAGGCAGCATACTCGGGGTCAACCCCACATACCTATTGCTGAGAGAAGCCTCCTCCTGAGGTGCTTCTGGAAAGTTGGCATACGTCTTGAGCCTAAGCCAGGGAATCAGCTCTCATCTCGAGACGATTTGGGGTACACGGAGAATTCCTCGAGTTGCTGTGTTGAAGTTGGTGTTCCTCTAGACTTGGGACAGTGTTCTCGGGGCATCTCTGGAGTTGCCTGAATTAAGTCGAGCCACCGGTCCTGTTGAATGGGGAATGGGGAATGGCTCTGGAGTCAATGCAGGGGAATCGGGCATCATCTCGAGTTGATTTGGGGCACATGGAGCTGCTTTGCGTTGATGGGGTGACCTCAGGGTCCGTCTAGACTGGTGACAGTGTTCTTGGGGACTGTCTCGAGATCCATTAAGCAAGTCGAAGCTCCTGACTTGTTTGAATGGGATCACGGAATAGCTCTGCATGCACTGCAGGGGAATGGGGCCTCATCTCGCCTCTAGGGGGAAGTCTCATGGTTTTTCTCGAGTTGCGGCGGGGACCTGGGGTATGTTCTCGACTTACGGCGGGATGGCCCTTCAAAACATGAGTTCCTTCAGTGACGTCAGGACTCCTGTCTAGTAATGAGGAACACCTCAGGAATCTCTTCGAGGCTTGGCAGGGCAAAAGGGACGCTTCTCGAGGTGAGGCAGGGCACCCAAGGACCCATTCCAGTAGCCACAGGGATTTTGGGATTCCTATCAGTATTCAAGAGGAGTCAGGCATCGTCACCTTCTGAAGCAATGAACTCTGCGTGCCTCTCGAGTTGTCAGCGGGATGTGAGGCATTCCGTCAAAATGAGGCAGGGACCTAGGGCTTTCTCTAAGGTCTCCACAGGGGATTCAGACATCCCTTCATGTTGTGAGATGAAAGACGAGCCTGTATTCAAGACACTGCTAGAAAATCCGGCCTCCTTTCAAGTTAGGGCTTCTCGCTGTATATTCCCCTTGAGGCAGCAACCTCGGGGTCCCTCCCACATATCTATTGCTGAGAGAAGCCTCCTCCTGAGGTGCTTCTGGAAAGTTGGCATACGTCTTGAGCCTAAGCCAGGGAATCAGCTCTCATCTCGAGACGATTTTGGGTACACGGAGCATTCCTCGAGTTGCTGTGCTGAAGTTGGTGTTCCTCTAGACTTGGGACAGTGTTCTCGGGGCATCTCTGGAGTTGCCTGAAGGAAGTCGAGCCACCGGTCGTGTTGAATGGGGAACGGGGAATGGCTCTGGAGTCAATGCAGGGGAATCGGGCCTCATCTCGAGTTGATTTGGGGCACATGGAGCTGCTTTGCATTGCTGGGGTGACCTCAGGGTCCGTCTAGACTGGTGAAAGTGTTCTTGGGGACTGGCTCGAGATCCATTAAGCAAGTCGAAGCTCCTGACTTGCTTGAATGGGATTCACGGAATAGCTCTGCATGCACTGCAGGGGAATGGGGCCTCATCTCGCGTCTAGGGGGAAGTCTCATGGTTTTTCTCGAGTTACGGCAGGGACCTGGGGTATGTTCTCGACTTACGGCGGGGATGGCCCTTCAAAACACGAGTTTCTTCAGTGACGTCAGGACTCCTGTCTAGTAACGAGGGACACCTCAGAAATCACTTCGAGGCTTGGCAGGGCAAAAGGGACGCTTCTCGAGGTGAGGCAGGGCACCCAAGGAACCTTTCCAGTAGCCACAGGGATTTTGGGATTCCTATCAGTATTCAAGAGGAGTCAGGCATCGTCACCTTTTGAAGCAATGTACTCTGCGTGCCTCTCGAGGTGTCAACGGGATGTGAGCCATTCCGTCAAAATGAGGCAGGGACCTAGGGCTTTCTCTAAGGTCTCCACAGGGGATTCAGACATCCCTTCATGTTGTGAGATGAAAGACGAGCCTGTGTTCAAGCCACTGCAAGGATATCCGGCCTCCTTTCAAGTTAGCGCTTCTCGCTGTATATTCCCCTTGAGGCAGCATACTCGGGGTCAACCCCACATACCTATTGCTGAGAGAAGCCTCCTCCTGAGGTGCTTCTGGAATGTTGGCATACGTCTTGAGCCTAAGCCAGGGAATCAGCTCTCATCTCGAGACGATTTGGGGTACACGGAGAATTCCTCGAGTTGCTGTGCTGAAGTTGGTGTTCCTCTAGACTTGGGACAGTGTTCTCGGGGCATCTCTGGAGTTGCCTAAAGGAAGTCGAACCACCGGTCGTGTTGAATGGGGAACGGGGAATGGCTTTGGAGTCAATGCAGGGGAATCAGGCCTCATCTCGAGTTGATTTGCGGCACATGGAGCTGCTTTGCGTTGCTGGGTTGACCTCAGGGTCCGTCTAGACTGGTGACAGTGTTCTTGGGGACTCTCTCGAGATCCATTAAGCAAGTCGAAGCTCCTGACTTGTTTGAATGGGATCACGGAATAGCTCTGCATGCACTGCAGGGGAATGGTGCCTCATCTCGCCTCTAGGGGGAAGTCTCATGGTTTTTCTCGAGTTGCGGCGGGGACCTGGGGTATGTTCTCGACTTACGGCGGGATGGCCCTTCAAAACATGAGTTCCATCAGTGACGTCAGGACTCCTGTCTAGTAATCAGGAACACCTCAGGAATCTCTTCGAGGCTTGGCAGGGCAAAAGGGACGCTTCTCGAGGTGAGGCAGGGCACCCAAGGACCCTTTCCAGTAGCCACAGGGATTTTGGGATTCCTATCAGTATTCAAGAGGAGTCAGGCATCGTCACATTCTTAAGCAATGAACTCTGCGTGCCTCTCGAGGTGTCAGCGGGATGTGAGGCATTCCGTCAAAATGAGGCAGGGACCTAGGGCTTTCTCTAAGGTCTCCACGGGGGATTCAGACATCCCTTCATGTTGTGAGATGAAAGACGAGCCTGTATTCAAGCCACTGCTAGAAAATCCGGCCTCCTTTCAAGTTAGGGCTTCTCGCTGTATATTCCCCTTGAGGCAGCAAACTCGGGGTCCCTCCCACATACCTATTGCTGAAAGAAGTCTCCTCCTGAGGTGCTTCTGGAAAGTTGGCATACGTCTTGAGCCTAAGCCAGGGAATCAGCTCTCATCTCGAGACGATTTGGGGTACACGGAGCATTCCTCGAGTTGCTGTGCTGAAGTTGGTGTTCCTCTAGACTTGGGACAGAGTTCTCGGGGCATCTCTGGAGTTGCCTGAATGAAGTCGAGGCACCGGTCGTGTTGAATGGGGAACGGGGAATCTCTCTTGAGTCAATTCAGGGGAATCCGGCCTCATCTCGAGTTGATTTGGGGCACATGGAGCTGCTTTGCGTTGCTCGGGTGACCTCAGGGTCCGTCTAGACTGGTGACAGTGTTCTTGGGGACTGTCTCGAGATCCATTAAGCAAGTCGAAGCTCCTGACTTGTTTGAATGGGATCACGGAATAGCTCTGCATGCACTGCAGGGGAATGGGGACTCATCTCGCCTCTAGGGGGAAGTCTCATGGTTTTTCTCGAATTGCGGCGGGGACCTGGGGTATGTTCTCGACTTACGGCGGGGATGGCCCTTGAAAACACGAGTTTCTTCAGTGACGTCAGGACTCCTGTGTAATAACGAGGTACACCTCAGGAATCTCTTCGAGGCTTGGCAGGGCAAAAGGGACGCTTCTCGAGGTGAGGCAGGGCACCCAAGGACCCTTTCCAGTAGCCACAGGGATTTTCGGATTCCTATCAGTATTCAAGAGGAGTCAGGCATCGTCACCTTTTGAAGCAATGAACTCCGTGTGCCTCTCGAGGTGTCAGCGGGATGTGAGGCATTCCGTCAAAATAGGCAGGGACCTAGGGCTTTCTCTAAGGTCTCCACAGGGGATTCAGACATCCCTTCATGTTGTGAGATGAAACACGAGCCTGTATTCAAGCCACTGCAAGGAAATCCGGCCTCCTTTCAAGTTAGGGCTTCTCGCTGTATATTCCCCTTGAGGCAGCAAACTCGGGGTCCCTCCCACATATCTATTGCTGAGAGAAGCCTCCTCCTGAGGTGCTTCTGGAAAGTTGGCATACGTCTTGAGCCTAAGCCAGGGAATCAGCTCTCATCTCGAGACGATTTGTGGTACACGGAGCATTCCCCGAGTTGCTGTGCTGAAGTTGGTGTTCCTCTAGACTACGGACAGTGTTCTGGGGGCATCTCTGGAGTTGCCTGAAGGAAGTCGAGCCACCGGTCGTGTTGAATGGGGAGCGGGGAATGGCTCTGGAGTCAATGCAGGGGAATCGGGCCTCATCTCGAGTTAATTTGGGGCACATGGAGCTGCTTTGCGTTGCTGGGCTGACCTCAGGGTCCGTCTAGACTGGTGACAGTGTTCTTGGGGACTCTCTCGAGATCCATTAAGCAAGTCGAAGCTCCTGACTTGTTTGAATGGGATCACGGAATAGCTCTGCATGCACTGCAGGGGAATGGGGCCTCATCTCGCCTCTAGGGGAAGTCTCATGGTTTTTCTCGAGTTGCGGCGGGGACCTGGGGTATGTTCTCAACTTACGGCGGGGATGGCCCTTCAAAACTCGAGTTTCTTCAGTGACGTCAGGACTCCTGTCTAGTAACGAGGGACAACTCAGGAATCTCTTCGAGGCTTGACAGGGCAAAAGGGACGCTTCTCGAGGTGAGGCAGGGCACCCAAGGACCCTTTCCAGTAGCCACAGGGATTTTCGAATTCCTATCAGTATTCAAGAGGAGTCAGGCATCGTCACCTTTTGAAGCATTGAACTCCGTGTGCCTCTCAAGGTGTCAGAGGGATGTGAGGCATTCCGTCAAAATGAGGCAGGGACCTAGGGCTTTCTCTAAGGTCTCCACAGGGGATTCAGACATCCCTTCATGTTGTGAGATGAAAGACGAGCCTGTAGTCAAGCCACTGCAAGGATATCTGGCCTCCTTTCAAGTTACGGCTTCTCGCTGTATATTCCCCTTGAGGCAGCAAACTCCGGGTCCCTCCCACATACTTATTGCTGAGAGAAGCCTCCTCCTGAGGTGCTTCTGGAAAGTTGGCATACGTCTTGAGCCTAAGCCAGGGAATCAGCTCTCATCTCGAGACGATTTGGGGTACACGGAGCATTCCTCGAGTTGCTGTGCTGAAGTTGGTGTTCCTCTAGACTTGGGACAGTGTTCTCGGGGCATCTCTGCAGTTGCCTGAAGGAAGTCGAGCCACCGTTCGTGTTGAATGGGGAACGGGGAATGGCTCTGGAGTCAATGCAGGGGAATCGGGCCTCATCTCGAGTTGATTTGGGGCACATGGTGCTGCTTTGCGTTGCTGGGCTGACCTCAGGGTCCGTCTAGACTGGTGACAGTGTTCTTGGGGACTGTCTCGAGATCCATTAAGCAAGTCGAAGCTCCTGACTTGTTTGAATGGGATCACGGAATAGCTCTGCATGCACTGCAGGGGAATGGGGCCTCATCTCGCCTCTAGGGGGAAGTCTCATGGTTTTTCTAGAGTTGCGGCGGGGACCTGGGGTATGTTCTCGACTTACGGCGGGGATGGCCCTTCAAAACACGAGTTTCTTCAGTGACGTCAGGACTCCAGTGTAATAATGAGGTACACCTCAGGAATCTCTTCGAGGCTTGGCAGGGCAAAAGGGACGCTTCTCGAGGTGATGCAGGGCACCCAAGGACCCTTTCCAGTAGCCACAGGGATTTTGGGATTCCTATCAGTATTCAAGAGGAGTCAGGCATCGTCACCTTTTGAAGCAATGAACTCTGCGTGATTCTCGAGGTGTCAGCGGAATGTGAGGCATTCCGTCAAAATGAGGCAGGGAACTAGGGCTTTCTCTAAGGTCTCCACAGGGGATTCAGTCATCCCTTCATGTTGTGAGATGAAAGACGAGCCTGTATTCAAGCCACTGCAAGGAAATCCGGCCTCCTTTCAAGTTAGGGCTTCTCGCTGTATATTCCCCTTGAGGCAGCATACTCGGGGTCCCTCCCACATACCTATTGCTGAGAGAAGCCTTCTCCTGAGGTGCTTCTGGAAAGTTGGCATACGTCTTGAGCCTAAGCCAGGGAATCAGCTCTCATCTCGAGACGATTTGTGGTACACGGAGCATTCCCCGAGTTGCTGTGCTGAAGTTGGTGTTCCTCTAGACTACGGACAGTGTTCTGGGGGCATCTCTGGAGTTGCCTGAAGGAAGTCGAGCCACCGGTCGTGTTGAATGGGGAACGGGGAATGGCTCTAGAGTCAATGCAGGGGAATCGGGCCTCATCTCGAGTTGATTTGGGGAACATGGAGCTGCTTTGCGTTGCTGGGCTGACCTCAGGGTCCGTCTAGACTGGTGACAGTGTTCTTGGGGACTGTCTCGAGATCCATTAAGCAAGTCGAAGCGCCTGACTTGTTTGAATGGGATCACGGAATAGCTCTGCATGCACTGCAGGGGAATGGGGCCTCATCTCGCCTCTAGGGGGAAGTCTCATGGTTTTTCTCGAGTTGCGGCGGGGACCTGGGGTATGTTCTCGACTTAAGGCGGGGATGGCCCTTCAAAACACGAGTTTCTTCAGTGACGTCAGGACTCCTGTGTAATAACGAGGTACACCTCAGGAATCTCTTCGAGGCTTGGCAGGGCAAAAGGGACGCTTCTCGAGGTGAGGCAGGGCACCCAAGGACCCTTTCCAGTAGCCACAGGGATTTTCGGATTCCTATCAGTATTCAAGAGGAGTCAGGCATCGTCACCTTTTGAAGCAATAAACTCCGTGTGCCTCTCGAGGTGTCAGCGGGATGTGAGGCATTCCGTCAAAATGAGGCAGGGACCTAGGGCTTTCTCTAAGGTCTCCACAGGGGATTCAGACATCCCTTCATGTTGTGAGATGAAACACGAGCCTGTATTCAATCCACTGCAAGGAAATCCGGCCTCCTTTCAAGTTAGGGCTTCTCGCTGTATATTCCCCTTGAGGCAGCAAACTCGGGGTCCCTCCCACATACTTATTGCTGAGAGAAGCCTCCTCCTGAGGTGCTTCTGGAAAGTTGGCATATGTCTTGAGCCTAAGCCAGGGAATCAGCTCTCATCTCGAGACGATTTGTGGTACAAGGAGCATTCCCCAAGTTGCTATTCTGAAGTTGGTTTTCCTCTAGACTACGGACAGTGTTCTCGGGGCATCTCTGGAGTTGCCTGAAGGAAGTCGAGCCACCGGTCTTGTTGAATGGGGAACGGGGAATGGCTCTGGAGTCAATGCAGGGGAATTGGGCCTCATCTCGAGTTGATTTGGGGCATATGGAGCTGCTTTGCGTTGCTGGGGTGACCTCAGGGTCCGTCTAGACTGGTGACAGTGTTCTTGGGGACTGTCTCGAGATCCATTAAGCAAGTCGAAGCTCCTGACTTGTTTGAATGGGATCACGGAATAGCTCTGCATGCACTGCAGGGGAATGGGGCCTCATCTCGCCTCTAGGGGGAAGTCTCATGGTTTTTCTCGAGTTGCGGCGGAGACCTGGGGTTTGTTATCGATTTACGGCGGGGATCGCCCTTCAAAACAGGAGTTCCTTCAGTGACGTCAGGACTCCTGTCTAGTAACGAGGGACACCTCAGGAATCTCTTCGAGGCTTGGCAGGGCAAAAGGGACGCTTCTCGAGGTGAGGCAGGGCACCCAAGGACCCTTTCCAGTAGCCACAGGGATTTTGGGATTCCTATCAGTATTCAAGAGGAGTCAGGCATCGTCACCTTTTGAAGCAATGAACTCTGCGTGCCTCTCGAGGTGTCAGCGGGATGTGAGGCATTCCGTCAAAATGAGGCAGGGACCTAGGGCTTTCTCTAAGGTCTCCACAGGGGATTCAAACATCCCTTCATGTTGTGAGATGAAAGACGAGCCTGTGTTCAAGCCACTGCAAGGATATCCGGCCTCTTTTCAAGTTAGGGCTTCTCGCTGTATATTCCCCTTGAGGCAGCATACTCGGGGTCAACCCCACATACCTATTGCTGAGAGAAGCCTCCTCCTGAGGTGCTTCTGGAAAGTTGGCATACGTCTTGAGCCTAAGCCAGGGAATCAGCTCTCATCTCGAGACGATTTGGGGTACACGGAGAATTCCTCGAGTTGCTGTGTTGAAGTTGGTGTTCCTCTAGACTTGGGACAGTGTTCTCGGGGCATCTCTGGAGTTGCCTGAAGGAAGTCGAGCCACCGGTCCTGTTGAATGGGGAATGGGGAATGGCTCTGGAGTCAATGCAGGGGAATCGGGCCTCATCTCGAGTTGATTTGGGGCACATGGAGCTGCTTTGCGTTGCTGGGGTGACCTCAGGGTCCGTCTAGACTGGTGACAGTGTTCTTGGGGACTGTCTCGAGATCCATTAAGCAAGTCGAAGCTCCTGACTTGTTTGAATGGGATCACGGAATAGCTCTGCATGCACTGCAGGGGAATGGTGCCTCATCTCGCCTCTAGGGGGAAGTCTCATGGTTTTTCTCGAGTTGCGGCGGGGACCTGGGGTATGTTCTCGACTTACGGCGGGATGGCCCTTCAAAACATGAGTTCCTTCAGTGACGTCAGGACTCCTGTCTAGTAATGAGGAACACCTCAGGAATCTCTTCGAGGCTTGGCAGGGCAAAAGGGACGCTTCTCGAGGTGAGGCAGGGCACCCAAGGACCCATTCCAGTAGCCACAGGGATTTTGGGATTCCTATCAGTATTCAAGAGGAGTCAGGCATCGTCACCTTCTGAAGCAATGAACTCTGCGTGCCTCTCGAGTTGTCAGCGGGATGTGAGGCATTCCGTCAAAATGAGGCAGGGACCTAGGGCTTTCTCTAAGGTCTCCACAGGGGATTCAGACATCCCTTCATGTTGTGAGATGAAAGACGAGCCTGTATTCAAGACACTGCTAGAAAATCCGGCCTCCTTTCAAGTTAGGGCTTCTCGCTGTATATTCCCCTTGAGGCAGCAACCTCGGGGTCCCTCCCACATATCTATTGCTGAGAGAAGCCTCCTCCTGAGGTGCTTCTGGAAAGTTGGCATACGTCTTGAGCCTAAGCCAGGGAATCAGCTCTCATCTCGAGACGATTTTGGGTACACGGAGCATTCCTCGAGTTGCTGTGCTGAAGTTGGTGTTCCTCTAGACTTGGGACAGTGTTCTCGGGGCATCTCTGGAGTTGCCTGAAGGAAGTCGAGCCACCGGTCGTGTTGAATGGGGAACGGGGAATGGCTCTGGAGTCAATGCAGGGGAATCGGGCCTCATCTCGAGTTGATTTGGGGCACATGGAGCTGCTTTGCATTGCTGGGGTGACCTCAGGGTCCGTCTAGACTGGTGAAAGTGTTCTTGGGGACTGGCTCGAGATCCATTAAGCAAGTCGAAGCTCCTGACTTGCTTGAATGGGATTCACGGAATAGCTCTGCATGCACTGCAGGGGAATGGGGCCTCATCTCGCGTCTAGGGGGAAGTCTCATGGTTTTTCTCGAGTTACGGCAGGGACCTGGGGTATGTTCTCGACTTACGGCGGGGATGGCCCTTCAAAACACGAGTTTCTTCAGTGACGTCAGGACTCCTGTCTAGTAACGAGGGACACCTCAGAAATCACTTCGAGGCTTGGCAGGGCAAAAGGGACGCTTCTCGAGGTGAGGCAGGGCACCCAAGGAACCTTTCCAGTAGCCACAGGGATTTTGGGATTCCTATCAGTATTCAAGAGGAGTCAGGCATCGTCACCTTTTGAAGCAATGTACTCTGCGTGCCTCTCGAGGTGTCAACGGGATGTGAGCCATTCCGTCAAAATGAGGCAGGGACCTAGGGCTTTCTCTAAGGTCTCCACAGGGGATTCAGACATCCCTTCATGTTGTGAGATGAAAGACGAGCCTGTGTTCAAGCCACTGCAAGGATATCCGGCCTCCTTTCAAGTTAGCGCTTCTCGCTGTATATTCCCCTTGAGGCAGCATACTCGGGGTCAACCCCACATACCTATTGCTGAGAGAAGCCTCCTCCTGAGGTGCTTCTGGAATGTTGGCATACGTCTTGAGCCTAAGCCAGGGAATCAGCTCTCATCTCGAGACGATTTGGGGTACACGGAGAATTCCTCGAGTTGCTGTGCTGAAGTTGGTGTTCCTCTAGACTTGGGACAGTGTTCTCGGGGCATCTCTGGAGTTGCCTAAAGGAAGTCGAACCACCGGTCGTGTTGAATGGGGAACGGGGAATGGCTTTGGAGTCAATGCAGGGGAATCAGGCCTCATCTCGAGTTGATTTGCGGCACATGGAGCTGCTTTGCGTTGCTGGGTTGACCTCAGGGTCCGTCTAGACTGGTGACAGTGTTCTTGGGGACTCTCTCGAGATCCATTAAGCAAGTCGAAGCTCCTGACTTGTTTGAATGGGATCACGGAATAGCTCTGCATGCACTGCAGGGGAATGGTGCCTCATCTCGCCTCTAGGGGGAAGTCTCATGGTTTTTCTCGAGTTGCGGCGGGGACCTGGGGTATGTTCTCGACTTACGGCGGGATGGCCCTTCAAAACATGAGTTCCATCAGTGACGTCAGGACTCCTGTCTAGTAATCAGGAACACCTCAGGAATCTCTTCGAGGCTTGGCAGGGCAAAAGGGACGCTTCTCGAGGTGAGGCAGGGCACCCAAGGACCCTTTCCAGTAGCCACAGGGATTTTGGGATTCCTATCAGTATTCAAGAGGAGTCAGGCATCGTCACATTCTTAAGCAATGAACTCTGCGTGCCTCTCGAGGTGTCAGCGGGATGTGAGGCATTCCGTCAAAATGAGGCAGGGACCTAGGGCTTTCTCTAAGGTCTCCACGGGGGATTCAGACATCCCTTCATGTTGTGAGATGAAAGACGAGCCTGTATTCAAGCCACTGCTAGAAAATCCGGCCTCCTTTCAAGTTAGGGCTTCTCGCTGTATATTCCCCTTGAGGCAGCAAACTCGGGGTCCCTCCCACATACCTATTGCTGAAAGAAGTCTCCTCCTGAGGTGCTTCTGGAAAGTTGGCATACGTCTTGAGCCTAAGCCAGGGAATCAGCTCTCATCTCGAGACGATTTGGGGTACACGGAGCATTCCTCGAGTTGCTGTGCTGAAGTTGGTGTTCCTCTAGACTTGGGACAGAGTTCTCGGGGCATCTCTGGAGTTGCCTGAATGAAGTCGAGGCACCGGTCGTGTTGAATGGGGAACGGGGAATCTCTCTTGAGTCAATTCAGGGGAATCCGGCCTCATCTCGAGTTGATTTGGGGCACATGGAGCTGCTTTGCGTTGCTCGGGTGACCTCAGGGTCCGTCTAGACTGGTGACAGTGTTCTTGGGGACTGTCTCGAGATCCATTAAGCAAGTCGAAGCTCCTGACTTGTTTGAATGGGATCACGGAATAGCTCTGCATGCACTGCAGGGGAATGGGGACTCATCTCGCCTCTAGGGGGAAGTCTCATGGTTTTTCTCGAATTGCGGCGGGGACCTGGGGTATGTTCTCGACTTACGGCGGGGATGGCCCTTGAAAACACGAGTTTCTTCAGTGACGTCAGGACTCCTGTGTAATAACGAGGTACACCTCAGGAATCTCTTCGAGGCTTGGCAGGGCAAAAGGGACGCTTCTCGAGGTGAGGCAGGGCACCCAAGGACCCTTTCCAGTAGCCACAGGGATTTTCGGATTCCTATCAGTATTCAAGAGGAGTCAGGCATCGTCACCTTTTGAAGCAATGAACTCCGTGTGCCTCTCGAGGTGTCAGCGGGATGTGAGGCATTCCGTCAAAATAGGCAGGGACCTAGGGCTTTCTCTAAGGTCTCCACAGGGGATTCAGACATCCCTTCATGTTGTGAGATGAAACACGAGCCTGTATTCAAGCCACTGCAAGGAAATCCGGCCTCCTTTCAAGTTAGGGCTTCTCGCTGTATATTCCCCTTGAGGCAGCAAACTCGGGGTCCCTCCCACATATCTATTGCTGAGAGAAGCCTCCTCCTGAGGTGCTTCTGGAAAGTTGGCATACGTCTTGAGCCTAAGCCAGGGAATCAGCTCTCATCTCGAGACGATTTGTGGTACACGGAGCATTCCCCGAGTTGCTGTGCTGAAGTTGGTGTTCCTCTAGACTACGGACAGTGTTCTGGGGGCATCTCTGGAGTTGCCTGAAGGAAGTCGAGCCACCGGTCGTGTTGAATGGGGAGCGGGGAATGGCTCTGGAGTCAATGCAGGGGAATCGGGCCTCATCTCGAGTTAATTTGGGGCACATGGAGCTGCTTTGCGTTGCTGGGCTGACCTCAGGGTCCGTCTAGACTGGTGACAGTGTTCTTGGGGACTCTCTCGAGATCCATTAAGCAAGTCGAAGCTCCTGACTTGTTTGAATGGGATCACGGAATAGCTCTGCATGCACTGCAGGGGAATGGGGCCTCATCTCGCCTCTAGGGGAAGTCTCATGGTTTTTCTCGAGTTGCGGCGGGGACCTGGGGTATGTTCTCAACTTACGGCGGGGATGGCCCTTCAAAACTCGAGTTTCTTCAGTGACGTCAGGACTCCTGTCTAGTAACGAGGGACAACTCAGGAATCTCTTCGAGGCTTGACAGGGCAAAAGGGACGCTTCTCGAGGTGAGGCAGGGCACCCAAGGACCCTTTCCAGTAGCCACAGGGATTTTCGAATTCCTATCAGTATTCAAGAGGAGTCAGGCATCGTCACCTTTTGAAGCATTGAACTCCGTGTGCCTCTCAAGGTGTCAGAGGGATGTGAGGCATTCCGTCAAAATGAGGCAGGGACCTAGGGCTTTCTCTAAGGTCTCCACAGGGGATTCAGACATCCCTTCATGTTGTGAGATGAAAGACGAGCCTGTAGTCAAGCCACTGCAAGGATATCTGGCCTCCTTTCAAGTTACGGCTTCTCGCTGTATATTCCCCTTGAGGCAGCAAACTCCGGGTCCCTCCCACATACTTATTGCTGAGAGAAGCCTCCTCCTGAGGTGCTTCTGGAAAGTTGGCATACGTCTTGAGCCTAAGCCAGGGAATCAGCTCTCATCTCGAGACGATTTGGGGTACACGGAGCATTCCTCGAGTTGCTGTGCTGAAGTTGGTGTTCCTCTAGACTTGGGACAGTGTTCTCGGGGCATCTCTGCAGTTGCCTGAAGGAAGTCGAGCCACCGTTCGTGTTGAATGGGGAACGGGGAATGGCTCTGGAGTCAATGCAGGGGAATCGGGCCTCATCTCGAGTTGATTTGGGGCACATGGTGCTGCTTTGCGTTGCTGGGCTGACCTCAGGGTCCGTCTAGACTGGTGACAGTGTTCTTGGGGACTGTCTCGAGATCCATTAAGCAAGTCGAAGCTCCTGACTTGTTTGAATGGGATCACGGAATAGCTCTGCATGCACTGCAGGGGAATGGGGCCTCATCTCGCCTCTAGGGGGAAGTCTCATGGTTTTTCTAGAGTTGCGGCGGGGACCTGGGGTATGTTCTCGACTTACGGCGGGGATGGCCCTTCAAAACACGAGTTTCTTCAGTGACGTCAGGACTCCAGTGTAATAATGAGGTACACCTCAGGAATCTCTTCGAGGCTTGGCAGGGCAAAAGGGACGCTTCTCGAGGTGATGCAGGGCACCCAAGGACCCTTTCCAGTAGCCACAGGGATTTTGGGATTCCTATCAGTATTCAAGAGGAGTCAGGCATCGTCACCTTTTGAAGCAATGAACTCTGCGTGATTCTCGAGGTGTCAGCGGAATGTGAGGCATTCCGTCAAAATGAGGCAGGGAACTAGGGCTTTCTCTAAGGTCTCCACAGGGGATTCAGTCATCCCTTCATGTTGTGAGATGAAAGACGAGCCTGTATTCAAGCCACTGCAAGGAAATCCGGCCTCCTTTCAAGTTAGGGCTTCTCGCTGTATATTCCCCTTGAGGCAGCATACTCGGGGTCCCTCCCACATACCTATTGCTGAGAGAAGCCTTCTCCTGAGGTGCTTCTGGAAAGTTGGCATACGTCTTGAGCCTAAGCCAGGGAATCAGCTCTCATCTCGAGACGATTTGTGGTACACGGAGCATTCCCCGAGTTGCTGTGCTGAAGTTGGTGTTCCTCTAGACTACGGACAGTGTTCTGGGGGCATCTCTGGAGTTGCCTGAAGGAAGTCGAGCCACCGGTCGTGTTGAATGGGGAACGGGGAATGGCTCTAGAGTCAATGCAGGGGAATCGGGCCTCATCTCGAGTTGATTTGGGGAACATGGAGCTGCTTTGCGTTGCTGGGCTGACCTCAGGGTCCGTCTAGACTGGTGACAGTGTTCTTGGGGACTGTCTCGAGATCCATTAAGCAAGTCGAAGCGCCTGACTTGTTTGAATGGGATCACGGAATAGCTCTGCATGCACTGCAGGGGAATGGGGCCTCATCTCGCCTCTAGGGGGAAGTCTCATGGTTTTTCTCGAGTTGCGGCGGGGACCTGGGGTATGTTCTCGACTTAAGGCGGGGATGGCCCTTCAAAACACGAGTTTCTTCAGTGACGTCAGGACTCCTGTGTAATAACGAGGTACACCTCAGGAATCTCTTCGAGGCTTGGCAGGGCAAAAGGGACGCTTCTCGAGGTGAGGCAGGGCACCCAAGGACCCTTTCCAGTAGCCACAGGGATTTTCGGATTCCTATCAGTATTCAAGAGGAGTCAGGCATCGTCACCTTTTGAAGCAATAAACTCCGTGTGCCTCTCGAGGTGTCAGCGGGATGTGAGGCATTCCGTCAAAATGAGGCAGGGACCTAGGGCTTTCTCTAAGGTCTCCACAGGGGATTCAGACATCCCTTCATGTTGTGAGATGAAACACGAGCCTGTATTCAATCCACTGCAAGGAAATCCGGCCTCCTTTCAAGTTAGGGCTTCTCGCTGTATATTCCCCTTGAGGCAGCAAACTCGGGGTCCCTCCCACATACTTATTGCTGAGAGAAGCCTCCTCCTGAGGTGCTTCTGGAAAGTTGGCATATGTCTTGAGCCTAAGCCAGGGAATCAGCTCTCATCTCGAGACGATTTGTGGTACAAGGAGCATTCCCCAAGTTGCTATTCTGAAGTTGGTTTTCCTCTAGACTACGGACAGTGTTCTCGGGGCATCTCTGGAGTTGCCTGAAGGAAGTCGAGCCACCGGTCTTGTTGAATGGGGAACGGGGAATGGCTCTGGAGTCAATGCAGGGGAATTGGGCCTCATCTCGAGTTGATTTGGGGCATATGGAGCTGCTTTGCGTTGCTGGGGTGACCTCAGGGTCCGTCTAGACTGGTGACAGTGTTCTTGGGGACTGTCTCGAGATCCATTAAGCAAGTCGAAGCTCCTGACTTGTTTGAATGGGATCACGGAATAGCTCTGCATGCACTGCAGGGGAATGGGGCCTCATCTCGCCTCTAGGGGGAAGTCTCATGGTTTTTCTCGAGTTGCGGCGGAGACCTGGGGTTTGTTATCGATTTACGGCGGGGATCGCCCTTCAAAACAGGAGTTCCTTCAGTGACGTCAGGACTCCTGTCTAGTAACGAGGGACACCTCAGGAATCTCTTCGAGGCTTGGCAGGGCAAAAGGGACGCTTCTCGAGGTGAGGCAGGGCACCCAAGGACCCTTTCCAGTAGCCACAGGGATTTTGGGATTCCTATCAGTATTCAAGAGGAGTCAGGCATCGTCACCTTTTGAAGCAATGAACTCTGCGTGCCTCTCGAGGTGTCAGCGGGATGTGAGGCATTCCGTCAAAATGAGGCAGGGACCTAGGGCTTTCTCTAAGGTCTCCACAGGGGATTCAAACATCCCTTCATGTTGTGAGATGAAAGACGAGCCTGTGTTCAAGCCACTGCAAGGATATCCGGCCTCTTTTCAAGTTAGGGCTTCTCGCTGTATATTCCCCTTGAGGCAGCATACTCGGGGTCAACCCCACATACCTATTGCTGAGAGAAGCCTCCTCCTGAGGTGCTTCTGGAAAGTTGGCATACGTCTTGAGCCTAAGCCAGGGAATCAGCTCTCATCTCGAGACGATTTGGGGTACACGGAGAATTCCTCGAGTTGCTGTGTTGAAGTTGGTGTTCCTCTAGACTTGGGACAGTGTTCTCGGGGCATCTCTGGAGTTGCCTGAAGGAAGTCGAGCCACCGGTCCTGTTGAATGGGGAATGGGGAATGGCTCTGGAGTCAATGCAGGGGAATCGGGCCTCATCTCGAGTTGATTTGGGGCACATGGAGCTGCTTTGCGTTGCTGGGGTGACCTCAGGGTCCGTCTAGACTGGTGACAGTGTTCTTGGGGACTGTCTCGAGATCCATTAAGCAAGTCGAAGCTCCTGACTTGTTTGAATGGGATCACGGAATAGCTCTGCATGCACTGCAGGGGAATGGTGCCTCATCTCGCCTCTAGGGGGAAGTCTCATGGTTTTTCTCGAGTTGCGGCGGGGACCTGGGGTATGTTCTCGACTTACGGCGGGATGGCCCTTCAAAACATGAGTTCCTTCAGTGACGTCAGGACTCCTGTCTAGTAATGAGGAACACCTCAGGAATCTCTTCGAGGCTTGGCAGGGCAAAAGGGACGCTTCTCGAGGTGAGGCAGGGCACCCAAGGACCCATTCCAGTAGCCACAGGGATTTTGGGATTCCTATCAGTATTCAAGAGGAGTCAGGCATCGTCACCTTCTGAAGCAATGAACTCTGCGTGCCTCTCGAGTTGTCAGCGGGATGTGAGGCATTCCGTCAAAATGAGGCAGGGACCTAGGGCTTTCTCTAAGGTATCCACAGGGGATTCAGACATCCCTTCATGTTGTGAGATGAAAGACGAGCCTGTATTCAAGACACTGCTAGAAAATCCGGCCTCCTTTCAAGTTAGGGCTTCTCGCTGTATATTCCCCTTGAGGCAGCAAACTCGGGGTCCCTCCCACATACCTGTTGCTGAAAGAAGTCTCCTCCTGAGGTGTTTCTGGAAAGTTGGCATACGTCTTGAGCCTAAGCCAGGGAATCAGCTCTCATCTCGAGACGATTTGGGGTACACGGAGCATTCCTCGAGTTGCTGTGCTGAAGTTGGTGTTCCTCTAGACTTGGGACAGTGTTCTCGGGGCATCTCTGGAGTTGCCTGAAGGAAGTCGAGCCACCGGTCGTGTTGAATGGGGAACGGGGAATCTCTCTGGAGTCAATTCAGGGGAATCCGGCCTCATCTCGAGTTGATTTGGGGCACATGGAGCTGCTTTGCGTTGCTGGGGTGACCTCAGGGTCCGTCTAGACTGGTGACAGTGTTCTTGGGGACTGTCTCGAGATCCATTAAGCAAGTCGAAGCTCCTGACTTGTTTGAATGGGATCACGGAATAGCTCTGCATGCACTGCAGGGGAATGGGGCCTCATCTCACCTCTAGGGGGAAGTCTCATGGTTTTTCTCGAGTTGCGGCGGGGACCTGGGGTATGTTCTCGACTTACGGCGGGGATGGCCCTTCAAAACACGAGTTTCTTCAGTGACGTCAGGACTCCTGTGTAATAACGAGGTACACCTCAGGAATCTCTTCGAGGCTTGGCAGGGCAAAAGGGACGCTTCTCGAGGTGAGGCAGGGCACCCAAGGACCCTTTACAGTAGCCACAGGGATTTTGGGATTCCTATCAGTATTCAAGAGGAGTCAGGCATCGTCACCTTTTGAAGCAATGAACTCCGTGTGCCTCTCGAGGTGTCAGCGGGATGTGAGGCATTCCGTCAAAATGAGGCAGGGACCTAGGGCTTTCTCTAAGGTATCCACAGGGGATTCAGACATCCCTTCATGTTGTGAGATGAAAGACGAGCCTGTATTCAAGCCACTGCAAGGAAATCCGGCCTCCTTTCAAGTTAGGGCTTCTCGCTGTATATTCCCCTTGAGGCAGCAAACTCGGGGTCCCTCCCACATATCTATTGCTGAGAGAAGCCTCCTCCTGAGGTGCTTCTGGAAAGTTGGCATACGTCTTGAGCCTAAGCCAGGGAATCAGCTCTCATCTCGAGACGATTTTGGGTACACGGAGCATTCCTCGAGTTGCTGTGCTGAAGTTGGTGTCCCTCTAGACTTGGGACAGTGTTCTCGGGGCATCTCTGGAGTTGCCTGAAGGAAGTCGAGCCACCGGTCGTGTTGAATGGGGAACGGGGAATGGCTCTGGAGTCAATGCAGGGGAATCGGGCCTCATCTCGAGTTGATTTGGGGCACATGGAGCTGCTTTGCGTTGCTGGGCTGACCTCAGGGTCCGTCTAGACTGGTTACAGTGCTCTTGGGGACTGTCTCGAGATCCATTAAGCAAGTCGAAGCTCCTGACTTGTTTGAATGGGATCACGGAATAGCTCTGCATGCACTGCAGGGGAATGGGGCCTCATCTCGCCTCTAGGGGGAAGTCTCATGGTTTTTCTCGAGTTGCGGTGGGGACCTGGGGTATGTTATCGACTTACGGCGGGGATCGCCCTTCAAAACACGAGTTCCTTCAGTGACGTCAGGACTCCTGTCTAGTAACGAGGGACACCTCAGGAATCTCTTCGAGGCTTGGCAGGGCAAAAGGGACGCTTCTCGAGGTGAGGCAGGGCACCCAAGGACCCTTTCCAGTAGCCACAGGGATTTTGGGATTCCTATCAGTATTCAAGAGGAGTCAGGCATCGTCACGTTTTGAAGCAATGTACTCTGCGTGCCTCTCGAGGTGTCAGCGGGATGTGAGGCATTCCGTCAAAATGACGCAGGGACCTAGGGCTTTCTCTAAGGTCTCCACAGAGCATTCAGACATCCCTTCATGTTGTGAGATGAAACACGAGCCTGTATTCAAGCCACTGCAAGGAAATCCGGCCTCCTTTCAAGTTAGGGCTTCTCGCTGTATATTCCCCTTGAGGCAGCAAACTCGGGGTCCCTCCCACATACCTATTGCTGAGAGAAGCCTCCTCCTGAGGTGCTTCTGGAAAGTTGGCATACGTCTTGAGCCTAAGCCAGGGAATCAGCTCTCATCTCGAGACGATTTGGGGTACACGGAGCATTCCTCGAGTTGCTGTGCTTAAGGTGGTGTTCCTCTAGACTACGGACAGTGTTCTTGGGGCATCTCTGGAGTGCCTGAAGGAAGTCGAGCCACCTGTCCTGTTGAATGGGGAACGGGGAATCTCTCTGGAGTCAATGCAGGGGAATCGGGCCTCATCTCGAGTTGATTTGGGGCACATGGAGCTGCTTTGCGTTGCTGGGCTGACCTCAGGGTCCGTCTAGACTGGTTACAGTGTTCTTGGGGACTGTCTCGAGATCCATTAAGCAAGTCGAAGCTCCTGACTTGTTTGAATGGGATCACGGAATAGCTCTGCATGCACTGCAGGGGAATGGGGCCTCATCTCGCCTCTAGGGGGAAGTCTCATGGTTTTTCTCGAGTTGCGGTGGGGACCTGGGGTATGTTATCGACTTACGGCGGGGATGTCCCTTCAAAACACGAGTTCCTTCAGTGACGTCAGGACTCCTGTCTAGTAACGAGGGACACCTCAGGAATCTCTTCGAGGCTTGGCAGGGCAAAAGGGACGCTTCTCGAGGTGAGGCAGGGCACCCAAGGACCCTTTCCAGTAGCCACAGGGATTTTGGGATTCCTATCAGTATTCAAGAGGAGTCAGGCATCGTCACGTTTTGAAGCAATGTACTCTGCGTGCCTCTCGAGGTGTCAGCGGGATGTGAGGCATTCCGTCAAAATGACGCAGGGACCTAGGGCTTTCTCTAAGGTCTCCACAGGGCATTCAGACATCCCTTCATGTTGTGAGATGAAACACGAGCCTGTATTCAAGCCACTGCAAGGAAATCCGGCCTCCTTTCAAGTTAGGGCTTCTCGCTGTATATTCCCCTTGAGGCAGCAAACTCGGGGTCCCTCCCACATACCTATTGCTGAGAGAAGCCTCCTCCTGAGGTGCTTCTGGAAAGTTGGCATACGTCTTGAGCCTAAGCCAGGGAATCAGCTCTCATCTCGAGACGATTTGGGGTACACGGAGCATTCCTCGAGTTGCTGTGCTTAAGGTGGTGTTCCTCTAGACTACGGACAGTGTTCTTGGGGCATCTCTGGAGTTGCCTGAAGGAAGTCGAGCCACCTGTCCTGTTGAATGGGGAACGGGGAATCTCTCTGGAGTCAATGCAGGGGAATCGGGCCTCATCTCGAGTTGATTTGGGGCACATGGAGCTGCTTTGCGTTGCTGGGGTGACCTCAGGGTCCGTCTAGACTGGTGAAAGTGTTCTTGGGGACTGGCTCGAGATCCATTAAGCAAGTCGAAGCTCCTGACTTGCTTGAATGGGATTCACGGAATAGCTCTGCATGCACTGCAGGGGAATGGGGCCTCATCTCGCGTCTAGGGGGAAGTCTCATGGTTTTTCTCGAGTTACGGCGGGGACCTGGGGTATGTTCTCGACTTACGGCGGGGATGGCCCTTCAAAACACGAGTTTCTTCAGTGACGTCAGGACTCCTGTCTAGTAACGAGGGACACCTCAGAAATCACTTCGAGGCTTGGCAGGGCAAAAGGGACGCTTCTCGAGGTGAGGCAGGGCACCCAAGGACCCTTTCCAGTAGCCACAGGGATTTTGGGATTCCTATCAGTATTCAAGAGGAGTCAGGCATCGTCACCTTTTGAAGCAATGTACTCTGCGTGCCTCTCGAGGTGTCAACGGGATGTGAGCCATTCCGTCAAAATGAGGCAGGGACCTAGGGCTTTCTCTAAGGTCTCCACGGGGGATTCAGACATCCCTTCATGTTGTGAGATGAAAGACGAGCCTGTATTCAAGCCACTGCTAGAAAATCCGGCCTCCTTTCAAGTTAGGGCTTCTCGCTGTATATTCCCCTTGAGGCAGCAAACTCGGGGTCCCTCCCACATACCTATTGCTGAAAGAAGTCTCCTCCTGAGGTGCTTCTGGAAAGTTGGCATACGTCTTGAGCCTAAGCCAGGGAATCAGCTCTCATCTCGAGACGATTTGGGGTACACGGAGCATTCCTCGAGTTGCTGTGCTGAAGTTGGTGTTCCTCTAGACTTGGGACAGTGTTCTCGGGGCATCTCTGGAGTTGCCTGAAGGAAGTCGAGCCACCGGTCGTGTTGAATGGGGAACGGGGAATCTCTCTGGAGTCAATTCAGGGGAATCCGGGAACATCTCGAGTTGATTTGGGGCACATGGAGCTGCTTTGCGTTGCTCGGGTGACCTCAGGGTCCGTCTAGACTGGTGACAGTGTTCTTGGGGACTGTCTCGAGATCCATTAAGCAAGTCGAAGCTCCTGACTTGTTTGAATGGGATCACGGAATAGCTCTGCATGCACTGCAGGGGAATGAGGACTCATCTCGCCTCTAGGGGGAAGTCTCATGGTTTTCCCGAATTGCGGCGGGGACCTGGGGTATGTTCTCGACTTACGGCGGGGATGGCCCTTCAAAACACGAGTTTCTTCAGTGACGTCAGGACTCCTGTGTAATAACGAGGTACACCTCAGGAATCTCTTCGAGGCTTGGCAGGGCAAAAGGGACGCTTCTCGAGGTGAGGCAGGGCACCCAAGGACCCTTTCAAGTAGCCACAGGGATTTTCGGATTCCTATCAGTATTCAAGAGGAGTCAGGCATCGTCACCTTTTGAAGCAATGAACTCCGTGTGCCTCTCGAGGTGTCAGCGGGATGTGAGGCATTCCGTCAAAATGAGGCAGGGACCTAGGTCTTTCTCTAAGGTCTCCACAGGGGATTCAGACATCCCTTCATGTTGTGAGATGAAACACGAGCCTGTATTCAAGCCACTGCAAGGAAATCCGGCCTCCTTTCAAGTTAGGGCTTCTCGCTGTATATTCCCCTTGAGGCAGCAAACTCGGGGTCCCTCCCACATATCTATTGCTGAGAGAAGCCTCCTCCTGAGGTGCTTCTGGAAAGTTGGCATACGTCTTGAGCCTAAGCCAGGGAATCAGCTCTCATCTCGAGACGATTTTGGGTACACGGAGCATTCCTCGAGTTGCTGTGCTGAAGTTGGTGTTCCTCTAGACTTGGGACAGTGTTCTCGGGGCATCTCTGGAGTTGCCTGAAGGAAGTCGAGCCACCGGTCGTGTTGAATGGGGAACGGGGAATGGCTCTGGAGTCAATGCAGGGGAATCGGGCCTCATCTCGAGTTGATTTGGGGCACATGGAGCTGCTTTGCGTTGCTGGGCTGACCTCAGGGTCCGTCTAGACTGGTGACAGTGTTCTTGGGGACTCTCTCGAGATCCATTAAGCAAGTCGAAGCTCCTGACTTGTTTGAATGGGATCACGGAATAGCTCTGCATGCACTGCAGGGGAATGGGGCCTCATCTCGCCTCTAGGGGAAGTCTCATGGTTTTTCTCGAGTTGCGGCGGGGACCTGGGGTATGTTCTCAACTTACGGCGGGGATGGCCCTTCAAAACACGAGTTTCTTCAGTGACGTCAGGACTCCTGTCTAGTAACGAGGGACAACTCAGGAATCTCTTCGAGGCTTGACAGGGCAAAAGGGACGCTTCTCGAGGTGAGGCAGGGCACCCAAGGACCCTTTCCAGTAGCCACAGGGATTTTCGGATTCCTATCAGTATTCAAGAGGAGTCAGGCATCGTCACCTTTTGAAGCAATGAACTCTGCGTGCCTCTCGAGGTGTCAGCGGGATGTGAGGCATTCCGTCAAAATGAGGCAGGGAACTAGGGCTTTCTCTAAGGTCTCCACAGGGGATTCAGACATCCCTTCATGTTGTGAGATGAAAGACGAGCCTGTGTTCAAGCCACTGCAAGGATATCCGGCCTCCTTTCAAGTTAGCGCTTCTCGCTGTATATTCCCCTTGAGGCAGCATACTCGGGGTCAACCCCACATACCGATTGCTGAGAGAAGCCTCCTCCTGAGGTGCTTCTGGAATGTTGGCATACGTCTTGACCTAAGCCAGGGAATCAGCTCTCATCTCGAGACGATTTGTGGTACACGGAGCATTCCTCGAGTTGCTGTGTTGAAGTTGGTGTTCCTCTAGACTTGGGACAGTGTTCTCGGGGCATCTCTGGAGTTGCCTGAAGGAAGTCGAGCCACCGGTCCTGTTGAATGGGGAATGGGGAATGGCTCTGGAGTCAATGCAGGGGAATCGGGCCTCATCTCGAGTTGATTTGGGGCACATGGAGCTGCTTTGCGTTGCTGGGGTGACCTCAGGGTCCGTCTAGACTGGTGACAGTGTTCTTGGGGACTGTCTCGAGATCCATTAAGCAAGTCGAAGCTCCTGACTTGTTTGAATGGGATCACGGAATAGCTCTGCATGCACTGCAGGGGAATGGTGCCTCATCTCGCCTCTAGGGGGAAGTCTCATGGTTTTTCTCGAGTTGCGGCGGGGACCTGGGGTATGTTCTCGACTTACGGCGGGATGGCCCTTCAAAACATGAGTTCCTTCAGTGACGTCAGGACTCCTGTCTAGTAATGAGGAACACCTCAGGAATCTCTTCGAGGCTTGGCAGGGCAAAAGGGACGCTTCTCGAGGTGAGGCAGGGCACCCAAGGACCCTTTCCAGTAGCCACAGGGATTTTGGGATTCCTATCAGTATTCAAGAGGAGTCAGGCATCGTCACCTTCTGAAGCAATGAACTCTGCGTGCCTCTCGAGTTGTCAGCGGGATGTGAGGCATTCCGTCAAAATGAGGCAGGGACCTAGGGCTTTCTCTAAGGTCTCCACAGGGGATTCAGACATCCCTTCATGTTGTGAGATGAAAGACGAGCCTGTATTCAAGACACTGCTAGAAAATCCGGCCTCCTTTCAAGTTAGGGCTTCTCGCTGTATATTCCCCTTGAGGCAGCAAACTCGGGGTCCCTCCCACATACCTATTGCTGAAAGAAGTCTCCTCCTGAGGTGTTTCTGGAAAGTTGGCATACGTCTTGAGCCTAAGCCAGGGAATCAGCTCTCATCTCGAGACGATTTGGGGTACACGGAGCATTCCTCGAGTTGCTGTGCTGAAGTTGGTGTTCCTCTAGACTTGGGACAGCGTTCTCGGGGCATCTCTGGAGTTGCCTGAAGGAAGTCGAGCCACCGGTCGTGTTGAATGGGGAACGGGGAATCTCTCTGGAGTCAATTCAGGGGAATCCGGCCTCATCTCGAGTTGATTTGGGGCACATGGAGCTGCTTTGCGTTGCTGGGGTTACCTCAGGGTCCGTCTAGACTGGTGACAGTGTTCTTGGGGACTGTCTCGAGATCCATTAAGCAAGTCGAAGCTCCTGACTTGTTTGAATGGGATCACGGAATAGCTCTGCATGCACTGCAGGGGAATGGGGCCTCATCTCACCTCTAGGGGGAAGTCTCATGGTTTTTCTCGAGTTGAGGCGGGGACCTGGGGTATGTTCTCGACTTACGGCGGGGATGGCCCTTCAAAACACGAGTTTCTTCAGTGACGTCAGGACTCCTGTGTAATAACGAGGTACACCTCAGGAATCTCTTCGAGGCTTGGCAGGGCAAAAGGGACGCTTCTCGAGGTGAGGCAGGGCACCCAAGGACCCTTTCCAGTAGCCACAGGGATTTTCGGATTCCTATCAGTATTCAAGAGGAGTCAGGCATCGTCACCTTTTGAAGCAATGAACTCCGTGTGCCTCTCGAGGTGTCAGCGGGATGTGAGGCATTCCGTCAAAATGAGGCAGGGACCTAGGGCTTTCTCTAAGGTCTCCACAGGGGATTCAGACATCCCTTCATGTTGTGAGATGAAACACGAGCCTGTATTCAAGCCACTGCAAGGAAATCCGGCCTCCTTTCAAGTTAGGGCTTCTCGCTGTATATTCCCCTTGAGGCAGCAAACTCGGGGTCCCTCCCACATATCTATTGCTGAGAGAAGCCTCCTCCTGAGGTGCTTCTGGAAAGTTGGCATACGTCTTGAGCCTAAGCCAGGGAATCAGCTCTCATCTCGAGACGATTTTGGGTACACGGAGCATTCCTCGAGTTGCTGTGCTGAGGTTGGTGTTCCTCTAGACTTGGGACAGTGTTCTCGGGGCATCTCTGGAGTTGCCTGAAGGAAGTCGAGCCACCGGTCGTGTTGAATGGGGAACGGGGAATGGCTCTGGAGTCAATGCAGGGTAATCGGGCCTCATCTCGAGTTGATTTGGGGCACATGGAGCTGCTTTGCTTTGCTGGGCTGACCTCAGGGTCCGTCTAGACTGGTGACAGTGTTCTTGGGGACTGTCTCGAGATCCATTAAGCAAGTCGAAGCTCCTGACTTGTTTGAATGGGATCACGGAATAGCTCTGCATGCACTGCAGGGGAATGGGGCCTCATCTCACCTCTAGGGGGAAGTCTCATGGTTTTTCTCGAGTTGCGGTGGGGACCTGGGGTATGTTCTCGACTTACGGCGGGGATCGCCCTTCAAAACACGAGTTCCTTCAGTGACGTCAGGACTCCTGTCTAGTAACGAGGGACACCTCAGGAATCTCTTCGAGGCTTGGCAGGGCAAAAGGGACGCTTCTCGAGGTGAGGCAGGGCACCCTAGGACCCTTTCCAGTAGCCACAGGGATTTTGGGATTCCTATCAGTATTCAAGAGGAGTCAGGCATCGTCACGTTTTGAAGCAATGTACTCTGCGTGCCTCTCGAGGTGTCAGCGGGATGTGAGGCATTCCGTCAAAATGACGCAGGGACCTAGGGCTTTCTCTAAGGTCTCCACAGGGCATTCAGACATCCCTTCATGTTGTGAGATGAAAAACGAGCCTGTATTCAAGCCACTGCAAGGAAATCCGGCCTCCTTTCAAGTTAGGGCTTCTCGCTGTATATTCCCCTTGAGGCAGCAAACTCGGGGTCCCTCCCACATACCTATTGCTGAGAGAAGCCTCCTCCTGAGGTGCTTCTGGAAAGTTGGCATACGTCTTGAGCCTAAGCCAGGGAATCAGCTCTCATATCGAGACGATTTGGGGTACACGGAGAATTCCTCGAGTTGCTGTGCTTAAGGTGGTGTTCCTCTAGACTACGGACAGTGTTCTTGGGGCATCTCTGGAGTTGCCTGAAGGAAGTCGAGCCACCTGTCCTGTTGAATGGGGAACGGGGAATCTCTCTGGAGTCAATGCAGGGGAATCGGGCCTCATCTCGAGTTGATTTGGGGCACATGGAGCTGCTTTGCGTTGCTGGGGTGACCTCAGGGTCCGTCTAGACTGGTGAAAGTGTTCTTGGGGACTGGCTCGAGATCCATTAAGCAAGTCGAAGCTCCTGACTTGCTTGAATGGGATTCACGGAATAGCTCTGCATGCACTGCAGGGGAATGGGGCCTCATCTCGCGTCTAGGGGGAAGTCTCATGGTTTTTCTCGAGTTACGGCGGGGACCTGGGGTATGTTCTCGACTTACGGCGGGGATGGCCCTTCAAAACACGAGTTTCTTCAGTGACGTCAGGACTCCTGTCTAGTCACGAGGGACACCTCAGAAATCACTTCGAGGCTTGGCAGGGCAAAAGGGACTCTTCTCGAGGTGAGGCAGGGCACCCAAGGACCCTTTCCAGTAGCCACAGGGATTTTGGGATTCCTATCAGTATTCAAGAGGAGTCAGGCATCGTCACCTTTTGAAGCAATGTACTCTGCGTGCCTCTCGAGGTGTCAACGGGATGTGAGCCATTCCGTCAAAATGAGGCAGGGACCTAGGGCTTTCTCTAAGGTCTCCACAGGGGATTCAGACATCCCTTCATGTTGTGAGATGAAAGACGAGCCTGTGTTCAAGCCACTGCAAGGATATCCGGCCTCCTTTCAAGTTAGCGCTTCTCGCTGTATATTCCCCTTGAGGCAGCATACTCGGGGTCAACCCCACATACCTATTGCTGAGAGAAGCCTCCTCCTGAGGTGCTTCTGGAATGTTGGCATACGTCTTGACCTAAGCCAGGGAATCAGCTCTCATCTCGAGACGATTTGGGGTACACGGAGAATTCCTCGAGTTGCTGTGCTGAAGTTGGTGTTCCTCTAGACTTGGGACAGTGTTCTCGGGGCATCTCTGGAGTTGCCTAAAGGAAGTCGAACCACCGGTCGTGTTGAATGGGGAACGGGGAATGGCTTTTAGTCAATGCAGGGGAATCGGGCCTCATCTCGAGTTGATTTGGGGCACATGGAGCTGCTTTGCGTTGCTGGGTTGACCTCAGGGTCCGTCTAGACTGGTGACAGTGTTCTTGGGGACTGTCTCGAGATCCATTAAGCAAGTCGAAGCTCCTGACTTGTTTGAATGGGATCACGGAATAGCTCTGCATGCACTGCAGGGGAATGGTGCCTCATCTCGCCTCTAGGGGGAAGTCTCATGGTTTTTCTCGAGTTGCGGCGGGGACCTGGGGTATGTTCTCGACTTACGGCGGGATGGCCCTTCAAAACATGAGTTCCTTCAGTGACGTCAGGACTCCTGTCTAGTAATGAGGAACACCTCAGGAATCTCTTCGAGGCTTGGCAGGGCAAAAGGGACGCTTCTCGAGGTGAGGCAGGGCACCCAAGGACCCTTTCCAGTAGCCACAGGGATTTTCGGATTCCTATCAGTATTCAAGAGGAGTCAGGCATCGTCACATTCTTAAGCAATGAACTCTGCGTGCCTCTCGAGGTGTCAGCGGGATGTGAGGCATTCCGTCAAAATGAGGCAGGGACCTAGGGCTTTCTCTAAGGTCTCCACGGGGGATTCAGACATCCCTTCATGTTGTGAGATGAAACACGAGCCTGTATTCAAGCCCCTGCAAGGAAATCCGGCCTCCTTTCAAGTTAGGGCTTCTCGCTGTATATTCCCCTTGAGGCAGCAAACTCGGGGTGCCTCCCACATATCTATTGCTGAGAGAAGCCTCCTCCTGAGGTGCTTCTGGAAAGTTGGCATACGTCTTGAGCCTAAGCCAGGGAATCAGCTCTCATCTCGTGACGATTTGGGGTACACGGAGCATTCCTCCAGTTGCTGTGCTGAAGTTGGTGTTCCTCTAGACTTGGGACAGTGTTCTCGGGGCATCTCTGGAGTTGCCTGAAGGAAGTCGAGCCACCGGTCGTGTTGAATGGGGAACGGGGAATGGCTCTGGAGTCAATGCAGGGGAATCGGGCCTCATCTCGAGTTGATTTGGGGCACATGGAGCTGCTTTGCGTTGCTGGGCTGACCTCAGGGTCCGTCTAGACTGGTGACAGTGTTCTTGGGGACTCTCTCGAGATCCATTAAGCATGTCGAAGCTCCTGACTTGTTTGAATGGGATCACGGAATAGCTCTGCATGCACTGCAGGGGAATGGGGCCTCATCTCGCCTCTAGGAGGAAGTCTCATGGTTTTTCTCGAGTTGCGGCGGGGACCTGGGGTATGTTCTCGACTTACGGCGGGGATGGCCCTTCAAAACACGAGTTTCTTCAGTGACGTCAGGACTCCTGTCTAGTAACGAGGGACAACTCAGGAATCACTTCGAGGCTTGACAGGGCAAAAGGGACGCTTCTCGAGGTGAGGCAGGGCACCCAATGACCCTTTCCAGTAGCCACAGGGATTTTCGGATTCCTATCAGTATTCAAGAGGAGTCAGGCATCGTCACCTTTTGAAGCATTGAACTCCGTGTGCCTCTCAAAGTGTCAGAGGGATGTGAGGCATTCCGTCAAAATGAGGCAGGGACCTAGGGCTTTCTCTAAGGTCTCCACAGGGGATTCAGACATCCCTTCATGTTGTGAGATGAAAGACGAGCCTGTATTCAAGCCACTGCAAGGATATCTGGCCTCCTTTCAAGTTACGGCTTCTCGCTGTATATTCCCCTTGAGGCAGCAAACTCCGGGTCCCTCCCACATACTTATTGCTGAGAGAAGCCTCCTCCTGAGGTGCTTCTGGAAAGTTGGCATACGTCTTGAGCCTAAGCCAGGGAATCAGCTCTCATCTCGAGACGATTTGGGGTACACGGAGCATTCCTCGAGTTGCTGTGCTGAAGTTGGTGTTCCTCTAGACTTGGGATAGTGTTACCTGAAGGAAGTCGAGCCACCGGACTTGTTGAATGGGGAACGGGGAATGGCTCTGGAGTCAATGCAGGGGAATCGGGCCTCATCTCGAGTTGATTTGGGGCACATGGAGCTGCTTTGCGTTGCTGGGTTGACCTCAGGGTCCGTCTAGACTGGTGACAGTGTTCTTGGGGACTGTCTCGAGATCCATTAAGCAAGTCGAAGCTCCTGACTTGTTTGAATGGGATCAGGGAATAGCTCTGCATGCACTGCAGGGGAATGGTGCCTCATCTCGCCTCTAGGGGGAAGTCTCATGGTTTTTCTCGAGTTGCGGCGGGGACCTGGGGTATGTTCTCGACTTACGGCGGGGATGGCCCTTCAAAACACGAGTTTCTTCAGTGACGTCAGGACTCCTGTCTAGTAACGAGGGACACCTCAGGAATCTCTTCGAGGCTTGACAGGGCAAAAGGGACGCTTCTCGAGGTGAGGCAGGGCACCCAAGGACCCTTTCCAGTAGCCACAGGGATTTTCGGATTCCTATCAGTATTCAAGAGGAGTCAGGCATCGTCACCTTTTGAAGCAATGAACTCCGTGTGCCTCTCGAGGTGTCAGAGGGATGTGAGGCATTCCGTCAAAATGAGGCAGGGACCTAGGGCTTTCTCTAAGGTCTCCACAGGGGATTCAGACATCCCTTCATGTTGTGAGATGAAAGAAGAGCCTGTATTCAAGCCACTGCAAGGAAATCAGGCCTCCTTTCAAGTTAGGGCTTCTCGCTGTATATTCCCCTTGAGGCAGCAAACTCGGGGTCCCTCCCACATACCTATTGCTGAGAGAAGCCTCCTCCTGAGGTGCTTCTGGAAAGTTGGCATACGTCTTGAGCCTAAGCCAGGGAATCAGCTCTCATCTCGAGACGATTTGTGGTACACGGAGCATTCCTCGAGTTGCTGTGCTGAAGTTCGTGTTCCTCTAGACTTGGGACAGTGTTCTCGGGGCATCTCTGGTGTTGCCTGAAGGAAGTCGAGCCACCGGTCCTGTTGAATGGGGAACGGGGAATCTCTCTGGAGTCAATGCAGGGGAATCGGGCCTCATCTCGAGTTGATTTGGGGCACATGGAGCTGCTTTGCGTTGCTGGGCTGACCTCAGGGTCCGTCTAGACTGGTGACAGTGTTCTTGGGGACTGTCTCGAGATCCATTAAGCAAGTCGAAGCTCCTGACTTGTTTGAATGGGATCACGGAATAGCTCTGCATGCTCTGCAGGGGAATGGGGCCTCATCTCGCCTCTAGGGGGAAGTCTCATGGTTTTTCTCGAGTTGCGGCGGGGACCTGGGGTATGTTCTTGACTTACGGCGGGGATGGCCCTTCAAAACACGAGTTTCTTCAGTGACGTCAGGACTCCTGTGTAATAACGAGGGACACCTCAGGAATCTCTTCGAGGCTTGGCAGGGCAAAAGGGACGCTTCTCGAGGTGAGGCAGGGCACCCAAGGACCCTTTCCAGTAGCCACAGGGATTTTGGGATTCCTATCAGTATTCAAGAGGAGTCAGGCATCGTCACCTTTTGAAGCAATGAACTCTGCGTGATTCTCGAGGTGTCAGCGGGATGTGAGGCTTTCCGTCAAAATGAGGCAGGGACCTAGGGCTTTCTCTAAGGTCTCCACAGGGGATTCAGACATCCCTTCATGTTGTGAGATGAAACACGAGCCTGTCTTCAAGCCACTGCAAGGAAATCCGGCCTCCTTTCAAGTTAGGGCTTCTCGCTGTATATTCCCCTTGAGGCAGCATACTCGGGGTCCCTCCCACATACCTATTGCTGAGAGAAGCCTCCTCCTGAGGTGCTTCTGGAAAGTTGGCATACGTCTTGAGCCTAAGCCAGGGAATCAGCTCTCATCTCGAGACGATTTGTGTTACACGGAGCATTCCCCGAGTTGCTGTGCTGAAGTTGGTGTTCCTCTAGACTACGGACAGTGTTCTGGGGGCATCTCTGGAGTTGCCTGAAGGAAGTCGAGCCACCGGTCGTGTTGAATGGGGAACGGGGAATGGCTCTAGAGTCAATGCAGGGGAATCGGGCCTCATCTCGAGTTGATTTGGGGCACATGGAGCTGCTTTGCGTTGCTGGGGTGACCTCAGGGTCCGTCTAGACTGGTGACAGTGTTCTTGGGGACTGTCTCGAGATCCATTAAGCAAGTCGAAGCTCCTGACTGGTTTGAATGGGATCACGGAATAGCTCTGCATGCACTGCAGGGGAATGGGGCCTCATGTCGCCTCTAGGGGGAAGTCTCATGGTTTTTCTCGAGTTGCGGCGGGGACCTGGGGTATGTTCTCGACTTACGGCGGGATCGCCCTTCAAAACACGAGTTCCTTCAGTGACGTCAGGACTCCTGTCTAGTAACGAGGAACACCTCAGGAAACTCTTCGAGGCTTGGCAGTGCAAAAGGGACGCTTCTCGAGGTGAGGCAGGGCACCCAAGGACCCTTTCCAGTAGCCACAGGGATTTTGGGACTCCTATCAGTATTCAAGAGGAGTCAGGCATCGTCACCTTTTGAAGCAATGAACTCTGCGTGATTCTCGAGGTGTCAGCGGGATGTGAGGCATTCCGTCAAAATGAGGCAGGGACCTAGGGCTTTCTCTAAGGTCTCCACAGGGGATTCAGACATCCCTTCATGTTGTGAGATGAAAGACGAGCCTGTATTCAAGCCACTGCAAGGAAATCCGGCCTCCTTTCAAGTTAGGGCTTCTCGCTGTATATTCCCCTTGAGGCAGCAAACTCGGGGTCCCTCCCACATCCCTATTGCTGAGAGGAGCCTCCTCCTGAGGTGCTTCTGGAAAGTTGGCATATGTCTTGAGCCTAAGCCAGAGAATCAGCTCTCATCTCGAGATGATTTGTGGTACACGGAGCATTCCTCGAGTTGCTGTGCTGAAGTTGGTGTTCCTCTAGACTTGGGACAGTGTTCTCGGGGCATCTCTGGTGTTGCCTGAAGGAAGTCGAGACACCGGTCGTGTTGAATGGGGAACGGGGAATGGCTCTGGAGTGAATGCAGGGGAATCGGGCCTCATCTCGAGTTGATTTGGGGCACATGGAGCTGCTTTGCGTTGCTGGGCTGACCTCAGGGTCCGTCTAGACTGGTGACAGTGTTCTTGGGGACTGTCTCGAGATCCATTAAGCAAGTCGAAGCTCCTGACTTGTTTGAATGGGATCACGGAATAGCTCTGCATGCTCTGCAGGGGAATGGGGCCTCACCTCGCCTCTAGGGGGAAGTCTCATGGTTTTTCTAGAGTAGCGGCGGGGACCTGGGGTATGTTCTCGACTTACGGCGGGGATGGCCCTTCAAAACACGAGTTCCTTCAGTGACGTCAGGACTCCTGTCTAGTAACGAGGGACACCTCAGGAATCTCTTCGAGGCTTGGCAGGGCAAAAGGGACGCTTCTCGAGGTGAGGCAGGGCACCCAAGGACCCTTTCCAGTAGCCACAGGGATTTTGGGATTCCTATCAGTATTCAAGAGGAGTCAGGCATCGTCACCTTTTGAAGCAATGAACTCTGCGTGACTCTCGAGGTGTCAGCGGGATGTTAGGCATTCCGTCAAAATGAGGCAGGGATCTAGGTCTTTCTCTAAGGTCTCCACAGGGGATTCAGACATCTCTTCATGTTGTGAGATGAAAGACGAGCCTGTATTCAAGCCACTGCTAGAAAATCCGGCCTCCTTTCAAGTTAGGGCTTCTCGCTGTATATTCCCCTTGAGGCAGCAAACTCGGGGTCCCTCCCACATACCTATTGCTGAGAGAAGCCTCCCCCTGAGGTGCTTCTGGAAAGTTGGCATACGTCTTGAGCGTAAGCCAGGGAATCACCTCTCATCTCGAGATGATTTGCTGTACATGGAGCATTCCTCGAGTTGCTGTGCTGAAGTTGGTGTTCCTCTAGACTTGGGACAGTGTTCTCGGGGCATCTCTGAAGTTGCCTGAATGAAGTCGAGCCACCGGTCGTGTTGAATGGGGAATGGGGAATCTCTCTGGAGTCAATGCAGGGGAATCCGGCCTCATCTCGAGTTGATTTGGGGCACATGGAGCTGCTTTGCGTTGCTGGGGTGACCTCAGGGTCCGTCTAGACTGGTGACAGTGTTCTTGGGGACTGTCTCGAGATCAATTAAGCAAGTCGAAGCTCCTGACTTGTTTGAATGGGATCACGGAATAGCTCTGCATGCACTGCAGGGGATTGGGGCCTCATCTCGCCTCTAGGGGGAAGTCTCATGGTTTTTCTCGAGTTGCGGCGGGGACCTTGGGTATGTTCTCAACTTACGGCGGGGATGGCCCTTCAAAACACGAGTTCCTTCAGTGACGTCAGGACTCCTCTCTAGTACCGAGGGACACCTCAGGAATCTCTTCGAGGCTTGGCAGGGCAAAGGGACGCTTCTCGAGGTGAGGCAGGGCACCCAAGGACCCTTTCCAGTAGCCACAGGGATTTTGGGATTCCTATCAGTATTCAAGAGGAGTCAGGTATCGTCACCTTTTGAAGCAATGAACTCCGTGTGCCTCTCGAGGTGTCAGCGGGATGTGAGGCATTCCGTCAAAATGAGGCAGGGACCTAGGGCTTTCTCTAAGGTCTCCACAGGGGATTCAGACATCCCTTCATGTTATGAGATGAAACAAGAGCCTGTATTCAAGCCACTGCAAGAAAATCCGGCCTCCTTTCAAGTTAGGGCTTCTCGCTGTATATTCCCCTTGAGGCAGCAAACTCGGGGTCCCTCCCACATACCTATTGCTGAGAGAAGCCTCCTCCTGAGGTGCTTCTGGAAAGTTGGCATACGTCTTGAGCCTAAGCCAGGGAATCAGCTCTCATCTCGAGACGATTTGTGGTACACGGAGCATTCCCCGAGTTGCTGTGCTGAAGTTGGTGTTCCTCTAGGCTACGGACAGTGTTCTCGGGGCATCTCTGGAGTTGCCTGAAGGAAGTCGAGCCACCGGTCGTGTTGAATCGGGAACGGGGAATGGCTCTGGAGTCAATGCAGGGGAATCGGGCCTCATCTCGAGTTGATTTGGGGCACATGGAGCTGCTTTGCGTTGCTGGGGTGACCTCAGGGTCCGTCTAGACTGGTGACAGTGTTCTTGGGGACTGTCTCGAGATCCATTAAGCAAGTCGAAGCTCCTGACTTGTTTGAATGGGATCACGGAATAGCTCTGCATGCACTGCAGGGGAATGGTGCCTCACCTCGCCTCTAGGGGGAAGTCTCATGGTTTTTCTCGAGTTGCGGCGGGGACCTGGGGTATGTTCTCGACTTACGGCGGGGATGGCCCTTCAAAACATGAGTTCCTTCAGTGACGTCAGGACTCCTGTCTAGTAATGAGGAACACCTCAGGAATCTCTTCGAGGCTTGGCAGGGCAAAAGGGAGGCTTCTCGAGGTGAGGCAGGGCACCCAAGGACCCTTTCCAGTAGCCACAGCGATTTTGGGATTCCTATCAGTATTCAAGAGGAGTCAGGCATCGTCACCTTCTGAAGCAATGAACTCTGCGTGCATCTCGAGGTGTCAGCCGGATGTGAGGCATTCTGTCAAAATGAGGCAGGGACCTAGGGCTTTCTCTAAGGTCTCCACAGGGGATTCAGACATCCCTTCATGTTGTGAGATGAAAGACGAGCCTGTATTCAAGCCACTGCTAGAAAATCCGTCCTCCATTCAAGTTAGGTCTTCTCGCTGTATATTCCCCTTTAGGCAGCAAACTCGGGGTCCCTCCAACATACCTATTGCTGAGAGAAGCCTCCTCCTGATGTGCTTCTGGAAAGTTGGCATACGTCTTGAGCGTAAGCCAGGGAATCAGCTCTCATCTCGAGATGATTTGGTGTACATGGAGCATTCCTCGAGTTGCTGTGCTGAAGTTGGTGTTCCTCTAGACTTGGGACAGTGTTCTCGGGGCATCTCTGGAGTTGCCTGAAGGAAGTCGAGCCACCGGTCGTGTTGAATGGGGAATGGGGAATGGCTTTGGAGTCATTGCAGGGGTATCGGGCCTCATCTCGAGTGGATTTGGGGCATATGGAGTTGCTTTGCGTTGCTGGGTTGACCTCAGGGTCCGTCTAGACTGGTGACAGTGTTCTTGGGGACTGTCTCGAGATCCATTAAGCAAGTCGAAGCTCCTGACTTGTTTGAATGGGATCACGGAATAGCTCTGCATGCACTGCAGGTGAATGGGGCCTCATTTCGCCACTAGGGGATGTCTCATGGTTTTTCTCGAGTTGCGGCGGGGACCTGGGGTATGTTCTCGACTTACGGCGGGGATGGCCCTTCAAAACACGAGTTTCTTCAGTGACGTCAGGACTCCTGTCTAGTAACGAGGGACACCTCAGGAATCTCTTCGAGGCTTGGCAGGGCAAAAGGGACGCTTCTCGAGGTGAGGCAGGGCACCCAAGGACCCTTTCCAGTAGCCACAGGGATTTTGGGATTCCTATAAGTATTCAAGAGGAGTCAGGCATCGTCACCTTTTGAAGCAATGAACTCTGCGTGCCTCTCGAGGTGTCAGCGGGATGTGAGGCATTCCGTCAAAATGAGGCAGGGACCTAGGGCTTTCTCTAAGGTCTCCACAGGGGATTCAGACATCCCTTCATGTTGTGAGATGAAACACGAGCCTGTATTCAAGCCACTGCTAGGAAATCCGGCCTCCTTTCAAGTTAGGGCTTCTCGCTGTATATTCCCTTTGAGGCAGCAAACTCGGGGTCCCTCCCACATACCTATTGCTGAGAGAAGCCTCCTCCTGAGGTGCTTCTGGAAAGTTGGCATACGACTTGAGCCTAAGCCAGGGAATCAGCTCTCATCTCGAGACGATTTGGGGTACACGGAGCATTCCTCGAGTTGCTGTGCTGAAGTTGGTGTTCCTCTAGACTTGGGACAGTGTTGCCTGAAGGAAGTCGAGCCACCGGTTGTGTTGAATGGGGAACGGGGAATGGCCCTGGAGTCAATGCAGGGGAATCGGGCCTCATCTCGAGTTGATTTGGGGCACATGGAGCTGCTTTGCGTTGCTGGGTTGACCTCAGGGTCCCTCTAGACTGGTGACAGTGTTCTTGGGGACTGTCTCGAGATCTATTAAGCAAGTCGAAGCTCCTGACTTGTTTGAATGGGATCACGGAAGAGCTCTGCATGCACTGCAGGTGAATGGGGCCTCATTTCGCCACTAGGGGATGTCTCATGGTTTTTCTCGAGTTGCGGCGGGGACCTGGGGTATGTTCTCGACTTAGGGCGGGGATGGCCCTTCAAAACACGAGTTTCTTCAGTGACGTCAGGACTCCTGTCTAGTAACGAGGGACACCTCAGGAATCTCTTCGAGGCTTGGCAGGGCAAAAGGGACGCTTCTCGAGGTGAGGCAGGGCACCCAAGGACCCTTTCCAGTAGCCACAGGGATTTTGGGATTCCTATCAGTATTCAAGAGGAGTCAGGAATCGTCACCTTTTGAAGCAATGTACTCTGCGTGCCTCTCGAGGTGTCAACGGGATGTGAGGCATTCCGTCAAAATGAGGCAGGGACCTAGGGCTTTCTCTAAGGTCTCCACAGGGGATTCAGACATCCCTTCATGTTGTGAGATGAAAGACGAGCCTGTATTCAAGCCACTGCTAGAAAATCCAGCCTCCTTTCAAGTTAGGGCTTCTCGCTGTATATTCCCCTTTAGGCAGCAAAATCGGGGTCCCTCCCACATACCTATTGCTGAGCGAAGCCTCCTCCTGAGGTGCTTCTGGAAAGTTGGCATACGTCTTGAGCGTAAGCCAGGGAATCAGCTCTCATCTCGAGATGATTTGGTGTACACGGAGCATTCCTCGAGTTGCTGTGCTGAAGTTGGTGTTCCTCTAGACTTGGGACAGTGTTCTCGGGGCATCTCTGGAGTTGCCTAAAGGAAGTCGAGCCACCGGTCGTGTTGAATGGGGAACGGGTAATCTCTCTGGAGTCAATGTAGGGGAATCTGGCCTCATCTCGAGTTGATTTGGGGCACATGGAGCTGCTTTGCGTTGCTGGGGTGACCTCAGGGTCCGTCTAGACTGGTGACAGTGTTCTTGGGGACTGTCTCGAGATCCATTAAGCAAGTCGAAGCTCCTGACTTGTTTGAATGGGATCACGGAATAGCTCTGCATGCACTGCAGGGGAATGGGGCCTCATCTCGCCTCTAGGTGGAAGTCTCATGGTTTTTCTCGAGTTGCGGCGGGGACCTGGGGTATGTTCTTGACTTACGGCGGGGATGGCCCTTCAAAACACGAGTTTCTTCAGTGACGTCAGGACTCCAGTGTAATAACGAGGTACACCTCAGGAATCTCTTCGAGGCTTGACAGGGCAAAAGGGACGCTTCTCGAGGTGAGGCAGGGCACCCAAGGACCCTTTCCAGTAGCCACAGGGATTTTGGGATTCCTATCAGTATTCAAGAACAGTCAGGCATCGTCACCTTTTGAAGCAATGAACTCTGCGTGATTCTCGAGGTGTCAGCGGGATGTGACGCATTCCGTCAAAATGAGGCAGGGAACTAGGGCTTTCTCTAAGGTCTCCACAGGGGATTCAGACATCCCTTCATGTTGTGAGATGAAACACGAGCCTGTATTCAAGCCACTGCAAGAAAATCCGGCCTCCTTTCAAGTTAGGGCTTCTCGCTGTATATTCCCCTTGAGGCAGCAAACTCGGGGTCCCTCCCACATACCTATTGCTGAGAGAAGCCTCCTCCTGAGGTGCTTCTGGAAAGTTGGCATACGTCTTGAGCCTAAGCCAGGGAATCAGCTCTCATCTCGAGACGATTTGTGTTACACGGAGCATTCCCCGAGTTGCTGTGCTGAAGTTGGTGTTCCTCTAGGCTACGGACAGTGTTCTCGGGGCATCTCTGGAGTTGCCTGAAGGAAGTCGAGCCACCGGTCGTGTTGAATGGGGAACGGGGAATGGCTTTGGAGTCAATGCAGGGGTATCGGGCCTCATCTCGAGTGGATTTGGGGCATATGGAGTTGCTTTGCGTTGCTGGGTTGACCTCAGGGTCCGTCTAGACTGGTGACAGTGTTCTTGGGGACTGTCTCGAGATCCATTAAGCAAGTCGAAGCTCCTGACTTGTTTGAATGGGATCACGGAATAGCTCTGCATGCACTGCAGGTGAATGGGGCCTCATTTCGCCACTAGGGGATGTCTCATGGTTTTTCTCGAGTTGCGGCTGGGACCTGGGGTATGTTCTCGACTTACGGCGGGGATGGCCCTTCAAAACACGAGTTTCTTCAGTGACGTCAGGACTCCTGTCTAGTAACGAGGGACACCTCAGGAATCTCTTCGAGGCTTGGCAGGGCAAAAGGGACGCTTCTCGAGGTTAGGCAGGGCACCCAAGGACCCTTTTCAGTAGCCACAGGGATTTTGGGATTCCTATCAGTATTCAAGAGGAGTCAGGCATCGTCACCTTTTGAAGCAATGAACTCTGCGTGCCTCTCGAGGTGTCAGCGGGATGTGAGGCATTCCGTCAAAATGAGGCAGGGACCTAGGGCTTTCTCTAAGGTCTCCACAGGGGATTCAGACATCCCTTCATGTTGTGAGATGAAACACGAGCCTGTATTCAAGCCACTGCTAGGAAATCCGGCCTCCTTTCAAGTTAGGGCTTCTCGCTGTATATTCCCTTTGAGGCAGCAAACTCGGGGTCCCTCCCACATACCTATTGCTGAGAGAAGCCTCCTCCTGAGGTGCTTCTGGAAAGTTGGCATACGTCTTGAGCCTAAGCCAGTGAATCAGCTCTCATCTCGAGACGATTTGTGGTACACGGAGCATTCCTCGAGTTGCTGTGCTGAAGTTGGTGTTCCTCTAGACTTGGGACAGTGTTGCCTGAAGGAAGTCGAGCCACCGGTCGTGTTGAATGGGGAACGGGGAATGGCCCTGGAGTCAATGCAGGGGAATCGGGCCTCATCTCGAGTTGATTTGGGGCACATGGATCTGCTTTGCGTTGCTGGGTTGACCTCAGGGTCCGTCTAGACTGGTGACAGTGTTCTTGGGGACTGTCTCGAGATCCATTAAGCAAGTCGAAGCTCCTGACTTGTTTGAATGGGATCACGGAATAGCTCTGCATGCACTGCAGGTGAATGGGGCCTCATTTCGCCACTAGGGGATGTCTCATGGTTTTTCTCGAGTTGCGGCGGGGACCTGGGGTATGTTCTCGACTTACGGCGGGGATGGCACTTCAAAACACGAGTTTCTTCAGTGACGTCAGGACTCCTGTCTAGTAACGAGGGCCACCTCAGGAATCTCTTCGAGGCTTGGCAGGGCAAAAGGGACGCTTCTCGAGGTGAGGCAGGGCACCCAAGGACCCTTTCCAGTAGCCACAGGGATTTTGGGATTCCTATCAGTATTCAAGAGGAGTCAGGAATCGTCACCTTTTGAAGCAATGTACTCTGCGTGCCTCTCGAGGTGTCAACGGGATGTGAGCCATTCCGTCAAAATGAGGCAGGGACCTAGGGCTTTCTCTAAGGTCTCCACAGGGGATTCAGACATCCCTTCATGTTGTGAGATGAAACACGAGCCTGTATTCAAGCCACTGCTAGAAAATCCGGCCTCCTTTCAAGTTAGGGCTTCTCGCTGTATATTCCCCTTTAGGCAGCAAAATCGGGGTCCCTCCCACATACCTATTGCTGAGAGAAGCCTCCTCCTGAGGTGCTTCTGGAAAGTTGGCATACGTCTTGAGCGTAAGCCAGGGAATCAGCTCTCATCTCGAGATGATTTGGTGTACACGGAGCATTCCTCGAGTTGCTGTGCTGAAGTTGGTGTTCCTCTAGACTTGGGACAGTGTTCTCGGGGCATCTCTGGAGTTGCCTAAAGGAAGTCGAGCCACCGGTCGTGTTGAATGGGGAACGGGTAATCTCTCTGGAGTCAATGTAGGGGAATCTGGCCTCATCTCGAGTTGATTTGGGGCACATGGAGCTGCTTTGCGTTGCTGGGGTGACCTCAGGGTCCGTCTAGACTGGTGACAGTGTTCTTGGGGACTGTCTCGAGATCCATTAAGCAAGTCGAAGCTCCTGACTTGTTTGAATGGGATCTCGGAATAGCTCTGCATGCACTGCAGGGGAATGGGGCCTCATCTCGCCTCTAGGTGGAAGTCTCATGGTTTTTCTCGAGTTGCGGCGGGGACCTGGGGTATGTTCTCGACTTACGGCGGGGATGGCCCTTCAAAACACGAGTTTCTTCAGTGACGTCAGGACTCCAGTGTAATAACGAGGTACACCTCAGGAATCTCTTCGAGGCTTGACAGGGCAAAAGGGACGCTTCTCGAGGTGAGGCAGGGCACCCAAGGACCCTTTCCAGTAGCCACAGGGATTTTGGGATTCCTATCAGTATTCAAGAACAGTCAGGCATCGTCACCTTTTGAAGCAATGAACTCTGCGTGATTCTCGAGGTGTCAGCGGGATGTGAGGCATTCCGTCAAAATGAGGCAGGGAACTAGGGCTTTCTCTAAGGTCTCCACAGGGGATTCAGACATCCCTTCATGTTGTGATATGAAACACGAGCCTGTATTCAAGCCACTGCAAGAAAATCTGGCCTCCTTTCAAGTTAGGGCTTCTCGCTGTATATTCCCCTTGAGGCAGCAAACTCGGGGTCCCTCCCACATACCTATTGCTGAGAGAAGCCTCCTCCTGAGGTGCTTCTGGAAAGTTGGCATACGTCTTGAGCCTAAGCCAGGGAATCAGCTCTCATCTCGAGACGATTTGTGGTACACGGAGCATTCCCCGAGTTGCTGTGCTGAAGTTGGTGTTCCTCTAGGCTACGGACAGTGTTCTCGGGGCATCTCTGGAGTTGCCTGAAGGAAGTCGAGCCACCGGTCGTGTTGAATGGGGAACGGGGAATGGCTTTGGAGTCAATGCAGGGGTATCGGGCCTCATCTCGAGTGGATTTGGGGCATATGGAGTTGCTTTGCGTTGCTGGGTTGACCTCAGGGTCCGTCTAGACTGGTGACAGTGTTCTTGGGGACTGTCTCGAGATCCATTAAGCAAGTCGAAGCTCCTGACTTGTTTGAATGGGATCACGGAATAGCTCTGCATGCACTGCAGGTGAATGGGGCCTCATTTCGCCACTAGGGGATGTCTCATGGTTTTTCTCGAGTTGCGGCTGGGACCTGGGGTATGTTCTCGACTTACGGCGGGGATGGCCCTTCAAAACACGAGTTTCTTCAGTGACGTCAGGACTCCTGTCTAGTAACGAGGGACACCTCAGGAATCTCTTCGAGGCTTGGCAGGGCAAAAGGGACGCTTCTCGAGGTTAGGCAGGGCACCCAAGGACCCTTTCCAGTAGCCACAGGGATTTTGGGATTCCTATCAGTATTCAAGAGGAGTCAGGCATCGTCACCTTTTGAAGCAATGAACTCTGCGTGCCTCTCGAGGTGTCAGCGGGATGTGAGGCATTCCGTCAAAATGAGGCAGGGACCTAGGGCTTTCTCTAAGGTCTCCACAGGGGATTCAGACATCCCTTCATGTTGTGAGATGAAACACGAGCCTGTATTCAAGCCACTGCTAGGAAATCCGGCCTCCTTTCAAGTTAGGGCTTCTCGCTGTATATTCCCTTTGAGGCAGCAAACTCGGGGTCCCTCCCACATACCTATTGCTGAGAGAAGCCTCCTCCTGAGGTGCTTCTGGAAAGTTGGCATACGTCTTGAGCCTAAGCCAGTGAATCAGCTCTCATCTCGAGACGATTTGTGGTACACGGAGCATTCCTCGAGTTGCTGTGCTGAAGTTGGTGTTCCTCTAGACTTGGGACAGTGTTCTCAGGACATCTCTGGAGTTGCCTGAAGGAAGTCGAGCCACCGGTCCTGTTGAATGGGGAACGGGGAATCTCTCTGGAGTCAATGCAGGGGAATCGGGCCTCATCTCGAGTTGATTTGGGGCACATGAAGCTGCTTTGCGTTGCTGGGGTGACCTCAGGGTCCGTCTAGTCTGGTGACAGTGTTCTTGTGGACTGTCTCGAGATCCATTAAGCAAGTCGAAGCTCCTGACTTGTTTGAATGGGATCACGGAATAGCTCTGCATGCACTGCAGGTGAATGGGGCCTCATTTCGCCACTAGGGGATGTCTCATGGTTTTCCTCGAGTTGCGGCGGGGACCTGGGTTATGTTCTCGACTTACGGCGGGGATGGACCTTCAAAACACGAGTTTCTTCAGTGACGTCAGGACTCCTGTCTAGTAAGGAGGGACACCTCAGGAATCTCTTCGAGGCTTGGCAGGGCAAAAGGGATGCTTCTCGAGGTGAGGCAGGGCACCCAAGGACCCTTTCCAGTAGCCACAGGGATTTTGGGATTCCTATCAGTATTCAAGAGGAGTCAGGAATCGTCACCTTTTGAAGCAATGTACTCTGCGTGCCTCTCGAGGTGTCAACGGGATGTGAGCCATTCCGTCAAAATGAGGCAGGGACCTAGGGCTTTCTCTATGGTCTCCACAGGGGATTCAGACATCCCTTCATGTTGTGAGGTGAAAGACGAGCCTGTTTTCAAGCCACTACAAGGATATCCGGCCTCCTTTCAAGTTAGCGCTTCTCGCTGTATATTCCCCTTGAGGCAGCAAACTCGGGGTCCCTCCCACATACCTATTGCTGAGAGAAGCCTCCTCCTGAGGTGCTTCTGGAAAGTTGGCATACGTCTTGAGCCTAAGCCAGGGAATCAGCTCTCATCTCCAGACGATTTGGGGTACACGGAGCATTCCTCGAGTTGCTGTGCTGAAGTTGGTGTTCCTCTAGACTTGGGACAGTGTTGCCTGAAGGAAGTCGAGCCACCGGTCGTGTTGAATGGGGAACGGGGAATGGCCCTGGAGTCAATGCAGGGGAATCGGGCCTCATCTCGAGTTGATTTGGGGCACATGGATCTGCTTTGCGTTGCTGGGTTGACCTCAGGGTCCGTCTAGACTGGTGACAGTGTTCTTGGGGACTCTCTCGAGATCCATTAAGCAAGTCGAAGCTCCTGACTTGTTTGAATGGGATCACGGAATAGCTCTGCATGCACTGCACGTGAATGGGGCCTCATTTCGCCACTAGGGGATGTCTCATGGTTTTTCTCGAGTTGCGGCGGGGACCTGGGGTATGTTCTCGACTTACGGCGGGGATGGCCCTTCAAAACACGAGTTTCTTCAGTGACGTCAGGACTCCTGTCTAGTAACGAGGGACACCTCAGGAATCTCTTCGAGGCTTGGCAGGGCAAAAGGGACGCTTCTCGAGGTGAGGCAGGGCACCCAAGGACCCTTTCCAGTAGCCACAGGGATTTTGGGATTCCTATCAGTATTCAAGAGGAGTCAGGAATCGTCACCTTTTGAAGCAATGTACTCTGCGTGCCTCTCGAGGTGTCAACGGGATGTGAGCCATTCCGTCAAAATGAGGCAGGGACCTAGGGCTTTCTCTAAGGTCTCCACAGGGGATTCAGACATCCCTTCATGTTGTGAGATGAAAGACGAGCCTGTATTCAAGCCACTGCTAGAAAATCCGGCCTCCTTTCAAGTTAGGGCTTCTCGCTGTATATTCCCCTTTAGGCAGCAAAATCGGGGTCCCTCCCACATACCTATTGCTGAGAGAAGCCTCCTCCTGAGGTGCTTCTGGAAAGTTGGCATACGTCTTGAGCGTAAGCCAGGGAATCAGCTCTCATCTCGAGATGATTTGGTGTACACGGAGCATTCCTCGAGTTGCTGTGCTGAAGTTGGTGTTCCTCTAGACTTGGGACAGTGTTCTCGGGGCATCTCTGGAGTTGCCTAAAGGAAGTCGAGCCACCGGTCGTGTTGAATGGGGAACGGGTAATCTCTCTGGAGTCAATGTAGGGGAATCTGGCCTCATCTCGAGTTGATTTGGGGCACATGGAGCTGCTTTGTGTTGCTGGGGTGACCTCAGGGTCCGTCTAGACTGGTGACAGTGTTCTTGGGGACTGTCTCGAGATCCATTAAGCAAGTCGAAGCTCCTGACTTGTTTGAATGGGATCTCGGAATAGCTCTGCATGCACTGCAGGGGAATGGGGCCTCATCTCGCCTCTAGGTGGAAGTCTCATGGTTTTTCTCGAGTTGCGGCGGGGACCTGGGGTATGTTCTCGACTTACGGCGGGGATGGCCCTTCAAAACACGAGTTTCTTCAGTGACGTCAGGACTCCAGTGTAATAACGAGGTACACCTCAGGAATCTCTTCGAGGCTTGACAGGGCAAAAGGGACGCTTCTCGAGGTGAGGCAGGGCACCCAAGGACGCTTTCCAGTAGCCACAGGGATTTTGGGATTCCTATCAGTATTCAAGAACAGTCAGGCATCGTCACCTTTTGAAGCAATGAACTCTGCGTGATTCTCGAGGTGTCAGCGGGATGTGAGGCATTCCGTCAAAATAAGGCAGGGAACTAGGGCTTTCTCTAAGGTCTCCACAGGGGATTCAGACATCCCTTCATGTTGTGAGATGAAACACGAGCCTGTATTCAAGCCACTGCAAGAAAATCCGGCCTCCTTTCAAGTTAGGGCTTCTCGCTGTATATTCCCCTTGAGGCAGCAAACTCGGGGTCCCTCCCACATACCTATTGCTGAGAGAAGCCTCCTCCTGAGGTGCTTCTGGAAAGTTGGCATACGTCTTGAGCCTAAGCCAGGGAATCAGCTCTCATCTCGAGACTATTTGTGGTACACGGAGCATTCCCCGAGTTGCTGTGCTGAAGTTGGTGTTCCTCTAGGCTACGGACAGTGTTCTCGGGGCATCTCTGGAGTTGCCTGAAGGAAGTCGAGCCACCGGTCGTGTTTAATGGGGAACGGGGAATGGCTTTGGAATCAATGCAGGGGTATCGGGCCTCATCTCGAGTGGATTTGGGGCATATGGAGTTGCTTTGCGTTGCTGGGTTGACCTCAGGGTCCGTCTAGACTGGTGACAGTGTTCTTGGGGACTGTCTCGAGATCCATTAAGCAAGTCGAAGCTCCTGACTTGTTTGAATGGGATCACGGAATAGCTCTGCATGCACTGCAGGTGAATGGGGCCTCATTTCGCCACTAGGGGATGTCTCATGGTTTTTCTCGAGTTGAGGCGGGGACCTGGGGTATGTTCTCGACTTACGGCGGGGATGGCCCTTCAAAACACGAGTTTCTTCAGTGACGTCAGGACTCCTGTCTAGTAACGAGGGACACCTCAGGAATCTCTTCGAGGCTTGGCAGGGCAAAAGGGACGCTTCTCGAGGTGAGGCAGGGCACCCAAGGACCCTTTCCAGTAGCCACAGGGATTTTGGGATTCCTATCAGTATTCAAGAGGAGTCAGTAATCGTCACCTTTTGAAGCAATGTACTCTGCTTGCCTCTCGAGGTGTCAACGTGATGTGAGCCATTCCGTCAAAATGAGGCAGGGACCTAGGGCTTTCTCTATGGTCTCCACAGGGGATTCAGACATCCATTCATGTTGTGAGGTGAAAGACGAGCCTGTATTCAAGCCACTACAAAGATATCCGGCCCCCTTTCAAGTTAGCGCTTCTCGCTGTATATTCCCCTTGAGGCAGCAAACTCGGGGTCCCTCCCACATACCTATTGCTGAGAGAAGCCTCCTCCTGAGGTGCTTCTGGAAAGTTGGCATACGTCTTGAGCCTAAGCCAGGGAATCAGCTCTCATCTCGAGACGATTTGGGGTACACGGAGAATTCCTCGAGTTGCTGTGCTGAAGTTGGTGTTCCTCTAGACTTGGGACAGTGTTCTCGGGGCATCTCTTGAGTTGCCTGAAGGAAGTCGAGCCAACGGTCGTGTTGAATGGGGAACGGGGAATGGCTCTGGAGTCAATGCAGGGGAGTCGGGCCTCATCTCGAGTTGATTTGGGGCACATGGAGTTGCTTTGCGGTGCTGGGTTGACCTCAGGGTCCGTCTAGACTGGTGACAGTGTACTTGGGGACTGTCTCGAGATCCATTAAGCAAGTCGAAGCTCCTGACTTGTTTGAATGGGATCACGGAATAGCTCTGCATGCACTGCAGGGGAATGGTGCCTCATCTCGCCTCTAGGGGGAAGTCTCATGGTTTTTCTCGAGTTGCGGCGGGGACCTGGGGTATGTTCTCGACTTACGGCGGGGATGGCCCTTCAAAACATGAGTTCCTTCAGTGATGTCAGGACTCCTGTCTAGTAATGAGGAACACCTCAGGAATCTCTTCGAGGCTTGGCAGGGCAAAAGGGACGCTTCTCGAGGTGAGGCAGGGCACCCAAGGACCCTTTCCAGTAGCCACAGGGATTTTGGGATTCCTATCAGTATTCAAGAGGAGTCAGGCATCGTCACCTTCTGAAGCAATGAACTCTGCGTGCATCTCGAGGTGTCAGCGGGATGTGAGGCATTCTGTCAAAATGAGGCAGGGACCTAGGGCTTTCTCTAAGGTCTCCACAGGGGATTCAGACATCCCTTCATGTTGTGAGATGAAACACGAGCCTGTATTCAAGCCACTGCTAGAAAATCCGCTCTCCTTTCAAGTTAGGGCTTCTCGCTGTATATTCCCCTTGAGGCAGCAAACTCGGGGTCCCTCCCACATACCTATTGCTGAGAGAAGCCTCCTCCTGAGGTGCTTCTGGAAAGTTGGCATACGTCTTGAGCATAAGCCAGGGAATCAGCTCTCATCTCGAGATGATTTGGTGTACACGGAGCATTGCTCGAGTTGCTGTGCTGAAGTTTGTGTTCCTCTAGACTTGGGAGAGTGTTCTCGGGGCATCTCTGGAGTTGCTTGAAGGAAGTCGAGCAACCGGTCGTGTTGAATGGGGAAAGGGGAATCTCTCTGGAGTCAATGCAGGGGAATCCGGCCTCATCTCGAGTGGATTTGCGGCACATGGAGCTGCTTTGCGTTGCTGGGGTGACCTCAGGGTCCGTCTAGACTGGTGACAGTGTTTTTGGGGACTGTCTCGAGATCCATTCAGCAAGTCGAAGCTCCTGACTTGTTTGAATGGGATCTCGGAATAGCTCTGCATGCACTGCAGGGGAATGGGGCCTCATCTCGCCTCTAGGGGGAAGTCTCATGGTTTTTCTAGAGTTGCGGTGGGGACCTGGGGTATGTTCTCGACTTACGGCGGGGATGGCCCTTCAAAACACGAGTTTCTTCAGTGACGTCAGGACTCCTGTGTAATAACGAGGTACACCTCAGGAATCTCTTCGAGGCTTGGCAGGGCAAAAGGGACGCTTCTCGAGGTGAGGCAGGGCACCCAAGGACCCTTTCCAGTAGCCACAGGGATTTTCGGATTCCTATCAGTATTCAAGAGGAGTCAGGCATCGTCACCTTTTGAAGCAATGTACTCTGCGTGCCTCTCGAGGTGTCAACGGGATGTGAGCCATTCCGTCAAAATGAGGCAGGGACCTAAGGCTTTCTCTATGGTCTCCACAGGGGATTCAGACATCCCTTCATGTTGTGAGGTGAAAGACGAGCCTGTGTTCAAGCCACTACAAGGATATCCGGCCTCGTTTCAAGATAGCGCTTCTCGCTGTATATTCCCCTTGAGGCAGCAAACTCGGGGTCCCTCCCACATACCTATTGCTGAGAGAAGCCTCCTCCTGAGGTGCTTCTGGAAAGTTGGCATACGTCTTTAGCCTAAGCCAGGGGATCAGCTCTAATCTCGAGACGATTTGGGGTACACGGAACATTCTTCGAGTTGCTGTGCTGAAGTTGGTGTTCCTATAGACTTGGAACAGTGTTCTCGGGCATCTCTGGAGTTGCCTGAAGGAAGTCGAGCCACCGGTCGTGTTGAATGGGGAACGGGAAATGGCTCTGGAGTCAATGCAGGGGAATCGGGCCTCATCTCGAGTTGATTTGGGGCACATGGAGCTGCTTTGCGTTGCTGGGCTGACCTCACGGTCCGTCTAGACTGGTGACAGTGTTCTTGGGGACTGTCTCGAGATCCATTAAGCAAGTCGAAGCTCCTGACTTGTTTGAATGAGATCACGGAATAGCTCTGCATGCACTGCAGGGGAATGGGGCCTCATCTCGCCTCTAGGGGGAAGTCTCATGGTTTTTCTCGAGTTGCGGCGGGGACCTGGGGTATGTTCTCGACTTACGGCGGGGATGGCCCTTCAAAACACGAGTTTCTTCAGTGACGTCAGGACTCCTGTCTAGTAACGAGGTACACCTCAGGAATCTCTTCGAGGCTTGGCAGGGCAAAACGGACGCTTCTCGAGGTAAGGCAGGGCACCCAAGGACCCTTTCCAGTAGCCAAAGGGATTTTGGGATTCCTATCAGTATTCAAGAGGAGTCAGGCATCGTCACCTTTTGAAGCAATGAACTCTGCATGATTCTCGAGGTGTCAGCGGGATGTGCGGCATTCCGTAAAAATGAGGCAGGGACCTAGGGCTTTCTCTAAGGTCTCCACAGGGGATTCAGACATCCCTTCATGTTGTGAGATGAAACACGAGCCTGTATTCAAGCCACTGCAAGGAAATCCGGCCTCCTTTCAAGTTAGGGCTTCTCGCTGTATATTCCCCTTGAGGCAGCAAACTCGGGGTCCCTCCCACATACCTATTGCTGAGAGAAGCCTCCTCCTGAGGTGCTTCTGGAAAGTTGGCATACGTCTTGAGCCTAAGCCAGGGAATCAGCTCTCATCTCGAGACGATTTGGGGTACACGGAGCATTCCTCGAGTTGCTGTGCTGAAGTTGGTGTTCCTCTAGACTACGGACAGTGTTCTCGGGGCATCTCTGGAGTTCCCTGAAGGAAGTCGAGCCACCGGTCGTGTTGAATGGGGAACGGGGAATGGCTCTGGTGTCAATGCAGGGGAATCGGGTCTCATCTCGAGTTGATTTGGGGCACATGGAGCTGCTTTGCGTTGCTGGGGTGACCTCAGGGTCCGTCTAGACTGGTGACAGTGTTCTTGGGGACTGTCTCGAGATCCATTAAGCAAGTCGAAGCTCCTGACTTGTTTGAATGGGATCACGGAATAGCTCTGCATGCACTGCAGGGGAATGGGGCCTCATCTCGCCTCTAGGGGGAAGTCTCATGGTTTTTCTCGAGTTGCGGCGGGGACGTGGGGTATGTTCTCGACTTACGGCGGGGATGGCCCTTCAAAACACGAGTTCCTTCAGTGACGTCAGGACTCCTGTCTAGTAACGAGGGACACCTCAGGAAACTCTTCGAGGCTTGGCAGGGCAAAAGGGACGCTTCTCGAGGTGAGGCAGGGCACCCAAGGACCCTTTCCAGTAGCCACAGGGATTTTGGGATTCCTATCAGTATTCAAGAGGAGTCAGGCATCGTCACCTTTTGAAGCAATGAACTCTGCGTGTCTCTCGAGGTGTCAGCGGGATGTGACGCATTCTGTCAAAATGAGGCAGGGCCATAGGGCTTTCTCTATGGTCCCCACAGGGGATTCAGACATCCCTTCATGTTGTGAGATGAAACACCAGCCTGTATTCAAGCCACTGCAAGGAAATCCGGACTCCTTTCAAGTTAGGGCTACTCGCTGTATATTCCCCTTGAGGCAGCAAACTCGGGGTCCCTCCCACATACCTATTGCTGAGAGAAGCCTCCTCCTGAGGTGCTTCTGGAAAGTTGGCATACGTCTTGAGCCTAAGCCAGGGAATCAGCTCTCATCTCGAGACGATTTGTGGTACACGGAGCATTCCTCGAGTTGCTGTGCTGAAGTTGGTGTTCCTCTAGACTTGGGACAGTGTTCTCGGGGCATCTCTGGAGTTGACTTAAGGAAGTCGAGCTACCGGTCGTGTTGAATGGGGAACGGGGAATCTCTCTGGAGTCAATTCAGGGGAATCCGGCCTCATCTCGAGTTGATTTGGGGCACATGGAGCTGCTTTGCGTTGCTGGGGTGACCTCAGGGTCCGTCTAGACTGGTGACAGTGTTCCTGGGGACTGTCTCGAGATCCATTAAGCAAGTCGAAGCTCCTGACTTGTTTGAATGGGATCACGGAATAGCTCTGCATGCACTGCAGGGGAATGGGGCCTCATCTCGCCTCTAGGAGGAAGTCTCATGGTTTTTCTCGAGTTGCGGCGGGACTTGGGGTATGTTCTCGACTTACGGCGGGGATGGCCTTTCAAAACACGAGTTTCTTCAGTGACGTCAGGACTTCTGTGTAATAACGAGGTACACCTCAGGAATCTCTTCGAGGCTTGGCAGGGCAAAAGGGACGCTTCTCGAGGTGAGGCAGGGCACCCAAGGACTCTTTCCAGTAGGCACAGGGATTTTGGGATTCCTATCAGTATTCACGAGGAGTCAGGCATCGTCACCTTTTGAAGCAATGAACTCCGCGTGCCTCTCGAGGTGTCAGCGGGATGTGAGGCATTCCGTCAAAATGAGGCAGGGACCTAGGGCTTTCTCTAAATTCTCCACAGGGGATTCAGACATCCCTTCATGTTGTGAGATGAAACACGAGACTGTATTCAAGCCACTGCAAGGAAATCCGGCCTCCTTTCAAGTTAGGGCTTCTCGCTGTATATTCCCCTTGAGGCATCAAACTCGGGGTCCCTCCCACATACATAATGCTGAGAGAAGCCTCCTCCAGTGGTGCTTCTGGAAAGTTGGCATGGTCTTGAGCCTAAGCCAGGGAATCAGCTCTCATCTCGAGACGATTTGTGGTACAAGGAGCATTCCCCAAGTTGCTGTGCTGAAGTTGGTGTTCCTCTAGACTACGGACAGTGTTCTCGGGGCATCTCTGGAGTTGCCTGAAGGAAGTCGAGCTACCGGTCGTGTTGAATGGGGAACGGGGAATGGCTCTGGAGTCAAGGCCGGGGAATCGGGCCTCATCTCGAGTTGATTTGGGGCACATGGAGCTGCTTTGCGTTGCTGGGGTGACCTCAGGGTCCGTCTAGACTGGTGACAGTGTTCTTGGGGACTGTCTCGAGATCCATTAAGCAAGTCGAAGCTCCTGACTTGTTTGAATGGGATCACGGAATAGCTCTGCATGCACTGCAGGGGAATGGGGCCTCATCTCGCCTCTAGGGGGAAGTCTCATGGTTTTTCTCGAGTTGCGGCGGGGACCTGGGGTATGTTCTCGACTTAAGGCGGGGATGGCCGTTCAAAACACGAGTTCCTTCAGTGACGTCAGGACTCCTGTCTAGTAACGAGGGACACCTTAGGAAACTCTTCGAGGCTTGGCAGGGCAAAAGGGACGCTTCTCGAGGTGAGGCAGGACACCCAAGGACCCTTTCCAGTAGCCACAGGGATTTTGGGATTCCTAACAGTATTCAAGAGGAGTCAGGCATCGTCACCTTTTGAAGCAATGAACTCTGCGTGCCTCTCGAGGTGTCAGCGGGATGTGAGGCATTCCGTCAAAATGAGGCAGGGACCTAGGGCTTTCTCTAAGGTCTCCACAGGGGATTCAGACAACCCTTCATGTTGTGAGATGAAACACGAGCCTGTATTCAAGCCACTGCAAGGAAATCCGGCCTCCTTTCAAGTTATGGCTTCTCGCTGTATATTCCCCTTGAGGCAGCAAACTCGGGGTCCCTCCCACATACCTATTGCTGAGAGAAGCCTCCTCCTGAGGTGCTTCTGGAAAGTTGGCATACGTCTTGAGCCTAAGCCAGGGAATCAGCTCTCATCTCGAGACGATTTTGGGTACACGGAGCATTCCTCGAGTTGCTGTGCTGAAGTTGGTGTACCTCTAGACTTGGGACAGTGTTCTCGGGGCATCTCTGGAGTTGCCTGAAGGAAGTCGAGCCACCGGTCGTGTTGAATGGGGAACGGGGAATCTCTCTGGAGTCAATTCAGGGGAATCCGGCCTCATCTCGAGTTGATTTGGGGCACATGGAGCTGCTTTGCGTTGATGGGTTGACCTCAGGGTCCGTCTAGACTGGTGACAGTGTTCTTGGGGACTGCCTCGAGATCCATTAAGCAAGTCGAAGCTCCTGACTTGTTTGAATGGGATCAGGGAATAGCTCTGCATGCACTGCAGGGGAATGGGGCCTCATTTCGCCTCTAGGGGGAAGTCTCATGGTTTTTCTCGAGTTGCGGCGGGGACCTGGGGTATGTTATTGACTTACGGCGGGGATCGCACTTCAAAACAGGAGTTCCTTCAGTGACGTCAGGACTCCTGTCTAGTAACGAGGGACACCTCAGGAATCTCTTCGAGGCTTGGCAGGGCAAAAGGGACGCTTCTCGAGGTGAGGCAGGGCACCCAAGGACCCTTTCCAGTAGCCACAGGGATTTGGGGATTCCTATCAGTATTCAAGAGGTGTCAGGCATCATCACCTTTTGAAGCAATGAACTCTGCGTGCCTCTCGAGGTGTCAGCGGGATGTGAGGCATTCCGTCAAAATGAGGCAGGGACCTAGATCTTTCTCTAAGGTCTCCACAGGGGATTCAGACATCCCTTCATGTTGTGAGATGAAAGACGAGCCTGTGTTCAAGCCACTGCAAGGATATCCGGCCTCCTTTCAAGTTAGCGCTTCTCGCTGTATATTCCCCTTGAGGCAGCATACTCGGGGTCAACCCCACATACCTATTGCTGAGAGAAGCCTCCTCCTGAGGTGCTTCTGGAATGTTGGCATACGTCTTGAGCCTAAGCCAGGGAATCAGCTCTCATCTCGAGACGATTTGGGGTACACGGAGAATTCCTCGAGTTGCTGTGTTGAAGTTGGTGTTCCTCTTGACATGGGACAGTGTTCTCGGGGCATCTCTGGAGTTGCCTGAAGGAAGTCGAGCCACCGGTCGTGTTGAATGGGGAATGGGGAATGGCTCTGGAGTCAATGCAGGGGAATCGGGCCTCATCTCGAGTTGATTTGGGGCACATGGAGCTGCTTTGCGTTGCTGGGGTGACCTCAGGGTCCGTCTAGACTGGTGACAGTGTTCTTGGGGACTGTCTCGAGATCCATTAAGCAAGTCGAAGCTCCTGACTTGTTTGAATGTGATCACGGAATAGCTCTGCATGCACTGCAGGGGAATGGTGCCTCATCTCGCCTCTAGGGGGAAGTCTCATGGTTTTTCTCGAGTTGCGGCGGGGACCTGGGTTATGTTCTCGACTTACGGCGGGATGGCCCTTCAAAACATGAGTTCCTTCAGTGACGTCAGGACTCCTGTCTAGTAATGAGGAACACCTCAGGAATCTCTTCGAGGCTTGGCAGGGCAAAAGGGACGCTTCTCGAGGTGAGGCAGGGCACCCAAGGACCCTTTCCAGTAGCCACAGGGATTTTGGGATTCCTATCAGTATTCAAGAGGAGTCAGGCATCGTCACCTTTTGAAGCAATGAACTCCGTGTGCCTCTCGAGGTGTCAGCGGGATGTGAGGCATTCCGTCAAAATGAGGCAGGGACCTAGGGCTTTCTCTAAGGTCTCCACAGGGGATTCAGACATCCCTTCATGTTGTGAGATGAAACACGAGCCTGTATTCAAGCCACTGCAAGGAAATCCGGCCTCCTTTCAAGTTAGGGCTTCTCGCTGTATATTCCCCTTGAGGCAGCAAACTCGGGGTCCCTCCCACATATCTATTGCTGAGAGAAGCCTCCTCCTGAGGTGCTTCTGGAAAGTTGGCATACGTCTTGAGCCTAAGCCAGGGAATCAGCTCTCATCTCGAGACGATTTTGGGTGCACGGAGCATTCCTCGAGTTGCTGTGCTGAAGTTGGTGTTCCTCTAGACTTGGGACAGTGTTCTCGGGGCATCTCTGGAGTTGCCTGAAGGAAGTGGAGCCACCGGTCGTGTTGAATGGGGAACGGGGAATGGCTCTGGAGTCAATGCAGGGGAATTCGGCCTCATCTCGAGTTGATTTGGGGCACATGGAGCTGCTTTGCGTTGCTGGGCTGACCTCAGGGTCCGTCTAGACTGGTAACAGTGTTCTTGGGGACTGTCTCGAGATCCATTAAGCAAGTCGAAGCTCCTGACTTGTTTGAATGGGATCACGGAATAGCTCTGCATGCACTGCAGGGGAATGGGGCCTCATCTCGCCTCTAGGGGGAAATCTCATGGTTTTTCTCGAGTTGCGGTGGGGACCTGGGTTATGTTCTCGACTTACGGCGGGGATCGCCCTTCAAAACACGAGTTCCTTCAGTGACGTCAGGACTCCTGTCTAGTAACGAGGGACACCTCAGGAATCTCTTCGAGGCTTGGCAGGGCAAAAGGGACGCTTCTCGAGGTGAGGCAGGGCACCCAAGGACCCTTTCCAGTAGCCACAGGGATTTTGGGATTCCTATCAGTATTCAAGAGGAGTCAGGCATCGTCACCTTTTGAAGCAATGAACTCTGCGTGCCTCTCGAGGTGTCAGCGGGATGTGAGGCATTCCGTCAAAATGACGCAGGGACCTAGGGCTTTCTCTAAGGTCTCCACAGGGCATTCAGACAACCCTTCATGTTGTGAGATGAAACACGAGCCTGTATTCAAGCCACTGCAAGGAAATCCGGCCTCCTTTCAAGTTAGGGCTTCTCGCTGTATATTCCCCTTGAGGCAGCAAACTCGGGGTCCCTCCCACATACCTATTGCTGAGAGAAGCCTCCTCCTGAGGTGCTTCTGGAAAGTTGGCATATGTCTTGAGCCTAAGCCAGGGAATCAGCTCTCATCTCGAGACGATTTGTGGTACACGGAGCATTCCTCGAGTTGCTGTGCTTAAGTTGGTGTTCCTCTAGACTACGGACAGTGTTCTTGGGGCATCTCTGGAGTTGCCTGAAGGAAGTCGAGCCACCTGTCCTGTTGAATGGGGAACGGGGAATCTCTCTGGAGTCAATGCAGGGGAATCGGGCCTCATCTCGAGTTGATTTGGGGCACATGGAGCTGCTTTGCGTTGCTGGGGTGACCTCAGGGTCCGTCTAGACTGGTGAAAGTGTTCTTGGCGACTGTCTCGAGATCCATTAAGCAAGTCGAAGCTCCTGACTTGTTTGAATGGGATCACGGAATAGCTCTGCATGCACTGCAGGGGAATGGGGCCTCATCTCGCGTCTAGGGGGAAGTCTCATGGTTTTTCTCGAGTTACGGCAGGGACCTGGGGTATGTTCTCGACTTACGGCGGGGATGGCCCTTCAAAACACGAGTTTCTTCAGTGACGTCAGGACTCCTGTCTAGTAACGAGGGACACCTCAGGAATCACTTCGAGGCTTGGCAGTGCAAAAGGGACGCTTCTCGAGGTGAGGCAGGGCACCCAAGGACCCTTTCCAGTAGCCACAGGGATTTTGGGATTCCTATCAGTATTCAAGAGGAGTCAGGAATCGTCACCTTTTGAAGCAATGTACTCTGCGTGCCTCTCGAGGTGTCAACGGGATGTGAGCCATTCCGTCAAAATGAGGCAGGGACCTAGATCTTTCTCTAAGGTCTCCACAGGGGATTCAGACATCCCTTCATGTTGTGAGATGAAAGACGAGCCTGTGTTCAAGCCACTGCAAGGATATCCGGCCTCCTTTCAAGTTAGCGCTTCTCGCTGTATATTCCCCTTGAGGCAGCATACTCGGGGTCAACCCCACATACCTATTGCTGAGAGAAGCCTCCTCCTGAGGTGCTTCTGGAATGTTGGCATACGTCTTGAGCCTAAGCCAGGGAATCAGCTCTCATCTCGAGACGATTTGGGGTACACGGAGAATTCCTCGAGTTGCTGTGCTGAAATTGGTGTTCCTCTAGACTTGGGACAGTGTTCTCGGGGCATCTCTGGAGTTTCCTGAAGGAAGTCGAACCACCGGTCGTGTTGAATGGGGAACGGGGAATGGCTTTGGAGTCAATGCAGGGGAATCGGGCCTCATCTCGAGTTGATTTGGGGCACATGGAGCTGCTTTGCGTTGCTGGGTTGACCTCAGGGTCCGTCTAGACTGGTGACAGTGTTCTTGGGGACTGTCTCGAGATCCATTAAGCAAGGCGAAGCTCCTGACTTGTTTGAATGGGATCACGGAATAGCTCTGCATGCACTGCAGGGGAATGGTGCCTCATCTCGCCTCTAGGGGGAAGTCTCATGATTTTTCTCGAGTTGCGGCGGGGACCTGGGGTATGTTCTCGACTTACGGCGGGATGGCCCTTCAAAACATGAGTTCCTTCAGTGACGTCAGGACTCCTGTCTAGTAATGAGGAACACCTCAGGAATCTCTTCGAGGCTTGGCAGGGCAAAAGGGACGCTTCTCGAGGTGAGGCAGGGCACCCAAGGACCCTTTCCAGTAGCCACAGGGATTTTGGGATTCCTATCAGTATTCAAGAGGAGTCAGGCATCGTCAAATTCTGAAGCAGTGAACTCTGCGTGCCTCTCAAGGTGTCAGCGGGATGTGAGGCATTCCGTCAAAATGAGGCAGGGACCTAGGGCTTTCTCTAAGGTCTCCACGGGGGATTCAGACATCCCTTCATGTTGTGAGATGAAAGACGAGCCTGTTCAAGCCACTGCTAGAAAATCCGGCCTCCTTTCAAGTTAGGGCTTCTCGCTGTATATTCCCCTTGAGGCAGCAAACTCGGGGTCCCTCCCACATACCTATTGCTGAAAGAATTCTCCTCCTGAGGTGCTTCTGCAAAGTTGGCATACGTCTTGAGCCTAAGCCAGGGAATCAGCTCTCATCTCGAGACGATTTGGGGTACACGGAGCATTCCTCGAGTTGCTGTGCTGAAGTTGGTGTTCCGCTAGACTTGGGACAGTGTTCTCGGGGCATCTCTGGAGTTGCCTGAAGGAAGTCGAGCCACCGGTCGTGTTGAATGGGGAACGGGGAATCTCTCTGGAGTCAATTCAGGGGAATCCGGCCTCATCTCGAGTTGATTTGGGGCACATGGAGCTGCTTTGCGTTGCTGGGGTGACCTCAGGGTCCGTCTAGACTGGTAACAGTGTTCTTGGGGACTGCCTCGAGATCCATTAAGCAAGTCGAAGCTCCTGACTTGTTTGAATGGGATCACGGAATAGCTCTGCATGCACTGCAGGGGAATGGGGACTCATCTCGCCTCTAGGGGGAAGTCTCATGGTTTTTCTCGAATTGCGGCGGGGACCTGGTGTATGTTCTCGACTTACGGCGGGGATGGCCCTTCAAAACACGAGTTTCTTCAGTGACGTCAGGACTCCTGTGTAATAACGAGGTACACCTCAGGAATCTCTTCGAGGCTTGGCAGGGCAAAAGGGACGCTTCTCGAGGTGAGGCAGGGCACCCAAGGACCCTTTCCAGTAGCCACATGGATTTTCGGATTCCTATCAGTATTCAAGAGGAGTCAGGCATCGTCACCTTTTGAAGCAATGAACTCCGTGTGCCTCTCGAGGTGTCAGCGGGATGTGAGACATTCCGTCAAAATGAGGCAGGGACCTAGGGCTTTCTCTAAGGTCTCCACAGGGGATTCAGACATCCCTTCATGTTGTGAGATGAAACACGAGCCTGTATTCAAGCCACTGCAAGGAAATCCGGCCTCCTTTCAAGTTAGGGCTTCTCGCTGTATATTCCCCTTGAGGCAGCAAACTCGTGGTCCCTCCCACATATCTATTGCTGAGAGAAGCCTCCTCCTGAGGTGCTTCTGGAAAGTTGGCATACGTCTTGAGCCTAAGCCAGGGAATCAGCTCTCATCTCGAGACGATTTTGGGTACACGGAGCATTCCTCGAGTTGCTGTGCTGAAGTTGGTGTTCCTCTAGACTTGGGACAGTGTTCTCGGGGCATCTCTGGAGTTGCCTGAAGGAAGTCGAGCCACCGGTCGTGTTGAATTGGGAACGGGGAATGGCTCTGGAGTCAATGCAGGGGAATCGGGCCTCATCTCGAGTTGATTTGGGGCACATGGAGCTGCTTTGCGTTGCTGGGCTGACCTCAGGGTCCGTCTAGACTGGTGACAGTGTTCTTGGGGACTCTCTCGAGATCCATTAAGCAAGTCGAAGCTCCTGACTTGTTTGAATGGGATCACGGAATAGCTCTGCATGCACTGCAGGGGAATGGGGCCTCATCTCGCCTCTAGGGGGAAGTCTCATGGTTTTTCTCGAGTTGCGGCGGGGACCTGGGGTATGTTCTCGACTTACGGCGGCGATGGCCCTTCAAAACACGAGTTTCTTCAGTGACGTCAGGACTCCTGTCTAGTAACGAGGGACACCTCAGGAATCTCTTCGAGGCTTGACAGGGCAAAAGGGACGCTTCTCGAGGTGAGGCAGGGCACCCAAGGACCCTTTCCAGTAGCCTCAGGGATTTTCGGATTCCTATCAGTATTCAAGAGGAGTCAGGCATCGTCACCTTTTGAAGCATTGAACTCCGTGTGCCTCTCAAGGCGTCAGAGGGATGTGAGGCATTCCGTCAAAATGAGGCAGGGACCTAGGGCTTTCTCTAAGGTCTCCACAGGGGATTCAGACATCCCTTCATGTTGTGAGATGAAAGACGAGCCTGTATTCAAGCCACTGCAAGGATATCTGGCCTCCTTTCAAGTTACGGCTTCTCGCTGTATATTCCCCTTGAGGCAGCAAACTCCGGGTCCCTCCCACATACTTATTGCTGAGAGAAGCCTCCTCCTGAGGTGCTTCTGGAAAGTTGGCATACGTCTTGAGCCTAAGCCAGGGAATCAGCTCTCATCTCGAGACGATTTGGGGTACACGGAGCATTCCTCGAGTTGCTGTGCTGAAGTTGGTGTTCCTCTAGACTTGGGACAGTGTTCTCGGGGCATCTCTGCAGTTGCCTGAAGGAAGTCGAGCCACCGGTCGTGTTGAATGGGGAACGGGGAATGGCTCTGGAGTCAATGCAGGGGAATCGGGCCTCATCTCGAGTTGATTTGGGGCACATGGTGCTGCTTTGCGTTGCTGGGCTGACCTCAGGGTCCGTCTAGACTGGTGACAGTGTTCTTGGGGACTCTCTCGAGATCCATTAAGCAAGTCGAAGCTCCTGACCTGTTTGAATGGGATCACGGAATAGCTCTGCATGCACTGCAGGGGAATGGGGCCTCATCTCGCCTCTAGGGGGAAGTCTCATGGTTTTTCTAGAGTTGCGGCGGGGACCTGGGGTATGTTCTCGACTTACGGCGGGGATGGCCCTTCAAAACACGAGTTTCTTCAGTGACGTCAGGACTCCTGTGTAATAACGAGGTACACCTCAGGAATCTCTTCGAGGCTTGGCAGGGCAAAAGGGACGCTTCTCGAGGTGAGGCAGGGCACCCAAGGACCCTTTCCAGTAGCCACAGGGATTTTGGGATTCCTATCAGTATTCAAGAGGAGTCAGGCATCGTCACCATTTGAAGCAATGAACTCTGCGTGATTCTCGAGGTGTCAGCGGGATGTGAGGCATTCCGTCAAAATGAGGCCGGGATCTAGGGCTTTCTCTAAGGTCTCCACAGGGGATTCAGACATCCCTTCATGTTGTGAGATGAAACACGAGCCTGTATTCAAGCCACTGCAAGGAAATCCGGCCTCCTTTCAAGTTAGGGCTTCTCGCTGTATATTCCCCTTGAGGCAGCATACTCGGGGTCCCTCCCACATACCTATTGCTGAGAGAAGCCTCCTCCTGAGGTGCTTCTGGAAAGTTGGCATACGTCTTGAGCCTAAGCCAGGGAATCAGCTCTCATCTCGAGACGATTTGTGGTACACGGAGCATTCCCCGAGTTGCTGTGCTGAAGTTGGTGTTCCCCTAGACTTGGGACAGTGTTCTCGGGGCATCTCTGGAGTTGCCTGAAGGAAGTCGAGCCACCGGTCGTGTTGAATGGGGAACGGGGAATGGCTCTGGAGTCAATGCAGGGGAATCGGGCCTCATCTCGAGTTGATTTGGGGCACATGGAGCTGCTTTGCGTTGCTGGGGTGACCTCAGGGTCCGTCTAGACTGGTGACAGTGTTCTTGGGGACTGTCTCGAGATCCATTAAGCAAGTCGAAGCTCCTGACTTGTTTGAATGGGGTCACGGAATAGCTCTGCATGCACTTCAGGGGAATGGGGCCTCATCTCGCCTCTAGGGGGAAGTCTCATGGTTTTTCTCGAGTTGCGGCGGGGACCTGGGGTATGTTCTCGACTTACGGCGGGGATGGCCCTTCAAAACACGAGTTTCTTCAGTGACGTCAGGACTCCTGTCTAGTAACGAGGGACACCTCAGGAATCTCTTCGAGGCTTGGCAGGGCCAAAGGGACGCTTCTCGAGGTGAGGCAGGGCACCCAAGGACCCTTTCCAGTAGCCACAGGGATTTTGGGATTCCTATCAGTATTCAAGAGGAGTCAGGCATCGTCACCTTTTGAAGCAATGAACTCCGCGTGCCTCTCGAGGTGTCAGCGGGATGTGAGGCATTTCGTCAAAATGAGGCAGGGACCTAGGGCTTTCTCTAAGGTCTCCACAGGGGATTCAGACATCCCTTCATGTTGTGAGATGAAAGACGAGCCTGTATTCAAGCCACTGCAAGGAAATCCGGCCTCCTTTCTAGTTAGGGCTTCTCGCTGTATATTCCCCTTGAGGCAGCAAACTCGGGGTCCCTCCCACATACCTATTGCTGAGAGAAGCCTCCTCCTGAGGTGCTTCTGGGAAGTTGGCATACGTCTTGAGCCAAAGCCAGGGAATCAGCTCGCATCTCGAGACGATTTGGGGTACACGGAGCATTCCTCGAGTTGCTGTGCTGAAGTTGGTGTTCCTCTAGACTTGGGACAGTGTTCTCGGGGCATCTCTGGAGTTGCCTGAAGGAAGTCGAGCCACCGGTCGTGTTGAATGGGGAACGGGGAATGGCTCTGGAGTCAGTGCAGGGGAATCGGGCCTCATCTCGAGTTGATTTGGGGCACATGGAGCTGCTTTGCGTTGCTGGGGTGACCTCAGGGTCCGTCTAGACTGGTGACAGTGTTCTTGGGGACTGTCTCGAGATCCATTAAGCAAGTCGAAGCTCCTGACTTGTTTGAATGGGATCACGGAATAGCTCTGCATGCACTGCAGGGGAATGGGGCCTCATCTCGCCTCTAGGGGGAAGTCTCATGGTTTTTCTCGAGTTGCGGTGGGGACCTGGGTTATGTTCTCGACTTACGGCGGGGATCGCCCTTCAAAACACGAGTTCCTTCAGTGACGTCAGGACTCCTGTCTAGTAACGAGGGACACCTCAGGAATCTCTTCGAGGCTTGGCAGGGCAAAAGGGACGCTTCTCGAGGTGAGGCAGGGCACCCAAGGACCCTTTCCAGTAGCCACAGGGATTTTGGGATTCCTATCAGTATTCAAGAGGAGTCAGGCATCGTCACCTTTTGAAGCAATGAACTCTGCGTGACTCTCGTGGTGTCAGCGGGATGTGAGGCATTCCGTCAAAATGAGGCAGGGACCTAGGGCTTTCTCTAAGGTCTCCACAGGGGATTCAGACATCCCTTCATGTTGTGAGATGAAAGACGAGCCTCTATTCAAGACACTGCTAGAAAATCCAGCCTCCTTTCAAGTTAGGGCTTCTCGCTGTATATTCCCCTTGAGGCAGCAAACTCGGGGTCCCTCCCACATACCTATTGCTGAGAGAAGACTCCTCCTGAGGTGCTTCTGGAAAGTTGGCATACGTCTTGAGCATAAGCCAGGGAATCAGCTCTCATCTCGAGATGATTTGGTGTACACGGAGCATTCCTCGAGTTGCTGTGCTGAAGTTGGTGTTCCTCTAGACTTGGGACAGTGTTCTCGTGGCATCTCTGGAGTTGCCTGAAGGAAGTCGAGCCACCGGTCGTGTTGAATGGGGAACGGGGAATCTCTCTGGAGTCAATTCAGGGGAATCGGGCCTCATCTCGAGTTGATTTGGGGCACATGGAGCTGCTTTGCGTTGCTGGGGTGACCTCAGGGTCCGTCTAGACTGGTGACAGTGTTCTTGGGGACTGTCTCGAGATCCATTAAGCAAGTCGAAGCTCCTGACTTGTTTGAATGGGATCACGGAATAGCTCTGCATGCACTGCAGGGGAATGGGGCCTCATCTCGCCTCTAGGGGGAAGTCTCATGGTTTTTCTCGAGGTGCGGCGGGACTTGGGGTATGTTCTCGACTTACGGCGGGGATGGCCTTTCAAAACACGAGTTTCTTCAGTGACGTCAGGACTTCTGTGTAATAACGAGGTACACCTCAGGAATCTCTTCGAGGCTTGGCAGGGCAAAAGGGACTCTTCTCGAGGTGAGGCAGGGCACCCAAGGACTCTTTCCAGTAGGCACAGGGATTTTGGGATTCCTATCAGTATTCAAGAGGAGTCAGGCATCGTCACCTTTTGAAGAAATGAACTCTGCGTGATTCTCGAGGTGTCAGCGGGATGTGAGGCATTCCGTCAAAATGAGGCAGGGACCTAGGGCTTTCTCTAAAGTCCCCACAGGGGATTCAGACATCACTTCATGTTGTGAGATGAAACACGAGACTGTATTCAAGCCACTGCAAGGAAATCCGGCCTCCTTTCAAGTTAGGGCTTCTCGCTGTATATTCCCCTTGAGGCAGCAAACTCGGGGTCCCTCCCACATACATAATGCTGAGAGAAGCCTCCTCCAGTGGTGCTTCTGGAAAGTTGGCATACGTCTTGAGCCTAAGCCAGGGAATCAGCTCTCATCTCGAGACGATTTGTGGTACAAGGAGCATTCCCCAAGTTGCTGTGCTGAAGTTGGTGTTCCTCTAGACTACGGACAGTGTTCTCGGGGCATCTCTGGAGTTGCCTGAAGGAAGTCGAGCCACCGGTCGTGTTGAATGGGGAACGGGGAATGGCTCTGGAGTCAAGGCCGGGGAATCGGGCCTCATCTCGAGTTGATTTGGGGCACATGGAGCTGCTTTGCGTTGCTGGGGTGACCTCAGGGTCCGTCTAGACTGGTGACAGTGTTCTTGGGGATTGTCTCGAGATCCATTAAGCAAGTCGAAGCTCCTGACTTGTTTGAATGGGATCACGGAATAGCTCTGCATGCACTGCAGGGGAATGGGGCCTCATCTCGCCTCTAGGGGGAAGTCTCATGGTTTTTCTCGAGTTGCGGCGGGGACCTGGGGTATGTTCTCGACTTAAGGCGGGGATGGCCGTTCAAAACACGAGTTCCTTCAGTGACGTCAGGACTCCTGTCTAGTAACGAGGGACACCTTAGGAAACTCTTCGAGGCTTGGCAGGGCAAAAGGGACGCTTCTCGAGGTGAGGCAGGGCACCCAAGGACCCTTTCCAGTAGCCACAGGGATTTTGGGATTCCTAACAGTATTCAAGAGGAGTCAGGCATCGTCACCTTTTGAAGCAATGAACTCTGCGTGCCTCTCGAGGTGTCAGCGGGATGTGAGGCATTCCGTCAAAATGAGGCAGGGACCTAGGGCTTTCTCTAAGGTCTCCACAGGGGATTCAGACAACCCTTCATGTTGTGAGATGAAACACGAGCCTGTATTCAAGCCACTGCAAAGAAATCCGGCCTCCTTTCAAGTTATGGCTTCTCGCTGTATATTCCCCTTGAGGCAGCAAACTCGGGGTCCCTCCCACATACCTATTGCTGAGAGAAGCCTCCTCCTCAGGTGCTTCTGGAAAGTTGGCATACGTCTTGAGCCTAAGCCAGGGAATCAGCTCTCATCTCGAGACGATTTGTGGTACAAGGAGCTTTCCACAAGTTGCTATTCTGAAGTTGGTGTTCCTCTAGACTACGGACAGTGTTCTCGGGGCATCTCTGGAGTTGCCTGAAGGAAGTCGAGCCACCGGTCTTGTTGAATGGGGAACGGGGAATGGCTCTGGAGTCAATGCAGGGGAATTGGGCCTCATCTCGAGTTGATTTGGGGCATATGGAGCTGCTTTGCGTTGATGGGGTGACCTCAGGGTCCGTCTAGACTGGTGACAGTGTTCTTGGGGACTGCCTCGAGATCCATTAAGCAAGTCGAAGCTCCTGACTTGTTTGAATGGGATCACGGAATAGCTCTGCATGCACTGCAGGGGAATGGGGCCTCATCTCGCCTCTAGGGGGAAGTCTCATGGTTTTTCTGAGTTGCGGCGGGGACCTGGGGTATGTTCTCGACTTACGGCCGGGATGGCCCTTCAAAACACGAGTTCCTTCAGTGACGTCAGGACTCCTGTCTAGTAACGAGGGACACCTCAGGAAACTCTTCGAGGCTTGGCAGGGCAAAAGGGACGCTTCTCGAGGTGAGGCAGGGCACCCAAGGACCCTTTCCAGTAGCCACAGGGATTTGGGGATTCCTATCAGTATTCAAGAGGTGTCAGGCATCATCACCTTTTGAAGCAATGAACTCTGCGTGCCTCTCGAGGTGTCAGCGGGATGTGAGGCATTCCGTCAAAATGAGGCAGGGACCTAGGGCTTTCTCTAAGGTCTCCACAGGGGATTCAGACATCCCTTCATGTTGTGAGATGAAAGACGAGCCTGTGTTCAAGCCACTGCAAGGATATCCGGCCTCCTTTCAAGTTAGCGCTTCTCGCTGTATATTCCCCTTGAGGCAGCATACTCGGGGTCAACCCCACATACCTATTGCTGAGAGAAGCCTCCTCCTGAGGTGCTTCTGGAAAGTTGGCATACGTCTTGAGCCTAAGCCAGGGAATCAGCTCTCATCTCGAGACGATTTGGGGTACACGGAGAATTCCTCGAGTTGCTGTGTTGAAGTTGTTGTTCCTCTTGACTTGGGACAGTGTTCTCGGGGCATCTCTGGAGTTGCCTGAAGGAAGTCGAGCCACAGGTCGTGTTGAATGGGGAATGGGGAATGGCTCTGGAGTCAATGCAGGGGAATCGGGCCTCATCTCGAGTTGATTTGGGGCACATGGAGCTGCTTTGCGTTGCTGGGGTGACCTCAGGGTCCGTCTAGACTGGTGACAGTGTTCTTGGGGACTGTCTCGAGATCCATTAAGCAAGTCGAAGCTCCTGACTTGATTGAATGGGATCACGGAATAGCTCTGCATGCACTGCAGGGGAATGGTGCCTCATCTCGCGTCTAGGGGGAAGTCTCATGGTTTTTCTCGAGTTGCGGCGGGGACCTGGGGTATGTTCTCGACTTACGGCGGGATGGCCCTTCAAAACATGAGTTCCTTCAGTGACGTCAGGACTCCTGTCTAGTAATGAGGAACACCTCAGGAAGCTCTACTAGGCTTGGCAGGGCAAAAGGGACGCTTCTCGAGGTGAGGCAGGGCACCCAAGGACCCTTTCCAGTAGCCACAGGGATTTTGGGATTCCTATCAGTATTCAAGAGGAGTCAGGCATCGTCACCTTTTGAAGCAATGAACTCCGTGTGCCTCTCGAGGTGTCAGCGGGATGTGAGGCATTCCGTCAAAATGAGGCAGGGACCTAGGGCTTTCTCTAAGGTCTCCACAGGGGATTCAGACATCCCTTCATGTTGTGAGATGAAACACGAGCCTGTATTCAAGCCACTGCAAGGAAATCCGGCCTCCTTTCAAGTTAGGGCTTCTCGCTGTATATTCCCCTTGAGGCAGCAAACTCGGGGTCCCTCCCACATATCTATTGCTGAGAGAAGCCTCCTCCTGAGGTGCTTCTGGAAAGTTGGCATACGTCTTGAGCCTAAGCCAGGGAATCAGCTCTCATCTCGAGACGATTTTGGGTACACGGAGCATTCCTCGAGTTGCTGTGCTGAAGTTGGTGTTCCTCTAGACTTGGGACAGTGTTCTCGGGGCATCTCTGGAGTTGCCTGAAGGAAGTCGAGCCACCGGTCGTGTTGAATGGGGAACTGGGAATGGCTCTGGAGTCAATGCAGGGGAATCCGGCCTCATCTCGAGTTGATTTGGGGCACATGGAGCTGCTTTGCGTTGCTGGGCTGACCTCAGGGTCCGTCTAGACTGGTGACAGTGTTCTTGGGGACTGTCTCGAGATCCATTAAGCAAGTCGAAGCTCCTGACTTGTTTGAATGGGATCACGGAATAGCTCTGCATGCACTGCAGGGGAATGGGGCCTCATCTCGCCTCTAGGGGGAAGTCTCATGGTTTTTCTAGAGTTGCGGCGGGGACCTGGGGTATGTTCTCGACTTACGGCGGGGATGGCCCTTCAAAACACGAGTTTCTTCTGTGACGTCAGGACTCCTGTCTAGTAACGAGGGACACCTCAGGAATCACTTCGAGGCTTGGCAGTGCAAAAGGGACTCTTCTCGAGGTGAGGCAGGGCACCCAAGGACCCTTTCCAGTAGCCACAGGGATTTTGGGATTCCTATCAGTATTCAAGAGGAGTCAGGCATCGTCACCTTTTGAAGCAATGTACTCTGCGTGCCTCTCGAGGTGTCAACGGGATGTGAGCCATTCCGTCAAAATGAGGCAGGAACCTAGGGCTTTCTCTAAGGTCTCCACAGGGGATTCAGACATCCCTTCATGTTGTGAGATGAAAGACGAGCCTGTGTTCAAGCCACTGCAAGGATATCCGGCCTCCTTTCAAGTTAGCGCTTCTCGCTGTATATTCCCCTTGAGGCAGCATACTCGGGGTCAACCCCACATACCTATTGCTGAGAGAAGCCTCCTCCTGAGGTGCTTCTGGAATGTTGGCATACGTCTTGAGCCTAAGCCAGGGAATCAGCTCTCATCTCGAGACGATTTGGGGTACACGGAGAATTCCTCGAGTTGCTGTGCTGAAATTGGTGTTCCTCTAGACTTGGGACAGTGTTCTCGGGGCATCTCTGGAGTTGCCTGAAGGAAGTCGAACCACCGGTCGTGTTGAATGGGGAACGGGGAATGGCTTTGGAGTCAATGCAGGGGAATCGGGCCTCATCTCGAGTTGATTTGGGGCACATGGAGCTGCTTTGCGTTGCTGGGTTGACCTCAGGGTCCGTCTAGACTGGTGACAGTGTTCTTGGGGACTGTCTCGAGATCCATTAAGCAAGTCGAAGCTCCTGACTTGTTTGAATGGGATCACGGAATAGCTCTGCATGCACTGCAGGGGAATGGTGCCTCATCTCGCCTCTAGGGGGAAGTCTCTTGATTTTTCTCGAGTTGCGGCGGGGACCTGGGGTATGTTCTCGACTTACGGCGGGATGGCCCTTCAAAACATGAGTTCCTTCAGTGACGTCAGGACTCCTGTCTAGTAATGAGGAACACCTCAGGAATCTCTTCGAGGCTTGGCAGGGCAAAAGGGACGCTTCTCGAGGTGAGGCAGGGCACCCAAGGACCCTTTCCAGTAGCCACAGGGATTTTGGGATTCCTATCAGTATTCAAGAGGAGTCAGGCATCGACACATTCTGAAGCAGTGAACTCTGCGTGACTCTCGAGGTGTCAGCGGGATGTGAGGCATTCCGTCAAAATGAGGCAGGGACCTAGGGCTTTCTCTAAGGTCTCCACGGGGGATTCAGACATCCCTTCATGTTGTGAGATGAAAGACGAGCCTGTTCAAGCCACTGCTAGAAAATCCGGCCTCCTTTCAAGTTAGGGCTTCTCGCTGTATATTCCCCTTGAGGCAGCAAACTCGGGGTCCCTCCCACATACCTATTGCTGAAAGAAGTCTCCTCCTGAGGTGCTTCTGGAAAGTTGGCATACGTCTTGAGCCTAAGCCAGGGAATCAGCTCTCATCTCGAGACGATTTTGGGTACACGGAGCATTCCTCGAGTTGCTGTGCTGAAGTTGGTGTTCCTCTAGACTTGGGACAGTGTTTTCGGGGCATCTCTGGAGTTGCCTGAAGGAAGTCGAGCCACCGGTCGTGTTGAATTGGGAACGGGGAATGGCTCTGGAGTCAATGCAGGGGAATCGGGCCTCATCTCGAGTTGATTTGGGGCACATGGAGCTGCTTTGCGTTGCTGGGCTGACCTCAGGGTCCGTCTAGACTGGTGACAGTGTTCTTGGGGACTCTCTCGAGATCCATTAAGCAAGTCGAAGCTCCTGACTTGTTTGAATGGGATCACGGAATAGCTCTGCATGCACTGCACGGGAATGGGGCCTCATCTCGCCTCTAGGGGGAAGTCTCATGGTTTTTCTCGAGTTGCGGCGGGGACCTGGGGTATGTTCTCGACTTACGGCGGGGATGGCCCTTCAAAACACGAGTTTCTTCAGTGACGTCAGGACTCCTGTCTAGTAACGAGGGACACCTCAGGAATCTCTTCGAGGCTTGACAGGGCAAAAGGGACGCTTCTCGAGGTGAGGCAGGGCACCCAAGGACCCTTTCCAGTAGCCACAGGGATTTTCGGATTCCTATCAGTATTCAAGAGGAGTCAGGCATCGTCACCTTTTGAAGCATTGAACTCCGTGTGCCTCTCAAGGTGTCAGAGGGATGTGAGGCATTCCGTCAAAATGAGGCAGGGACCTAGGGCTTTCTCTAAGGTCTCCACAGGGGATTCAGACATCCCTTCATGTTGTGAGATGAAAGACGAGCCTGTATTCAAGCCACTGCAAGGATATCTGGCCTCTTTTCAAGTTACGGCTTCTCGCTGTATATTCCCCTTGAGGCAGCAAACTCCGGGTCCCACCCACATACTTATTGCTGAGAGAAGCCTCCTCCTGAGGTGCTTCTGGAAAGTTGGCATACGTCTTGAGCCTAAGCCAGGGAATCAGCTCTCATCTCGAGACGATTTGGGGTACACGGAGCATTCCTCGAGTTGCTGTGCTGAAGTTGGTGTTCCTCTAGACTTGGGACAGTGTTCTCGGGGCATCTCTGCAGTTGCCTGAAGGAAGTCGAGCCACCGGTCGTGTTGAATGGGGAACGGGGAATGGCTCTGGAGTCAATGCAGGGGAATCGGGCCTCATCTCGAGTTGATTTGGGGCACATGGTGCTGCTTTGCGTTGCTGGGCTGACCTCAGGGTCCGTCTAGACTGGTGACAGTGTTCTTGGGGACTCTCTCGAGATCCATTAAGCAAGTCGAAGCTCCTGACCTGTTTGAATGGGATCACGGAATAGCTCTGCATGCACTGCAGGGGAATGGGGCCTCATCTCGCCTCTAGGGGGAAGTCTCATGGTTTTTCTAGAGTTGCGGCGGGGACCTGGGGTATGTTCTCGACTTACGGCGCGGATGGCCCTTCAAAACACGAGTTTCTTCTGTGACGTCAGGACTACTGTGTAATAACGAGGTACACCTCAGGAATCTCTTCGAGGCTTGGCAGGGCAAAAGGGACGCTTCTCGAGGTGATGCAGGGCACCCAAGGACCCTTTCCAGTAGCCACAGGGATTTTGGGATTCCTATCAGTATTCAAGAGGAGTCAGGCATCGTCACCTTTTGAAGCAATGAACTCTGCGTGATTCTCGAGGTGTCAGCGGGATGTGAGGCATTCCGTCAAAATGAGGCCGGGACCTAGGGCTTTCTCTAAGGTCTCCACAGGGGATTCAGACATCCCTTCATGTTGTGAGATGAAAGACGGGCCTGTATTCAAGCCACTGCAAGGAAATCCGGCCTCCTTTCAAGTTAGGGTTTCTCGCTGTATATTCCCCTTGAGGCAGCATACTCGGGGTCACTCCCACATACCTATTGCTGAGAGAAGCCTCCTCCTGAGGTGCTTCTGGAAAGTTGGCATACGTCTTGAGCCTAAGCCAGGGAATCAGCTCTCATCTCGAGACGATTTGTGGTACACGGAGCATTCCCCGAGTTGCTGTGCTGAAGTTGGTGTTCCTCTAGACTTGGGACAGTGTTCTCGGGGCATCTCTGGAGTTGCCTGAAGGAAGTCGAGCCACCGGTCGTGTTGAATGGGGAATGGGGAATGGCTCTGGAGTCAATGCAGGGGAATCCGGCCTCATCTCGAGTTGATTTGGGGCACATGGAGCTGCTTTGCGTTGCTGGGGTGACCTCAGGGTCCGTCTAGACTGGTGACAGTGTTCTTGGGGACTGTCTCGAGATCCATTAAGCAAGTCGAAGCTCCTGACTTGTTTGAATGGGATCACGGAATAGCTCTGCATGCACTGCAGGGGAATGGGGCCTCATCTCGCCTCTAGGGGGAAGTCTCATGGTTTTTCTCGAGTTGCGGTGGGGACCTGGGTTATGTTCTCGACTTACGGCGGGGATCGCCCTTCAAAACACGAGTTCCTTCAGTGACGTCAGGACTCCTGTCTAGTAACGAGGGACACCTTAGGAATCTCTTCGAGGCTTGGCAGGGCAAAAGGGACGCTTCTCGAGGTGAGGCAGGGCACCCAAGGACCCTTTCCATTAGCCACAGGGATTTTGGGATTCCTATCAGTATTCAAGAGGAGTCAGGCATCGTCACCTTTTGAAGCAATGAACTCTGCGTGCCTCTCGAGGTGTCAGCGGGATGTGAGGCATTCCGTCAAAATGAGGCCGGGACCTAGGGCTTTCTCTAAGGACTCCACAGGGGATTAAGACATCCCTTCATGTTGTGAGATGAAACACGAGCCTGTATTCAAGCCACTGCAAGGAAATCCGGCCTCCTTTCAAGTTAGGGCTTCTCGCTGTATATTCCCCTTGAGGCAGCAAATTCCGGGTCCCTCCCACATACTTATTGCTGAGAGAAGCCTCCTCCTGAGGTGCTTCTGGGAAGTTGGCATACGCCTTGAGCCTAAGCCAGGGAATCAGCTCGCATCTCGAGACGATTTGGGGTACACGGAGCATTCCTCGAGTTGCTGTGCTGAAGTTGGTGTTCGTCTAGACTTGGGACAGTGTTCTCGGGGCATCTCTGGAGTTGCCTGAAGGAAGTCGAGCCACCGGTCGTGTTGAATGGGGAACGGGGAATGGCTCTGGAGTCAATGCAGGGGAATCGGGCCTCATCTCGAGTTGATTTGGGGCACATGGAGCTGCTTTGCGTTGCTGGGGTGACCTCAGGGTCCGTCTAGACTGGTGACAGTGTTCTTGGGGACTGTCTCGAGATCCATTAAGCAAGTCGAAGCTCCTGACTTGTTTGAATGGGATCACGGAATAGCTCTGCATGCACTGCAGGGGAATGGGGCCTCATCTCGCCTCTAGGGGGAAGTCTCATGGTTTTTCTCGAGTTGCGGCGGGGACCTGGGGTATGTTCTCGACTTACGGCGGGGATGGCCCTTCAAAACACGAGTTTCTTCAGTGACGTCAGGACTCCTGTCTAGTAACGAGGGACACCTCAGGAATCTCTTCGAGGCTTGGCAGGGCCAAAGGGACGCTTCTCGAGGTGAGGCAGGGCACCCAAGGACCCTTTCCAGTAGCCACAGGGATTTTGGGATTCCTATCAGGATTCAAGAGGAGTCAGGCATCGTCACCTTTTGAAGCAATGAACTCCGCGTGCCTCTCGAGGTGTCAGCGGGATGTGAGGCATTCCGTCAAAATGAGTCAGGGACCTAGGGCTTTCTCTAAGGTCTCCACAGGGGATTCAGACATCCCTTCATGTTGTGAGATGAAAGACGAGCCTGTATTCAAGCCACTGCAAGGAAATCCGGCCTCCTTTCAACTTAGGGCTTCTCGCTGTATATTCCCCTTGAGGCAGCAAACTCGGGGTCCCGCCCACATACCTATTGCTTAGAGAAGCCTCCTCCTGAGGTGCTTTTGGGAAGTTGGCATACGTCTTGAGCCTAAGCCAGGGAATCAGCTCGCATCTCGAGACGATTTGGGGTACACGGAGCATTCCTCGAGTTGCTGTGCTGAAGTTGGTGTTCCTCTAGACTTGGGACAGTGTTCTCGGGGCATCTCTGGAGTTGCCTGAAGGAAGTCGAGCCACCGGTCGTGTTGAATGGGGAACGGGGAATGGCTCTGGAGTCAATGCAGGGGAATCGGGCCTCATCTCGAGTTGATTTGGGGCACATGGAGCTGCTTTGCGTTGCTGGGGTGACCTCAGGGTCCGTCTAGACTGGTGACAGTGTTCTTGGGGACTGTCTCGAGATCCATTAAGCAAGTCGAAGCTCCTGACTTGTTTGAATGGGATCACGGAATAGCTCTGCATGCACTGCAGGGGAATGGGGCCTCATCTCGCCTCTAGGGGGAAGTCTCATGGTTTTTCTCGAGTTGCGGCGGGGACCAGGGGTATGTTCTCAACTTACGGCGGGGATGGCCCTTCAAAACACGAGTTTCTTCAGTGACGTCAGGACTCCTGTCTAGTAACGAGGGACACCTCAGGAATCTCTTCGAGGCTTGGCAGGGCCAAAGGGACGCTTCTCGAGGTGAGGCAGGGCACCCAAGAACCCTTTCCAGTAGCCACAGGGATTTTGGGATTCCTATCAGTATTCAAGAGGAGTCAGGCATCGTCACCTTTTGAAGCAATGAACTCCGCGTGCCTCTCGAGGTGTCAGCGGGATGTGAGGCATTCCGTCAAAATGAGTCAGCGACCTAGGGCTTTCTCTAAGGTCTCCACAGGGGATTCAGACATCCCTTCATGTTGTGAGATGAAAGACGAGCCTGTATTCAAGCCACTGCAAGGAAATCAGGCCTCCTTTCAAGTTAGGGCTTCTCGCTGTATATTCCCCTTGAGGCAGCAACTCGGGGTCCCTCCCACATACCTATTGCTGAGAGAAGCCTCCTCCTGAGGTGCTTCTGGGAAGTTGGCATACGTCTTGAGCCCAAGCCAGGGAATCAGCTCGCATCTCGAGACGATTTGGGGTACACGGAGCATTCCTCGAGTTGCTGTGCTGAAGTTGGTGTTCCTCTAGACTTGGGACAGTGTTCTCGGGGCATCTCTGGAGTTGCCTGAAGGAAGTCGAGCCACCGGTCGTGTTGAATGGGGAACGGGGAATGGCTCTGGAGTCAATGCAGGATAATCGGGCCTCATCTCGAGTTGATTTGGGGCACATGGAGCTGCTTTGCGTTGCTGGGGTGACCTCAGGGTCCGTCTAGACTGGTGAAAGTGTTCTTGGGGACTGGCTCGAGATCCATTAAGGAAGTCGAAGCTCCTGACTTGCTTGAATGGGATTCACGGAATAGCTCTGCATGCACTGCAGGGGAATGGGGCCTCATCTCGCGTCTAGGGGGAAGTCTCATGGTTTTTCTCGAGTTACGGCGGGGACCTGGGGTATGTTCTCGACTTACGGCGGGGATGGCCCTTCAAAACACGAGTTTCTTCAGTGACGTCAGGACTCCTGTCTAGTAACGAGGGACACCTCAGGAATCACTTCGAGGCTTGGCAGTGCAAAAGGGACTCTTCTCGAGGTGAGGCAGGGCACCCAAGGACCCTTTCCAGTAGCCACAGGGATTTTGGGATTCCTATCAGTATTCAAGAGGAGTCAGGCATCGTCACCTTTTGAAGCAATGTACTCTGCGTGCCTCTCGAGGTGTCAACGGGATGTGAGCCATTCCGTCAAAATGAGGCAGGGACCTAGGGCTTTCTCTAAGGTCTCCACAGGGGATTCAGACATCCCTTCATGTTGTGAGATGAAAGACGAGCCTGTGTTCAAGCCACTGCAAGGATATCCGGCCTCCTTTCAAGTTAGCGCTTCTCGCTGTATATTCCCCTTGAGGCAGCATACTCGGGGTCAACCCCACATACCTATTGCTGAGAGAAGCCTCCTCCTGAGGTGCTTCTGGAATGTTGGCATACGTCTTGAGCCTAAGCCAGGGAATCAGCTCTCATCTCGAGACGATTTGGGGTACACGGAGAATTCCTCGAGTTGCTGTGCTGAAATTGGTGTTCCTCTAGACTTGGGACAGTGTTCTCGGGGCATCTCTGGAGTTGCCTGAAGGAAGTCGAACCACCGGTCGTGTTGAATGGGGAACGGGGAATGGCTTTGGAGTCAATGCAGGGGAATCGGGCCTCATCTCGAGTTGATTTGGGGCACATGGAGCTGCTTTGCGTTGCTGGGGTGACCTCAGGGTCCGTCTAGACTGGTGACAGTGTTCTTGGGGACTGTCTCGAGATCCATTAAGCAAGTCGAAGCTCCTGACTTGTTTGAATGGGATCACGGAATAGCTCTTGATGCACTGCAGGGGAATGGTGCCTCATCTCGCCTCTAGGGGGAAGTCTCATGATTTTTCTCGAGTTGCGGCGGGGACCTGGGGTATGTTCTCGACTTACGGCGGGATGGCCCTTCAAAACATGAGTTCCTTCAGTGACGTCAGGACTCCTGTCTAGTAATGAGGAACACCTCAGGAATCTCTTCGAGGCTTGGCAGGGCAAAAGGGACGCTTCTCGAGGTGAGGCAGGGCACCCAAGGACCCTTTCCAGTAGCCACAGGGATTTTGGGATTCCTATCAGTATTCAAGAGGAGTCAGGCATCGTCACATTCTGAAGCAGTGAACTCTGCGTGCCTCTCGAGGTGTCAGCGGGATGTGAGGCATTCCGTCAAAATGAGGCAGGGTCCTAGGGCTTTCTCTAAGGTCTCCACGGGGGATTCAGACATCCCTTCATGTTGTGAGATGAAAGACGAGCCTGTTCAAGCCACTGCTAGAAAATCCGGCCTCCTTTCAAGTTAGGGCTTCTCGCTGTATATTCCCCTTGAGGCAGCAAACTCGGGGTCCCTCCCACATACCTATTGCTGAAAGAAGTCTCCTCCTGAGGTGCTTCTGGAAAGTTGGCATACGTCTTGAGCCTAAGCCAGGGAATCAGCTCTCATCTCGAGACGATTTGGGGTACACGGAGCATTCCTCGAGTTGCTGTGCTGAAGTTGGTGTTCCGCTAGACTTGGGACAGTGTTCTCGGGGCATCTCTGGAGTTGCCTGAAGGAAGTCGAGCCACCGGTCGTGTTGAATGGGGAACGGGGAATCTCTCTGGAGTCAATTCAGGGGAATCCGGCCTTATCTCGAGATGATTTGGGGCACATGGAGCTGCTTTGCGTTGCTGGGGTGACCTCAGGGTCCGTCTAGACTGGTGACAGTGTTCTTGGGGACTGTCTCGAGATCCATTAAGCAAGTCGAAGCTCCTGACTTGTTTGAATGGGATCACGGAATAGCTCTGCATGCACTGCAGGGGAATGGGGACTCATCTCGCCTCTAGGGGGAAGTCTCATGGTTTTTCTCGAATTGCGGCGGGGACCTGGGGTATGTTCTCGACTTACGGCGGGGATGGCCCTTCAAAACACGAGTTTCTTCAGTGACGTCAGGACTCCTGTGTAATAACGAGGTACACCTCAGGAATCTCTTCGAGGCTTGGCAGGGCAAAAGGGACGCTTCTCGAGGTGAGGCAGGGCACCCAAGGACCCTTTCCAGTAGCCACAGGGATTTTCGGATTCCTATCAGTATTCAAGAGGAGTCAGGCATCGTCACCTTTTGAAGCAATGAACTCCGTGTGCCTCTCGAGGTGTCAGCGGGATGTGAGACATTCCGTCAAAATGAGGCAGGGACCTAGGGCTTTCTCTAAGGTCTCCACAGGGGATTCAGACATCCCTTCATGTTGTGAGATGAAAGACGAGCCTGTATTCAAGCCACTACAAGGAAATCCGGCCTCCTTTCAAGTTAGGGCTTCTCGCTGTATATTCCCCTTGAGGCAGCAAACTCGGGGTCCCTCCCACATACCTATTGCTGAGAGAAGACTCCTCCTGAGGTGCTTCTGGAAAGTTGGCATACGTCTTGAGCATAAGCCAGGGAATCAGCTCTCATCTCGAGATGATTTGGTGTACACGGAGCATTCCTCGAGTTGCTGTGCTGAAGTTGGTGTTCCTCTAGACTTGGGACAGTGTTCTCGTGGCATCTCTGGAGTTGCCTGAAGGAAGTCGAGCCACCGGTCGAGTTGAATGGGGAACGGGGAATCTCTCTGGAGTCAATTCAGGGGAATCGGGCCTCATCTCGAGTTGATTTGGGGCACATGGAGCTGCTTTGCGTTGCTGGGGTGACCTCAGGGTCCGTCTAGACTGGTGACAGTGTTCTTGGGGACTGTCTCGAGATCCATTAAGCAAGTCGAAGCTCCTGACTTGTTTGAATGGGATCACGGAATAGCTCTGCATGCACTGCAGGGGAATGGGGCCTCATCTCGCCTCTAGGGGGAAGTCTCATGGTTTTTCTCGAGTTGCGGCGGGACTTGGGGTATGTTCTCGACTTACGGCGGGGATGGCCTTTCAAAACACGAGTTTCTTCAGTGACGTCAGGACTTCTGTGTAATAACGAGGTACACCTCAGGAATCTCTTCGAGGCTTGGCAGGGCAAAAGGGACGCTTCTCGAGGTGAGGCAGGGCACCCAAGGACTCGTTCCAGTAGGCACAGGGATTTTGGGATTCCTATCAGTATTCAAGAGGAGTCAGGCATCGTCACCTTTTGAAGAAATGAACTCTGCGTGATTCTCGAGGTGTCAGCGGGATGTGAGGCATTCCGTCAAAATGAGGCAGGGACCTAGGGCTTTCTCTAAAGTCTCCACAGGGGATTCAGACATACCTTCATGTTGTGAGATGAAACACGAGACTGTATTCAAGCCACTGCAAGGAAATCCGGCCTCCTTTCAAGTTAGGGCTTCTCGCTGTATATTCCCCTTGAGGCAGCAAACTCGGGGTCCCTCCCACATACATAATGCTGTGAGAAGCCTCCTCCAGTGGTGCTTCTGGAAAGTTGGCATGGTCTTGAGCCTAAGCCAGGGAATCAGCTCTCATCTCGAGACGATTTGTGGTACAAGGAGCATTCCCCAAGTTGCTGTGCTGAAGTTGGTGTTCCTCTAGACTACAGACAGTGTTCTCGGGGCATCTCTGGAGTTGCCTGAAGGAAGTCGAGCCACCGGTCGTGTTGAATGGGGAACGGGGAATGGCTCTGGAGTCAAGGCCGGGGAATCGGGCCTCATCTCGAGTTGATTTGGGGCACATGGAGCTGCTTTGCGTTGCTGGGGTGACCTCAGGGTCCGTCTAGACTGGTGACAGTGTTCTTGGGGATTGTCTCGAGATCCATTAAGCAAGTCGAAGCTCCTGACTTGTTTGAATGGGATCACGGAATAGCTCTGCATGCACTGCAGGGGAATGGGGCCTCATCTCGCCTCTAGGGGGAAGTCTCATGGTTTTTCTCGAGTTGCGGCGGGGACCTGGGGTATGTTCTCGACTTAAGGCGGGGATGGCCGTTCAAAACACGAGTTCCTTCAGTGACGTCAGGACTCCTGTCTAGTAACGAGGGACACCTTAGGAAACTCTTCGAGGCTTGGCAGGGCAAAAGGGACGCTTCTCGAGGTGAGGCAGGGCACCCAAGGACACTTTCCAGTAGCCACAGGGATTTTGGGATTCCTAACAGTATTCAAGAGGAGTCAGGCATCGTCACCTTTTGAAGCAATGAACTCTGCGTGCCTCTCGAGGTGTCAGCGGGATGTGAGGCATTCCGTCAAAATGAGGCAGGGACCTAGGGCTTTCTCTAAGGTCTCCACAGGGGATTCAGACAACCCTTCATGTTGTGAGATGAAACACGAGCCTGTATTCAAGCCACTGCAAGGAAATCCGGCCTCCTTTCAAGTTATGGCTTCTCGCTGTATATTCCCCTTGAGGCAGCAAACTCGGGGTCCCTCCCACATACCTATTGCTGAGAGAAGCCTCCTCCTGAGGTGCTTCTGGAAAGTTGGCATACGTCTTGAGCCTAAGCCAGGGAATCAGCTCTCATCTCGAGACGATTTTGGGTACACGGAGCATTCCTCGAGTTGCTGTGCTGAAGTTGGTGTACCTCTAGACTTGGGACAGTGTTCTCGGGGCATCTCTGGAGTTGCCTGAAGGAAGTCGAGCCACCGGTCGTGTTGAATGGGGAACGGGGAATCTCTCTGGAGTCAATTCAGGGGAATCCGGCCTCATCTCGAGTTGATTTGGGGCACATGGAGCTGCTTTGCGTTGCTGGGGTGACCTCAGGGTCCGTCTAGACTGGTGACAGTGTTCCTGGGGACTGTCTCGAGATCCATTAAGCAAGTCGAAGCTCCTGACTTGTTTGAATGGGATCACGGAATAGCTCTGCATGCACTGCAGGGGAATGGGGCCTCATCTCGCCTCTAGGGGGAAGTCTCATGGTTTTTCTCGAGTTGCGGCGGGGACCTGGGGTATGTTCTCGACTTACGGCCGGGATGGCCCTTCAAAACACGAGTTTCTTCAGTGACGTCAGGACTCCTGTGTAATAACGAGGTACACCTCAGGAATCTCTTCGTGGCTTGGCAGGGCAAAAGGGACGCTTCTCGAGGTGAGGCAGGGCACCCAAGGACCCTTTCCAGTAGCCACAGGGATTTTCGGATTCCTATCAGTATTCAAGAGGAGTCAGGCATCGTCACCTTTTGAAGCAATGAACTCCGTGTGCCTCTCGAGGTGTCAGCGGGATGTGAGGCATTCCGTCAAAATGAGGCAGGGACCTACGGCTTTCTCTAAGGTCTCCACAGGGGATTCAGACATCCCTTCATGTTGTGAGATGAAACACGAGCCTGTATTCAATCCACTGCAAGGAAATCCGGCCTCCTTTCAAGTTAGGGCTTCTCGCTGTATATTCCCCTTGAGGCAGCAAACTCGGGGTCCCTCCCACATACCTATTGCTGAGAGAAGCCTCCTCCTGAGGTGCTTCTGGAAAGTTGGCATACGTCTTGAGCCTAAGCCAGGGAATCAGCTCTCATCTCGAGACGATTTGTGGTACAAGGAGCATTCCCCAAGTTGCTATTCTGAAGTTGGTGTTCCTCTAGACTACGGACAGTGTTCTCGGGGCATCTCTGGAGTTGCCTGAAGGAAGTCGAGCCACCGGTCTTGTTGAATGGGGAACGGGGAATGGCTCTGGAGTCAATGCAGGGGAATTGGGCCTCATCTCGAGTTGATTTGGGGCATATGGAACTGCTTTGCGTTGATGGGGTGACCTCAGGGTCCGTCTAGACTGGTGACAGTGTTCTTGGGGACTGCCTCGAGATCCATTAAGCAAGTCGAAGCTCCTGACTTGTTTGAATGGGATCACGGAATAGCTCTGCATGCACTGCAGGGGAATGGGGCCTCATCTCGCCTCTAGGGGGAAGTCTCATGGTTTTTCTCTAGTTGCGGCGGGGACCTGGGGTATGTTATTGACTTACGGCGGGGATCGCGCTTCAAAACAGGAGTTCCTTCAGTGACGTCAGGACTCCTGTCTAGTAATGAGGAACACCTCAGGAAGCTCTTCTAGGCTTGGCAGGGCAAAAGGGACGCTTCTCGAGGTGAGGCAGGGCACCCAAGGACCCTTTCCAGTAGCCACAGGGATTTTGGGATTCCTATCAGTATTCAAGAGGAGTCAGGCATCGTCACCTTTTGAAGCAATGAACTCCGTGTGCCTCTCGAGGTGTCAGCGGGATGTGAGGCATTCCGTCAAAATGAGGCAGGGACCTAGGGCTTTCTCTAAGGTCTCCACAGGGGATTCAGACATCCCTTCATGTTGTGAGATGAAACACGAGCCTGTATTCAAGCCACTGCAAGGAAATCCGGCCTCCTTTCAAGTTAGGGCTTCTCGCTGTATATTCCCCTTGAGGCAGCAAACTCGGGGTCCCTCCCACATATCTATTGCTGAGAGAAGCCTCCTCCTGAGGTGCTTCTGGAAAGTTGGCATACGTCTTGAGCCTAAGCCAGGGAATCAGCTCTCATCTCGAGACGATTTTGGGTACACGGAGCATTCCTCGAGTTGCTGTGCTGAAGTTGGTGTTCCTCTAGACTTGGGACAGTGTTCTCGGGGCATCTCTGGAGTTGCCTGAAGGAAGTCGAGCCACCGGTCGTGTTGAATGGGGAACGGGGAATGGCTCTGGAGTCAATGCAGGGGAATCGGGCCTCATCTCGAGTTGATTTGGGGCACATGGAGCTGCTTTGCGTTGCTGGGCTGACCTCAGGTTCCGTCTAGACTGGTGACAGTGTTCTTGGGGATTGTCTCGAGATCCATTAAGCAAGTCGAAGCTCCTGACTTGTTTGAATGGGATCACGGAATAGCTCTGCATGCACTGCAGGGGAATGGGGCCTCATCTCGCCTCTAGAGGGAAGTCTCATGGTTTTTCTCGAGTTGCGGTGGGGACCTGGGTTATGTTCTCGACTTACGGCCTGGATCGCCCTTCAAAACACGAGTTCCTTCAGTGACGTCAGGACTCCTGTCTAGTAACGAGGGACACCTCAGGAATCTCTTCGAGGCTTGGCAGGGCAAAAGGGACGCTTCTCGAGGTGAGGCAGGGCACCCAAGGACCCTTTCCAGTAGCCACAGGGATTTTGGGATTCCTATCAGTATTCAAGAGGAGTCAGGCATCGTCACCTTTTGAAGCAATGAACTCTGCGTGCCTCTCGAGGTTTCAGCGGGATGTGAGGCATTCCGTCAAAATGAGGCAGGGTCCTAGGGCTTTCTCTAAGGTCTCCACGGGGGATTCAGACATCCCTTCATGTTGTGAGATGAAAGACGAGCCTGTTCAAGCCACTGCTAGAAAATCCGGCCTCCTTTCAAGTTAGGGCTTCTCGCTGTATATTCCCCTTGAGGCAGCAAACTCGGGGTCCCTCCCACATACCTATTGCTGAAAGAAGTCTCCTCCTGAGGTGCTTCTGGAAAGTTGGCATACGTCTTGAGCCTAAGCCAGGGAATCAGCTCTCATCTCGAGACGATTTGGGGTACACGGAGCATTCCTCGAGTTGCTGTGCTGAAGTTGGTGTTCCGCTAGACTTGGGACAGTGTTCTCGGGGCATCTCTGGAGTTGCCTGAAGGAAGTCGAGCCACCGGTCGTGTTGAATGGGGAACGGGGAATCTCTCTGGAGTCAATTCAGGGGAATCCGGTCTCATCTCGAGATGATTTGGGGCACATGGAGCTGCTTTGCGTTGCTGGGGTGACCTCAGGGTCCGTCTAGACTGGTGACAGTGTTCTTGGGGACTGTCTCGAGATCCATTAAGCAAGTCGAAGCTCCTGACTTGTTTGAATGGGATCACGGAATAGCTCTGCATGCACTGCAGGGGAATGGGGACTCATCTCGCCTCTAGGGGGAAGTCTCATGGTTTTTCTCGAATTGCGGCGGGGACCTGGGGTATGTTCTCGACTTACGGCGGGGATGGCCCTTCAAAACACGAGTTTCTTCAGTGACGTCAGGACTCCTGTCTAGTAACGAGGGACACCTCAGGAATCTCTTCGAGGCTTGACAGGGCAAAAGGGACGCTTCTCGAGGTGAGGCAGGGCACCCAAGGACCCTTTCCAGTAGCCACAGGGATTTTGGGATTCCTATCAGTATTCAAGAGGAGTCAGGCATCGTCACCTTTTGAAGCAATGAACTCTGCGTGCCTCTCGAGGTGTCAGCGGGATGTGAGGCATTCCGTCAAAATGAGGCCGGGACCTAGGGCTTTCTCTAAGGTCTCCACAGGGGATTCAGACATCCCTTCATGTTGTGAGATGAAACACGAGCCTGTATTCAAGCCACTGCAAGGAAATCCGGCCTCCTTTCAAGTTAGGTCTTCTCGCTGTATATTCCCCTTGAGGCAGCAAACTCCGGGTCCCTCCCACATACTTATTGCTGAGAGAAGCCTCCTCCTGAGGTGCTTCTGGAAAGTTGGCATACGTCTTGATCCTAAGCCAGGGAATCAGCTCTCATCTCGAGACGATTTGGGGTACACGGAGCATTCCTCGAGTTGCTGTGCTGAAGTTGGTGTTCCTCTAGACTTGGGACAGTGTTCTCGGGGCATCTCTGCAGTTGCCTGAAGGAAGTCGAGCCACCGGTCGTGTTGAATGGGGAACGGGGAATGGCTCTGGAGTCAATGCAGGGGAATCGGGCCTCATCTCGAGTTGATTTGGGGCACATGGTGCTGCTTTGCGTTGCTGGGCTGACCTCAGGGTCCGTCTAGACTGGTGACAGTGTTCTTGGGGACTCTCTCGAGATCCATTAAGCAAGTCGAAGCTCCTGACTTGTTTGAATGGGATCACGGAATAGCTCTGCATGCACTGCAGGGGAATGGGGCCTCATCTCGCCTCTAGGGGGAAGTCTCATGGTTTTTCTAGAGTTGCGGCGGGGACCTGGGGTATGTTCTCGACTTACGGCGGGGATGGCCCTTCAAAACACGAGTTTCTTCAGTGACGTCAGGACTCCTGTCTAGTAACGAGGGACACCTCAGGAATCTCTTCGAGGCTTGGCAGGGCAAAAGGGACGCTTCTCGAGGTGAGGCAGGGCACCCAAGGACCCTTTCCAGTAGCCACAGGGATTTTGGGATTCCTATCAGTATTCAAGAGGAGTCAGGCATCGTCACCTTTTGAAGCAATGAACTCTGCGTGCCTCTCGAGGTGTCAGCGGGATGTGAGGCATTCCGTCAAAATGAGGCAGGGACCTAGGGCTTTCTCTAAGGTCTCCACAGGGGATTCAGACATCCCTTCATGTTGTGAGATGAAAGACGGGCCTGTATTCAAGCCACTGCAAGGAAATCCGGCCTCCTTTCAAGTTAGGGTTTCTCGCTGTATATTCCCCTTGAGGCAGCATATTCGGGGTCCCTCCCACATACCTATTGCTGAGAGAAGCCTCCTCCTGAGGTGCTACTGGGAAGTTGGCATACGCCTTGAGCCTAAGCCAGGGAATCAGCTCGCATCTCGAGACGATTTGGGGTACACGGAGCATTCCTCGAGTTGCTGTGCTGAAGTTGGTGTTCGTCTAGACTTGGGACAGTGTTCTCGGGGCATCTCTGGAGTTGCCTGAAGGAAGTCGAGCCACCGGTCGTGTTGAATGGGGAACGGGGAATGGCTCTGGAGTCAATGCAGGGGAATCGGGCCTCATCTCGAGTTGATTTGGGGCACATGGAGCTGCTTTGCGTTGCTGGGGTGACCTCAGGGTCCGTCTAGACTGGTGACAGTGTTCTTGGGGACTGTCTCGAGATCCATTAAGCAAGTCGAAGCTCCTGACTTGTTTGAATGGGATCACGGAATAGCTCTGCATGCACTGCAGGGGAATGGGGCCTCATCTCGCCTCTAGGGGGAAGTCTCATGGTTTTTCTCGAGTTGCGGCGGGGACCTGGGGTATGTTCTCGACTTACGGCGGGGATGGCCCTTCAAAACACGAGTTTCTTCAGTGACGTCAGGACTCCTGTCTAGTAACGAGGGACACCTCAGGAATCTCTTCGAGGCTTGGCAGGGCCAAAGGGACGCTTCTCGAGGTGAGGCAGGGCACCCAAGGACCCTTTCCAGTAGCCACAGGGATTTTGGGATTCCTATCAGTATTCAAGAGGAGTCAGGCTTCGTCACCTTTTGAAGCAATGAACTCTGCGTGCCTCTCGAGGTGTCAGCGGGATGTGAGGCATTCCGTCAAAATGAGGCCGGGACCTAGGGCTTTCTCTAAGGTCTCCACAGGGGATTCAGACATCCCTTCATGTTGTGAGATGAAACACGAGCCTGTATTCAAGCCACTGCAAGGAAATCCGGCCTCCTTTCAAGTTAGGGCTTCTCGCTGTATATTCCCCTTGAGGCAGCAAACTCCGGGTCCCTCCCACATACTTATTGCTGAGAGAAGCCTCCTCCTGAGGTGCTTCTGGAAAGTTGGCATACGTCTTGAGCCTAAGCCAGGGAATCAGCTCTCATCTCGAGACGATTTGGGGTACACGGAGCATTCCTCGAGTTGCTGTGCTGAAGTTGGTGTTCCTCTAGACTTGGGACAGTGTTCTCGGGGCATCTCTGGAGTTGCCTGAAGGAAGTCGAGCCACCGGTCGTGTTGAATGGGGAACGGGGAATGGCTCTGGAGTCAATGCAGGGGAATCGGGCCTCATCTCGAGTTGATTTGGGGCACATGGAGCTGCTTTGCGTTGCTGGGGTGACCTCAGGGTCCGTCTAGACTGGTGACAGTGTTCTTGGGGACTGTCTCGAGATCCATTAAGCAAGTCGAAGCTCCTGACTTGTTTGAATGGGATCACGGAATAGCTCTGCATGCACTGCAGGGGAATGGGGCCTCATCTCGCCTCTAGGGGGAAGTCTCATGGTTTTTCTCGAGTTGCGGCGGGGACCTGGGGTATGTTCTCGACTTACGGCGGGGATGGCCCTTCAAAACACGAGTTTCTTCAGTGACGTCAGGACTCCTGTCTAGTAACGAGGACACCTCAGGAATCTCTTCGAGGCTTGGCAGGGCCAAAGGGACGCTTCTCGAGTTGAGGCAGGGCACCCAAGGACCCTTTCCAGTAGCCACAGGGATTTTGGGATTCCTATCAGTATTCAAGAGGAGTCAGGCATCGTCACCTTTTGAAGCAATGAACTCCGCGTGCCTCTCGAGGTGTCAGCGGGATGTGAGGCATTCCCTCAAAATGAGGCAGGGACCTAGGGCTTTCTCTAAGGTCTCCACAGGGGATTCAGACATCCCTTCATGTTGTGAGATGAAAGACGAGCCTGTATTCAAGCCACTGCAAGGAAATCCGGCCTCCTTTCAAGTTAGGGCTTCTCGCTGTATATTCCGCCTGAGGCAGCAAACTCGGGGTCCCTCCCACATACCTATTGCTGAGAGAAGCCTCCTCCTGAGGTGCTTCTGGGAAGTTGGCATACGTCTTGAGCCTAAGCCAGGGAATCAGCTCGCATCTCGAGACGATTTGGGGTACACGGAGCATTCCTCGAGTTGCTGTGCTGAAGTTGGTGTTCCTCTAGACTTGGGACAGTGTTCTCGGGGCATCTCTGGAGTTGCCTGAAGGAAGTCGAGCCACCGGTCGTGTTGAATGGGGAACGGGGAATGGCTCTGGAGTCAATGCAGGGGAATCGGGCCTCATCTCGAGTTGATTTGGGGCACATGGAGCTGCTTTGCGTTGCTGGGGTGACCTCAGGGTCCGTCTAGACTGGTGACAGTGTTCTTGGGGACTGTCTCGAGATCCATTAAGCAAGTCGAAGCTCCTGACTTGTTTGAATGGGATCACGGAATAGCTCTGCATGCACTGCAGGGGAATGGGGCCTCATCTCGCCTCTAGGGGGAAGTCTCATGGTTTTTCTCGAGTTGCGGCGGGGACCTGGGGTATGTTCTCGACTTACGGCGGGGATGGCCCTTCAAAACACGAGTTTCTTCAGTGACGTCAGGACTCCTGTCTAGTAACGAGGGACACCTCAGGAATCTCTTCGAGGCTTGGCAGGGCCAAAGGGACGCTTCTCGAGGTGAGGCAGGGCACCCAAGGACCCTTTCCAGTAGCCACAGGGATTTTGGGATTCCTATCAGGATTCAAGAGGAGTCAGGCATTGTCACCTTTTGAAGCAATGAACTCCGCGTGCCTCTCAAGGTGTCAGCGCGATGTGAGGCATTCCGTCAAAATGAGTCAGGGACCTAGGGCTTTCTCTAAGGTCTCCACAGGGGATTCAGACATCCCTTCATGTTGTGAGATGAAAGACGAGCCTGTATTCAAGCCACTGCAAGGAAATCAGGCCTCCTTTCAAGTTAGGGCTTCTCGCTGTATATTCCCCTTGAGGCAGCAAACTCGGGGTCCCGCCCACATACCTATTGCTGAGAGAAGCCTCCTCCTGAGGTGCTTCTGGGAAGTTGGCATACGTCTTGAGCCTAAGCCAGGGAATCAGCTCGCATCTCGAGACGATTTGGGGTACACGGAGCATTCCTCGAGTTGCTGTGCTGAAGTTGGTGTTCCTCTAGACTTGGGACAGTGTTCTCGGGGCATCTCTGGAGTTGCCTGAAGGAAGTCGAGCCACCGGTCGTGTTGAATGGGGAACGGGGAATGGCTCTGGAGTCAATGCAAGGGAATCGGGCCTCATCTCGAGTTGATTTGGGGCACATGGAGCTGCTTTGCGTTGCTGGGGTGACCTCAGGGTCCGTCTAGACTGGTGACAGTGTTCTTGGGGACTGTCTCGAGATCCATTAAGCAAGTCGAAGCTCCTGACTTGTTTGAATGGGATCACGGAATAGCTCTGCATGCACTGCAGGGGAATGGGGCCTCATCTCGCCTCTAGGGGGAAGTCTCATTGTTTTTCTCGAGTTGTGGCAGGGACCTGGGGTATGTTCTCGACTTACGGCGGGGATGGCCCTTCAAAACACGAGTTCCTTCAGTGACGTCAGGACTCCTGTCTAGTAACGAGGGACACCTCAGGAATCTCTTCGAGGCTTGGCAGGGCAAAAGGGACCCTTCTCGAGGTGAGGCAGGGCACCCAAGGACCCTTTCCAGTAGCCACAGTGATTTTGGGATTCCTATCAGTATTCAAGAGGAGTCAGGCATCGTCACCTTTTGAAGCAATGTACTCTGCGTGCCTCTCGAGGTGTCAACGGGATGTGAGCCATTCCGTCAAAATGAGGCAGGGACCTAGGGCTTTCTCTAAGGTCTCCACAGGGGATTCAGACATCCCTTCATGTTGTGAGATGAAAGACGAGCCTGTGTACAAGCCACTGCAAGGATATCCGGCCTCCTTTCAAGTTAGCGCTTCTCGCTGTATATTCCCCTTGAGGCAGCATACTCGGGGTCAACCCCACATACCTATTGCTGAGAGAAGCCTCCTCCTGAGGTGCTTCTGGAAAGTTGGCATACGTCTTGAGCCTAAGCCAGGGAATCAGCTCTCATCTCGAGACGATTTGGGGTACACGGAGAATTCCTCGAGTTGCTGTGCTGAAGTTGGTGTTCCTCTAGACTTGGGACAGTGTTCTCGGGGCATCTCTGGAGTTGCCTGAAGGAAGTCGAGCCACCGGTCGTGTTGAATGGGGAACGGGGAATGGCTTTGGAGTCAATGCAGGGGAATCGGGCCTCATCTCGAGTTGATTTGGGGCACATGGAGCTGCTTTGCGTTGCTGGGTTGACCTCAGGGTCCGTCTAGACTGGTGACAGTGTTCTTGGGGACTGTCTCGAGATCCATTAAGCAAGTCGAAGCTCCTGACTTGTTTGAATGGAATCACGGAATAGCTCTGCATGCACTGCAGGGGAATGGGGCCTCATCTCGCCTCTAGGGGGAAGTCTCATGGTTTTTCTAGAGTTGCGGCGGGGACCTGGGGTATGTTCTCCACTTACGGCGGGGATGGCCCTTCAAAACACGAGTTTCTTCAGTGACGTCAGGACTCCTGTGTAATAACGAGGTACACCTCAGGAATCTCTTCGAGGCTTGGCAGGGCAAAAGGGACGCTTCTCGAGGTGATGCAGGGCACCCAAGGACCCTTTCCAGTAGCCACAGGGATTTTGGGATTCCTATCAGTATTCAAGAGGAGTCAGGCATCGTCACCTTTTGAAGCATTGAACTCCGTGTGCCTCTCAAGGCGTCAGAGGGATGTGAGGCATTCCGTCAAAATGAGGCAGGGACCTAGGGCTTTCTCTAAGGTCTCCACGGGGGATTCAGACATCCCTTCATGTTGTGAGATGAAAGACGAGCCTGTTCAAGCCACTGCTAGAAAATCCGGCCTCCTTTCAAGTTAGGGCTTCTCGCTGTATATTCCCCTTGAGGCAGCAAACTCGGGGTCCCTCCCACATACCTATTGCTGAAAGAAGTCTCCTCCTGAGGTGCTTCTGGAAAGTTGGCATACGTCTTGAGCCTAAGCCAGGGAATCAGCTCTCATCTCGAGACGATTTGGGGTACACGGCGCATTCCTCGAGTTACTGTGCTGAAGTTGGTGTTCCTCTAGACTTGGGACAGTGTTCTCGGGGCATCTCTGGAGTTGCCTGAAGGAAGTCGAGCCACCGGTCGTGTTGAATGGGGAACGGGGAATCTCTCTGGAGTCAATTCAGGGGAATCCGGCCTCATCTCGAGTTGATTTGGGGCACATGGAGCTGCTTTGCGTTGCTGGGGTGACCTCAGGGTCCGTCTAGACTGGTGACAGTGTTCTTGGGGACTGTCTCGAGATCCATTAAGCAAGTCGAAGCTCCTGACTTGTTTGAATGGGATCACGGAATAGCTCTGCATGCACTGCAGGGGAATGGGGCCTCATCTCGCCTCTAGGGGGAAGTCTCATGGTTTTTCTCGAGTTGCGGTGGGGACCTGGGTTATGTTCTCGACTTACGGCGGGGATCGCCCTTCAAAACACGAGTTCCTTCAGTGACGTCAGGACTCCTGTCTAGTAACGAGGGACACCTCAGGAATCTCTTCGAGGCTTGGCAGGGCAAAAGGGACGCTTCTCGAGGTGAGGCAGGGCACCCAAGGACCCTTTCCAGTAGCCACAGGGATTTTGGGATTCCTATCAGTATTCAAGAGGAGTCAGGCATCGTCACCTTTTGAAGCAATGAACTCTGCGTGCCTCTCGAGGTGTCAGCGGGATGTGAGGCATTCCGTCAAAATGAGGCCGGGACCTAGGGCTTTCTCTAAGGTCTCCACAGGGGATTCAGACATCCCTTCATGTTGTGAGATGAAACACGAGCCTGTATTCAAGCCACTGCAAGGAAATCCGGCCTCCTTTCAAGTTAGGGCTTCTCGCTGTATATTCCCCTTGAGGCAGCATACTCGGGGTCCCTCCCACATACCTATTGCTGAGAGAAGCCTCCTCCTGAGGTGCTTCTGGAAAGTTGGCATACGTCTTGAGCCTAAGCCAGGGAATCAGCTCTCATCTCGAGACGATTTGTTGTACACGGAGCATTCCCCGAGTTGCTGTGCTGAAGTTGGTGTTCCTCTAGACTTGGGACAGCGTTCTCGGGGCATCTCTGGAGTTGCCTGAAGGAAGTCGAGCCACCGGTCGTGTTGAATGGGGAACGGGGAATGGCTCTGGAGTCAATGCAGGGGAATCCGGCCTCATCTCGAGTTGATTTGGGGCACATGGAGCTGCTTTGCGTTGCTGGGGTGACCTCAGGGTCCGTCTAGACTGGTGACAGTGTTCTTGGGGACTGTCTCGAGATCCATTAAGCAAGTCGAAGCTCCTGACTTGTTTGAATGGGATCACGGAATAGCTCTGCATGCACTGCAGGGGAATGGGGCCTCATCTCGCCTCTAGGGGGAAGTCTCATGGTTTTTCTCGAGTTGCGGTGGGGACCTGGGTTATGTTCTCGACTTACGGCGGGGATCGCCCTTCAAAACACGAGTTCCTTCAGTGACGTCAGGACTCCTGTCTAGTAACGAGGGACACCTCAGGAATCTCTTCGAGGCTTGGCAGGGCAAAAGGGACGCTTCTCGAGGTGAGGCAGGGCACCCAAGGACCCTTTCCAGTAGCCACAGGGATTTTGGGATTCCTATCAGTATTCAAGAGGAGTCAGGCATCGTCACCTTTTGAAGCAATGAACTCTGCGTGCCTCTCGAGGTGTCAGCGCGATGTGAGGCATTCCGTCAAAATGAGGCCGGGACCTAGGGCTTTCTCTAAGGTCTCCACAGGGGATTCAGACATCGCTTCATGTTGTGAGATGAAACACGAGCCTGTATTCAAGCCACTGCAAGGAAATCCGGCCTCCTTTCAAGTTAGGGCTTCTCGCTGTATATTCCCCTTGAGGCAGCAAACTCCGGGTCCCTCCCACATACTTATTGCTGAGAGAAGCCTCCTCCTGAGGTGCTTCTGGAAAGTTGGCATACGTCTTGAGCCTAAGCCAGGGAATCAGCTCTCATCTCGAGACGATTTGGGGTACACGGAGCATTCCTCGAGTTGCTGTGCTGAAGTTGGTGTTCCTCTAGACTTGGGACAGTGTTCTCGGGGCATCTCTGCAGTTGCCTGAAGGAAGTCGAGCCACCGGTCGTGTTGAATGGGGAACGGGGAATGGCTCTGGAGTCAATGCAGGGGAATCGGGCCTCATCTCGAGTTGATTTGGGGCACATGGTGCTGCTTTGCGTTGCTGGGCTGACCTCAGGGTCCGTCTAGACTGGTGACAGTGTTCTTGGGGACTCTCTCGAGATCCATTAAGCAAGTCGAAGCTCCTGACTTGTTTGAATGGGATCACGGAATAGCTCTGCATGCACTGCAGGGGAATGGGGCCTCATCTCGCCTCTAGGGGGAAGTCTCATGGTTTTTCTAGAGTTGCGGCGGGGACCTGGGGTATGTTCTCGACTTACGGCGGGGATGGCCCTTCAAAACACGAGTTTCTTCAGTGACGTCAGGACTCCTGTGTAATAACGAGGTACACCTCAGGAATCTCTTCGAGGCTTGGCAGGGCAAAAGGGACGCTTCTCGAGGTGATGCAGGGCACCCAAGGACCCTTTCCAGTAGCCACAGGGATTTTGGGATTCCTATCAGTATTCAAGAGGAGTCAGGCATCGTCACCTTTTGAAGCAATGAACTCTGCGTGATTCTCGAGGTGTCAGCGGGATGTGAGGCATTCCGTCAAAATGAGGCCGGGACCTAGGGCTTTCTCTAAGGTCTCCACAGGGGATTCAGACAACCCTTCATGTTGTGAGATGAAACACGAGCCTGTATTCAAGCCACTGCAAGGAAATCCGGCCTCCTTTCAAGTTAGGGCTTCTCGCTGTATATTCCCCTTGAGGCTGCATACTCGGGGTCCCTCCCACATACCTATTGCTGAGAGAAGCCTCCTCCTGAGGTGCTTCTGGAAAGTTGGCATACGTCTTGAGCCTAAGCCAGGGAATCAGCTCTCATCTCGAGACGATTTGTGGTACACGGAGCATTCCCCGAGTTGCTGTGCTGAAGTTGGTGTTCCTCTAGACTACGGACAGTGTTCTGGGGGCATCTCTGGAGTTGCCTGAAGGAAGTCGAGCCACCGGTCGTGTTGAATGGGGAACGGGGAATGGCTCTAGAGTCAATGCAGGGGAATCGGGCCTCATCTCGAGTTGATTTGGGGCACATGGAGCTGCTTTGCGTTGCTGGGGTGACCTCAGGGTCCGTCTAGACTGGTGACAGTGTTCTTGGGGACTGTCTCGAGATCCATTAAGCAAGTCGAAGCTCCTGACTTGTTTGAATGGGATCACGGAATAGCTCTGCATGCACTGCAGGGGAATGGGGCCTCATCTCGCCTCTAGGGGGAAGTCTCATTGTTTTTCTCGAGTTGTGGCAGGGACCTGGGGTATGTTCTCGACTTACGGCGGGGATGGCCCTTCAAAACACGAGTTCCTTCAGTGACGTCAGGACTCCTGTCTAGTAACGAGGGACACCTCAGGAATCTCTTCGAGGCTTGGCAGGGCAAAAGGGACGCTTCTCGAGGTGAGGCAGGGCACCCAAGGACCCTTTCCAGTAGCCACAGTGATTTTGTGATTCCTATCAGTATTCAAGAGGAGTCAGGCATCGTCACCTTTTGAAGCAATGTACTCTGCGTGCCTCTCGAGGTGTCAACGGGATGTGAGCCATTCCGTCAAAATGAGGCAGGGACCTAGGGCTTTCTCTAAGGTCTCCACAGGGGATTCAGACATCCCTTCATGTTGTGAGATGAAAGACGAGCCTCTGTACAAGCCACTGCAAGGATATCCGGCCTCCTTTCAAGTTAGCGCTTCTCGCTGTATATTCCCCTTGAGGCAGCATACTCGGGGTCAACCCCACATACCTATTGCTGAGAGAAGCCTCCTCCTGAGGTGCTTCTGGAAAGTTGGCATACGTCTTGAGCCTAAGCCAGGGAATCAGCTCTCATCTCGAGACGATTTGGGGTACACGGAGAATTCCTCGAGTTGCTGTGCTGAAGTTGGTGTTCCTCTAGACTTGGGACAGTGTTCTCGGGGCATCTCTGGAGTTGCCTGAAGGAAGTCGAGCCACCGGTCGTGTTGAATGGGGAACGGGGAATGGCTTTGGACTCAATGCAGGGGAATCGGTCCTCATCTCGAGTTGATTTGGGGCAAATGGAGCTGCTTTGCGTTGCTGGGTTGACCTCAGGGTCCGTCTAGACTGGTGACAGTGTTCTTGGGGACTGTCTCGAGATCCATTAAGCAAGTCGAAGCTCCTGACTTGTTTGAATGGGATCACGGAATGGCTCTGCATGCACTGCAGGGGAATGGGGCCTCATCTCGCCTCTAGGGGGAAGTCTCATGGTTTTTCTAGAGTTGCGGCGGGGACCTGGGGTATGTTCTCCACTTACGGCGGGGATGGCCCTTCAAAACACGAGTTTCTTCAGTGACGTCAGGACTCCTGTCTAGTAACGAGGGACACCTCAGGAATCACTTCGAGGCTTGGCAGGGCAAAAGGGACGCTTCTCGAGGTGAGGCAGGGCACCCAAGGACCCTTTCCAGTAGCCACAGGGATTTTGGGATTCCTATCAGTATTCAAGAGGAGTCAGGCATCGTCACATTCTGAAGCAATGAACTCTCCGTGCTTCTCGAGGTGTCAGCGGGATGTGAGGCATTCCGTCAAAGTGAGGCAGGGACCTAGGGCTTTCTCTAAGGTCTCCACGGGGGATTCAGACATCCCTTCATGTTGTGAGATGAAAGACGAGCCTGTGTTCAAGCCACTGCAAGGATATCCGGCCTCCTTTCAAGTTAGGGCTTCTCGCTGTATATTCCCCTTGAGGCAGCAAACTCGGGGTCAACCCCACATACCTATTGCTGAGAGAAGCCTCCTCCTGAGGTGCTTCTGGAATGTTGGCATACGTCTTGAGCCTAAGCCAGGGAATCAGCTCTCATCTCGAGACGATTTGGGGTACACGGCGCATTCCTCGAGTTGCTGTGCTGAAGTTGGTGTTCCTCTAGACTTGGGACAGTGTTCTCGGGGCATCTCTGGAGTTGCCTGAAGGAAGTCGAGCCACCGGTCGTGTTGAATGGGGAACGGGGAATCTCTCTGGAGTCAATTCAGGGGAATCCGGCCTCCTCTCGAGTTGATTTGGGGCACATGGAGCTGCTTTGCGTTGCTGGGGTGACCTCAGGGTCCGTCTAGACTGGTGACAGTGTTCTTGGGGACTGTCTCGAGATCCATTAAGCAAGTCGAAGCTCCTGACTTGTTTGAATGGGATCACGGAATAGCTCTGCATGCACTGCAGGGGAATGGGGACTCATCTCGCCTCTAGGGGGAAGTCTCATGGTTTTTCTCGAGTTGTGGCAGGGACCTGGGGTATGTTCTCGACTTACGGCGGGGATGGCCCTTCAAAACACGAGTTCCTTCAGTGACGTCAGGACTCCTGTCTAGTAACGAGGGACACCTCAGGAATCTCTTCGAGGCTTGGCAGGGCAAAAGGGACGCTTCTCGAGGTGAGGCAGGGCACCCAAGGACCCTTTCCAGTAGCCACAGTGATTTTGTGATTCCTATCAGTATTCAAGAGGAGTCAGGCATCGTCACCTTTTGAAGCAATGTACTCTGCGTGCCTCTCGAGGTGTCAACGGGATGTGAGCCATTCCGTCAAAATGAGGCAGGGACCTAGGGCTTTCTCTAAGGTCTCCACAGGGGATTCAGACATCCCTTCATGTTGTGAGATGAAAGACGAGCCTCTGTACAAGCCACTGCAAGGATATCCGGCCTCCTTTCAAGTTAGCGCTTCTCGCTGTATATTCCCCTTGAGGCAGCATACTCGGGGTCAACCCCACATACCTATTGCTGAGAGAAGCCTCCTCCTGAGGTGCTTCTGGAAAGTTGGCATACGTCTTGAGCCTAAGCCAGGGAATCAGCTCTCATCTCGAGACGATTTGGGGTACACGGAGAATTCCTCGAGTTGCTGTGCTGAAGTTGGTGTTCCTCTAGACTTGGGACAGTGTTCTCGGGGCATCTCTGGAGTTGCCTGAAGGAAGTCGAGCCACCGGTCGTGTTGAATGGGGAACGGGGAATGGCTTTGGACTCAATGCAGGGGAATCGGTCCTCATCTCGAGTTGATTTGGGGCAAATGGAGCTGCTTTGCGTTGCTGGGTTGACCTCAGGGTCCGTCTAGACTGGTGACAGTGTTCTTGGGGACTGTCTCGAGATCCATTAAGCAAGTCGAAGCTCCTGACTTGTTTGAATGGGATCACGGAATGGCTCTGCATGCACTGCAGGGGAATGGGGCCTCATCTCGCCTCTAGGGGGAAGTCTCATGGTTTTTCTAGAGTTGCGGCGGGGACCTGGGGTATGTTCTCCACTTACGGCGGGGATGGCCCTTCAAAACACGAGTTTCTTCAGTGACGTCAGGACTCCTGTCTAGTAACGAGGGACACCTCAGGAATCTCTTCGAGGCTTGGCAGGGCAAAAGGGACGCTTCTCGAGGTGATGCAGGGCACCCAAGGACCCTTTCCAGTAGCCACAGGGATTTTGGGATTCCTATCATTATTCAAGAGGAGTCAGGCATCGTCACATTTTGAAGCAATGAACTCTGCGTGATTCTCGAGGTGTCAGCGGGATGTGAGGCATTCCGTCAAAATGAGGCCGGGACCTCGGGCTTTCTCTAAGGTCTCCACAGGGGATTCAGACATCCCTTCATGTTGTGAGATGAAACACGAGCCTGTATTCAAGCCACTGCAAGGAAATCCGGCCTCCTTTCAAGTTAGGGCTTCTCGCTGTATATTCCCCTTGAGGCTGCATACTCGGGGTCCCTCCCACATACCTATTCCTGAGAGAAGCCTCCTCCTGAGGTGCTTCTGGAAAGTTGGCATACGTCTTGAGCCTAAGCCAGGGAATCAGCTCTCATCTCGAGACGATTTGTGGTACACGGAGCATTCCTCGAGTTGCTGTGCTGAAGTTGGTGTTCCTCTAGACTTGGGACAGTGTTCTCGGGGCATCTCTGGAGTTGCCTGAAGGAAGTCGAGCCACCGGTCGTGTTGAATGGGGAACGGGGAATGGCTCTGGAGTCAATGCAGGGGAATCCGGCCTCATCTCGAGTTGATTTGGGGCACATGGAGCTGCTTTGCGTTGCTGGGGTGACCTCAGGGTCCGTCTAGACTGGTGACAGTGTTCTTGGGGACTGTCTCGAGATCCATTAAGCAAGTCGAAGCTCCTGACTTGTTTGAATGGGATCACGGAATAGCTCTGCATGCACTGCAGGGGAATGGGGCCTCATCTCGCCTCTAGGGGGAAGTCTCATGGTTTTTCTCGAGTTGCGGTGGGGACCTGGGTTATGTTCTCGACTTACGGCGGGGATCGCCCTTCAAAACACGAGTTCCTTCAGTGACGTCAGGACTCCTGTCTAGTAACGAGGGACACCTCAGGAATCTCTTCGAGGCTTGGCAGGGCAAAAGGGACGCTTCTCGAGGTGAGGCAGGGCACCCAAGGACCCTTTCCAGTAGCCACAGGGATTTTGGGATTCCTATCAGTATTCAAGAGGAGTCAGGCATCGTCACCTTTTGAAGCAATGAACTCTGCGTGCCTCTCGAGGTGTCAGCGGGATGTGAGGCATTCCGTCAAAATGACGCAGGGACCTAGGGCTTTCTCTAAGGTCTCCACAGGGCATTCAGACATCCCTTCATGTTGTGAGATGAAACACGAGCCTGTATTCAAGCCACTGCAAGGAAATCCGGCCTACTTTAAAGTTAGGGATTCTCGCTGTATATTCCCCTTGAGGCAGCAAACTCGGGGTCCCTCCCACATACCTATTGCTGAGAGAAGCCTCCTCCTGAGGTGCTTCTGGAAAGTTGGCATACGTCTTGAGCCTAAGCCAGGGAATCAGCTCTCATCTCGAGACGATTTGGGGTACACGGAGCATTCCTCGAGTTGCTGTGCTTAAGTTGGTGTTCCTCTAGACTACGGACAGTGTTCTTGGGGCATCTCTGGAGTTGCCTGAAGGAAGTCGAACCACCTGTCCTGTTGAATGGGGAACGGGGAATCTCTCTGGAGTCAATGCAGGGGAATCGGGGGTCATCTCGAGTTGATTTGGGGCACATGGAGCTGCTTTGCGTTGCTGGGGTGACCTCAGGGTCCGTCTAGACTGGTGAAAGTGTTCTTGGGGACTGGCTCGAGATCCATTAAGCAAGTCGAAGCTCCTGACTTGCTTGAATGGGATTCACGGAATAGCTCTGCATGCACTGCAGGGGAATGGGGCCTCATCTCGCGTCTAGGGGGAAGTCTCATGGTTTTTCTAGAGTTGCGGTGGGGACCTGGGGTATGTTCTCGACTTACGGCGGGGATGGCCCTTCAAAACACGAGTTTCTTCAGTGACGTCAGGACTCCTGTCTAGTAACGAGGGACACCTCAGGAATCACTTCGAGGCTTGGCAGGGCAAAAGGGACGCTTCTCGAGGTGAGGCAGGGCACCCAAGGACCCTTTCCAGTAGCCACAGGGATTTTGGGATTCCTATCAGTATTCAAGAGGAGTCAGGCATCGTCACCTTTTGAAGCAATGTACTCTGCGTGCCTCTAGAGGTTTCAACGGGATGTGAGCCATTCCGTCAAAGTGAGGCAGGGACCTAGGGCTTTCTCTAAGGTCTCCACAGGGGATTCAGACATCCCTTCATGTTGTGAGATGAAAGACGAGCCTGTGTTCAAGCCACTGCAAGGATATCCGGCCTGCTTTCAAGTTAGCACTTCTCGCTGTATATTCCCATTGAGGCAGCATACTCGGGGTCAACCCCACATACCTATTGCTGAGAGAAGCCTCCTCCTGAGGTGCTTCTGGAATGTTGGCATACGTCTTGAGCCTAAGCCAGGGAATCAGCTCTCATCTCGAGACGATTTGGGGTACACGGAGAATTCCTCGAGTTGCTGTGCTGAAATTGGTGTTCCTCTAGACTTGGGACAGTGTTCTCGGGGCATCTCTGGAGTTGCCTGAAGGAAGTCGAACCACCGGTCGTGTTGAATGGGGAACGGGGAATGGCTTTGGAGTCAATTCAGGGGAATCGGGCCTCCTCTCGAGTTGATTTGGGGCACATGGAGCTGCTTTGCGTTACTGGGTTGACCTCAGGGTCCGTCTAGACTGGTGACAGTGTTCTTGGGGACTGTCTCGAGATCCATTAAGCAAGTCCAAGCTCCTGACTTGTTTGAATGGGATCACGGAATAGCTCTGCATGCACTGCAGGGGAATGGTGCCTCATCTCGCCTCTAGGGGGAAGTCTCATGGTTTTTCTCGAGTTGTGGCGGGGACCTGGGGTATGTTCTCGACTTACAGCGGGATGGCCCTTCAAAACATGAGTTCCTTCAGTGACGTCATGACTCCTGTCTAGTAATGAGGAACACCTCAGGAATCTCTTCGAGGCTTGGCAGGGCAAAAGGGACGCTTCTCGAGGTGAGGCAGGGCACCCAAGGACCCTTTCCAGTAGCCACAGGGATTTTGGGATTCCTATCAGTATTCAAGAGGAGTCAGGCATCGTCACATTCTGAAGCAATGAACTCTCCGTGCTTCTCGAGGTGTCAGCGGGATGTGAGGCATTCCGTCAAAATGAGGCAGGGACCTAGGGCTTTCTCTAAGGTCTCCACGGGGGATTCAGACATCCCTTCATGTTGTGAGATGAAAGACGAGCCTGTTCAAGCCACTGCTAGAAAATCCGGCCTCCTTTCAAGTTAGGGCTTCTCGCTGTATATTCCCCTTGAGGCAGCAAACTCGGGGTCCCTCCCACATACCTATTGTTGAAAGAAGTCTCCTCCTGAGGTGCTTCTGGAAAGTTGGCATACGTCTTGAGCCTAAGCCAGGGAATCAGCTCTCATCTCGAGACGATTTGGGGTACACGGCGCATTCCTCGAGTTGCTGTGCTGAAGTTGGTGTTCCTCTAGACTTGGGACAGTGTTCTCGGGGCATCTCTGGAGTTGCCTGAAGGAAGTCGAGCCACCGGTCGTGTTGAATGGGGAACGGGGAATCTCTCTGGAGTCAATTCAGGGGAATCCGGCCTCATCTCGAGTTGATTTGGGGCACATGGAGCTGCTTTGCGTTGCTGGGGTGACCTCAGGGTCCGTCTAGACTGGTGACAGTGTTCTTGGGGACTGTCTCGAGATCCATTAAGCAAGTCGAAGCTCCTGACTTGTTTGAATGGGATCACGGAATAGCTCTGCATGCACTGCAGGGGAATGGGGACTCATCTCGCCTCTAGGGGGAAGTCTCATGGTTTTTCTCGAATTGCGGCGGGGACCTGGGGTATGTTCTCGACTTACGTCGGGGATGGCCCTTCAAAACACGAGTTTCTTCAGTGACGTCAGGACTCCTGTCTAGTAACGAGGGACACCTCAGGAATCTCTTCGAGGCTTGACAGGTCAAAAGGGACGCTTCTCGAGGTAAGGCAGGGCACCCAAGGACCCTTTCCAGTAGCCACAGGGATTTTCGGATTCCTATCAGTATTCAAGAGGAGTCAGGCATCGTCACCTTTTGAAGCATTGAACTCCGTGTGCCTCTCAAGGTGTCAGAGGGATGTGAGGCATTCCGTCAAAATGAGGCAGGGACCTAGGGCTTTCTCTAAGGTCTCCACAGGGGATTCAGACATCCCTTCATGTTGTGAGATGAAACACGAGCCTGTATTCAAGCCACTGCAAGGAAATCCGGCCTCCTTTCAAGTTAGGGCTTCTCGCTGTATATTCCCCTTGAGGCAGCATACTCGGGGTCCCTCCCACATACCTATTGCTGAGAGAAGCCTCCTCCTGAGGTGCTTCTGGAAAGTTGGCATACGTCTTGAGCCTAAGCCAGGGAATCAGCTCTCATCTCGAGACGATTTGTGGTACACGGAGCATTCCCCGAGTTGCTGTGCTGAAGTTGGTGTTCCTCTAGACTACGGACAGTGTTCTGGGGGCATCTCTGGAGTTGCCTGAAGAAAGTCGAGCCACCGGTCGTGTTGAATGGGGAACGGGGAATGGCTCTAGAGTCAATGCAGGGGAATCGGGCCTCATCTCGAGTTGATTTGGGGCACATGGAGCTGCTTTGCGTTGCTGGGGTGACCTCAGGGTCCGTCTAGACTGGTGACAGTGTTCTTGGGGACTGTCTCGAGATCCATTAAGCAAGTCGAAGCTCCTGACTTGTTTGAATGGGATCACGGAATAGCTCTGCATGCACTGCAGGGGAATGGGGCCTCATCTCGCCTCTAGGGGGAAGTCTCATGGTTTTTCTCGAGTTGCGGCGGGGACCTGGGGTATGTTCTCGACTTACGGCGGGGATCGCCCTTCAAAACACGAGTTCCTTCAGTGACGTCAGGACTCCTGTCTAGTAACGAGGAACACCTCAGGAAACTCTTCGAGGCTTGGCAGGGCAAAAGGGACGCTTCTCGAGGTGAGGCAGGGCACCCAAGGACCCTTTCCAGTAGCCACAGGGATTTTCGGATTCCTATCAGTATTCAAGAGGAGTCAGGCATCGTCACCTTTTGAAGCAATGAACTCTGCGTGATTCTCGAGGTGTCAGCGGGATGTGAGGCATTCCGTCAAAATGAGGCAGGGACCTAGGGCTTTCTCTAAGGTCTCCATAGGGGATTCAGACATCCCTTCATGTTGTGAGATGAAAGACGAGCCTGTATTCAAGCCACTGCAAGGAAATCCGGCCTCCTTTCAAGTTAGGGCTTCTCGCTGTATATTCCCCTTGAGGCAGGAAACTCGGGGTCCCTCCCACATACCTATTGCTGAGAGAAGCCTCCTCCTGAGGTGCTTCTGGAAAGTTGGCATACGACTTGAGCCTAAGCCAGGGAATCAGCTCTCATCTCGAGACGATTTGTGGTACACGGTTCATTCCCCGAGTTGCTGTGCTGAAGTTGATGTTCCTCTAGGCTACGGACAGTGTTCTCGGGGCATCTCTGGAGTTGCCTGAAGGAAGTCGAGCCACCGGTCGTGTTGAATGGGGAACGGGGAATGGCTCTGGAGTCAATGCAGGGGAATCGGGCCTCATCTCGAGTTGATTTGGGGCACATGGAGCTGCTTTGTGTTGCTGGGGTGACCTCAGGGTCCGTCTAGACTGGTGACAGTGTTCTTGGGGACTGTCTCGAGATCCATTAAGCAAGTCGAAGCTCCTGACTTGTTTGAATGGGATCACGGAATAGCTCTGCATGCACTGCAGGGGAATGGGGCCTCATCTCGCCTCTAGGGGGAAGTCTCATGGTTTTTCTCGAGGTGCGGCGGGGACCTGGAGTATGTTCTCGACTTACGGCGGGGATCGCCCTTCAAAACACGAGTTCCTTCAGTGACGTCAGGACTCCTGTCTAGTAACGAGGAACACCTCAGGAAACTCTTCGAGGCTTGGCAGGGCAAAAGGGACGCTTCTCGAGGTGAGGCAGGGCACCCAAGGACCCTTTCCAGTAGCCACAGGGATTTTCGGATTCCTATCAGTATTCAAGAGGAGTCAGGCATCGTCACCTTTTGAAGCAATGAACTCTGCGTGATTCTCGAGGTGTCAGCGGGATGTGAGGCATTCCGTCAAAATGAGGCAGGGACCTAGGGCTTTCTCTAAGGTCTCCATAGGGGATTCAGACATCCCTTCATGTTGTGAGATGAAAGACGAGCCTGTATTCAAGCCACTGCAAGGAAATCCGGCCTCCTTTCAAGTTAGGGCTTCTCGCTGTATATTCCCCTTGAGGCAGCAAACTCGGGGTCCCTCCCACATACCTATTGCTGAGAGAAGCCTCCTCCTGAGGTGCTTCTGGAAAGTTGGCATACGTCTTGAGCCTAAGCCAGGGAATCAGCTCTCATCTCGAGACGATTTGTGGTACACGGAGCATTCCTCGAGTTGCTGTGCTGAAGTTGGTGTTCCTCTAGACTTGGGACAGTGTTCTCGTGGCATCACGGGAGTTGCCTGAAGGAAGTCGAGCCACCGGTCGTGTTGAAGGGGGAACGGGGAATGGCTCTGGAGTGAATGCAGGGGAATCGGGCCTCATCTCAAGTTGATTTGGGGAACATGGAGCTGCTTTGCGTTGCTGGGCTGACCTCAGGGTCCGTCTAGACTGGTGACAGTGTTCTTGGGGACTGTCTCGAGATCCATTAAGCAAGTCGAAGCTCCTGACTTGTTTGAATGGGATCACGGAATAGCTCTGCATGCACTGCAGGGGAATGGGGCCTCATCTCGCCTCTAGGGGGAAGTCTCATGGTTTTTCTCGAGTTGCGGCGGGGACCTGGGGTATGTTCTCGACTTACAGCGGGGATGGCCCTTCAAAACACGAGTTCCTTCAGTGACGTCAGGACTCCTGTCTAGTAACGAGGGACACCTCAGGAAACTCTTCGAGGCTTGGCAGGGCAAAAGGGACGCTTCTCGAGGTGAGGCAGGGCACCCAAGGACCCTTTCCAGTAGCCACAGGGATTTTGGGATTCCTATCAGTATTCAAGAGGAGTCAGGCATCGTCACCTTTTGAAGCAATGAACTCTGCGTGACTCTCGAGCTGTCAGCGGGATGTGAGGCATTCCTTCAAAATGAGGCAGGGATCTAGGGCTTTCTCTAAGGTCTCCACAGGGGATTCAGACATCCCTTAATGTTGTGAGATGAAAGACGAGCCTGTATTCAAGCCACTGCTAGAAAATCCGGCCTCCTTTCAAGTTAGGGCTTCTCGCTGTATATTCCCCTTGAGGCAGCAAACTCGGGGTCCCTCCCACATACCTATTGCTGAGAGAAGTCTCCCCCTGAGGTGCTTCTGGAAAGTTGGCATACGTCTTGAGCGTAAGCCAGGGAATCACCTCTCATCTCGAGATTATTTGGTGTACATGGAGCATTCCTCGAGTTGCTGTGCTGAAGTTGGTGTTCCTCTAGACTTGGGACAGTGTTCTCGGGGCATCTCTGGAGTTGCCTGAAGGAAGTCGAGCCACCGGTCGTGTTGAATGGGGAACGGGGAATCTCTCTGGAGTCAATGCAGGGGAATCCGGCCTCATCTCGAGTTGATTTGGGGCACATGGAGCTGCTTTGCGTTGCTGGGGTGACCTCAGGGTCTGTCTAGACTGGTGACAGTGTTCTTGGGGACTGTCTCGAGATCAATTAAACAAGTCGAAGCTCCTGACTTGTTTGAATGGGATCACGGAATAGCTCTGCATGCACTGCAGGGGAATGGGGCCTCATCTCGCCTTTAGGGGGAAGTCTCATGGTTTTTCTCGAGTTGCGGCGGGGACCTGGGGTATGTTCTCGACTTACGGCGGGGATGGCCCTTCAAAACACGAGTTTCTTCAGTGACGTCAGGACTCCTGTGTAATAACGAGGTACACCTCAGGAATCTCTTCGAGGCTTCGCAGGGCAAAAGGGACGCTTCTCGAGGTGAGGCAGGGCACCCAAGGACCCTTTCCAGTAGCCACAGGGATTTTGGGATTCCTATCAGTATTCAAGAGGGGTCAGGCATCGTCACCTTTTGAAGCAATGAACTCTGCGTGATTCTCGAATTGTCAGCGGGATGTGAGGCATTCCGTCAAAATGAGGCAGGGACCTAGGGCTTTCTCTAAGTTCTCCACAGGGGATTCAGACATCCCTTCATGTTGTGAGATGAAACACGAGCCTGTATTCAAGCCACTGCAAGAAAATCCGGCCTCCTTTCAAGTTAGGGCTTCTCGCTGTATATTCCCCTTGAGGCAGGAAACTCGGGGTCCCTCCCACATACCTATTGCTGAGAGAAGCCTCCTCCTGAGGTGCTTCTGGAAAGTTGGCATACGACTTGAGCCTAAGCCAGGGAATCAGCTCTCATCTCGAGACGATTTGTGGTACACGGTTCATTCCCCGAGTTGCTGTGCTGAAGTTGATGTTCCTCTAGGCTACGGACAGTGTTCTCGGGGCATCTCTGGAGTTGCCTGAAGGAAGTCGAGCCACCGGTCGTGTTGAATGGGGAACGGGGAATGGCTCTGGAGTCAATGCAGGGGAATCGGGCCTCATCTCGAGTTGATTTGGGGCACATGGAGCTGCTTTGTGTTGCTGGGGTGACCTCAGGGTCCGTCTAGACTGGTGACAGTGTTCTTGGGGACTGTCTCGAGATCCATTAAGCAAGTCGAAGCTCCTGACTTGTTTGAATGGGATCACGGAATAGCTCTGCATGCACTGCAGGGGAATGGGGCCTCATCTCGCCTCTAGGGGGAAGTCTCATGGTTTTTCTCGAGGTGCGGCGGGGACCTGGAGTATGTTCTCGACTTACGGCGGGGATCGCCCTTCAAAACACGAGTTCCTTCAGTGACGTCAGGACTCCTGTCTAGTAACGAGGAACACCTCAGGAAACTCTTCGAGGCTTGGCAGGGCAAAAGGGACGCTTCTCGAGGTGAGGCAGGGCACCCAAGGACCCTTTCCAGTAGCCACAGGGATTTTCGGATTCCTATCAGTATTCAAGAGGAGTCAGGCATCGTCACCTTTTGAAGCAATGAACTCTGCGTGATTCTCGAGGTGTCAGCGGGATGTGAGGCATTCCGTCAAAATGAGGCAGGGACCTAGGGCTTTCTCTAAGGTCTCCATAGGGGATTCAGACATCCCTTCATGTTGTGAGATGAAAGACGAGCCTGTATTCAAGCCACTGCAAGGAAATCCGGCCTCCTTTCAAGTTAGGGCTTCTCGCTGTATATTCCCCTTGAGGCAGCAAACTCGGGGTCCCTCCCACATACCTATTGCTGAGAGAAGCCTCCTCCTGAGGTGCTTCTGGAAAGTTGGCATACGTCTTGAGCCTAAGCCAGGGAATCAGCTCTCATCTCGAGACGATTTGTGGTACACGGAGCATTCCTCGAGTTGCTGTGCTGAAGTTGGTGTTCCTCTAGACTTGGGACAGTGTTCTCGGGGCATCTCTGGAGTTGCCTGAAGGAAGTCGAGCCACCGGTCGTGTTGAAGGGGGAACGGGGAATGGCTCTGGAGTGAATGCAGGGGAATCGGGCCTCATCTCAAGTTGATTTGGGGAACATGGAGCTGCTTTGCGTTGCTGGGCTGACCTCAGGGTCCGTCTAGACTGGTGACAGTGTTCTTGGGGACTGTCTCGAGATCCATTAAGCAAGTCGAAGCTCCTGACTTGTTTGAATGGGATCACGGAATAGCTCTGCATGCACTGCAGGGGAATGGGGCCTCATCTCGCCTCTAGGGGGAAGTCTCATGGTTTTTCTCGAGTTGCGGCGGGGACCTGGGGTATGTTCTCGACTTACAGCGGGGATGGCCCTTCAAAACACGAGTTCCTTCAGTGACGTCAGGACTCCTGTCTAGTAACGAGGGACACCTCAGGAAACTCTTCGAGGCTTGGCAGGGCAAAAGGGACGCTTCTCGAGGTGAGGCAGGGCACCCAAGGACCCTTTCCAGTAGCCACAGGGATTTTGGGATTCCTATCAGTATTCAAGAGGAGTCAGGCATCGTCACCTTTTGAAGCAATGAACTCTGCGTGACTCTCGAGCTGTCAGCGGGATGTGAGGCATTCCTTCAAAATGAGGCAGGGATCTAGGGCTTTCTCTAAGGTCTCCACAGGGGATTCAGACATCCCTTAATGTTGTGAGATGAAAGACGAGCCTGTATTCAAGCCACTGCTAGAAAATCCGGCCTCCTTTCAAGTTAGGGCTTCTCGCTGTATATTCCCCTTGAGGCAGCAAACTCGGGGTCCCTCCCACATACCTATTGCTGAGAGAAGTCTCCCCCTGAGGTGCTTCTGGAAAGTTGGCATACGTCTTGAGCGTAAGCCAGGGAATCACCTCTCATCTCGAGATTATTTGGTGTACATGGAGCATTCCTCGAGTTGCTGTGCTGAAGTTGGTGTTCCTCTAGACTTGGGACAGTGTTCTCGGGGCATCTCTGGAGTTGCCTGAAGGAAGTCGAGCCACCGGTCGTGTTGAATGGGGAACGGGGAATCTCTCTGGAGTCAATGCAGGGGAATCCGGCCTCATCTCGAGTTGATTTGGGGCACATGGAGCTGCTTTGCGTTGCTGGGGTGACCTCAGGGTCTGTCTAGACTGGTGACAGTGTTCTTGGGGACTGTCTCGAGATCAATTAAACAAGTCGAAGCTCCTGACTTGTTTGAATGGGATCACGGAATAGCTCTGCATGCACTGCAGGGGAATGGGGCCTCATCTCGCCTTTAGGGGGAAGTCTCATGGTTTTTCTCGAGTTGCGGCGGGGACCTGGGGTATGTTCTCGACTTACGGCGGGGATGGCCCTTCAAAACACGAGTTTCTTCAGTGACGTCAGGACTCCTGTGTAATAACGAGGTACACCTCAGGAATCTCTTCGAGGCTTCGCAGGGCAAAAGGGACGCTTCTCGAGGTGAGGCAGGGCACCCAAGGACCCTTTCCAGTAGCCACAGGGATTTTGGGATTCCTATCAGTATTCAAGAGGGGTCAGGCATCGTCACCTTTTGAAGCAATGAACTCTGCGTGATTCTCGAATTGTCAGCGGGATGTGAGGCATTCCGTCAAAATGAGGCAGGGACCTAGGGCTTTCTCTAAGGTCTCCACAGGGGATTCAGACATCCCTTCATGTTGTGAGATGAAACACGAGCCTGTATTCAAGCCACTGCAAGAAAATCCGGCCTCCTTTCAAGTTAGGGCTTCTCGCTGTATATTCCCCTTGAGGCAGGAAACTCGGGGTCCCTCCCACATACCTATTGCTGAGAGAAGCCTCCTCCTGAGGTGCTTCTGGAAAGTTGGCATACAACTTGAGCCTAAGCCAGGGAATCAGCTCTCATCTCGAGACGATTTGTGGTACACGGTTCATTCCCCGAGTTGCTGTGCTGAAGTTGATGTTCCTCTAGGCTACGGACAGTGTTCTCGGGGCATCTCTGGAGTTGCCTGAAGGAAGTCGAGCCACCGGTCGTGTTGAATGGGGAACGGGGAATGGCTCTGGAGTCAATGCAGGGGAATCGGGCCTCATCTCGAGTTGATTTGGGGCACATGGAGGTGCTTTGCGTTGCTGGGGTGACCTCAGGGTCCGTCTAGACTGGTGACAGTGTTCTTGGGGACTGTCTCGAGATCCATTAAGCAAGTCGAAGCTCCTGACTTGTTTGAATGGGATCACGGAATAGCTCTGCATGCACTGCAGGGGAATGGGGCCTCATCTCGCCTCTAGGGGGAAGTCTCATGGTTTTTCTCGAGGTGCGGCGGGGACCTGGAGTATGTTCTCGACTTACGGCGGGGATGGCCCTTCAAAAAACGAGTTCCTTCAGTGACGTCAGGACTCCTGTCTAGTAACGAGGGACACCTCAGGAAACTCTTCGAGGCTTGGCAGGGCAAAAGGGACGCTTCTCGAGGTGAGGCAGGGCACCCAAGGACCCTTTCCAGTAGCCACAGGGATTTTGGGATTCCTATCAGTATTCAAGAGGAGTCAGGCATCGTCACCTTTTGAAGCAATGATCTCTGCATGACTCTCGAAGTGTCAGCGGGATGTGAGGCATTCCGTCAAAATGAGGCAGGGACCTAGGGCTTTCTCTAAGGTCTCCACAGGGGATTCAGACATCCCCTCATGTTGTGAGATGAAACACGAGCCTGTATTCAAGCCACTGCAAGGAAATCCGGCCTCCTTTCAAGTTAGGGCTTCTCGCTGTATATTCCCTTTGAGGCAGCAAACTCGGGGTCCCTCCCACATACCTATTGCTGAGAGAAGCCTCCTCCTGAGGTGCTTCTGGAAAGTTGGCATACGTCTTGAGCCTAAGCCAGGGAATCAGCTCTCATCTCGAGACGATATGGGGTACACGGAGCATTCCTCGAGTTGCTGTGCTGAAGTTGGTGTTCCTCTAGACTTGGGACAGTGTTCTCAGGAAATCTCTGGAGTTGCCTGAAGGAAGTCGAGCCACCGGTCCTGTTGAATGGGGAACGGGGAATCTCTCTGGAGTCAATGCAGGGGAATCGGGCCTCATCTCGAGTTGATTTGGGGCACATGAAGCTGCTTTGCGTTGCTGGGGTGACCTCAGGGTCCGTCTAGACTGGTGACAGTGTTCTTGGAGACTGTCTCGAGATCCATTAAGCAAGTCGAAGCTCCTGACTTGTTTGAATGGGATCACGGAATAGCTCTGCATGCACTGCAGGTGAATGGGGCCTCATTTCGCCACTAGGGGATGTCTCATGGTTTTTCTCTAGTTGCGGCGGGGACCTGGGGTATGTTCTCGACTTACGGCGGGGATGGACCTTCAAAACACGAGTTTCTTCAGTGACGTCAGGACTCCTGTGTAATAACGAGGTACACCTCAGGAATCTCTTCGAGGCTTGGCAGGGCAAAAGGGACGCTTCTCGAGGTGAGGCAGGGCACCCAAGGACCCTTTCCAGTAGCCACAGGGATTTTGTGATTCCTATCAGTATTCAAGAGGAGTCAGGAATCGTCACCTTTTGAAGCAATGTACTCTGCGTGCCTCTCGAGGTGTCAACGGGATGTGAGCCATTCCGTCAAAATGAGGCAGGGTCCTAGGGCTTTCTCTATGGTCTCCACAGGGGATTCAGACATCCCTTCATGTTGTGAGGTGAAAGACGAGCCTGTGTTCAAGCCACTACAAGGATATCCGGCCTCCTTTCAAGTTAGCGCTTCTCGCTGTATATTCCCCTTGAGGCAGCAAACTCGGGGTCCCTCCCACATACCTATTGCTGAGAGAAGCCTCCTCCTGAGGTGCTTCTGGAAAGTTGGCATATGTCTTGAGCCTAAGCCAGGGAATCAGCTCTCATCTCGAGACGATTTGGCGTACACGGAGCATTCCTCGATTTGCTGTGCTGAAGTTGGTGTTCCTCTAGACTTGGGACAGTGTTGCCTGAAGGAAGTCGAGCCACCGGTCGTGTTGAATGGGGAACGGGGAATGGCTCTGGAGTCAATGCAGGGGAATCGGGCCTCATCTCGAGTTGATTTGGGGCACATGGAGCTGCTTTGCGTTGCTGGGTTGACCCCAGGGTCCGTCTAGACTGGTGACATTGTTCTTGGGGACTGTCTCGAGATCCATTAAGCAAGTCGAAGCTCCTTACTTGTTTGAATGGGATCACGGAATAGCTCTGCATGCACTGCAGGGGAATGGTGCCTCATCTCGCCTCTAGGGGGAAGTCTCATGGTTTTTCTCGAGTTGCGGCGGGGACCTGGGGTATGTTCTCGACTTACGGCGGGGATGGCCCTTCAAAACATGAGTTCCTTCAGTGACGTCAGGACTCCTGTCTAGTAATGAGGAACACCTCAGGAATCTCTTCGAGGCTTGGCAGGGCAAAAGGGACGCTTCTCGAGGTGAGGCAGGGCACCCAAGGACCCTTTCCAGTAGCCACAGCGATTTTGGGATTCCTATCAGTATTCAAGAGGAGTCAGGCATCGTCACCTTCTGAAGCAATGAACTCTGCGTGCATCTCGAGGTGTCAGCGGGATGTGAGGCATTCTGTCAAAATGAGGCAGGGACCTAGGGCTTTCTCTAAGGTCTCCACAGGGCATTCAGACATCCCTTCATGTTGTGAGATGAAACACGAGCCTGTATTCAAGCCACTGCAAGGAAATCCGGCCTCCTTTCAAGATAGGGCTTCTCGCTGTATATTCCCCTTGAGGCAGCAAACTCGGGGTCCCTCCCACATACCTATTGCTGAAAGAAGTCTCCTCCTGAGGTGCTTCTGGAAAGTTGGCATACGTCTTGAGCCTAAGCCAGGGAATCAGCTCTCATCTCGAGACGATTTGGGGTACACGGAGCATTCCTCGAGTTGCTGTGCTTAAGTTGGTGTTCCTCTAGACTACGGACAGTGTTCTTGGGGCATCTCTGGAGTTGCCTAAAGGAAGTCGAGCCACCTGTCCTGTTGAATGTGGAACGGGGAATGGCTCTGGAGTAAATGCAGGGGAATCGGGCCTCATCTCGAGTTGATTTGGGGCACATGGAGCTGCTTTGCGTTGCTGGGGTGACCTCAGGGTCCGTCTAGACTGGTGAAAGTGTTCTTGGGGACTGTCTCGAGATCCATTAAGCAAGTCGAAGCTCCTGACTTGCTTGAATGGGACTCACGGAATAGCTCTGCATGCACTGTAGGGGAATGGGGCCTCGTCTCGCCTCTAGGGGGAAGTCTCATGGTTTTTCTCGAGTTACGGCGGGGACCTGGGGTATGTTCTCGACTTACGGCGGGGATGGCCCTTCAAAACACGAGTTTCTTCAGTGACGTCAGGACTCCTGTCTAGTAACGAGGGACACCTCAGGAATCACTTCGAGGCTTGGCAGGGCAAGAGGGACGCTTCTCGACGTGAGGCAGGGCACCCAAGGACTCTTTCCAGTAGCCACAGGGATTTTGGGATTCCTATCAGTATTCAAGAGGAGTCAGGCATCATCACCTTTTGAAGCAATGTACTCTGCGTGCCTCTCGAGGTGTCAGCGGGATGTGAGCCATTCCGTCAAAATGAGGCAGGGACCTAGGGCTTTCTCTAAGGTCTCCACAGGGGATTCAGACATCCCTTCATGTTGTGAGATGAAAGACGAGCCTGTGTTCAAGCCACTGCAAGGATATCCGGCCTCCTTTCAAGTTAGCGCTTCTCGCTGTATATTCCCCTTGAGGCAGCAAACTCGGGGTCCCTCCCACATACCTATTGCTGAGAGAAGCCTCCTCCTGAGGTGCTTCTGGAAAGTTGGCATACGTCTTGAGCCTAAGCCAGGGAATCAGCTCTCATCTCGAGACGATTTGGCGTACACGGAGCATTCCTCGATTTGCTGTGCTGAAGTTGGTGTTCCTCTAGACTTGGGACAGTGTTGCCTGAAGGAAGTCGAGCCACCGGTCGTGTTGAATGGGGAACGGGGAATGGCTCTGGAGTCAATGCAGGGGAATCGGGCCTCATCTCGAGTTGATTTGGGGCACATGGAGCTGCTTTGCGTTGCTGGGTTGACCTCAGGGTCCGTCTAGACTGGTGACAGTGTTCTTGGGGACTGTCTCGAGATCCATTAAGCAAGTCGAAGCTCCTTACTTGTTTGAATGGGATCACGGAATAGCTCTGCATGCACTGCAGGGGAATGGTGCCTCATCTCGCCTCTAGGGGGAAGTCTCATGGTTTTTCTCGAGTTGCGGCGGGGACCTGGGGTATGTTCTCGACTTACGGCGGGGATGGCCCTTCAAAACATGAGTTCCTTCAGTGACGTCAGGACTCCTGTCTAGTAATGAGGAACACCTCAGGAATCTCTTCGAGGCTTGGCAGGGCAAAAGGGACGCTTCTCGAGGTGAGGCAGGGCACCCAAGGACCCTTTCCAGTAGCCACAGGGATTTTGGGATTCCTATCAGTATTCAAGAGGAGTCAGGCATCGTCACCTTCTGAAGCAATGAACTCTGCGTGCATCTCGAGGTGTCAGCGGGATGTGAGGCATTCTGTCAAAATGAGGCAGGGACCTAGGGCTTTCTCTAAGGTCTCCACAGGGCATTCAGACATCCCTTCATGTTGTGAGATGAAACACGATCCTGTATTCAAGCCACAGCAAGGAAATCCGGCCTCCTTTCATGATAGGGCTTCTCGCTGTATATTCCCCTTGAGGCAGCAAACTCGGGGTCCCTCCCACATACCTATTGATGAAAGAAGTCTCCTCCTGAGGTGCTTCTGGAAAGTTGGCATACGTCTTGAGCCTAAGCCAGGGAATCAGCTCTCATCTCGAGACGATTTGGGGTACACGGAGCATTCCTCGAGTTGCTGTGCTTAAGTTGGTGTTCCTCTAGACTACGGACAGTGTTCTTGGGGCATCTCTGGAGTTGCCTGAAGGAAGTCGAGCCACCTGTCCTGTTGAATGTGGAACGGGGTATGGCTCTGGAGTAAATGCAGGGGAATCGGGCCTCATCTCGAGTTGATTTGGGGCACATGGAGCTGCTTTGCGTTGCTGGGGTGACCTCAGGGTCCGTCTAGACTGGTGAAAGTGTTCTTGGGGACTGTCTCGAGATCCATTAAGCAAGTCGAAGCTCCTGACTTGCTTGAATGGGACTCACGGAATAGCTCTGCATGCACTGTAGGGGAATGGGGCCTCGTCTCGCCTCTAGGGGGAAGTCTCATGGTTTTTCTCGAGTTACGGCGGGGACCTGGGGTATGTTCTCGACTTACGGCGGGGATGGCCCTTCAAAACACGAGTTTCTTCAGTGACGTCAGGACTCCTGTCTAGTAACGAGGGACACCTCAGGAATCACTTCGAGGCTTGGCAGGGCAAAAGGGACGCTTCTCGACGTGAGGCAGGGCACCCAAGGACTCTTTCCAGTAGCCACAGGGATTTTGGGATTCCTATCAGTATTCAAGAGGAGTCAGGCATCGTCACCTTTTGAAGCAATGTACTCTGCGTGCCTCTCGAGGTATCAGCGGGATGTGAGCCATTCCGTCAAAATGAGGCAGGGACCTAGGGCTTTCTCTAAGGTCTCCACAGGGGATTCAGACATCCCTTCATGTTGTGAGATGAAAGACGAGCCTGTGTTCAAGCCACTGCAAGGATATCCGGCCTCCTTTCAAGTTAGCGCTTCTCGCTGTATATTCCCCTTGAGGCAGCATACTCGGGGTCAACCCCACATACCTATTGCTGAGAGATGCCTCCTCCTGAGGTGCTTCTGGAAAGTTGGCATACGTCTTGAGCCTAAGCCAGGGAATCAGCTCGCATCTCGAGACGATTTGGGGTACACGGAGAATTCCTCGAGTTGCTGTGCTGAAGTTGGTGTTCCTCTAGACTTGGGACAGTGTTCTCGGGGCATCTCTGGAGTTGCCTGAAGGAAGTCGAACCACCGGTCGTGTTGAATGGGGAACGGGGAATGGCTTTGGAGTCAATTCAGGGGAATCCGGCCTCATCTCGAGTTGATTTGGGGCACATGGAGCTGCTTTGCGTTGCTGGGTTGACCTCAGGGTCCGTCTAGACTGGTGACAGTGTTCTTGGGGACTGTCTCGAGATCCATTAAGCAAGTCGAAGCTCCTGACTTGTTTGAATGGGATCACGGAATAGCTCTGCATGCACTGCAGGGGAATGGGGACTCATCTCGCCTCTAGGGGGAAGTCTCATGGTTTTTCTCGAATTGCGGCGTGGACCTGGGGTATGTTCTCGACTTACAGCGGGGATGGCCCTTCAAAACACGAGTTTCTTCAGTGACGTCAGGACTCCTGTCTAGTAACGATGTACACCTCAGGAATCTCTTCGAGGCTTGGCAGGGCAAAAGGGACGCTTCTCGAGGTGATGCAGGGCACCCAAGGACCCTTTCCAGTAGCCACAGGGATTTTGGGATTCCTATCAGTATTCAAGAGGAGTCAGGCATTGTCACCTTTTGAAGCAATGAACTCCGTGTGCCTCTCGAGGTGTCAGCGGGATGTGAGGCATTCCGTCAAAATGAGGCAGGGACCTACGGCTTTCTCTAAGGTCTCCACAGGGGATTCAGACATCCCTTCATGTTGTGAGATGAAAGACGAGCCTGTATTCAAGCCACTGCAAGGAAATCCGGCCTCCTTTCAAGTTAGGACTTCTCGCTGTATATTCCCCTTGAGGCAGCAAACTCGGGGTCCCACCCACATCTCTATTTCTGAGAGAAGCCTCCTCCTGAGGTGCTTCTGGAAAGTTGGCATACGTCTTGAGCCTAAGCCACGGAATCAGCTCTCATCTCGAGACGATTTTGGGTACACGGAGCATTCCTCGAGTTGCTGTGCTGAAGTTGTTGTTCCTCTATACTTGGGACAGTGTTCTCGGGGCATCTCTGGAGTTGCCTGAAGGAAGTCGAGCCACCGGTCGTGTTGAATTGGGAACGGGGAATGGCTCTGGAGTCAATGCAGGGGAATCGGGCCTCATCTCGAGTTGATTTGCGGCACATGGAGCTGCTTTGCGTTGCTGGGCTGACCTCAGGGTCCGTCTAGACTGGTGACAGTGTTCTTGGGGACTCTCTCGAGATCCATTAAGCAAGTCGAAGCTCCTGACTTGTTTGAATGGGATCACGGAATAGCTCTGCATGCACTGCAGGGGAATGGGGCCTCATCTCGCCTATAGGGGGAAGTCTCATGGTTTTTCTCGAGTTGCGGCGGGGATCTGGGGTATGTTCTCGACTTACGGCGGGGATGGCCCTTCAAAACACGAGTTTCTTCAGTGACGTCAGGACTCCTGTCTAGTAACGAGGGACACCTCAGGAATCTCTTCGAGGCTTGACAGGGCAAAAGGGACGCTTCTCGAGGTGAGGCAGGGCACCCAAGGACCCTTTCAAGTAGCCACAGGGATTTTCGGATTCCTATCAGTATTCAAGAGGAGTCAGGCATCGTCACCTTTTGAAGCAATGAACTCCGTGTGCCTCTCGAGGTGTCAGAGGGATGTGAGGCATTCCGTCAAAATGAGGCAGGGACCTAGGGCTTTCTCTAAGGTCTCCACAGGGGATTCAGACATCCCTTCATGTTGTGAGATGAAAGACGAGCCTGTATTCAAGCCACTGCAAGGGAATCCGGCCTCCTTTCAAGTTACAGCTTCTCGCTGTATATTCCCCTTGAGGCAGCAAACTCCGGGTCCCTCCCACATACTTATTGCTGAGAGAAGCCTCCTCCTGAGGTGCTTCTGGAAAGTTGGCATACGTCTTGAGCCTAAGCCAGGGAATCAGCTCTCATCTCGAGACGATTTGGGGTACACGGAGAATTCCTCGAGTTGCTGTGCTGAAGTTGGTGTTCCTCTAGACTTGGGACAGTGTTCTCGGGGCATCTCTGGAGTTGCCTGAAGGAAGTCGAACCACCGGTCGTGTTGAATGGGGAACGGGGAATGGCTTTGGAGTCAATGCAGGGGAATCGGGCCTCATCTCGAGTTGATTTGGGGCACATGGAGCTGCTTTGCGTTGCTGGGTTGACCTCAGGGTCCGTCTAGACTGGTGACAGTGTTCTTGGGGACTGTGTCGATATCCATTAAGCAAGTCGAAGCTCCTGACTTGTTTGAATGGGATCACGGAATAGCTCTGCATGCACTGCAGGGGAATGGTGCCTCATCTCGCCTCTAGGGGGAAGTCTCATGGTTTTTCTCGAGTTTCGGCGGGGACCTGGGGTATGTTCTCGACTTACGGCGGGGATGGCCCTTCAAAACACGAGTTTCTTCAGTGATGTCAGGACTCCTGTCTAGTAATGAGGGACACCTCAGCAATATCTTCGAGGCTTGGCAGGGCAAAAGGGACGCTTCTCGAGGTGAGCCAGGGCACCCAAGGACCCTTTCCAGTAGCCACAGGGATTTTGGGATTCCTATCAGTATTCAAGAGGAGTCAGGCATCGTCACCTTTTGAAGCAATGAACTCTGCTTGATTCTCGAGGTGTCAGCGGGATGTGAGGCATTCCGTCAAAATGAGGCAGGGACCTAGGGCTTTCTCTAAGGTCTCCACAGGGGATTCAGACATCCCTTCATGTTGTGAGATGAAACACGAGCCTGTATTCAAGCCACTGCAAGGAAATCCGGCCTCCTTTCAAGTTAGGGCTTCTCGCTGTATATTCCCCTTGAGGCAGCATACTCGGGGTCCCTCCCACATACCTATTGCTGAGAGAAGCCTCCTCCTGAGGTGCTTCTGGAAAGTTGGCATACGTCTTGAGCCTAAGCCATGGAATCAGCTCTCATCTCGAGACGATTTGTGGTACACGGAGCATTCCCCGAGTTGCTGTGCTGAAGTTGGTGTTCCTCTAGACTACGGACAGTGTTCTGGGGGCATCTCTGGAGTTGCCTCAAGGAAGTCGAGCCACCGGTCGTGTTGAATGGGGAACGGGGAATGGCTCTAGAGTCAATGCAGGGGAATCGGGCCTCATCTCGAGTTGATTTCGGGCACATGGAGCTGCTTTGCGTTGCTGGGGTGACCTCAGGGTCCGTCTAGACTGGTGACAGTGTTCGTGGGGACTGTCTCGAGATCCATTAAGCAAGTCGAAGCTCCTGACTTGTTTGAATGGGATCACGGAATAGCTCTGCATGCACTTCAGGGGAATGGGACCTCATCTCGCCTCTAGGGGGAAGTCTCATGGTTTTTCTCGAGTTGCGGCGGGGACCTGGGGTATGTTCTCGACTTACTGCGGGATCGCCCTTCAAAACACGAGTTCCTTCAGTGACGTCAGGACTCCTGTCTAGTAACGAGGAACACCTCAGGAAACTCTTCGAGGCTTGGCAGGGCAAAAGGGACGCTTCTCGAGGTGAGGCAGGGCACCCAAGGACCCTTTCCAGTAGACACAGGGATTTTCGGATTCCTATCAGTATTCAAGAGGAGTCAGGCATCGTCACCTTTTGAAGCAATGAACTCTGCGTGATTCTCGAGGTGTCAGCGGGATGTGAGGCATTCCGTCAAAATGAGGCAGGGACCTAGGGCTTTCTCTAAGGTCTCCACAGGGGATTCAGACATCCCTTCATGTTGTGAGATGAAAGACGAGCCTGTATTCAAGCCACTGCAAGGAAATCCGGCCTCCTTTCAAGTTAGGGCTTCTCGCTGTATATTCCCCTTGAGGCAGCAAACTCGGGGTCCCTCCCACATACCTATTGCTGAGAGAAGCCTCCTCCTGAGGTGCTTCTGGAAAGTTGGCATACGTCTTGAGCCTAAGCCAGGGAATCAGCTCTCATCTCGAGATGATTTGTGGTACACTGAGCATTCCTCGAGTTGCTGTGCTGAATTTGGTGTTCCTCTAGACTTGGGACAGTGTTCTCGGGGCATCTCTGGTGTTGCCTGAAGGAAGTCGAGCCACCGGTCCTGTTGAATGGGGAACGGGGAATCTCTCTGGAGTCAATGCAGGGGAATCGGGCCTCATCTCGAGTTGATTTGGGGCACATGGAGCTGCTTTGCGTTGCTGGGCTTACCTCAGGGTCCGTCTAGACTGGTGACAGTGTTCTTGGGGACTGTCTCGAGATCCATTAAGCAAGTCGAAGCTCCTGACTTGTTTGAATGGGATTCAGGGAATAGCTCTGCATGCACTGCATGGGAATGGGGCCTCATGTCGCCTCTAGGGGGAAGTCTCATGGTTTTTCTCGAGTTGCGGCGGGCACCTGGGGTATGTTCTCGACTTAGGGCGGGGATGGCCCTTCAAAACACTAGTTTCTTCAGTGACGTCAGGACTCCTCTCTAGTAACGAGGGACACCTCAGGAATCTCTTCGAGGCTTGGCAGGGCAAAAGGGACCCTTCTCGAGATGAGGCAGGCCACCCAAGGACACTTTCCAGTAGCCACAGGGAATTTGGGATTCCTATCAGTATTCAAGAGGAGTCAGGCATCGTCACCTTTTGAAGCAATGAACTCTGTGTGCCTCTCGAGTTTTCAACGGGATGTGAGGCATTCTGTCAAAATGAGGCAGGGACCTAGGGCTTTCTCTAAGTCTCCACAGAGGATTCAGACATCCCTTCATGTTGTGAGATGAAACACGAGCCTGTATTCAAGCCACTGCAAGGAAATCCGGCCTCCTTTCAAGTTAGGGCTTCTCGCTGAATATTCCCCTTGAGGCAGCATACTCGGGGTCCCTCCCACATACCTATTGCTGAGAGAAGCCTCCTCCTGAGGTGCTTCTGGAAAGTTGGCATACGTCTTGAGCCTAAGCCAGGGAATCAGCTCTAATCTCGAGACGATTTGGGGTACACGGAGCATTCCTCGAGTTGCTGTGCTGAAGTTGGTGTTCCTCTAGACTTGGGACAGTGTTCTCGTGGCATCTCGGGAGTTGCCTGAAGGAAGTCGAGCCACCGGTCGTGTTGAATGGGGAACGGGGAATGGCTCTGGAGTGAATGCAATGGAATCAGGCCTCATCTCGAGTTGATTTGGGGCACATGGAGCTGCTTTGCGTTGCTGGGCTTACCTCAGGGTCCGTCTAGACTGGTGACAGTGTTCTTGGGGACTGTCTCGAGATCCATTAAGCAAGTCGAAGCTCCTGACTTGTTTGAATGGGATCACGGAATAGCTCTGCATGCTCTGCAGGGGAATGGGGCCTCATCTCGCCTCTAGGGGGAAGTCTCATGGTTTTTCTAGAGTAGCGGCGGGGACCTGGGGTATGTTCTCGACTTACGGCGGGGATGGCCCTTCAAAACACGAGTTCCTTCAGTGACGTTAGGACTCCTGTCTAGTAACGAGGGACACCTCAGGAATCTCTTCGAGGCTTGGCAGGGCAAAAGGGACGCTTCTCGAGGTGAGGCAGTTCACCCAAGGACCCTTTCCAGTAGCCACAGGGATTTTGGGATTCCTATCAGTATTCAAGAGGAGTCAGGCATCGTCACCTTTTGAAGCAATGAACTCTGCGTGACTCTCGAGGTGTCAGCGGGATGTTAGGCATTCCGTCAAAATGAGGCAGGGACCTAGGGCTTTCTCTAAGGTCTCCACCCGGGATTCAGACATCCCTTCATGTTGTGAGATGAAAGACGAGCCTGTATTCCAGCCACTGCTAGAAAATCCGGCCTCCTTTCAAGTTAGGGCTTCTCGCTGTATATTCCCCTTGAGGCAGCAAACTCGGGGTCCCTCCCACATATCTATTGCTGAGAGAAGCCTCCCCCTGAGGTGCTTCTGGAAAGTTGGCATACGTCTTGAGGGTAAGCCAGGGAATCACCTCTCATCTCGAGATGATTTGGTGTACATGGAGCATTCCTCGAGTTGCTGTGCTGAAGTTGGTGTTCCTCTAGACTTGGGACAGTGTTCTCGGGGCATCTCTGAAGTTGCCTGAAGGAAGTCGAGCCACCGGTCGTGTTGAATGGGGAACGGGGAATCTCTCTGTAGTCAATGCAGGGGAATCCGGCCTCATCTCGAGTTGATTTGGGGCCCATGGAGCTGCTTTGCGTTGCTGGGGTGACCTCAGGGTCCGTCTAGACTGGTGACAGTGTTCTTGGGGACTGTCTCGAGATCAATTAAGCAAGTCGAAGCTCCTGACTTGTTTGAATGGGATCACGGAATTGCTCTGCATGCACTGCAGGGGAATGGGGCCTCATCTCGCCTCTAGGGGGAAGTCTCATGGTTTTTCTCGAGTTGCGGCGGGGACCTGGGGTATGTTCTCGAATTACGGCGGGGATGGCCCTTCAAAACACGAGTTTCTTCAGTGACGTCAGGACTCCTGTGTAATAACGAGGTACACCTCAGGAATCTCTTCGAGGCTTGGCAGGGCAAAAGGGACGCTTCTCGAGGTGAGGCAGGGCACCCAAGGACCCTTTCCAGTAGCCTCAGGTATTTGGGGATTCCTATCAGTATTCAAGAGGAGTCAGGCATCGTCACCTTTTGAAGCAATGAACTCTGCGTGATTTTCGAGGTGTCAGCGGGATGTGAGGCATTCCGTCAAAATGAGGCAGGGACCTAGGGCTTTCTCTAAGGCCTCCACAGGGGATTCAGACATCCCTTCATGTTATGAGATGAAACACGAGCCTGTATTCAAGCCACTGCAAGAAAATCCGGCCTCCTTTCAAGTTAGGGCTTCTCGCTGTATATTCCCCTTGAGGCAGCAAACTCGGGGTCCCTCCCACATACCTATTGCTGAGAGAAGCCTCCTCCTGAGGTGCTTCTGGAAAGTTGGCATACGTCTTGAGCCTAAGCCAGGGAATCAGCTCTCATCTCGAGACGATTTGTGGTACACGGAGCATTCCCCGAGTTGCTGTGCTGAAGTTGGTGTTCCTCTAGACTTGGGACAGTGTTCTCGGGGCATCTCTGGAGTTGCCTGAAGGAAGTCGAGCCACCGGTCGTGTTGAACGGGGAACGGGGAATGGCTCTGGGGTCAATTCAGGGGAATCGGGCCTCATCTCGAGTTGATTTGGGGCACATGGAGCTGCTTTGCGTTACTGGGTTGACCTCAGGGTCCGTCTAGACTGGTGACAGTGTTCTTGGGGACTGTCTCGAGATCCATTAAGCAAGTCGAAGCTCCTGACTTGTTTGAATGGGATCACGGAATAGCTCTGCATGCACTGCAGGGGAATGGTGCCTCATCTCGCCTCTAGGGGGAAGTCTCATGGTTTTTCTCGAGTTGCGGCGGGGACCTGGGGTATGTTCTCGACTTACAGCGGGAATGGCCCTTCAAAACATGAGTTCATTCAGTGACGTCAGGACTCCTGTCTAGTAATGAGGAACACCTCAGGAATCTCTTCGAGGCTTGGCAGGGCAAAAGGGACGCTTCTCGAGGTGAGGCAGGGCACCCAAGGACCCTTTCCAGTAGCCACAGGGATTTTGGGATTCCTATCAGTATTCAAGAGGAGTCAGGCATCGTCACCTTCTGAAGCAATGAACTCTGCGTGACTCTCGAGGTGTCAGCGGGATGTGAGGCATTCTGTCAAAATGAGGCAGGGACCTAGGGCTTTCTCTAAGGTCTCCACAGGGGATTCAGACATCCCTTCATGTTGTGAGATGAAAGACGAGCCTGTATTCAAGCCACTGCTAGAAAATCCGGCCTCCTTTCAAGTTAGGGCTTCTCGCTGTATATTCCCCTTTAGGCAGCAAACTCGGGGTCCCTCCCACATACCTATTGCTGAGAGAAGCCTCCTCCTGAGGTGCTTCTGGAAAGTTGGCATACGTCTTGAGCGTAAGCCAGGGAATCAGCTCTCATCTCGAGATGATTTGGTGTACATGGAGCATTCCTCGAGTTGCTGTGCTGAAGTTGGTGTTCCTCTTGACTTGGGACAGTGTTCTCGGGGCATCTCTGGAGTTGCCTGAAGGAAGTCGAGCCACCGGTCGTGTTGAATGGGGAACGGGGAATCTCTCTGGAGTTAATGCAGGGGAATCTGGCCTCATCTCGTGTTGATTTGGGGCACATGAAGCTGCTTTGCGTTGCTGGGGTGACCTCAGGGTCCGTCTAGACTGGTGACAGTGTTCTTGGGGACTGTCTCGAGATCCATTAAGCAAGTCGAAGCTCCTGACTTGTTTGAATGGGATCACGGAATAGCTCTGCATGCACTGCAGGGGAATGGGGCCTCATCTCGCCTCTAGGTGGAAGTCTCATGGTTTTTCTCGAGTTGCGGCGGGGACCTGGGGTATGTTCTCGACTTACGGCGGGTATGGCGCTTCAAAACACGAGTTTCTTCAGTGACGTCAGGACTCCTGTGTAATAACGAGGTACACCTCAGGAATCTCTTCGATGCTTGGCAGGGCAAAAGGGACGCTTCTCGAGGTGAGGCAGGGCACCCAAGGACCCTTTCCAGTAGCCACAGGGATTTTGGGATTCCTATCAGTATTCAAGAACAGTCAGGCATCGTCACCTTTTGAAGCAATGAACTCTGCGTGATTCTCGAGGTGTCAGCGGGATGTGATTCATTCCGTCAAAATGAGGCAGTGACCTAGGGCTTTCTCTAAGGTCTCCACAGGGGATTCAGACATCCCTTCATGTTGTGAGATGAAACACGAGCCTGTATTCAAGCCACTGCAAGGAAATCCGGCCTCCTTTCAAGTTAGGGCTTCTCGCTGTATATTCCCCTTGAGGCAGCATACTCGGGGTCCCTCCCACATACCTATTGCTGAGAGAAGCCTCCTCCTGAGGTGCTTCTGGAAAGTTGGCATACGTCTTGAGCCTAAGCCAGGGAATCAGCTCTCATCTCGAGACGATTTGTGGTACACGGAGCATTCCCCGAGTTGCTGTGCTGAAGTTGGTGTTCCTCTAGGCTACGGACAGTGTTCTCGGGGCATCTCTGGAGTTGCCTGAAGGAAGTCGAGCCACCGGTCGTGTTGAATGGGGAACGGGGAATGGCTTTGGAGTCAATGCAGGGGTATCGGGCCTCATCTCGATTGGATTTGGGGCACATGGAGTTGCTTTGCGTTGCTGGGTTGACCTCAGGGTCCGTCTAGACTGGTGACAGTGTTCTTGGGGACTGTCTCGAGATCCATTAAGCAAGTCGAAGCTCCTGACTTGTTTGAATGGGATCACGGAATAGCTCTGCATGCACTGCAGGTGAATGGGGCCTCATTTCGCCACTAGGGGATGTCTCATGGTTTTTCTCGAGTTGCGGCGGGGACCTGGGGTATGTTCTCGACTTACGGCGGGGATGGCCCTTCAAAACACGAGTTTCTTCAGTGACGTCAGGACTCCTGTCTAGTAACGAGGGACACCTCAGGAATCTCTTCGAGGCTTGGCAGGGCAAAAGGGACTCTTCTCGAGGTGAGGCAGGGCACCCAAGGACACTTTCCAGTATCCACAGGGATTTTGGGATTCCTATCAGTATTCAAGAGGAGTCAGGCATCGTCACCTTTTGAAGCATTGTACTCTGCGTGCCTCTCGAGGTGTCAACGTGATGTGAGCCATTCCGTCAAAATGAGGCAGGGACCTAGGGCTTTCTCTATCGTCTCCACAGGGGATTCAGACATCCCTTCATGTTGTGAGGTGAAGGACGAGCCTGTGTTCAAGCCAGTACAAAGATATCCGGCCCCCTTTCAAGTTAGCGCTTCTCGCTGTATATTCCCCTTGAGGCAGCAAACTCGGGGTCCCTCCCACATACCTATTGCTGAGAGAAGCCTCCTCCTGAGGTGCTTCTGGAAAGTTGGCATACGTCTTGAGCCTAAGCCAGGGAATCAGCTCTCATCTCGAGACGATTTGGGGTACACGGAGCATTCCTCGAGTTGCTGTGCTGAAGTTGGTGTTCGTCTAGACTTGGGACAGTGTTCTCGGGGCATCTCGGGAGTTGCCTGAAGGAAGTCGAGCCACCGGTCGTGTTGAATGGGAACGGGGAATGGCTCTGGAGTCAATGCAGGGGAATCGGGCCTCATGTCGAGTTGATTTGGGGCACATGGAGCTGCTTTGCGTTGCTGGGTTGACCTCAGGGTCCGTCTAGACTGGTGACAGTGTTCTTGGGGACTGTCTCGAGATCCACTAAGCAAGTCGAAGCTCCTGACTTGTTTGAATGGGATCACGGAATAGCTCTGCATGCACTGCAGGGGAATGGTGCCTCATCTCGCCTCTAGGGGGAAGTCTCATGGTTTTTCTCGAGTTGCGGCGGGGACCTGGGGTATGTTCTCGACTTACGGCGGGGATGGCCCTTCAAAACACGAGTTCCTTCAGTGACGTCAGGACTCCTGTCTAGTAACGAGGGACACCTCAGGAAACTCTTCGAGGCTTGGCAGGGCAAAAGGGACGCTTCTCGAGGTGAGGCAGGGCACCCAAGGACCCTTTCCAGTAGCCACAGGGATTTTGGGATTCCTATCAGTATTCAAGAGGAGTCAGGCATCGTCACCTTTTGAAGCAATGAACTCTGCGTGTCTCTCGAGGTGTCAGCGGGATGTGACGCATTCCGTCAAAATGAGGCAGGGACCTAGGGATTTCTCTATGGTCTCCACAGGGGATTCAGACATCCCTTCATGTTGTGAGATGAAACACGAGCCTGTATTCAAGCCACTGCAAGGAAATCCGGCCTCCTTTCAAGTTAGGGCTACGCGCTGTATATTCCCCTTGAGGCAGCAAACTCGGGGTCCCTCCCACATACCTATTGCTGAGAGAAGCCTCCTCCTGAGGTGCTTCTGGAAAGTTGGCATACGTCTTGAGCCTAAGCCAGGCAATCAGCTCTCATCTCGAGATGATTTGTGGTACACGGAGCATTCCTCGAGTTGCTGTGCTGAAGTTGGTGTTCCTCTAGACTTGGGACAGTGTTCTCGGGGCATCTCTGGAGTTGCCTGAAGGAAGTCGAGCCACCGGTCGTGCTGAATGGGGAACGGGGAATCTCTCTGGAGTCAATGCAGGGGAATCCGGCCTCATCTCGTGTTGATTTGGGAAACATGGAGCTGCTTTGCGTTGCTGGGGTGACCTCAGGGTCCGTCTAGACTGGTGACAGTGTTCTTGGGGACTGTCTCGAGATCCATTAAGCAAGTCGAAGCTCCTGACTTGTTTGAATGGGATCACGGAATAGCTCTGCATGCACTGCAGGGGAATGGGGCCTCATCTCGCCTCTAGGGGGAAGTCTCATGGTTTTTCTCGAGTTGCGGCGGGACTTGGGGTATGTTCTCGACTTACGGCGGGGATGGCCTTTCAAAACACGAGTTTCTTCAGTGACGTCAGGACTCCTGTGTAATAACGAGGTACACCTCAGGAATCTCTTCGAGGCTTGGCAGGGCAAAAGGGACGCTTCTCGAGGTGAGGCAGGGCACCCAAGGACCCTTTCCAGTAGCCACAGGGATTTTGGGATTCCTATTAGTATTCAAGAGGAGTCAGGCATCGTCACCTTTTGAAGCAATGAACTCTGCGTGACTCTCGTGGTGTCAGCGGGATGTGAGGCATTCCGTCAAAATGAGGCAGGGACCTAGGGCTTTCTCTAAGGTCTCCACAGGGGATTCAGACATCCCTTCATGTTGTGAGATGAAAGACGAGCCTGTATTCAAGCCACTGCTAGAAAATCCAGCCTCCTTTCAAATTAGGGCTTCTCGCTGTATATTCCCCTGGCGGCAGCAAACTTGGGGTCCCTCCCACATACCTATTGTTGAGAGAAGCCTCCTCCTGAGGTGCTTCTGGAAAGTTGGCATACGTCTTGAGCGTAAGCCAGGGAATCAGCTCTCATCTGGAGATGATTTGGTGTACACGGAGCATTCCTCGAGTTGCTGTGCTGAAGTTGGTGTTCCTCTAGACTTGGGACAGTGTTCTCGGGTCATCTCTGGAGTTGCCTGAAGGAAGTCGAGCCACCGGTCGTGTTGAATGGGGAACGGGGAATCTCTCTGGAGTCAATGCAGGGGAATCCGGCCTCATCTCGTGTTGATTTGGGGCACATGGAGCTGCTTTGCGTTGCTGGGGTGACCTCAGGGTCCGTCTAGACTGGTGACAGTGTTCTTGGGGACTGTCTCGAGATCCATTAAGCAAGTCGAAGCTCCTGACTTGTTTGAATGGGATCACGGAATAGCTCTGCATGCACTGCAGGGGAATGGGGCCTCATCTCGCCTCTAGGGGGAAGTCTCATGGTTTTTCTCGAGTTGCGGCGGGACTTGGGGTATGTTCTCGACTTACGGCGGGGATGGCCTTTCAAAACACGAGTTTCTTCAGTGACGTCAGGACTCCTGTGTAATAACGAGGTACACCTCAGGAAACTCTTCGAGGCTTGGCAGGGCAAAAGGGACGCTTCTCGAGGTGAGGCAGGGCACCCAAGGACTCTTTCCAGTAGCCACAGGGATTTTGGGATTCCTATCAGTATTCAAGAGGAGTCAGGCATCGTCACCTTTTGAAGCAATGAACTCTGCGTGATTCTCGAGGTGTCAGCGGGATGTGAGGCATTCCGTCAAAATGAGGCAGGGACCTAGGGCTTTCTCTAAGGTCTCCACAGGGGATTCAGACATCCCTTCATGTTGTGAGATGAAAGACGAGCCTGTATTCAAGCCACTGCAAGGAAATCCGGCCTCCTTTCAAGTTAGGGCTTCTCGCTGTATATTCCCCTTGAGGCAGCAAACTCGGGGTCCCTCCCACATACCTATTGCTGAGAGAAGCCTCCTCCTGAGGTGCTTCTGGAAAGTTGGCATACGTCTTGAGCCTAAGCCAGGGAATCAGCTCTCATCTCGAGACGTTTTGTGGTTCACGGAGCATTCCCCGAGTTGCTGTGCTGAAGTTGGTGTTCCTCTAGGCTACGGACAGTGTTCTCGGGGCATCTCTGGAGTTGCCTGAAGGAAGTCGAGCCACCGGTCGTGTTGAATGGGGAACGGGGAATGGCTCTGGAGTCAATGCAGGGGAATCGGGCCTCATCTCGAGTTGATTTGGGGCACATGGAGCTGCTTTGCATTGCTGGGGTGACCTCAGGGTCCGTCTAGACTGGTGACAGTGTTCTTGGGGACTGTCTCGAGATCCATTAAGCAAGTCGAAGCTCCTGACTTGTTTGAATGGGATCACGGAATAGCTCTGCATGCAATGCAAGGGAATGGGGCCTCATCTCGCCTCTAGGGGGAAGTCTCATGGTTTTTCTCGAGGTGCGGCGGGGACCTGGAGTATGATCTCGACTTACGGCGGGGATGGCCCTTCAAAAAACGAGTTCCTTCAGTGACGTCACGACTCCTGTCTAGTAACGAGGGACACCTCAGGAAACTCTACGAGGCTTGGCAGGGCAAAAGGGACGCTTCTCGAGGTGAGGCAGGGCACCCAAGGACCCTTTCGAGTAGCCACAGGGATTTTGGGATTCCTATCACTATTCAAGAGGAGTCAGGCATCGTCACCTTTTGAAGCAATGAACTCCGCGTGCCTCTCGAGGTGTCAGCGGGATGTGAGGCATTCCGTCAAAATGAGGCAGGGACCTAGGGCTTTCTCTAAGTTCTCCAAGGGGATTCAGACATCCCTTCATGTTGTGAGATGAAAGACGGGCCTGTATTCAAGCCACTGCAAGGAAATCCGGCCTCCTTTCAAGTTAGGGCTTCTCGCTGTATATTCCCCTTGAGGCAGCAAACTCGGGGTCCCCCCACATACCTATTGCTGAGAGAAGCCTACTCCTGAGGTGCTTCTGGAAAGTTGGCATACGTCTTGAGCCTAAGCCAGGGAATCAGCTCTCATCTCGAGACGATTTGGGGTACACGGAGCATTCCTCGAGTTGCTGTGCTGAAGTTGGTGTTCCTCTAGACTTGGGACAGTGTGCTCGGGCATCTCTGGAGTGGCCTGAAGGAAGTCGAGCCACCGGTCGTGTTGAATGGGGAAAGGGGAATGGCTCTGGAGTCAATGCAGGGGAATCGGGCCTCATCTCGAGTTGATTTTGGACACATGGGGCTGCTTTGCGTTGCTGGGGTGACCTCAGGGTCCGTCTAGACTGGTGACAGTGTTCTTGGGGACTGTCTCGAGATCCATTAAGCAAGTCGAAACTCCTGACTTGTTTCAATGGGATCACGGAATAGCTCTGCATGCACTGCAGGGGAATGGGGCCTCATATCGCCTCTAGGGGGAAGTCTCATGGTTTTTCTCGAGTTGCGTCGGGGACCTGGGGAATGTTCTCGACTTACGGCGGGGATGGCTTTTCAAAACACGAGTTTCTTCAGTGACGTCAGGACTCCTGTCTAGTAACGAGGGACACCTCAGGAATCTCTTCGAGGCTTGGCAGGGCAAAAGGGACACTTCTCGAGGTGAGGCAGGGCACCCAAGGACCCTTTCCAGTAGCCACAGGGATTTTGGGATTCCTATCAGTATTCAAGAGGGGTCAGGCATCGTCACCTTTTGAAGCAATGAACTCCGCGTGCCTCTCGAGGTGTCAGCGGGATGTGAAGCAGTCCGTCAAAATGAGGCAGGGACCTAGGGCTTTTTCTAAGGTCTCCACAGGGGATTCAGACATCCCTTCATGGTGTGAGATGAAAGACGGGCCTGTATTCAAGCCACTGCAAGGAAATCCGGCCTCCTTTCAAGTTACGGCTTCTCGCTGTATATTCCCCTTGAGGCAGAAAACTCGGGGTCCCACCCACATACCTATTGCTGAGAGAAGCCTCCTCCTGAGGTGCTTCTGGAAAGTTGGCATACGTCTTGAGCCTAAGCCAGGGAATCAGCTCTCATCTCGAGACGTTTTGGGGTACACGGAGCATTCCTCGAGTTGCTGTGCTGAAGTTGGTGTTCCTCTAGACTTGGGACAGTGTGCTCGGGGCATCTCTGGAGTTGCCTGAAAGAAGTCGAGCCACCGGTCGTGTTGAATGGGGAACGGGGAATGGCTCTGGAGTCAATGCAGGGGAATCGGGCCTCATCTCGAGTTGATTTGGGGCACATGGAGCTGCTTTGAGTTGCTGGGGTGACCTCAGGGTCCGTCTAGACTGGTGACAGTGTTCTTGGGGACTGTCTCGAGATCCATTAAGCAAGTTGAAGCTCCTGACTTGTTTGAATGGGATCACGAAATAGATCTGCATGCACTGCAGGGGAATGGGGCCTCATCTCGCCTCTAGGGGGAAGTCTCATGGTTTTTCTCGAGTTGCGGCGGGGACCTGGGGTATGTTCTCGACTTACGGCGGGGATGGCCCTTCAAAACACGAGTTTCTTCAGTGACGTCAGGACTCCTGTCTAGTAACGAGGGACACCTCAGGAATCTCTTCGAGGCTTGGCAGGGCAAAAGGGACGCTTCTCGAGGTGAGGCAGGGCACCCAAGGACCCTTTCCAGTAGCCACAGGGATTTTGGGATTCCTATCAGTATTCAAGAGGAGTCAGGCATCGTCACCTTTTGAAGCAATGAACTCCGCGTGCCTCTCGAGGTGTCAGCGGGATGTGAAGCAGTCTGTCAAAATGAGGCAGGGACCTAGGGCTTTCTCTAAGGTCTCCACAGGGGATTCAGACATCCCTTCATGTTGTGAGATGAAAGACGGGCCTGTATTCAAGCCACTGCAAGGAAATCCGGCCTCCTTTCAAGTTAGGGCTTCTCGCTGTATATTCCCCTTGAGGCAGCAAACACGGGGTCCCTCCCACATACCTATTGCTGAGAGAAGCCTCCTCCTGAGGTGCTTCTGGAAAGTTGGCATACGTCTTGAGCCTAAGCCAGGGAATCAGCTCTCATCTCGAGACGATTTGGGGTACACGGAGCATTCCTCGAGTTGCTGTGCTGAAGTTGGTGTTCCTCTAGACTTGGGACAGTGTTGCCTGAAGGAAGTCGAGCCACCGGTCGTGTTGAATGGGGAACGGGGAATGGCTCTGGAGTCAATGCAGGGGAATCGGGCCTCATCTCGAGTTGATTTGGGGCACATGGAGCTGCTTTGCGTTGCTGGGGTGACCTCAGGGTCCGTCTAGACTGGTGACAGTGTTCTTGGGGACTGTCTCGAGATCCATTAAACAAGTCGAAGCTCCTGACTTGTTTGAATGGGATCACGGAATAGCTCTGCATGCACTGCAGGGGAATGGGGCCTCATCTCGCCTCTAGGGGGAAGTCTCATGGTTTTTCTCGAGTTGCGGCGGGGACCTGGGGTATGTTCTCGACTTACGGCGGGGATGGCCCTTCAAAACATGAGTTCCTTCAGTGACGTCAGGACTCCTGTCTAGTAATGAGGAACACCTCAGGAATCTCTTCGAGGCTTGGCAGGGCAAAAGGGACGCTTCTCGAGGTGAGGCAGGGCACCCAAGGACCCTTTCCAGTAGCCACAGGGATTTTGGGATTCCTATCAGTATTCAAGAGGGGTCAGGCATCGTCACCTTTTGAAGCAATGAACTCCGCGTGCCTCTCGAGGTGTCAGCGGGATGTGAGGCATTCCGTCAAAATGAGGCAGGGACCTAGGGCTTTCTCTAAGTTCTCCAAGGGGATTCAGACATCCCTTCATGTTGTGAGATGAAAGACGAGCCTGTATTCAAGCCACTGCAAGGAAATCCGGCCTCCTTTCAAGTTAGGGCTTCTCGCTGTATATTCCCCTTGAGGCAGCAAACTCGGGGTCCCTCCCACATACCTATTGCTGAGAGAAGCCTCCTCCTGAGGTGCTTCTGGAAAGTTTGCATACGTCTTGAGCCTAAGCCAGGGAATCAGCTCTCATCTCGAGACGATTTGGGGTACACGGAGCATTCCTCGAGTTGCTGTGCTGAAGTTGGTGTTCCTCTAGACTTGGGACAGTGTGCTCGGGCATCTCTGGAGTGGCCTGAAGGAAGTCGAGCCACCGGTCGTGTTGAATGGGGAAAGGGGAATGGCTCTGGAGTCAATGCAGGGGAATCGGGCCTCATCTCGAGTTGATTTTGGACACATGGAGCTGCTTTGCGTTGCTGGGGTGACCTCAGGGTCCGTCTAGACTGGTGACAGTGTTCTTGGGGACTGTCTCGAGATCCATTAAGCAAGTCGAAACTCCTGACTTGTTTCAATGGGATCACGGAATAGCTCTGCATGCACTGCAGGGGAATGGGGCCTCATCTCGCCTCTAGGGGGAAGTCTCATGGTTTTTCTCGAGTTGCGTCGGGGACCTGGGGAATGTTCTCGACTTACGGCGGGGATGGCTTTTCAAAACACGAGTTTCTTCAGTGACGTCAGGACTCCTGTCTAGTAACGAGGGACACCTCAGGAATCTCTTCGAGGCTTGGCAGGGCAAAAGGGACACTTCTCGAGGTGAGGCAGGGCACCCAAGGACCCTTTCCAGTAGCCACAGGGATTTTGGGATTCCTATCAGTATTCAAGAGGGGTCAGGCATCGTCACCTTTTGAAGCAATGAACTCCGCGTGCCTCTCGAGGTGTCAGCGGGATGTGAAGCAGCCCGTCAAAATGAGGCAGGGACCTAGGGCTTTTTCTAAGGTCTCCACAGGGGATTCAGACATCCCTTCATGGTGTGAGATGAAAGACGGGCCTGTATTCAAGCCACTGCAAGGAAATCCGGCCTCCTTTCAAGTTACGGCTTCTCGCTGTATATTCCCCTTGAGGCAGAAAACTCGGGGTCCCACCCACATACCTATTGCTGAGAGAAGCCTCCTCCTGAGGTGCTTCTGGAAAGTTGGCATACGTCTTGAGCCTAATCCAGGGAATCAGCTCTCATCTCGAGACGTTTTGGGGTACACGGAGCATTCCTCGAGTTGCTGTGCTGAAGTTGGTGTTCCTCTAGACTTGGGACAGTGTGCTCGTGGCATCTCTGGAGTTGCCTGAAAGAAGTCGAGCCACCGGTCGTGTTGAATGGGGAAAGGGGAATGGCTCTGGAGTCAATGCAGGGGAATCGGGCCTCATCTCGAGTTGATTTGGGGCACATGGAGCTGCTTTGAGTTGCTGGGGTGACCTCAGGGTCCGTCTAGACTGGTGACAGTGTTCTTGGGGACTGTCTCGAGATCCATTAAGCAAGTCGAAGCTCCTGACTTGTTTGAATGGGATCACGAAATAGATCTGCATGCACTGCAGGGGAATGGGGCCTCATCTCGCCTCTAGGGGGAAGTCTCATGGTTTTTCTCGAGTTGCGGCGGGGACCTGGGGTATGTTCTCGACTTATGGCGGGGATGGCCCTTCAAAACACGAGTTTCTTCAGTGACGTCAGGACTCCTGACTAGTAACGACGGACACCTCAGGAATCTCTTCGAGGCTTGGCAGGGCAAAAGGGACGCTTCTCGAGGTGAGGCAGGGCACCCAAGGACCCTTTCCAGTAGCCACAGGGATTTTGGGATTCCTATCAGTATTCAAGAGGAGTCAGGCATCGTCACCTTTTGAAGCAATGAACTCCGCGTGCCTCTCGAGGTGTCAGCGGGATGTGAAGCAGTCTGTCAAAATGAGGCAGGGACCTAGGGCTTTCTCTAAGGTCTCCACAGGGGATTCAGACATCCCTTCATGTTGTGAGATGAAAGACGGGCCTGTATTCAAACCACTGCAAGGAAATCCGGCCTCCTTTCAAGTTAGGGCTTCTCGCTGTATATTCCCCTTGAGGCAGCAAACACGGGGTCCCACCCACATACCTATTGCTGAGAGAAGCCTCCTCCTGAGGTGCTTCTGGAAAGTTGGCATACGTCTTGAGCCTAAGCCAGGGAATCAGCTCTCATCTCGAGACGTTTTGGGGTACACGGAGCATTCCTCGAGTTGTTGTGCTGAAGTTGTTGTTCCTCTAGACTTGGGACAGTGTGCTCGGGGCATCTCTGGAGTTGCCAAAGGAAGTCGAGCCATCGGTCCTGTTGAATGGGGAACGGGGAATGGCTCTGGAGTCAATGCAGGGGAATCGGGCCTCATCTCGAGTTGATTTGGGGCACATGGAGCTGCTTTGCGTTGCTGGGGTGACCTCAGGGTCCGTCTAGACTGGTGACAGTGTTCTTGGGGACTGTCTCGAGATCCATTAAGCAAGTCGAAACTCCTGACTTGTTTGAATGGGATCACAGAATAGCTCTGCATGCACTGCAGGGGAATGTGGCCTCATCTCGCCTCTAGGGGGAAGTCTCATGGTTTTTCTCGAGTTGCGGCGGGGACCTGGGTTATGTTCTCGACTTACGGCGGGGATGGCCCTTCAAAACACGAGTTTCTTCAGTGACGTCAGGACTCCTGTCTAGTAACGAGGGACACCTCAGGAATCTCTTCGAGGCTTGGCAGGGCAAAAGGGACGCTTCTCGAGGTGAGGCAGGGCACCCAAGGACCCTTTCCAGTAGCCACAGGGATTTTGGGATTCCTATCAGTATTCAAGAGGAGTCAGGCAGCGTCACCTTTTGAAGCAATGAACTCCGCGTGCCTCTCGAGGTGTCAGAGGGATGTGAGGCATTCCGTCAAAATGAGGCAGGGACCTAGGGCTTTCTCTAAGGTCTCCACAGGGGATTCAGACATCCCTTCATGTTGTGAGATGAAAGACGGGCCTGTATTCAAGCCACCGCTAGGAAATCTGGCCTCCTTTCAAGTTAGGGCTTCTCGCTGTATATTCCCCTTGAGGCAGCAAACTCGGGGTCCCTCCCACATACCTATTGCTGAGAGAAGCCTCCTCCTGAGGTGCTTCTGGAAAGTTGGCATACGTCTTGAGCCTAAGCCAGGGAATCAGCTCTCATCTCGAGACGATTTGGGGTACACGGAGCATTCCTCGAGTTGCTGTGCTGAAGTTGGTGTTCCTCTAGACTTGGGACAGTGTGCTCGGGGCATCTCTGGAGTGGCCTGAAGGAAGTCGAGCCACCGGTCGTGTTGAATGGGGAACGGGGAATGGCTCTGGAGTCAATGCAGGGGAATCGGGCCTCATCTCGACTTCATTTGGGGCACATGGAGCTGCTTTGCGTTGCTGGGGTGACCTCAGGGTCCGTCTAGACTGGTGACAGTGTTCTTGGGGACTGTCTCGAGATCCATTAAGCAAGTCGAAGCTCCTGACTTGTTTGAATGGGATCACGGAATAGCTCTGCATGCATTGCAGGGGAATGGGGCCTCATCTCGCCTCTAGGGGGAAGTCTCATGGTTTTTCTCGAGTTGCGGCGGGGACCTGGGGTATGTTCTCGACTTAGGGCGGGGATGGCCCTTCAAAACACGAGTTTCTTCAGTGACGTCAGGACTCCTGACTGGTAACGAGGGACACCTCAGGAATCTCTTCGAGGCTTGGCAGGGCAAAAGGGACGCTTCTCGAGGTGAGGCAGGGCACCCAAGGACCCTTTCCAGTAGCCACAGGGATTTTGGGATTCCTATCAGTATTCAAGAGGAGTCAGGCATCGTCACCTTTTGAAGCAATGAACTCCGCGTGCCTCTCGAGGTATCAGCGGGATGTGAGGCAGTCCGTCAAAATGAGGCAGGGACCTAGGGCTTTCTCTAAGGTCTCCACAGGGGATTCAGACATCCCTTCATGTTGTGAGATGAAAGACGGGCCTGTATTCAAGCCACTGCAAGGAAATCCGGCCTCCTTTCAAGTTAGGGCTTCTCGCTGTATATTCCCCTTGAGGCAGCAAACACGGGGTCCCACCCACATACCTATTGCTGAGAGAAGCCTCCTCCTGAGGTGCTTCTGGAAAGTTGGCATACATCTTGAGCCTAAGCCAGGGAATCAGCTCTCATCTCGAGACGTTTTGGGGTACACGGAGCATTCCTCGATTTGTTGTGCTGAAGTTTTTGTTCCTCTAGACTTGGGACAGTGTGCTCGGGGCATCTCTGGAGTTGCCTGAAGGAAGTCGAGCCACCGGTCGTGTTGAATGGGGAACGGGGAATTGCTCTGGAGTCAATGCAGGGGAATCGGGCCTCATCTCGAGTTGATTTGGGGCACATGGAGCTGCTTTGCGATGCTGGGGTGACCTCAGGGTCCGTCTAGACTGGTGACAGTGTTCTTGGGGACTGTCTCGAGATCCATTAAGCAAGTTGAAACTCCTGACTTGTTTGAATGGGATCACGGAATAGCTCTGCATGCACTGCAGGGGAATGGTGCCTCATCTCGCCACTAGGGGGAAGTCTCATGGTTTTTCTCGAGTTGCGGCGGGAACCTGGGTTATGTTCTCGACTTATGGCGGGGATGGCCCTTCAAAACACGAGTTTCTCCAGTGACGTCAGGACTCCTGTCTAGTAACGAGGGACACCTCAGGAATCTCTTCGAGGCTTGGCAGGGCAAAAGGGACACTTCTCGAGGTGAGGCAGGGCACCCAAGGACCTTTTCCAGTAGCCACAGGGATTTTGGGATTCCTATCAGTATTCAAGAGGAGTCAGGCATCGTCCCCTTTTGAAGCAATGAACTCCACGTGCCTCTCGAGGTGTCAGCGGGATGTGAGGCATTCCGTCAAAAGGAGGCAGGGACCTAGGGCTTTCTCTAAGGTCTCCACAGGGGCTTCAGACAACCCTTCATGTTGTGAGGTGAAAGACGAGCCTGTATTCAAGCCACTGCAAGGAAATCCGTCCTCCTTTCAAGTTAGGGCTTCTCGCTGTATATTCGCCTTGAGGCAGCAAACTCGGGGTCCCTCCCAATACCTATTGCTGAGAGAAGCCTCCTCCTGAGGTGCTTCTGGAAAGTTGGCATACGTCTTGAGACTAAGCCAGGGAATCAGCTCTCATCTCGAGACGATTTGGGGTTCACGGAGCCTTCCTCGAGTTGCTGTGCTGAAGTTGGTGTTCCTCTAGACTTGGGACAGTGTTCTCGGGGCATCTCTGGAGCTGCCTGAAGGAAGTCGAGCCACCGGTCGTGTTGAATGGGGAACGGGGAATGGCTCTGGAGTCAATGCAGGGGAATCATGCCTCATCTCGGGTTGATTTGGGGCACATAGTGCTGCTTTGCGTTGCTGGGGTGACCTCAGGGTCCTTCTAGACTGGTGACAGAGTTCTTGGGGACTGTCTCGAGACCCATTAAGCAAGTCAAAGCTCCTGACTTGTTTGAATGTGATCACGGAATAGCTCTGCATGCACTGCAGGGGAATGGGGCCTCATCGCGCCACTAGGGGGAAGTCTCACGGTTTTTCTCGAGTTGCGGCGGGGACCTGGGTTATGTTCTCGACTTACGGTGGGGATGGCCCTTCAAAACACGAGTTTCTTCAGTGACGTCAGGACTCCTGTCTAGTAACGAGGGACACCTCAGGAATCTCTTCGAGGCTTGGCAGGGCAAAAGGGACGCTTCTCGAGGTGAGGCAGGGCACCCAAGGACCCTTTCCAGTAGCCACAGGGATTTTGGGATTCCTATCAGTATTCAAGAGGAGTCAGGCATGGTCACCTTTTGAAGCAATGAACGCCACGTGCCTCTCGAGGTGTCAGCGTGATGTGAGGCATTCCGTCAAAAGGAGGCATGGACCTAGGGCTTTCTCTAAGGCCTCCACAGAGGCTTCAGACATCCCTTCATGATGTGAGGTGAAAGACGAGCCTGTATTCAAGCCACTGCAAGGAAATCCGGCCTCCTTTCAAGTTAGGGCTTCTCGCTGTATATTCCCCTTGAGGCAGCAAACTCGGGGTCCCTCCCACATACCTATTGCTGAGAGAAGCCTCCTCCTGAGGTGCTTCTGGAAAGTTGGCATACGTCTTGAGCCTAAGCCAGGGAATCAGCTCTCACCTCGAGACGATTTGGGGAACACGGAGCATTCCTTGAGTTGCTGTGCTGACGTTGGTGTTCCTCTAGTCTTGGGTCAGTGTTCTCGGGGCATCACTGGAGTTGCCTGAAGGAATTCGAGCCACCGGTCGTGTTGAAAGTGGAACGGGGAATGGCTCTGGAGTCAATGCAGGGGAATCGGGCCTTATCTCGACTTGATTTGGGGCACATGGAGCTGCTTTGCGTTGCTGGGGTGACCTCAGGGTCCGTCTAGGCTGGTGACAGTGTTCTTGGGGACTGTCTCGAGATCCATTAAGCAAGTCGAAGCTCCTGACTTGTTTGAATGGGATCACGGAATAGCTCTGCATGCACTGCAGGGGAATGGGGCCTCATCTCGCCCTAGGGGGAAGTCTCATGGTTTTTCTCGAGTTGCGGCGGGGACCTGGGGTATGTTCTCGACTTACGGCGGGGATGGCCCTTCAAAACACGAGTTTCTTCAGTGTCGTCAGGACTCCTGTCTAGTAAAGAGGGACACCTCAGGAATCTCTTCGAGGCTTGGCAGGGCAAAAGGGACGCTTCTCGAGGTGAGGCAGGGAACCCAAGGACCCTTTCCAGTAGCCACAGGGATTTGGGATTCCTATTAGTATTCAAGAGGAGTCAGGCATCATCACCATTTGAAGAAATGAACTCCGCGTGCCTCTCGAGGTGTCAGCGGGATGTGAGGCATTCCGTCAAAAGGAGGCAGGGACCTAGGGCTTTCTCTAAGGTCTCCACAGGGGATTCAGATATCCCTTCATGTTGTGAGATGAAAGACGAGCTTGTATTCAAGCCACTGCAAGGAAATCCGGCCTCCTTTCAAATTAGGGTTTCTCTCTGTATATTCCCCTTGAGGCAGCAAACTTGGGGTCCCTCCCACATACCTATTGCTGAGAGAAGCCTCCTCCTGAGGTGCTTCTGGAAAGTTGGCATACGTCTTGAGCCTAAGCCAGGGAATCAGCTCTCATCTCGAGACGATTTGTTGTACACGGAGCATTCCTCGAGTTGCTGTGCTGAAGTTGGTGTTCCTCTAGACTTGGGACAGTGTTCTCGGGGCATCTCTGGGGTTGCCTGAAGGAAGTCGAGCCACCGGTCGTGTTGAATGGGGAACGGGGAATGGCTCTGGAGTCAATGCAGGGGAATCGGGCCTCATCTCGAGTTGATTTGGGGCACATGGAGCTGCTTTGAGTTGCTGGGGTAACCTCAGGGTCCGTCTAGACTGGTGACAGTGTTCTTGGGGACTGTCTCGAGACCCATTAAGCAAGTCGAAGCTCCTGACTTGTTTGAATGGGATCACGGAATAGCTCTGCATGCACTGCAGGGGAATGGGGCCTCATCTCGCCTCTAGGGGGAAGTCTCATGGTTTTTCTCGAGTTGCGGCGGGGACCTGGGCTATGTTCTCGACTTACGGCGGGGATGGCCCTTCAAAACACGAGTTTCTTCAGTGACGTCAGGACTCCTGTCTAGTAACGAGGGACACCTCAAGAATCTCTTCGAGGCTTGGCAGGGCAAAAGGGACGCTTCTCGAGGTGAGGCAGGGAACCCAAGGACCCTTTCCAGTAGCCACAGGGATTTGGGATTCCTATTAGTATTCAAGAGGAGTCAGGCAGCGTCACCATTTGAAGAAATGAACTCTGCGTGCCTCTCGAGGTGTCAGCGGGATGTGAGGCATTCCGTCAAAAGGAGGCAGGGACCTAGGGCTTTCTCTAAGGTCTCCACTGGGGATTCAGACATCCCTTCATGTTGTGAGATGAAAGAAGAGCCTGTATTCAAACCACTGCAAGGAAATCCGGCCTCCTTTTAAGTTAGGGCTTCTCGCTGTATATTCGCCTTGAGGCAGCAAACTCGGGGTCCCTCCGACATACCTATTGCTGAGAGAAGCCTCCTCCTGAGGTGCTTCTGGAAAGTTGGCATACGTCTTGAGACTAAGCCAGGGAATCAGCTCTCATCTCGAGACGATTTGGGGTACAAGGAGCATTCCTCGAGTTGCTGTGCTGAAGTTGTTGTTCCTCTAGACTTGGGACAGTGTTCTCGGGGCATCTCTGGAGTTGCCTGAAGGAAGTCGAGATGCCGGTCGTGTTGAATGGGGAACGGGGAATGGCTCTGGAGTCAATGCAGGGGAATCAGGCTTCATCTCGGGTTGATTTGGGGCAAATAGTTCTGCTTTGCGTTGCTGGGGTGACCTCAGGGTCCGTCTAGACTGGTGACAGTGTTCTTGGGGACTGTCTCGAGACCCATTAAGCAAGTCGAAGCTCCTGAATTGTTTGAATGGGATCACGGAATAGCTCTGCATGCACTACAGGGGAATGGGGCCTCATCTCGCCACTAGGGGGAAGTCTCATGGTTTTTCTCAAGATGCGGCGGGGACCTGGGGTATGTTCTCGACTTACGGCGGGGATGGCCCTTCAAAACACGAGTTTCTTCAGTGTCGTCAGGACTCCTGTCTAGTAAAGAGGGACACCTCAGGAATCTCTTCGAGGCTTGGCAGGGCAAAAGGGACGCTTCTCGAGGTGAGGCAGGGAACCCAAGGACCCTTTCCAGTAGCCACAGGGATTTGGGATTCCTATTAGTATTCAAGAGGAGTCAGGCATCATCACCATTTGAAGAAATGAACTCCGTGTGCCTCTCGAGGTGTCAGCGGGATGTGAGGCATTCCGTCAAAAGGAGGCAGGGACCTAGGGCTTTCTCTAAGGTCTCCACAGGGGATTCAGATATCCCTTCATGTTGTGAGATGAAAGACGAGCTTGTATTCAAGCCACTGCAAGGAAATCCGGCCTCCTTTCAAATTAGGGTTTCTCTCTGTATATTCCCCTTGAGGCAGCAAACTTGGGGTCCCTCCCACATACCTATTGCTGAGAGAAGCCTCCTCCTGAGGTGCTTCTGGAAAGTTGGCATACGTCTTGAGCCTAAGCCAGGGAATCAGCTCTCATCTCGAGACGATTTGGGGTACACGGAGCATTCCTCGAGTTGCTGTGCTGAAGTTGGTGTTCCTCTAGACTTGGGACAGTGTTCTCGGGGCATCTCTGGGGTTGCCTGAAGGAAGTCGAGCCACCGGTCGTGTTGAATGGGGAACGGGGAATGGCTCTGGAGTCAATGCAGGGGAATCGGGCCTCATCTCGAGTTGATTTGGGGCACATGGAGCTGCTTTGCGTTGCTGGGGTAACCTCAGGGTCCGTCTAGACTGGTGACAGTGTTCTTGGGGACTGTCTCGAGACCCATTAAGCAAGTCGAAGCTCCTGACTTGTTTGAATGGGATCACGGAATAGCTCTGCATGCACTGCAGGGGAATGGGGCCTCATCTCGCCTCTAGGGGGAAGTCTCATGGTTTTTCTCGAGTTGCGGCGGGGACCTGGGGTATGTTCTCGACTTACGGCGGGGATGGCCCTTCAAAACACGAGTTTCTTCAGTGACGTCAGGACTCCTGTCTAGTAACGAGGGACACCTCAAGAATCTCTTCGAGGCTTGGCAGGGCAAAAGGGACGCTTCTCGAGGTGAGGCAGGGAACCCAAGGACCCTTTCCAGTAGCCACAGGGATTTGGGATTCCTATTAGTATTCAAGAGGAGTCAGGCAGCGTCACCATTTGAAGAAATGAACTCCGCGTGCCTCTCGAGGTGTCAGCGGGATGTGAGGCATTCCGTCAAAAGGAGGCAGGGACCTAGGGCTTTCTCTAAGGTCTCCACTGGGGATTCAGACATCCCTTCATGTTGTGAGATGAAAGAAGAGCCTGTATTCAAACCACTGCAAGGAAATCCGGCCTCCTTTTAAGTTAGGGCTTCTCGCTGTATATTCGCCTTGAGGCAGCAAACTCGGGGTCCCTCCGACATACCTATTGCTGAGAGAAGCCTCCTCCTGAGGTGCTTCTGGAAAGTTGGCATACGTCTTGAGACTAAGCCAGGGAATCAGCTCTCATCTCGAGACGATTTGGGGTACAAGGAGCATTCCTCGAGTTGCTGTGCTGAAGTTGTTGTTCCTCTAGACTTGGGAGAGTGTTCTCGGGGCATCTCTGGAGTTGCCTGAAGGAAGTCGAGATGCCGGTCGTGTTGAATGGGGAACGGGGAATGGCTCTGGAGTCAATGCAGGGGAATCAGGCTTCATCTCGTGTTGATTTGGGGCAAATAGTTCTGCTTTGCGTTGCTGGGGTGACCTCAGGGTCCGTCTAGACTGGTGATAGTGTTCTTAGGGACTGTCTCGAGACCCATTAAGCAAGTCGAAGCTCCTGAATTGTTTGAATGGGATCACGGAATAGCTCTGCATGCACTACAGGGGAATGGGGCCTCATCTCGCCACTAGGGGGAAGTCTCATGGTTTTTCTCAAGATGCGGCGGGGACCTGGGGTATGTTCTCGACTTACGGCGGGGATGGCCCTTCAAAACACGAGTTTCTTCAGTGTCGTCAGGACTCCTGTCTAGTAAAGAGGGACACCTCAGGAATATTTTCGAGGCTTGGCAGGGCAAAAGGGACGCTTCTCGAGGTGAGGCAGGGAACCCAAGGACCCTTTCCAGTAGCCACAGGGATTTGGGATTCCTATTAGTATTCAAGAGGAGTCAGGCATCATCACCATTTGAAGAAATGAACTCCGCGTGCCTCTCGAGGTGTCAGCGGGATGTGAGGCATTCCGTCAAAAGGAGGCAGGGACCTAGGGCTTTCTCTAAGGTCTCCACAGGGGATTCAGATATCCCTTCATGTTGTGAGATGAAAGACGAGCTTGTATTCAAGCCACTGCAAGGAAATCCGGCCTCCTTTCAAATTAGGGTTACTCTCTGTATATTCCCCTTGAGGCAGCAAACTTGGGGTCCCTCCCACATACCTATTGCTGAGAGAAGCCTCCTCCTGAGGTGCTTCTGGAAAGTTGGCATACGTCTTGAGCCTAAGCCAGGGAATCAGCTCTCATCTCGAGATGATTTGGGGTACACGGAGCATTCCTCGAGTTGCTGTGCTGAAGTTGTTGTTCCTCTAGACTTGGGACAGTGTTCTCGGGGCATCTCTGGGGTTGCCTGAAGGAAGTCGAGCCACCGGTCGTGTTGAATGGGGAACGGGGAATGGCTCTGGAGTCAATGCAGGGGAATCGGGCCTCATCTCGAGTTGATTTGGGGCACATGGAGCTGCTTTGAGTTGCTGGGGTAACCTCAGGGTCCGTCTGGACTGGTGACAGTGTTCTTGGGGACTGTCTCGAGACCCATTAAGCAAGTCGAAGCTCCTGACTTGTTTGAATGGGATCACGGAATAGCTCTGCATGCACTGCAGGGGAATGGGGCCTCATCTCGCCTCTAGGGGGAAGTCTCATGGTTTTTCTCGAGTTGCGGCGGGGACCTGGGGTATGTTCTCGACTTACGGCGGGGATGGCCCTTCAAAACACGAGTTTCTTCAGTGACGTCAGGACTCCTGGCTAGTAACGAGGGACACCTCAAGAATCTCTTCGAGGCTTGGCAGGGCAAAAGGGACGCTTCTCGAGGTGAGGCAGGGAACCCAAGGACCCTTTCCAGTAGCCACAGGGATTTGGGATTCCTATTAGTATTCAAGAGGAGTCAGGCATCGTCACCATTTGAAGAAATGAACTCCGCCTGCCTCTCGAGGTGTCAGCGGGATGTGAGGCATTCCGTCAAAAGGAGGCAGGGACCTAGGGCTTTCTCTAAGGTCTCCACTGGGGATTCAGACATCCCTTCATGTTGTGAGATGAAAGAAGAGCCTGTATTCAAACCACTGCAAGGAAATCCGGCCTCCTTTTAAGTTAGGGCTTCTCGCTGTATATTCGCCTTGAGGCAGCAAACTCGGGGTCCCTCCGACATACCTATTGCTGAGAGAAGCCTCCTCCTGAGGTGCTTCTGGAAAGTTGGCATACGTCTTGAGACTAAGCCAGGGAATCAGCTCTCATCTCGAGACGATTTGGGGTACAAGGAGCATTCCTCGAGTTGCTGTGCTGAAGTTGTTGTTCCTCTAGACTTGGGACAGTGTTCTCGGGGCATCTCTGGAGTTGCCTGAAGGAAGTCGAGATGCCGGTCGTGTTGAATGGGGAACGGGGAATGGCTCTGGAGTCAATGCAGGGGAATCAGGCTTCATCTCGGGTTGATTTGGGGCAAATAGTTCTGCTTTGCGTTGCTGGGGTGACCTCAGGGTCCGTCTAGACTGGTGACAGTGTTCTTGGGGACTGTCTCGAGACCCATTAAGCAAGTCGAAGCTCCTGAATTGTTTGAATGGGATCACGGAATAGCTCTGCATGCACTACAGGGGAATGGGGCCTCATCTCGCCACTAGGGGGAAGTCTCATGGTTTTTCTCAAGATGCGGCGGGGACCTGGGGTATGTTCTCGACTTACGGCGGGGATGGCCCTTCAAAACACGAGTTTCTTCAGTGTCGTCAGGACTCCTGTCTAGTAAAGAGGGACACCTCAGGAATCTCTTCGAGGCTTGGCAGGGCAAAAGGGACGCTTCTCGAGGTGAGGCAGGGAACCCAAGGACCCTTTCCAGTAGCCACAGGGATTTGGGATTCCTATTAGTATTCAAGAGGAGTCAGGCATCATCACCATTTGAAGAAATGAACTCCGCGTGCCTCTCGAGGTGTCAGCGGGATGTGAGGCATTCCGTCAAAAGGAGGCAGGGACCTAGGGCTTTCTCTAAGGTCTCCACAGGGGATTCAGATATCCCTTCATGTTGTGAGATGAAAGACGAGCTTGTATTCAAGCCACTGCAAGGAAATCCGGCCTCCTTTCAAATTAGGGTTTCTCTCTGTATATTCCCCTTGAGGCAGCAAACTTGGGGTCCCTCCCACATACCTATTGCTGAGAGAAGCCTCCTCCTGAGGTGCTTCTGGAAAGTTGGCATACGTCTTGAGCCTAAGCCAGGGAATCAGCTCTCATCTCGAGACGATTTGGGGTACACGGAGCATTCCTCGAGTTGCTGTGCTGAAGTTGGTGTTCCTCTAGACTTGGGACAGTGTTCTCGGGGCATCTCTGGGGTTGCCTGAAGGAAGTCGAGCCACCGGTTGTGTTGAATGGGGAACGGGGAATGGCTCTGGAGTCAATGCAGGGGAATCGGGCCTCATCTCGAGTTGATTTGGGGCACATGGAGCTGCTTTGAGTTGCTGGGGTAACCTCAGGGTCCGTCTAGACTGGTGACAGTGTTCTTGGGGACTGTCTCGAGACCCATTAAGCAAGTCGAAGCTCCTGACTTGTTTGAATGGGATCACGGAATAGCTCTGCATGCACTGCAGGGGAATGGGGCCTCATCTCGCCTCTAGGGGGAAGTCTCATGGTTTTTCTCGAGTTGCGGCGGGGACCTGGGGTATGTTCTCGACTTACGGCGGGGATGGCCCTTCAAAACACGAGTTTCTTCAGTGACGTCAGGACTCCTGTCTAGTAACGAGGGACACCTCAAGAATCTCTTCGAGGCTTGGCAGGGCAAAAGGGACGCTTCTCGAGGTGAGGCAGGGAACCCAAGGACCCTTTCCAGTAGCCACAGGGATTTGGGATTCCTATTAGTATTCAAGAGGAGTCAGGCATCGTCACCATTTGAAGAAATGAACTCCGCGTGCCTCTCGAGGTGTCAGCGGGATGTGAGGCATTCCGTCAAAAGGAGGCAGGGACCTAGGGCTTTCTCTAAGGTCTCCACTGGGGATTCAGACATCCCTTCATGTTGTGAGATGAAAGAAGAGCCTGTATTCAAACCACTGCAAGGAAATCCGGCCTCCTTTTAAGTTAGGGCTTCTCGCTGTATATTCGCCTTGAGGCAGCAAACTCGGGGTCCCTCCGACATACCTATTGCTGAGAGAAGCCTCCTCCTGAGGTGCTTCTGGAAAGTTGGCATACGTCTTGAGACTAAGCCAGGGAATCAGCTCTCATCTCGAGACGATTTGGGGTACAAGGAGCATTCCTCGAGTTGCTGTGCTGAAGTTGTTGTTCCTCTAGACTTGGGACAGTGTTCTCGGGGCATCTCTGGAGTTGCCTGAAGGAAGTCGAGATGCCGGTCGTGTTGAATGGGGAACGGGGAATGGCTCTGGAGTCAATGCAGGGGAATCAGGCTTCATCTCGGGTTGATTTGGGGCAAATAGTTCTGCTTTGCGTTGCTGGGGTGACCTCAGGGTCCGTCTAGACTGGTGACAGTGTTCTTGGGGACTGTCTCGAGACCCATTAAGCAAGTCGAAGCTCCTGAATTGTTTGAATGGGATCACGGAATAGCTCTGCATGCACTACAGGGGAATGGGGCCTCATCTCGCCACTAGGGGGAAGTCTCATGGTTTTTCTCAAGATGCGGCGGGGACCTGGGGTATGTTCTCGACTTACGGCGGGGATGGCCCTTCAAAACACGAGTTTCTTCAGTGTCGTCAGGACTCCTGTCTAGTAAAGAGGGACACCTCAGGAATCTCTTCGAGGCTTGGCAGGGCAAAAGGGACGCTTCTCGAGGTGAGGCAGGGAACCCAAGGACCCTTTCCAGTAGCCACAGGGATTTGGGATTCCTATTAGTATTCAAGAGGAGTCAGGCATCATCACCATTTGAAGAAATGAACTCCGCGTGCCTCTCGAGGTGTCAGCGGGATGTGAGGCATTCCGTCAAAAGGAGGCAGGGACCTAGGGCTTTCTCTAAGGTCTCCACAGGGGATTCAGATATCCCTTCATGTTGTGAGATGAAAGACGAGCTTGTATTCAAGCCACTGCAAGGAAATCCGGCCTCCTTTCAAATTAGGGTTACTCTCTGTATATTCCCCTTGAGGCAGCAAACTTGGGGTCCCTCCCACATACCTATTGCTGAGAGAAGCCTCCTCCTGAGGTGCTTCTGGAAAGTTGGCATACGTCTTGAGCCTAAGCCAGGGAATCAGCTCTCATCTCGAGACGATTTGGGGTACACGGAGCATTCCTCGAGTTGCTGTGCTGAAGTTGGTGTTCCTCTAGACTTGGGACAGTGTTCTCGGGGCATCTCTGGGGTTGCCTGAAGGAAGTCGAGCCACCGGTCGTGTTGAATGGGGAACGGGGAATGGCTCTGGAGTCAATGCAGGGGAATCGGGCCTCATCTCGAGTTGATTTGGGGCACATGGAGCTGCTTTGAGTTGCTGGGGTAACCTCAGGGTCCGTCTAGACTGGTGACAGTGTTCTTGGGGACTGTCTCGAGACCCATTAAGCAAGTCGAAGCTCCTGACTTGTTTGAATGGGATCACGGAATAGCTCTGCATGCACTGCAGGGGAATGGGGCCTCATCTCGCCTCTAGGGGGAAGTCTCATGGTTTTTCTCGAGTTGCGCCGGGGACCTGGGGTATGTTCTCGACTTACGGCGGGGATGGCCCTTCAAAACACGAGTTTCTTCAGTGACGTCAGGACTCCTGTCTAGTAACGAGGGACACCTCAAGAATCTCTTCGAGGCTTGGCAGGGCAAAAGGGACGCTTCTCGAGGTGAGGCAGGGAACCCAAGGACCCTTTCCAGTAGCCACAGGGATTTGGGATTCCTATTAGTATTCAAGAGGAGTCAGGCATCGTCACCATTTGAAGAAATGAACTCCGCGTGCCTCTCGAGGTGTCAGCGGGATGTGAGGCATTCCGTCAAAAGGAGGCAGGGACCTAGGGCTTTCTCTAAGGTCTCCACTGGGGATTCAGACATCCCTTCATGTTGTGAGATGAAAGAAGAGCCTGTATTCAAACCACTGCAAGGAAATCCGGCCTCCTTTTAAGTTAGGGCTTCTCGCTGTATATTCGCCTTGAGGCAGCAAACTCGGGGTCCCTCCGACATACCTATTGCTGAGAGAAGCCTCCTCCTGAGGTGCTTCTGGAAAGTTGGCATACGTCTTGAGCCTAAGCCAGGGAATCAGCTCTCATCTCGAGACGATTTGGGGTACACGGAGCATTCCTCGAGTTGCTGTGCTGAAGTTGGTGTTCCTCTAGACTTGGGACAGTGTTCTCGGGGCATCTCTGGGGTTGCCTGAAGGAAGTCGAGCCACCGGTCGTGTTGAATGGGGAACGGGGAATGGCTCTGGAGTCAATGCAGGGGAATCGGGCCTCATCTCGAGTTGATTTGGGGCACATGGAACTGCTTTGAGTTGCTGGGGTAACCTCAGGGTCCGTCTAGACTGGTGACAGTGTTCTTGGGGACTGTCTCGAGACCCATTAAGCAAGTCGAAGCTCCTGACTTGTTTGAATGGGATCACGGAATAGCTCTGCATGCACTGCAGGGGAATGGGGCCTCATCTCGCCTCTAGGGGGAAGTCTCATGGTTTTTCTCGAGTTGCGGCGGGGACCTGGGGTATGTTCTCGACTTACGGCGGGGATGGCCCTTCAAAACACGAGTTTCTTCAGTGACGTCAGGACTCCTGTCTAGTAACGAGGGACACCTCAAGAATCTCTTCGAGGCTTGGCAGGGCAAAAGGGACGCTTCTCGAGGTGAGGCAGGGAACCCAAGGACCCTTTCCAGTAGCCACAGGGATTTGGGATTCCTATTAGTATTCAAGAGGAGTCAGGCATCGTCACCATTTGAAGAAATGAACTCCGCGTGCCTCTCGAGGTGTCAGCGGGATGTGAGGCATTCCGTCAAAAGGAGGCAGGGACCTAGGGCTTTCTCTAAGGTCTCCACTGGGGATTCAGACATCCCTTCATGTTGTGAGATGAAAGAAGAGCCTGTATTCAAACCACTGCAAGGAAATCCGGCCTCCTTTTAAGTTAGGGCTTCTCGCTGTATATTCGCCTTGAGGCAGCAAACTCGGGGTCCCTCCGACATACCTATTGCTGAGAGAAGCCTCCTCCTGAGGTGCTTCTGGAAAGTTGGCATACGTCTTGAGACTAAGCCAGGGAATCAGCTCTCATCTCGAGACGATTTGGGGTACAAGGAGCATTCCTCGAGTTGCTGTGCTGAAGTTGTTGTTCCTCTAGACTTGGGACAGTGTTCTCGGGGCATCTCTGGAGTTGCCTGAAGGAAGTCGAGATGCCGGTCGTGTTGAATGGGGAACGGGGAATGGCTCTGGAGTCAATGCAGGGGAATCAGGCTTCATCTCGGGTTGATTTGGGGCAAATAGTTCTGCTTTGCGTTGCTGGGGTGACCTCAGGGTCCGTCTAGACTGGTGACAGTGTTCTTGGGGACTGTCTCGAGACCCATTAAGCAAGTCGAAGCTCCTGAATTGTTTGAATGGGATCACGGAATAGCTCTGCATGCACTACAGGGGAATGGGGCCTCATCTCGCCACTAGGGGGAAGTCTCATGGTTTTTCTCAAGATGCGGCGGGGACCTGGGGTATGTTCTCGACTTACGGCGGGGATGGCCCTTCAAAACACGAGTTTCTTCAGTGTCGTCAGGACTCCTGTCTAGTAAAGAGGGACACCTCAGGAATCTCTTCGAGGCATGGCAGGGCAAAAGGGACGCTTCTCGAGGTGAGGCAGGGAACCCAAGGACCCTTTCCAGTAGCCACAGGGATTTGGGATTCCTATTAGTATTCAAGAGGAGTCAGGCATCATCACCATTTGAAGAAATGAACTCCGCGTGCCTCTCGAGGTGTCAGCGGGATGTGAGGCATTCCGTCAAAAGGAGGCAGGGACCTAGGGCTTTCTCTAAGGTCTCCACAGGGGATTCAGATATCCCTTCATGTTGTGAGATGAAAGACGAGCTTGTATTCAAGCCACTGCAAGGAATTCCGGCCTCCTTTCAAATTAGGGTTTCTCTCTGTATATTCCCCTTGAGGCAGCAAACTTGGGGTCCCTCCCACATACCTATTGCTGAGAGAAGCCTCCTCCTGAGGTGCTTCTGGAAAGTTGGCATACGTCTTGAGCCTAAGCCAGGGAATCAGCTCTCATCTCGAGACGATTTGGGGTACACGGAGCATTCCTCGAGTTGCTGTGCTGAAGTTGGTGTTCCTCTAGACTTGGGACAGTGTTCTCGGGGCATCTCTGGGGTTGCCTGAAGGAAGTCGAGCCACCGGTCGTGTTGAATGGGGAACGGGGAATGGCTCTGGAGTCAATGCAGGGGAATCGGGCCTCATCTCGAGTTGATTTGGGGCACATGGAGCTGCTTTGAGTTGCTGGGGTAACCTCAGGGTCCGTCTAGACTGGTGACAGTGTTCTTGGGGACTGTCTCGAGACCCATTAAGCAAGTCGAAGCTCCTGAATTGTTTGAATGGGATCACGGAATAGCTCTGCATGCACTGCAGGGGAATGGGGCCTCATCTCGCCACTAGGGGGAAGTATCACGGTTTTTCTCGAGTTGCGGCGGGGACCTGGGTTATGTTCTCGACTTACGGCGGGGATGGCCCTTCAAAACACGAGTTTCTTCAGTGACGTCAGGACTCCTGTCTAGTAACGAGGGACACCTCAGGAATCTCTTCGAGGCTTGGCAGGGCAAAAGGGACGCTTCTCGAGGTGAGGCAGGGCACCCGAGGACCCTTTCCAGTAGCCACAGGGATTTTGGGATTCCTATCAGTATTCAAGAGGAGTCAGGCATCGTCACCTTTTGAAGCAATGAACGCCACGTGCCTCTCGAGGTGTCAGCGTGATGTGAGGCATTCCGTCAAAAGGAGGCAGGGACCTAGGGCTTTCTCTAAGGTCTCCACAGAGGCTTCAGACATCCCTTCATGTTGTGAGGTGAAAGACGAGCCTGTATTCAAGCCACTGCAAGGAAATCCGGCCTCCTTTCAAGTTAGGGCTCCTCGCTATATATTCCCCTTGAGGCAGCAAACTCGGGGTCCCTCCCACATACCTATTGCTGAGAGAAGCCTCCTCCTGAGGTGCTTCTGGGGAGTTGGTATACGTCTTGAGCCTAAGCCAGGGAATCAGCTCTCATCTCGAGACGATTTGGGGTACACGGAGCATTCCTCGAGTTGCTGTGCTGAAGTTGGTGTTCCTCTAGACTTGGGACAGTGTTCTCGGGGCATCTCTGGAGTTGCCTGAAGGAAGTCGAGCCAACGGTCGTGTTGAATGGGGAACGGGGAATGGCTCTGGAGTCAATGCAGGGGAATCAGGCCTCATCTCGGGTTGATTTGGGGCACATAGTTCTGCTTTGCGTTGCTGGGGTGAACTCAGGGCCCGTCTAGACTGGTGACAGTGTTCTTGGGGACTGTCTCGAGACCCATTAAGCAAGTCGAAGCTCCTGAATTGTTTGAATGGGATCACGGAATAGCTCTGCATGCACTACAGGGGAATGGGGCCTCATCTCGCCACTAGGGGGAAGTCTCATGGTTTTTCTCGAGTTGCGGCGGGGACCTGGGGTATGTTCTCGACTTACGGCGGGGATGGCCCTTCAAAACACGAGTTTCTTCAGTGACGTCAGGACTCCTGTATAGTAAAGAGGGACACATCAGGAATCTCTTCGAGGCTTGGCAGGGCAAAAGGGACGCTTCTCGAGGTGAGGCAGGGAACCCAAGGACCCTTTCCAGTAGCCACAGGGATTTGGGATTCCTATTAGTATTCAAGAGGGGTCAGGCATCATCACCATTTGAAGAAATGAACTCCGCGTGCCTCTCGAGGTGTCAGCGGGATGTGAGGCATTCCGTCAAAAGGAGGCAGGGACCTAGGGCTTTCTCTAAGGTCTCCACAGGGGATTCAGCTATCCCTTCATGTTGTGAGATGAAAGACGAGCTTGTATTCAAGCCACTGCAAGGAAATCCGGCCTCCTTTCAAATTAGGGTTTCTCTCTGTATATTCCCCTTGAGGCAGCAAACTCGGGGTCCCTCCCACATACCTATTGCTGAGAGAAGCCTCCTCCTGAGGTGCTTCTGGAAAGTTGGCATACGTCTTGAGCCTAAGCCAGGGAATCAGCTCTCATCTCGAGACGATTTGGGGTACACGGAGCATTCCTCGAGTTGCTGTGCTGAAGTTGGTGTTCCTCTAGACTTGGGACAGTGTTCTCGGGGCATCTCTGGAGTTGCCTTAAGGAAGTCGAGCCACCGGTCGTGTTGAAAGGGGAACGGGGAATGGCTCTGGAGTCAATGCAGGGGAATCGGGCCTCATCTCGAGTTGATTTGGGGCACATGGAGCTGCTTTGCGTTGCTGGGGTAACCTCAGGGTCCGTCTAGACTGGTGACAGTGTTCTTGGGGACTGTCTCGAGACCCATTAAGCAAGTCGAAGCTCCTGACTTGTTTGAATGTGATCACGGAATAGCTCTGCATGCACTGCAGGGGAATGGGGCCTCATCTCGCCTCTAGGGGGAAGTCTCATGGTTTTTCTCGAGTTGCGGCGGGGATGGCCCTTCAAAACACGAGTTTCTTCAGTGACGTCAGGACTCCTGTTTAGTAACGAGGGACACCTCAAGAATCTCTTCGAGGCTTGGCAGGGCAAAAGGGACGCTTCTCGAGGTGAGGCAGGGAACCCAAGGACCCTTTCCAGTAGCCACAGGGATTTGGGATTCCTATTAGTATTCAAGAGGAGTCAGGCATCGTCACCATTTGAAGAAATGAACTCCGCGTGCCTCTCGAGGTGTCAGCGGGATGTGAGGCATTCCGTCAAAAGGAGGCAGGGACCTAGGGCTTTCTCTAAGGTCTCCACTGGGGATTCAGACATCCCTTCATGTTGTGAGATGAAAGAAGAGCCTGTATTCAAATCACTGCAAGGAAATCCGGCCTCCTTTTAAGTTAGGGCTTCTCGCTGTATATTCGCCTTGAGGCAGCAAACTCGGGGTCCCTCCGACATACCTATTGCTGAGAGAAGCCTCCTCCTGAGGTGCTTCTGGAAAGTTGGCATACGTCTTGAGACTAAGCCAGGGAATCAGCTCTCATCTCGAGACGATTTGGGGTACAAGGAGCATTCCTCGAGTTGCTGTCCTGAAGTTGGTGTTCCTCTAGACTTGGGACAGTGTTCTCGGGGCATCTCTGGAGTTGCCTGAAGGAAGTCGAGATGCCGGTCGTGTTGAATGTGGAACGGGGAATAGCTCTGGAGTCAATGCAGGGGAATCAGGCCTCATCTCGGGTTGATTTGGGGCAAATAGTTCTGCTTTGTGTTGCTGGGGTGACCTCAGGGTCCGTCTAGACTGGTGACAGTGTTCTTGGGGACTGTCTCGAGACCCATTAAGCAAGTCGAAGCTCCTGAATTGTTTGAATGGGATCACGGAATAGCTCTGCATGCACTACAGGGGAATGGGGCCTCATATCGCCACTAGGGGGAAGTCTCATGGTTTTTCTCAAGATGCGGCGGGGACCTGGGGTATGTTCTCGACTTACGGCGGGGATGGCCCTTCAAAACACGAGTTTCTTCAGTGTCGTCAGGACTCCTGTCTAGTAAAGAGGGACACCTCAGGAATCTCTTCGAGGCTTGGCAGGGCAAAAGGGACGCTTCTCGAGGTGAGGCAGGGAACCCAAGGACCCTTTCCAGTAGCCACAGGGATTTGGGATTCCTATTAGTATTCAAGAGGAGTCAGGCATCATCACCATTTGAAGAAATGAACTCCGCGTGCCTCTCGAGGTGTCAGCGGGATGTGAGGCATTCCGTCAAAAGGAGGCAGGGACCTAGGGCTTTCTCTAAGGTCTCCACAGGGGATTCAGATATCCCTTCATGTTGTGAGATGAAAGACGAGCTTGTATTCAAGCCACTGCAAGGAAATCCGGCCTCCTTTCAAATTAGGGTTTCTCTCTGTATATTCCCCTTGAGGCAGCAAACTTGGGGTCCCTCCCACATACCTATTGCTGAGAGAAGCCTCCTCCTGAGGTGCTTCTGGAAAGTTGGCATACGTCTTGAGCCTAAGCCAGGGAATCAGCTCTCATCTCGAGACGATTTGGGGTACACGGAGCATTCCTCGAGTTGCTGTGCTGAAGTTGGTGTTCCTCTAGACTTGGGACAGTGTTCTCGGGGCATCTCTGGGGTTGCCTGAAGGAAGTCGAGCCACCGGTCGTGTTGAATGGGGAACGGGGAATGGCTCTGGAGTCAATGCAGGGGAATCGGGCCTCATCTCGAGTTGATTTGGGGCACATGGAGCTGCTTTGAGTTGCTGGGGTAACCTCAGGGTCCGTCTAGACTGGTGACAGTGTTCTTGGGGACTGTCTCGAGACCCATTAAGCAAGTCGAAGCTCCTGAATTGTTTGAATGGGATCACGGAATAGCTCTGCATGCACTGCAGGGGAATGGGGCCTCATCTCGCCACTAGGGGGAAGTATCACGGTTTTTCTCGAGTTGCGGCGGGGACCTGGGTTATGTTCTCGACTTACGGCGGGGATGGCCCTTCAAAACACGAGTTTCTTCAGTGACGTCAGGACTCCTGTCTAGTAACGAGGGACACCTCTGGAATCTCTTCGAGGCTTGGCAGGGCAAAAGGGACGCTTCTCGAGGTGAGGCAGGGCACCCAAGGACCCTTTCCAGTAGCCACAGGGATTTTGGGATTCCTATCAGTATTCAAGAGGAGTCAGGCATCGTCACCTTTTGAAGCAATGAACGCCACGTGCCTCTCGAGGTGTCAGCGTGATGTGAGGCATTCCGTCAAAAGGAGGCAAGGACCTAGGGCTTTCTCTAAGGTCTCCACAGAGGCTTCAGACATCCCTTCATGTTGTGAGGTGAAAGACGAGCCTGTATTCAAGCCACTGCAAGGAAATCCGGCCTCCTTTCAAGTTAGGGCTCCTCGCTGTATATTCCCCTTGAGGCAGCAAACTCGGGGTCCCTCCCACATACCTATTGCTGAGAGAAGCCTCCTCCTGAGGTGCTTCTGGGGAGTTGGTATACGTCTTGAGCCTAAGCCAGGGAATCAGCTCTCATCTCGAGACGATTTGGGGTACACGGAGCATTCCTCGAGTTGCTGTGCTGAAGTTGGTGTTCCTCTAGACTTGGGACAGTGTTCTCGGGGCATCTCTGGAGTTGCCTGAAGGAAGTCGAGCCAACGGTCGTGTTGAATGGGGAACGGGGAATGGCTCTGGAGTCAATGCAGGGGAATCAGGCCTCATCTCGGGTTGATTTGGGGCACATAGTTCTGCTTTGCGTTGCTGGGGTGAACTCAGGGCCCGTCTAGACTGGTGACAGTGTTCTTGGGGACTGTCTCGAGACCCATTAAGCAAGTCGAAGCTCCTGAATTGTTTGAATGGGATCACGGAATAGCTCTGCATGCACTACAGGGGAATGGGGCCTCATCTCGCCACTAGGGGGAAGTCTCATGGTTTTTCTCAAGTTGCGGCGGGGACCTGGGGTATGTTCTCGACTTACGGCGGGGATGGCCCTTCAAAACACGAGTTTCTTCAGTGACGTCAGGACTCCTGTATAGTAAAGAGGGACACATCAGGAATCTCTTCGAGGCTTGGCAGGGCAAAAGGGACGCTTCTCGAGGTGAGGCAGGGAACCCAAGGACCCTTTCCAGTAGCCACAGGGATTTGGGATTCCTATTAGTATTCAAGAGGGGTCAGGCATCATCACCATTTGAAGAAATGAACTCCGCGTGCCTCTCGAGGTGTCAGCGGGATGTGAGGCATTCCGTCAAAAGGAGGCAGGGACCTAGGGCTTTCTCTAAGGTCTCCACAGGGGATTCAGCTATCCCTTCATGTTGTGAGATGAAAGACGAGCTTGTATTCAAGCCACTGCAAGGAAATCCGGCCTCCTTTCAAATTAGGGTTTCTCTCTGTATATTCCCCTTGAGGCAGCAAACTCGGGGTCCCTCCCACATACCTATTGCTGAGAGAAGCCTCCTCCTGAGGTGCTTCTGGAAAGTTGGCATACGTCTTGAGCCAAGCCAGGGAATCAGCTCTCATCTCGAGACGATTTGGGGTACACGGAGCATTCCTCGAGTTGCTGTGCTGAAGTTGGTGTTCCTCTAGACTTGGGACAGTGTTCTCGGGGCATCTCTGGAGTTGCCTTAAGGAAGTCGAGCCACCGGTCGTGTTGAAAGGGGAACGGGGAATGGCTCTGGAGTCAATGCAGGGGAATCGGGCCTCATCTCGAGTTGATTTGGGGCACATGGAGCTGCTTTGCGTTGCTGGGGTAACCTCAGGGTCCGTCTAGACTGGTGACAGTGTTCTTGGGGACTGTCTCGAGACCCATTAAGCAAGTCGAAGCTCCTGACTTGTTTGAATGTGATCACGGAATAGCTCTGCATGCACTGCAGGGGAATGGGGCCTCATCTCGCCTCTAGGGGGAAGTCTCATGGTTTTTCTCGAGTTGCGGCGGGGATGGCCCTTCAAAACACGAGTTTCTTCAGTGACGTCAGGACTCCTGTTTAGTAACGAGGGACACCTCAAGAATCTCTTCGAGGCTTGGCAGGGCAAAAGGGACGCTTCTCGAGGTGAGGCAGGGAACCCAAGGACCCTTTCCAGTAGCCACAGGGATTTGGGATTCCTATTAGTATTCAAGAGGAGTCAGGCATCGTCACCATTTGAAGAAATGAACTCCGCGTGCCTCTCGAGGTGTCAGCGGGATGTGAGGCATTCCGTCAAAAGGAGGCAGGGACCTAGGGCTTTCTCTAAGGTCTCCACTGGGGATTCAGACATCCCTTCATGTTGTGAGATGAAAGAAGAGCCTGTATTCAAACCACTGCAAGGAAATCCGGCCTCCTTTTAAGTTAGGGCTTCTCGCTGTATATTCGCCTTGAGGCAGCAAACTCGGGGTCCCTCCGACATACCTATTGCTGAGAGAAGCCTCCTCCTGAGGTGCTTCTGGAAAGTTGGCATACGTCTTGAGACTAAGCCAGGGAATCAGCTCTCATCTCGAGACGATTTGGGGTACAAGGAGCATTCCTCGAGTTGCTGTCCTGAAGTTGGTGTTCCTCTAGACTTGGGACAGTGTTCTCGGGGCATCTCTGGAGTTGCCTGAAGGAAGTCGAGATGCCGGTCGTGTTGAATGTGGAACGGGGAATAGCTCTGGAGTCAATGCAGGGGAATCAGGCCTCATCTCGGGTTGATTTGGGGCAAATAGTTCTGCTTTGCGTTGCTGGGGTGACCTCAGGGTCCGTCTAGACTGGTGACAGTGTTCTTGGGGACTGTCTCGAGACCCATTAAGCAAGTCGAAGCTCCTGAATTGTTTGAATGGGATCACGGAATAGCTCTGCATGCACTACAGGGGAATGGGGCCTCATATCTCCACTAGGGGGAAGTCTCATGGTTTTTCTCAAGATGCGGCGGGGACCTGGGGTATGTTCTCGACTTACGGCGGGGATGGCCCTTCAAAACACGAGTTTCTTCAGTGTCGTCAGGACTCCTGTCTAGTAAAGAGGGACACCTCAGGAATCTCTTCGAGGCTTGGCAGGGCAAAAGGGACGCTTCTCGAGGTGAGGCAGGGAACCCAAGGACCCTTTCCAGTAGCCACAGGGATTTGGGATTCCTATTAGTATTCAAGAGGAGTCAGGCATCATCACCATTTGAAGAAATGAACTCCGCGTGCCTCTCGAGGTGTCAGCGGGATGTGAGGCATTCCGTCAAAAGGAGGCAGGGACCTAGGGCTTTCTCTAAGGTCTCCACAGGGGATTCAGATATCCCTTCATGTTGTGAGATGAAAGACGAGCTTGTATTCAAGCCACTGCAAGGAAATCCGGCCTCCTTTCAAATTAGGGTTTCTCTCTGTATATTCCCCTTGAGGCAGCAAACTTGGGGTCCCTCCCACATACCTATTGCTGAGAGAAGCCTCCTCCTGAGGTGCTTCTGGAAAGTTGGCATACGTCTTGAGCCTAAGCCAGGGAATCAGCTCTCATCTCGAGACGATTTGGGGTACACGGAGCATTCCTCGAGTTGCTGTGCTGAAGTTGGTGTTCCTCTAGACTTGGGACAGTGTTCTCGGGGCATCTCTGGGGTTGCCTGAAGGAAGTCGAGCCACCGGTCGTGTTGAATGGGGAACGGGGAATGGCTCTGGAGTCAATGCAGGGGAATCGGGCCTCATCTCGAGTTGATTTGGGGCACATAGTGCTGCTTTGCGTTGCTGGGGTGACCTCAGGGTCCTTCTAGACTGGTGACAGTGTTCTTGGGGACTGTCTCGAGACCCATTAAGGAAGTCAAAGCTCCTGACTTGTTTGCATGTGATCACGGAATAGCTCTGCATGCACTGCAGGGGAATGGGGCCTCATCTCGCCACTAGGGGGAAGTATCACGGTTTTTCTCGAGTTGCGGCGGGGACCTGGGTTATGTTCTCGACTTACGGCGGGGATGGCCCTTCAAAACACGAGTTTCTTCAGTGAAGTCAAGACTCCTGTCTAGTAACGAGGGACACCTCAGGAATCTCTTCGAGGCTTGGCAGGGCAAAAGGGACGCTTCTCGAGGTGAGGCAGTGAACCCAAGGACCCTTTAAAGTAGCCACAGTGATTTTGGATTCCTATTAGTATTCAAGAGGAGTCAGGCATCATCACCATTTGAAGAAATGAACTCCGCATGCCTCTCGAGGTCTCAGCGGGATTTGAGGCATTCAGTCAAAAGGAGGCAGGGACCTAGGGCTTTCTCTAAGGTCTCCACAGGGGATTCATACATCCCTTCATGTTGTGAGATGAAAGACGAGCCTGTATTCAAACCATGCAAGGAAATCCGGCCTCCTTTCAAGTTAGGGCTTATCGCTGTATATTCGCCTTGAGGCAGCAAACTCGGGGTCCCTCCCACATACCTATTGCTGAGACAAGCCTCCTCCTGAGGTGCTTCTGGAAAGTTGGCATACGTCTTGAGACTAAGCCAGGGAATCAGCTCTCATCTCGAGACGATTTGGGGTACACGGAGCATTCCTCGAGTTGCTGTGCTGAAGTTGGTGTTCCCCTAGACTTGGGACAGTGTTCTCGGGGCATCACTGGAGTTGCCTGAAGGAAGTCGAGCCACTGGTCATGTTGAAAGGGGAACGGGGAATGGCTCTGGAGTCAATGCAGGGGAATCGGGCCTTATCTCGAGTTGATTTGGGGCACATGGAGCTGCTTTGCGTTGCTGGGGTGACCTCAGGGTCCGTCTAGGCTGGTGACAGTGTTCTTGGGGACTGTCTCGAGATCCATTAAGCAAGTCGAAGCTCCTGACTTGTTTGAATGGGATCACGGAATAGCTCTGCATGCACTGCAGGGGAATGGGGCCTCATCTCGCCCCTAGGGGGAAGTCTCATGGTTTTTCTCGAGTTGCGGCGGGGACCTGGGTTATGTTCTCGACTTACGGCGGGGATGGCCCTTCAAAACACGAGTTTCTTCAGTGACGTCAGGATTCCTGTCTAGTAACGAGGGACACCTCAGGAATCTCTTCGAGGCTTGGCAGGGCAAAAGGGAGGCTTCTCGAGGTGAGGCAGGGCACCCAAGGACCCTTTCCAGTAGCCACAGGGATTTGGGATTCCTATTAGTATTCAAGAGGAGTCAGGCATCGTCACCATTTGAAGCAATGAACTCCGCGTGCCTCTCGAGGTGTCAGCGGGATGTGAGGCATTCCGTCAAAAGGAGACAGGGACCTAGGGCTTTCTCTAAGGTCTGCACAGGGGATTCAGACATCCCATCATGTTGTGAGATATAAGACGAGCCTGTATTCAAGCCACTGCAAGGAAATCCGGCCTCCTTTCAAGTTAGGGCTTCTCGCTGTATATTCGCCTTGAGGCAGCAAACTCGGGGTCCCTCCCACATAACTATTGCTGAGAGAAGCCTCCTCCTGAGGTGTTTCTGGAAAGTTGGCATACGTCTTGAGCCTAAGCCAGGGAATCAGCTCTCATCTCGAGACGATTTGGGGTACACGGAGCATTCCTCGAGTTGCTGTGCTGAAGTTGGTGTTCCTCTAGACTTGGGACAGTGTTCTCGGGGCATCTCTGGAGTTGCCTGAAGGAAGTCGAGCCACCGGTCGTGTTGAATGGGGAACGGGGAATGGCTCTGGTGTCAAGGCAGGGGAATCGGGCCTTATCTCGAGTTCATTTGGGGCACATGGAGCTGCTTTGCGTTGCTGGGGTGACCGCAGGGTCCGTCTAGACTGGTGACAGTTTTCTTGGGGACTGCCTCGAGATCCATTAAGCAAGTCGAAGCTCCTGACTTGTTTGAATGGGATCACGGAATAGCTCTGCATGCACTGCAGGGGAATGGGGCCTCATCTCGCCTCTAGGGTGAAGTCTCATGGTTTTTCTCGAGTTGCGGCGGGGACCTGGGGTATGTTCTCGACTTACGGCGGGGATGGCTCTTCAAAACACGAGTTTCTTCAGTGACGTCAGGACTCCTGTCTAGTAACGAGGGACACCTCAGGAATCTCTTCGAGGCTTGGCAGGGCAAAAGGGACGCTTCTCGAGGTAAGGCAGGGCACCCAAGGACCCTTTCCAGTAGCCACAGGGATTTTGGGATTCCTATCAGTATTCAAATAGTCAGGCATCGTCACCTTTTGAAGCAATTAACTCCACGTGCCTCTCGAGGTGTCAGCGGGATGTGAGGCATTCCGTCAAAAGGAGGCAGGGAACTAGGGCTTTCTCTAAGGTCTCCACAGGGGATTCAGACATCCCTTCATGTTGTGAGGTGAAAGACGAGCCTGTATTCAAACCACTGCAAGGAAATCCGGCCTCCTTTCAAGTTAGGGCTTCTCGCTGTATATTCCCCTTGAGGCAGCAAACTCGGCGTCCCTCCCACATACCTATTGCTGAGAGAAGCCTCCTCCTGAGGTGCTTCTGGAAAGTTGGCATACGTCTTGAGCCTAAGCCAGGGAATCAGCTCTCATCTCGAGACGATTTGGGGTACACGGAGCATTCCTCGAGTTGCTGTGCTGAAGTTGGTGTTCCTCTAGACTTGGGACAGTGTTCTCGGGGCATCTCTGGGGTTGCCTGAAGGAAGTGGAGCCACCGGTCGTCTTGAATGGGGAACGGGGAATGGCTCTGGAGTCAATGCAGGGGAATCAGGCCTCATCTCGGGTTGATTTGGGGCACATAGTGCTGCTTTACGTTGCTGGGGTGACCTCAGGGTCCTTCTAGACTGGTGACAGTGTTCTTGGGGACTGTCTCGAGACCCATTAAGCAAGTCAAAGCTCCTGACTTGTTTGAATGGGATCACGGAATAGCTCTGCATGCACTGCAGGGGAATGGGGCCTCATCTCGCCACTAGGGGGAAGTCTCATGGTTTTTCTCGAGTTGCGGCGGGAACCTGGGTTATGTTCTCGACTTATGGCGGGGATGGCCCTTCAAAACACGAGTTTCTCCAGTGACGTCAGGACTCCTGTCTAGTAACGAGGGACACCTCAGGAATCTCTTCGAGGCTTGGCAGGGCAAAAGGGACACTTCTCGAGGTGAGGCAGGGCACCCAAGGACCTTTTCCAGTAGCCACAGGGATTTTGGGATTCCTATCAGTATTCAAGAGGAGTCAGGCATCGTCCCCTTTTGAAGCAATGAACTCCACGTGCCTCTCGAGATGTCAGCGGGATGTGAGGCATTCCGTCAAAAGGAGGCAGGGACCTAGGGCTTTCTCTAAGGTCTCCACAGGGGCTTCAGACAACCCTTCATGTTGTGAGGTGAAAGACGAGCCTGTATTCAAGCCACTGCAAGGAAATCCGTCCTCCTTTCAAGTTAGGGCTTCTCGCTGTATATTCGCCTTGAGGCAGCAAACTCGGGGTCCCTCCCAATACCTATTGCTGAGAGAAGCCTCCTCCTGAGGTGCTTCTGGAAAGTTGGCATACGTCTTGAGACTAAGCCAGGGAATCAGCTCTCATCTCGAGACGATTTGGGGTACACGGAGCCTTCCTCGAGTTGCTGTGCTGAAGTTGGTGTTCCTCTAGACTTGGGACAGTGTTCTCGGGGCATCTCTGGAGCTGCCTGAAGGAAGTCGAGCCACCGGTCGTGTTGAATGGGGAACGGGGAATGGCTCTGGAGTCAATGCAGGGGAATCATGCCTCATCTCGGGTTGATTTGGGGCACATAGTGCTGCTTTGCGTTGCTGGGGTGACCTCAGGGTCTTTCTAGACTGGTGACAGAGTTCTTGGGGACTGTCTCGAGACCCATTAAGCAAGTCAAAGCTCCTGACTTGTTTGAATGTGATCACGGAATAGCTCTGCATGCACTGCAGGGGAATGGGGCCTCATCTCGCCACTAGGGGGAAGTCTCACGGTTTTTCTCGAGTTGCGGCGGGGACCTGGGTTATGTTCTCGACTTACGGTGGGGATGGCCCTTCAAAACACGAGTTTCTTCAGTGACGTCAGGACTCCTGTCTAGTAACGAGGGACACCTCAGGAATCTCTTCGAGGCTTGGCAGGGCAAAAGGGACGCTTCTCGAGGTGAGGCAGGGCACCCAAGGACCATTTCCAGTAGCCACAGGGATTTTGGGATTCCTATCAGTATTCAAGAGGAGTCAGGCATCGTCACCTTTTGAAGCAATGAACGCCACGTGCCTCTCGAGGTGTCAGCGTGATGTGAGGCATTCCGTCAAAAGGAGGCATGGACCTAGGGCTTTCTCTAAGGCCTCCACAGAGGCTTCAGACATCCCTTCATGATGTGAGGTGAAAGACGAGCCTGTATTCAAGCCACTGCAAGGAAATCCGGCCTCCTTTCAAGTTAGGGCTTCTCGCTGTATATTCCCCTTGAGGCAGCAAACTCGGGGTCCCTCCCACATACCTATTGCTGAGAGAAGCCTCCTCCTGAGGTGCTTCTGGAAAGTTGGCATACGTCTTGAGCCTAAGCCAGGGAATCAGCTCTCACCTCGAGACGATTTGGGGAACACGGAGCATTCCTTGAGTTGCTGTGCTGACGTTGGTGTTCCTCTAGTCTTGGGTCAGTGTTCTCGGGGCATCTCTGGAGTTGCCTGAAAGAAGTCGAGACGCCGGTCGTTTTGAATGGGGAATGGGGAATGGCTCTGGAGTCAATACAGGGGAATCGGGCCTTATCTCGAGTTGATTTGGGGCACATGGAGCTGCTTTGCGTTGCTGGGGTGACCGCAGGGTCCGTCTAGACTGGTGACAGTGTTTTTGGGGACTGCCTCGAGATCCATTAAGCAAGTCGAAGCTCCTGACTTGTTTGAATGGGATCACGGAATAGCTCTGCATGCACTGCAGGGGAATGGGGCCTCATCTCGCCTCTAGGGGGAAGTCTCATGGTTTTTCTCGAGTTGCGGCGGGGACCTGGGGTATGTTCTCGACTTACGGCGCGGATGGCCCTTCTAAACACGAGTTTCTTCAGTGAAGTCAGGACTCCTGTCTAGTAACGAGGGACACCTCAGGAATCTCTTCGAGGCTTGGCAGGGCAAAAGGGACGCTTCTCGAGGTGAGGCAGTGAACCCAAGGACCCTTTCCAGTAGCCACAGTGATTTCGGATTCCTATTAGTATTCAAGAGGAGTCAGGCATCATCACCATTTGAAGAAATGAACTCCGCGTGCCTCTCGAGGTGTCAGCGGGATGTGAGGCATTCAGTCAAAAGGAGGCAGGGACCTAGGGCTTTCTCTAAGGTCTCCACAGGGGATTCATACATCCCTTCATGTTGTGAGATGAAAGACGAGCCTGTATTCAAACCATGCAAGGAAATCCGGCCTCCTTTCAAGTTAGGGCTTATCGCTGTATATTTGCCTTGAGGCAGTAAACTCGGGGTCCCTCCCACATACCTATTGCTGAGAGAAGCCTCCTCCTGAGGTGCTTCTGGAAAGTTGGCATACGTCTTGAGACTAAGCCAGGGAATCAGCTCTCATCTCGAGACGATTTGGGGTACACGGAGCATTCCTCGAGTTGCTGTGCTGAAGTTGGTGTTCCCCTAGACTTGGGACAGTGTTCTCGGGCATCACTGGAGTTGCCTGAAGGAAGTCGAGCCACCGGTCGTGTTGAAAGTGGAACGGGGAATGGCTCTGGAGTCAATGCAGGGGAATCGGGCCTTATCTCGAGTTGATTTGGGGCACATGGAGCTGCTTTGCGTTGCTGGGGTGACCTCAGGGTCCGTCTAGGCTGGTGACAGTGTTCTTGGGGACTGTCTCGAGATCCATTAAGCAAGTCGAAGCTCCTGACTTGTTTGAATGGGATCACGGAATAGCTCTGCATGCACTGCAGGGGAATGGGGCCTCATCTCGCCCTAGGGGGAAGTCTCATGGTTTTTCTCGAGTTGCGGCGGGGACCTGGGGTATGTTCTCGACTTACGGCGGGGATGGCCCTTCAAAACACGAGTTTCTTCAGTGTCGTCAGGACTCCTGTCTAGTAAAGAGGGACACCTCAGGAATCTCTTCGAGGCTTGGCAGGGCAAAAGGGACGCTTCTCGAGGTGAGGCAGGGAACCCAAGGACCCTTTCCAGTAGCCACAGGGATTTGGGATTCCTATTAGTATTCAAGAGGTGTCAGGCATCATCACCATTTGAAGAAATGAACTCCGCGTGCCTCTCGAGGTGTCAGCGGGATGTGAGGCATTCCGTCAAAAGGAGGCAGGGACCTAGGGCTTTCTCTAAGGTCTCCACAGGGGATTCAGATATCCCTTCATGTTGTGAGATGAAAGACGAGCTTGTATTCAAGCCACTGCAAGGAAATCCGGCCTCCTTTCAAATTAGGGTTTCTCTCTGTATATTCCCCTTGAGGCAGCAAACTTGGGGTCCCTCCCACATACCTATTGCTGAGAGAAGCCTCCTCCTGAGGTGCTTCTGGAAAGTTGGCATACGTCTTGAGCCTAAGCCAGGGAATCAGCTCTCATCTCGAGACGATTTGGGGTACACGGAGCATTCCTCGAGTTGCTGTGCTGAAGTTGGTGTTCCTCTAGACTTGGGACAGTGTTCTCGGGGCATCTCTGGGGTTGCCTGAAGGAAGTCGAGCCACCGGTCGTGTTGAATGGGGAACGGGGAATGGCTCTGGAGTCAATGCAGGGGAATCGGGCCTCATCTCGAGTTGATTTGGGGCACATGGAGCTGCTTTGAGTTGCTGGGGTAACCTCAGGGTCCGTCTAGACTGGTGACAGTGTTCTTGGGGACTGTCTCGAGACCCATTAAGCAAGTCGAAGCTCCTGACTTGTTTGAATGGGATCACGGAATAGCTCTGCATGCACTGCAGGGGAATGGGGCCTCATCTCGCCTCTAGGGGGAAGTCTCATGGTTTTTCTCGAGTTGCGGCGGGGACCTGGGGTATGTTCTCGACTTACGGCGGGGATGGCCCTTCAAAACACGAGTTTCTTCAGTGACGTCAGGACTCCTGTCTAGTAACGAGGGACACCTCAAGAATCTCTTCGAGGCTTGGCAGGGCAAAAGGGACGCTTCTCGAGGTGAGGCAGGGAACCCAAGGACCCTTTCCAGTAGCCACAGGGATTTGGGATTCCTATTAGTATTCAAGAGGAGTCAGGCAGCGTCACCATTTGAAGAAATGAACTCCGCGTGCCTCTCGAGGTGTCAGCGGGATGTGAGGCATTCCGTCAAAAGGAGGCAGGGACCTAGGGCTTTCTCTAAGGTCTCCACTGGGGATTCAGACATCCCTTCATGTTGTGAGATGAAAGAAGAGCCTGTATTCAAACCACTGCAAGGAAATCCGGCCTCCTTTTAAGTTAGGGCTTCTCGCTGTATATTCGCCTTGAGGCAGCAAACTCGGGGTCCCTCCGACATACCTATTGCTGAGAGAAGCCTCCTCCTGAGGTGCTTCTGGAAAGTTGGCATACGTCTTGAGACTAAGCCAGGGAATCAGCTCTCATCTCGAGACGATTTGGGGTACAAGGAGCATTCCTCGAGTTGCTGTGCTGAAGTTGTTGTTCCTCTAGACTTGGGACAGTGTTCTCGGGGCATCTCTGGAGTTGCCTGAAGGAAGTCGAGATGCCGGTCGTGTTGAATGGGGAACGGGGAATGGCTCTGGAGTCAATGCAGGGGAATCAGGCTTCATCTCGGGTTGATTTGGGGCAAATAGTTCTGCTTTGCGTTGCTGGGGTGACCTCAGGGTCCGTCTAGACTGGTGACAGTGTTCTTGGGGACTGTCTCGAGACCCATTAAGCAAGTCGAAGCTCCTGAATTGTTTGAATGGGATCACGGAATAGCTCTGCATGCACTACAGGGGAATGGGGCCTCATCTCGCCACTAGGGGGAAGTCTCATGGTTTTTCTCAAGATGCGGCGGGGACCTGGGGTATGTTCTCGACTTACGGCGGGGATGGCCCTTCAAAACACGAGTTTCTTCAGTGTCGTCAGGACTCCTGTCTAGTAAAGAGGGACACCTCAGGAATCTCTTCGAGGCTTGGCAGGGCAAAAGGGACGCTTCTCGAGGTGAGGCAGGGAACCCAAGGACCCTTTCCAGTAGCCACAGGGATTTGGGATTCCTATTAGTATTCAAGAGGAGTCAGGCATCATCACCATTTGAAGAAATGAACTCCGCGTGCCTCTCGAGGTGTCAGCGGGATGTGAGGCATTCCGTCAAAAGGAGGCAGGGACCTAGGGCTTTCTCTAAGGTCTCCACAGGGGATTCAGATATCCCTTCATGTTGTGAGATGAAAGACGAGCTTGTATTCAAGCCACTGCAAGGAAATCCGGCCTCCTTTCAAATTAGGGTTTCTCTCTGTATATTCCCCTTGAGGCAGCAAACTTGGGGTCCCTCCCACATACCTATTGCTGAGAGAAGCCTCCTCCTGAGGTGCTTCTGGAAAGTTGGCATACGTCTTGAGCCTAAGCCAGGGAATCAGCTCTCATCTCGAGACGATTTGGGGTACACGGAGCATTCCTCGAGTTGCTGTGCTGAAGTTGGTGTTCCTCTAGACTTGGGACAGTGTTCTCGGGGCATCTCTGGGGTTGCCTGAAGGAAGTCGAGCCACCGGTCGTGTTGAATGGGGAACGGGGAATGGCTCTGGAGTCAATGCAGGGGAATCGGGCCTCATCTCGAGTTGATTTGGGGCACATGGAGCTGCTTTGAGTTGCTGGGGTAACCTCAGGGTCCGTCTAGACTGGTGACAGTGTTCTTGGGGACTGTCTCGAGACCCATTAAGCAAGTCGAAGCTCCTGACTTGTTTGAATGGGATCACGGAATAGCTCTGCATGCACTGCAGGGGAATGGGGCCTCATCTCGCCTCTAGGGGGAAGTCTCATGGTTTTTCTCGAGTTGCGGCGGGGACCTGGGGTATGTTCTCGACTTACGGCGGGGATGGCCCTTCAAAACACGAGTTTCTTCAGTGACGTCAGGACTCCTGTCTAGTAACGAGGGACACCTCAAGAATCTCTTCGAGGCTTGGCAGGGCAAAAGGGACGCTTCTCGAGGTGAGGCAGGGAACCCAAGGACCCTTTCCAGTAGCCACAGGGATTTGGGATTCCTATTAGTATTCAAGAGGAGTCAGGCAGCGTCACCATTTGAAGAAATGAACTCCGCGTGCCTCTCGAGGTGTCAGCGGGATGTGAGGCATTCCGTCAAAAGGAGGCAGGGACCTAGGGCTTTCTCTAAGGTCTCCACTGGGGATTCAGACATCCCTTCATGTTGTGAGATGAAAGAAGAGCCTGTATTCAAACCACTGCAAGGAAATCCGGCCTCCTTTTAAGTTAGGGCTTCTCGCTGTATATTCGCCTTGAGGCAGCAAACTCGGGGTCCCTCCGACATACCTATTGCTGAGAGAAGCCTCCTCCTGAGGTGCTTCTGGAAAGTTGGCATACGTCTTGAGCCTAAGCCAGGGAATCAGCTCTCATCTCGAGACGATTTGGGGTACACGGAGCATTCCTTGAGTTGCTGTGCTGAAGTTGGTGTTCCTCTAGCCTTGGGACAGTGTTCTCGGGGCATCTCTGGGGTTGCCTGAAGGAAGTCGAGCCACCGGTCGTGTTGAATGGGGAACGGGGAATGGCTCTGGAGTCAATGCAGGGGAATCGGGCCTCATCTCGAGTTGATTTGGGGCACATGGAGCTGCTTTGAGTTGCTGGGGTAACCTCAGGGTCCGTCTAGACTGGTGACAGTGTTCTTGGGGACTGTCTCGAGACCCATTAAGCAAGTCGAAGCTCCTGAATTGTTTGAATGGGATCACGGAATAGCTCTGCATGCACTGCAGGGGAATGGGGCCTCATCTCGCCACTAGGGGGAAGTATCACGGTTTTTCTCGAGTTGCGGCGGGGACCTGGGTTATGTTCTCGACTTACGGCGGGGATGGCCCTTCAAAACACGAGTTTCTTCAGTGACGTCAGGACTCCTGTCTAGTAACGAGGGACACCTCAGGAATCTCTTCGAGGCTTGGCAGGGCAAAAGGGACGCTTCTCGAGGTGAGGCAGGGCACCCAAGGACCCTTTCCAGTAGCCACAGGGATTTTGGGATTCCTATCAGTATTCAAGAGGAGTCAGGCATCGTCACCTTTTGAAGCAATGAACGCCACGTGCCTCTCGAGGTGTCAGCGTGATGTGAGGCATTCCGTCAAAAGGAGGCAGGGACCTAGGGCTTTCTCTAAGGTCTCCACAGAGGCTTCAGACATCCCTTCATGTTGTGAGGTGAAAGACGAGCCTGTATTCAAGCCACTGCAAGGAAATCCGGCCTCCTTTCAAGTTAGGGCTTCTCGCTGTATATTCCCCTTGAGGCAGCAAACTCGGGGTCCCTCCCACATACCTATTGCTGAGAGAAGCCTCCTCCTGAGGTGCTTCTGGGGAGTTGGTATACGTCTTGAGCCTAAGCCAGGGAATCAGCTCTCATCTCGAGACGATTTGGGGTACACGGAGCATTCCTCGAGTTGCTGTGCTGAAGTTGGTGTTCCTCTAGACTTGGGACAGTGTTCTCGGGGCATCTCTGGAGTTGCCTGAAGGAAGTCGAGCCAACGGTCGTGTTGAATGGGGAACGGGGAATGGCTCTGGAGTCAATGCAGGGGAATCAGGCCTCATCTCGGGTTGATTTGGGGCACATAGTTCTGCTTTGCGTTGCTGGGGTGAACTCAGGGCCCGTCTAGACTGGTGACAGTGTTCTTGGGGACTCTCTCGAGACCCATTAAGCAAGTCAAAGCTCCTGAATTGTTTGAATGGGATCACGGAATAGCTCTGCATGCACTACAGGGGAATGGGGCCTCATCTCGCCACTAGGGGGAAGTCTCATGGTTTTTCTCAAGTTGCGGCGGGGACCTGGGGTATGTTCTCGACTTACGGCGGGGATGGCCCTTCAAAACACGAGTTTCTTCAGTGACGTCAGGACTCCTGTATAGTAAAGAGGGACACATCAGGAATCTCTTCGAGGCTTGGCAGGGCAAAAGGGACGCTTCTCGAGGTGAGGCAGGGAACCCAAGGACCCTTTCCAGTAGCCACAGGGATTTGGGATTCCTATTAGTATTCAAGAGGGGTCAGGCATCATCACCATTTGAAGAAATGAACTCCGCGTGCCTCTCGAGGTGTCAGCGGGATGTGAGGCATTCCGTCAAAAGGAGGCAGGGACCTAGGGCTTTCTCTAAGGTCTCCACAGGGGATTCAGATATCCCTTCATGTTGTGAGATGAAAGACGAGCTTGTATTCAAGCCACTGCAAGGAAATCCGGCCTCCTTTCAAATTAGGGTTTCTCTCTGTATATTCCCCTTGAGGCAGCAAACTCGGGGTCCCTCCCACATACCTATTGCTGAGAGAAGCCTCCTCCTGAGGTGCTTCTGGAAAGTTGGCATACATCTTGAGCCTAAGCCAGGGAATCAGCTCTCATCTCGAGACGATTTGGGGTACACGGAGCATTCCTCGAGTTGCTGTGCTGAAGTTGGTGTTCCTCTAGACTTGGGACAGTGTTCTCGGGGCATCTCTGGAGTTGCCTTAAGGAAGTCGAGCCACCGGTCGTGTTGAAAGGGGAACGGGGAATGGCTCTGGAGTCAATGCAGGGGAATCGGGCCTCATCTCGAGTTGATTTGGGGCACATGGAGCTGCTTTGCGTTGCTGGGGTAACCTCAGGGTCCGTCTAGACTGGTGACAGTGTTCTTGGGGACTGTCTCGAGACCCATTAAGCAAGTCGAAGCTCCTGACTTGTTTGAATGTGATCACGGAATAGCTCTGCATGCACTGCAGGGGAATGGGGCCTCATCTCGCCTCTAGGGGGAAGTCTCATGGTTTTTCTCGAGTTGCGGCGGGGATGGCCCTTCAAAACACGAGTTTCTTCAGTGACGTCAGGACTCCTGTCTAGTAACGAGGGACACCTCAGGAATCTCTTCGAGGCTTGGCAGGGCAAAAGGGACGCTTCTCGAGGTGAGGCAGGGCACCCAAGGACACTTTCCAGTAGCCACAGGGATTTTGGGATTCCTATCAGTATTCAAGAGGAGTCAGGCATCGTCACCTTTTGAAGCAATGAACGCCACGTGCCGCTCGAGGTGTCAGCGTGATGTGAGGCATTCCGTCAAAATGAGGCAGGGACCTAGGGCTTTCTCTAAGGTCTCCACAGAGGCTTCAGACATCCCTTCATGTTGTGAGGTGAAAGACGAGCCTGTATTCAAGCCACTGCAAGGAAATCCGGCCTCCTTTCAAGTTAGGGCTTCTCGCTGTATATTCCCCTTGAGGCAGCAAACTTGGGGTCCCTCCCACATACCTATTGCTGAGAGAAGCCTCCTCCTGAGGTGCTTCTGGAAAGTTGGCATACGTCTTGAGCCTAAGCCAGGGAATCAGCTCTCACCTCGAGACGATTTGGGGAACACGGAGCATTCCTTGAGTTGCTGTGCTGACGTTGGTGTTCCTCTAGTCTTGGGTCAGTGTTCTCGGGGCATCTCTGGAGTTGCCTGAAAGAAGTCGAGACGCCGGTCGTTTTGAATGGGGAATGGGGAATGGCTCTGGAGTCAATGCAGGGGAATCGGGCCTTATCTCGAGTTGATTTGGGGCACATGGAGCTGCTTTGCGTTGCTGGGGTGACCGCAGGGTCCGTCTAGACTGGTGACAGTGTTTTTGGGGACTGCCTCGAGATCCATTAAGCAAGTTGAAGGTTCTGACTTGTTTGAATGGGATCACGGAATAGCTCTGCATGCACTGCAGGGGAATGGGGCCTCATCTCGCCTCTAGGGGGAAGTCTCATGGTTTTTCTCGAGTTGCGGCGGGGACCTGGGGTATGTTCTCGACTTACGGCGCGGATGGCCCTTCAAAACACGAGTTTCTTCAGTGAAGTCAAGACTCCTGTCTAGTAACGAGGGACACCTCAGGAAACTCTTCGAGGCTTGGCAGGGCAAAAGGGACGCTTCTCGAGGTGAGGCAGTGAACCCAAGGACCCTTTAAAGTAGCCACAGTGATTTTGGATTCCTACTAGTATTCAAGAGGAGTCAGGCATCATCACCATTTGAAGAAATGAACTCCGCATGCCTCTCGAGGTCTCAGCGGGATTTGAGGCATTCAGTCAAAAGGAGGCAGGGACCTAGGGCTTTCTCTAAGGTCTCCACAGGGGATTCATACATCCCTTCATGTTGTGAGATGAAAGACGAGCCTGTATTCAAACCATGCAAGGAAATCCGGCCTCCTTTCAAGTTAGGGCTTATCGCTGTATATTCGCCTTGAGGCAGCAAACTCGGGGTCCCTCCCACATACCTATTGCTGAGACAAGCCTCCTCCTGAGGTGCTTCTGGAAAGTTGGCATACGTCTTGAGACTAAGCCAGGGAATCAGCTCTCATCTCGAGACGATTTGGGGTACACGGAGCATTCCTCGAGTTGCTGTGCTGAAGTTGGTGTTCCCCTAGACTTGGGACAGTTTTCTCGGGGCATCACTGGAGTTGCCTGAAGGAAGTCGAGCCACCGGTCATGTTGAAAGGGGAACGGGGAATGGCTCTGGAGTCAATGCAGGGGAATCGGGCCTTATCTCGAGTTGATTTGGGGCACATGGAGCTGCTTTGCGTTGCTGGGGTGACCTCAGGGTCCGTCTAGGCTGGTGACAGTGTTCTTGGGGACTGTCTCGAGATCCATTAAGCAAGTCGAAGCTCCTGACTTGTTTGAATGGGATCACGGAATAGCTCTGCATGCACTGCAGGGGAATGGGGCCTCATCTCGCCCCTAGGGGGAAGTCTCATGGTTTTTCTCGAGTTGCGGCGGGGACCTGGGTTATGTTCTCGACTTACGGCGGGGATGGCCCTTCAAAACACGAGTTTCTTCAGTGACGTCAGGATTCCTGTCTAGTAACGAGGGACACCTCAGGAATCTCTTCGAGGCTTGGCAGGGCAAAAGGGAGGCTTCTCGAGGTGAGGCAGGGCACCCAAGGACCCTTTCCAGTAGCCACAGGGATTTGGGATTCCTATTAGTATTCAAGAGGAGTCAGGCATCGTCACCATTTGAAGCAATGAACTCTGCGTGCCTCTCGAGGTGTCAGCGGGATGTGAGGCATTCCGTCAAAAGGAGACAGGGACCTAGGGCTTTCTCTAAGGTCTGCACAGGGGATTCAGACATCCCATCATGTTGTGAGATATAAGACGAGCCTGTATTCAAGCCACTGCAAGGAAATCCGGCCTCCTTTCAAGTTAGGGCTTCTCGCTGTATATTCGCCTTGAGGCAGCAAACTCGGGGTCCCTCCCACATAACTATTGCTGAGAGAAGCCTCCTCCTGAGGTGTTTCTGGAAAGTTGGCATACGTCTTGAGCCTAAGCCAGGGAATCAGCTCTCATCTCGAGACGATTTGGGGTACACGGAGCATTCCTCGAGTTGCTGTGCTGAAGTTGGTGTTCCTCTAGACTTGGGACAGTGTTCTCGGGGCATCTCTGGAGTTGCCTGAAGGAAGTCGAGCCACCGGTCGTGTTGAATGGGGAACGGGGAATGGCTCTGGAGTCAAGGCAGGGGAATCGGGCCTTATCTCGAGTTCATTTGGGGCACATGGAGCTGCTTTGCGTTGCTGGGGTGACCGCAGGGTCCGTCTAGACTGGTGACAGTTTTCTTGGGGACTGCCTCGAGATCCATTAAGCAAGTCGAAGCTCCTGACTTGTATGAATGGGATCACGGAATAGCTCTGCATGCACTGCAGGGGAATGGGGCCTCATCTCGCCTCTAGGGGGAAGTCTCATGGTTTTTCTCGAGTTGCGGCGGGGACCTGGGGTATGTTCTCGACTTACGGCGGGGATGGCTCTTCAAAACACGAGTTTCTTCAGTGACGTCAGGACTCCTGTCTAGTAACGAGGGACACCTCAGGAATCTCTTCGAGGCTTGGCAGGGCAAAAGGGACGCTTCTCGAGGTAAGGCAGGGCACCCAAGGACCCTTTCCAGTAGCCACAGGGATTTTGGGATTCCTATCAGTATTCAAATAGTCAGGCATCGTCACCTTTTGAAGCAATTAACTCCACGTGCCTCTCGAGGTGTCAGCGGGATGTGAGGCATTCCGTCAAAAGGAGGCAGGGAACTAGGGCTTTCTCTAAGGTCTCCACAGGGGATTCAGACATCCCTTCATGTTGTGAGGTGAAAGACGAGCCTGTATTCAAACCACTGCAAGGAAATCCGGCCTCCTTTCAAGTTAGGGCTTCTCGCTGTATATTCCCCTTGAGGCAGCAAACTCGGGGTCCCTCCCACATACCTATTGCTGAGAGAAGCCTCCTCCTGAGGTGCTTCTGGAAAGTTGGCATACGTCTTGAGCCTAAGCCAGGGAATCAGCTCTCATCTCGAGACGATTTGGGGTACACGGAGCATTCCTCGAGTTGCTGTGCTGAAGTTGGTGTTCCTCTAGACTTGGGACAGTGTTCTCGGGGCATCTCTGGGGTTGCCTGAAGGAAGTGGAGCCACCGGTCGTCTTGAATGGGGAACGGGGAATGGCTCTGGAGTCAATGCAGGGGAATCAGGCCTCATCTCGGGTTGATTTGGGGCACATAGTGCTGCTTTACGTTGCTGGGGTGACCTCAGGGTCCTTCTAGACTGGTGACAGTGTTCTTGGGGACTGTCTCGAGACCCATTAAGCAAGTCAAAGCTCCTGACTTGTTTGAATGGGATCACGGAATAGCTCTGCATGCACTGCAGGGGAATGGGGCCTCATCTCGCCACTAGGGGGAAGTCTCATGGTTTTTCTCGAGTTGCGGCGGGAACCTGGGTTATGTTCTCGACTTACGGCGGGGATGGCCCTTCAAAACACGAGTTTCTCCAGTGACGTCAGGACTCCTGTCTAGTAACGAGGGACACCTCAGGAATCTCTTCGAGGCTTGGCAGGGCAAAAGGGACACTTCTCGAGGTGAGGCAGGGCACCCAAGGACCTTTTCCAGTAGCCACAGGGATTTTGGGATTCCTATCAGTATTCAAGAGGAGTCAGGCATCGTCCCCTTTTGAAGCAATGAACTCCACGTGCCTCTCGAGGTGTCAGCGGGATGTGAGGCATTCCGTCAAAAGGAGGCAGGGACCTAGGGCTTTCTCTAAGGTCTCCACAGGGGCTTCAGACAACCCTTCATGTTGTGAGGTGAAAGACGAGCCTGTATTCAAGCCACTGCAAGGAAATCCGTCCTCCTTTCAAGTTAGGGCTTCTCGCTGTATATTCGCCTTGAGGTAGCAAACTCGGGGTCCCTCCCAATACCTATTGCTGAGAGAAGCCTCCTCCTGAGGTGCTTCTGGAAAGTTGGCATACGTCTTGAGACTAAGCCAGGGAATCAGCTCTCATCTCGAGACGATTTGGGGTACACGGAGCCTTCCTCGAGTTGCTGTGCTGAAGTTGGTGTTCCTCTAGACTTGGGACAGTGTTCTCTGGGCATCTCTGGAGCTGCCTGAAGGAAGTCGAGCCACCGGTCGTGTTGAATGGGGAACGGGGAATGGCTCTGGAGTCAATGCAGGGGAATCATGCCTCATCTCGGGTTGATTTGGGGCACATAGTGCTGCTTTGCGTTGCTGGGGTGACCTCAGGGTCCTTCTCGACTGGTGACAGAGATCTTGGGGACTGTCTCGAGACCCATTAAGCAAGTCAAAGCTCCTGACTTGTTTGAATGTGATCACGGAATAGCTCTGCATGCACTGCAGGGGAATGGGGCCTCATCTCGCCACTAGGGGGAAGTCTCACGGTTTTTCTCGAGTTGCGGCGGGGACCTGGGTTATGTTCTCGACTTACGGTGGGGATGGCCCTTCAAAACACGCGTTTCTTCAGTGACGTCAGGACTCCTGTCTAGTAACGAGGGACACCTCAGGAATCTCTTCGAGGCTTGGCAGGGCAAAAGGGACGCTTCTCGAGGTGAGGCAGGGCACCCAAGGACCCTTTCCAGTAGCCACAGGGATTTTGGGATTCCTATCAGTATTCAAGAGGAGTCAGGCATCGTCACCTTTTGAAGCAATGAACGCCACGTGCCTCTCGAGGTGTCAGCGGGATGTGAGGCATTCCGTCAAAAGGAGGCAGGGAACTAGGGCTTTCTCTAAGGTATCCACAGGGGATTCAGACATCCCTTCATGTTGTGAGGTGAAAGACGAGCCTGTATTCAAACCACTGCAAGGAAATCCGGCCTCCTTTCAAGTTAGGGCTTCTCGCTGTATATTCCCCTTGAGGCAGCAAACTCGGGGTCCCTCCCACATACCTATTGCTGAGAGAAGCCTCCTCCTGAGGTGCTTCTGGAAAGTTGGCATACGTCTTGAGACTAAGCCAGGGAATCAGCTCTCATCTCGAGACGATTTGGGGTACACGGAGCATTCCTCGAGTTGCTGTGCTGAAGTTGGTGTTCCTCTAGACTTGGGACAGTGTTCTCGGGGCATCTCTGGAGTTGCCTGAAAGAAGTGGAGCCACCGGTCGTCTTGAATGGGGAACGGGGAATGGCTCTGGAGTCAATGCAGGGGAATCAGGCCTCATCTCGGGTTGATTTGGGGCACATGGTTCTGCTTTGCGTTGCTGGGGTGACCTCAGGTTCCGTCTAGACTGGTGACAGTGTTCTTGGGAACTGTCTCGAGACCCATTAAGCAAGTCGAAGCTCCTGAATTGTTTGAATGGGATCACAGAATAGCTCTGCATGCACTACAGGGGAATGGGGCCTCATCTCGCCACTAGGGGGAAGTCTCATGGTTTTTCTCAAGTTGCGGCGGGGACCTGGGGTATGTTCTCGACTTACGGCGGGGATGGCCCTTCAAAACACGAGTTTCTTCAGTGACGTCAGGACTCCTGTCTAGTAAAGAGGGACACATCAGGAATCTCTTCGAGGCTTGGCAGGGCAAAAGGGACGCTTCTCGAGGTGAGGCAGGGAACCCAAGGACCCTTTCCAGTAGCCACAGGGATTTGGGATTCCTATTAGTATTCAAGAGGAGTCAGGCATCATCACCATTTGAAGAAATGAACTCCGCGTGCCTCTCGAGGTGTCAGCGGGATGTGAGGCATTCCGTCAAAAGGAGGCAGGGACCTAGGGCTTTCTCTAAGGTCTCCACAGGGGATTCAGATATCCCTTCATGTTGTGAGATGAAAGACGAGCTTGTATTCAAGCCACTGCAAGGAAATCCGGCCTCCTTTCAAATTAGGGTTTCTCTCTGTATATTCCCCTTTAGGCAGCAAACTCGGGGTCCCTCCCACATAGCTATTGCTGAGAGAAGCCTCCTCCTGAGGTGCTTCTGGAAAGTTGGCATACGTCTTGAGCCTAAGCCAGGGAATCAGCTCTCATCTCGAGACGATTTGGGGTACACGGAGCATTCCTCGAGTTGCTGTGCTGAAGTTGGTGTTCCTCTACACTTGGGACAGTGTTCTCGGGGCATCTCTGGAGTTGCCTGAAGGAAGTCGAGCCACCGGTCTTGTTGAATGGGGAACGGGGAATGGCTCTGGAGTCAATGCAGGGGAATCGGGCCTCATCTTGAGTTGATTTGGGGCACATGGAGCTGCTTTGCGTTGCTGGGGTAACCTCAGGGTCCGTCTAGACTGGTGACAGTGTTCTTGGGGACTGTCTCGAGATCCATTAAGCAAGTCGAAGCTCCTGACTTGTTTGAATGGGATCACGGAATAGCTCTGCATGCACTGCAGGGGAATGGGGCCTCATCTCGCCTCTAGGGGGAAGTCTCATGGTTTTTCTCGAGTTGCGGCGGGGCCTGGGGTATGTTCTCGACTTACGGCGGGGATGGCCCTTCAAAACACGAGTTTCTTCAGTGACGTCAGGACTCCTGTCTAGTAACGAGGGACACCTCAGGAATCTCTTCGAGGCTTGGCAGGGCAAAAGGGACGCTTCTCGAGGTGAGGCAGGGAACCCAAGGACCCTTTCCAGTAGCCACAGTGATTTCGGATTCCTATTAGTATTCAAGAGGAGTCAGGCATCATCACCATTTGAAGAAATGAACTCCGCGTGCCTCTCGAGGTGTCAGCGGGATGTGAGGCATACAGTGAAAAGGAGGCAGGGACCTAGGGCTTTCTCTAAGGTATCCACAGGGGATTCAGACATCCCTTCATGTTGTGAGGTGAAAGACGAGCCTGTATTCAAACCACTGCAAGGAAATCCGGCCTCCTTTCAAGTTAGGGCTTCTCGCTGTATATTCCCCTTGAGGCAGCAAACTCGGCGTCCCTCCCACATACCTATTGCTGAGAGAAGCCTCCTCCTGAGGTGCTTCTGGAAAGTTGGCATACGTCTTGAGCCTAAGCCAGGGAATCAGCTCTCATCTCGAGACGATTTGGGGTACACGGAGCATTCCTCGAGTTGCTCTGCTGAAGTTGGTGTTCCTCTAGACTTGGGACAGTGTTCTCGGGGCATCTCTGGAGTTGCCTGAAAGAAGTCGAGCCGCCGGTCTTCTTGAATGGGGAACGGGGAATGGCTCTGGAGTCAATGCAGGGGAATCAGGCCTAATCTCGGGTTGATTTGGGGCACATAGTGCTGCTTTACGTTGCTGGGGTGACCTCAGGGTCCTTCTAGACTGGTGACAGTGTTCTTGGGGACTGTCTCGAGACCCATTAAGCAAGTCAAAGCTCCTGACTTGTTTGAATGGGATCACGGAATAGCTCTGCATGCACGGCAGGGGAATGGGGCCTCATCTCGCCACTAGGGGGAAGTCTCATGGTTTTTCTCGAGTTGCGGCGGGAACCTGGATTATGTTCTCGACTTACGGCGGGGATGGCCCTTCAAAACACGAGTTTCTCCAGTGACGTCAGGACTCCTGTCTTGTAACGAGGGACACCTCAGGAATCTCTCCGAGGCTTGGCAGGGCAAAAGGGACGCTTCTCGAGGTGAGGCAGGGCACCCAAGGACCCTTTCCAGTAGCCACAGGGATTTTGGGATTCCTACCAGTATTCAAGAGGAGTCAGGCATCGTCCCCTTTTGAAGCAATGAACTCCACGTGCCTCTCGAGGTGTCAGCGGGATGTGAGGCATTCCGTCAAAAGGAGGCAGGGACCTAGGGCTTTCTCTAAGGTCTCCACAGGGGCTTCAGACAACCCTTCATGTTGTGAGGTGAAAGACGAGCCTGTATTCAAGCCACTGCAAGGAAATCCGTACTCCTTTCAAGTTAGGGTTCTCGCTGTATATTCGCCTTGAGGCAGCAAACTCGGGGTCCCTCCCAATACCTATTGCTGAGAGAAGCCTCCTCCTGAGGTGCATCTGTAAAGTTGGCATACGTCTTGAGACTAAGCCAGGGAATCAGCTCTCATCTCGAGACGATTTGGGGTACACGGAGCATTCCTCGAGTTGCTGTGCTGAAGTTGGTGTTCCTCTAGACTTGGGACAGTGTTCTCGGGGCATCTCTGGAGTTGCCTGAAGGAAGTCGAGCCACCTGTCTTGTTGAATGGGGAACGGGGAATGGCTCTGGAGTCAATGCAGGGGAATCGGGCCTCATCTTGAGTTGATTTGGGGCACATGGAGCTGCTTTGCATTGCTGGGGTAACCTCAGGGTCCGTCTAGACTGGTGACAGTGTTCTTGGGGACTGTCTCGAGATCCATTAAGCAAGTCGAAGCTCCTGACTTGTTTGAATGGGATCACGGAATAGCTCTGCATGCACTGCAGGGGAATGGGGCCTCATCTCGCCTCTAGGGGGAAGTCTCATGGTTTTTCTCGAGTTGCGGCGGGGACCTGGGGTATGTTCTCGACTTACGGCGGGGATGGCCCTTCAAAACACGAGTTTCTTCAGTGACGTCAGGACTCCTGTCTAGTAACGAGGGACACCTCAGGAATCTCTTCGAGGCTTGGCAGGGCAAAAGGGACGCTTCTCGAGGTGAGGCAGGGAACCCAAGGACCCTTTCCAGTAGCCACAGGGATTTGGGATTCCTATTAGTATTCAAGAGGAGTCAGGCATCGTCACCATTTGAAGAAATGAACTCCGCGAGCCTCTCGAGGTGTCAGCGGGATGTGAGGCATTCCGTCAAAAGGAGGCAGGGACCTAGGGCTTTCTCTAAGGTCTCCACAGGGGATTCAGACATCCCTTCATGTTGTGAGATGAAAGACGAGCCTGTATTCAAACCATGCAAGGAAATCCGGCCTCCTTTCAAGTTAGGGCTTATCGCTGTATATTCGCCTTGAGGCAGCAAACTCGGGGTCCCTCCCACATACCTATTGCTGAGAGAAGCCTCCTCCTGAGGTGCTTCTGGAAAGTTGGCATACGTCTTGAGACTAAGCCAGGGAATCAGCTCTCATCTCGAGACGATTTGGGGTACACGGAGCATTCCTCGAGTTGCTGTTCTGAAGTTGGTGTTCCCCTAGACTTGGGACAGTGTTCTCGGGGCATCACTGGAGTTGCCTGAAGGAAGTCGAGCCACCGGTCGTGTTGAAAGTGGAACGGGGAATGGCTCTGGAGTCAATGCAGGGGAATCGGGCCTTATCTCGAGTTGATTTGGGGCACATGGAGCTGCTTTGCGTTGCTGGGGTGACCTCAGGGTCCGTCTAGGCTGGTGACAGTGTTCTTGGGGACTGTCTCGAGATCCATTAAGCAAGTCGAAGCTCCTGACTTGTTTGAATGGGATCACGGAATAGCTCTGCATGCACTGCAGGGGAATGGGGCCTCATCTCGCCCTAGGGGGAAGTCTCATGGTTTTTCTCGTGTTGCGGCGGGGACCTGGGTTATGTTCTCGACTTACGGCGGGGATGGCCCTTCAAAACACGAGTTTCTTCAGTGACGTCAGGATTCCTGTCTAGTAACGAGGGACACCTCAGGAATCTCTTCGAGGCTTGGCAGGGCAAAAGGGAGGCTTCTCGAGGTGAGGCAGGGCACCCAAGGACCCTTTCCAGTAGCCACAGGGATTTGGGATTCCTATTAGTATTCAAGAGGAGTCAGGCATCGTCATCATTTGAAGCAATGAACTCCGCGTGCCTCTCGAGGTGTCAGCGGGATGTGAGGCATTCCGTCAAAAGGAGACAGGGACCTAGGGCTTTCTCTAAGGTCTGCACAGGGGATTCAGACATCCCATCATGTTGTGAGATGAAAGACGAGCCTGTATTCAAGCCACTGCAAGGAAATCCGGCCTCCTTTCAAGTTAGGGCTTCTCGCTGTATATTCGCCTTGAGGCAGCAAACTCGGGGTCCCTCCCACATACCTATTGCTGAGAGAGGCCTCCTCCTGAGGTGTTTCTGGAAAGTTGGCATACGTCTTGAGCCTAAGCCAGGGAATCAGCTCTCATCTCGAGACGATTTGGGGTACACGGAGCATTCCTCGAGTTGCTGTGCTGAAGTTGGTGTTCCTCTAGACTTGGGACAGTGTTCTCGGGGCATCTCTGGAGTTGCCTGAAGGAAGTCGAGCCACCGGTCGTGTTGAATGGGGAACGGGGAATGGCTCTGGAGTCAATGCAGGGGAATCAGGCCTCATCTCGGGTTGATTTGAGGCACATAGTGCTGCTTTGCGTTGCTGGGGTGACCTCAGGGTCCGTCTAGACTGGTGACAGTGTTCTTGGGGACTGTCTCGAGACCCATTAAGGAAGTTAAAGCTCCTGACTTGTTTGAATGTGATCACGGAATAGCTCTGCATGCACTGCAGGTGAATGGGGCCTCATCTCGCCACTAGGGGGAAGTCTCATGGTTTTTCTCGAGTTGCGGCGGGGACCTGGGGTATGTTCTCGACTTACGGCGGGGATGGCCCTTCAAAACACGAGTTTCTTCAGTGACGTCAGGACTCCTGTCTAGTAACGAGGGACACCTCAGGAATCTCTTCGAGGCTTGACAGGGCAAAAGGGACGCTTCTCGATGTGAGGCAGTGAACCCAAGGACCCTTTCCAGTAGCCACAGGGATTTTGGGATTCCTATCAGTATTCAAGAGGAGTCAGGCATCGTCACCTTTTGAAGCAATGAACTCCACGTGCCTCTCGAGGTGTCAGCGTGATGTGATTCATTCCGTCAAAAGGAGGCAGGGACCTAGGGCTTTCTCTAAGGTCTCCACAGAGGCTTCAGACATCCCTTCATGTTGTGAGGTGAAAGACGAGCCTGTACTCAAGCCACTGCAAGGAAATCCGGCCTCCTTTCAAGTTAGGGCTTCTCGCTGTATATTCCCCTTGAGGCAGCAAACTCGGGGTCCCTCCCACATACCTATTGCTGAGAGAAGCCTCCTCCTGAGGTGCTTCTGGAAAGTTGGCATACGTCTTGAGCCTAAGCCAGGGAATCAGCTCTCATCTCGAGACGATTTGGGGTACACGGAGCATTCCTCGAGTTGCTGTGCTGAAGTTGGTGTTCCTCTAGTCTTGGGTCAGTGTTCTCGGGGCATCTCTGGAGTTGCCTGAAAGAAGTCGAGACGCCGGTCGTGTTGAATCGGGAATGGGGAATGGCTCTGGATTCAATGCAGGGGAATCGGGCCTTATCTCGAGTTGATTTGGGGCACATGGAGCTGCTTTGCGTTGCTGGGGTGACCGCAGGGTCCGTCTAGACTGGTGACAGTGTTTTTGGGGCCTGCCTCGAGATCCATTAAGCAAGTCGAAGCTCCTGACTTGATTGAATGGGATCACGGAATAGCTCTGCATGCGCTGCAGGGGAATGGGGCCTCATCTCGCCTCTAGGGGGAAGTCTCATGGTTTTTCTCGAGTTGCGGCGGGGACCTGGGGTATGTTCTCGACTTACGGCGCGGATGGCCCTTCAAAACACGAGTTTCTTCAGTGACGTCAGGACTCCTGTCTAGTAAAGAGGGACACATCAGGAATCTCTTCAAGGCTTGGCAGGGCAAAAGGGACGCTTCTCGAGGTGAGGCAGGGAACCCAAGGACCCTTTCCAGTAGCCACAGGGATTTGGGATTCCTATTAGTATTCAAGAGGAGTCAGGCATCATCACCATTTGAAGAAATGAACTCCGCGTGCCTCTCGAGGTGTCAGCGGGATGTGAGGCATTCCGTCAAAAGGAGGCAGGGACCTAGGGCTTTCTCTAAGGTCTCCACAGGGGATTCAGATATCCCTTCATGTTGGGAGATGAAAGACGAGCTTGTATTCAAGCCACTGCAAGGAAATCCGGCCTCCTTTCAAATTAGGGTTTCTCTCTGTATATTCCCCTTTAGGCAGCAAACTCGGGGTCCCTCCCACATAGCTATTGCTGAGAGAAGCCTCCTCCTGAGGTGCTTCTGGAAAGTTGGCATACGTCTTGAGCCTAAGCCAGGGAATCAGCTCTCATCTCGAGACGATTTGGGGTACACGGAGCATTCCTCGAGTTGCTGTGCTGAAGTTGGTGTTCCTCTACACTTGGGACAGTGTTCTCGGGGCATCTCTGGAGTTGCCTGAAGGAAGTCGAGCCACCGGTCTTGTTGAATGGGGAACGGGGAATGGCTCTGGAGTCAATGCAGGGGAATCGGGCCTCATCTTGAGTTGATTTGGGGCACATGGAGCTGCTTTGCGTTGCTGGGGTAACCTCAGGGTCCGTCTAGACTGGTGACAGTGTTCTTGGGGACTGTCTCGAGATCCATTAAGCAAGTCGAAGCTCCTGACTTGTTTGAATGGGATCACGGAATAGCTCTGCATGCACTGCAGGGGAATGGGGCCTCATCTCGCCTCTAGGGGGAAGTCTCATGGTTTTTCTCGAGTTGCGGCGGGGCCTGGGGTATGTTCTCGACTTACGGCGGGGATGGCCCTTCAAAACACGAGTTTCTTCAGTGACGTCAGGACTCCTGTCTAGTAACGAGGGACACCTCAGGAATCTCTTCGAGGCTTGGCAGGGCAAAAGGGACGCTTCTCGAGGTGAGGCAGGGAACCCAAGGACCCTTTCCAGTAGCCACAGTGATTTCGGATTCCTATTAGTATTCAAGAGGAGTCAGGCATCATCACCATTTGAAGAAATGAACTCCGCGTGCCTCTCGAGGTGTCAGCGGGATGTGAGGCATACAGTCAAAAGGAGGCAGGGAACTAGGGCTTTCTCTAAGGTATCCACAGGGGACTCAGACATCCCTTCATGTTGTGAGGTGAAAGACGAGCCTGTATTCAAACCACTGCAAGGAAATCCGGCCTCCTTTCAAGTTAGGGCTTCTCGCTGTATATTCCCCTTGAGGCAGCAAACTCGGCGTCCCTCCCACATACCTATTGCTGAGAGAAGCCTCCTCCTGAGGTGCTTCTGGAAAGTTGGCATACGTCTTGAGACTAAGCCAGGGAATCAGCTCTCATCTCGAGACGATTTGGGGTACACGGAGCATTCCTCGAGTTGCTCTGCTGAAGTTGGTGTTCCTCTAGACTTGGGACAGTGTTCTCGGGGCATCTCTGGAGTTGCCTGAAAGAAGTCGAGCCGCCGGTCTTCTTGAATGGGGAACGGGGAATGGCTCTGGAGTCAATGCAGGGGAATCAGGCCTAATCTCGGGTTGATTTGGGGCACATAGTGCTGCTTTACGTTGCTGGGGTGACCTCAGGGTCCTTCTAGATTGGTGACAGTGTTCTTGGGGACTGTCTCGAGACCCATTAAGCAAGTCAAAGCTCCTGACTTGTTTGAATGGGATCACGGAATAGCTCTGCATGCACGGCAGGGGAATGGGGCCTCATCTCGCCACTAGGGGGAAGTCTCATGGTTTTTCTCGAGTTGCGGCGGGAACCTGGATTATGTTCTCGACTTACGGCGGGGATGGCCCTTCAAAACACGAGTTTCTCCAGTGACGTCAGGACTCCTGTCTAGTAACGAGGGACACCTCAGGAATCTCTTCGAGGCTTGGCAGGGCAAAAGGGACGCTTCTCGAGGTGAGGCAGGGCACCCAAGGACCCTTTCCAGTAGCCACAGGGATTTTGGGATTCCTACCAGTATTCAAGAGGAGTCAGGCATCGTCCCCTTTTGAAGCAATGAACTCCACGTGCCTCTCGAGGTGTCAGCGGGATGTGAGGCATTCCGTCAAAAGGAGGCAGGGACCTAGGGCTTTCTCTAAGGTCTCCACAGGGGCTTCAGACAACCCTTCATGTTGTGAGGTGAAAGACGAGCCTGTATTCAAGCCACTGCAAGGAAATCCGTACTCCTTTCATGTTAGGGTTCTCGCTGTATATTCGCCTTGAGGCAGCAAATTCGGGGTCCCTCCCAATACCTATTGCTGAGAGAAGCCTCCTCCTGTGGTGCATCTGTAAAGTTGGCATACGTCTTGAGACTAAGCCAGGGAATCAGCTCTCATCTCGAGACGATTTGGGGTACACGGAGCATTCCTCGAGTTGCTGTGCTGAAGTTGGTGTTCCTCTAGACTTGGGACAGTGTTCTCGGGGCATCTCTGGAGTTGCCTGAAGGAAGTCGAGCCACCTGTCTTGTTGAATGGGGAACGGGGAATGGCTCTGGAGTCAATGCAGGGGAATCGGGCCTCATCTTGAGTTGATTTGGGGCACATGGAGCTGCTTTGCATTGCTGGGGTAACCTCAGGGTCCGTCTAGACTGGTGACAGTGTTCTTGGGGACTGTCTCGAGATCCATTAAGCAAGTCGAAGCTCCTGACTTGTTTGAATGGGATCACGGAATAGCTGTGCATGCACTGCAGGGGAATGGGGCCTCATCTCGCCTCTAGGGGGAAGTCTCATGGTTTTTCTCGAGTTGCGGCGGGGACCTGGGGTATGTTCTCGACTTACGGCGGGGATGGCCCTTCAAAACACGAGTTTCTTCAGTGACGTCAGGACTCCTGTCTAGTAACGAGGGACACCTCAGGAATCTCTTCGAGGCTTGGCAGGGCAAAAGGGACGCTTCTCGAGGTGAGGCAGGGAACCCAAGGACCCTTTCCAGTAGCCACAGGGATTTGGGATTCCTATTAGTATTCAAGAGGAGTCAGGCATCGTCACCATTTGAAGAAATGAACTCCGCGAGCCTCTCGAGGTGTCAGCGGGATGTGAGGCATTCCGTCAAAAGGAGGCAGGGACCTAGGGCTTTCTCTAAGGTCTCCACAGGGGATTCAGACATCCCTTCATGTTGTGAGATGAAAGAAGAGCCTGTATTCAAACCACTGCAAGGAAATCCGGCCTCCTTTTAAGTTAGGGCTTCTCGCTGTATATTCGCCTTGAGGCAGCAAACTCGGGGTCCCTCCCACATACCTATTGCTGAGAGAAGCCTCCTCCTGAGGTGCTTCTGGAAAGTTGGCATACGTCTTGAGCCTAAGCCAGGGAATCAGCACTCATCTGGAGACGATTTGGGGTACACGGTGCATTCCTCGAGTTGCTGTGCTGAAGTTGGTGTTCCTCTAGACTTGGGACAGTGTTCTCGGGGCATCTCTGGAGTTGCCTGAAGGAAGTCGAGCCACCGGTCGTGTTGAATGGGGAACGGGGAATGGCTCTGGAGTCAATGCAGGGGAATCAGGCCTCATCTCGGGTTGATTTGGGGCACATAGTTCTCCTTTGCGTTGCTGGGGTGACCTCAGGGTCCGTCTAGACTGGTGACAGTGTTCTTGGGGACTGTCTCGAGACCCATTAAGCAAGTCGAAGCTCCTGACTTGTTTGAATGTGATCACGGAATAGCTCTGCATGCACTGCAGGGGAATGGGGCCTCATCTCGCCACTAGGAGGAAGTCTCACGGTTTTTCTCGAGTTGCGGCGGGGACCTGGGTTATGTTCTCGACTTACGGCGGGGATGGCCCTTCAAAACACGAGTTTCTTCAGTGACGTCAGGACTCCTGTCTAGTAACGAGGGACACCTCAGGAATCTCTTCGATGCTTGGCAGGGCAAAAGTGACGCTTCTCGAGGTGAGGCAGGGCACCCAAGGACCCTTTCCAGTAGCCACAGGGATTTTGGGATTCCTATCAGTATTCAAGAGGAGTCAGGCATCGTCACCTTTTGAAGCAATGAACGCCACGTGCCTCTCGAGGTGTCAGCGTGATGTGAGGCATTCCGTCAAAAGGAGGCAGGGACCTAGGGCTTTCTCTAAGGTCTCCACAGAGGCTTCAGACATCCCTTCATGTTGTGAGGTGAAAGACGAGCCTGTATTCAAGCCACTGCAAGGAAATCCGGCCTCCTTTCAAGTTAGGGCTTCTCGCTGTATATTCCCCTTGAGGCAGCAAACTCGGGGTCCCTCCCACATACCTATTGCTGAGAGAAGCCTCCTCCTGAGGTGCTTCTGGAAAGTTGGCATACGTCTTGAGCCTAAGCCAGGGAATCAGCTCTCAGCTCGAGACGATTTGGGGAACACGGTGCATTCCTTGAGTTGCTGTGCTGACGTTGGTGTTCCTCTAGTCTTGGGTCAGTGTTCTCGGGGCATCTCTGGAGTTGCCTGAAAGAAGTCGAGACGCCGGTCGTTTTGAATGGGGAATGGGGAATGGCTCTGGAGTCAATGCAGGGGAATCGGGCCTTATCTCGAGTGATTTGGGGCACATGGAGCTGCTTTGCGTTGCTGGGGTGACCGCAGGGTCCGTCTAGACTGGTGACAGTGTTTTTGGGGACTGCCTCGTGATCCATTAAGCAAGTCGAAGCTCCTGACTTGTTTGAATGGGATCACGGAATAGCTCTGCATGCACTGCAGGGGAATGGGGCCTCATCTCGCCTCTAGGGGGAAGTCTCATGGTTTTTCTCGAGTTGCGGCGGGGACCTGGGGTATGTTCTCGACTTACGGCGCGGATGTCCCTTCAAAACACGAGTTTCTTCAGTGAAGTCAGGACTCCTGTCTAGTAACGAGGGACACCTCAGGAATCTCTTCGAGGCTTGGCAGGGCAAAAGGGACGCTTCTTGAGGTGAGGCAGTGAACCCAAGGACCCTTTCCAGTTGCCACAGTGATTTCGGATTCCTATTAGTATTCAAGAGGAGTCAGGCATCATCACCATTTGAAGAAATGAACTCCGCGTGCCTCTCGAGGTGTCAGCGGGATGTGAGGCATTCAGTCAAAAGGAGGCAGGGACCTAGGGCTTTCTCTAAGATCTCCACAGGGGATTCAGACATCCCTTCATGTTGTGAGATGAAAGACGAGCCTGTATTCAAACCATGCAAGGAAATCCGGCCTCCTTTCAAGTTAGGGCTTATCGCTGTATATTCGCCTTGAGGCAGCAAACTCGGGGTCCCTCCCACATACCTATTGCTGAGAGAAGCCTCCTCCTGAGGTGCTTCTGGAAAGTTGGCATACGTCTTGAGACTAAGCCAGGGAATCAGCTCTCATCTCGAGACGATTTGGGGTACACGGAGCATTCCTCGAGTTGCTGTGCTGAAGTTGGTGTTCCCCTAGACTTGGGACAGTGTTCTCGGGGCATCACTAGAGTTGCCTGAAGGAAGTCGAGCCACCGGTCGTGTTGAAAGGGGAACGGGGAATGGCTCTGGAGTCAATGCAGGGGAATCGGGCCTTATCTCGAGTTGATTTGGGGCACATGGAGCTGCTTTGCGTTGCTGGGGTGACCTCAGGGTCCGTCTAGGCTGGTGACAGTGTTCTTGGGGACTGTCTCGAGATCCATTAAGCAAGTCGAAGCTCCTGACTTGTTTGAATGGGATCACGGAATAGCTCTGCATGCACTGCATTGGAATGGGGCCTCATCTCGCCCTAGGGGGAAGTCTCATGGTTTTTCTCGTGTTGCGGCGGGGACCTGGGTTATGTTCTTGACTTACGGCGGGGATGGCCCTTCAAAACACGAGTTTCTTCAGTGACGTCAGGACTCCTGTCTAGTAACGAGGGACACCTCAGGAATCTCTTCGAGGCTTGACAGGGCAAAAGGGACGCTTCTCGATGTGAGGCAGTGAACCCAAGGACCCTTTCCAGTAGCCACAGGGATTTTGGGATTCCTATCAGTATTCAAGAGGAGTCAGGCATCGTCACCTTTTGAAGCAATGAACTCCACGTGCCTCTCGAGGTGTCAGTGTGATGTGATTCATTCCGTCAAAAGGAGGCAGGGACCTAGGGCTTTCTCTAAGGTCTCCACAGAGGCTTCAGACATCGCTTCATGTTGTGAGGTGAAAGACGAGCCTGTACTCAAGCCACTGCAAGGAAATCCGGCCTCCTTTCAAGTTAGGGCTTCTCGCTGTATATTCCCCTTGAGGCAGCAAACTCGGGGTCCCTCCCACATACCTATTGCTGAGAGAAGCCTCCTCCTGAGGTGCTTCTGGAAAGTTGGCATACGTCTTGAGCCTAAGCCAGGGAATCAGCTCTCATCTCGAGACGATTTGGGTTACACGGAGCATTCCTCGAGTTGCTGTGCTGATGTTGGTGTTCCTCTAGTCTTGGGTCAGTGTTCTCGGGGCATCTCTGGAGTTGCCTGAAAGAAGTCGAGACGCCGGTCGTGTTGAATGGGGAACGGGGAATGGCTCTGGAGTCAATGCAGGGGAATCAGGCCTCATCTCGGGTTGATTTGGGGCACATAGTTCTGCTTTGCATTGCTGGGGTGACCTCAGGTTCCGTCTAGACTGGTGACAGTGTTCTTGGGGACTGTCTCGAGACCCATTAAGCAAGTCGAAGCTCCTGAATTGTTTGAATGGGATCACGGAATAGCTCTGCATGCACTGCAGGGGAATGGGGCCTCATCTCGCCACTAGGGGGAAGTCTCATGGTTTTTCTCGAGTTGCGGCGGGGACCTGGGGTATGTTCTCGACTTACGGCGGGGATGGCCCTTCAAAACACGAGTTTCTTCAGTGACGTCAGGACTCCTGTCTAGTAAAGAGGGACACATCAGGAATCTCTTCAAGGCTTGGCAGGGCAAAAGGGACGCTTCTCGATGTGAGGCAGGGAACCCAAGGACCCTTTCCAGTAGCCACAGGGATTTGGGATTCCTATTAGTATTCAAGAGGAGTCAGGCATCATCACCATTTGAAGAAATGAACTCCGCGTGCCTCTCGAGGTGTCAGCGGGATGTGAGGCATTCCGTCAAAAGGAGGCAGGGACCTAGGGCTTTCTCTAAGGTCTCCACAGGGGATTCAGATATCCCTTCATGTTGTGAGATGAAAGACGAGCTTGTATTCAAGCCACTGCAAGGAAATCCGGCCTCCTTTCAAATTAGGGTTTCTCTCTGTATATTCCCCTTGAGGCAGCAAACTCGGGGTCCCTCCCACATAGCTATTGCTGAGAGAAGCCTCCTCCTGAGGTGCTTCTGGAAAGTTGGCATACGTCTTGAGCCTAAGCCAGGGAATCAGCTCGCATCTCGAGACGATTTTTGGTACACGGAGCATTCCTCGAGTTGCTGTGCTGAAGTTGGTGTTTCTCTAGACTTGGGACAGTGTTCTCGGGGCATCTCGGGAGTTGCCTGAAGGAAGTCGAGCCACCGGTCTTGTTGAATGGGGAACGGGGAATGGCTCTGGAGTCAATGCAGGGGAATCGGGCCTCATCTTGAGTTGATTTGGGGCACATGGAGCTGCTTTGCGTTGCTGGGTTAACCTCAGGGTCCGTCTAGACTGGTGACAGTGTTCTTGGGGACTGTCTCGAGATCCATTAAGCAAGTCGAAGCTCCTGACTTGTTTGAATGGGATCACGGAATAGCTCTGCATGCACTGCAGGGGAATGGGGCCTCATCTCGCCTCTAGGGGGAAGTCTCATGGTTTTTCTCAAGTTGCGGCGGGGACCTGGGGTATGTTCTCGACTTACGGCGGGGATGGCCCTTCAAAACACGAGTTTCTTCAGTGACGTCAGGACTCCTGTCTAGTAACGAGGGACACCTCAGGAATCTCTTCGAGGCTTGGCAGGGCAAAAGGGACGCTTCTCGAGGTGAGGCAGGGAACCCAAGGACCCTTTCCAGTAGCCACAGGGATTTGGGATTCCTATTAGTATTCAAGAGGAGTCAGGCATCATCACCATTTGAAGAAATGAACTCCGCGTGCCTCTCGAGGTGTCAGCGGGATGTGAGGCATTCCGTCAAAAGGAGGCAGGGACCTAGGGCTTTCTCTAACGTCTCCACAGGGGATTCAGATATCCCTTCATGTTGTGAGATGAAAGACGAGCTTGTATTCAAGCCACTGCAAGGAAATCCGGCCTCCTTTCAAATTAGGGCTTCTCGCTGTATATTCCCCTTGAGGCAGCAAACTCGGGCTCCCTCCCACATAGCTATTGCTGAGAGAAGCCTCCTCCTGAGGTGCTTCTGGAAAGTTGGCATACGTCTTGAGCCTAAGCCAGGGAATCAGCTCTCATCTCGAGACGATTTGGGGTACACGGAGCATTCCTCGAGTTGCTGTGCTGAAGTTGGTGTTTCTCTAGACTTGGGACAGTGTTCTCGGGGCATCTCGGGAGTTGCCTGAAGGAAGTCGAGCCACCGGTCTTGTTGAATGGGGAACGGGGAATGGCTCTGGAGTCAATGCAGGGGAATCGGGCCTCATCTTGAGTTGATTTGGGGCACATGGAGCTGCTTTGCGTTGCTGGGGTAACCTCAGGGTCCGTCTAGACTGGTGACAGTGTTCTTGGGGACTGTCTCGAGATCCATTAAGCAAGTCGAAGCTCCTGACTTGTTTGAATGGGATCACGGAATAGCTCTGCATGCACTGCAGGGGAATGGGGCCTCATCTCGCCTCTAGGGGGAAGTCTCATGGTTTTTCTCGAGTTGCGGCGGGGACCTGGGGTATGTTCTCGACTTACGGCGGGGATGGCCCTTCAAAACACGAGTTTCTTCAGTGACGTCAGGACTCCTGTCTAGTAACGAGGGACACCTCAGGAATCTCTTCGAGGCTTGGCAGGGCAAAAGGGACGCTTCTCGAGGTGAGGCAGGGAACCCAAGGACCCTTTCCAGTAGCCACAGGGATTTGGGATTCCTATTAGTATTCAAGAGGAGTCAGGCATCGTCACCATTTGAAGAAATGAACTCCGCGTGCCTCTCGAGGTGTCAGCGGGATGTGAGGCATTCCGTCAAAAGGAGGCAGGGACCTAGGGCTTTCTCTAAGGTCTCCACAGGGGATTCAGACATCCCTTCATGTTGTGAGATGAAAGAAGAGCCTGTATTCAAACCACTGCAAGGAAATCCGGCCTCCTTTTAAGTTAGGGCTTCTCGCTGTATATTCGCCTTGAGGCAGCAAACTCGGGGTCCCTCCGACATACCTATTGCTGAGAGAAGCCTCCTCCTGAGGTGCTTCTGGAAAGTTGGCACACGTCTTGAGACTAAGCCAGGGAATCAGCTCTCATCTCGAGACGATTTGGGGTATACGGAGCATTCCTCGAGTTGCTGTGCTGAAGTTGGTGTTCCTCTAGACATGGGACAGTGTTCTCGGGGCATCTCTGGAGTTGCCTGAAGGAAGTCGAGCCACCGGTCGTGTTGAATGGGGAACGGGGAATGGCTCTGGAGTCAATGCAGGGGAATCAGGCCTCATCTCGTGTTGATTTGGGGCACATAGTTCTGCTTTGCGTTGCTGGGGTGACCTCAGGGTCCGTCTAGACTGGTGACAGTGTTCTTGGGGACTGTCTCGAGACCCATTAAGCAAGTCGAAGCTCCTGAATTGTTTGAATGGGATCACGGAATAGCTCTGCATGCACTACAGGGGAATGGGGCCTCATCTCGCCACTAGGGGGAAGTCTCATGGTTTTTCTCAAGTTGCGGCGGGGACCTGGGGTATGTTCTCGACTTACGGCGGGGATGGCCCTTCAAAACACGAGTTTCTTCAGTGACGTCAGGACTCCTGTCTAGTAAAGAGGGACACCTCAGGAATCCCTTCGAGGCTTGGCAGGGCAAAAGGGACGCTTCTTGAGGTGAGGCAGGGAACCCAAGGACCCTTTCCAGTAGCCACAGGTATTTGGGATTCCTATTAGTATTCAAGAGGAGTCAGGCATCATCACCATTTGAAGAAATGAACTCCGCGTGCCTCTCGAGGTGTCAGCGGGATGTGAGGCATTCCGTCAAAAGGAGGCAGGGACCTAGGGCTTTCTCTAAGGTCTCCACAGGGGATTCAGATATCCCTTCATGTTGTGAGATGAAAGACGAGCTTGTATTCAAGCCACTGCAAGGAAATCCGGCCTCCTTTCAAATTAGGGTTTCTCTCTGTATATTCCCCTTGAGGCAGCAAACTCGGGGTCCCTCCCACATACCTATTGCTGAGAGAAGCCTCCTCCTGAGGTGCTTCTGGAAAGTTGGCATACGTCTTGAGCCTAAGCCAGGGAATCAGCTCTCATCTCGAGACGATTTGGGGTACACGGAGCATTCCTCGAGTTGCTGTGCTGAAGTTGGTGTTCCTCTAGACTTGGGACAGTGTTCTCGGGGCATCTCTGGAGTTGCCTGAAGGAAGTCGAGTCACTGGTCGTGTTGAATGGGGAACGGGGAATGGCTCTGGAATCAATGCAGGGGAATCAGGCCTCATCTCGGGTTGATTTGGGGCACATGGAGCTGCTTTGCGTTGCTGGGGTGACCTCAGGGTCCGTCTAGACTGGTGACAGTGTTCTTGGGGACTGTCTCGAGATCCATTAAGCAAGTCGAAGCTCCTGACTTGTTTGAATGGGATCACGGAATAGCTCTGCATGCACTGCAGGGGAATGGGGCCTCATCTCGCCTCTAGGGTGAAGTCTCATGGTTTTTCTCGAGTTGCGGCGGGGACCTGGGTTATGTTCTCGACTTACGGCGGGGATGGCCCTTCAAAACACGAGTTTCTTCAGTGACGTCAGGACTCCTGTCTAGTAACGAGGGACACCTCAGGAATCTCTTCGAGGCTTGGCAGGGCAAAAGGGACGCTTCTCGAGGTGAGGCAGGGAACCCAAGGACCCTTTCCAGTAGCCACAGGGATTTGGGATTCCTATTAGTATTCAAGAGGAGTCAGGCATCGTCACCATTTGAAGAAATGAACTCCGCGTGCCTCTCGAGGTGTCAGCGGGATGTGAGGCATTCCGACACAATGAGGCAGGGACCTAGGGCTTTCTCTAAGGTCTCCACAGGGGATTCAGACATCCCTTCATGTTGTGAGATGAAAGACGAGCCTGTATTCAACCACTGCAAGGAAATCCGGCCTCCTTTCAAGTTAGGGTTTCTCGCTATATATTCTCCTTGAGGCAGCAAACTCGGGGTAACTCCCACATACCTATTGCTGAGAGAAGCCTCCGCCTGAGGTGCTTCTGGAAAGTTGGCATACGTCTTGAGACTAAGCCAGGGAATCAGCTCTCATCTCGAGGCGATTTGTGGTACACGGAGCATTCCTCGAGATGCTGTGCTGAAGTTGGTGTTCCTCTAGACTTGGGACAGTGTTCTCGGGGCAGCTCTGGAGTTGCCTGAAGGAAGTCGAGCCACAGGTCGTGTTGAATGCGGAACGGGGAATGGCTCTGGAGTCAATGCAGGGGAATCGGGCCTCATCTCGGGTTGATTTGGGGCACATGGAGCTGCTTTGCGTTGCTGGGGTGACCTCAGGGTCCGTCTAGACAGGTGACAGTGTTCTTGGGGACTGTCTCGAGACCCATTAAGCAAGTCGAAGCTCCTGACTTGTTTGAATGGGATCACGGAATAGCTCTGCATGCACTGCAGGGGAATGGGGCCTCATCTCGCCACTAGGGGGAAGTCTCATGGTTTTTCTCGAGTTGCGGCGGGGACCTGGTGTATGTTCTCGACTTACGGCGGCGATGGCCCTTCAAAACACGAGTTTCTTCAGTGACGTCAAGACTCCTGTCTAGTAACGAGGGACACCTCAGGAATCTCTTTGAGGCTTGGCAGGGGAAAAGGGACGCTTCTCGAGGTGAGGCAGGGCACCCAAAGATCCTTTCCAGTAGCCACAGGGATTTTGGGATTCCTATCAGTATTCAAGAGGAGTCAGGCATCGTCACATTTTGAAGCAATGAACTCCGCGTGCCTCTCGAGTTGTCAGCGGGATGTGAGGCATTCAGTCAAAAAGAGGCAGGGACCTAGGGCTTTCTCTAAGGTCTCCACAGGGGATTCAGATATCCCTTCATGTTGTGAGATGAAAGACGAGCCTGTATTCAAGCCACTGCAAGGAAATCTGGCCTCCTTTCAAGTTAGGGCTTCTCTCTGTATATTCCCCTTGAGGCAGCAAATCGGGGTCCCTCTCACATACATATTTCTGAGAGAAGCCTCCTCCTGAGGTGCTTCAGGAAAGTTGGCATACGTCTTGAGCCTAAGCCAGGGAATCAGCTCTCATCTCGAGACGATTAGGGGTACACGGAGCATTCCTCGAGTTGCTGTGCTGAAGTTGGTGTTCCTCTAGACTTGGGACAGTGTTCTCGGGGCATCTCTGGAGTTGCCAGAAAGAAGTCGAGATGCCGGTCGTGTTGAATGGGGAACGGGGAATGGCTCTGGAGTCAATGCAGGGGAATCAGGCCTCATCTCGGGTTGATTTGGGGCACATAGATCTGCTTTGCGTTGCTGGGGGGACCTCAGGTTCCGTCTAGACTGGTGACAGTGTTCTTGGGGACTGTCTCGAGACCCATTAAGCAAGTCGAAGCTCCTGAATTGTTTGAATGGGATCACGGAATAGCTCTGCATGCACTACAGGGGAATGGGGCCTCATCTCACCACTAGGGGGAAGTCTCATGGTTTTTCTCAAGTTGCGGCGGGGACCTGGGGTATGTTCTCGACTTACGGCGGGGATGGCCCTTCAAAACACGAGTTTCTTCAGTGACGTCAGGACTCCTGTCTAGTAAAGAGGGACACATCAGGAATCTCTTCAAGGCTTGGCAGGGCAAAAGGGACGCTTCTCGAGGTGAGGCAGGGAACCCAAGGACCCTTTCCAGTAGCCACAGGGATTTGGGATTCCTATTAGTATTCAAGAGGAGTCAGGCATCATCACCATTTGAAGAAATGAACTCCGCGTGCCTCTCGAGGTGTCAGCGGGATGTGAGGCATTCCGTCAAAAGGAGGCAGGGACCTAGGGCTTTCTCTAAGGTCTCCACAGGGGATTCAGATATCCCTTCATGTTGTGAGATGAAAGACGAGCTTGTATTCAAGCCACTGCAAGGAAATCCGGCCTCCTTTCAAATTAGGGTTTCTCTCTGTATATTCCCCTTGAGGCAGCAAACTCGGGGTCCCTCCCACATAGCTATTGCTGAGAGAAGCCTCCTCCTGAGGTGCTTCTGGAAAGTTGGCATACGTCTTGAGCCTAAGCCAGGGAATCAGCTCTCATCTCGAGACGATTTGGGGTACACGGAGCATTCCTCGAGTTGCTGTGCTGAAGTTGGTGTTTCTCTAGACTTGGGACAGTGTTCTCGGGGCATCTCTGGAGTTGCCTGAAGGAAGTCGAGCCACCGGTCTTGTTGAATGGGGAACGGGGAATGGCTCTGGAGTCAATGCAGGGGAATCGGGCCTCATCTTGAGTTGATTTGGGGCACATGGAGCTGCTTTGCGTTGCTGGGGTGACCTCAGGGTCCGTCTAGACTGGTGACAGTGTTCTTGGGGACTGTCTCGAGATCCATTAAGCAAGTCGAAGCTCCTGACTTGTTTGAATGGGATCACGGAATAGCTCTGCATGCACTGCAGGGGAATGGGGCCTCATCTCGCCTCTAGGGTGAAGTCTCATGGTTTTTCTCGAGTTGCGGCGGGGACCTGGGTTATGTTCTCGACTTACGGCGGGGATGGCCCTTCAAAACACGAGTTTCTTCAGTGACGTCAGGACTCCTGTCTAGTAACGAGGGACACCTCAGGAATCTCTTCGAGGCTTGGCAGGGCAAAAGGGACGCTTCTCGAGGTGAGGCAGGGAACCCAAGGACCCTCTCCAGTAGCCACAGGGATTTGGGATTCCTATTAGTTTTCAAGAGGAGTCAGGCATCGTCACCATTTGAAGAAATGAACTCCGCGTGCCTCTCGAGGTGTCAGCGGGATGTGAGGCATTCCGACACAATGAGGCAGGGACCTAGGGCTTTCTCTAAGGTCTCCACAGGGGATTCAGACATCCCTTCATGTTGTGAGATGAAAGACGAGCCTGTATTCAACCACTGCAAGGAAATCCGGCCTCCTTTCAAGTTAGGGTTTCTCGCTGTATATTCTCCTTGAGGCAGCAAACTCGGGGTAACTCCCACATACCTATTGCTGAGAGAAGCCTCCGCCTGAGGTGCTTCTGGAAAGTTGGCATACGTCTTGAGACTAAGCCAGGGAATCAGCTCTCATCTCGAGGCGATTTGTGGTACACGGAGCATTCCTCGAGATGCTGTGCTGAAGTTGGTGTTCCTCTAGACTTGGGACAGTGTTCTCGGGGCAGCTCTGGAGTTGCCTGAAGGAAGTCGAGCCACAGGTCGTGTTGAATGCGGAACGGGGAATGGCTCTGGAGTCAATGCAGGGGAATCGGGCCTCATCTCGGGTTGATTTGGGGCACATGGAGCTGCTTTGCGTTGCTGGGGTGACCTCAGGGTCCGTCTAGACTGGTGACAGTGTTCTTGGGGACTGTCTCGAGACCCATTAAGCAAGTCGAAGCTCCTGACTTGTTTGAATGGGATCACGGAATAGCTCTGCATGCACTGCAGGGGAATGGGGCCTCATCTCGCCACTAGGGGGAAGTCTCATGGTTTTTCTCGAGTTGCGGCGGGGACCTGGTGTATGTTCTCGACTTACGGCGGCGATGGCCCTTCAAAACACGAGTTTCTTCAGTGACGTCAAGACTCCTGTCTAGTAACGAGGGACACCTCAGGAATCTCTTTGAGGCTTGGCAGGGGAAAAGGGACGCTTCTCGAGGTGAGGCAGGGCACCCAAAGATCCTTTCCAGTAGCCACAGGGATTTTGGGATTCCTATCAGTATTCAAGAGGAGTCAGGCATCGTCACCTTTTGAAGCAATGAACTCCGCGTGCCTCTCGAGTTGTCAGCGGGATGTGAGGCATTCAGTCAAAAAGAGGCAGGGACCTAGGGCTTTCTCTAAGGTCTCCACAGGGGATTCTGATATCCCTTCATGTTGTGAGATGATAGACGAGCCTGTATTCAAGCCACTGCAAGGAAATCTGGCCTCCTTTCAAGTTAGGGCTTCTCTCTGTATATTCCCCTTGAGGCAGCAAATCGGGGTCCCTCTCACATACATATTTCTGAGAGAAGCCTCCTCCTGAGGTGCTTCAGGAAAGTTGGCATACGTCTTGAGCCTAAGCCAGGGAATCATCTCTCATCTCGAGACGATTAGGGGTACACGGAGCATTCCTCGAGTTGCTGTGCTGAAGTTGGTATTCCTCTAGACTTGGG